GTGAAACAGCAATACCAACCCATGCTCCATTATATGTGTCGTTTATTACATTATCACCAGAGTCATCGGTTCCTTGAGGCCAACACGCCATAGCCAATACACCCAACATACAAAGCAGCACCGCACCAACTTTGGCGCCTACAATTCGATCATGTAACATGATGATCGAAAATAAATACGCAAAAAAGCAACCGGTATTATAGATTGCGGTTAAATTTGACATTGTTGTTAAGTTAACACTAAGGTACCAGATATACGAGGGTAATGTTAATAATATTGAGAGACACAGACTAGTTTTTAAGATGAAACCTAAAGGAAAAACGTGATTGCCTTGTACTCTATACTGTAACTCGACGATTGAGTTATTTACTGATGATTTGCTGTTGTTTATTGTATCAATGATATTTCTATAGATCGATCTATTGTTATTGGTAGATGATTTAGATTTATAGCAGTGCAAATCAATATATTCTGCTATAAATTGCAAAGGGAGCATAAAGACGTAACAGGAATGACTTATGTACCTGAAAATGCTGCTTAGTAAAATAGTGTAATAATTTTCTATAAACTTACAGGATAAAGTATGGTTTCGAATAATTTGTAGTTTTTTGAACATACTGGGCAAGCTCAGTCTGTAAAACAAATGTTACAATACATATGGTCAACATTACTGTGGCTAAGGCTGACCGAGATTTTCTTGGTTGAAATGTTGGTGTTGCTGGCAACTGTTGTTCATCAACCGGAACTGTGTGGTAAGAAGCCATTGCTGAAATGCCAATGTAGTTTTTTTATTTTGTTTTTGGTGAGAGAAATTGTTTTCGAAAGAGAGAGAAAACAAAGTGCAATAAACAGGCACAATAAATAAAAAGGAAGGAAAAAATTAGGTTTTACAAATTTTGTATGACCAATCACAAATAAAAGAAAAGGTCCTTCAATTGACATTCCAAAGACAGTGAGAAGGGTGAATTTTGTCAGCTCGTGTGACATGAGTGGAGGGAAGGGTATATGTTTATATACAAATTCACTTTTACAATTTTTTAACTAGCTGAACTATCAGCACATGTTGACGATGTGGAGGATTGAGGATTTTCTTGTGTTTCCAGACTTCTGAATCTTAGTGGAGGGCTGTTAATGTTTGAGACCATAAAATTTACGAAGGAAAAAATGTTTTTAGCTGCATCAACGCCTCTATTTCACTATTTGTTGCAGCTTTTGCAAATTGACAAACCATGAACTAGCTCAACGTCTGCAATATTTACATTATTCAGAGATCTGGTCAAACACGTAGACTTGGCACCATATTATTTCCTTTGCTTTCTGTGCGGGTGAAGTTTCTTTTAGGGATTATACTTTTTACCGCCAAAACACAGAATATTAATCATCTCGTTATCCATACGTTGCTGGCCTCGATAGTTTGAATACAGAAGCTCTGTAGCTGCCTTACAACTTTAGCCTGTAACTATTTTGTTAAAGTGTTTAGGTGTCAGCCACGTCTTTTTTTTTCACGACCACGCACTTGAAAAAACAGCAGTAGTGTCCGAAACCTAATTTTCCAAATTTAAAGTATCCATATCTTTTAAATTAAGCATCATAATTCTGCCCAATATAACATTGTAATTTCATTTAATTTCAATAAAACCCTGTTATCCCAAAAGGTCTACCATAATATGCTAGCATCGGCATGTTGTCCTTAATATATGTAAATCTTTTCTTTTGAAGTAATTAGATTTGCATACAAAGATGTCAGTACAGTGTACTTATACAATCCTGTATACTTGTAGTGATAGTCATAAATACATAAGCAATGTATGCTAGCCTCCACAAGACAGGTATTATTACGTATAAGCAATATAATAACTGCCTAATACACCAAATGTGGTCGCCCTTAATCGATAATATATATTTTACTGTCATCATTTAAAGAATGATATTTCAATGCATGCACGTCAAAGTAAAAAAAGAGGACTCGACGGTTCTTATAGAACTACTTATGTATACAAGGAACAGCACATAGAATGAACAGTTTGCACACTTTGGAGAGGGCTTATTAGTTTTCCCTCTGCATATTACTGGTTGTAAGGTCGTCTTATATTAGTTCATATTTATTTCTGCTACTGGTATCAGACACATTGATGACCGTACACGTGATGTCTGTATCTTTTTGATCCCACGACTGAAGTCGTGTTAAATACAGCGGCTCTTTCATCAAAAACATATACAGCCTTTTCAGCTATCAATTTACTTACGGTTATGGTGCTGTAGAACTCGTTCTTATAGACGATTCACGAATTATGTTGAATCATTTATTAATTAATTAACAGTATTTTACTGCGGCCTGAAAAGGTTGGGTCTGTCAGAAAACAATTACTCGCTTACTTGTTCACAATCATTTTCGGCCCTACGCATCAATCTTTTAGTGACCAGCACATCCATACAAATTAACAATATTTACCGCTCTTACTGTGCCGGTAAACGTATCCTTGGGTAATTCAGTTGGTAGATCAGTTAATGTACTTGAAAGAGATTCGAAATTAGTTTATAAACAACTCAACAAACAATTCCACACCTTACCGCATCATTTTAAGTCTTGTTTTTGCAGGACTCTTTCGATTATGACAATAAGTAAAACTCGAGTTATTACATGGCTATAGATTAATTACCTCACAATCTTTGACTGCTTGCAATGCCAGCAAAGAGTACTGTTGAAGGGCATTCGCTGCCGCCTGTCTTTTTATTTTAGTTGCATTGTCTACTCTGCGGGATTGGTATACTAGATCTTGAGTCGAAGTTGACATTGAAACCGGCAAATAATTTCAGTATTATGACAAAAGAGAATTAATACGAGCAGGCAAATTATAATAAATTGTTAAAACAGTGTTTTATACGGCGATACGAGTTTCACTGTCTTCACACTTCAATATTCGGACGAATCAGATTTAAGCTTCAAGCATTAGCCAAAGTGATCAAAGTGCATTGCATCAAGTCATTTACCAAGTGATAAAAAGCAGCGACGTTTTACGTAATGCGCTGTTTGGACTGACGAGTAATATTTCCAGCCTTCATCTGACAATTGGAAACTATTCTAATTTGTCTGAAAACTTTTTTTTATATTTGTCTAAAGTAATTTTCACCTGTCTAAACTTAAAGAGTACAATAACGTTTGCCTGCAGTTAAATACCGTAAACACTTAAACAGTACATACTACTAGCTTCTTTCTTTGGACTCAAACCATCCATCACCCCTCTCCTTAAACTATGCGTCATAATAACCATATAGATTTTGCGTTTCACAGTGTTTGTTTACCGTGACCAATATTTATAATATTTTTCTATGGCAGATTTTATGATTTGCCGTACAGGCGAAACAATAAAAGGTATGTTGCCTGATTAAAAAGCACATGATTTGAAAGAAAGTATGCTAAGGCTTTAAGAAAAGTAAGATCGCAATAAATTAATCATACAATAGAGAGAAGTAATTCTGTACGTCTTGTGACACTGAACCCAGCATAGAAAATATCGACTTTCTGGTACATGGCTAATAATAGGTCTGATATGTTTAAATCATTTTTATTTGGATTCAAAACAATAAATGATGAGTGTTATTTGAAAACTATATACATCCAAAAAAACACGTCATCTTTGCTTCAGACCCTTTGTTTAAGCCATCAAAAAATTATTGATAGCTCAATGTCTAAGATCTACATTTAGAATCATTTGTGAGCGATCTATTGACAAGACACTGTTTATTATATTCTTATGATGTCAAGGTCAATTCCATTTATGAACAAGCTTTGTATTTAGTTTTAAAAGAGAAAAACCAAAGTCAAAGTACTTCGCGTTAAAGTTAAAATTAGGGAAAAACTTCGTTTTTTCTTAATTCTATTAATATCTTGCGTGAGATTAATTCTCATTTGACTAACGGGACAGAAGATACGTTTTGGTAATACAGAAATCCACAGAAAAACTACCTGCCTATTTCAAACTAGTTTATGACGATCCGTAAAAGTTAGTCATATATTTAACAGCAAGCCCAGACAGGTGATTGTAGTTGTTATATTTGAGAAGCCAACTCCTTACTGGTTACTATTTCTTCTCATTTGATATTACTTAAAAAGTGTTTGTTTTAAAAATTTATGTGCGATAAATATCCAATTAACCAACGCATTTTACTGTCGTTATTTATGGTGAGCTGGGGCAGTTATGCCACAAAAATATTGACATATCAACAAAGCCTGGATCCGTTGGATTTAACCAGACTCAAGGTGCTATACAATGTTACCAGATCGGCATTTATTACAAGACGTATAGTGGATATATGACTATATCTTGCAGATAAAAAATGTTATGGTGTGTAATATCCTACAGAGTAAGCGTTCCATAAGTACCCAACATGCACCATGCCAGCAGGCATCACAATTTACGTTTAAAATCCGATTTTTGTGCTACAAAGGCTATTATCGGCTTAAATGTTGGACAGAGTAACGTCCATGTGGTCACACCTATTGCTGCATTTGATTAATTATTAACTGCTTTTACTCCATCTCCATTTATTGGACTAAGCCTTTCTATTTAATAATAAACAAAACAAAACAAAAAGTTATATATAATGAGGAACAGATTCCTTAATCGGTTTTATAGTGTAAGAGGGTATGCTTCAGTTAGTCCTATATCGTCATTTTATTGTGCTGTCACTTTTTGTGACAGCTTGTCTGGGTAACAGCTACTACCATCATAAATACAAGAGGGAAACAGGTGGGACATTGGCCACCCGTCGATATTTTGTAGAACTTCATCAGAAGGCCGATTTTTCAATGAATTCATTTATTGATTATACTAATACTCACTCTGACAACGTCATTATCCAGAAAAAAATAACCCACAAATTTCTAAATGCTATCTCAATTGAAATCAAAGAAGTAGACAATAAAAAAGAGCATGTAACATTGAAGCAAATTATGGATCACCTGGACGTTAAATCTGTTTCACCCGTCCAAATTATCAAGTCAAAAGCTAAATCCCTTATTATAAAAGACTCTATTGAACTTTCACCACGTTTTGTTGAATTAATGTCTCCTCATCGCTTATCCCAAGTTGACAAAGTCCATAACGAGCTTAAGCTAAACGGGGAAGGGGTGTTTATCGGTGTAATTGATACAGGTAGCAGTTATATATATTGATGCTTTAACATAAACTTAACCGCAAGAACTATTATAGGCATTGATTACAATCACCCGGCATTAGGTGGAGGGTTTGGACCCGGGTTTAAAGTTCAAGCCGGATACGATCTCGTTGGTAATGATTATGATGGATACAGTAAGACTATTCGAGAAAGCAAATACCCATTAGATAACTGCCCCAGAGGGTCAGAAAGCTATGGTAAGTTTTAAATATAGTTTGTTCTTGCTACAGTTGTAATATAACTAACATCGCAAAAAAAAGGACACGGAACTCATGTTTCTGGAATTATAGCTGGCTATGATCCTACAAATGTAATTTAAAAAATTAAATAAATGCTACAAATTAATTAACATGCTTTTACACTAGAATTTCTCAGGTGTCGCACCAGGGGCTAAGCTTGGTCATTGGAGAGTTGGAGGTTGCTCCGGTATAATATCAACAGATATTATAACAGAGGCATTTTTGATGGCTTATGATGCTGGCGTTGATATTATTAGTATGAGTATTGGTGACGAATACCCATGGGCATTACCAAATACAGTGCTAAGCAAATTGATTGAAAGAATCACAGAAAATGGTGTTAATGGTATGTTTAAACTGTCATTATATAGTCTAGTGATGTTAATTACGTCAAAACTTATTTCCTCTCAGTCGTAATTGCTTCAGGAAATGGAGGGCTTCAAGGCATATACACGGTTGGTTATCCTTCCACTTCTACATCTGCATTATCCGTTGGATCAGTAGTAAATGAATACGATTACTTTGATTGTAATATCAATGTGGTAGGGATTTCTAAGCCAATTGGTAATTATTTATTCTTTTACATTTGATAGCTATGTATTAATGTTCATATAATTTTTTTTAGCTTGCAACTTTCCCAAGAATTCTACCACTGATATTAAGAGTACCCAACCTCTTATCGATGGATATCTTGCAATTAACGATGGCAAACTTGTCCACGCGTGTAAAAACATTTCCGAAAATGTCAAAGGAAAAGTAGTGATGGTACCAATCGACCGAACTGCTTGTGTTAATTTAGTACAAATCCAAAATATTTACAAGGCAGGAGCTATTGGAGCGGTTTTTGTGGACGTTGAATTAAGAGGATCTTTGGCTAATGTTGCACCAAATTCTTTTCTTCCGGTAACAATAATCTCTAAAGAAAGTTCCGACAAACTCTTGAATGCATATCATAAAAATTCAAATCTACTTTTAAAATTCTCGGACGATAAATCTGGTTATATTTCGAAAATCGAACAATTTGCATCTACAGCTAGTTATTTCACTTCCCTTGGGCCCACCGGTGAGCTTAATTTTGGTCCCGAGATTGCAGCTGTTGGAGAATCGGTATTTTCCACTTTGCCTTTAACTCTAGGCTCTTGGGGTATATACAAGGGTACATCAATGGCTTGCCCGTATGTTGCTGGATCTATTGGATTGTACCTCCAGAAGTATGGCACTAATAAGACTCGTCCAAGTATCGTTTATGAGACCTTTCAAAACTATGCTTTTCAGCCTAACTTCTACAATCGAACTAGCGGAATACTCGACAATCCTCTTCGCGTAGGAGCTGGAGTTGTTCAAGGTAATATATCTCAATTTTTGCATTCGATTTTAATTAACTAAATTTATTTTGTAATCTAGTTTACGATGCTATTACTCAAACTACCCACATCACACCCTCCAAAATCGGCTTTAATGACACATCGTCAGCAATATACAAAACCCAAACCCTAACAATAACGAATAATGGATTAAAAGGAATCAATTACACACTATTTAACAACGTATCCATGGCTATTTCATCATACGACAGAGCTAAATCTGGATATACATTGTTAGAACCTGTTAACAATGTTGAAGCACCAGCTAATCTCAAATTTTCTGAATCTGAAATATATCTTAAACCTGGACAAAGCCGAAATATTTCAGTCACTGTCATTCCGCCTGACACTGATCCACTTGATCATATCATGTATGGAGGATTTATCCAATTTTATCCAACCAACAACGATAATGCACCTAAGCCGTTACATATTCCTTATTTTGGTGTCGTTGGAAACCAGAAAGATATCCCAATTTTTGTGATGGATGATGATTATTTTGCTACTGCAACCTCAGCAAACACATCGTTGCTTTATCAATTGAACGATACAGTAATTGTTAATCAAACTAGATCAGATTTCGTAGCTATACTTATGAGAATAACAATGCCTTCATCTATTATGAAAGGAGAAGTATTATCCTCCAATCGTGTTTTAGGAGAGTTTGAAGCATACGGGTATATACATCAGACATATGCAGACGATTACCGCAATGTGATATATTGGGATGGTGGTTACTATGAAGAAGCCGTATCCAATGATATCTTACGTTTTGGCAGGTACAATTATTCGGATCACAATTACACTCTCGTAGACAATGGATCATATCATTTACGTGTTAGTGCCCTAAGATTATTTGGTAATATCAATAATATTGACGACTGGGACTCATTTACAGCCGGTCCTTTTGTCGTGAAGAGTTTTTAGCATTACAAGAAGGGTCATATACCGTATCATAGGCTGTTTATTATTAGACTAAAACATATTGTAATTTTTAAATTTGGTAAAAACATTTTTACCTAATAAACATATATAAAAATTTTCGTCGTAAGCTTGATTTTCCTTTTACTCAAGATAACTGTTCATTAACATGAAATGAAATCGGTCCATTATTATCTTAGAAATAATATGTGTTATAGATATGCTTTTAATAGCGCATGCAAATACCCCATGTAACAAGATACATAGCTCTAAGGAATGAGTGTAGCACACGTTTTATCAGATCTTCTAAGCTTTGAGTAATTTTGTGCTTACACTTAAAACATATACGCGTTCGATACATCCCAGATATTAAATGCAAGCTTTTTATTGAAAAAAAAAAAACTAACTGTCACTACTTTCTAGTATATAACACGATTACTCAAAAAACCCACATCATTCTAGCTCAAATTGGCTTCAACGGTTGATCATCGATGAGCTACATAATACAAACTTTTAATATTACAAATGATGCTTTAAATGAAGTTGATTGTACAATGTTTAACAAATTATCTGCGGCTATTTTAAGCTACAATCGTACTCTTTCTGGATTAAATATTTTGGACCTTGTTTATTGTATTAAAATGACTGCTGGAATAGCATTGATATTGGATTATGTCTCTTAAGTTATATAGTCTAAGTAACCGTCATACCGTAAGGTGTCGAGACAAGAAATTTATAAATAATAAGCAAAACTTAACAGAAGGACAAACTGAAGTTAAGCTCTAAGGTACTTATGCTGTATTTTTTAATTTCATTTCAACGAAATGGGAGTGTTACACTACCCAAAGCCAAAGTATGACAAACTTGATCAAAGCCTACTCACCCGCCTAACAATGTTCCATTTTATTATGTTATGTATGGTAATTTATTTAATTCTATACAATAAACAAAGTTAAATTCAACTACATTTACAAAACAAATGAAGCTGTTCTTAATTATAGTGGACCGGTCGACGTATTGACCAGCCATAAAAAGTTGTTGCCCACATCTCTCAACAAAGCATAGATTTCATCAGGAAATACTATATTGAGAGACTTTTCAGAACCTTTTAAATTTGTGCAATGAACAACTAATAGGTGACGATCCGACGAATTGGTGTTGGAAGGTGTATTTTATAAGAAATTGTCCAGTTACGAAATTTTAAAAATTTCAAGTTCGAATATATATACATTTGTCAGTAACGGATCTTATCACTTGCGCGTTAGTGTATTAATGTAAATATGGTGAATGACTAGGATTCTTTTACTGTTGATAATTTGGTAGTCAGAAATAGCACTTGGGTTAAGGCATAAGCTGTCTATTTTTATAAAGACACACCTTAAGTTTTTGAATCGCTTGTGACCAGTTTTTAATTTTTTTTTTTTGGGATGAAGCAATACACAAAGATCAATCAAATCATAAAAACGCTACGTAAAGGTCATGCACATTTATTTGATTGAATATTTTTGATTAGATCCAAAATTCACAATGCAATTTAATTTTAAGAAATCACATCGTTTCAATAGCAAGTCCCTATATTAAAATGAGCGCGATACAAATAACATCTTATGACGTCTAAAAGGTTAAAAAAACAATGTGTATACTATTTTAAGTTGTACACAGAAGAAAATGAGCCCACAATGCTTCTGTTTGTAATGACGGGGCTTGTTTATGTTCCAAAATTAGGTTTGTCACCTTTGTATGGGATGATATAGTTAACGCTAGTTTAATAACAATAATCACCTAAATAAAAGTAACGAATCACATCGTATTCGGCGTCTTTCTCAAGACCCCATTCGCGCTTCCTGTGATAATCTTGTATATGTATAGCGTTGTTTCAAGGTATGTAGACGGATAAAAAATAAGATTAGTTATATCTTAAATATAATTTGAAGAGTTTTTCATGAATAAAAGAAGAGGTCAAAATATAACTTCGAATTAAGTTTTGACACGCGACGGTAATGCTTTAATTTGGGACATAAAAGAGAGAATAGTTTTATGCATGGAATCTTCATATAAATATGGCAGTTCACAATCTCTTAACAGTAGTTAAAGATCAAATTAATTGATTGATAAGCATATAGGTGTTGTAAGATGCCACATAACCTCTTAAATCAAATGTAAAATAAATAATCGCAAGGGATTGATTGGTGAGTGCTAACTGGCATAGTATTTTTAGTCAATGAGAATAATATTCTCGCTATGGAAATTTTTGTAGTTACCTTAAAACCTGCAATAACTTATAGGGATGGGTAAATCTTGTCTGTCAATGTCTCGGTGAAGCTTATGACTGACTTAATACCTTTAATCAAATTGGTTTCATTATCAGTCTTCTTTGAAAAAGTAGCAGCAGTGTGCTGGATTACACCCGAGAATTTAATCAAAAGAGGAACAAGGTTTTTATTTGACACAGAGAAGCCAATAACGTTCTATTTTGTGCTACTAGTATGATTAGCCAGTATTTCAAGCCGACAAAGCTCATTATCAGCCAAGAAAATTTACGGATCACGATTATAACGAAGTGAAGAGCGAAATCACGCTACAACTTTCTCAAAAAATATACTGTCACTGGGACGGGATTTTTCAAAACCGTTGATGAGGGTTTTGCATTTGATATGATGGAATGGGCCTGATGCCTCTAAAATGAGACAACTTTTCCTCCTCCCTTTGACTACATCTTTAATAATGTTGACAACACTTCAATTGTCGATATTGAGAACCTTTCAGTTATTTATCATACATGCTAATTAATCAAGGGTAACATGTGTGATAGAATAAAAACCCGAGCTTACTCACGATTTATCTCATGTACAATTTTGTTGACCTCCGTAATTTTTGTCTTGTAATAAGCGTTTTTAGTATGAATGCGTGGAATTTATTCTTTGGATACCTACTTTTTTGGCCGATTCTCTAAGGCATCATGGAAGTTATTATCTACGGTGGTGATTACTGCGTCATCAACGTCAGCCCGTTCTGCATTTAGTAGATGCCTCATACAGGTCGGGAAATGAGGTGCCATTCTGTTACAACTAAAGTGAACTGTACCAGCTGTTATTACTATAGTATCTGTACAAATCAGCTCCTAACATGCAAGTTTGGCTATCATCTTGATTGCATCGGTGTCTTTATATGCATTAATGTCATTTTTCAGTGTAGACTTGTTGATCGCGTTAAGATTGTATCCACACCCGCATCAAAATTATATGAGAATTTAAAATATCTACGTGACTCCTCCAACTTTTTTTGTGTCCTTGAACCGGCCTCTATATGTTTTAAATACTAAGATATACATATGACTAATTCAATCAAGTGAAACGCGCGAATTGTCAATTGACATTTTTAAATGTGCGACTGAGTTAACAAAAGCGCACCTGAGGTATCGCATCAGACAAATTTACTTGTTTTATCTACAAAGTAAGCCGACGGCTTAGAAATTTGATGGCTTAAAACGGGCTTGAGAAAAGGCGAAGTAGTGATCCCATGGTAGCAGACCTCACGTAGCAATATCATTTTTTTTAAACAAATAAAACAAACAAAGAATGATAGAAGTATATAAAGCGAGATGATTTCGTACTCTAGAAAGAAAACATAGGGCTAAAAGCATGTATTTATCTTTGTTAGTTCTACCATTGGTAGCAGTAGCTTGTCTGGGGAACAGCGAATTTCACCCCAAGTATAAAAGAGACACAGCAGGTGATGAATTGGCACCCCGTAGATATATTGTGGAATTAAATGACTCTCCAGATATCACCGTCGATTCATTTATTCGTTTCACAAACGCATATCATGCAGATAATGTCAATATTCATCGAACCGTCTCACACAAATTTTTAAATGCCATTTCTATTGGAATTATAGAAGATAACAAAGAGAAAGAGCATGAGACATTGATAAACATTATGGATCATTTGCATGTCAAAACCGTTTCTCCTGTCCAAATAATTAGACACAATCAGATTAAACAAACTGCACAAGACTTTCCCAATAATTTTTCTGCCGAACAAGTACAATTAATCTCCCCACATCGATTATCCCAAGTTGACAGGGTCCATAATGAATTAAAGTTAAATGGCGAAGGCATATTTATCGGCGTAATTGATACAGGTATGAATGTTAAAAGAAAGTCATAGTTTTTTTTTTACATAAAATTAATATATAAATACAGGCGTTGATTACAATCATCCAGCTTTAGGTGGGGGATTCGGTCCAGGGTATAAAATCGAAGCTGGCTATGATCTTGTTGGTGATAATTATAATGCAAGCGATCCTCTTTCTTTTAAACAAGAAAGTCCATACCCATATGAAAATTGCCCCAAGGATTCTCGTAGTAGTGGTAAGTTCTTTAGCATCGTGTTTTTCTTCCATTGATATAGTTTGCTAATAAGGCGCTCTTTAAGGTCATGGGACACACACCACTGGCATCATAGGTGGTTTCGACCCGACAAATGTAAGTTGTATAGCAAAAGCCTAAACATTAGATCGTAATAACAATGTCATATGCATGATAGAATTTTTCTGGCGTTGCACCAGGAGCTAGACTTGGCCACTGGAGAGCCTCAGGTTGTGACGACGTTTCCGGATCCGACGTTTTTATTGAAGCTTTAACCATGGCCTACGACGCTGGTGTCGATATCATTAGTATCAGTTCTGGTAACTATGTACCGTGGAGCTCACCTGATAGTATATTTAGTAAAGTGATAAATAAAATCTCGGAAAACGGTGTTAGTGGTATGTATCAATGCAATTTATATTTAAATACCCCCACAGAAAGTTTTAAAAATCTTTTTCTAAAAAATTAGTTGTCGTCGCGTCGGGTAACTATGGAGCAGGAGGTGTTTATACGACAGGATTTCCCAGTAATTCAGAAGCAGCGTTTTCGGTTGCCTCGATAGGTAATGAATACAAAACTAGCAGTTGTGCTATTAGTGTAACAGGAATCTCTGAATCTATTGGTAAGAAACTAATTGTATCTTCTCTGTCATTTATCCAATCTCATTAATATAACTACAAAATAGCATGTGGTCTTTCTATATATGTCAATACTACAACCAGAAGCTCGGAGCCGTTGAAAGATGGCTATTTTGCGGTTGCTAACGAAGAATATCGTAATGCATGTTTTAATGTCTCGGAAAGTGTAAAAGGAAAAATCGCCATCACAGCTATTGAAAAAGATGTGTGCGGAAATGACTTGCAGATCAAACATCTTCTTAAAGCAGGCGCTATCGGTGCAATCTTTGTCGATTTTTCAAACGATCGATATCTTGACCAAGTTGAAAATAATTCGACACTCTCAGTTGTTGTTGTTTCCCAGAAAAATGGTTACAAGCTTTTAAATAGCTTTAGAAGAAACCCAGATATGCTCTTAAAGTTCTCTTTTAAAAAATCCGAAGCTTATCTTTTTAAAAATGATAGATACGCATCAACGGCTTCTGAATTTACTAGTGTTGGACCTACCGCCGAACTATATTTTGGCCCTCAGATTGCAGCTGTAGGAGAACAAGTCTATTCCACCATACCAATTAATCAGGGTTCCTGGAAATTATTAAGTGGTACATCCATGTCCTGTCCGTATGTTGCTGGGTCGATTGCGTTATACCTGCAACACCATGGTGTCAATAAAACACGCCCTAGAAGAATTGTTCATGAAATGTTTCAAAACTATGCATTTCAACCCAATATCGGAAATAGCACCAGTGGAATACTTGACAATCCTCTTCGTGTTGGTGCTGGTGCAGTTCAGGGTAAAATGTCTTCATTATAGTCTGACCAACGGTTATAGTTATTAAACTTACATCTTGTTTAACTTAATAATAGTCTATGATGCAATTACCCAAGTAACTCATATTACCCCAGCTCAAATCAGTTTTAATGATACATCATCGACGGATTATAAGACACAAACATTGACCATTACAAATAATGGATTGCATGAATTAACATACCGAATTTTCAATAATGTCTCTGTCACTATCACACCTTACAATCGGGCGTATACAGGGTATAGGTTGCTTCCTAATGCACCCAGTGTTACCTCCATGTCTGCTACTCTTGATCTATCAGAAGAAGAGGTCCAGCTCGGTCCTGGTCAAAGTAAAACCATTTCAGTCACTGTACAACCACCAAATGCTGACCCGCTTGATCATGTAATGTATGGCGGGTTTATTCAGTTCTATCCAATCAACAGCCAAAAGGCTAAAGCTTTACATGTTCCTTATTTTGGTGTTGTGGGTATTCAGCGTGATATTCCCGTGTTTGTGCCAGATGAAGCCGGATTTCATGTGATAGTGGGACCAAATGCAACGAAATATTATTGTAACAGCACAATTACTTTCAAAGCAAAGCAGAAAGTAAAAGCTAGCATTATGTACAGTTTATTATTACCTACGTTGATCTTGAAAGGTGAGGTTTTGTCGAATGGCCGTGTTCTAGGAGACTTTATGAGACCTCTTACGTATAAAACACAAACACTTAGTGTTAATCCTGCTGATATCTTGACATGGAAAGGGGATTATTACACGGGCATAGAGAATGATTTCCTACATTCGAATCCAGTTGCGCTACCTACTGAAAATCGGGTTATTCTTGGTAAAGGGATTTATCATTTACGTGTGAGTGCGTTGAGAAATTTTGGCAATGTGAATGATGAAAATGACTGGGATTCATTTACAGCAGGCCCTTTTGTGTTACAGTAGCCATTTTATAATATGCAAATAAAAATTAGATTTTATTTTTATTTTTACGGGAGTTATTGAAGTGATGATACCTAAAAGTATAATAAGTAGATTCAAAAATAAATTAACGTTTGCTTACAAACCAGCAGCGATAACGAACAAGAATGTGACACTTTGTTTTATACCTGGTTTTCGGTCAGATTTTGAGAGCTCTAAAAAGTCAAGCTTAGTGTATGAGTATGCACAGGAACACGGTTTAGGGTTTCTTGCGTGGAATCATGGCGAAACGGGATCGGTGGTTGATTGGTGTCGGGATGGGTTAGAATTGGTTCAGTCTTGTCAATTAAAGGATCACTATTACATTGGGGCCAGCATGGGGTTATGGATCTCTCTAGTGTTGGCAGAAAAGACGTCGCCTAAAGGAATTCTGGGTATTGGAGGAGGAGTTGATTTTACAGAACGGTGGCTGAAAGAAGTAAATGTGTTTGATCGGAATTATATTTGGAGAAGACCAAGTGCATATGATGTCAAGGGCTATTATGAAATTCCTGTTTCATTTCTAATTGATTCTAGACCTGCATTAATCAATAAGGTCAAATTAGTAGATTGTCCAGTGTATTTGATACATGGCAGTCTAGACACTGATGTAACCATTGAACATGCTAGAGAACTAAGTCACTATTTATCATCATTCGTAGCAACAGTCAGTTTGGATGAAATATCTGACGGAGATCACAGATTGTCAAGATCACAAGACCTTGAATCTATCCGTCACAAAATAAAACTCATGATGGACTAACTTTATTTTTTTTTTCATTTTTTATTTTATTTTACTTAATACCTGTTTCTTTAATAATAATGGGATTTGCTTATCGTGTTTATCTGGACAACGAATCAAAGTGTAAGATTTATGCTTGTTCCAAGTGTAAAACTCACCTGTCTACCAAAAATCTTCGTATATCAAAAGTGTGCTAAGTTTGCCTCTTCTTTTATCTTGTATTGCTTATCTGTAATGAATATAGGATTTTCGCGGCATGTATGGGAAGGCTTCTTTGTTTGAGGAAGTGTAAGCGTTCTATATCTCTCTAAGAAAATTCTTTCTAACACTTTTTTAAAAGCGTTAATATCAAAGTAGCGAAAAAGACGGAAGAAAAGTAAGCAGCTTGCAAACACACCCTTAGCACGTTTCCACTTGCTAATATGTTTACTCTAGAATGATGACAACAGGAAAGCATTGCATTAGCTATATTTCCTGTATCTGTTGCGGAGGCAGTCTTGGTTGGAAATATGCAAGTATTTTTCTTTATATGGAATTTTTGTACAGGCGATTAATCAACCATTTTTTTTTTTAGATTAAAGCTTATGAGGAAAGTCAAAAATATAAGGAAGGCAGATTTATACTTGAGCAAACAAATGTTGAGGCCATTGAAGGTCCACCAGAGACATGCAAAATGTAATTTGCTAAACCAGCCCTTCATTATGTCAAAATAATAATAAAAACTGGACATTTAATCATGCGTATCTCTGCTCCTTTAACTTGGCTTTGGGTATTAATTAGCCTAAAAAAAATACACACGCCATTTGTTTATATTGTTTCATAAAATAAGTTTTACATACACAAATAAATTTCTCTTTCTTTACTTTTTTTTTTCTCTTTAAAAAATAATGTGGCAAGAAGCAAAAGCCAATGACAAGAGGGTAAAGTTACACACCATTTCTTGATGCAGATCACTAATACGAATAATAAAAAGATTAAAGAACTCATGGTTGATCACCGAAAGAGAGCAGAGAGACGTCGTGCTTATTACGAATCGCGAGTAAGTGTAGTTCATGCACATACAGAAGTACATGATGGAATAACTCAATTATAAACACAAAAAGTTGGGAGATCCTCAACAATTGATTCGTGTCATTGGTGTTTCTTCAAAAGTATATCCTGATGCCGAACAGTTTTACTACCATGAGAATCCCGATAACCTGCAAGTTGATCATTGAATTCTTGTAAATAATAATAATCTAAACCTTAATGATCTTTTAGTATGCCATGGCAAGGTAATTTGGACATCAAAATAGATCGGTAAGTTGACATTCTTAAAAAGAGGTGTAAGTGTCTCTAACTTGTATCTAGTTTTGATGGTCGTTCCTTATTAGATTTCGTTCCTGAAACTTCCACAAGAAGAGGATTCAGTGACGTTACAAAGGAAGAACGAGAGATGGCCGATGAATTGAACTTTGAAAGATATCACGACCTTATTGAAGCAGAAAGATTAAACGGTACACTTTGACAGCCTATACAAGTATCACACCATTCATCCTTTATATGTATTAGTCTCCGAAGCGGATCGTTTAGCTGAAGTGGATGAAGAATGGACTAAATTATTAGACCGTCATCAAGCAAAATTGGCGTTATTAAATACCAAAGAGTAAAAAAAAAAAAAAAAAAAAAAAAAAAAAAAAGGAAACGGTATTCTTTTCATCGTTATCTAACATTCGAGCAGGAAAGGATCAAGCTCAAAGGGTCGTACGTTTGGATTTGATTATGGAACCAGTAAAATGAAAGAGGAAGATTTAGATGATGACACAGAGCAAGAATCTCAACTACTTAAAGATATCCTTTTCATTGATATTAACCCTGTTAGACATATTCATGTATTCATATCTTTAACTGCTTATATCTACAGGTGGACATTTTACAATACGTAGATGAACTAACAGATAAGGATAAACAAGTATTGAACGAAATGTCTGGAAAATACGGTATTCGAAGTTACGCACGATTATTACGTGTTGCGAAAAAGGATCGGGATGATGAATTACGAGCCTTGAAACGTCAACAGGATGATGGACGATCCAAGGATAATAATAATACAGGTAAACGAAGTGCCAATGAAAGACGACGATTGAGAAGAAGAGGGGATAGAAATGCAGGTCCACGTCATGAAGACCGGTATAGACGTCGGTACAGTCCCACATATGAGCCTTATAGAAGAAGTTCGGCTTCAGATGATTCTTCCGGCGAAGAAATGCCTCGACCCGAGGATTCGGATTGCGTTGTAATTGAGTTTGGATCGACTGCACCTGAGGAAACCAAGATGGATCTTGATAAGGAAATCTCAAATGAAAATCAAAGGTACACTTTCACTCTCTTACACACATACAGTCTACGATTCTACCCCCTTTATGTGTTAATGTTGGATTAGATCAAGTATGACAATCACACCTGTCGAGAAAAAACTGACACCAATGGAGAAATTGAAGTTAAAAATGAGGGCTGGATTACAAAAGCAAAGTATGGCCGCATCAAATTCATACATATATTTAATTAATTTTAACACTTATCTTCAAGTTGTGTCGGATGAGAAGGAAAAGAGACAAAAGGAAAAAGAAAAGGAGTTGGAGAATCTACGTGAACTGGCTAGAAACCAAGGTCTTCCCATTAACGCGTATATGAGACCTGAGCCGCCCATGCGAGAAAAGAGCGATAATCAAGATAGTGCGGGTAAATCAAGATACCGTTCACCATCTTCATCGCGATCTCCTTCTCCTATCGCTAGACATACATCACCCATCCGAAAGCGTTCACCGTCGAGAGAACGTACAAGACGATCACCATCGAGAGAACGCACGAGACGCTCACCTTCGAGAGAACGCACGAGACGCTCACCTTCGAGAGAACGCACAAGACGCTCACCTTCAAGGGATCGCACAAAACGCTCAGATTCTCGCGAAAGATCGAAGCGCTCTTATTCTAGAGAGCGAACCAGAAAAACATCGAGAGAAAGATCACGACGCACATCAAGACGCTCAACATCTAGAGAGCGCTCAAGACGTAATAAAGACTACCGTGAGAGATCCCCACAAGCAAAGAGAAGATATAGATCTCCATCATCAGAAAAGAGAGACTCTAAAAGACGTTAACCCTTACGAAAAAATATAGATGAGAGAGGTTTTATTAGAAAAATAAATTTTTTTAATCTTCTGTTAAATAATCATCATCATCATCATCATCTGTATTGTATTGACTGACAGGTCTATGTGGAATTTCCTCTGCTTCCTCTGACACAACATCATCCGCCGAAAATAATTGGTTTAACTTTTCCCATAGATTCTGTCCAAACACTTTCCATGCAATTGAGGCAAAAATGAGTTCTATCACTGTAAATAATACCATAAAGATGAAGGCTGTTGTGATTCTACGATGATACATGTAGTATCTATTTCAAAAACGGAGAGTCAATACAACATATGAACATCCTTTTTCCTATTAAAAATACCTTAATCCACGGAAATCGGCAATAGCACTAATATTAGCGTCGTAAACTTGTAACTTCGCTGAGGACAGGGTAACACGAGCTTGTGTAATGGGGTTTGTCTGTTTTAAACATTCAAAGTTACTATAAAGAAGAAAATGTCATATGCTTTTCTCGGTAAGAATACCTTTTTATCAATATAATTCTCGATCAACATGATATTAATTTCCTGACTCTCTTCAGTCCAACCAAATAATAAAGGCAATGCCTTTGCAAAGACGTGAAGAATACGTTGTGTAGTGGATTGATATCGAAGAATAGCAGGTCTACTGGATGTAACCAAGCTAGTACCGTTTTGTGTTAATAGTTCCACATGAACCATAAAGTTGCCCAAATCAAAATTAATATCAGATGTAGGCATATGAAGTTGAACAGAAATATCATATGCTTGATCGCTTCTTAAAGGCTAGAAAATGATTATTAAATTTCATGACATACTATACTCTCTTCTGTATTTACCATAACTGGATTGGGTCCTGTGAATTGAACCTGACCCTTTGGAAGGTCTGTATTAGAATATTGGAAATAGATGGGTTCGATATGTGCAGTTTTGGGTATATAACGTTGATAAAAGGTAAGATAAGCGGTGAAACTAGTCATCAAAATCCAGGCTACCAAAATCACCACAACAAGACTCTTGATCATGGCTCGTTGGGTCTGTGGTGCAAACACTACTTTAAAGATGGGTGAAAAGATCGTCTTGAGTCCATTGGCAACTATCACAAGAGCTGGGTGCCATTCGATAGGTGGAACTTCTTCCACAGCCACAGTATCAACCGCTTGTTTGCTAATAACTTGTTCGTCTTCCTCCTCGTCGTCTACTAAAGGATCGCGCGATGCACGGCGTTCTTCATAATCGGGTTCCGAAGGATCGTAATGAGATGAAGAAGGCACAACATGGAATTCAGGCTACATGAAATAAAGGTGTTATACACTGTTGGTATACTGTCAAGAAAACTTGTTCTTACGCCTCCGTCTGAATACTCGTCTGTATCAGAATAAGGTCTGGACATTTGTTATAATATATATTACAGAAAAAGAAAAAATGCTACAAATAAAGCGTCCACTTTTTATTTTACTTGTTTACAGGCAGCATGTGAAAAATAAAAACTTAGTGTCACACACGATATTAATTTGTCAGATTTTGATGGCGTTAAAGCATGCTTTTTGCAATCATGGAAAAACCATAATACAGATTAAAAGGAACAGCTGGTTTTTTTCTCTCTCTTGAGATATCCATGTGCTTGACATTTGCTTTTTTAACCCCAAGAAAAGGTACCTTTGAAAGCCATATACAGTCTAATTTTGAGTCCCACAAACATGTATTTCCCTCTAAATCGGGATTACAAATGCTCAAAAGAAAGTCAATCATTTTGTTTTCATAACTTGTGATATTACCTAATCAAAGAAATAAAGGGAGAGATATTCAATAATCAAATTGATAGTTTTAAAACGAAAAACTTGTCAAGGAGACTTACAATTCGTTTGAATGATATTAAGCTACTGTACGAGACATCATGCTTCTAATTAGTGGAAACCATAGTGATTTTAGGAGTGAAGAGGGTTACTTTTTGGAGCCCCATTCTACGTGCCTGAAAGACCTTGAGAACATAATTTTTTTTTATAAAAAGGGATCTTGCAGTCAGCTTCAAGCACGTGCGACCAACTTCTGCTTTTTAGCGTTTAATTACCATACACTCCCTATCAATGACAGCACTTATAAATCAATCAACGCAATACACGCACAGCCACAATTCGTACAGGGATAATGTTACTTTTTGCATGATATCCAAATGACATTTAAGATAGTAATGATAAGATATTCATGATTCAAAGGAATGGCAATAGAAATACTTTAGCTATTTTTTTTTCTATAGGTGATACAACCTTGTAAAAAAGAAAAGTACTTTTGCATGGATCTTCAATGTTTCATGATGGTGTTAAAAAATGATAATTAATTCATCTCTGACCCTAATAAATGTTTGCACGGCTAAACCAAAGAGTTATTAAGAACACTTCAATAAAGATAATTGTATCATGCAATTATTAATAAGACTGGAAATGAATACTTGTAAGATAATGGACATTTTAATTGTTTCAAAGTAACGAATAACTTTTTGGAAGGGCCATTTTTTTTTTTTTTTTTTTTTTTTTTTAAAAAATAAATAAATAAATGCCACTCAGGGCAATATGTGCGATGGTTTTTTTTATTGACTGCGAAGGTATCTTTGAATATCTTTTGCCAGTAACTCGTGAACATGAAATGTTGGATGAAGATCGTTTAACCAAAAATATCTACAAATAAAATAATTGAGTTAGTAAGAAAAAACACACACATAATGTTCAATTTACTTACTCTTCTATTGGCTTACAATTGTTTTCTTCTGGATGTGCCCTATCAAAAAAATCTGAGATCTTAATTGCTTCTAACAAAATTCAAATCATTACCAATCTGGACAGAATGTATCGATATCTGTCATGTTGTATGGTTTAGGGTTGTCCATCAACATGTTAAAGTAAGACCAAGCATCATATTCAAAAAAGGTGTCTTTAGGATGACCTTTTTTCAGACCTTCTATCATGATCTTTAACTTTTCATTGTAGCCTAAATTACACATTATTTTTCTTTTAATAACAATGCACATTTTAATGAATTGAGCCGTGAAAAAAAAACTGACCTCGAACGCGGGATCGAATCAGGTTTTCGTTTCTAGTGTTATGCCACATCGGAGCACGATCAATTGGTGGTACATTGATGAGCATAAATTGATGCACTCCTTCGTTAATTAATTCGTCCTGAAAGTACAATAAATTAAATCTGTCACTTTTTTCTTTCTTTTACGTAATACTTACTATCAACACTTGATACGCTTGCATGATTTTTGAATCCAATGCATCTGTATCAGCATAGTCATAAGTTAAGTCGATATCATTGATCCCTACCCAGATGGTTGTGAGGGTAGACTCTGGTGTTCGCATCATGTCCTTATACTTTGATGCAACAATGTCTGATATTTCTTCAGTAGGTGACACGAAAATCTTTGGGTATAAATCACGTACTTGAGTGCTGACATCGATCACTCTGTGTAACAATAGGTTAGCATTTTTTCCCTCTCTTTCTCTCCCTTTGTTAGTTTGTAACTCTATTCTTACGTTGGCGCCTAAGAATAATATTAATAAAATATTAAATTATGCGTTCCTTTCTCTTCCTTTACCTGATTGACAATGTTGTTATTGATTGGAGCAGAGTTATATGCAAAATCCCAACTGATCCAGTTGGTAGTGTCCGTGAGATAAATGACCCAATTTGGACCACCTGCTGAGGTACAATTCCGGCATGCATACGAAAGCGACTTCATATCTAAATAACGTGTGGTATAAGAATCACCAAACGATATGATGGTATTAATCTTGTCATAATTGAATGACAATGGTAGTGGTGTAGCAAAAGACATGTACACCATTACAGTTAAGGATATCACCAACAGAAAGAAAAGGTGCATTTTTTTGATGTATTTGAAAAAATAGCGTTCTCCTAAGCTCCTTTTATATACATTTAGCTGGACAGTTTCCTCCTCAGTCTCATGCAGGCCGTCATCACCTCCATAATATATCACTTGTTGTCCGACATCTTTTAATATAGGATTTCTTTCTGCAGAGGATGACTCCATAACAATCAATTATTTTTAGGGAAAAAGAAATAAAGAGGGAAAAAGAACTATCACGCTTCCCACAGAGTCACGACAATTAAGCCGCCATTCAGGTTACACACACTCCATAAAAAGGAACTACGGCTTGACTTAAAACTTCTGTTGTCATAATTATAAATTTGTGCGGACTAAAACATAAATAGCTTAGTCAAAACTGTTGACGTTATTTTTTAAAATTAATTTGTGCAAAAAAAAAAAGTTATGGCATGTTTCAATCAAGCATGGCTTACCTTACAACCGGACATTGACTTGCTGCTTTTCATTCTGAAGTTATCATGTCAGTTTTGTACCACAAACAAAATGTTTCTCGTACCCGTTTCAAGCATAATAAAACTTGGTTCCTTTCCCCTCTCCTTTTTGTTCAAGAAAAATAAATTATAATGTAGATAAATCTACATTGCTCCCTTCTATAAAAAAAAAGCGAGCTTGTATTTTCTCTAATTGTTGTCATTACGACTTTTCATATCTCTGTCAAGTTTCGAAAAAAAAAAAGAGGGATTTATTAAACAAGCGATCCCCTCATACCACGTCTTATCGTCGTCATTTATTATTGACGAAACATCACAACAAATTTACATTAAATGATGAAAGAAGTACGTTTATACACATAATTACGGCAATCAACAATACACAATATTTTTAAAAAATGACTTGCGTATCACTTCCCAGATTTGATTCTTTGCGTAATGTATGCGACACTTTCATTATGGAGATTCTTTGTTTGTACAAGTCTCAAACTTTAAAGCTTTATTATGACAGCCAAAGAGCCAATTCACAGTCGTCTAATAAATAATATGCGTCAATCATTCTCGTATTTAAAGAAAGGGTCGATCTGCAACAACAGAACAAGGTTGTTCTCTGGCGAATTTAATGACAGATCATTTTTGTTACTATGTCTACGATATTCGAATGAACCTCCTAAATTTTGTCCAAGGATTCCATGCCATTTTCTATGATAGAATTTTTTATGTGCTTTCTGCTGATGATCTTTGAGATCTCCAGTATCTCGCATAGTTATAACATAAGAATTATGCGCATCCATTTATTGTGAAAATATGTAAAAGTCATTTACCTGAAGTTGAAGTTGCTTTTCGTAAATTGTAAATCATGCCAAAAGTTAGCAGCTTCTTACAAAAGGGAAATACGCTCTCTTAAGCAAATTTGATTCAATCATAAGATAAAGAACAAAGAATATCAAAAAAAAAACCTTTATTTTTTGTAAATTTAAAGTACTTAGTGAACTTAAATTAGTCATAATACACATAGAGATGGGATTAATTAGTATAAGATAGTATCAAGAAGAATGCAAAATATTGTAGCTTAAGTATACATAACATCGATTTCTTTACAATTTTCGTTCAGTAGAATGAATTTTTGTTGTTCTGGTCACAGATAGTTTGTCGTAAATAATGTACTGCTATTAGAAGTGCTATGTTTAATAGTTTGTTGCGATAATCATCATTAAAAAGGGGATGCTTTGATTATTTATTGTGAATTAAACGAGGTTGCAAAAGCATTACAATACACATAATTTTATTCCTGCTTATGTGCAGTCTAGTCCCTTTACAACGTCTCGTTTGGAGTTTCCCCCCCTTTTTTCCCTATTTTTCTGCCCCGATGGTTAGTAAATAACAATTGTAAATAGTGTTTCAATATTCGTTTTTCCGTAATCACTACATTCCTAAATATTAGGAACCGCTGCTACTATGCAATTACGTGCAATTTGACTGTCCTAAAATAGTTCTTGTTAAAGAAAGATAATCTATGGAACTTCTTTTCTTTGGCCTTTCATAAGATGAAAATTATTATCAAATGATAAAGCACGGTGGACCAGACGGGACAGAAATACCTGCGCAATTTTGCCAGGTATTCGGCAAGTATTATATTATAACGCTGAAATGGAAAAGTATAATTGAATCCATAACTGTGTGGGCCTATCTGTAGATTTTTCTATAGCAAGTAGAGGCTAAAAAGTTGTGGGTGATTAAATAATTATATATATCGTCCTATCTTTCTACAGATTACCCGTACAACCTACGTATATAAATTTCTAGAAAAGACTGTTGCCAGTCAAAACGAACTGATCCCATATGCGCGCTATAACCATTTAATCGATGATGGCTATGGGCGGTATATGTACAAACTACCGGCACGTTACCAAGACAAGCTAATTTTTTTGGAGAAAGAAAATATAGGTTGCATCAAAGAACAAAACTTTCTAGGGACTCGCAGAAAACTTATCCAGTGTGATTTGAATGATTCCGCCAAAGTAGAACTTTTCCCAATAATAACAAAGATAGTATCGTTTGTAGATAAATCGTATATCGCTTATTGAAAAAATGCAAACTTCTAAAAATTACTCGCTTATTTACATGTCGTTAGTGCGTGATCGAAGTTGATACGATCATCGAATAAATAAAATGCTTAGTAATGTAGTCAAAGTACTATTCAATTTTACAGTTTGAATTTAAAAAAGTTAATCATCTCATATTGAAGAGTTACGTTACAGAAAGCACCAAACTAGAAAACATAATGGTATGTCAAATCGAATTATAAGAGCTATTTATTATATGGTTCAAGTCAACAAAAGACATTCAGCTACGGAAAGAAACCATGTCATAATACAAGAAGTCGACTATCAAAATAATGGCCCAACTCGCCTCGTAAAATTCATTATACCTAATAATTGGAACAATGCCAATGTTTAAAATACTTATCCTTACTAGCTTATTCCTTTTTTCCAGTGGATATTATTATCTGAAAGTGGTACGTCTATTCTTTCTTTTTGGCCGTCTTTGTCATGGTATTTTCACCCTCGATTTTCACTATCCCGCTATTTAAAACCAAAAAAATGTTTTATCTTAGATAAGATAGACACAGTGCATGATTTTAAAGAGAGTAATCTAAGCTGATAGACCTTTTCTTCTATATCAGAAACGATATATATATATATAGGTATACCAAATTAGAGGTACAATACTGTTCCTGGTCCTTATAGTAGCTACTCCCATCGCTTTTGATTTCATTATTTTATCAACACACTTTTGTGCTTATTGAACGTCCTCTCCTAACTATAGTCGTAAAACTAATCATGAATAAAGCACACGTGTACCTATTTACTACTTATGCTTAGTGCAAACAGAAATAGGCAATCTTGATGAGAGTCATTATACTTAAGAATTTAAGGTAGTTTAACGTCCCGTCACGGAATTTGTTAAGAGTCAGAAGATTCAGGTGAAACTATAAAAGAAAGTGTTCTAAACTAACAACTCGCGATATATCCTGACGCGATTTGTTTATTTAAGGTAGGCGTATATTTAAAGGGGTTTAATGTGTAAATCTATTGATCGGACATTTCCTGAGATATTCGAGTTTCTTTATACAGAGAGCTGGAGAAAATCCCTAATAAAAAAAAAATGACTTTCCTCAATTAGCCCCGCTTCACGACGTATACTGTCAAGGGGCATGTGAGTTAGAATTAATAAAGGAATGTTTAATTGCATGCATTATGTTTCTAATGCCCATTGTCCAGATAGTAGTCTACCGCTTGTTTTAAATCGATGTAAGTAAGATAAACTGGATCAATGCACTTGACTTTTGTTTCAGCTGATCCTATATTTTTCTCTGACTGTCTGTTGTCATTTGACAATAGTAAATTTTTTTCGTCATGATATCCACACAAACGTATTGAATGGTATGATAATATTTATGTCAATTTATCTGTTTCACCCTTAATTAGTTTTTCTTTTGCAATTATGTAATTATTGTGTACGAGAAAGAGAGAGAGAGAGAAAAGGCATTGGCAAAATAGAAAACCGAATTTTCCAGAACGTTTATTAATAAAAATGCATCACCAATATGACCCCCTTCAACAAAACCGTGTTGATCATAGATACACACTATCTACCTTTACAAAACTCTGCACTTTTTGTAAGACGTACGAAACATAATGTATAAAGAAAATCTAAATGGGAGGTATATGTATTAGAGAGTGCTTGTGTGTCCTGTTTGAATAGGTTTTATATAGAATATCAAAAAGTAGCCGGCGTTACAACTCGTTTTGGTAACAGTCTATCTAAGCTTTTCGAAGAAGAAGAAAAAAAGGGTCATAATACGCCCTTTTTTTGTTCATGAGGTCGTTATTGTAGTATCTATCGTGATCTTTAAGTTACTGAAAGAACGTTATCTGCGGAATTCTATGTTAATACCACCGACAAACTTTAACAAATGTTATTTTTTCCAGAATACAGTAATTTAAGGATAAGTGATTTGTATGCGCCATCGTATTCCAAATACTTTGACGCGGAGTTCAAGATGGGAATAGAGCAAATGTTTAATTTAAGAATCCTACATCACATTTGTGTAAATCCTCCCTTTGCCCCGTCCTCTCCGCAACTACAACGTTAAATATACGTTTGAAGCAAGGATAAATAATTGACTAGTTACTCAAGTTGACTAACCCTGTTGATAGTAATATCTCCATCTGGCAATTCTACATTGGTTGATCCCTTGAGCTAAAAACGCAAAAAAAAAAAAAAAAAAAAAAAAGTACAGAAGAGATATGCAAATACAAGGGATCTAAATGAGAAATCCTTTGATTAGTTTCATTTCAAGTTTGAACAGCCAAAAATAAAAATAGCCATGCAAACGATTTCGATAGTATCTGTGTTGTAGCATAATAAACGTGTTTGAATACATTATAACAATTTCGATCAAAACTGTAAGGGCTACAAGAAAAGATGATTATATTAAAACGTGGTGGCGTAATGATACCGAACAAAAAGAAGGGGTAGCCAATTATTACAGAGAGACTTATGCATTTGGCGCTTGCGTTTGGCGATCCCATATTTGATAATCTAACCCTAATCCGCCCCTTTCTTTTTTTTTTCTTTGAAACTGTAACTGGGAGTTCACTTATTTACAATAGTAGTTAGCTTCAAATAGCCACCCTCTAATCTAAAAGCAATGTTGCTAAATTGGCTTCATTATCTGCGTCTAATAATTATCATAGGGAGGGTGAGCGGCTTTTTAAATGCACATAATGCAGCACACAAACTTGCCCTTCAGATCCAATTTTGGGGCGCGGCATGATCCCAACCTTTCTCTCAGGGACAATTATCTTTATACCAGCCATCAAACCCCCTTCAGTAAAGCATTTGAATTAAAAAAAGGATTGCTTCTGAGAGCTTTCTCAAACATAATATGAATGGGGATCAAGGGAAACGGTATGTTCACAAACGACGCAACCATTCCTACAGTCATTGGGGGAGGCGTATTTTGACCTGAGACTGAGTACGCCATGACAGGCCTTCATCAGCAATGTTTATCAGGTACAACTTTTTCAAGCCAACAATGCTATTAGGACAATCAGATGCCTTTTTTTGGGTAGTAATAGTTTTTTTTTATTATGCATTTTCATGACAAAAAAGTTCAGAATTTATTAATGTTTATTTTATAAAAAACAAATAATTTAGAACTTCATGTTGTGAGGGAATTGACCCTTTTGGAGGCCAAAGGTTTGGACAAGGTATTGACGGAGGAAAGGAGTCTTAGCAACAACTTCGAGAAGGGCCTTATCAACAACCTTTTGGTCAGCAGCCTTGGAAGCAGGGAAAGCAGCCTTCTTCTACAAGATCATTTTTGATAAAAATGTCAGTTTCCCGTTCTAATAAAACTCTGCCAGCTAGAAATACAAATTTAAAATCTTACCTCAGCACCTTCAAGGAAGGCCTTATCAGTCTTGGCAGACTTCTTGAAGTAAGCATCGTTAATCTTCTCATCAAGCTACAGAAAGAAAAAAAAGGGTGAGAAATTTAGTCTAATGATCTTTAACTGTTAGATGGACATACCTTGACAGCAGAGATATCAATCTTGGTGGAGGTGGCGATAACGTAGGCTTGGTTGACACGTCTCAAGGGGACACCGTTGATCTTGAAGGGACCAGTGACGAGGAGGAGACCGGAATCGAGTTGCTTCAAGACAACAACACGCTTACCGCTATAACGACCAGCTAAAAGAATGGCAACGGTACCGGGGGTGATGGTAGAACGGAGACCAGTCTTCTTGGCAGTCTTACGACCGAGCTTGGGTTGGGGAACATCCTCAGCGGGGTAGAAACGAGAAGCCTTTTGAGCGGGAACAGTACGCTTGGCACCGTTCTTACCACCCTTAACTTCAACAGTCTTGTCAGTGGCAGCAGCCTTAGGGGCAGCGGCAACAGCGACGTGCTTACGCTTGTAGGCAGCCTTCTTGGCGTAGGCAGCGGAACGAGAGTAGCGAGATACGCCGGGAGCAATGAAGCTATTTCTAGGTGCGTGCGACATTTGTAGCTAATAATAAAAAGAGATTAACAAAACACGTTTAATACTGCAACTTGGCTTTTCTCTCCCCCGGATATATAAACCCAACCCCAACCCCCAATATAATGATAGATGAGTGAGTATGAACTGTTAAAAATAGTGTGGTGTTTCCAATCAAGCTTAGAATAGGTGAAGTTTTGAAAGAGAAAAAAACTGAATAATTCTACTTTAAAGCTGAGGATCGTGTAATTTTTTGTTGCTATAGTTCAGGTTACTGCTAGTTGTGTGCGTGTTGACTAATGTTGTTTGGGCTGTTGATTTTGAATTTCGTCAATGAGAACAAAAAGAAGGAAAAAAAAAAGAGTCTTACAGCCGGGTCGGGTACGCAAGTTGGAAGACTAAAAAATTGTACATCCATCCATCATACACATCCATCTATCATTCTATCTATCCCTCTCTTCACTCATGCCTTTTCGCTATTATATTACCTTTGGCTATAACGAAAAAGAGGGTGTTCTATCATTCATGGTGGATTGAATTATATGCCCTCTTGGAGTCCGGCCGCAGCTCAATTGAGTTTCAATTTACCTTGAGTGGGCCAGCGGATTTTTTTTTTCTGTTGGGCCCAATCCCCCCTCTCCGGCGAAAAACGTGACTGCACTTGCCGAACCAGCCAGCCAACCAAAAAAATAATGAAAAAACTGGTTTGCCTTATTGCATAACGAAAACCAATATGGATAGTGCTATTAATGTTGTGCTTTGGGAAAAATCCTCATTACCCATACTCGCTGATGCTTGGATAGACGATAAGCAAACAGAAGACTTGAACTTGCTGGAAGAATTTGAGTCTAAACTTCATTGGCAATTGAGAAAAGAAAAGGCTAAACAAACACAAAAGTTGGAATGGAAGCCAAATCCTACGAAGCTTTAAATTAACTTTTTTTTTTAATAAACCTATTTCATTTAAGCTCTCTCTCGTTATGAAACACCCAGCGCTTAATTGATTATTTTAACGCGAATTTCCAAAGTCTATTGACTATGGATGACCTCCCCCAGCTTGCATATAAATCTATGAAGCCAGCAACTACTTTGCTACTGCAATGACCTGTTCCATATCGTCATTGTAAAGCAGTCACCATAGAAAGATCACTTTTAAATTTGCAGGATAAAGGAACTAAGAAAGAAAGGGGACTGCATGACCATATTAAACCTAGAAGCATCGGACTAACCAAGGGGGAGAAAAAATAGTCTAAAGGAGAGGGTCTTCATGTCAAACTATAACGATAGTTGAAGCTATGTGAACTATAATAGGGCAACAAGAGTACTGTAACGGCTACTGCTAATAAACAATGATAAACTATTTCGGAATACACATTGTCCGAAGTAGATACCCGCCATCCTCAAGTTTTACAGCGCATAACCAAGGAGGATATTAAAAAAAAAGGCAAGATACATGATAGGAGTTGGGTGGGTGATTTCCATCAAGGAGGGCCTATTCCGAACCTCTATAAATACATGAACTCGAATTTGTTCAAAACAAAAATATCATCTCTTTTACATACTTTTCTCTCTTATCATCATTATGAAGTCTAGCCTTTTCTACACTATTGTTCTCGCAAGCGTTGCTGCTGTCTGTGCTGCTCCTGCTAGCATGTCTGATATGAACCCTTCAAATGGTCCTCAAAGCATACAAGTGGTTGCCATGGAGCAAGGAGCTTCAACTACTGTTAGACCAAACTCTGTCACTAGTCAGACATCCATGGACAATCAAAGCTCTATGGCCAACCAAGGAACTTCTGTCAGCACTAGTTCTACACCCATGGTCAAGACAGCTAGTCAAACATCCGATCTTCCTGATGAAGGTTATGTTACCTTCCTTATTACTTCACCTACCAAATCCGACACTCTCGTCAAGGGCACTACGTAAGTTTTTATATATACTAATATACATACTGCACCCATTCTCACATTTTTCTTTTTAAAGTACTACTATTCGTAAATGCATACAAAAAAAAACACATACTAATTTGTAAATACTAATTAATGTTTTTAACAGAATGGATCAATGGTGTTGAGGGACCTTTTACTATCAATGTCCTTACAGGTAAATCTGCTGCATCTATGCAAAGAACCAGTGTCTCTTTGAAAGCAGATGGATCCACCGGATCTTTGGATTGGACCGTAAGTCATTTATGCTAAAAAGATTGACAAACATGATAGTAATTAAACTTTTTTTTAATATAGGTTGATAAGCGTCTTCCCGCTGGTACTTATTCATTCCAATTTGTTTATACCTCCAATGGTCAAAGGTGAGTCATTTTATACAAAAAATTTGTTTAGATACATGATGATTAAACTCTTTCTTTCTGAGTAGACAAGTCACTTACTCTGATCAATTCCAAATTGCCAATGCTTAAACTATATTTGTTTCCCAATCTATCTACTATTTTTTTTTTAATAAAACAAGGTTATGCAAATCCATGTATGAAACGCATAATTACATAAAAACCCCTCTACTTTTTATTTTTTGCCACTCCTTGTTTAAAGCATGGCTATCTTCGATCCGTGCGCGCTACACTAAAACTGCATGTCCTTTAAAATTTCAGCTATTTAAAAGGCTCAATACCGCGGCCTATTAAAAAAAATTGTCGTAGATACTATCTAGGCTATTTAACATGATAATAGACGCATGTCGTTTTTGACCAAGATGTAAAAGTTCTTGTTATGTACTAGCTTCTATTAAAACAATTGATAATGATAAGAAATATGTTTTAGACCATGGTTGCTTCTCTGTATAAGCTTGTCACAGAGATCCCTGTTATCACATACTCATCGCACGGCGTTCACGGAGGAAGAGGGTGTCTGGGGAATGGAAAACCCTTTGCCTTTCCTTTCCTCCCCTTCTATCTTCTTCTCCGTAAACGCCAGTGAGCTATTTGCAATTAAATAGTCTTTATAGAGTTCTGAAAAGATAAGAGAAGGTTATGTTTAGACATCTTATTTTCGGACGTAATCCCAACTTGAGAATCATATTACGATAGTACTAGACCTCTCATATGAGCAATCTAACATTTAAATGTTTCTGTTTTGCTAAAGAGGCAGTAAAACATAACGGGGCGTTTTGCAAGGAAGCATTAGATAGTGCTGGTATCAAGTATCTACAAAAAGGAGATACACCCATTGGTCCAAGTCTCAATATAACTCTATATAAAGACGTTCCCGGGAGGAGGGGAGTGGCAACAGTTTTCAGGCTGAAAAAAAAAGATATTGCAACGGCAACTAAACAACTCCCAATCTACTACTCGTAATCACTAATAATATACACAGGTTCTAGAACAAGTATTTTTATTTTATTTTTTTGGGGGCGTTAAATAATCTTTCTTGTCTTGACATTTTTTGGGGGTTTGTAAAAGGAGAAAGCATCCCTTTCTTTCAACAAAGAGATCAGGTTGCTATTTTTGAATGCCTTTTTTTTAGGCCTGCACGGCATAATGTTAAAACAACTTTTTTTATTAATAAGATCATGCTCACAAACACATGTTCAAAAGAATGTATAGCTTCTTATTGTATCAATGCATAATGTTTTTTTAGAAGGTTGCTATGTTACCACTGTTCCTGTTTGTATAGAAACACGTGTACTTTTCAATCTTGAATGAGAGACTAGAAATCTTGGCGTATGTCAAAACATCACAAGTGAAATGCAGTAACTTCTTTTGTTACACAAAGAGCTAGATCTGTTTATCTGCAGAATTGGTACGCTCTTTTTTAAAAGTGCCAGTGTAATCGGTGATTGAGTTATGTGTGTGTGGGGGAGTATATCTAGATTAGCAAGCTGAAAATAAAAGACTTCCAAGCTATAAATACACTCTTTTAAGCCGTTTTACTTTATTTAGAATGATGAGTGTGTTTCCGTGGCTTTACTCGTGCAGTGACTCGTTTTCATTTGAAACAAAAAGAGTTTTCTACTTGAATCTCAGGTTTTTATATGCCGGTTTTCATAAACTTGTTATCTTTTTTTTTTGAAAAATGTCATTTACTGTTGCAGATTTAAAACCGAGAATCGTTCAAAATATCGATGCACTCGAGTATCCTGCAGCCTATACTTTTTGTCAAAAGGCCTTAGAACTTGAGCCTCATAATGCTGAAATGCTGGAAATGACAGGTCAAGTGGAATTAGAACTTGAGCAATTTGAATTAGCTAGAAAGGTAAAACAGTAAAATAATTGCCCTCTCGAAAGAGTGATGTTGACTTTTCGTCATAGCATTTATTGGAATCAGTGCAAATAGCACCTGAGGCCAGCTACAGTAAATACATGTATTTGGGACAATTATCTGTCGAGAAAGAAGCTATCAGTCACTTTCAAAAGGGTGTCGATTTGATGGTAAAAGAACGCAACGGTTTAGCTGCTGATTCAGAGGAAGCCAAGATTTTAGCCACCAAAATTTCCAGTGCCTTGTGTTCGATGACCGAGATTTATTTAACGGATTGCTGGTAAACGTAAACGGGCAGACCCCTTAACTATTGATTGATGAAAACTTATACTTTTTTTTTTTTTTTTTTTTTTTTTTTTTTTTTCTTTTTTTTTTTAGTTTTGAGCCTGAAGCGGAAACAAAATGCGAAGAGTTCTTACAACAAGCACAACAAGTGGATCCCGAAAACCCTGAAGTATATCAATTACTAGCATCTGTGAGATTAAGTCAGCAACGCAACGAAGAAGCAGCATCAGCATTAAATAAAAGTATGGAGTTATGGATTCATAAAGAGGCAGGTGATGCCAGGATACCTATCTATGATACAAGATTGGCTTTGGTCAAATTACTCCTTGAACTGGGCATGTTTGAACATGCTTTTACGGTTTTGGAAAACTTGCAAAAGGAAGACGATGAAGTTGTGGATTTATGGTACCTTTATGGCTGGACCTACTATTGTTTAGGCGATGATGAGGAGAGATCACAAGAGGAAAAGTTTGCATTGTGGGCTGACGCAAGGGACTGTTTAGAAACAGCTGTCAAGGTAAGACATTTTTGTGCTTATAGTTTTTTTTTTGTAAGGGGTTCTTTAAGCTAACAGTATGATTAAAACCAAATGTAAAAAAAAAAAAAAATAGTTGTATAAATTAATTGGATCTGACGATGATGCCATGTTTGAACATGCTAACGAACTTATTTCAACAATTAATGAAATCGTACCTGCTTCTGTTGAAGAGCCTGAGGAGGAAATCGACGAGAATTTCGAAATTGTCTCTGACGATGAAGATGCTATGGAAGAGTAAATGTATAAAAAAATAAAATATAAAAAAATTAGAAGACTTGTACAATGACAACGAGAAAAACTACGTGTGTGTGTGTGTGTGTGTGTGTGTGTGAAATGTAATTTGATTATATTAAAAACTTATGCACAAGAAAGTAACAGTGTTATTATTACATTTTCAAGACCCTTTAATAGAAACTCCTGAAGGGGAATTGCACTTATGATCCAGTTTTACTGTAATTTGCTAAATAATAAGATAGAGTACTTCTAGTGTTGGGATAACCTCTCCCATAATGCATGGTGTCACGGACAGCTCGCTCGCTCTTCTTTTTTTTTTTTTTTACTCTTTGGCGAGTTTTATTTTTAATAGATGTCCTATTAATAATATTTATTTATATCCTATTCTTTTTTAAACTTATCATCATATTACTTTTCGAAAGAATGTTATTTAGTAGACGGGATAAAGACTTTCAATTATACATTCCTTCGGCCACACGCACACTACAGGCACAGGCACATCACACAACAATAAAAAGACAAATTAAAGGAAAATTTGATTTATGTCCTTTGCCCTTACATTACCAAAGGGGGAAATAAAATTAGGGTTTTTTCTTTTTATTATTTATTTCTTGCCTGTTTTCCAATTTCTGATGCTGTCAAATAAAACAAAATTACCCAAACTTGGTTATAACATATTTAACCTAAATACAAAGTTGTCCCTGCTCACATATAAAATAAACCGTTTCAATTCTTTTCTCTCTCTTTTCTTACTTATACACAACACTTCTAAATACCTAAAATTAACAATGAAGAGTAAGTCCCTTTCTTTTTTTTTTTTTTTTGGATGTGTGTGTGTAAACTAACCTGTGAAATAGTCGCTGATATGCTTAACCCGACTGTCATTAGTCAACTCTCTTCTCCTCCACTGTCACCTCAGCATGAACAAGTGGACTATTATCACAACAATAATAAAAGACTGAGTACAAGTAGTGCCAGTAGTAACGGAAGCAACGGAAGCAACAATAATGGCAAACCTCGAAGCCGTTTCTCCAACGTAGAAGATGCAATTATATGTGAAGGTGTTGCAAGAGGCTTGACATGGGGTCAGATTTCTGGTCAATTGCCACATCGAAAGCGTGCAACGTGTTTCAACCGATACCGTACACTTCAAGGTATCCGTAAATCTCGTAAAAGATCTATGCCGGACATGCGATCTCCACCTATTACCCCACCTAATTCTTGGTTACCTTCACCCACCAAAGAAGCACGTCATCATCATCGTCATTCATATCATTACCATAGCAACCCCGTCTTGGTTGCTCCATTACCAACAAGGCTTCCGTTACCTTTTTCATATGCAGACCGTATCCATTAATTTATTTATATACGCCCTATTTTCTCTCTTATTTATTATTATACATATACCTTTTCTTTTTTTTTTCTATTTATGCCCCTCATTTTTCATATCATCGTCATTCTTTCCTAATAGCATAACCATCATCATCATCATCTTCATCATCATAAAGGATTACAATATCCTTTAAAGCTCCTCTTTATTTCTCTCTTCATCCCCCCCCCCCCTCCTCTTACCCCTTATTTTCATCACGCACTCCTTTCATTCCAGCTCCTCTTTTTTTTTTCTTTTACCCCTTCTGCATCCACATAAAATTATTTTTTATGCCTTTTACCAATAAAAAAAAAATATTAAAAAAAAAAATTCATTTAAAATAAAACATTTTAATCTTGCTTGGGAAGGGACTGAGCCATGATGATACCACCATCAACAATATCTCCACTTTGATAGATACAGACAACAACACTCGAAGTAATGACAATCAAGAGAACAGCTGTCCAGAACAACAATTGGAAATCAGCCACGGAATTGATATATTGACACGATTCACCAACAAAAGCAGATGATTTGCATTGACAGCTGAAACACTCTCCCCCTACGGATGTGCACTGACCATTTCCACTGCAGTGACTGGTGCCATTATTACAATCAGAAGCAGACTTGTAACAGACATCATTGGCTTGGAGCATGGTAGAAGCGACTCCACGGCGTAACTTTTGTTGCTTGACGGCTGGTGTCAAGATAAAGGCAGAAACACTACCGCTGTGTAATTGTTGGAAGTTTGGTATAACGAACTTTTCAAAAAGATCTCTCAAAATGAGGCTGGCTTCCTTGTATTGCTCGGAGGCAACACCATATTCATTAGCAATGGTCTTTTAAAAATGTAAGTTTAAAAAAACCACTAGCTTGTATACATCATTCGCCTTACCTCTAAAGCATTAATTTCAATCACTCTCATATCAAATGGCTCGTACTTTCTACCATTAGCAAAAGTCTCTCTGACATCTTCAACCTCACCGACAAACTTTACATCAGCTGCTTTTGTCTTGTCAAAGAGCTCAACGTTTAATTGGGAGAAATCATTCTTGAAATATTCAAATGATTCATCGACCAAAAGAGAAGAAACGGGAATGATTTCCTCACCTTGTCTAATCTCCGTCTAAAATATACAAAAAAAAATAACGCGTTTCATGTATTTTAGTTGCTATGAAACGATAAACTAGTTTTATATATCGTACCTTTCCATCCTTGTAAGTGGTGACAGTAACATCATCTGTATTCATTTGGTCAAATGTGGCTTCTGCAAAAGAGGCATATTCTTGACTTTCATCATCCGAAACAAAAAAGGATGGATCATGAGCAGGAAGGATATCTATCCAAGTAAACATAAAAAAAAAAAATCAGGCACAGGAATCTCTCTCTCACAAAAATGTGTTTTTACCTTGAGGCGAGTTGACACCAGAGATAATGACCATCATGTTGGCGTTTATCTTTTTCTTGAACAAGTCATTGTCAAAAGTGGGCAAATGAGAACCAATGTCTTGCTCATCTTGTAACATGAGTGCAGGATGACTAGCACTGGTATCCATCAAATCTGAATAAAACATAGAAAAGGCATTGAAAGACACCTCGGGTGTATTCTCAACAGATTGAGCTTGACTGGAAATCAAATGAACAGAAGAACGAGCTACAAGTAGTTACAAAACGCGATTAGTATCTCCCTCCTCTTTCCATGTATTGTTTCTCTAGCTCTCATTTACCGAAAACGCTAGATACTAAAGTCGCGACAACAGCGGTCAAGGATAATATCTTCATGTGAATTAAGAAATTGTGTAAAGATTAAAAAAGAGTCTTTTTGTTTTTTTTTATTTACTTTTTTTTTTCGAGAGGCGAGCTAAAAAAAATATATAAAAATAGTGACGTCTTGTTTATACGATATAATCAAATACACAGTTAGATAGGATTTACTTTGGAATGGGTATTGAATAAAGTGCTAAAGAGTTTTCTCATTTTACTATGAGATGGTATGCGTGGCATTGGTTTTGTTAGGAAAGAATCTTGAGGTATTGTACTGTAACACAGTTGGCAAACCAGGTCAGTTTCATAAGCGACTTTTGGCCAACCGGTTTGAGAGGTCTGACACATTTCACAATCAAAGGTTATTTGCAAGGTATCGACATTCCATTTTTCATGGGCGTATAATTCACCATCGCCATATTCAAAGCAGGCCAATAGAAAGGTCTTTTGCCAGACCTGATCCATATCTAATAGCTGATTATTACTATGGGGTGTGTGACAATTGATTTTTTCGCGTAAATAAATAGCGGATTCTAATACAAGCTGGGCCTGATAGCTGTCAAATTCGGACCAGAAATCACATCCTTTTTGTAGGTAGTCTAATTGCTGTGTAGATGAGAGGAGCGTGTCTTTTGAGCCTCTTCTTTGATGATGCACCCTATCTTGTTCAGAGTATTGTGCAGACACTGTTTTTGAAATCAAGCGTAAATGATCCCGACACTTTTCCAAGGCCTGTCGTGATTCGGAGACTTGTTGTTCTGCATCCGAGTACTTGTTTCGTGCTTTGATGTATCGTTTTTTCGATTGAGCGGATAAGATGGGGACAGAGGCCACTAATGAATATTCCTGCTCACGCTTCTTCTTCTTTTCTCGGTAATTCTCTGCTATCAGACGAATCGACTGTAATTCTTGCTCTACTTGAACTTGCCGTCGTTCCAATTCCTTTTGCTGTGATCCAATCTTTGCTAATCCTTGATCTAGACTTTGTTCTCGCTCATCTAATTGATGGATGAATTGCTCCAGTGATTTCTGCTGAATTTCGTATTGAATACGGATTCGTTCCACTGTGAGTATAAACTCTCTGATCATTGCTCGTCGTTGTTCCACGGTATCAATCACTTGCTGTAACAATCGTTTTTGAATTCCCGTTTTCTTTTTGGTTACACTGTAGCCTACAATTTCTTCTGCTTTTTCAATATTTACAATCATTGAAACTTAAACAACAGAAGGAAAACAAGCTTTTTTATTTATACGGATATTTTTTTTTGGTTTTTTCACTGTTTACTATAGTAGCACACGCCCCCTTTTTTTTCATTTAAACTTTGGTGGTTCAAAATTCAATCCCGAGAATAGGTCCTTTTTTAAGAAAACGTCACAAAAAAAAGGGAGCATGTGAGTCACTATGTGACAGTAATCTCTTTATCAGTTCCTTTTTTCTTTCTTGAATACACTATCTTTTCTTCCCCTATTTTATACAACATAGATGACCCAATATTCTGCTTTTTTTTATGGCTCACTCATGTCAAAGGTCGTACTTTCAAGAGGTAAAAAAGAAGAAATATTTTTTATTCAAAAAAGCTTAATTTTTTTTTTAGTTTTATGCGGAACTAAAGTTTCTCAGCATGATGAAAGTCTTAAAATGAATTCTGTAAAGCTTGTGCCTGCCACTTTGAAGGTTTCAGTTACAATTTGATAGAAATAATTTGTTTAACATTGGACTAAAAGGATTCAGATTAAATAGGGGTATACAAGATCATCGTTAAAAGGCGAAGAATACCCTGCCATCACTCAGACTGAGGGTCAAGGCAAAGTAGAAGGTGTCCTTGCACAAGGTCTCACAGAGACAGATATCAAAGCCCTTGATATATTTGAAGGCGATGTAGGTTTTATATCATTCTAATTGTATATTCTTTTCTTATAATTTATTATTAGTGGTATCAACGCATCCCGGTTCAAGTAACATCCGATGAAAATGGTACCACATTTGACACCAACGTTTATCTTTATGTGGGGGACATGCAGCTACTTACCGGAACTGACTGGAGTTTCCAGCAGTTTCTGGAATCCGGCAAAGAGCAAAAATGGTTAGATGATCGCTGTGATTTTTTTGACGTTGATAACTTTCATCATGCCTCTTAAATTATATTTTGGCCGAGAATTAGGGATCGTAGTACTGACTGAGAAAATCAAGTTAATCATGTCAATAAATAAAAAAGATCTTCTTGAGTGGGTGACCAATACGGGTCATCCAGCCCAGAAAAAGTCACTTAAATATGACCAGCGGTTTACATCATTTGATTGACAATGAGGAATGCTGCAAGTATGTACATTGGAGCTGGTGTCGTGTTTTCAGTGTTACACGAAACACTCAAGCAAATCATGCATACCTTTTTTTTTTTAAAAAAAAACGTCATATCCGTAAAACATACTTTAGTTATCATTAGTACCATTAAAATATGTGGTCTCGTATGCCTTTTTCTTATTTTTGATTATCTGGAGCCTTACCATTATTGCAATTTGTGACACTATAAAATAATTCATAAATTCACAAAAATCTTTACGCTAGGCATTCCAAAAGTTTTCAAAGTTTAACAAAAAAAAATAGTGTCCGCCGGTTTAGAAAGCAATACTAAACTTCAGTATAAATTCTGAGAGTTCGCTATCTTTTTTAGAAATACTTTTTGTAAGGTATGTTAGGAGTGATGTCAAATTATACCGTCTTTTCTAGACATAAAGATAAAAAAAAAAAGAATCAGAGCATCGTTTATTCGTTGTCGTTATCGACTAGCATGTCAGTTGGCTCTGTAAATGTCGACTGGTCAGGTATACTAATCAATTCGAATTCAAGGCGACACAAGTTGGACTCTATAAGCGTAAGATTGTGTGCCTTTTTTATCTCTTTAGGTATAAAGTTATCTATAGGCCAGTTTTTGACCACCAAACATTTGTTATTTTTAGTAAAGGTTCCTATATCTTCCACCCTGACCATTTTTTTCCAAGGTACTACAGCGTGAGTAGTCCCACATTGGTCATCTACTCCATATACAAGATTAGACAATTGATTCCAAAACGTTTCGGCGTTTTAATCTTACAGATCAGCTTCTTTATGGATTCCTTGACAGCAGCAATCCTTTTACTATGTACCAAGGATGCAGCAACAATACGGGCTAAGGATAAGGTAAATTCACATTTATAATCACTTCCTTTGATTTTTTCTTGTCTTATTGATGTGAAATACCTTTTTTAGCATTGAAACCGGGATTTAGATTTTGCTTAATTTCCTTTCTCCATTTTTTTAAATCCATCTTTTCCACGTTCTCTGCATAATAGAAAAAAAATCAAGAAATGTTTTTTTTCAAGGATGAGGTATACTTTTACCTCCAACAGCAATCGCTTTCCAGGGCCTATTTCTCCCGAAACCCATAGCACTTTCTGTCCCGTCGTAAGCGTTCATGATTGCAAGGAATTTCTTGAGTGTTGATTTCATCCGGGCGAGAATTAAGTCAGTATTTTTGGAAGTTTGGACTTCACTGCCATTATTCATTTCTTGAACCGTAGTCGCAAGTGTTTCGTGCTCGCCTTCAGTCAGATTTTTATATCGTTTAAACAAAATCTGGGATGCCAAAGGGACAGCAGGGACTTCTTCAGTAGTGTTCTTGAGAATCTTTGTCTTCTCTTGCTGACAAAAGGCGTTGTATGCGTTAATATTACGAGGCTTTTCAATAACAGGAACGGCTGAAACGTCGTGTCTGGCTATAGCAGCTCTATTTTCGTCCAAACTGGCATCGTCGTTTTCAACTCTGCTTGCATCCAACAATTCCAAGTTGGCCAATCTACACTGTTCTGATTTCAAGAGAATTTCATTGTGAATGTGCGTTTCAAAGGTGGGATTTGTCATTATATATTTTTTTTTGTTTCAGCATAAAAAAAGCAAGAATTTACACGTTTCCGGTCCAGTAATTATTTTCTACTGTGCACAGAAAATGTCCAAAATTAACAAGTGCAGTTATTAAAATAATCATTGCTTTTTTTATCAGATTAAACAGAATAAAACCGGCTGTTGTTACCAATAGAGCTACATTGAAGGGGAAAAGTAACGAGTAAAGAGAGGCATTATAGTAGTGAAAAGGATGCATTGATGCTCCTGTTAATCATCAGGTTCGATTAGAGTTAACAGTCACTTTAAACCTTTCTACATATACCTTCTGGTGTATTAAAGCAGCTACAGATAATTGTACAAAGACATAGATACGAGAATCTTAGAGGTTAACATCCCGGTGACCGTATAGTTTATACTTACACATACTAGTTCAAATTGACCAATTTTAACAGCAAAACTATTAGTAGATTGTCATATTTGAGGACAATACTTTGTTTACTGATTGCTTGTAACAGACACATTTTAAGAAAGTGTCCATCTAAATGAACCACAAACAAAGAGTCCATCTGGTTTCAAAGAGACATGTGCACATGATTTTTCCAAGATAGCGTCTTGACAGGTTTTTATTGTAGTTTTCTTTATTTGTATGAGCCCAATACATTAAAATAATATAAATATCATGTAATAAACTTGACTTTTTTTTTTTTATCAAATCATATCAACTCCAAGCATGAATAACTACAGACAGCCAATGCCACATCCTCCTTACCCTCCTCAACCTCGTCCTCAGCGCTAAATCTGGAAGGAAACCTGATCACAATAAGCAATAAAATAAAATTTATCTTATCAATTACAGTGCTTTTTATATTTGCGTTCAAACTTGTTGAGATGTATAATATGAACATTGTGGTTGCTTGTATTACTTTATTAAGCTGTACGATGCCTATAAAACGCCCTTTATTATTGGCTACTACAGAATCATTGACTTAAAATCTAGAACGTCTAGACCTACAGAAATGGAAGCTTGGTGTAATTTATAGCTGAATTCATTACGGATGCAGATGATAACTGATTCATTGCAAATATTTCCATCTTAAGTAAAGGCTCAAACATTATGTGTGATTGTATAACTGATTATCTCATACTGACATAACTCAGCTCTTGTTTATCAGTTAATAAATAAAACTTGTTTGCACACTCTTTTCCTTTTTTCCTCTTTCTCTCTCTCTCTTTATACAACCTTCAAACTTAATAATGGTATCTGGGTGAATTGGGCCTATTGATGACACTTAAAGGATCTATCGATCAAGTCCAAACTAGTCAATTTTCAAGTTATTAAAACCTAATTCAAACGGGCAGAAACCAGGCCTGTTTGAATCCGATGCCGCAAGAAGTCTTGGCGTTAGGATAAATATGTGTAGAAATTGGTCTAATCAAAGTTTCTTTTTTAAACAGTCTCTGGTACTTGAAATGGGAAAGCAACTCGGAATCATCTTGGATTAAAAAATTATAAACACTTTTTTATTTTTTTATTTGAACAGGTTGTCTAGATACCTTTCCTTCCAAATTGATTGTACCATTTTACAGTGTCAATTATAGCTGCTTGCGGGATGTTATGATTTTTAAAAATTTCATGAATTTGCTCATTTTTTTATCTGCCACTTCGTAACATTCATCTAAGTTTGATACGTGACAGATTCAATAATAATCTTCGTCATTCGGTACCCGTAAATTCCATAATTTGAAATCTTCTACATGCGCTATAAGGACTACTTGTGGAATCACAGTACGTTATAATTCCAAAGGAGACAATATTTAATCTGGAGTACCAAGCAACTGTTCTAAAGTCTAGCATCATAAAAAAATCCAGAAATTAATACAAGTAAGAAGACACTTTAAGGAAGTGGATGTTGTAGAAGGGCTCTTAATTAATAATATTACTCATTATTCTTTTGGTCATTTCCCACCCACAATATAAGACTAGTTAACATAAAAATTGTTCATTTTATTAAAACGACATGAGCTTTGATTTATTGTTGTTTGTTCATCAAATCAAGCTGTTCAATATATACAATATATCTGGCCTATTGTTCTTATACCACACTATCAAATCACAAGCAAGCAACGTCTTTGTCTTTTCATTTTCCAAATTGAAAGGCCAGTCAACCAAACAATTGATTATCTCCATCTTCATGATAATCACCATTTTGACATCTCTTTCAATTTGCTTGGGAAGTACAAAAACTTCTCTTTTAAACCTGATGGCAGCCTGATGGTTCAAATACTTGGCTTTGTTGATTGTTGCAACCAAAAGTTGGTCGTAAGGATCCGTGGGTAACAGCTTTTGTTCAAGATTCATAATTAAAATAGAAAGAAGTGGCAACGTCTTTGGTTTGTTTTTTCTTCTTTTCTTTTTTTTAATGATAAACGCAGTACCAAATTTTATTGATAAATTATTTCTTTATCATGTATCATGTCATTTAAAAGATCAGGACGTTCATGTGCTATCCATTTCAATAGCTCACGAGTAACGATTGTTTTGGCTCCTGTATCAGGAACTATAGCTCCTACTAATTCTATAAGCTGAGCTGTTTTTTGGAAAAGTTTAGGATAATTAGCAATAATATTCCTAGGTACGTGGTATGCTGTATTTGGTGGCTTTAACAAATTTCGAATTTTACGTTGAAGTAGTGAGAAAAAATTGTTGTATACCTCTTGAGCCGATAGCTGTTCTATTGTCATTGTAAGTACATAACAAAAGAAAGAAAAGAAAAAGCAGGTTTTATTCTTTTTCGAATTAACCTCGTCAATTTTTTAAATCACTGTCAAATATTGAATTTTATTTTGGGCTTTAAGCGTTAGATCCAGACACAATCTGACTGTTTCTTAGTTTTTCCGATGTGTTTAATAAATGCAAATGATTAGAGTGGTAAAAGAGAAGAAGCTTGTAACCTCCTTTAAAACACAATTATGATGAATCGACTTAGGTATGGTTATGTCACAATGAAACGTACACATTTCTTTTACATGATTAAACATAAAGTTAAAACTTTGCTATACGAAGCCATTAAGTTGAATGTATAAAACGATAATAAAAAGCGAAAAAAATCCATAATAATATATAAAGAATTTGAACTGATATCATCAAACTCCATTATTATTATTTTGTCTAAGGAAAGAGGTCGGTGTGTAGAGTTTAGCCTTCTTCAGCGTATCATCAATCACAAGGGTTTTGAAGTGATGAGTAAGCGTCGCAATGAAGCATAGTTACCTAGAAGTGATATTAAGGGTCCTTGTAATAAACTTTTAACTCGACATTAGTACTTATTTTCACGGATAAGACCTAATATTTTAAAGTATATATGAGGTAATATGCAGAAATATATTTGTATTTCCCTGTGTGCTTTTGTGCGGTATTTTTGGTAATAGTTGAATATGACTTAGATCTTTGATCGTGCAATTTATAAGTGTTTCGTGTCATAACACGCACTTTCTTTAAATATTGGTTTTTTCTGCCAAAGTTTATAAAGCATATTGCGTGCAACGTTACTCCTAAAATATTGCTCTGTTGGAGAAAAACGACTACGTGAGTATCCAACTGCATTGCGGTTACACACGCATTGACGTCGAATAAAAAAAGGTAGCCAATCAACACGTTTAAAGATGAGCAATATGTCATCCCATTTCCTCTTTTGTTTTGGTTCACTACACTTTTTTTCCATTTATTTTACAAGTGTGACAGTAACGCATGAATTTATTTAGATTAACCAGCAATGTACAATTCATGGTATGAATACAGCCTTTAGTGTGCGTATGTGTGTGGAGAAGGAGAGAGATGGGATGAGGGTAGATCGGTCGGAGTCTTAATATCGCATCTGTTTTTAGATGATGAGGAATTCATGTAGACTAAACAGCAAAACAATCGTTCGAAATCCTTTACTGTTTAAAACCATTTACACCATGTCAGGCAAGTCATATTCTTTAAGGGATTACAAAAAGGACAAGTTCTAACCATTCTTGTCGTCTCACAGATTACTCCAAAGAAAGAAGCGTAGCTATTCAAGCTGTCTTGAGTGCTAGTAAAGTGTGTCAATCTGTATTCCAACACTTGGTAGCCAACGAGACATTAACCAAGGATGACAAGTCTCCCGTCACAGGTACATTTCTCTCTCTAGAAAAAATAATGTGTGTTTTTTATATTCATTATACAATAAATAGTTGCCGATTTCTCTGCTCAAGCGATTGTCAACACTTGTCTCAAGGAACACTTCCCTGCTGATCCCATTGTAGGAGAGGAAGATTCCAAAGATTTACTAGGCGATGCCGGAAAGATCTTGAGAGAAAAGGTTGTTTCCTTGACCAATGGTGTTTTGAGCGAATCGGAAAAGCTGTCTGAACAACAAGTAAATACGACTGTATACACACAAGGATAAATTACTGACACAAAGACGCATATAGATTTTAGATGCTATTGATCGTGGTAATTATGGAGGTGGAGCTCATGGTCGTCATTGGGCTTTAGATCCTATTGATGGTACCAAGGGATTCTTGCGTGGAGGACAATATGCTGTTTGTTTAGCATTGATTGTGGATGGTATTGTTCAAGTAGGTGTGGTTGGATGTCCCAATTTACCCGTAGATCACAACAAACCCGAGGGAGAAAGAGGAGCATTGTTTATTGCTGTCCGTGGTCATGGTGCCTTCCAACGCACATTCACCGAAGCAACCGAATCACCTATTCACTTTGCAGATATTTCATCTACCGCCGAGGCAACATTCTGTGAATCTGTTGAAGCAGGACATTCTTCTCATGGCGATGCTGTGGAAATTGCCAAGGCATTGGGTATCACGCGTGAATCCGTGCGTATGGATAGTCAAGCTAAATATTGTTCCATCTCCAGAGGTGACGCAGATATTTACTTGCGTCTTCCTACCAGTAAAACTTATGTCGAAAAGATTTGGGTAAAAGAAGGAAACAATAGGAACTCATAGAAGACTTATATATATATAATTTTTTATAATAGGATCATGCATCCGGAAATGTCCTTGTGAGTGAGGCAGGAGGAAGAGTTACAGATATTTATGGTAAACCTCTTGATTTTTCTATTGGACGAACATTAGAAAAGAACAAGGGCGTGATTGCTTCTAAAGCTAGTATCCATGACGACGTCTTGAAGGCAGTTCAGACCGTCTTGGGCATCTAAAAAAGAAAAGGTTATCGCATGTGATAAATATAGAGAGATCCCCCCCTTACCCATGTTCAAATTAAATCGGTTCTTCAAATAAAAAGTTCAAGCCTCTTTTTACTTTTTACCTCATTAGGACAATTACTCGAATCTTTTTTTAGTCTTCTTTTATATCTATATTTTTTCCACAGTTCTTTTTGAAACTAAAATCAGAAGAGAGATTTTCTTCTAAACAAAGGTTTAACCCAACTTATATTACAAGCAAAAAAAACTTTTTTTAATTGAAAAAAGAAAATTAACAGATCAATGGTAAATAGTTTTAAATTAGGCCCTAAAGGAAAAAAAAAAAACATTAAACCCATTTTTTAAACAAAAAAAAAGACATGAGTTCAAACATTCCAGGCTCGCCTCATCCTTACTTTGATGAAAAAGCTGGAGAAAGAGAGACTCGCATTAGAACACTATTTGAGGAACTAGATTGTAAAAAGAGAGGCTATTTGGATGCAGAAGCTATTCTCGGAGGCTTTCTAAAGTTGACTCATTTACCTGCTCATACGCGTTACGTTACAGACCTGCTCGCCAAATGTGATACTGCACATGATGGGATTATAGACTATCAAGAATTCAGAACCTACGTATTGGATAAAGAAAAAGACCTTTGGCAACTCTTTGCGGAAATCAACAAATCCGGTGACGATTATCGATTACACCCCAATGATCTAGAAAACGCTTTGAAAGCAGCTGGTATACATGTCACCAATGACGATATAGCAAAATTTATGCAGGTCATCGATGTTGGTTAGTATTTTTTTTTTTTGTATTGTATATATCAGGGAGATGTTTAATAATTTTATGTACAAAGAGGGTAATGGTTATATTGATTTCCAGGATTGGAGAGACTTTTTACTGGTAAGTACACAGAGATACTAGGGGGAAAATAAGATGGTAATTCTAAAAAAAAAAAATCATCAATGCAGTTATTACCACGCGAAACGACGATTTTAGAGATATATCAATATTACCAAACTTCAACCCAACTCACCCATGATGCAGAAGTTGTTATTCCCCACACAGACGAAACAGCCAATAACGCCTATAAATATTTAGCAGCTGGTGGCATGGCAGGTGCTGTTTCAAGAACATGTACAGCACCCTTTGATAGACTGAAAGTATACCTCATTACACAAACCACTGCATTTTCAAAACATACAACCACAGCAGCCACAAATAGTGCACCTGTGAAACCTCAATCCGCCATCCTCACAGGTTTAAAGAATATCTATCACCAAGGTGGATTTCGTGCCTTCTTTGTCGGTAATGGTTTAAACGTTATTAAAATTGTGCCTGAATCCGCCATCAAATTTTACGTCTTTGAAACAACCAAATCCATTTTAGCCGAATTAACCCATTCAGAAGATAAAAACGCGATTCCTGTAGGTGCAAGATTCATTGCTGGTGGTGTCGCTGGTCTTTGTGCTCAATTTTGTATTTATCCCGTCGAGACTTTAAAGACTCGGATCATGTCTTCCATGATCATTGAATCTAATAACGGTAAAGTCAAAGGAGCAGGTCATGATGCTGCTTTTAAAGCCAAACAGAAAAACTTGATTGCCAATACCGCAAGATCCATGTATAGAGCAGGTGGATTAAGAGGTTTTTGGCCCGGTTTGACCGTAAGTTTAATGGGTGTGTTTCCTTACCAAGCGTTGGATATGGGTATCTACGAGACTTTAAAAGTCACCTATCTTCAGTACATGAACAGCCAAAAGGATGAAAACGGAAAAGGAAAATCGCCCAACGTACTTGTACTCTGGGCTTGTGGTATGGTGAGTGGTTCCATTGGTGCCAGTAGTGTATATCCGTTAAACATGATCAGAACAAGGTTAGTATTTTCTCACTCACATGTATGAATGATCACTCAAATGAATTGCTATAGGTTACAAGCACAAGGAACACTAGCACATCCATATAGATATACCTCTGCATGGGATGCCGCGAAAAAGACCTTGCGTGCTGATGGTATAGGCGGATTTTACAAAGGTTTGGGCCCTACACTTTTCAAAGTAGTGCCTTCTGTTAGTATTAGTTACGCTGTGTACGAGTTTAGTAAAAGATCCTTGGGTATCTCTTAGATTTTTCTTTTTCCCCCTTTTTTTTTCTTTTTTTAAAAAACCCTTAATTATATTATCTTAGATTTACTGTAAATAAAATTACAACCTTTTTTTTTTATTTTTTATTTTTAATTAGCAGCTTGTCATGCGTGTATTGACATTAAGACATGGCGAACGTGTGTTGGTAAGTGCAAGACCACGTGATCTCTGACGTAGCCAAAGGGGATTGAAAGTCCGCCCCATCATGGCCCTGTTGAGGGCGGGGTGCGGGGGATGTTATTTTTTATTTTTTTTAGTCTGGGTGGGCCCGTAAGTAAAAATTTAATTCCATCCTCCCTTCTCCCTTTTTTTTTCTTAACAGAACAGACAAAAAATTAAAAAAATGGCTTCCTCCGTCCGTGCTGCTGCTATCAATTGGTCCAAGTTGAGTGTCACTCTTCCCCAAGAAACTGTTGTTTCTCTTTTAGCTTTCCGTAAGCGTAATGAAGAAGTTAAGCGTGTTCTTGCCGAATTAAAGGATCAAACCACCACCGTCGATTTCGCTCATTACCGTAAGGCTCTTAAGAACCAAGGTATCGTCGACCAAGCCGAGAAGGCCATCAGCGGTTTCAAGCCCGTTGCCTACAACTTGGATGCTCAACTCTCCGCCATTGACCAATTCGAAGCCAAGGCTGTAAGTAGTGGGGCCTGTGTTTTTATATAAGGGGATAAAGAGAGAAAGAAAGAGAAAAATAGAGCATGAGAGAGACTTTTCTTTAAAAAAATAAGCGTGTAACAGAAATTTAACGCTTTTTTTTTTTGTAATTGATAGGTCTCCAAGGCTCAAAAGACTGTTCAACAAATCGAACTCGAGCTCAAGGATCTTCACGCTACCCTCAGCAACATTGAAGGTTCTCGTCCTATTGAACAACTTACCGTACGTATCACACGCATTTTATTTTGCATATAAAAGAAAAAGTTAACTGACATTTATAAATAGGTCGATGATATTGTCGTTGCTAAGCCCGAGATCACCAAGAACATTGAAGAGAGCCTCAAGAAGGGTAACTTCTCTATTCCTGGTTATAAGGAGAAGTTCGGTGATATTTCTTACTTCTAAATCACCATTTACGCCATCCTACTACTTTTTGAAACCGTCTTTTTTTTTATAAACATATACGATTAAAACCTATCCCAAACATATAAGAAACTATTTGTTTGTCACAATTTATGTAATCTCGTATGATCGTCTTTACGAAACTCTTTCGTTTTTTGTAAGGGAGCTGGAAAAAAAAAGATTTTTTGGTTTCATATCCACTCTATATAAAAATAGTCTTCTTTTTTTTTTTACTCAGCTACAATAATTCCCCTTCTCTTTCACTCTTTTTTCCCTTTTTTCTAGTATAATATGGATCACACGCTAGCATCTTCTTTGGCAGGTTACCTGTCAATTTTATGTTGGCTCATTGTTTTCACACCGTAAATATACACACGCTTTGATGGCTTGTTTGCGCGAATTAACCGCCCATTCTATTCTTATTTTAGGCAATTGTTGGAAAACTATAAACGCAAAAGTGGCGATGGTCTGTCCATGACCTTTTTGGTCATTTGGTTAGCAGGCGATGTCTTTAATCTTTTAGGTGTCATTATGCAAGATCTGCTGGTTACCATGGTAAACTCACAATTTTCCACATGTCAACTCATCATTAATAATCTCTGAAAAGTTTGTTCTGGCACTTTATTACACAGTGGCAGATATGGCCTTGATTTGGCAGGTCATTTACTATCAGCGTCAACAAAAGCCTATTGAGGAAGAAGTCTTTCCTGGAGAAAGCAGTGTGTTAATTGGACCTTCTTCGTTACCCACCTATGATACCACTACGATAAGTAGTGCAACCAACAAGAAGACCAGTCAAGCTAAAAAGACGAGATTATTTAATTGGACATCAGCCATTGCAATTGTTTTAGTGACAGTCATTTCGTGTTACACATATTACAATGCTCATTGGAAGCACAACCATCACAATGATGATGATACAAATCGATTGAACTGGCTTCCTCAGACGATGGGATGGACCAGTGCTGCTCTTTATGTTGGTAGTCGTATCCCTCAAATTTTGAAGAATTATAAACATAAAAGCACAGAAGGTTTGAGTTTTGGCATGTTCATCTGTGCAGTTTTAGGCAACGTCTTGTTTACCTCGGTAAGTTTTATTTTTGGAAACACAACATTTTTTTTTTAATTTATTCCTTATTTGTTTGTTTGAATGGGTCAGTCTATTTTCTTGAAATCAACAGAAAAGAGTTACATCCTGATGAATCTCTCTTGGATCATTGGAAGTACAGGCACTTTAATTTTTGACTTTATTGTAAGTACACGCCCTACCTTGTGTTATTTTAGAGTATTCAACCTTTTCTTTTTCTCTTTAATATAGATCTTTCTGCAGTTCTTTGTGTATGAAAAAGAGATTGAAAAATAATACCCCCAATCACTACCACATGCTATTTTTTATTCAAATATAGAAAATCCCGATACATTTGTACATTTAGCGTTTTTTAATTTTGAATTATTTTTTGTAAATATATGTGTGTTGTGGATAAGAAAGAAGGATAAAAAAAAAAAATTGAAAGAGAGAAAATATATAATAAAAATTTGCGAAAAAATATAAATTTTTGTTTGATTCCTTTTTTTTTTTTTACAGAGGAACAGACACTTGAGATGCATCAAGACCTAAAGCATGTAAAAATAAATTGACGTTGGCAATACGATGGCTAGCTTGTTCAATTGGCAAACGGTTTCTCTTTGCAAGAACAATGTTATCCATCACACGGTCCCTATATATTTCACCAAATTAGTCTCAACTACCTCTAAAACTCCCATGTTTCCTATTACCTGACTTCAGTCACCAAAATATGTTGTTGATCCATAGAGGCACCAACAGCCATAGCAGCCAGGAATTGCCATACATAGATATCATCGACAGCAAGTGATAATTGCATCATGGGGGTGTTGGGATTAATAGGCACCAAATAATACAAAGAGGGGAATATAGCAAGGTAACGGCCCTTGAGTGTATTAAAAAGACTGCCGTAAAGCTCTTGCCAGCGATGAGTCTCTTCTGGGGGAGGATGCGCTAAACCTTGTAAAGCTCCACCACCTTGCTTCAAAATCTCCGCACGAGACAAAAGCATTGTCAAAAAGGCCAAACCAGGCTTTGTTTGGGCCACCGTCAAAATGTCATTCTTTTCCAATAACAACAAAAGCAACCCGTTTACAATTCTAAGAGGGGCTTCAGCAATAAAGCCCAAAAGAGGTGGGATCGTATTATTCATGAATAACTCTACATCATCAAAAGTAACAAACATTTGCTTCTTGGCTTCATCGACATTGGCTACAGTCGTACCAGGATAGATGACATGACGGCACACTTGAAGCTTGGAAAAGTTACCAGCAAATACAGTCAACAAGGTCAAATTTTGGTCATGACTTAATTGACGTACAATACGAGGTATCAACTTTTTACCTTTACCGATCGAAAGCAACGAGATCAAAAAGGGCGTCTCGGCTGCCTCTGTCAAACGTAAGGTCTTCCATAACTTTTCTACCTTGGCTCCATACTTTTCATTAAACGCTTCAGCACGATCCTTCTCATCGTTTTCATCTTCATGGTTATGACGCGATTGAGGAGGTCCTTGACGATGCATTTGTTCGATTTCCAAAACAAGTGTATACATGTCCTCTGTAATCTTGAGCACAAGACGTTTATCATCAGCAGCTGTAGCTGACTTGGCGTGATTAGGTGTTTGAACATGATCTGCGGTTGATGTCGTAGTCGTAGGTGTATTTGGGTCAGACGAAGCACTACTCGTACTAGGCACTTGCAAAACTTGACGAGGATTACGAACCGTCAATGAGGTAATCTTTCCTAAAGCACCTTCCAAAGACACTTGCGTTTGCTTGGGTCGACGCTTGGCATCATTCACAATGCGTTGCAATTGTTGTTGCATACGTTGCATCATGTTCTCTTCACGACGACCACGACCACGGCCTCCCTCAGTTGATCCATGAGCACCAGTAGTTACTGCTGCTCCTGTTGAAGAAGTTGCTGATTGCAGAGGTAAACCAGCACGTTGACGAAGTGAGGAATACACTTGGTAGTAAAAATCATCCGCATAAGGATCGCCGGAAGCCAACTGAGAAAGTTGAATACGGTTCACGACATCCTTATCATGTTGAGTCATAAGCCCATCATATTGAGATTTACGGTAAAATTCTCGACGCTTCAATTCTCTTGCAATAGACAATTGTTGTTCCTTCATCTCTTGCTGTTGCTTCATGGCTAAAATCTGCATGGGATCAGGTTGACCATACGCAAATGGAGGAATGCCATGTTCTTGAGATGACTGAGCTTGTTGAGGTTGCCCTTGAACTTGCACTTGTTGTTGAGGTCGGGCAAGCGAAGCTTCCAATTCGGCCAAACTTAAAGTCTTTCCATTCATGGGAGGTTCGTTATTACGGTAACGGTTAGCTTGTTGACGTTGCATATCAGCCTCAATATCTTCCAAAGTGACAGGACGACGTTGTTGTTGCTGTTGCTGTTGTTGCTGTTGATATCCAGCCGAGGTAGTAGGTGACATACCTCCAACAAATTGTTGATGTTGATGATGTTGTTGCTGTTGTTGTTGAGGATGACGGTTGGCATTAGAAAAGGGTGATAATCCATTAGGGTTACCTGATAAGGATGAAAACCCACCATTGTCACCAGGTGAAAGGCCACTTCCAAAGTTACCCCAAATAGACTTGGAAGGTCCCATTGGTGAGGCCTACAATTTCGGATTTATCAGTCCCTTCCTCTCTCTCTCTCTATTTGTCATTCTCTGGTTTTAAATAAATCTCGTCACATACCTCTCCAAAGTTTCTTCCCATACCAGATGCAGTAACGGGCTGACGAACAGGAGGAGCAGCCCAAGGATTACGGAACGCACCTTGATTTGCTATATCTTCAAGAATTAATTTCAAACTTGTACAGCATTCATTTTGTTTAAACTTTACCTTGGTCTTCTTGTTGTTTACGCTTGGCATAAAAGGCTTCTTCCTCAGAAATACCTGCAGAGAATCTCTGCGTATTTCCAGAAAAGTCAAAATCTTTTCCTACAAGAAAAAAAACCGCGTGTTAAAAAGACATGACAGAAAGAAAAAGAAAAGATTGAAGAATATTTACCAACGGGAGCATCACCAAAAGTCATGTTGTTATTATCATCACCTTCTTCAATAAGCTGATCTCCAAGACCATCTTGCTTCTCTTCTGGCTCGTCATGAACACCGAGTTCATGACGAAGAGTAGCAAAATCATACACGTCAGCATCTACATGGTCGTAATTCTGAACTTGGTTTCTGTTATTGTTTCCTCCTCCTTGTTCAGTTAAAGCACGCATTTCATCCTCACTCAAAGGCGGTAGATTGGTATTAAAACTAATTTTGGAGATAATACCGTTACTTTCTGCTTGCTCTTAATTTTTTTTTTTTTTTTGACTTTACCCAAAAAATGAATCGCCCATCGATTATAGTATAATTTTCAATTAAACAAAAATAAAATTTTAAGAAGAAAAAAAAAGGGTTTTTATTTACTTTTGCCGTGCGTATGTGTATGTGTGGAAAAAAAAATCTCTCTCAGACTACGCGCGCGCTTCCAAATTGACTTTTTTAAAATTCAGATCAAATGAAACAGCTACTGACAAGCTCGGTACAGGTCTGTATTAAAATCAAGACATTCTTTCTCTTCTCTGGCATCCCCACAAGATTGAATTCTTCTTTCATCCAAAATATCACTCTGTCCATTGGTTTTTCAGTTGAAATCATATCCCTTCTTTATAAAAGTACGCATTATGTAATCGATAGCCTTAACAGTGATGTATTGTAAATATGCATGCAACTTACAATAGCGCTTTAATTCATAAAATACGAATGCTTGGTTAAAAATCACTTTAAATTTAAAATTTCATAAAACACGACGACAATATCATGCTGTAAGCAATTAGTCAACAGCTTACCTGTTCGGCGTTATAGGTGCAGTTAAATTACAAGATCGTTATGAAGTTTCGTATTTCCAAAAATGTCATCAGGTACTGAAGGTCTTTTTATACCCTTTGTAAATGGGAGCAGACAACTACACACGGATTACCTCCATATAGTGAGAAAATTACGCTTTCTCTCTCTACACTATTTGAACTTTTAAAATAAATAATATTAACAACATTGAACAATGCTATAAATTATGAGTTTTTATTTTTTGAGTATGGCTAAAGCTTTCAACAGAACGAGATGGAAACCATATTTTTTTTAAGCAACGCAACCTAATTGGCCTTTCTTGATCTTTGTATTTTAATGGGAAAGGGTACTGGGCGAGGAATCAGAGTCCGAGTTAGAAGCAGCAGAGACATTGCTGTTCTCCACCGCAGCAGCATCAGTAATATCAGCCAAATGTACTTGGTGGATCCTAACTTTTTTTATACACTTTCCTGTAAAGTATCGCTCAGCTTTTTTAGTTTCTAATTTTAATGGTTTAACAAACGCATCTAAAAAATCCAGTCTTCTCAAGCTAAACCTGATTAAGCCGAACATTTGTACTGGTTGTACTTAGTAGAAACTATCAATTTAAGCTTTCTTGGTTATAGGATCCTACTCGTTTACACTTTACTCTATGTACTACATTATACGCTGTAGTTTGTATGAACAGATATCTAACCCCTCAAAAAAAAAAAAAAAAAAAAAAAGCTTGGAAAGAAAACCAGGATTCCTCTGCTTTAATGTCAAAAGAGTCACCAAGGAAAAGACAAATTTGTTGGGGATAGGGGAAACGTAGAATGTATTGTCTTAATACCAATGTATAATATAAATTAGAAATGAGCTGCTCCAGTAATATAGGGACTTACCATGTAAATAAAAACCATTTCTGTCTTCCAAGAAATGAGTATGACTCGGTTTATGATGGAAGCCGCCGACTTCCTGGGACTTTTTTTTTTTTTGTTACACTGTGTTGTAGCTTCGGTTACTACGTTGCAGTTTCTAGCGAGAGTGGCGATTACTTGCTCAAAAATTTTATACATGTCATACAAATTTTGCTCCTGAAGTCTTGCAACACAACAAAGACTCGGTTTATCCACCTCTTCTGGGGCATCTGGCTGATTTTTATCACTTCCAAGTCATTGTGGTAACTGCACTTTACAGGCTCGAGTTTAGCGAAGAGAATCCATGAGACAAAGTTTTTGATACTCCAATGTGACAAAGTATGGTTCTTTGAAAAAATTGTTACTTTTACCTGAGCTGGGACTTTCCAACTGTATGGATTTATTGCAATTTGATATCAAAAGGGAAGACGTGTTTCAGGGCGTTTTGTACGGAGTTTAAACACAGTGTGAACACTCATTTGTTTATATTTGATTGTCTCAACCAATTTTGTTTAGATTTATTTGAAGTTTTTTTTTTCACAAACATACAGCGAAAAAAGAATTTAAAGACTCCCTCCATGTATTTTAAAATTGAAACTTGAAAACAAAAGCTGTAGTTTCTTTTTACTCGCTATTCTCAATATAGGACTACGTTCACAAACCAGTCCCGAATGAATAATATGCATATATCGACTCGTCCTATATTTCGGCTACTTGTAATCGCTTTGATGGTGGTAATTATCAGAAAGTGGCTTTGAAAACGTGTGGTTCCACTTGTGCCACATATAACATCTCTTGTGAATGTCGATTTAATCAATCGTGAGAATCTAAAATGGAATCAGTGTATCCATCCTATTTACTAAAATATAACTTAAACTCACATGTGCATTTGGATAAAAACATTGCAATTTAATCAAATGAATTTTTAATATTCTTATAGCGTCCTTATGTGATGATAAATCAAATCACTGCATTCATTCCACGTCATAATTGCGTATGATATACCATATTCTTACAAGTTCACTTTGAATATGCGCTGACAACCTTGTACAAGAGACAAAAAATAATTTGCATCGTGATCATACATGTGTGAATAAAAGGATGTCTTGATATAGTCTCTCTTTAACGCTTAGAAAATTGCTTTATTGAAACACCCTACGGCCACAGTCTACTTTTTTGTTATTATCACTAACTTACTAATACAGTAAAAAAAAACCCTCGTTATTTATAGGTCAAAATAATAGAGTATAGTAAAAATAACTGGTTATTGATTTTTTTTTTTTTTTTTTTATATATATATATAATTGTGACATTATGGCATAGATAATTAATTCATCGAGATGATGGTACTACACAAGAGGGTTACACTTGAGCACAACATGCGCCATCATTTTGTAATGGTTTGGGTTAGTGTAAAAGTTAATCCCAAATGACGAATAGATGTCAGGGATCTACATTTTTAATGTACACTGGTAAATGTGAACCAGGAATTTTTTTTTTTCATGTTATGGTCAAGTTGGGTGAAAAAAGGACAGACGACGAGCTGAATTACACTGATTTGTAAATATTCAGCTTTTTAAAATACAAATCAAAATGACAACAAACACGTTTTTAACAATGGATCTTCTGTGCGTGATAATAAAGTTTATGAGTTCTATTTAAGGCAGGTATAATCAGAAGAAAATATAAACTTGCAGTAAACAAGCAACTCTTGGACAAAAAGACATGAATCATAGGATGTTATTGTACTGTATATAGAAATTTGTTTACATGCATCTTCTTTATATAGAAAAAGAAGTAATTTTATTTTATTTTGGTTAAAAACATAAGATATTAAGATAATAATAGATATAGTAGGGAATGGTCTGGGACAGATGATGTAGATATATGTATATGTAAATAGTACTTACAAAGAAAAAGATGCTGATGGGGGGGGGAGGGTGGGAAGAGCGCTATTAAAGCCTAATAACATCGTTTTCTTGTGTTTCAAATTGTTGAAGATCAACAGATTTAATATAGGCTTCAGCTTCGGATCGTGTCATTAAGTTTTGTTTATATTCATTGTTTTGTGATAAGAGTTTCTGGATCCAACCTTTGGCTAATTTAAACACTTTAGTTGAACCTTTAATTTTCGAATAACGAAGTGACACAATCTGTACAGGTGATCCATCGTCATTAAATTTTGATGAGGCAATAGACGATATATCAATGGAGAATGTTGAAAATCCATCAGAAGAAGAGTCATCTTCTTCCTGTTCATCGTTTTCGCTTTGTTGAAGAATCTGTTGCTCTTGTTCTATCCTTCCTAAATTTAACAAGTCATGGCTACTTGAAATAGCGTGAGAAGAGGCGCTAAATAATTGTGTGCTATTATCCATATTTGAAAAGGTGAATTGCGCCGATAAACGATGTACTTGTCTTGACCACCATCCTGTATTTGACGCGCTATAATTTGATTGATTGCTGATTAACGAAGCGTGTTTGCGATTCAAGTCAGAGAGTCTATCATTTGAATTAAATATTTTGGATCGAAATAATGAATGTGATTGAGGAGGAGGAGGCTGAGTCGAAGATGGTGGTGGTGGTGGAACGGGTCGTTTGCTATTTTTGAGAGCTAAAAGTCCTACCAGTTGCGTACACGAAGTTTGATAATAGGTGATACCAAGTATGTCACAAACCATTCTAATAATTCGAATCATCTCGGATTGGTTTCTTTTGTCCTGCTCAGGATCAGCTTCGTCATGATGACAAGGCATGTTGAATTCGGGTTGGGTATTTGAAAAAAAGACCATAGATAATCGATTTGATAATTTCTTACGGGCTGGCACTTTTTTATCGACGGTGTTTGCAGTAGATGAAGAAACAAATGTGGATGAAGTTGAATAGCCAGAGACAAATGTTGTTGAAGAGGCTGTACGTATCTTGCATTGCATTGTAAAATAGGCAATGTGATCTTTTGTAACTCGCTGATAAAGCTGAGACAAGTTTAATGCAGAGGAAGTTTTCCGGAGTTGCCTTTCTTGATCGGTCCTCTTAAACTTTCGAAAAAGGTGACTGATAGGTGACCCCAATTCAGCAATATTATGGACTTGTTGCATGCGTACCTGCTTTAGTGTTACTACACACCCATAGAGTTTTTCGGACGTTCAAAGCTCAATTTTTTTGGTTAATCTTAATATGGACATTGTCGGGTTATAGAATTTTTTGTATTTCGGTGGAACCGTTTTTGCCAAAATAAAAATGGTTCAAATTGTTTAAAAATAATTATTTTGATTGGATAGAATTATAGGCTTAAAATGTAGATTTTATTTAAAAAAAAATAATGGATGGCTTGGATGCCATACAGCCTTGCCAGCCATTGGAAATCCCTTCAGGATGGTGTAAAAAATGCATAAATTTAATCCACTACTCCCAGAAGACTGTAAGACAGTATGCATTGTTCTATAGAGCATGTATAGCCAGATGCGTACAACAAACCTATAAAAAAATAGTTAGTAAATGATACTGGAATAGTTGAATAAAAATCACTTTACCTTATTTCTTGTGCCGTTCAGAGTAATCCGTATTTGACTAAAGAAGTATGAACGTTAATGCATGTTGTTTGTACACGAAAAGCAATAGACTTACCTCACTTCATTACGCGTTAAATCTGTTATAAAAAATTTTTTTAGTCTTCATTTGAACAAAAAAAAAAGTGCTAGCAATATACCTTCCACATAGATGGGTCAGTTATGAGTGTACTATTGAGCATAAAAGTGAAAAACTATAAGATAGATAGCTTTAGCGTTTATAAAGGGAATAAGAGAAAATAACTTACCAAGTTAAAAAGTTAAAGAAACGGAAAGAAAGACATGAAGAAAAAAAAAGAAGCTAAAAGAAAAAGAACCTGCTGGAAATAGCTGTAGTTCAAAATTCTGGTCTAAACCTTTGCATATAAAAAACCTCTAAGTCAAAAAAAAAAAAAACTATATCTCTATCTCTTTTACTTCCTGAATTATGAATACTCAACCTGAACAAACCAACGAAACCGAAAACCCCTATCGTTGCGATTTCAATGAATGTGGCAAGCGCTTCCGGCATCCAAGCGCCCTTACACGTCATAAAAAATCACATAAAATTACCGAAGCCTTCACTTTTAAGGCACCCATTACCCCAAGCAACACGGCCTTCAGGCGAGTGAATGGACCAGAAGTTACTGCATTACCTGAGTCGATTAGATCTACTCGCATCAGTCTGGATCGTATGGTGTTTCATCAAGAGGACGAATCTGAATGCCAAGATTACAGTGACGAGGAAGACGACGAGGACGAAGATGAACCTTTTGATGAAGACATTGAATTCACTGAATCCATTGTTGATGAACCGGAAGCTGTAGTCGACGAAATCGAGGATCAAACACCCATAGTTGTCAACGGCGAGTTTTTTCCTTTCAGGGATAAGATACATCAATTGATGTATCAATTCTATTATCGGTCTGGGGGTGACATATCTCAAAGTTTGATGAAAGATATTGTGAAGCTTGTCAAGGACGTCACTGAAGCCAAGGTTGCCTATCCCGAAGCCAAAGTACCTGCAGCTGATCTCATATTCAACTTTGATGATTCAAGAAGAACAAGAAACCAGATTCCCTTGCTCAGACAGACGAAGCACTACGTCAAGGTTCAGAAAAAGGTGAATGGTCAAGAAGTCGAAGAAGATCTCCCGTTCTATATGAATCCTCCCTCCGAAGTCTTGAAGTTGTTGGTTGCAAACCCTTCTGTCACTGATCATTTATCAAAACTTCCTGATCATACAGAGGGCGAGCTTGTCGATAGTTACCAGTCGAACAAATGGCGTACCCACAAGATGTTTCAACATCCAATGGTCTCTGTCATAATCAACAACATCCCAAAGGATATCTGGGTTGGTGATCTGATCAAAACAGGTCAAACTTTTGTGATTGTGGAGAGGTTTTATACCTTGAATCATTCAATCGTTATGGCTGAAGGTTACCAAGTTCTTCCCGTTGATGGTAGGTTATACCTCCACAACATGCCCAGGAAAGTTTCTGTCGAAGTGAATCTCATTTCAAGCATTTTGTGTGATCGCCCGGAAACTTTGTCATTGGATTTCGAACGTAATGTGCTGGATGACTCTAATCTCCTTAGAGCTTCTAGTACCATTATTAGTAGATTGAAAATGCCAAATCCTTTGAAGCGCCCCTCTCCTTCTTCTGCTCGTAAATTCAAGCCCGTTAAGGTTATTCCCCTGAATTTCTTTACTGATGATATGAGTGGAAATCGAACCAAGAAACACAACAAGTTTGATAGTTGGATTATGGTACCCGCCGCTTTGCCTCTTGCTGAACGACATGCACTTGAGAATACAGCCTTCATCTGTACAGATCATTTGCTGTCAGCAATGCAAATGCTTCCTGCTATTGTTGAAGATCTTTTGTTGTTGGAGAAAGGTGTGGAGATGTTTTTGCCTGGTGGTGAGGCTGTCGTTGTCGTTGCTCCGTTGCAATTTATCACTGCTGATAATGCGCGTCATTCGGAGCTTGCCTCTAGTCGCGGTGCCATTTCAAAGATGCCATGCCGAAAGTGTGTTTGGGAATTAAAAACCCCAGCTCGACTTGATGGCAGTGATTATCGTTGTGACCCTCGCTCTGAAAAAGTGGTTGCAGATATGTACGCGCGATATTTGGCTTCTGGCGGTGACAAGACTTTGTTGGTAAATGTCGATACTGGTTACAAACTTGTTGGTGGTCAGGCTCTGGTAGACCTTCAATCGTTCGATACGATGTTGGATTGTCCAATCGAGCTCCTTCATACGATAATGCTTGGTGTCGGCAAAGCCTTGGTAAAAACATTGTTGCAAGACCATCTGAATCCAACTGAGAAAAGTATCCTCGAAACAAGATTGCATGGTTACGTTAGCAAAGGGTTTACCCGAAAGCTGCGTTCATCATTGCGTCTTCATGGATCTTTCTTAGGTAGGGATTACAAAATCCTCGTTCAGCAAGTACCAATTCTGTTGAATCAATTGATCTGTTCTGGTGAAATTCGACGTGATGACGGTGTTCTCTTGATCAAGACCTGCTTTGAAAATTTGGGCAAGTTAGCTTCGCTTTCTTATATCAGCAAAATCAAGCATAAGTCTGATTCGTACCTGAAGTATGTGGAGTTCACTTACAATGATCTTCGTGTCTCGGTGATGGAGCATGATGCTTACATGAAGCGAAAGTATCCTAACAGAAGGGGTGGCTCCGTTTATAACTCCAGTAAAATGCACATCATGCATCATCTTGTTGATGATATTTATCGATTTGGATCCCCAATCTTTTATGAAACTGAGAAGGGTGAGCAATTTAATAAATTCATTCGAGAGTGTCTGTTTCGTACCAACAGACATAATCCTTCAAGAGATGCCGCTGTTGCTTTTGCAAAGAGGTTGATGGCTCGACATGTATTGACTGGTGGTTCTTGGTTGGTGGCAGGCCAGGATTATCCAGTTAAAGCTTCAAACAAAGTCCTCGAGGTTGCTGTGTCCTTCAAGTCTACTATTAGAGACTTTGTTGATAATGACGATGATGACAAGACCATGAAAGTTGGCTCAACCGGAATTTTTCAAAACGGAAACAACCTCTTTATCGGTGAAGTCGTCAAAATCGATGCGTTGACTGGTGCTCCCACCATCGTTGAATACGCTCTTTGGTGTGAACGTGGACCTGTGACAAGATTTGAACTTCTAAGCCAGTCCGACGGTTTAAACTCCTGCGTTTATTACGTTTGTAACAAAGACAATGGAGGAAATCTTGTTGTTGAAAAGCTGTTGCGGACGAAGTCGACATACAGAGAAACAGAGTGTCAGTTCGTGGAGATGCTTGATTTTTCAAGAAAGATGAACCCTCGTTTCAACTTAATCAACACCAGCAAGTTTGGCACCTTCTGGTGGGCATTGTCTCATAAAGTTAAAAATTTATAAAATTTGTCTTAATAAAAAATCATGTTCATGTACATGTTAATTTCGCCATGTTAATTTTTACTTAGAAGTTTTTTTTTTTTTTTTTTTTTTTTTTCGTTATTTCATTGGATGAAATGATTTTAAAAGCATAATTGTTTCCCAGAAGAGACTATCTACAAATTGAGCTAAGAAGATTTGGTGGGCTGGCTATTTTATTGGACGAAAGATTTTAAAAATAAAGTTTACATTCAGATGAGGGCACCTTACTATATAAGTTGAGGAGACTCAGTTGGTGTGTAGTATACAACTCCGCACATAAAATATTCGACACTTCCGTTTTGAGCCAAAAAAATAAATAAACCTACTCTTTCTTCGTTCAACGATTCTTTCATATTTTATTACACAATTTATCATGCCACTTACTGACATTACTAACAAAGTCTCTAGAAAAAGCAAGGAACTTTCAGATTTCGATCGTGGAGTCATTTGCGGTTTGGCAGAGCATGCCAAATGGACAGGTACCCAAATCAGCAAAGAATTGGGCGTTCCTAGAACAACCGTTGTTACGATTATAAAAAAGTATCGAACTGAAGGGATCACGACTGTCCAACCTCGTCCAGGAAGACCAGCAAAGCTGACAGCAAGAGCTGAGCATCACCTGACGCTTTTAGTTCGAAGGGACTCCTTTGAACCTTTAAGTGTTCATATGCAAAATCTTGCGAAGGCTACCGATCCAATCAGCCTGACGACATTGAGGAATGCACTTCGCAAAAACGGTTTTTATTCTTGCAGACCTTCCAAAAAACCGTTTTTGAGTCTTAGACATAAAAAAACGCGAAGAGAATGGGTCGACGACAAGATGAATTGGACATTAGATGACTGGAAGAAGGTAATCTGGTCCGATGAGTCGCGATTCGCACTCAGGCACAACGACGGTGGTGTGAGAGTTATTAGAAAGAAGGGTGAAAGGTATATGGATAGATTTGTTTTACCAACATTTAAATTTGGTAAGGGATCAGTGATGGTATGGGGATGTTTTTGGGCAGGCGGTTTGGGCCCTTTGGTGACACTAAAAGGGTCTGTCGATCAAGAAAAATATGTCAATTGTTTAAGTCAAAACTTTCTCCCTTGGCTTGAACAATTGACAGAGAAATATGGTCATGACTTTATTTTCCAAGAAGACGGTGCCCCATGCCATACAGGAGGATATACGAGGTGGTGGAAAGAGAAGGCTGGGATTGCAGGCTTTGAGCGATGGCCCGCTCAAAGTCCCGATTTGAATCCGATTGAGAACCTTTGGCGCCTCCTGGGACAAAGGATTGCTAAAAGAAGAGCCCAGCTTCAAAATCTTAATGAATTGGAGGTTGCACTTCATCAGGAATGGAAGTTGTTGGGGGATGAAGTGTGTCATAAGCTTGTAGAAAGTATGCCCGATAGATGCCGGGCAGTAAAAAAAGCTCGTGGCTCAAATACCACTTATTAACGTAAATAAAAAAGTTTCTTTTTACAAAATATATATATATATTGCTATTTTGTCAAGTTTGGTAGAATTTGAGATACCTTTTATTAACAAGTTTTTGGTTTTAAAAAAATGCATGACTAAAGGAACTCAAATTTTTGTGAAAAGTGTCGAATATTTTCGGTGCGGAGTTGTACTATTGTGTAATTCTGCCTTTGCCACCTTTTGTGCGTCCAAATTGATAGGGTTTTGGGAAGAATGAGGTGCTGTTCCCGTAAAATACGTGGACGCATTTGTAATATGGTAAATTACCGTCTTTGGAACCTTGCAGCCCCGCTTTTTTTCTTCGGTAAGATCTTGTAGATGTAACTTCTTACTATTTTGTGAGCATAGTTGAATCTTTGTATTGTCATCGTCTCGAACAGATGTTGCATAAGACTCCGTCACTTCGTTCGCATGATACAATACATTGGGTACGCGCTCTTCAAATACATCCGGTAAATTACCAAAATCGTTGAACCATGGATCGTTGCTCAAAAAATTCTTTAAACTTAGGCGATCAAATCTATCTACAGCCAAGAACTTTTTTATAGTCTCTTGAAGCTCTTGGCTTAATCGAGATGGAAACTGGTAGCGGTGACCGATGACAAGTTTCCTTAACTCAGGTTGTGCTATTATCATCAGTAATTTTTTTTTAGTTTAAAGATATAATATAGGGTATAAGTGCAACTAACTTTTAGCGTGTGCAAAGAGTTCAAGACCTGCTGTCATTCTATACAACATGATGCCCAAACACCACGAATCTACCTCTGGACCAACATAGGAACGCTGCGTCATTATTTCCGGGCTATAGTATAATAACGAACCACACACGGTTCTCAAACGCTGTAAACCAAATCTATTTCCTAATCCAAAATCCGCTATTTTGACATGATGATCTGGAGTTAATAATATATTGGGAGTCTAAATGTTATTGTTAGTGCATATTACATGCAGATAAACTATCAAAAAAAAAGTTACCTTAAGATCTCTATGTACAATCCATTTAGAATGGCAGTGGTCCACAGCTCTAACCACCTGACGAATAATATCACGCGCTTGCTGTTCAGGTATAGTGCTATTATCAATTGACTTGAGGTATTCTTCAAGATTATAACCTGGAACATATTCCATAATAATATAAAGTGTATCAGCGGTTTCATAGGTCTCGTACAATTTAACTATATTTTGATGATCCAATATTTCCATAATAGCAATTTCGCGTACCAGCCTGGACATGACACGGTATTTATGTTCCTTCTTGTTGATCATCTGGTTTTTTTATATATATTTATCATGCAGATTGCCATATTTAGTCAATACAAGAAATAAATAAAAAAAACAATAAACATGTTTAAATTTACCTTGATGGCAACTTTTAAACCTGTCAGGTAATGATAGGATAAAAGTACTTTACTAAATTTACCGCCACCCAATGGAGATTGAAATATGTAATCACCAATACCATCCAACAAGCTATCTGAATTAAATGGAGGTGTAGGCTTATTCTTTTTGACGATAGTGGAATCAGGAGGTGAGGGTGGCGCTACAGGAGCTGCTATTACTGTGTCATTGAGCTCGGCCGTCGTAGATCGTTGTCTCCATTTCGAAGAACGGAATGGGTTACTAATAACCATTTAAAAAACAAGGTGATGAAGGAAAGAAAAAAAAAAAAAAAAAAAAAAAGAGGAAAAAAGGAAAAAGAAAGAAAAAAAAGGGAAGAGAAAAAAGTTATATATTAATAGAGTAAAACTTGTTATATTGCACCAAACAGGTAAAAAGCATCATAGAAAATCTAATTTAGGTCTCGAAGTTGTGTGCGTGTGTGTGCGTAAAATACAAGGTGTAACATTTTTTTTTTATTATTTTTTTTTAAAGTGCAATCGCACACGACCTTTTTTAAAAACCAAATAAGCCATTTTTTGATAAAGCCGATTCTAAATGCACTGGTACTACTTTAGCCAACTCTTCTTCCTTCTTCTTATCCATCTTTTTTGAGGTTAAGCCTCCAATCTTTTTATAATATTCCACAAGTCTCTTATGACCTCCTGATTTGGCTAAATCATACGGTGTGGGTAATTTACGAGGGATATACGAGTTAAAATCACATCCAAATCTTTCAATTAATAACGTGGCTACTTCAAGATGACCTTGTCTAGATGCCCAATGCAGCGGTGTTTCTCCTCGGATATCTGCTTGTTCCAATGGTAATTGACATGCTTGTACCAGGAATAAAACAAGATCTGTATGACCAGATGCTGCCGCATAATGTAAAGCGCTTGCGCCTATTAGGAATTTAGTTTAGTACATTACACAACTTTTCTCTTTTTTGTCTTTTTAAAAATTTACCCATGCTATCGACTTGGCTGTGGTATTTTGGTGGGGTAAGGGAGACAATATATTCAACTACGGTTGTATGACAATGTTCAGCAGCTACTTGAAGAGCAGTTTTGTTTTTCAGACCTGCACCTCTTGAAGTTGTAAGATCTGCACCAGCTTCTACCAATGTCTGAAGTCCTGGGAGCCAGCCCAAACTTGCAGCTAAATAACCTGGTGTGACTTTGTCCTCTTCAGTTTGACTAAGTGTCATTGCATTGGGATTGGCACCGTGAGCAAGCAATAATTCCATAGATTGTGGTGCTTTAACTGCAATTAATGTATGAAGCATACCATAACCATATTTGACTACTTTTTGGCTGGATGATTGCTTTGCCGTATTTGGTGATCCACCGCGTCTTAAGAAATTACTATAAAAAAAAATTAGACCAATGTTTTTTCACCGCCTAAATCTATAATCATTACCTAATCATTTTCTCAATGGTTGAATCAGTTGTTTTACTTTTGGCGATGGTTTCCCAAAATGCATCGGAGCCTCCAAATGCAATAGGGTCTACCCTACGTTGTTGCACGACTTGTGGGTTTACCATACCGACAGCAGGAGCTTGACTTGTAGTGGTAGCTGAACGAGTGACTGTGGGAATGGGAGTAGCAGGAACAATAGAAGCGGGTACCGGACCAGCTTGCATGAGTTGCCAGGAACCTTTTCTGCCCTGCAAAAAGGAAATATTATCACCATCAGTACTGGCCGAATGAACACTTGCACTACCGTTATTAGAGTTTTGTCGAAGACGTGGAACAGGTGGCGCGGGTGAGAGTTCTGAGTTAAATGCAGACCAATATGGGCCGGATGCATTGGATGAAGTGGTGGAAGAGGATGAGGATCGTGAAAGATGTCGTACTTTATCAGTTGGTGACAACGGTGAGGTAGGCATAGGTGGAGGGGGTAGGTTGTATACTTGATGTGCACCTTCTGAGCCAGAAACAGATGAAGGCGGGGGACTTGTTGGTGTTGCACCGTAGTGTGACTTATCCAATAAGAATGAATTGTTTGAGTCCATCGATGGACTTCGAGGTCGACCGCCATTCATTGATGCAAATTGCTTATTTAACTCGGCTGCTTTGTCGTATTTTTTCTTGTAGAACTGCATTTCACGAACTGCTTTTTCATAGCGTCGCTGGTAATTATCTTCTGTCATTTGTAAATTTTCGTATTCTTGCTCGAGTATTTCTGAGCGTTGCTGTAACATTGAAATTAGTCTGTCATATTCAGTAGTCATTTTCTTAATTTCCAAGCGGACAGCTTGTTTAAGGTCTTCGTTGGAGATGTGTTGTGTTAAGTTGGCTAAATTTTCTTTGGGGCTACTGCGCTTAGACTGGTGTTGCATAGCCGCGTCATTTTCAGATATGTCAAATAACTGCATACGTTGGAGATTTCGAGTATATTGGTGTTCCTCTACAGTGGTAGGTGGAGTCATGATATAAATATGTATATATAATAAAAAAATAAAATAAAAAGAAAATGTACAAGGGAAAAAGAAGGTAAAAGGAAAGAGGAGCTAATGGAAAGAATAAAGTATTGCTCTAAAAAGTTTAAAAGAGGTACAGGGAACACAAAAAGTTTCTTTTTTCCCAACGGATATTGTGATTGCTGAGAGTAAAATTAGACGGCTAATTAAACGTTCTATTGTGATGTCCTAGCCACCCTGTGAACGAAATGTGCGTAGATCCATTGATCTTCTATTTGAGTACAAGCTATCTCCATCTTGCTATGAAAGTCAACCCACACACTGCTTTGAATACTCATATTTCCGCTCCTTCTCGATCTCAATTTGTCTTGGTTTTTCTCTTTTCTTTTTCTAATGAGGCAGGTCTTCTGTTCCATATTTTTCCTTTTCATGAGCTAAATTGCTTTTTTAAGCAGTTTCCCCAAATCATATGAGGACGTCGTACAGTTACATTAAAATTAAGTAGTCTCCGTTTAAATTTGTTTCAAACACAAGAAAAAGCAAAGACCAACAGTTCAGGTACAAACTACTTAATTGATCAGCTTGTTTTTTCTATATATCTATACATAAAAAAATGCTTCACAATTAGAATTGTTTTTGTATGAATACATAGCTCTTTTCTTTTTCTCTTTTTTAGAAGGATATACTACATTAATAGCATATAATCCTTTTTCTATTGACACATGAGACGCGTCTTAAAATTTTTGCAAAGGGAAAATCATGAGGGAATCTTCCATCATCACTAATAATATTACTGCTAATTTGATGAGCTAGTGGTAGCCTTTTTTTTCTTGTCACATGCAGCACACACTAACCTCAAAGGTCTATAGAACTATGCCAGAAGCTTAATTTAGCTTTCGCTTTTGACGGACCCTTTTGTGCATACTTGCTGAGGTAATGAAAGCTGTCTCTGTCCTATTAGATTGGTCACAGATTTCCCCAATTATCTATGCTGGGACATCAGCAGCTCTTTCTGATTCTTCCCACACACACTCTCAAATTTTATCAAATAATGGTGCTCCCTTCTAATCTTTACGTTACAACCCTGCTGTCCATGGATAATGGAGAAGCATTAGAAAAGTAGGAATATGGTACGACCTATTTTCCCGTTATTGGATACGATGGTTGTGGTTTGACCAGGATCCAAATGGCCATCTGAAACATGATCTATATTTTCCAACAGGGTAATATTATACCACAAATAGTACCGATCTTTGGGTGATTAGTCGCTTGATCAAATCCCATTCCATGCGACCCTAAAAAATACCTTTTTTATACCTGGTGTATTTCTTTACTGCTAAAACAACGACATCTCGGCCTATCATCTCATTTGGCTCTCTTGGAGTCTAGGCAGCATACTAGTTTCTGACCATTTCAGCATGGTAGTCAGTGCATATAACTCCGTCACCACGTTGTTGTTTCAATATAACAAAAACACAACATTCCTTCCATATACATGTATTTTTTTTTTCAATCTGTACGTTTCTATTTTGTGTGTATTTATAAAGAGTATATTGTTGATAATAATTGACACCACAATTTTTTTTTTATTTGCATAATTGAATTATGTTCTTGGACGTATTTGGTAATTTTTATACAATTGTAAATTATATATAAATATTTTAACGCAATTTAACAATTTTTAATATAAACAATACAGTACATGATCTTGTCGTCCATTTAGTACGTGATTACACGTTACACTGACCACCAGTAAAAAAAACCCACAGCAAATTAAATTTAACATGTAAATCGTCGTCTTTTCTCATTACTATACATTTTTGCCGATTGTGGCTTTACAATAAATGCCGTATGGAAATGTCAGAAAATGAAACGAAAAAAACTATGATGCCTTTTTTTTTTATTTGTTGGGTTAAAAGAGAAAATAAAACTGCTCACTTCGTTATTACCGCGACATCTTTAACACGATGTATTTGTGAATTAGGAAGGTCCCGTATTTACGCCTTTTCTACGATCACTTGTCCATTATTGAACGGATGCTTTATCTAATTCACTTTATGTGAGTGTTATCTATTGCAATCACCGAATGATACTTTTAATTGAGTTGGCTTTTTTTTTTTGATGGGGTTGTCTGACTGCCAATACTTTTTTTTTCGTCCTTTACGGCTCAAGTTTCCATTTTTTTTATTGGATCTCTCCCAATTAAAAAATAAATAAAATAACTGTTAGTGGTTCTTGGCTTTCTGAACAATCCTTACTGAATGCAATCAAATTCTATGCACGCCTATTTGTCACACTGCGCTGCATCTTAAAAAAAAGAACTGGGCAACAGTGCTTCATTGTTGATCCAGTCATTATCAATGAATGAAGATGCTGAGCTTAATTCTAAATTTAACAGCAAAACGAGAAAGATTAAAAATAGTATCATGTTTACTGGCATTCATGCCCGCCAGTCTTTAAAATGCCTAATACGCCTTTGCAATCAATATGACAGCTCGTAACGATCATATTTAGACCATATATTGCAAGAATGAAAACACATGGGGTTTTAATCTCAATTGAGTGTGTGTATTGTTTGAATAAGGTACACACATAAAATACAACTGTCGAAATTCGCTGTTGTATCAGTTCGTTATATCAGTAGATTTTATAGCACACTTCCTTTACTAGCAAATATTTGCCTTACTTAAAGAATAAGATTCAAAGCGGGTGTCATGAAAAATGGATCCAGTTGTATTTCTTTTATCTACAATTATTTTATAGCTTTGAAACTACTAGTTTTACGTATACCATGTAGAAGTATGGTACTGCAGTAGCTGTTTCAATATGTCAATAAGACACGTACATTGTTGATAAAAACTCTACATACCATGATATAAACCTTTGTCAAAGTTAATGATCGGAGATTTGTCATAAATGAGCACTTTGTAAATGCATAGATGAGTATGAATAAAGACGAATTCAATGGTTTATTTTGATGCAAAATCCGACATATCTCTGGTATGGACCTTATAACGTATTCATGACATAAAACGTACAACAAAGCAGCGCATCCCCTCCCCCTCTACAAACATTACACATTCATCATGAAGCCATTGACATTGTCCCTATTCTTGCTGACTTTGGGCCGGCCTTCTGATTGACATTAAACATATTTTTAGCCCATTATAGTTCTAAGCTACAGGAAACTACCTCCATTCGATGCAATAAATTAAAATTAACCATAAACAACTACATGCTATATTTTTACAACATAAGATTTGAGAAGAAAGTTACGTCATATTACTTTTGGGCTGGGTTGTTGATCCCTGGAAAGAGAATTTACGGGTCTATGGAAGCTTATGGAAAAATCCCTTTTTATCATCATAACTGTAAACCTACTCAGATCTCAGAACTAAAATTTCTGAATCTTTATCTTGGGAATCAGACCAGCGCATGGGAAATTTAATATCATTTGTACCAGAACCTATGTCAATACGAGGGGTGAGGGTCGAGTAGATGAAGGAGGTTACGCATGGTTTAGTTTTATTTAGAGATAATAGATATAGCAGTAGCTATAGATTTTTTAGGTCTTACTGTAAACACCAAGTAAATCTTTAGCGAAATTGATGGCTGTAATTAGCCAACTATATAACATAAGTTGTTGATTTGAGACCTCAAAATAGATTGGCTAGCCATTATGCAAAAAAAATAAGATAGTCAGTCCCAACTTTAAATTTGCCCAAAAGTGTAAAAACTGGTTTGGTCAGATTGATAAAATCAGTAGTAAATGACACTCCGAATTCTATGGCAATCTCTCCTCCGGAATTGTATCTTTGAGTTCACACGACATTCTAGATCAAGTGAATAAACGACTTGTTTACATCATCGTCAAAACATAAAAAAGTAAACATGAGAATATATATGGGATAGTTTCCACGTAACATACTTTAGCCTAGACTTTTGCTCCCAAAGGCACAATAACTATTAATCTGATGATTTGACTCACCACATGAGCAGCAAGAGTCAGTCCTACCAGCATAGATTTTCAATTTATCTTTTTTTATATTAAACTTTAAATTTGACATTTGGAGAGCGGTTTTTCGAAAAATATACCTGCTGATTTTGCATACCAAGGTTCAGTGATTACTCTTCATATCCAAGCTTTTTCAAGACATTATATGATTTAGGTACGTCATCTCTACTTCTAACAAAAAAAAAAAGCATTACCGTATTCACAAAGCCCATTCATCTGAACTGAATGGAACTCAAAGAGTATAAAAATAGATTTTGGTGATCGTAATATTAGACTTATTTCTTTGTATGACTATGACGAAACATGAATTCTCAAGCTCGGAAGGAAAAGGAAGACTCATGAAATATATCACGCTTTTTTTTTTATAATATTGATAATAAACAATAAGCGATTTGAATGATGCATCACATATTTTAACGGATGGGGGAGACCGTATACCCAGAGGCGCGAATGGTGCGGAATCTGCAATTAAACTTCCGTCTCGGCCATTTTTATTTTCTCTCGGGATGACAAGGGGAGGGTACGGCTGACTCATTCAGCTTTTTTAAATTGAAAGGTGTAGATTTTTCTTTTTCGTTCAATAGATATAAATAGATTATTCTTAAAAATAAAACTCTTCGTCGCGTGTCCACACCTGGTTATCCCTCTTATTGCCGGATCCAAGCTCTAGCTAAAAACGACGTTAAAAAAAGAAGAAGATGCTGGACTTGACGTCCGACGTGTCTGACTTATAACCAACTATCAACTTGTGGGTAAGTCTTATTATGATTTTTTTATTTGGAGATTGTTTATTTTTTTGTCACTGTGCATGGATGGTTGATTGTTTGTGCTACAGATAACATCAATCTATATTTATTATTTTGCCCATATAAACATATTATGAATGAAGAGTAACGTAAGAAACTCCGAACTTTAAACTGATTAACATAGATAATTGTTATAAAAATTTTTTTCAAGTCATTTTTACGGAGCTAACTTAGAGTGTAAACGTCAACGAATTTTGCTGTTCCTTATGCCCAGCGTTATCCCCGTCTCAATTCTGATTTCCCGAGCCTTTTGTGGGCCCCAAACTCTATTATATTGTTTGTCTCGAACATGGTGGATGATCTACAATACACCATTTGCTAAAGTTGTGTACAACAGTAGAAGTAGAAAATCTCTATTTTCCATTATTATTTAACTGTTCGAATGTAACAGTAGCTTTCTGATGGTTTTTTGGCACTATTAATAAGACGCAAGTCAGTAATTCAAACTAAACTCTGTAAGTGTTTACGGAAATATCTGTACATCCGTATATTTTTCATCCACGATATCGACACCCTCATGTTTTATCTTAGTTTTTCCACGTCATTTTAGAGCCACATTCTTTTTCTTACATATTCGGAGATCATCGCTATACGATGAATACCTCCTAGGTTGGACTCTCAGGTTTTGAATGAGATCGCTGTAGGCGCATAATTTATATTATAGACTATCCTCAGCCGTAGTGTTGCCAAAGTTGGACTATATCTTTAAAAAAGAGATATTGTCTTTTAGTATTTTTTGAAAAAACAAAAGTCATTATTAATAACCTTTTCACGATATTTATTACTTTCCTTCATACAAAACAAAGCAATAAGTATAAGTAAGTAAAATTGGCTCAATCACTTTGGTAAAGTGTGTGAACGAGTTTTAGTCAAAGATTGACAAACAAGAGCTGAGGGTTGTCAGAATGATTTAGTTGTTTAGGTAGTTCCGACTTTGTTAATTTGTTTACCAGTGTTTCAGTAGTAGCATATACTAATAGTGAGCATGCTTCATGAAAAACCGAATTGATCATCCCGCTAAGTCTGGAAAAAGTTGCAATGCTATAGCATGTGAATTGACGCAGGTGTAGACATTACTGAATTGTGCGATACTCTTTTCTAGAAACATACCACACTGATATTTTAAAGATGTACTTTCATCTCTTTTCTTGTGCCATCGTTTTGGCAGAAGATGTAGTGATGTAATTTGTAATTGAAGGGGGGTTTTTTTTTCGGCAAGAGGGATGGTAGGAAACCATGATGCATTTTTCCTCGGGTTTATATTTGACTTGCAGCTCCCCTGGATATTAAAATGATTTTACCAAGGACCAAGAAGATTTCGGTGAAGACCCTCTATTTCTGGCAAAAAAAGAAATGAACGGTTCTCCTTTATTTTTTTCATTTTTATTGTGATTTGCAAATAATAAACTCTCCATCGTGTGTCCACACTTGGTTATCCCTCTTTGTGCCGGATCCAAGCTCTAGCTAAAAACGATGTTAATTTCTTTAATATTTGCAAGCTTCGAAACCCCGGACGGCCATAGAATAACTACATAAACAACTTGTGGTGGAAACTATTTATCGATAAAATATGTTTATGTATACTTCTTTTTTTTTTCTGTTTTTCTTTATTCAAATTTGTGTAGTACTCAACTTGGAGTTGCTTGTTGAAGTGATTTTTTTTTTTTTTTGACAGGCTATATCCAATTTTAGAAATGTGCTTCTTCCGAGACACTGCAGCAACCGCGGTGAAAGGCTCGGAGTTAAGACCCCTTTTTTGTAACCTTATCTAAATTGATGCAGTCTGCACAGCTTTCCGCCGCCTCTCACACAGACGATTATAGTCAGAAAACCCCAAAAATCGAGGGAAAAAGAAAAAATTATGTTTATTTACATGTTACATAAAAAGAAGAGAAAAAGAAGATAGTAAGCCAAAAAGAAATATAAAAAGGAAAGTAAAAGAGAGAATGAAGGTATTGAAATTGCAGCGTATTATGTGAGGGTGAAAGGGGAATATTAATTATTTTTAGTACGTCTTGCAGTGGGAGAATATCGTGAGCCTGTATTACTATTGATGCTGGTTGCAATTGAACCAGAGGAAGACATGTGTCTCTTATGCTTTTGACGTCCATTCGATCCAACGCTTGATTCATCACCTTGTGAGTATTGTTGTTGTGGAAAACGACGTTGGCTATGACTGGGTGAAGTCATGGGTTGCATCGACATTAACCGAGGATCCATCATCATCATCGGTTGAGGCATCAAGCGGGGGTCCATCATGGGCATCAATCTGGGATCCATCATGGGCATCATCATGGGCATCATGCCATTAGCATATTGCTGCTGCATATACTGAAAAATAAAAATGTTAGCCTGTGCAGACTGAGTGCATGAAGCACGTTTGTTTCTCTATGTACCTGTTGCATCATCATTTGCTGCTGTCTTTGATCCATCATCATACGTTCTCGCATCAATAATTGTTCATCCATCAATGCACGATTGCGGTTCAAGTCTTGAGATTTACTTTCCTTTTCGGAAATGACACTTAATAGTCCATTGCGTGGAGCTGATTTTTTAACAGGAGCTTGTACCAGCGGTTGACCCGAGGCTCTTAATTTCTTTTCCAAAGTGGTTGATGTGCGACGATCATGATGGGCTTGTTCTAATAAACTGTTTTGGGTGAATAGCTTTTCTGAAGAAGCAATTGGCATATCATCATCGTCGTCGTCGTCATCATCATCATCATTATCATTGTCGTGAGTTGCCATACTAGCTGGATAGCGGGGCATCGAATCTCGCTTGTTGAAATAACCAGAGTTATTATCGGACATCATTCGTGGTTCGACAGATGAAGTTTCCCAGTTTTTGGCAGGGGCATACTCACTCGTGACAATGGTACCTGTTGAACCATACATGGGCCAATGTGGAGACGATCCAGCCTTCTGAGCAGCGTAGAAAGGTGGTTTTAATGAAGATGAGGAAGAAGAAGATACTTCCGAGTTTGATTTAGATGCATTGGGAGTGATGGGTTTTGTGAATTTGACAGGCTCTTGTTTCTTCTTTGGTATTTTGAATAATGATTCATCGCTATCGCTATCAGACTCTGATTCTTGCTCAGATTCACTGACATCACTAGCACATGTTACGGTTCTTAAATGGGTTTGTTGAACGGGGATATTATTATTTGATAATACAGATTTAGTGACGGAAGATCGACGTTCCTGTTTCAGCCTAGACCCGTTTTGTAATTTATCCAGCAAGATATTTGAAAACTCCTTCTTGTTTTCTAACAGGCCCTTTTTCACATCCACCCAATTGACCTCTTGTGGCTCCAAGAAGAGGCGAGAGCTGTCCATACTTTCCGCAAAGTTTAATGCAGACGACAAAGTGGAGTCCTGTAACAAGCTGGTTGGTTTTCCATACAGTCCAAATGAGTTGAAAGTGGCAATCAGCCAATGAACTAACTCGTTTGTATTGGATGTCATTAATAAGGCGCTCGAGGAATCGCTTACTAATTGGTTGTTCTTGTTGTATAAACTGCCTTCTATTTTAAATATAGTTGCGATATTAATTAACTTGGGTGATTCAGGATAAATGGTGTAAGCTTGTACGACATTTTTCATGGTCATGAATGGATGTTTCGATTTTTTGGATTCATAAAAGAGCACTTGACCGTTTGTTTGGATGAGTTTCTTTGAGAACATCTTCTTTTCTATTCTTGTGTTGGATACGACGGACCAAAACTTTTTCCAGCCGGTGGAACCAGGGAATCTGACTTGAAGAAAGCCTTCCATTTTTAAAAGAGAAGATTGATTGAGGATGGGTATAAATTGTTGCCTTGTGATAAATGACTTTGTGTATATTTCTTGTAGGTGAGAGCATTCAAAGCAAGAAAGTCTAATTGCAATGATCCATTTCGATAATGTTTCTTTATTTGGCGCCTGTAAAATAAATCGATTGGCACCAGCGGAATTCAAAGAAAATAAATTGATTTTTGTTTCAACAGTTAAACAATTTTCTATTTTAACAGTTGAATCCGTGATGTTAATATATTGTGGGTAGACATTTGTTGTTGTTATTGAATTATCCCAAAGAGTCAATACCGGTCCACACAATTCGACGTACCAAGAACTCCATTTCTTTATTTCACAATTATTACCATTTGAGTTCAAATCATTGCGCTTCTCTAAATACCCCTCTATATACACTTTATCCGTATACTTTTCCATCAAGTCATGAACCTTTTTGAATTCGGTAGCTGGAAATGTCATTGTATCTGAATTCGATTTGATGGGCTTTATAAATCGATTGGGTCGAGTCGATGACGTATTGCACTCAATGTAATTTCGAATTGACACTGGTCGTTGTATTGTGCTTCTCTTTGTTGTTATGATTTCTTCGGGTTCTTCGCAGTATTCTATTGGCTCCTCCATATTACTATTATTATTGTCTTCGTCATAACCGTCGTCATGGGAACCAGTATGCCAATCAGGTTGATTAAGTCCATACTTTTCTAAATATAACAATCGTGAACGTCTACGTGTTGCCATAGACACCTTTCTCCTGGTCGGCCTGGTCTTCCTTGGTGCCGTAGAAGCACTGCCATTATCTGAATCTATTTCCATTTTGTTGTCATGTTCTAAATAAGTTGCCATTTAAAAAATATATATATGTATATTTTAAGAGAAGAAACTAAAATAAAATAAAAAAAAAAAAAAAAAAAAAAAAAAAAAGGGAAAGAAATAAATAAAAAAAGGTATTTTTAAATAAAAATAAATAAAAATAAAATAAAAAATCAGGTGAGTCAGATGAATTAAGGAGAGAAAAAGGTGTTTTTTTTTGCTTTTTTCTACATGTATATTTCAATCATGACAGCTGTAAAAAATTATTTTGCTTGCCATCTTTTATATTTTTAGTATTTCATTTGGACACTAAAAATCAATTGGTTCCATCAAGGCCTTGACTTATGTCACTCAACATGTGCGATATTTATTTGCACACGACAAAAAAATCTCTCTCTTTACTTTTTAATTTCAAATCCCGATTTCTTATATTTTTTTTTTCTCTTCCCACAGCCCTTACTCTTCTGTCTTCAATTAATAATGAGCCGTCCACTTAAAGAACGCGTTGCTAAGGTATGTAGATCAAGCCGGAAACTTTGAATAGTCAATTAATGACTCTTGTTCTAGATCACATCTATGAAAGATGTCGAAAAACAATATAGCATGATACCCAAGCTTTTTAAAGAAAAAGAAACAGATTCTAATTGGGAAGGAAGACTCGAAGTCTTTAAAAATTTGCGCGAAATCCTCCGTTGCTCAGAACTTCTTTCTGAGCATAAGGAGGATATTAGCGCCGGCCTCTGTAAAGAATTGCCGGGCCTCGTCCAAGCAGTAAGTTTTAATAAACAACCCGACAAAAAAATATTCAGTTACAAGGCACTTACTACCTCCATCGCAACTAGGTTCAAAGCCTCCGAAGCTCAGTAGGTATTGAAGCCCTGGCTTTTTTAACTGAGCTCAGTAAAAAGCTGGGCCAAACACTTGATCAACGCACCGTCGTTGTTATCGTTGACGCGATGTTAAAGTGCAGCGTCAGCACAAAAAAATTAACAATGCTGAAGCTTGCTGAGGCATCCGAAGAATTCTATAAAAGCACCAACTTCCACCTCTCCGTGCTTTTTAAGTTGTGTAAAACAAGAACCGATAAAAGTGTACAGCTCCGTCAATATGCATGTACGAACATCAAAATCATCTTGGAGACACATGCATCCAAAAAACATGTCAAAAGAATCATCGATACGACCACTGGACTCTCCACCATCGAAGCATTCTTAAAAACCGGTCTTTCGGATGCTTCACCTATTGTAAGGGAATCCTGTAGAGTATTATTCAAGACATATAATAAGTTATGGCCTGACAACGCTGGCACGTAAGTATGAAAAATGACCTAACATATGCATATAAATCGTAGTAACTAAATTTTTATTTTTTATTTTTCATTACCAGACTTTGTCAATCATTGGACTCAGCTACTCAAAAACAGTTACAAAAGACGGTACCCGTTCTGCGATCTGTTAGAGCATCCACCGCATCACCAAATACACGAACTGGATCTCAAACACCCTCACCCACCACCTCCAAAGTGCTTTTAAAAACCAAGACACCCTCGCCAACCACCTCCAAAGAAAATATACCTCGCCCCAAGACACCATCACCCACCGGGTCCAATCTGCTCGCAAACTCAAAGACACCCTCACCCACTACTTCCAAAGCGCCCTCACCAACCACCTCTAAACGAATTGTACTTCGCCCCAAGACACCATCACCCACCACGCCCAACCTGCTTCCAAAACCAAAGACACCCTCTCCTACGACTTCGAAGCTGCTCCTGAAACGCAGGACACCCTCGCCAATTTTATCACGAGCAGCCATGAAACCAACTGTAGCGATTAAGGCAGCTAAAGAGGCTAAAGAGGCTAAAGAGGCCAAAGCAGCTGAAGCGACGAAAGAAATGAACAAGTCTGCCGAGGAAGCGTCTCTTTTGCTTGGGATGCTCAAGAACGACGATCCGCAAGTCCAATGTAACGGCTTAAAAATATTGGCATCTAGATTAAAGACAGTAGAATACTCGCCAACATCTGCTGGTACCAACTTACCGGCTAATGTACCGAACAAGATGGACTTGCTGAATATTCTGATGGATTTGTTGACAAGAAATGATCGGGATAGAGCAGTGTATGAAGCCTTAATGGGATGGGAAAGTATCGCAGGTATTTTTATGTATATCATGGCATTCAACTACTACTGCCCAACGCTTGTGATTGCTGCACATCAACGACTTGAAAAACCAGCCAAAATCACTGAAATCAATCAGATATACAGCAAAGGATTAAAACGCGTAAAGATGTTTTTAAAGCGAAATGATCCCTTGTTGGCTAAACGATTATTGGACATGCTGGAATCACTTAAAGGCGATCAAAAACTGTTAGATGCAAGCGTCAAGCAAGACTTTTTATTGAATCCATCCTACAAGCAGGCCTTGCAATGTGGTTTATTAGCTTGGATGAACGAAATCTTGGGAGATTATGTTGGTTTGGCAGAGGATGAGGATCCCGAGACATTAAAAGAAGGTGAAGGTTTCTTGGATGTCGTGAACGGTGGATCGTGTGCTGAAGAATGGTTTGATTCCTCACAGAACATTCAGTCTTATGTCGCTTTTGTTATTGGATCATTGTTGGATACAAGCAGTCTGGAAGAATCGTATCCTTTACTCTGTAGCATGGCCCAAAAATTAAAATTGGCAAATCCTAGAGTATTTGCTAATGAGACCGTCAATTCTGAAAATCAGGTACGCATTGAGACTGCCTTGATGCCACCCGTGATTACAGACAAGAAGCCCTTGGCACGCTCTGCTCCGTTTGACGATGATTTGCACGTTGAGAAAAAACGACGTCAAATCTCTGCATAATGGATGAATCAATATAATACTGCGTAGAAATCAAACGAATCACAACAACAAAGAGACGAACAATATAACTATCAATGCGTATTAAAATAGGAATTACTGTCACCCTTGAACAAATCACTGCAGCTATTGCTAGCGACATCAACACCAATTAGAAAAACATTGCTGCTAAACGATACAAGACCTTGGGTCTCACTCTTGTCAGATTTGGGCTTATTATTATTGCTTAAAAAAATCAGGAAAACTGGTAGCAGATACCGATTGCGTATCATCAAGAACAAGTAAGATGAGATAAAGTTTTATAAGAGACTATTCGATTTAGTTACTAGTAATTTTTTTTATAAGGAGACGGAGTCTCTGATAATAAAGGGAAATAATCACAATTGTGTTTTTGGGTTTTCTATTTTAGAGTTGTTTTTTTTTTTTTTTTTTTTTTTTTTTTTTTTTTGTTATAATTAAAGTATGAACAGGTTTAAACTTTAGAAAAAAATAAAAGCAGTTTTAGCGGAAGCCTGAGCAACAGAAGGGCTTACCAATGAAGGGAGTATAAAAGCTGTCCTCAGAGAAAATAGGAGGGGGAGAATGAGGGGTGCCACATTGAAGAAGTGCTTCATGTTGAGATTTTAAAATCTTTTTGGACGTGAGGGAGATAGTGGAAGCAGTAGTAAAAGGAGTGTCGTTAAAGACAAAAGCCCAATGGCACAACCAAATTGATTCGAGAGTAGCAGAAAGAGCGAGAAGCTAGAATCAGGAAGAAGTGGCATATTGGGCAGAAGGGCACGAAAAGTATGAAGACTAACACGCAGGATATCGGTCGACAAAGTGATAGAGGATGGGGAGATATAGTGATCCTAGATAGGTTGCCAAACGGGCAGTTTTAAAGGACACTCAAACAAAAAATGATCAAGAGTTTCGGATGGATGTGAGCATAATTGACAAACTGATGTTGGAAAGTACGCTGGCATAAATCTATGCAGAATAGATCTATGAGGAATTTTCTTATGAATATATCGATACCAGACATTGCGGCAAGAATGTGACAAGGAGAGATTCCAAAATTTAGACCAATCCGTGGATAGAGTGGGTGCAAATGGAGGAGGAAGAGAATGATGGATAGGTGAGGGAGAACACCATTGACGGAAAATCTTCGTGGTTAACGGGTCATCTGGAGAACCGGGAGGAGAAACAAACTGTAATGCAATTAGGAATGGCGTGATATCCACTACCGAGTGATCGGGAACAGGAATATAGCCGGAGGCACGGGAAGGAGGGATGAAAGAGCGAACAAAGAAGGGCAGAAGTGCAAACTCATCATTGGCCACCAAACGAAGGATTTGTCGAGATAAGGACGGGTAGATGGTGAATTCTGTGGAACGTTTAGGGCGTAAACAGTTTTCGTTGGCTGAGTCAAGAGTATAAGATACGGAACTAGGCAATTATGCCATAGATCGACGCAAAGCAGACAGCTGCGAGTCAATGATAATGGGAGTCATTGGAAGTTTTAAACAAGTAGCAGCGCTGATAACAACATCCGTGTATGATTTAGGTAGTCGATCAATGGCTTGGAAAAGTAGATATAGAGACCCGTTAATGTTTTTGGTAGCAGGCGGACGACGTGTAGGAAATAAAAAATAAAACCGGTGGTCAAAATCTTGAGGAGCAGTTGGAAAGTGATTACCAGATACAGATGTGGAAACTTGAGAGTACAAGAAGGCGATTAATCGAGGCAATACAAAAGATGTAAAATGCGGGGTAACAGAAACAAATATATCAGTTGGCGAAGACATGAGAGGTTGTAGTCAACGCAGTTGTAATGCTGATTGTTGTAAAACCGGATCAAGTACACCTAATCCACCACAAGAACGGCTTAAACAGGCTGTTGCAAAGGTGATCTTAGGAAATATACGAAAATGATAAATTTCGAGATCACGGATTGTATAGACTTGAAAAAGGACATCGGGACCGAGACCACGCGGAGGACATACCAGAGTTTACTGAGTACCAGAGAGCTTAAAACAGTGACTTTCCCCCGAACAGATAAACCACGCTGTTGGTGAATTTGGCAGGCTTTAGAAACCTTGTCCAAAATACCATCAAGAAACAAGTTACGCTGAGAAGTTGAGGTGTATAATGGAAAACCCAAAACACAACCAGAGCAGGGTATTGACAATCATGCCAGCTGGTGATGTTATAAGACAGCAATGCTGACCGCCAAACCGAATTGTAGATGTAAGAAGCTCCAGATAGTGAGACAGCTTCAGTTTTATGGAAGTTGACTTTGGCGTTGGAAGCACGTGGATAAAGAGACAAATGGGCCTGTAGGTGTGTCAGTTCACTAGGAACATTCAAAAGGCAGATGATATTGTCAGCATACGCAAGTAATTTGACCGGATCCACTGATGGATTGGTGACATGAGAAGGTAATCTATACCCCATTATTCGGGAATCAAGTTGGATTTTGCGAAGTAGAGGTTCAAATGCTAAATTGAACAAAATAGGACTAATAGGGTCACCTTGCTTTAAACCACGTCTTTGAGGAATACATTGTGACAAGAAACCATTTACGTTAATTTGTAAGTCAGTACTAAAGAAAAGACGATCAATACAGTCTACCACAATGAGAGGGTATCCAAATCGGAGAAGTACGGCACGAAGGTAATCCGGATGGACACGATCATAAGCTTTTTCTTGATCTAAAAGTAAACCTATACCAGAAGATGAGGATATGCGAGCTTATTCCATAACTAGCTTTATGAGGAGACCATTATCTGCGATGAAGCGACCTCTAACAAAACCCGTTTTTTAGTTACTAGTAATGATTATGGAAATAAGAAATCCTATAAAATGTAGAAATAGTACGTGCCAAAAAATACTTAACGGTATCGACTCCCCCTAATAAACATTTATAAATGGCTGGTCAAAGCAAATTACAAAGATAATTTTATTTATCCATATTGTGTAAAGTTTCATATGAATACAATTTTATTGATGAAGATATCGGTCCCAAGGACGAGCGTGATGCTCCTCAAAAGTATTTTTGTTTCTATGGAGAGTGATAAGTTGAGGCTTAAATGTAACGGTTTTGAAAGATTGGAATTATCGTGTGTAGAAAAACGGTTATCTTTTCATTGAAATATATGAGCTTTGGATCCTTTTGTGCGGCTCATAAGCGACGTCTTACGGAGCAACACAAGAAAAAACGGCTTGATTGAGCCAAATCTCACGTCAATTGGACCATGGAGCAGTGGAGAAGCGTCGTTTGGTCCGATGAGTCAAGTTTTTCTATTACAGGCAATGATGGAGGTAAGCGAGCAATTCGTAAAACCAGAGAAAAATATTTGGATAATCATATTGTTCCAGCAGTAAAGTGGAGCGGTGATGGGTAATGATTTGGGGCGGTTTTTGGGGCGGTGGTTTCGGACTTCTGACGATCATGGATGGCACTGTTGATCAAGACAAGTACATCAATATTTTAGCAGGTGATTTACACCCTTGGTTCAACAACTTGAATAACAATGGTAATAGAGAATTTATTATACAAGAAGACGGAGCCATCTGTCATACTGGGGTTTATTCTAGGTGGTGGAAAGTGAGCCATCGAATCAGAGGTTTTGAGTACTGGCCTGTTCAAAGCCCTGATTTGAGCCCCATCGAACATCTTTGGTGGGATCTTGAGCTCAAAATACGTGAAAGAAGACGATAGATAAACAATGTCAAAAGTTTAATGGCAGTTGTTAAAGAGGAATGGGAGAAATTATCTATTGAGCTTGCAGATAAATTAGTCTCGAGTATGACAAACCGATGTCAGACTGTAATTGATGCTCGTGGTGGTCCAACCAAATATTAATTTTTTTTACAAACTATTTATTAAAATATAAGTATATTGGGTGTATTTGAAAAATATTTCAAGTTTTTTGTGGTTTTTTGGGGGACTTATGGATGTTGCATTTATTTCTGTTTAAATTCATGCCAAATTTATTTGTACATTAAAAGAAAATTGCGGAGATTTTCAATTTTATATCGCTCTTTCTCTCTACGAGCTCGTTCTTGCTTATAAGCGAGTTCTTCTTGTCGCACTTTTTCCATAAAGCTAGAGAATCGAAGATATTCTAAAGGAGGTATAATGCGTTGAGGTGCCTCCATTGAGGGCGACGAAGAAGATTCTGTTGAGGGCGGCAAAGGAGATTCTGTTGAGGGTGGCAGATGATTATTTTTTGAAGATGCTAGTTCAGCAGATTTTGAAGATAATAAAAAATCTGTGCTTGATGGTGGGGTATGATATGCTGCGGATGATGCTGAATCAATTGATGATAATGATGATGATATTAAAGAACGTTCTTCTGATGGAATTCGTGATTTAAAGGTGGGTGATGTTTGTGGTTTGGAAGAGGATGGCACGGATGAAATAAGTGTTGGTGAACGTTGAAATGGTGGAATATGTGATAATGCTCGGGGGCATGTGAGTGATGTTTTTGGTTTGGAAGAGGATGGCACGGATGAAATAAGTACTGGTGAATGTTGTAATGGTGGAGTATGTGATAATGCTCGGGGGTATGTGGGTGGTGTTATATTTAAAGATGATTTGGGTGAATCAACTGGAGCTTGTGTTCTTGTCTTCTTTCGAGGCAACACCTCAGTTGTAAGAGAACGGTGCATTGTAGATCTTTTGTCTGCTGTGCGTGGCGTGGGATCTTGGGTTGTTTTTGTTGAATATGAATCGCCCGTAGCAACATCTAAAACAAAGCAGAAATAACATCAGTCTCTGTGCTGGGTTGTTCCCATTTTCTTTTTCTTTCTTAGTTACCTGTGTTATCTTTTGGCTGTTTGTCCATAACAAGAGCAGTAAAAGCCGAGACGATCTCGTTGAAGGGTTTACCACGACAATCTGTAAAATAACTTACTCTTAAAGGTGCATTCACTAAATGGGTACCTGGTTGAATATCCTTTAACCAGTGAAAAGCAAGTCGACGGTATTCGCGTGATTGTTTTACGTTTTTAATAGGCCAAACTTCCATAAAAGTTGTTTTTGCCTTCTTTTTGTCAAGTATATTGAACAAGAAATAACTGATATGTTCGAATGCTTTAATACTGTCAGCATTGACTGTAAAGGTTTGTTGACTGACAACCCATTTGCTGTTACGCGGTGGTTCGAAACCGAGTAAATGGAGATTGCGAACAAATGTTGACGCTGTGGAAGATCGAATGCTTTTTCGTGACATGGCTGTTTTTACAAAAAATAAAATAAAAAAAAATAACAGTGAAGAAAAAAAAAACCTTAAATTGAGCTGCAGTTTTTATCTTATGCCTTAATTGGTGGTGACACAAAAAGTCGTGTGGGAAACTGAATTCCTCTTGAATACAACGCGTATGTAAATATCACGCAATAAGTTAAACAATTTGTTTAGCAATGTTATTACATGTATTTCAGAGAGTTTTTTGTACATGTAACATGCGAAATGAGAACAAGATAACAACCACGATGAACACTAGGTCACACCAATTGCGGATGCATGATGCGGTATTTAATAAAATTTACAAGAAAATAACGAGATAGAGGAATTAGCTAAAAGTAGACAAAATAAATTCTGCTAAGAAAAAAACAATTGATCCCTTTTGTATTGGACAATTGCAATTCGTAGTTGTGTTGAGTCGATCTTTCTGGATGTGTAATAAAGTAAATGAACTTCTAGGTCTGTTCCGTTTTAAATCACCGAAAATCAGTAACATATCGTGTAACGGCAGCTGTCAAAATATATATAATGCTTTTTATAATTTATTGGCTGCAGTAAAACGTATGATTATATCTAATTAGTTATACATCCTTTAAGATATTTGCATTTGAGACATTGTTAAATATACCATCCTAGATAAAGATCGTCTCGTCGATGTTTGTAGATATAAAATAGAGGAGTTATCGACCACGAACCAAAACAATTCCATTTTGATGGTGGATTATTAATGCTCTTTAAAGAGAATATGTTGTATATGATTACTTTAGCAAGTTAGTAATTCGGTAGATTGGGATTTGTGTACATAATTCAATAGACAATTATGTTTAATTTCTGACATCAATCATATTATGACGAACACGAATCAAACGAGTACCAGTAATACAACCTCCATCAGAACCAAGATAAACTTGCCTATTCGCTTGTTTTTAAAAAGTGCATTTATTGCAGACTTCAGGTTCAGTATGAAATATGTCACTATCCTTAAGTTAGTGTAAATGAAGCAGGACACATAAGTATCGTAAAGACAGCACGTTTTAAGATCATTGCCAGATTTTAACGGGTACAAGTTGATGATGACACAGCCTCGGATTGTAGAGATATCTTGAATAATTTGAATAAATATTGATCACGAAGAAAGTGAGCATTATCTTATTTCTGTCTAATACTATAATTGAACATTTGTTCCACATCATTCACTTGCAAAAAAAAAAAATATGGCACTTACCTTACCTTATTTGACTATAGGATACCTTGACCGTCTTACGTATGATCGATTGTCTACTTTATGAATTGATTTACATACACAAAATTATGCTTGAATAAAAAAAATCCATTTATTATAATGGAGGGGTAATATTAGTGTTTTAGAGAGTAATTCATTGAAAAAGAAGATGATCAGAGTTATATTTTCTCAATGTTATAAACCTTGAATGTGGCCATTGGAGTAATTCTTCAAGACAAAAGTTTACCACAGAATCCATCCTAAAATCATAATGTTCTTCGCGCAAATATTGATTTGAATCTACCGTACAGCTGTTTTTGTTACTAGCTTTTTCTGATGGACCCAAAGGCTGCTTCTCCCCCTAATAAGAGAGTTACGCAAAGGTAATCCTACCTGTGGTATTTGACAAAATAGTTACAATAAAAAAGTAATGAGATAAAAGAATATCTTTATTGGAGGTAAAAATAGACTAAAAGAACTCTGCTGCTATGAAATAATTGATCCTTTTTATATTGCACAACTCTCCTGAGTTTTAATGATGAGTCAACCTTTCTGGTTGGAATAGATCTATCACCGCAAATTTTTTTTCCGGTCCAAGTATAATTTGGACCGCGAAAAAATTAGACCAGAGGTCGAGGTACATAATTTTGTACCTGAACCAGCGGTCGCGGTAATTATTTTGTACCTCGACCAGCGGTCGCGGTAATTAATTTGTACCTGAACTAGCGGTCGCGGTCCATGTACGCATGAAAACCGACCGCTACTTCCAGTTTCTAACGAATGAAAACATCATAACCTTATTATTTAACGAGATGGTATTGGAGGATATTCTTTAAATGTATATTAAACTAGGGCTATTGACCCTTGCAATATTAAATGGGTTTTACAAAAAATAACATTGGAAATAATAGAATATGAGGGGCAAAAATAATGTTTATATTGGTTTTTATTTTATAACGAAATAATTTATGAATGGTTTATACACGTATAAAAACTACGAAACGCCTGTTCAAATGGATACTGTGTAGTGTAAGGATGACAACAAACAGATACCATACATAATATAGTGTTGGTTGTCCTGGTTGGATACGGAGACTACCAGATGCAGAAGTGATAACAAGCTAGATATATGACTTACCTTTGATAAAGCTAGATTGAACTAAGAAAGATACAGTTAGAAAATATAAGCAAGGCTTTCAATTTTTTTAATACTCACATTGTAGTTGACAATCACATGAAGTACCTTTTGCTGAGCTGTAAACAACTATAAAATAGAGTTAAAATATATAAACACGGTTTTCAGTATTTTAAAAAAGGCTTACTCGCTTTAGGTGACAATCATCTATTTAGAGTGGACAGCAACCATGTACGCGAAAGAATGCAGTGGTAAGTTAAGCCATAAAAGCCAGTACGATATATAACAATATATCTAATAGCTTTTCAGTTAGTTATATGAGGATGTGATGTTTTGAGGTACTTACTATAATTTTTGAAAAAAAAAAAAATTTTAGAAAAAGAAAGAAAAGAAAAAAAAAAAAAAAAAAAGAAACAAGATTATTTAACAAAAAAAATTAAAACCCAATGCAGATTAGGGCTTAGTTTTGCTACGAGAGCGTCCTTCTATTATCAACTCACCCCTTGCCCGTTTGGTTGCTGCCTTTTTCGCGGCCCTTTTTTCAGCTCTTTGGTCAATCTTTGAAGACGAAGTAGATGGCTCAGGGGGTGGAGGTGAAGAAGCAGGTGACAAGCAGACAGATGCAGACAGGCGAGGAGATGGAGAGGGAGAGGGGTGGGGAGATTGGACAGAATCCGTACCAGGCACAGAGAAACTCTCCATCAGCTTCACCACATACCCTACATGATCCGAAGAATGGGGTAAGCTACTAATTACTTAATCCTTATTCGATCATATACTAACCAACTTCTATAGTCCATTGCGGTGTTATTCTGCTAAGTCCCTTGAACGGTCGATTGGTACATACAAAAAACGTATCCGGTCTTCTCTTCATCCTGGTATTAATGCTGGCAACATTATGGAAACCAAGGAAATATTTAAATTCTTCAATGCATCCGGTATTTTTGACTTCTCTGCGTTAACGGCATCCCCTGACAGCAACGAGAAGAACTTCGAGCAGCATCCTCAAGATGCCACCTATCCTCAACTCTGGTCCCCTTTTGATGATTCTTTTACTAAGGTTGGTGTGCTCTTGCAGGGTTCTTCGGATGTCCTCATTTGTGGTCTGTATCGCACAATCCCTTGGTGTCGTGCGTTGATGGGTTGTATGACAAGGCTGACTGGCATGAGGCAACGAGTTGTATTGCCGTTTCATCAACAACAACACCTTCGAATTTCGACAAGGTTATTCCATGAAAATCAAGTCTACATTTCGGAGTTGTACAAGAAGAAGAATAGGTCATGCTCTCGTGGTGGTGAATTCGTCATGTTCGAAGCGATACATAAGAACAAGTAAGTATATGTTTTTGCTATCGCCGTATTGCATTTATTGACACTCTTCAAATTTAGTCTATTCGTGCCAGTTAAAAACTGGTTCGTTTGTAAGATTCTGTTCTTTTTCCGTTTCCAATTCTCCGCCAATGAACCAGGGTCCCATTATGTGTATGGTGAATTGGCAAAAACACATGGCGTGTCTCCTATCTCAAAGTCTATCCCACGGATTCAGCTCTTTGGTGATAGCGAGCAAAAATTCGTTGTATTTGACGCCAGGGATATTGTATCTTCTGTTGGATTGCTGAATTCCTCAGACAATTCAGCATACAAGTATGTCATCAAAACTGGTGATGCGTTTGCGAAAGACATGTCAAGTTCTGCCGGAAAGATTGGGACTCTGGAGTAAAGAGCTATTTTTTTTTTCTTTTTTTTTTTTGAATGTAGTAAAGGCTTTTCAACATCCGAAAAAAAAATTATCGCTTCATTGTGTCACACAAAATAACAGTATTTTCTTCAAACATCATCTTTGCCATCACCAAGGAACATATTTATCATTTTTTTTTCATAAAACAACTTCCAATATAACATATTATCTTTATATAACAATTTTTTACAATTTTTATGTCATTTGCGTTTTTTTGATTTTGCGGTCCAAGTCTAAATGTTACTTGGACCTCTGGTAGAGGTAATTAGCTAAAATTGGACCGCGACCTCCGGTCCCGGTCTAAATTGTAAATTTACCACGACTAAGTTTTACGGTGTTATATTTTGTTTCCCGCCTTGGGTTAAATGAATACTACTCGTTAGAATTGTTTCCAGTTAACGTTGTCCCATATCAGTGGATCGGGAGCATGAGTATTCTAATAATCTTTAGTGTTACGAGACACTTATTTACCAGATCATGCAACGATTACTGTAAAAGAGGCATACTTGTTTGTCAAGTGTAATTGGCAATAAAACATAACAGTGGATCATTTATTCATTATCTTTGTAATGAATAAAATACGATCCCAAATATAAAATGTCTTATTGTTATTTGAATATTTGGTTGTAGAAGATAGGTATCCATTAAGTCATACACTATTTCTTTATACTCTTTATCAGCAGTATAATTATATCAATGTATAAGTAAATGGACCATTTATATTAATGGCTGTACTATTCTCTCTCTGGGTAGCTAATCCATTGAGAGAACTATTAATAGTAAGTTTCTCTTTCTTATAGTTCTTGATTTGATCTGAGAAGATTCTCTTCTCGATCGGTGATATCGTAACTCAGTGGTATAGCATTCTGTATCCAACTGTCATTCGTATATCGTATTTAGGCCAATCATGCAATCTTTAATATAGAAGTATGTACTCGTAGTAGGAGAAGTTGTATAGCAGTATACATGCGTATGCTGGTATGTGACATCAAAGGTTGTTTCAATTTCATAGTTTATTTATTTAAACAATTTGCTTAATTATTCTTAAGTGAATCGTACCCAAATACAACACCACCAAAAGTGTGATGGATATTGTATTATGTATGTGGTAAATAACACATACTATATAAGTAAAAAAAAACTGCAGATAATAGCTACTGCTAATAATAAATATAAACAATTGCACAGAAGAGCATAAAACTAATAAAATAGAAAATGCCATTTCAGATAACATATTCAGTAAAGCATCCTAAATTACCCAAAGAGGTGTGACTCAAGATAATAGTCTTCAACATGGTAGTTTTCGTCAAACAAACAAAGTAAGTAAACATCACGTAAGAAGCCGTAAAATCAAATTATTTTTTAACACTTGTTTCCACATACAGGATAATGAATGGGTTATAGCTTTAAAGATAAATCTGGCGGGTTACTCACCACTATGATATCGAAGATCGCATATTTTGGATAAAAGTAATCGAACTACTTTTATATATTTACGCGAAATCCTCCGTCCTTCAGATTTTATTTCTAAGCACAAGAAGAATATTAGTGCCGGCCTCTTAAAAGAGTTGCCGGGCATCGTCAAAACAGTAAGTTTTAATAAACAAATCGACAAAAAAAAATATTCAGTTACAAGACACTCACTACCTCCCTCACAACTAGATTTATAGCCTACGAAGTTCGGTGGGTGTAAAGGCCCTGGCTTTTTTTGACTGACCGTGTTCAAAATCTGGGTAACTCCATCGATTAACGCACCGTTGTTATCGTTGACGCGATGTTGAAGTGCAGTGTCAGCACAAAATAATAATAATGACGTTGAAGCTAGATGAGGCATCTGAAGTTTTTATAAAAACACTAACTTCCACCTCTCCGTGCTTTTCAAGTTATGTAGAACAAGGCACGATAAAAAGTGCAGCTTTGCCAATATGCATGTAAGAATATCACAATCATCTTGGAGACACATGCATCCAAAGAACATGTCAAAAGAATCATCGATACGAGCACTGGACTCTCCACCATCGAAGCATTCTTAAAAACCGGTCTTTCGGATGCTTCACCTATTGTAAGGGAATCCTGTAGAGTATTATTCAAGACATATAATGAGTTATGGCCTGACAACGCTGGCACGTAAGTATGAAAAATGACCTAACATATGCATATAAATCGTAGTAACTAAATTTTTATTTTTATTTTTCATTACCAGACTTTGTCAATCATTGGACTCAGCTACTCAAAAACAGTTACAAAAGACGGTACCCGTTCTGCGATCTGTTAGAGCATCCACCGCATCACCAAATACACGAACTGGATCTCAAACACCCTCACCCACCACCTCCAAAGTGCTTTTAAAAACCAAGACACCCTCGCCAACCACCTCCAAAGAAAATATACCTCGCCCCAAGACACCATCACCCACCGGGTCCAATCTGCTCGCAAACTCAAAGACACCCTCACCCACTACTTCCAAAGCGCCCTCACCAACCACCTCTAAAAGAGTTGTACTTCGCCCCAAGACATCATCACCCACCACGCCCAACCTGCTTCCAAAACCAAAGACACCCTCACCTACCACTTCAAAACTGCTCCTGAAACGCAGGACACCCTCGCCAAATTTTATCACGAGCAGCCATGAAACCAACTGTAGCGATTAAAGCAGCAAAAGTGGTTAAAGAGGCGAAAGCGGCGAAAGAGGCTAAAGAGGCTAAAGAGGCTAAAGAGGCCAAAGCAGCTAAAGCGGCCAAAGCAGCTAAAGCGGCCAAAGAAATGAACAAGTCTGCCGAGGAAGCGTCTTTTTTGCTTGGGATGCTCAAGGACGACGACCCACAGGTCCAATGTAACGGCCTAAGAATATTGGCATCTAGATTAAAGATAGTAGAATACTCGCCAACATCTGCTGGTGCCAATTTACTGGCTAATGTACCGAACAAGATGGATTTTCTGAATATTCTGATGGATTTGTTGACAAGGAATGATCGGGATAGAGCAGTGTATGAGGCCTTAATGAAATGGGAAAGTATCGCAGGTATTTTTACGTATATCATGGCATTCAACTACTACTGCCCAACGCTTGTGATTGCTGCACATCAACGACTTGAAAAACCAGCCAAAATCACTGAAATCAATCAGATATACAGCAAAAAATTAAAACGCGTAAAAATGTTTTTAAAGCGAAATGGTCTCTTGTTGGCTAAACGATTATTGGACATGCTGGAATCACTTAAAGGCGATCAAAAACTGTTAGATGCAAGCGTCAAGCAAGACTTTTTATTGAATCCATCCTACAAGCAGGCCTTGCAATGTGGTTTATTAGCTTGGATGAACTATATCTTGGGAGATTATGTTGGTTTGGTAGAGGATGAGGATCCCGAGACATTGAAAGAAGGTGAAGGTTTCTTGGATATCGTGAACGGTGGATCGTGTGCTGAAGAATGGTTTGATTCCTCACAGAACATTCAGTCTTATGTCGCTTTTGTTATTGGATCATTGTTGGATACAAGCAGTCTGGAAGAATCGTATCCTTTACTCTGTAGCATGGCCCAAAAATTAAAATTGGCAAATCCTAGAGTATTTGCTAATGAGACCGTCAATTCTGAAAATCAGGTACGCATTGAGACTGCCTTGATGCCATCCGTGATTACAGACAAGAAGCCCTTGGCACGCTCTGCTCCTTTCGACGATGATTTGCACGTTGAGAAAAAACGACGTCAAATCTCTGCATAATGAAGGAACCAATACTGCGTAGAACTCAAACGAATCATAACAACAAAGAGAAGAACAATATAACTATTAATGCGTATAAAAATAGGAATTACTGTCACCCTTGAACAAATCACCGCAGCCATTGCTAGCGACATCAACACCAATTATAAAAACATGGTTGCTAAACGATACAAGACCTTGGGTCTCACTCTTGTCAAAGCACGCAATATCGAAACCCTTCGTTGGACCGATGGTGGTAAAGTACTCATCAGTCATAGACAGGGTCAAAAATTCTATTATAAGGAAGCGGAGAAAGAGTACTATGTGATACCTCACAGGGTATCTATAAATCCGAATATACCTGTTAAATTTATCAAGCTAAACATCCACATACATATCTGTGCATCATGTACATAATGCTTTTCTCATTAGCTTAGGTAATGACAAGCGTAACAATACAGCCTTATTATCGTGTATTTATAATTATAAACCATTGTCATTTAAAACTTATACAGGAACTTCTTATCTTATTCTTTATTATTTTTGTTTTCCTTAAATAAACCCATATACTATTTTTTGAAACTCGGAAGGTTGGATTGTCGAGTTTGTATACATAAAAGGGTTTGGTAATTCTTCTTATTACGGAAGAAAACTGACAAATTATACCTGCTACCATAAGCTCCTGCCAAATTCTAGTTGACCAGAGCTATCACTGACCAAAGGACAAGGTATGTTTGATTCATGTGTCTCTGTACCTGTATCTGTTCTTTTGGTCTCAAAAAAAAAATCTTCATATGAGTTCCAATTTCTCTACATGGCGTGTTGTACTATTTCTGCGTAAAAAACGCTTCAGTATCAACTAAGAGAAATAGCGCTAAATGAGAAAGACTGTATTATTAGAGCTGTTTAAAATAGGCTACACGGATAAACCTTAAAGTTGTGACTGACACAAAAGGTAGCACATTGTGGGGTAAATGATACAAAGGTTTCCTTTGTTTAAAAACAGAGGCTCGGGTTCCTATAGATACTTGATGCCTATTCATATACCCCCTCTTCCCCGCCCCCGCTCCCCCCCCCCTTTTTTTTAAATTTGTACCGCTTTTAAAAGATTAAATCCGCTATGTCCAGCCGTAAGTCTTTGTGTCATGTGGGAAGGGGAGGTATTTAGTGTTGTGTACCAGGAATTTTCAGGTAATCAATGTGCAAAAAATAACCCGTTTGGAGGAATAAACAGACCAATTAAAATTTATCTTGTTCTACATCTATCTATACGAAATCTCATCCCTTTAGCTTCCACATATAATAAGAGGAAAACCTCTTTCCCTTCTAATCCGTTGTGACACAATATCTGGTAATCTTTAGCAGAAAAAAAAAAACTCTTAATTTTGATTAGTGTACATACTTATATAAATAAAATGAAGCCATTTTAAATAAAGTAACATTCGAGAGAAATTAATGCATGCGCGTCGGGGGGATGGGGGACATGATTTCCCAGCTTTCTTTGTTATGCAAACATGGTGTTTATACAATTCTCTGCTCTCATAATACCCGAATAATCCTGTTTGACTGGGACCAGACGAGAGGGGACCCGCTAAACACAATCTCACACTTTTCTTATTCCACAAAACGGGTCTGGGCAGCTTTGATAAAATAAATAATTGAGAAATTCTTGTTTTGGTCTGGTAAAGATTATCCCACATCATAGTTGGTCATTTTATAACAAACAATCATGATGCAATTGTTTTCTTTTTTTTAGTCTTCACTCATGGGTAAATTAAATAAAGCCTATCAAAAGTCGACACAAAGGTTGGCATGGTATCGGTAACTAACAAACAAAAAGATTCTCACGGCAAGACTCACTTGATGCAGATCATATAAAATGTAATCTATACTTTATCAGAAGGGAGAGTATATATATATATATATGATAATGATAAGTATTTTTGGGAGTGATAGTAGTGTGACACAGGGGGTAAATAAGGTATATAATGCTTAAACAAATGTATAGTGGACAGGCATGTGCCAGTCGTGATGTGTGCGTAAATCATGTGTTTTTGGTGGGAATACATCAAATCATTAGATAAATTCTTCCCAGCAAACGATAAGGAAAAAAACATGCCACGTTTTTCAGTAGCAGTGTGTGATTTGTTTCCCCACAACCACCAGGTATCTAGACCCTGAAAAAAAGATACCGGGCCAGAAAGATAGTTGATTCCGAAGTCCCCCCTCCCCCCACCCTTTTAAAAACATGGCCTTATTTCCTCCCCCTAAATTAAATCATATGCTGATGTAATGTGTGTGTAACTCTAAATAGCTCACGCCCAAAAAGGTCAAAAGGGAAAATCCGTCAATTATTGATATTTATGTCAAATGCGCCGCGGTTTGACACCCAAATATGTTCATTCTCACACACTTTTTTTTTTATTATCATCATATTCTGTGGGGTAAAAAAAACCCACACTATTTTTATAAGAGTGCTTCATCTATCAGTAATTTAATTTCATTGGTTCTTTTCTTTGCGTTTTCAATGCATTGTTTTAATCCGTTTACATCAATTGTAGTTCCACCATTCTTATAAATTCTTACGAGATTGTGATCCAAGTCAGTAACGATGGTCACGACTTCCTTTGCTAAACTTTCTTCAGTGTCATTTGGGTCGGATAAGATGACTTGAGGGTTATTGAAAATACAAAAGGTGGATGAAACAGGGAATCGTGAGAGTTGAATGGGTTCTGTGTATGTTGTAGCATCAACCTCAACTACCATTGAGGGAGAAACTTCTGCTTTTGGTAACTTTACTATTTTCAACAGAAAAACGTTATTGTCACTCTTCACACACACAGACAATCGCACATGATGACTTACAATCTTTTAATGCCGTAGTCAATGCTAATAAACTTGCGTCCAATATATTGCCGTCATAATTTAAGCATACAATGTCAGCATATAATACCCACACTGCCTTTCCTTCTTCGATGCACAAACTTTCCAAGGGAAAAATGTTTGATCTGGGAAAATATAAATATTACATATTAATTTAGCCTGCATTATATAATCTAATTATATATTACATACTTTATAAAGAGTTGATTAATAAATTCGGATACGGCCTGTGCTTTCTCTGAAGGAGGTCCAGGTTTAAATTTAGGTGAGCATAAAGGTGATAGTTCGACGTTGGGGACTAGATAGAGACTCTTAGCATTATATATCATTGATATAAAAAAGGGTATTTTACCTAAAAACCCTTGGTTGGGAACGTTTAATTTGGGTTCACACACTTCAGCTTTGATTCCACAAACAACAGTGGTACCACCTAAACGTACCATAGCACTAGCATTAGCAGTCGAAATAGCACCTGAGGTAATCATGGTTTTTCTAAACTGATTTAATAATCTTCCGTCGGGTCGAACATCTTGATCAAGGAAACGTTTCAAATATTCTTGGGGTTGGATTCTGCTAAAGATTTCAAAATTCTCTACTGAAGTCGACATTGTTGTTGTAAGCGCGTTTTTTGTATATGAATAAAAGGAAAAATTAAAATAGCAAGCTTGATAACAAAACATGGTGTACGTGACCGGTTATCTTGTGGCTTCATTTTGTATTTTGATGTAGGAAGTATCGGAACGATGATAACCAAAGAGTGGGGTGATACTATTGCGTGTTTAAAGTTCTGACGCTTACTAGATAATAAACACATGCATGTGCTAAAGAACCAATATACCCCACAAGATATACACAAGTTGTGTGAGAATCCCACTTGCATGTATATTTATTATGTGTGAATATTAAGGTATACGTGAGAATTTAAATGTAGCAAAAACTCTTCTTTTTCGGCTGAAACTCCCCCCATTTTTCTAATCTTTCACAATCAATGTCGGGTTTATTTTTTTTTGTGTTATAATCTCTAAATCAGGTAATCCCTTCTATATAAATACTTGGTCTTTTTTTCATTTCAACATTCTCTTTTTTTTTTTTTTACTTTCCTCTCTCTCTTTATATCATTCATATCATGGCATATCAAGCTGCTTCAAGTTTACTTTGTTTATCAAACACAATCATCATGCCGCAGGACACTATTAGCAGTAAATCATCACTTGATAAATCAAATATTCCACGCCCCTATAAATGTCCAATGTGTCCAAAGTCATTTTACCGCTTAGAGCATCAAACTCGTCATATTAGAACTCATACAGGTGAAAAACCTCATCAGTGTACATTTGCTGGTTGTGAGAAGAAGTTCTCTCGTTCTGATGAATTAACTCGTCATGTTCGTATCCACACCTCAAGCAAAAAGAAGGAGCGTAAACAGTCTAAGCGTGCGAGAACAACCACACCTGTTCTATCTATGCCGCCATCACCTGCTTTATCTGCCTCGAGCTCACAATTTAATGAAACTCCTCATTATTCTGACACAGATTACATTTTCACCCCACAAACATCTCCTCAATTGTCTGTCCGTACTTTGAAACTCACTCCGCTTGAATGTAAATTACTTGATCCCGTCACTTTTTCAAGACCTGCAACTGCAGCACCTAGTTTACTAGATCTGCTAGATTGTCCTCCTCAAGCCCGTATATTGCCTCCCATTATTATGAATCATTCATCCATTCATGTCTAAACAAAACAAACAAACATTATACACACCCATACATTCCTAGTTTATTAGCATCATAGACATTATACCAGCATTCATAAATAAACCATTTCCACCCCTTGTTACATAGTAACCAGCCTTTTTTTTTTTTTTTTTTTTTTTTTTTTTTCAAATATTACAATGATGTAGGTCTGTGGGTTATTGTTTGTACCCTACTCCAAACCTTTTAGGAATCAGAATACGTTTTTACGTATATTATGATGCGATATTTATTTATGATGCGATTATTTATATTTATCTGCTTTATCGCAATGCATGTACAAGGTATCCTAGCACATGTCATAAAATGATAACGAATACCCCGTCTTCATTAAACGTCTCTCATCCTATTTTTTTTTTTTTTTTGCACTGTTTATTTTTTTTTTCTTTTTTAGAGTAACCTATCAGTTACACTATCATTTTTTACTTGTTAAACATAAAATATCTGATGAGTATACATTATCCCAGAAAATAAATAGAACGAAAAAGCGCTCTAAAAAAAGTATATTTTAATCATTCCATTATTTTTTGTATAAGCTCCTTCCAAAAAAAAAAATGAAATAACCCGATTAACAAGATAGCCCCACAACTTTATATTTATAGTTTTATGTCTTTTTTTTTTTCAGTAGTAACAAAAATAAAAACATTACTCATAATACGGGATGAATCCCACACGATCGATATATGACGCATGTCTGTGCGGTTTTAGATTGGTCAAACTTCTAGAAACTGTGTACACTGAAAAAATAAATCCGAACCTGTACTATGGAGACACCATAAAAGATTCAAATGGCAAAATAGATAAAGTATTTAGCAGGTTTCCACGAGGGACATCAGATGTAGTCCCGTTTTTAGTAACATGAACCTTTTATACCTGTGGCTAGACTTCAGATCGCCGTTCACCTTTTAAAAAAAAATTGCAAACAGATAGTGGGAACGCTATAGCCAATAGGATTGCATTTTGTAAAGACTTTGAGTAGTCCCCGCCCCAATCCGTAGAATACGAAGCGTATTATACACATAATGCTAGGATTGTGCATCCAGACTACAACTAATGTCGCTTATCAGGATATATATTGCATATGAGTTTAATATATACAGAAGCAAATATAAGCTTCTATTAATTCGAATATCTTTGTACAATGAGACACAAAAAATTGGCACACGTTCAAATCGCCTAAACCTTTAAGAAAATTTGTAATGACAATTGCAATGAATGCTTGAAAAAGAGGTACATTGGATGAAAGCTTCCTCTCTTTTGGCCGTTTCGGGCTGCTTATACTGCTCTAAACAAAGTGAGACAGAGTCATATGAGTCCATGAAGCAATTTCAACTAAATCAAGGTACACTTTTCATTGGCCTGGAATTTGTGCTATGATTGGCCTAGATAAAATTTATTGTCCGAAAGAAGCGTTGTTTTTTTTTGCATAGAACCACTTCACTTTCAATGCCTTACAGGACGACTTTAAATAGAGTGTATAACTTAAACTTATAGAAATACTATAATGACCTATATATTGTCTGGTATATATCTAGAGGTAGATTGATTCTATCTTAATAAACCAATAGTTAAATGCGCAGTGGAATTTTCCCGAGAGCTTTTTTGTTCTCGCTTTTCTTTTAGTTAGCTCATGCTCATCACGGAGAGCCAAGAAAACCAACTTTAGCTACCTTTTATCCTAACTGTCGTATACTCCTTGTAAGCCTTTGGCCTTAAATTTTATTAGAATTCCGTCATGATTTTAAATTCCATCATTGCAAAGCTTTTTGTTGTCTATGTGCATCCGTATACATCAGTAGCAGGCTCTTTCTCTTTGGTCATGTCTTCATTATGATGTCTTTTTTCGACAGCATGAACAATATGATTTAGACTACGTAATCTTTCTCTCCGCATATAAAAATTGCGTAGCTTTATGCATAAATTCACGTTAAACTAACTTCATATGACTTGCCCGCGGCAAAGTCCGAGGCCTGCTGTGGAATCTCCCTCAGACCGACAATGATTTTGGTAGCAAAATCAATTGGATCGAAATAGCTCCAGTGAGACCTGTATTGAATTCGCCGGAATCAAATTCAAGAAGCAATCAGTTGATTAAAGCACATTATTTATGTAACATTTAATTAACATTAAAACCAGTGCTTCCATATTATGTAACAAGCTTATAAATTTAAACAAGCCTAATTATTCCCATATGTATTGCTGCATAAACTAATGAAGGATCAATGGATGCCCAGTTTACATAGAAAAAGAAAGAATTCCTATACTAACGATTTAAGCATGTTGAAGCTACAACATGAATTCGGAAGGTCATACTTCGATGGCGCGCTTTAAGAATGCTCTCAATGGTGGAAATCTTATTGGTAAATGCAGGTGATATTGGTTTAATATGACCAATCAACATTCCTACTTTGTGATAATACCGGGTCTTCTATGCAGAGTTTTGGAAATAGCTGAAGGTCTACCTCGACTAACTTAACATCAATGGGAAGATAACACCAGGTTACAAATATATCACACCATTCACCATATGTAGACCTTTTTATAAGCTTGTTCATGACGGGTATACGTTGACCGGGATGCTTACAAAACAAGTAAACTATCCGAACCGTATAAGGATATAATGTGCTACGTGAATTCTGGGGAAATAAGGTTATCATGACTGTGGGAAATACGATAATACCCTTGTATCACACTAGTTAAAGCTTGTATACAGCCCACCCACCCTTTTTTTTTCAGACATTTGTTTAAGCTACACCAATAAAGTTTCAGACTTTTCCATCTTTTTCCTGGTATGGATTATTTTAATAGTTTGGGATTACTAATACTAACGTCGTTGTTAATATATTTTGCCCCGCATTTTCTTTTTGGGCTAATTTCAACTGACATTATTATAAAGAAGTCAGGCACGAGAAATTATTCATTAAGGGGAAGGGGATTTCGATCCAATGGAAAATGTATTAACCGAAGTTTACAATTAAAATATAGAGATGGTATTGTGAAATACAATGCATTGTGAATTTCCAGTCGGATCGTATTTATGCTAAATAATAACAATAATAAAAAAATAACTGGCATTTTAGCTTGAGTTGCTCAAATTACTTCAAGAATACATATAAACACTGAAACCAATCAAAGGATGACAAAAAAACTAAATGCATTTTTCGGTGTGATATTTCACCTTTATCGATTCAGTCTTAATGTCGTGCTTATTTCACCCCCAATGAAGACTTTTGGCATGATTTTTTTTATTCTTGACAATAGAAAAAAACTATTTGAATTCATCTGCTTGTGTATAGAAAGCACATTGTAATCATGCATACTTCCAAAAAAAAAAAGCACTTCATTTTAGAACCAGCTTCTTTAAAATAAGTGTCTCTAACGGACTGTGAAGGCTGAATCTAAACATTCTGTTTCGGTTGTCGACCAGTGCCTGTTTCTTTAATCAAACAAGTTATATCATCCAATCTAATTAATATCACAGCTCAACGGAATTGAAAATTTGTTTAATACAAGTTTTGGGGTCGGGTGCATTAGAAGGGAAAGCTAAAGCACACACCACCCATAAAATACCCGGAGTATGAAAAATAGATTTATGCAAATCGCATGTAAACAATTGGCGTGCATACACATACTAAGTGAGAATAACAGTAAAGAATTATGCATAGATAGAAGGACGACAAGACACAATAACAAAGTGTAGCTGGAAGTTCCCTCTTCCCGCTTTACGACTCAAGTGGCTTTTTGAATACTTCCTCTTATATTGTTCAGTGTTTTATAAAGACTAAAAGGCAACGTTACTATCTTGTTGCAACCTTATAGTATGATATGTTTATTTGGTCATAACTATGTATATTGGGTTATTGATTACTAAATCATGCTTGATATATTTATATCATATATTAAGATATAAACTTCTTGTAGAAAAATATAGTAGATCACTACACTTGATTGACTGAAATTTCCTTCAGTTACTTGTGTTTTCTCCGACGTAAATCTTAAACATGAATAATGCAATGTCAGTTTTTTCTTATTACAACGCAATTTTCAGACGTACCTCACAAACTCTATTAAGTCTTCTGGATTGATACTCAATTAGTGTTCGAACTTTTCGAGCTGGCACCGATCGTGCACCAGTTCTTGTACTCGAGCATATGCCACTTTTTTTTTGGATTCGAGCGATCTTTGAGCGATTTCAATCTTTAAAAAAGCCATTCGAGCGAGATTCGACTGGAACACGACCGAAGCTCGCTCGAGAGTTTCGATCTTCATTCCGAACACTAAAGGCAACCTGCAAACACATCTTCGCATAGTAACTTTTTTTCATTTTGACTACTTGCAAATTGATAGATTTTTCAACCGCTTTCTTCTCGGTTGTTTTAGATTTTCTAACGTAGCCAATAGTTGCTGTTTTGTGATGACTTTCCCTTACTGACTTTCGAAATTCTTTCACGTTCGAAATTTCATTCCACAAAAAGTCTAAGATATTATCGTTATTCGTTATTTGTTATTGGTATATTCAGTACGCAAAAGTTTCTTACCTATGACGTGTAGTGTTCTCGCTCTTAATCTCTCTCCACTGACTACCTTTCTCTTAGTCGATTTCTACGAGCTTGTAAAGCCATATTTCGCCGAGACAAATTTTTCATGCAATCAACTGAATGATTGGTTAGGAAAAGAAGTATTATGGGGTTCCTTTTCAGTTAAAAATTCTTCATAAGTAATATTTTTAATCGGGTGTAGTGATAATATCATGTTCACCAACTCTATGACAGCTCTCCTAGATGGGGACACTGAATTATATGTTAGCTATCATCAGACAGTACCTGAGTTTAGTATGGACTTGCCTTCTATTTCATAAGAGTCGCGAATACATTCAGATTTATTATCTGGGAAGAAAGTTCGGTATTTACGAAAATGAAGTTAAGTTTTATGTATTATATATGTCTACCTTCAGTACTTTTGTCCTCTTTATTTTTTATCTCCTCTGATAAAAATTCCTTGAATTTCCAAGGTTCTGTTTTTACCCGGTGCCCCCACCGCAACAGCTACAGTGGGATTTCCGTTGGCTAAATATACAGGAATAAGTTAGGCTTTACCATAGAGCTGTAATAATTCTTACATATTTTGGAACCATCAGCAGATATCTAAAGACGGCTTACTACTCGAAATTCTGACCCACCATGATTGGTATATTAAGATACAGGCTTACAATGCCTACAACAATTAATGGAAAAATCTTCATCATATAGAGAAGTCTAGCCTAAGCCATGATAATGAAAAAAGAAGAGGTTATATTTCATAGTTTCTTAAAAAACAAAAGTCGTTAAAACTAACCTTTTTACGATATTTATTACTTTTCTTCGAAAAGATGGTGTTATACACAAACATATGTATAAAAATGAAAAAAGAAGAAGGAAAGAAGGAAAGAAAAAAGTCCTATATATAAACTGATAAACAAGAATTGGCTTATGTCAGGATGATTTCATTGTTTATTTTATCATCCAAAATGTTTCAGCCGGATTGAATCCTGATTAATGAGATGTTTATCCAGTCTATAACAAACGCCCATAGTCGCTTTCAAGCAAAAGGAAGTGACTAAAACCAGTTGGGGTACATTAAAACAAGTTATACTTGTAGAGAAACTGTTACATTAAGCACTAAAGCAAGAAGTGGATAGTCTACCATCTCTCGTATGGGGTACCAAAACCCCTGCTAACCCAAAGAAGCAAAAGCTAATTAATGTCAGGGAGTTTTTACTCTCTTTTGCGCATTGTTTTACAATAGTAAGAAAAACAACACCATATGGAGACTATGAGGGGGAATCCCAGGTACAACGCATTATACCTGTCTTTCCAACATTCGTGTTTATTATCATTACATTGGGGCGAAATACCAAGCATGCATCATTCAAGTGAAGACCAAGACGCAGCGCGATACGTAGATGGAATGGCACATGAGCGGGCCGTCTTTGAGGCTTCTTTTGGTCAGTGCCATGTCAATAAATATAACGTGATTGACAATGGCACCAAGCAAATTAATTCAATGATGTCAATGTTAAAAGATATTGCAATTCCCCACGTGAATTCAGAATTTGACACAAAAGTCTTTGACATCCAGTCTGCAAAATCAAATATTATATTGTCGGAAACGTTATATAAAGAGAAGATGGTATATATCATAACGCGAAGTCCGCTCTGCCAAAGTCCCTACGGAATACGTCGAGCAGAAACACGTAGATCATGATTTTTGAGATCTTGAACTTGTAGTGATTGCAACTGAGACCAGAAAATAATTTTAGCACCCACCACCGATTAATATAAACGGACAGTTGCAAACCTTCCCGCCAAAACAACTTATTGTTTAATAATCACCGTACCTGTGTTTAAAAATTGTGGTTAAAAAAAGTGCCACGCTGTAGTTTGTGATCGGTCAGATTCATAAGAACTTAAGGCATTCTTATCTAGATAGTTAACTGTTTCAAAAATCATTTAAAACTCTAGGGAGAAAAAAAAAGGCGATTAATGGTTTTCGTTTTGATAAACTTAAATAACTGAAAGTCGTAATAGTAATAAAGAATATTTTTCGGAATGCCATGTTTGGTAAGGCTTCGTAGAGCTTAGGAACCGCAAAGAAGAAGAGAAGAGAAGACAGGATGGTTGCTGTTATAATTGATGGATTTGATAATTAAAGAGTGTGTAATTGTTGTCACGATAAGACATTGACATCAGGTGGTCGTTTCGATGGTGATAGAATCATGGATTGTTCATCCTGGTATGATACATGCTCAGCAAAAAAAAAAAAAAAAAAAAAAAAAAGATTGGGGGACATCATTTTTCAACTTGGGTCCAAGACTTAAATCATTTTCGATCTGGGAAACAATTCTTAATTCGCCTGAATTTTTCTATTTTACGCTTCGTCCAAAAAGGCAAGCATTTTGTTTGTTTTAAACAACTAGAATTGCCCTAGTTGATAGATACGGGCAGGTATGTAGCGTGTCAGATTAAGTATTTATTGTGAAGCATAAAAATACTGAGTCAGGCACACGCACAATCATGTGAGAATTAGAAGCGGAGTAACAGTTTTATCAATGATGGTGACACCTTAAACCATTAATAATCTCTTACTCTTATCTCCCAATTTTTTTGTTATTTATTCTTCTCCATCTTTGTTTTACTCCATTGCGGTAATAAGATAATGACAGAACCACGTTCGGGAGAGATGAACGAGCAAAGAGAGTCTAGTCCAGATAATAATGGCACGGACTCTTCCTCAACCACTGCCGGAAAGAAAAAGAGAACCGGACCAAAAAGAAGAAAAGTAACGCACGGTATGGATTTTTTTGTCTCGATTCTGTGTAGAGTGTTGTATCTAGTAATTTTGATTATGTATCATAGCATGTGTTTATTGTAGAAGATCTCATATGACTTGTGATGATGGTAATAAAAGAAACCTTTACAAAAAAACGGATGAAAAATGTGTTATAAACATTGGATTATAGGCAGACCTTGTCAGAGATGTATTAAGCGTAGCATAGGACATTTATGTCATGATGAGATTAAAAATCCTTCAAGCAGTTCGACAAATAACAAGGGATCTGCTACCCCAGTGGCCAAGAAAGCAACAACGTCAAATTCATTTATCGATGCCAGCACTTCTGGTGTGATCCCTGTTGTACCACAGCACCTTGTTGGTAAGGGGTCACTTTTAATTTTTTTTTAATCTGATATATATCAGTGACCCATTATTCCATGTATAGCTACACCAAGTAATCTAGGTGGTTTACCCTTACAGTTCTTTGGTCAGATGGGATCAGGCCAATTGACATTTGCAAGTGAACAGATGGGAAATGAAATATCCGTGATCAGTAATTTTTTAGACTCTTTGGGCTCAGAATCACAGATATTTAAACCAGCAGTAGAAGATACACAACAAGTCAATTCAACCGAGAAGTTCTTTTTGACCGCAGCTGATCCATCTGATGGAAGATTAGAGGATCGCTTGACCGAAGTCATCAATGCAAAATATGAAGCTGGATTTTTAAAACCGTATAATTATGTCAATGGATATGCCAGATTACAGAAATATATGGACAACAAGTAAGATATGAGGGAAAATGTCACATAGAGAGCAAAACATAGAGACTAAAAAACTTTTTATAGTATGTCTGCTTCAACGAGACAGCGTATTTTAAACGTGATGGGAACCTTTCGTCCTGCATTTAGATCAGTAGCTCAATCATTAACGGATATCGACTTAATTTTAGTAGAAGAGGCTTTTGAACGACTGTTATTAGATTATGACCGTGTTTTTAGTTCAATGGGGATCCCTGCTTGTCTATGGCGACGTACTGGAGAGATTTATAAAGGAAACAAAGAGTTTGCATCATTGGTAAATGTTCCAATTGAAGACCTTAGAGAAGGGCGTTTATGTATATATGAATTAATGGCAGAGGAATCGGCTGTCAATTATTGGGAGGTAATTTGTACAACAGTCCTGCGATTTTTTGTTATTTATGCTAAAACCCTATACTATATTTTTTTATAACCAAGAAATATGGAAATATAGCATTTGATCCTGGACAAAAGGCTGTGTTAACGTCCTGTCTTTTAAAGAGCAGTACGACAAGTGTTAAATCATGCTGTTTTTCTTTTACGATAAGAAGAGACAAGTATAATATTCCTGTAAGTACAGAATAGATTTGTGTGTGTGTGTGTGTGTGTGGAGGAGGGAGAGGATTTAAAGTTTATATATTTTTTACTTGATAATATAACAAAAAAATTATGTAGACTGTGATTGTAGGCAATTTTTTACCTGTACAACTTCAGTAATTTGTGTTCATGATCTTCTTTGCTTTCCTTTATATTTATTACAATTATCACAATACCATTTTCCTTTTGGCACAGTCTTTAAATCTACACAGGCAAGATGGAACCATTCGATATCACACTTTATAAAAAAACTCTTAGTAAAGAAGGGGTTGTTGAGATTGTTTTTTTGTTTTTTGTTTACCTCTGTGTTATCGCATGCTACCATTTCCCCATACGAAACTCCTTGACAGTAACAATAAACAGGCTCATTGGGATCAACAGACATATCAGTATCGGATCTACAGCGTATATATATATATACTTAGTAATTTCGTTGCATCGATCCAAAATTTTAGCTTACGACTTCAATTTCCCATTCTTTCTGGAAGGCAATGTTTTCATTGGTTTTCCTTTTTCAGTATGATTTCTTGCATCTTTTAATGATCTGGGTATGTTTAACATATCTTCCTTCGGCGCTCTTCTCTCTAAAAAAAAATAAGAGGAGACGTTTTTAAATACAAATCCATTGAGAAGACATGAACGGAATCTTACTTTTGGCTGACTGTGATTCTTTTCTATCATTGATTTTTTTTGTGATTTTTTCTTTGGAGGAAAGTTTGGAATATTCACGCAAAGTTTTGGAAGAAGGGGCTAATCCGGGTAAAGAGGCAATGCGAAGTTTTCCAATAGGATAACTTTCCTCGAATTTAACTAAATTGGCATCTAAACGATTGCAGTGACGATCGACCTTTTACGTGTAACAGAAAATAAATCAATACATAACAACCAAAAAAAAAAAAAAAAAAAAAAACTTTACTGCATCAGAAGTGACTTTGGCAAGTGCTGCCTTTTCGCTATTTCTTTGGGCTGTTTCACTGAGTAATTCCACCATGGCCTTTAATTTTATAAACCGATCGTTGGCGTCTATACAATCAATGTTGTCAATCAAGTCAATAGCGGCTTTGGCGGTGGCTGTAGTTGACTCTAAAACATAAAAATGTCAACGAAAACTCCTTCTGGTGGAATTCTACCGAGCACTTTTTTTTTACCTTGTGCATAACCATCCATTTCTTTTAAAAGGGTGAAATTCTTTTGAAGATCGATTTGAAGAGCTTCAATGACTAACGAATAAAGAGAGTGAGAGAGATAAAGTTAAACCCAGACACGTAAAGCCAAAAAATAAATAAAATAAAGACATGTTAAAACATACTGTCAATGTAATCATCAATATACACAAGATTGTCGACAGATGATTTTGTCATCTCTGAGGTTGGTTTTTTTAAAATAATGAGAAGAAAGAGAAGGGAAAAATTGATTATTTTGGGATTTGTGTGCCTGAGATACGAATGCCGCTGCTGCTTAAATATTTACCCAGGATTGTATTTCAATGCAAAAAAAAAGAAGAGCTATTTTTTTTATTTACAAGATTTTTAAGGCATGAAGATATCGTTATTTGTTTGATTTTCCATGAAAAAACTATCCCAACCTACAAATCAGCTTTTAGTTTATTTTTCAGTTGAGATATATGTACATCTTTGTTACCTTGAACATCGAAACCTCTATTAGCATTATCACTACCGGTGAAAGGTGTGCCAGCTGTAGAAAATAATTGCTGCCATGCAGCTTGATTTAACGCAGGATTTCCATTGATACCACCGTATAGTAACCAACTTCCAGCGTCTCCTCTACTTGTAGATTCTTCGGTTTGTTGAGGAAAGGAGGGCATTGGCATAGATTGCTGTGGCTGTGGCTGTTGAGGTGATTGAGTCTGGGTGTTCATGGGCTGTTGTTGCTGCTGTTGTTGATGATGTTGTTGCTCAGGCCCAGAGGGTCTTTCATCGTCAGGTTTTAATAAATTGGACAATGTTTGGAGAAATGGGATAAGTGGTGGACCCGCAGGTATATCGTTGCTTAAAGGACCAAGACATTCATGAACACATATATGTACATAATGCTTTGCTTCATGTGATACAATTGGATCCTTACTTGTACAATTGTAAACATGAATTAATGATGCTTGAAATACAGAATACACAGCAAAATTCCAACCAAATTTTGCGATAGCCATATAAGGTATAGCTCTTGCTACATCGACAGCAGCTTTTGCAGCTAGGTTGCATAATTCAGATCCTCTTTTAAGTGATGGTAAATCATTTTCATCAATGTCCAATACAATAAACGGTCTATGTAAAAGTAATACAACAGCATGATAACATACGGTTAACGGTCCACCCTCCAAGACCTTTTTTGTTCCAACAAAGAGCTTGGGACTCAATCTCATGTCTAGTAAATCTTCCTCGGTAATCTTGTAATCGTTCGGTACGTTATTAAACCATTCTTCCAGCATTTTATGTAAACTCCAAACAGTTTGCTCCATTGCCTTCGTCTTGTATCCATTTAATTTCGCCTTGGGAGAATAAATTCTTCGAAGTACTTCACCAAGAATTCCCGAGAGTTTCACGAAATTAACAAACATGGTTAGATCTTCATTATTATCAGGGCCAGTAATCAAAGGTAAATCCACATCACAATCAGAATCAGCAATTGCAAGTGGTCGACCCATCACAGCACAGCACCATCGATCCGTAACATAGGCACTATACCATAGTTTCTTTCTTCTCTCTTTAAACTCTTCTGATACTTCGACTGTTGTGATTGTACGATGTAGACCTAAATCTTGCGCCTATTAAAATAGAGATTAATGCCCAAGATAAGATAATCTTTTTCTCTTATTGTTACCATTCTGACAGCCATACCAGCTAAAATCCAGTTTCTATATGAACTAGTCGAGTAGGTGGGATGTGCACATAGTAGTATAAGGGCTTGAATAGTCACCACACGAGGCTTTAGATATTCTTTTCTGACCAAGATACTGGCTCTATCGAGAAGTGTCTTGAAGGCATCGTCTCGTTTAATATTTGCTTTTTTGAAGATGGAATCATTGCTTCCGAGTAAGAAACAAGCATACGTACATATGGCATAAGTTAATAATTTCGAGGGTGGTGGTGTTGTTCGACCTTCGTAAGCATCCATAAACTCCTCTTTGTGTAATACAGGTAGTGTAGAATGAGTATCTCTAAAGTAAGTTTGAACAAGGGCATCTAATATGGGTCTCGGCACAATATCATCCAAAGCCTCTTCCTCATCATCGGCAATTTGACATGCATCCTCATCAGCAGTAGTGTCTCTCACGACCATTAAATCATTATCACTGACATTCATTTGTCTAAGCTTAAAAGATTCCCGGCCGTCAATAGAAGGTACGATTAATACTTTGCTAGCATCTCTTGGTACATCGGTTGAAGCTGAAGATTCCGGCGCTTCTTCGGAAGACAATATGTTGCCAACTATATAATAGCCAGACGAGCTTCCGTGATATCGCACTACCTTTCCCTTTGATGTGATTGAATTCAGGTCCATCTTATCGTTGCGTCTTTCAATGGGTGGTGTTTCGAAATGTGGTGCTTCTACGATGGGTGTTTGTGTCTTTTTTCTTTTGGGTGGATGGGCTTGTTCTGTATCATTTCCGATTGTCTTTAACATGGATTCCATCTTTTCCAGTCTTGATTCTAAGCTCTCGATATAACTAATCCCAATATTTAAATTTTTATGCAAAGATATATATGTATAAATATATGCTTATTTTCTTCAAATTTACCCTTTTGGTGGTCCTCTTTTTTTGGGAGTCTGCAAGTAATGAACGGTCTTTAATGTGAGGGTGCACATGGCGTCTTTTGAATATTTGACTTACATCGTGAAAGGTACATTCCCATTCGTATTGTCTACAAGTTGTACAAGGATGCCTTGAATCCACATCACACCTACATGGGTTGAATAGTCTGTACATGAACAATACATGGGACTAACATATACTTACTTGATTTTCTTTCGTCTACAAGTATCACCTATAAGTAAGAATAAGAAAGCAAAAGATTAATGGCAAGTTTTTTTTCTTGGTGTTGAGTTATAAACACTTTACACGCTCTGGTGATTCGAGTACGTCTTGGGTTGGAGGTGCCTGAATTAGGCAACATATTTAGGTCTTGGGAACTAGGGCTCGGTTGACTACTACTTTGCTCATTGTAATTATACACGTTATTATTCATTTCACTCATTAGTTGTGCACTGTAAAAACAAAAGAAGGGAAAAAAAAAAAAAAAAAAAGATGGATGTTCGGCCTATTTATTCACCCGATTGGTGGAAGGGAAAAAGTTTTTACAATGAAAAAAATCAAACGTTGTCGTCAATGCCTATTCCAGCCACTGTATCACCGTAATCATTTGTGCCTATGATGGGTACACCAGGTCGGATTGCATTGTTGGAGGCAGAAGAAGTTTGTGCTCCTATATCGGATTTTAAACCAAAAAGCTGTGGATTAACCACGGTGACAACCGCAATGGAGACAATCGTCAAGGTCAAACACAATGTGGCTGCAATTCGACAGCGCTTTTTCCAAATATAAGAGGAATGCCGATAACGTCTTGTTGTGCTGCCAATAAACCATGCCAAAGGAAAAACAAACCCAATGTAAAATAGATACTTTTCTATCAAGAGATCATCTTCCTGTACTTGCGTGCAAATATCTTCTTCATTCACTATAGTATTTTTTTCGTTCATTTCAGAAACCAATATGTATTTTACATCAGCATCAGCCTGGTCTTAGTATATCCATATCAATGGATATAAAGGAGACTGAGTACTTGATTGCAGGTTTATTGGTCCAGGAACGCACTCCACTGGACTGCCTTCGGAATGTCAAAAACAAAAGTCACAGTTTTTTTTTTTTTTTCTTAATGCTTACCTGGGGGTAAAATAGGAAAATGGAAAAAAAAAAAAAAAGATAGAAGACCTGGTAAAAAAAGCAACCCTTGACAGCTTTTTTTTATACTATTCTGCTTCTTCTTTTTTTGACTAAGGATATTTTTTCATTTTTTTTTTATATATATCTTTCTTACCTTTTAATTTCAACTGTGGGCGATTCTTTTCCTTTTTACAAGACTCAACTTCTTTTTATAATTGACCCTGAATGTCGTTGTCATTAGTTAGACAAGCAACGAACCAAAAAGCGACAGCGTTGAAACGAGCTTTCCTTGTCGGTCGCTATAACCACATACAATGCACAAGTACTCTGTTGCGACCTTACAACCACTATAGCACTGCTGCTACGGCAACCGCTCCTTCTAGCAAACCCGAGCGAGAACATATCATCTTACCTAATCCTGGTCTCAGTACCTTCAAATCAACCGCTCGTGTATTACCCTCTACCGTAGCTGAACAGTTTGCCATCTTAAAGGCATGTATCATGTCAGGTAGTATGGAAAGAGCTGAGCGTATCATGATCGAACTCTACAAATCAAAGCCTGAAGAAATGAAGATATTTGCCGATGTCAATATTTACAACACTTTTCTGAATGGATTTGTCGAAGCTCCCTTAAAGCCAATGACCAAACAATGTTTGAATTGGTTCGATAATATGAAATCATTTGGTATCAATGCGGATCCCAATACTTATGCCATCATCGTAAAGGGCTTTTTAAAGTAAGTCTTTATAACGCATATATCCGAACCTTGTCACTAATTGGGGAATTTTTATTTATTTATTTTTAGGGTGAAGAGTTATCATACCGCAAGAGCTTTATTGACAGAAATGACAAGTGCGGAAGGAATCACAGTGGATGAAATGTTACAATCAGAATATTTAACCAAGAATGACGTTGCCTTGTTCAGAGAGGTAAAGACATCTATTAAAAAAAAAAAGAGAGAGAGAGAAAGATATACTGACTGTTTTAATCATTAGATGATTGCTGTGAGTCAAGGAACTACAGAGGTAAACATCGAAAAGTTTCTCAAGGAATTAGAAACCGCTACCGATAAAATTTTGGGTCCTCGTGCCGAACCCATTATGAAGGATGTGGCCGCCACAACCAGCACGGTTGCTGAGCCCATCGAAGTCGTTCCTGAAGTCAGACCTACCAAATCCGTCGGTGTGCACTTCTTGCAAGAACAATTAGCCGCATTAAAAGATCCTCAAAGTTCGGCCAAAATGGATCCTTTCGAACTTCAATTGGGCTTGGAACATCAAGGTTATGAAATGGCCTTGCAGAGATTGTTACACAACAAGGAACAAAGTATCGAAAGAGGTGACACATTGAACGCCATGCATTTAACACCGTTGAAACGTATCATGTGGCAATGGCATCAAAATATGCTGCCTTTAATCGAGGATGAAATTCAGAGATGTGATGCTGCTACCGTGAGAGAGAGTGATCGTCGTGCTTACGGTCCCTTTTTGAAGTTATTAAAGAAGGAAACTTTATCGATTGTTACAATTTTGGAATTATTACGTCTTCACAACTCTTCCGGTATTGGAGATGGTATGAAGACCGCTCGTGCTATCATTGATGTCGGAAAGGCGGTAGAAATGGAATACAATGCTGTACAAATCAAGAAGAAGAGTACACAAGGTACTTTGTCTAAGGATATCACCGGTCATAATGATGCACATACCCTTTTCGCCAACGGTAAATTGTTCAATATGGCTGTCAGAAAAGCACAAACAAAGGTCGAAAACGACAAGTTGTCTATCCAACAAGGTGGAACTGCATTGGCTGGTACCGATGAATGGAACCCTGTTTGGCCTAGTACCATCCGTGCCAAGGTTGGCTCTGTCTTGACAAGTATCCTTTTGGATGCTGCTAAAATCCCTGTACCTAGTAAAGATCCCGAAACTGGCTTGAAGATCACTGAAAATATCCCCGCCTTCTTTCACACATACCAATACGTCCATGGTAAACGTGTAGGTATCATCAAGTTCTCTGAACAATTGACTCACATGTTATCGCGTGAACCTGTACGTGATACCCTTCATCCTCGTCTTTTGCCCATGTTGGTTCATCCTCGACCTTGGCTTTCTTACAATTCGGGTGGTTACCTCTCTACCAAATCTGTCTGTATGAGAATTAAGGATTCTGCCGAACAATTGATTTATCTTCAAAAGGCCTCAGAACAAGATCATTTAGCTGACGTTTTAGCCGGTTTGGATGTTTTGGGCTCTACCCGTTGGAGAGTCAATAAGGATGTATTTAAGGTCATTTTGGAAGTTTGGAATTCAGGCGAGCCCGTGGCCGATATCCCTCCTGTCGTAAACGAACATGCCGTTTTGCCTCCCAAGCCCGAAAACTACGATACCGATCCTAAGGCCAAATTTAACTGGGTGACCGAAGTCAAGCAAATCCAAACCACCGAAAGAAACAACCATAGTTTAAGATGCGATGTCAATTATAAGGTCGAAACCGCGCGTGCCTTTTTAAATCTTCCCATGTTTTTCCCTCATAACATGGATTTCCGTGGTCGTGCTTATCCTATGCCCCCCACTTTGAATCATTTGGGTAATGATTTGTGTCGTGGTTTGCTCCATTTCGATGAAGCCAAGCCTCTTGGTGCTCGTGGTTGGAGATGGTTAAAGATTCATTTAGCAAATTTGCACGGTTATGATAAGTATGTACACTTCTTTTTACCCACTTAAAAAAATGTTTATTAGTTTGACTGACCCGTTTCTTCTTTTTTTAGACATTCATTTACCGAGAGAGAAGCTTACACAATGGAAAACATTGATAATATCTTGGATTCTGCTGATAAACCATTAGAAGTATGTGGGAATTATAAAAGTATTGATCAACGGATCCAATCGTTTACTAACCTGTTCATTTCTTTTTTTTTAAAATTCAGGGCAATAAATGGTGGTTAAAGGCTGATTCTCCATGGCAATGTCTTTCTGCTTGTTATGAAGTGGCTGCTGCTTTCCGTAGTGGACAACCTGAAGAATTCAAATCTCAATTACCTATCCATCAAGATGGTACCTGTAACGGTCTTCAACATTATGCCGCTCTTGGCGGTGATTTAGCAGGTGCGCGTGCTGTCAATTTGGCCGCTGGTGATCGTCCTGCTGATGTCTATACCGGTGTTGCAGATTTGGTGAATAAGCATATTGAAAAGGCCGCTGCCGAAGGTGATGAGAGTGCTATTCTTTTAAAGGGTAATATCAGTCGTAAGGTAGTCAAGCAAACAGTCATGACGAATGTTTACGGTGTCACCTTTGTTGGTGCTCGTGCACAAATCGAAAATCGTTTGAAGGAACAACCCAATATCCCTCGTGAAAAGGTTTATGGTCTTTCCGGCTATTTAGCCAAGGTTGTCTTTTCCTCTCTTGGTGAAATGTTTACAGGTGCCCATGAGATTCAAGATTGGTTAACGGATTCTGCTCGTCGTATTGCCAAGAGTGTTCCTTTGGAGACTTTACAAGATGCTGGTTTAGTCGCTGGTTATACTCCACCCGCAGCTGCCCCCGAAGATGAAACTACTAAGAAAACAAAAAAGAAAGCAGGAAAGAAGAATCAAATCTTTTCAGCACGTAACCCTGCCTCAAATCAAATGACTTCAGTTATTTGGACCACTCCTCTTGGTTTACCCATCGTTCAACCTTACCGTCGTTCCGGTAAGAAACAAATCGCTACCTTGTTACAAACCATCTTTATTGAAGATCCCGATGCTTCTCGTCCTGTCAATGCCATGAAGCAAAGTTCCGCCTTCCCTCCCAACTTTATCCATTCCCTCGATGCTACTCATATGTTGATGTCCGCTGTTGCCTGTCATAAAAAGGGTATGTCGTTTGCCTCTGTGCATGATAGTTACTGGACTCATGCTTGTGATGTTGACGCCATGAACGAAGTCATTCGTGATCAATTTATCGAACTTCATTCTCAACCTATCATGGAGAACCTGATCACCGAATTCAAGGAACGTTACAAGGATTACAAGGTCCCCCAAAGCGTGCTTATTAATAAGGGCCCCAGTGCCGAGGAAAACGCAGAAGGAGCTTCGTTATTCGGCGATGTGTCAATATTAGACAAAGAGTTAGAAAAGGAAAAAGCAAAGAAGGATTCCGAAAAGAAGGATGCCCTGAAAGCATTATTTGGACTGGGTGGTAACGATAATGACGGAGAAGGAGATGAAGAATTAGAAGAGGAAGCAGAAGAAGAAGAAAAGCCCAAATCAAAGAAGGGTTCTCAAAAGTATGATCATACCTGGGCTCCTTTATCATTTAGACCACTCCCACCAAGAGGTGAATTTGATATCAATGAAGTGAAAAAATCACCATACTTTTTCCATTAAATGCCCACACAAACTCATTCACACACACACACACACACACACAAAACCATTATCTAGACCTGTTATTATAATATACATCATATATTCCCCAGACTCCCACTCCCTCTTTCACAAACACACATTGCGCTTTTTCATTTTTTTTTAGAATAAAAAAAACATCTGTAAATTACTAATACTCAATTAATATATGTACACACCCCAATTGTTCATGTTAAAAAGAAAGCCGTGTTCTTTTCCAGACTTTACAAGAGTAAGGAATATGCGCTCCTAACCAAAGATATATTGTGCTATATATATAGCTCTGCATTTAAGTTAATGATACATCGATACCATATTAGAATACAGAGGTGGCACGTTTCTACCATGCTATCTTGTTGCAATTACGTTGTATCTGTTTGTGATAAATGAGAACATGTGGACAATTTTGACGTCTGCACCATGTCATCCATCATAACCCATTTTATCATATGATGACGCACAATACATCTTTAAGCAAAGTCCTCTCAAGTTGATTTTTTTTTTGCCTAAATATAGGAGCAAACCTTACTTTTCTTGTTCTATTTTATATTTTTCTTTGCCAAACATCCTAACTTAGCCAAATTTCATTTTTTTGTATATTAACGTCTATAACAAAATGTCCTTGACAAAAGAATTAGCAGCATGTGCCATTTACGGGCTGGAAATAACTGATGAAAACAAAGAAGAAGCATTGCGTCGCCTACAAAAAGCTAGACTTACTCCTGTCTATTTAGCTAATGGAGACCCTACCGTGGCCGTTGCTGTAGGGATCCATAAAGCAAAAACAGAACCTTGGAAATTCAAGGAATTTTTATCAGAGGAGATAAAAAATAAAGAGGACAAAAGTACAGAAGGTAGACATATATAATACATAAAACTTAACTTCATTTTCGTAAATACCGAACTTTCTTCCTAGATAATAAATCTGAAAATAGTCGCGACTCTTATGAAATAGAAGGCAAGTCCATACTAAACTCAGGTACTGTCTGATTATAGCTAACATATAATTCAGTGCCCCAATCTAGGAGAGCTGTCATAGAGTTGGTGAACATGATATTATCACCACACCCGATTGAAAGTATTACCCATGAAAAATTTTTAACTGAAAAGGATCTCTACGAGCTTGTAAAGCCATATTTCGCCGAGACAAATTTTTCATGCAATCAGCTGAATGATTGGTTAGGAAAAGAAGGATCGTGGGGTTCGACTAAGAGAAAAGTAGTCCATGGAGAGAGATTAAGAGGGAGAACACTCCACGTCATACGGCCAGAGTTACGAGGTAAGATAATTTTGCGTACTGAATATACCAATAACAAATAACGAATAACGATAATATCTTAAAGACTTTTTGTGGAATGACATTTCGAACGTGAAAGAATTTCGAAAGTCAGTAAGGGAAAGTCATCACAAAACAGCAACTATTGGCTACGTTAGAAAATCAAAAACAACCGAGAAGAAGGAAGCGGTTGAAAAATCTATCAATTTGCAAGTAGCCAAAATGAAAAAAAAGTTACTATGCGAAGATGTGTTTGCAAGTTGCAGGGCTAATGCAGATGATAAAATTGATGACAGGGATATTAAAAGTACAATTATATACAAAGTCTCGCATGTCCGTGGCGACTGTCAAGGTAAGTAAAGCACATATTCTAATTTAATTACAGTATGGAATAGTAGATGTAACCAATCAATAATTGATATTCTTAAAAGACATGTTGGATTACATAACCATGTCCAACAGAACAGTCCGGCTGGTAGTCATTGACTACGCGGGATTGAGTACCAATCCAGACGACTTAAAGGAGTTTGTGAGGTAAGTTTGAAAATCGCGTATTAAGAAAAAACTGACATTGTATTATTTATGTCAAAATTTATATTGAAGAAAACACAAGCAACTGAAAGAAATTGCAGTCGATGAAGGACAGAAGATGACTGTTTTCTCTCGTCATGAACTTTTAAAAGACGAGAAGTTACTTCAAAAGTTCAACTGTCGAATCGGAAGCGTAAAGCGTTCTCTTTAGATAGCTTACTCCCATCTCCCCGTTTGTATATCAACCTAAATAAATTTTTAAATGCTACGTACACAATTGTCAAAAGAACTGCATCTTAAAACTTTGCCTAGCAAAGATGCAATACAACAGATAATACGCCTTATAAAGTTTTGAATGTCCATCTTAAAAATAGAATAGGTAACTCATATCAATAGAGCGAGCGTCTCATACAAAAAAACTGGGAAGTTCTTATAGAAAAAACCGACCATCTTATGTGAAAAGAAAGGGGGTATCACGTAAAGCGTGAAATTGGTGACAGTGGTAAAATCGGTGAAATTGGCTGTGAAAGTGGTGAAAGTGGTGAAAGTAGTGAAATAGACTGTGAAATTGGTGAAGTCGGCTGTGAAATCATCGTGAAAATGGTGAAATAGGATGTATGAGCAAACCGTGCCAAAAATACTGCGCAACTCTGATAGAACAGACTGGCGCAAAACATATAAAATGAGTGAGCTCCACAAACAAACAAAAAGGGTGGCCACCTTATATGAAAAAGGTTGGTTTCCTTATAAAAGAGTGACCAGGCTAAAAAAAAAAGAGTGGCCATCCTACAGAAAAGAGTGGCCATCCTACAAAAAAGAGTGTCCATCCTATAAAAAGAATGGACACCCTACAAAAAAGAGTGGCCATCCTATAAAAAAGAATGGACACTCTATAAAAAAGAGTGGCCATCCTACAAAAAAGAATGGACACCCTACAAAAAAGAGTGGCCATCCTATAAAAAAGAATGGACACTCTATAAAAAAGAGTGGCCATCCTACAAAAAAGAATGGACACCCTATAAAAAAGAGTGGCCATCCTATAAAAAAGAGTGGCCATCCTACAAAAAAGAATGGACACCCTACAAAAAAGAATGGACACCCTACAAAAAAGAGTGGCCATCCTATAAAAAAGAATGGACACTCTATAAAAAAAAGTGGCCATCCTATAAAACAGAGTGGTCATCCTACAAAAAAGAATGGACACCCTGCAAAAAAGAGTGGCCATCCTATAAAAAGAATGGACACCCTACAAAAAAGAGTGTCCATCCTATAAAAAAGAGTGTCCATCCTATAAAAAAGAGTGGCCATCCTACAAAAAAGAGTGTCCATCCTATAAAAAAGAGTGGCAATCCTATAAAAAAGAGTGGCCATCCTACAAAAACGAGTGTCCATCCTATAAAAAAGAGTGGCAATCCTACAAAAAAGAGTGTCCATCCTATAAAAAAGAGTGGCCATCCTACAAAAAAGAGTGGCCATCCTATAAAAAAGAATGGACACCCTACAAAAAAGAGTGTCCATCCTATAAAAAAGAGTGTCCATCCTATAAAAAAGAGTGTCCATCCTACAAAAAAGAGTGTCCATCCTATAAAAAAGAGTGGCAATCCTACAAAAAAGAGTGGCCATCCTATAAAAAAGAGTGGCAATCCTACAAAAACGAGTGTCCATCCTATAAAAAAGAGTGGCCATCCTACAAAAACGAGTGTCCATCCTATAAAAAAGAGTGGCAATCCTACAAAAAAGAGTGTCCATCCTATAAAAAAGAGTGGCCATCCTACAAAAAAGAGTGGCCATCCTATAAAAAAGAATGGACACCCTACAAAAAAGAGTGTCCATCCTATAAAAAAGAGTGTTTATCCTACAAAAAAGAGTGTCCATCCTATAAAAAAGAGTGGCAATCCTACAAAAAAGAGTGGCCATCCTACAAAAAAGAGTGTACACCCTATAAAAAAGAGTGGCCATCCGATAAAGAAGAGTGTCCATCCTATAAAAAAGAGTTGGCAACTATTAATGGCGTGCCTTTAAAAAGATGACTCAATGCCTAGAAACGACAGTCGCGCCATGCATATGCTAACAAGTTGTTGCAGTCTTTTTATTTTCCAAAAAATAAACAATGTTGTAACATTTGAGGCTTACAAAAATGCTTGTAGTGTGATGGAGCCCTCGCACAGTAACTATAACTCTACCAGCAAATATTTTTTCCTATGGTTAAAGCATCACAACTATGTTGGTAAAATATGTGTGTAGGTTAAAGAATTAACTTTTAACCAGTTAGAATGTGATACAGTTCGATGTTTAAACACGAAGCCTTTTAAACACGTTGGAGTATAAAAGAATGAGTCAGAAGGCTTTCATTTTTTATTTATGTTTAAAACGGAAAGATGGTGAATTATTTAGTTGATCGTATCATTTGTGTCCATGGTTGAACAATGAATAGCCGCAACACATAAATTTTTAAATATGCAGGATACCCATTCTCTACTCTAGTCGAAATGATTGTTCCACCTATTTAGTCCAAGAGAAGGTACAAAGGGATTCGCGCTTGACGTACCAACCCTAAGATGCAAAAGAGGGAAAGCTCATAACCGTGACTGTTTTCATTCACCTCTTTGATCTAAAATAGGTATATGCATCAGGTAGACAGAAATATATATAAATCGCTATTTTCATTTAAGCCAATTGGCCGGAATAATTTTCTTCTCATCCTGGGGGTCTGAAGCTGTCAGTTATGGACAGCAAACACAGGGACCAGATATGCTTCATCCTTTTGATTATAATCGGAATTTTACAGATCTCCAGCGTTGTAACAGCTAAAATACAAACAATGTCCACTTGAGTGAAAGAAAATGAAGAGGTTGTAATTCAGAAGAATTTTTTTAATTTATACACTTACTGTTTTGTTGGAAATATTGAATTGCCTTTTTAATAACTATTCGAATTACGGCCAACAAAAAATAGTTCTTCCCAAAAAAAAAATAAAAATAAAAAAAATGAGATGGGGATTATTATTATTGTCACGCAGGGTTTTAAGACAACCTTATCCATTTCGCGAAATGTCTACCAGTGCACGTAAGAAAATTTTATATGCATTTTTTTTCTTTCTGCTGTGCTCAAAAAAATAAAAAAAAATGTTTTAGTGATCATTGAACAGCTTAATCCTCTTGCCAATGAACAAGATGCAAAGTTTAACATTGCTACTGGAAATACTAGCTTCAAGGACTTTATTCTTGCGTATCCTAGCGGTAATAATACAACCCAATCTCATACGTTGATATTCGATTGTCTTACAAGCCCTTTTTTTTTTCAGGGGCGTATACTGGTATGCGTACTGTGCATAGAGACTCCATTGTCGAGTTCAATACTCACATGAGTAGAATTACCAATTCCGTCTCACAACTATTCTCCAAAGATAAAAAAGCAGAGTCGGTAATGTCACCTTTCAGAGATGTTAAACAGTTTGAAGCCATGGCAGTACCCATGTTAAAAAAAGGGCTCGAGGCTTATTATAACACGGTAGATGAAACTACCCATAGTTCACACCCTTTTGAAGCCAAAGTATCCATTGTAGTAACATATTCAAGTGAGGTAACCTATATCCCTAAATAGCTCTAGTCAGTTAAAATTTAACCTGTTTGTCAAAAAATTCCACAGAAAGAAGCACCATTATTCGCAGCCCATTTTTCCCAGCTTCATTCTATTCCTTCTGACAAAAGAGTCAAGGTAGACATTGAGCAAGAGTCACGAAAGGCGCCCGAAGTGAAAGACTCACAATGGGTTCGGGATCGATCTCAATTGGAAGAGAAAAAGTCCAGTGAAATTAACGAAGTGCTTTTGATGGATGATCACGAGCAATTATACGAAGGTATTGCTTCCAATTTTTTGGCCGTAAAGATGGTAAATGACAAGCCTGTGGTAATGTGTGCTAGTTTGGATCATATCTTGTTGGGATCTATTTTGAAGATTGTGCTTACTCTTTGTGAAAAACATCACATTGATTTTGAATGGACCTTTCCAAAGCTTCAGGATGCAAGGGATGGTAAATGGGTTGGATGTTTCATTACCAGTAAGTAACAGTAACTATTAAAACAAAGTTGAGGTAACCATTGTAACATGTTCCTTAAAATAGGCACATCAAGACTTTTATTACCCATTGAGACAATCTATTTCCATGACGAAAGGTATATATTTAGACTCCCCCATGCAGCAAACTCATGTTATTAACACATTACTCCAGGATTGAATTTGAAGAATCTGCTCCAATTATTGAGTTTTTACGTTCTCAAGTATCCAAAGAGATTTGTAATGGCGCTTATAAAATTTTGTGAAAATAAAATTACAGAAAATTAAGATTATATGGGCGTGGCTGAGGACCCCCATCTCTTTTAATTGTCAATGTTTCACAGCTTTTTTTATACATGTATTCGTATAAATCATGAATCTTTCATTGCAATCAGACGACATGTTCTCATATAGTTGCCGCAGTGTAAATAGTAAATATTTTTGGATTCATTGAATATACGTAAGAATCGAGAATGCTTCTTTGATCTAAAGACTACTCGGACCTTTATGTGATTCATCTTGTAACTTATTGCCACACACACACACACACAAACAAACAAATAAACACAGAAACATACCGAGGTTTCGTTTGTTATCAAATCTAATATAAACAAAGAAGAAACGTCAATTATATAGACAACAGACAACAGGCCTATAAATCAGAGCTGAGTGTGATAGGACACCTAGATTCAAAGAGCTCCTTCATTGTCGGTGATTCATAACGACAAATGTTTCTCCCTTAGTTACTTCTTTCAAGAATTATTTAAAGTTATACATCGTGCTCACAAAGGCTTATGAGAATAAAACCAAGTAGCTCTAGTAGTCCTTACTTTTTTGGTTGTGTGCTAGAACGCAATTGGAAAGAAAATGACGGATGATGAAGAGTATAATGGTTTAATCATTGTGTGCTACCCAATGGACCCCCAGTGTCTAAAATAAGTAAAGCTCGCTAAAATTATAAATATCAAATCCATAGAGCGCCACACAATAGATTACTTCCTTCTTTTCTCTCTCTTTTTCTCTTTCACACCTTTTCTGTTATTTTGCACTGAATGAGTGTATATGTGCCTTTTGATGATCAAAGGAAGCAGGATGCATCATTCACAATCAAGTCAATGGGTATCCAGCTTGGTATCAATTTAGGAACTGCAATCGTTGTTATGATTGGATTCAGTTTATTAAGACCTGTACGGCAAAAAAAAAAAAATTACCCCTTTCCTCCAATTATTAAATTCGATTTTCTCCATTTTTAGAGAAATAGTTTGGTTTATGCACCTAAAGCAAAATTTTCAACAGACAAGTAAGTTTACCCATTACAACTTTTTTTTTTTTTTTTTTTTTTTTTTTTTTTTTTGCGTGTGATAGTTCACTAAACAAATCAATAGAAATCGACCTCCTTCGATAGCACCGACAGGCTGGCTTTCCTGGATCAAACCAGTGTTTAGGGTCAAAGACGAAATTTTATTACAGCAGATTGGATGTGATGCAGTGCTCTACATTCGATTCGTCCGTCTGTTACGAAAACTTTTACTCTGTATGAGTGTGATTGGCCTCGGTGCCTTAATACCTGTCTATATCATTGCCACCAAAGAAACTGGGTAAAAAAAAAAAAAAAGGAATTACACGCAATATATAAAGAATGACTATTTTTCATTAACACAGTTATTAATTAGTGATTGGCCTCCTGCTGCTGGTAGTATCGAGATTTTATCTATTTCAGGCATCAATTCTCAAAATGGAAAATTAGTAGAAACTCCCAATACGGTGTGGTATTGGGCTCCATTCTCAGCGACATGGGGATTCTCCATTCTCATTGCTTACTTTATGTACCGTGCTTCTTGTGACTATATCGACATGAGACAATACTATTTCCGATTACCCTCTAATGAAGCCACCATGAAATCCTTAATGGTGAGCCATATTCCCAAAAGTAAGCAGACTGATCAAGATTTGAAAGTTTGGATCGAGTCTACACGCGCCATTCAGCATCCCATCAAGGACAGTATGATGGGTCATCACAGTAACAAGCTATCTGAAATATATGAAAACCACGAAATTGCAGTACATCAATTGGAAACTGCGTTAGCCTCTTATTTGAGTGATGGTAAAAACACCGATTCAAAGAAGCGACCAACGGTGCGCGTGGGTGGCATGTTTTTTGGCTTATTCGGTGGTAAAAAAGTGGATGCGATTGAACATTATACCAAACAAGTCGCTGAACTGGATGGCGAGATCAAAAAGTTGAGAAAGGATCAAACCAAGACAGCACCCTATGGTTGGATTTCATTTGATAAAATCGAATATGCTCATCAAACCGAGCGATCCTTAGAGAAGTGGTTAAAAAAGACAGATAACGAAGATGTCTTTCAGGTTCGACTTTCACCTACACCTACCAATTTGATCTGGAATAATTTACCGATGAATGAGAAGGCTAGGAAATCAAAGCGGTGGATTGGACGTATTATTTATTGGGTATTTGTGTTTGTTTGGATGATCCCAATGACAGCTTTGTCTGCTACATCCAACGTGATTAATTTGATTCGATTAATTCCTAATTCGGCCTCCTTCATTGAGTCGCATCAAGTTTTAATGGGTCTTATTCAAGCCTATTTTACTCCTATTGTGATGGCCATTTTCTTTTACTTGTTGCCCATTTTCTTTCGATTTTTATCAAAGCAACAAGGCTATTGGACTCAAACAACCCTGGATCGCAAAGTGCTCACTAAGCTTTATGTGTTTTTCATCATCAACAACTTGTTGGTATTCACACTGACATCCATGTTAATTGGTATTTACGGGCAGATCCGTGCATTGATTGAATCAGGTTCGTTACCTTCAGATACGTCCATTTCTGGTTACGTCATGCAGATTGCACGAAATATCTCAGAGGTATCTACATTCTGGATCAATTTTGTTTGTTTGAAATCTTTGGGTCTGACGATGGATCTTGCCATGTTGGTGCCACTCATCACAATCACTGTCAAGAAGTTCTTGACCCGGCCTAGTCCTAGAGAATTAAGAGAGATGGCGAAACCACCCGAGTTTAACTTCCCACAAAATTACAACCTGTTACTCTTCTTTTTCACAATTGCGCTTGTGTATTCTGCTATGTCACCCTTGATCTTACCGTTTGCCTTGATTTATTTTACGGTGGCAGGCATGGTTTACAAATACATGTTGATGTACGTATATGTCACCAAGATTGAAAGTGGAGGTAAAATCTGGCCAGTTTTATTCCAAACCATCATGACATCCGTCATTTTTTTTCAGGTCACAATGATCATCATGTTGGTGCTGAAAGGGGGTAATTTACAAGCGTATATTTTGATTCCTTTACCTTTCATGACGTTGGCTTTCCAATATTTCTATTATCGTCGTATGCATACTTTGGGATCTTACTTGATCGGCTCGGATTCCAATTTACCTAGTAATTATATCGATGAATCTTTCCTTGGTGACGATCATCATGCTTCTGGTAAAAAGAAACCTGCTGCTAGTAAAAGCTCATTACGTGATCAATTCCAGGACCCTGCATATCATGACAAACTTTCAACTCCTACCGTGCATGAAGATGTCAAACATTTATTACAAAAAGTGTATCGTAATTCCACCCCTCCTGCTGCAACTTCACATGGTAACTCGCAACATCGTCACAAGGTTAATGAAACAATTGAAATGGTCCAGAACTATAGTAAAAATATGGCACATGATATGGATCTTGATCAACAGAAAGGGTTTAGTCACAAACATCATATTTATGATGCTGGTTGTCCTATTCAATTTGAGACTGTGACAGAAGAGGATATCTTAGAGGCCGAAAGTGAAGATGACGAAGAAGAAGTCACTCAAGGTCAAAGAGAAATGGCGCATTATGCTAAAGACGATGAGGAAGATATGTCTCTAACCAAGTCTAGTACGTTTGCATCATCTCATTATGCAGCCTCTTCCTATTACAATAATAATTCAGATACCACACCTTTGCTTCAACAACAGCCATCCGCTCCCCCGCCACTTCCGACTCATACTTCTTCGGAGAGGTTTTTAACTGCACCGCAAACACGTATGCCCTCTACTAATAATCGAAACATTACATCAGAATATATCGAAATGTATTCTTCGTTTACACCTAATGCAAGTGGAGTCAATATTGCAAACCGATCGGATTTGAGAGCAGTATCTTTAGAAGAGTTTGGTACCAATGACCCCGTTGAGCCACCTTTGGCTATTGACAGAAAACGCCATACGATGCCTTATTCTACCGAGCATGAAGATACGGATCGTCATTTATCACTTCCTAATATGTACCACCCTTCTTTAGCTTCCATGGATTATTTGTCGGAGGAAGATGAGGACGATGAAGATATTGAACATGCGGTGAGTGGGAAAGCGGTTGAACTGAAGCGACAACTTTCTGCACCTGTTGTTCGTCGTCGACATGAAAATATCAATACGGATTTAAAGAGACATAATACAGTACCTTCCAAATCTCGACAAGTGATTAATCCATTTGGTGATGAATATACAGAAAGTCCCGTTGAGTACGAAGAAAAAATCCTGGTGGAAGACGAGGACGAACAAGAAATAGAGAGACCTGTGAATTATCACCGTATCGTGACTGAAGAATCATTTGTGGATAATAAACGACATCCCACCAACCAAAGAAACAACAATGTATAAATATTAGTAATTTAATTAATAAAGTAGAAATCCTTGATATAACAAATCTATGAAATGTTTATTTTAAATTAAAGTAGTATGACACAATTACTTTTTTTTTTTTACTCTTTCTCAGCTTCCTTACAATCGAATTTCTGACCCTGTCTATGACTGATGAGTACTTTACCACCGTCGGTCCAACGAAGGGTTTCGATATTGCGTGCTTTGACAAGAGTGAGACCCAAGGTCTTGTATCGTTTAGCAACCATGTTTTTATAATTGGTGTTGATGTCGCTAGCAATGGCTGCGGTGATTTGTTCAAGGGTGACAGTAATTCCTATTTTTATAAGCATTGATAGTTATATTGTTCTTCTCTTTGTTGTTATGATTCGTTTGAGTTCTACGCAGTATTGGTTCCTTCATTATGCAGGGATTTGACGTCGTTTTTTCTCAACGTGCAAATCATCGTCGAAAGGAGCGGAGCGTGCCAAGGGCTTCTTGTCTGTAATCACGGGTGGCATCAAGGCATTCTCAATGCGTACCTGATTTTCAGAATTGACGGTCTCATTAGCAAATACTCTAGGATTTGCCAATTTTAATTTTTGGGCCATGCTACAGAGTAAAGAATACGATTCTTCCAGACTGCTTGTATCCAACAATGATCCAATAACAAAAGCGACATAAGACTGGATGTTCTGTGAGGAATCAAACCATTCTTCAGCACACGATCCACCGTTCACAACATCCAAGAAACCTTCACCTTCTTTTAATGTCTCGGGATCCTCATCCTCTGCCAAACCAACATAATCTCCCAAGATCTCGTTCATCCAAGCTAATAAACCACATTGCAAGGCCTGCTTGTAGGATGGATTTAATAAGAAGTCTTGCTTGACACTTGCATCTAACAGTTTTTGATCGCCTTTGAGTGATTCCAACATGTCCAATAATCGTTTAGCCAACAAGGGATCATTTCGCTTTAAAAACATCTTTACGCGTTTTAAACCTTTACTGTATATCTGATTGATTTCAGTGATTTTGCCTGGTTTTTCAAGTCGTTGATGTGCAGCAATCACAAGCGTTGGGCAGTAGTAGTTGAATGCCATGATATACATAAAAATACCTGCAATACTTTCCCATCCCATTAAGGCTTCGTAAACTGCTCTATCCCGATCATTACTTGTCAACAAATCCATCAGAATATTCAGCAAATCCATCTTGTTCGGTACATTAGCCGGTAAGTTGGCACCAGCAGATGTTGGCGAGTATTCTACTTTCTGTAATCTAGATGCCAATATTCTTAGGCCGTCACATTGGACCTGTGGGTCGTCGTTCTTGAGCATCCCAAGCAAAAGAGACGCTTCCTCGGCAGACTTGTTCATTTCTTTGGCCGCTTTAGCTGCTTTCACCGCTTTCGCCTCTTTCGCCTCTTTCGCCTCTTTAGCCTCTTTAGCCTCTTTAGCTGCTTTAGCTGCTTTAATCGCTACAGTTGGTTTCATGGCTGCTCGTGATAAAATTGGCGAGGGTGTCCTGCGTTTCAGGAGCAGCTTCGAAGTGGTAGGTGAGGGTGTCTTTGCTTTTGGAAGCAGGTTGGACGTGGTGGGTGATGGTGTCTTGGGACGAAGTATAATTCGTTTAGAGGTGGCTGATGGGGGCACCTTGGGTTTTAAAATCACCTTGGAAGTAGTGGATGAGGGTGTCTTTGGATTTGCGAGCAGATGAGACGCGGTGGGTGATGGTGTCTTGGGACGGGGTCTATTCTCTTTGGAGGTAATAGGCGAGGGTGTCTTGTGTTTTAAAAGTACTTTAGAGGCGGTGGGTGAGGGTGTCTTGGGTTTTAAGAGTACTTTGGAGGTGGTGGGCGAGGGCGTTTGAGATCCAGTTCGTGTCTTTGGTGACGCGGTGGATGCTTTAACAAATCGCAGAACTGGGACCGTCTTTTGTAACTGCTTTTGAGTTGCTGAGTCCAATGATTGACAAAATCTGGTAATGAAAAATAAAAATTTAGTTACTACGATTTATATGCATGTGTTAGGTCATTTTTCATACTTACATGCCAGCGTTGTCAGGCCATAACTGATTATATGTCTTAAATAACGCTCTACAAGATTCTCTTACAGTAGGCGAAGCATCCGAAAGACCGGTTTTCAAGAATGCTTCGATGGAGGAGAGTCCAGTGCTCGTATCGATGATTTTTTTGACATGTTCTTTGGATGCATGTGTTTCCAAGATGATTGTGATATTCTTACATGCATATTGGCGAAGCTGTACATTTTTATCGGACCTTGTTCTACATAACTTGAGAAGCACAGAGAGGTGGAAGCTGGTGTTTTTATAAAATTCTCCAGATGCCTCAGCAAGCTTCAGCATTGTTAATTTCTTTGTGCTGACGCTGCACTTTAGCATCGCGTCAGCGATAACAACGACGGCACGTTGATCAAGGGTGTGCCCCAGCTTTTGACCAAGGTCGGTCAGGAAAGCCAGGGCCTCTACACCCACCGAGCTTCGGAGGCTATGAATCTAGTTGCGATGGAGGTAGTAAGTGCCTTGTAACTGAATATTTTTATGTCGGGTTGTTTATTAAAACTTACGCCGTTAACCAGGCCTGGCAACTCTTTACAGAGGCCGGCGCTAATATCCTCCTTATGCTCAGAAAGGAGTTCTGAGCAACGGAGGATTTCACGCAAATTTTTTAAGACTTCAAGTCTTCCTTCCCAATTAGAATCATTTTCTTTTTCTTTAAAAAGCTTGGGTATGAGGCTAAATTGTTTTTCGACATCTTTTAGAGATGTGATCTAGAACAGGAGTCATTAATCGACTATTCAAAGTCTCCGGCTTACTGTACATACCTTAGCAACGCGTTCTTTTAGAGGACGGCTCATTGTTAATTGAAGACAAAAGAGTAAAGGCTGTGGGAAGAAAGAAAAAAATATTTATAAGAAATCGGGATTTGAAATTAAAAAGTAAGGAGAGAGATTTTTTTGTCGTGTGGCAAATAAATATCGCATATGTTGAGTGACACAAGTCAAGGCCTTGATGAAACCAACTGATTTTTAGTGTCCAAATGAAATACTACAAAGACAAAAGATGGCAGGCAAAATGATTTTTTTTACAGCTGTCATGATTGAAATATACATGTAAAAAACCACCTTTTTCTCTCTTGAATACGCATACACCTTTTTTTAAAAGGCAATTTTTTGAAAACACCCCAATGGTCCTCTTGTTGCGTAGCGTTTCTGACTGGTTTACATAATAAGAACGTATCAAGACGAAGTAATAGCAGTAACCGCTATTATTGTTATCCAAAGTGTTTAAGCTTTAACTGTTTCGTGATATATCGAATAGTACTATATATATTACGACTCGTCGTTTAATATATTTACCTCTTTTATCTCTCACAAGCCAAATCTAAGATGATAGATTATAAGAAAGGATTGATTTCTCCAAGGATTTACGGTTGGTGTTGTATATAGTTATTTGTTAAGTCTAAGGGCAGTTATTAGAATCCTGTTACAACACGACTATCAATGATACCAATGAATGGTCCATCATATAAAACTACGATGGATCTGGGCTGTTAAATAGACAAGCCAGAATTATCCTTAATCTTCTATAAACACTAGGGAAAACTTTCCCAACTAATTAGCTCTCAATTAATTTTTATGCAAATAAGTCGACAAGACTTATGATTGTATCCCTTTATTTTTTTATTCAAGTCTACTTTTACTGCACAACTTCAACAGTGCAGAGAGGTGCAAGTTGATACTTTCCAAGAACGCCTCTAAGCCCTCAGCAAGCTTCAGCGTTATTAGTTTTTTGGTGCTGACACTGCACTTTAACATCGCGTCAAGGATTAAAACGATGGAGCGTTGATCTAGGGTGTGCCCCAGCTTTTGACCTAGGTTGGTCAGGAAAGCCATGGCCTCTACACCCACCGAACTTCGGAGGCTATGAATCTAGTTGCGATGGAGGTAGTGAGTGTCTTGTAACTGAAAATTTTTTTGTCGGTTTGTTTATTAAAACTTACACCGTTAACGAGGCCCGGCAACTCTTTACAAATGCCAGCGCTAATATCCTCCTTATGCTCAGAAAGAATTTCGGAACGACGGAGGATTTCGCGTAAATTTATAAAAGTAGTTCAATCACTTTTATCCAACATATGCAATATTCGATAGCATAGTGGTGAGTAACCCGCCAGCTTTATCTTTAAAGCTATAACCGATTCATTGTCCTGTATGTGAAAACAAGTGTTAAAAAATAATTTGATTATACTGCTTCTTACGTCATGTTAACTTACTTTGTTTGTTTGACAAAAACTACCAAAATCAGTCATGTTGAAGACTATTACCCTGAAGTCACACCTCTTCAGGCAATAGTCTTTGCTGTTAAAATGTACTCAAATTAAGCCTTTGTCATCAAATTTGTTCTTCCAAGAAAATGAGCCCTGGGTCTCTATGTGGCCAAGAGTTGAAGCGAACCCTTTCTAAATTAAAAGAGAAAGCAGGCACTACTTGTGAGTTTTCTTGAAAAAAGAAGTCATTATCAACTAACCTTTTAATGTAACTTATCTCTTTAATAAAGATAGTTCTATACATAAAGATAAAAGAAAGGAAAAAAGAAAGGAAGAAAAAAAAAGTGTGTGAACGAGTTTTTTTATTGATAAATAAACAAGAGCTGGGCTGAATTATGTCAGGATGAAATAATTGATTACTCTATCACCCATAATGTTTGAGACTTTACTTGTTATAGAAATGTCTAGGGGGAGTGAAACATAAAGATTGGGTATAATAGCTTCATAATAAGTAGAACCTGTAGTAAATGACTTGTTAATATCATTTTGACAGAAAGTCATAGTTAGAAATAAGGATTTGCGATGCTCACGGTGAAAAATGGTTTATCAAAGAAAGAAAAAAGGTTGCAAATAATGTAAATGTATAATAAAAAGAAATAGATAATAATAATAATAAAAAAAAAATTTAATGTAAAATAATGTTTTCAGATTGAACAAGTGTTTCTAAAGTTTGTTTGATAGATGAACCCTCTAATACACGGATAGAAAATCCAGTGGCGGAAACATCCTTTTGAAGATAATTAAAGTAAACAGGTTGGGATGTTCCCACCCTCTTGTCCTCATCAAGAAAGAATTTAGCAAGTAATCGTGGTGGTTCCTTTTCTTTATGATATTGTTCGATTAAATCTTTGAGATGCCATGTTAAACGGTTCTTACTCATGTCCCAGATACCCTGAGGTGTGCTTTGGACATTTGTCACATGATTGTAAAATACATGAATGGATCCCTTTAGTTTATCCAAAGACTGCTGCTGTTGCTGGGAATGCTTGATCATCAAGTACGTCACACCATCTGTGCATTTCCACGAGGGAGATAAATACAGCGGCAGGGCTAACCGACCATCGCCATTTAACTCAACCTCATAGGTGAAACATGGGACGGGTTGACCTTGAGGAAAATGTGATGTATCTAATATGAAATGGTCTGTGGCTACCGAGATATACTGAGGATTTGGTATTAATTGTTGAAGGCCCTCCAGATGTGAAGCAGCTAAAAGTATGGGTGTTTGCGTAGATCCAGTGTACGTCAATGAGACCTGTCCTTTGACATGCATTCGATGGTACGCATCTATCATACTAGTCTTTTCATGGATAGAGATATGAACTTCTGGATTTTGGTCTTCCAGAATGGGTTGAAGTTGCCAACTGTTGTTTGTGGTAGTCATTGGCGAGTCGACTAGTGTGACGGGAGAATGGTGCAAGAGTTGAGGAGAGCTGGTGTACGGAGCAGACTCGGTTACCATGGGCTGTTGTTGTTGTAAGAAGGGGTTGGAATTGCCAGTATCCATGGACGACATGGATAACATGGAACTACTGCGGTTCATATTATTGGATGAATCATTGTATGTGCTATAAAGTGAAGAGTCTGTCTGAGATCTAAGCATGGAACTTCTAAAATATACAAATATATAAAGAAAGAAAAAACGGGATTAGCTGTGTATTATAAAATATCCAGTAAAAAGACATTACTCTCTTCTTCCCCTCGGTTTTCTTGTGATAGTAGGTGTACGCTAAATGATAAAATATGATATAAATCCAACATTGAAGAAAAAAAAATGGGTAGGGTTTAATGTATTACCTCACGCAACATGCTAGCAACCTTGGTGAATGATTCATTACTTTCGGAAGACTCTTCTTTTAGGGCACTGTCCTTGATATTGATTTGTAACTTTTGGTTTAATTTAAGGCTAATAGACGAAACAACAAAGTCAATTGATAGATGCGAAACAAGTTAAAAAGTGATGTTACCTTTGGAAATCCGAGTCTACATCGTCTGAAGTATTACGAGATGAGATATCGGATGCGATGGTAGGGAATTGACCTGTTGTGGTAGGCACTGAATAACCTTCTGAATCGACTAAATGAGTCTAAATAGTAGTGTATGTGTGGAGGGATAAGATGTATGTAAAAATCTAAAGAGTGTCTTAACGAGTACCTACATTGTTGGTATCGTTCATGATGGGTGCAACAGGAATTGTATCTGATGGTGATTGATGATAATCTGTAGCAAATTGGTTATCCATGGGAGAATAGGAGTCTTGTGATTGACCATCTTCACCGTCCAATTTACTATGTTTTTTCTTTTTCATGAATACGGATTTGACTATAAAAAGCATAAGAGTTAAAATTGAGTATATATCATATATATGTTGATAGTAGATATTACATTTGTTTGTAGAAGATGTTGTGGAACGTAGAGAATCATGCGAAACGCTATTTCTGGGCTGAGAAGGACGTGCAATTGTCATGAGTCCTTTTCCTCTTTCTGAGCAGAAATCCTGAATATCGTGTTGAATATCAAATTTGTCAGTGGCGATTAAAGTGGTATTGGCCAAGGACAATCTTTTCTGTAATTGGTCACATTGAATTTGCTCGAATTGTTGGACAGAAGATTTTAATCTATTCAACCGCGCTTCGTCAATTCCCTGAGACAAGTTTAAATAATCGACTCCTTCATTTTCCCAATTGGATTTGCTACTTTGTGATTTTTTAAAGATGGATCCTTTCACCGAAGACAGTTTATTCTAATCAGTGTTAAATAAAAGGAAAAGAGAAAATAACCTTCTGTCCTTTTTTTTTTTTACCTTGCTTTCTAACGAATGAATAAAGGGCTCCATCTATATATTTTTAAATAATTAATTAATTACGGAGGAAGGAAAATAGAAAATAGCCGGCGGCGGGATAAAGTACCTGTTGTAGTTTATCATAATCATCGGAGGGTGGTGATCTTAGTGGTCTTTCGATTTGTTGGGTGATTTTGTATGCCATTTCAGAATGACAATTGGCGATTTGGTTGTACTCTTTTAGCAGTAAATCCCAAACGGGAGCAAAGTGACTGTAATAATTGGGGAAAAAAGTGTGAGTGTTATTTTTTTTAATAAGACGTAAAAAATATCAAGATTTACCCTAAGACGCTTGGATCGGTGGTGTACAATCGTTTGGATGCTTTAGCTAAACTCTTTGCGTAATTATCTTCAATTTCAGCTCTAAATGTAATTTTTTTTTTTTGAAAAAAAAAAGGACTCATTTAGGGTATTTTTTTTAAAAAAAATGACACGTGTGATTATGCCCGTGTTACCTTTCTTTAAAATATTCGGCAAGTTCTGTATCAAGTGTCATAATATCCTTGAGTCTACTTTGAACAATATGAATACCCTCTTTAGGTTTTTTTGTCTATTGAAATTCATGCCAAACAAAATTAATTAAAAAGGGCAACCTCCTCATGTTTCTCTCAAGAGAAATTCATACCAGGAATGCGTCAACATAGGCAGTGGAATGCGACATTGTAATTAGCAAAAGGAAGGAATAAAAAGGAAAGAGAAAATGAAAAATAAAAGGAAAATGATGCTAATTGGAAAGAAACGTCACGCACGGGCCTTTAAGTTGGGCTAAGGCTCTTTTTTTGCCTCCCCCTCTTTGTCCCTTCTTTTTTTTTCCACAGTGTACTACAGAGGGAGAGAGCCTTCTTTTTTGTTTTGTTTGTTTGCATATCCGTAGAGCCCTTTACGAGGGGTAATTCTGTCCTGCCACAAGATAAAAATGACATTTGTGACGAATAGTGGGAAACTTGACTTTTTAAAAATCAGATAAAGCGGAGATGAATAAGGTGCACACTGCAAAAGCTATATTTCTCTCATTAAGTATTATTCATATTGCATATGATGGAATAGTGATTTATGCGTTGCTGTGTAGATACAACGTACTGAGAGTTGATCATCGAGAATATGCCTTTTGTTCTCTTGTTATCGATGTTACACACTGCGGTTATCAACCTGCAGTAAGCAGGCCGAAAGATAAAAAAGGGAAAAAATAACCCGTAAAGAAGAAATTGCTTTTGCTGCAAGAGAGAATAATAATAATAATAATAAAAAAGACGGGATATTTTTTATTATTATTATTATTAAGAAATCAGCATAAAAAAATATGTCTATTCTTCGTCCTCAGGGTCAGCACCGAATTGTTTATAATCAATCTTCTTTCCACGTGTTCTTCTGCCACCTGGAATAATCAACTTTGTATCCAACAATTCCAATTCATCCTCTACAATGAAAAAAAGAGGGTCAATACTCATATTCATTTTACTTTGAGAAGCCGGGAATTACCAGAGATACCCTTGCCTTCATCGGATCCTTCATCATCACTTTTAGCTCGCTTCTCTTTAGCTACTTTTCTTACAGGCTTTGATGATTTCTTTTTTGGCTTAATTTCCTCTTCAGATAAGTCTTCTTCCAAGTCTATTGATTTGTTTTTCTTTAACAAAAGAAGGTTCATTGTAGTAACAGTCAAAGCTTACCACTATCGACTTCTTCATCGTCGTCATTGTCGTCGTCGTCATCGTCGTCGTCATCGTCACTATCCTTGACAGCTGTGTATTTTTTGGGCTTCGTATTACTAAGAGACGGTTGGTAAGGAAAGAATAACAATAAAAAAGAGTTTCTATTTACCGTTTGGATTTTTTGCTTGACAATTTATCTTCATCACTACTTGAGTCGTCACTCACATGTTTACGTTTGTTGGCTAAAGCCAAGAGTTTGGCACGACGATCAGACATTTTATGTTATATATGGAAAAAGAAAAAGAAAAAAAAAGTTTTTTGTAAAGAAAAAAAAAAAAAAAAAAGGGTAAAAAAAAAATAATAATTATAATACAGGATAACGCGTTTTCGCAGTCAAACAATGGGCGTTTTTTTTTTTTTACAAAAAAAAAAAAAAAAAAAAAAAAAAAAATTAAAGGAGAAATTGTGTATCGATGCCATGTGTAAAGTCGTACATTACGATTTTTCCCAGATTAGAGCAACAAACGATACGTCCATAATCGAATTGTAGGTTAAGTATTCTTCCATAGACAGCTTGATCAAAACTTTTTAATAATTTTCCGTCTTGTAAACTCCAGATCTTCAGTGAACCATCGTAACTTCCGCTCACAATGCGTTTGGATTTACCATCCAATTGCAGTGTGCGTACAAGGTCAGTGTGACCTTCCAGTGTATGAAGACATTCACCCGTATCTGCAGACCAAACACGGATTGATTGGTCACTTGATCCACTGATAATATATTGTCCGTCGTATTCCACACATGCAATACCTCGGCTATGGGAATCCAGCGTCTTTATGCATTTACCCGTATTCTACAAATATATATGTCAATCTATATCCATCAATTATTATAATTTTCCCAACTTACAATATCCCATATCTTAATGGTACGGTCACCCGAGGCAGAGACGATTTATCATGCTTGAATTGAACAGCATTGACAGCCGCACGATGACCTCTCAAGGTCATTTCCAAAGACCCCTTTTCGAGATCCCAAATACGAACGGTTCTATCTTTGGAGCAACTGACGACAGTATTACCTAGCAATTTGACGTTCAAGACACTTTCACCGTGACCCACCAATGACTTAATTTTCTGACCTGTATGAATATCCCATACGATAAGGGTACTATCACTGCTTCCGGTAATCAGATAGCGATGATCAAACTGCAAACACAGGACACTTCCCGAATGTCCTTCCAACGTGAATTTTAAACGTCCTGTTTTAATATCCCATACTTTTAGATTTCTATCTCGACTGCCAGTGACAAGGATAGAATGATCAAACTGTAAACAATAGATGCCGCCGTTATGTTGCGTTTCATTATCCACAATAAGCTCATGTTTGACGGGAGGTGGGAATTGTTTGACTTTACATCGACCATCTTGCCACCTTTTCTCGATCGTATTTCGGTTACGGTAGAGGCGTTTCCAGTTAATGAATCGGGTATCAAAGGTCTCCTTGTAATGAAAAATGGCGGTCTCGTCGTATTTGACATGTCTTCGAGGCGGTGGTCGATTTAAAAAAGGTCGTTCTGTCACCAAATGAGCAAGTAATTCACGCTGTTGTTGCTGTTGAGGATGATGATAACTGGAAGCACTACTTGAACATGGCTGAGAACGAGATGGGTAAACTTGTGTGGGTCGAATAGCTAGACTGTTCTGATTACTACTACTGCTTTTACTGGTATTTCGACTAAGGTCAAAATCGGTCGATCGTTTAAAGGGTTTTAATCTAGCATCTGTTGTTCTGGGGATACACGAGGCGAGGGATGTTTTTGTAGGTTTGTTGGCGAGATACTCGTGGATGGCTTCCTTATTCGACGTCCAGCCTGCTGAATAAAATAAGTCTTTCCACAATGTTTGGTCTTCGCTTGCTAGTTTCCATTTTTTAGAGATGCGGGACATGCAAGTTAATGATTGGACATCGAGACAAAGTAAGATTTGGCTGGATATTTCGAACGGTAAAGCCTATTTTTTTCGTAGATAATGGGAAAGAGGGGGTTTAATATATATAGGGAGAGAAATATATGTATATATATATACATAAATATAAATACATATATCACTTACAGAGATGAAATCACGATGTAAGAGCGGTGATAATCTATCCACCACATTTAAAGTCTTTGAGATGGGAATGCATAATAAAAGCTGATATGCAAATTCTACTCGGGAAAGGGGATATATAAGGGTGCATGGGTTAAAAAAATTATATTGTTTGTATATATATATATATGCATGTACACTTGTCATTTACCTGCTTTTTGATCATCAGTCCAATGCTTCATGAAGTAAGGTTCGTCGAATCTCTGCTCTACGTACCCTTCGTCTGTTTCTGAACTTGAAAATATTAGCTTATTTTTTTTATAATTATTTTTAATGCTCAGTCTCTTATTACCAATGGTGCGATGATGATTCATGTTTTTTGGTTAAATTATTAGGGAGAGATGAAGAAAAAAAAAAAAAAAGAAAATAAGACAACAAAAAAGTTTTTTTTTTTCTTATATAAGGAGTGGTGTGACATCATACTAATTTATTTATGATAATTATATATAATTTTTTTTTTCTTCTGTGCTTTTTTACCAGCCCAATAGTTTTTCTCTAATTTTATCTACGAGTTTTTGTTCACCTTGTTGATGATCGACGGAAAAGATGTTCATGAAACTACTTTGTCTCTTGTATAAGTCATTTTGTTGAGGCTGATAATGCAAGTTTTCTACTTGTTTTGCTCTTTCATCCCATGTTACACCCACCAGATGATTTTGGTCAATGTTCATTCCGTTACATTCGATTGCCTTTTGAGCCACTTGAGGTGACACGTAATTAAATGTGATCCAATTGCCTTGACTTTGGCATGGCTCGGCTAATTCACCTAGGTTTGTAAAATACTTGATGATCTTTTCCACGTCCTTTCCATCATATCCAAATACACGAACACGGGTCTTTGTAGGATCCACGCTACGGCTTGTGTTAAATAATCCAAATGGGTTATTCATCTCGTTGTTCGTCTGCGTGAATAACCCGCCTTTTCCTCCAGCTCCCTGTCCTCCTACCGTCTGGATACCCGTCTCATTCAGTGATTCAAAAGGTGGCTCACCTCCTCCCACTGAATTCAAGTGTTGATTAAATCCATTGTTGACTACTTCGCTTTTTCCATGTGAAAATATCCCTTGTTCATTCTTAGCCATGACGTTGCGGCTACATAACATACTAGTTTAATGAGCCGTTCTCCCCCTTCCCTTTCCTTTATGTAAGATTCCCAACTTACCCAGTATCTAAATGGCTTCCTTCAAGCACTCTCTTTTTCGCACTGTAAATAGGAATAGGTGATTGGTTGTTGGCAGTCTATAGCAACAAAAAAAAAAAGTGTGAGTATACACAAATAACAGAAAAAAAAAAGATCAGCCTATATAAAATATTTTTTTTTGGGTGTTTACCGAGGTATTGTTATTATTGGTGTTGCTATTATTATTGTTGTTGTTGTTGGTGTTGGTGTTATCTGCAGAAGAAGTCAAGTAAAAAGGCAAAGTCTTGTTGCTTTCACTGAACCCAACCGAAGTCAAGGAAAATTCATCGATATTCTTTGACTCGACATTCGTGACCTGTTTATCTCTTGTACTGTTACTACTTCCAATGAAAAAATTTGCAGGCACCACCGTACGCGTCAACCCTTGAGGCGTGACAAGAAAATGAGGTACTTTGGTATCAGGAAAACAGGTATCTAAATCCAAATACCCTTTTCCTTCTTGTTGTTGCTGTTGTTGTTGTTGTTGTTGTGCTGTTGGTGCGTTAAACACGGAATGAGATGCTTGTGCGTAGGTAGAAGCAGCTGCTCCTGTGCCTGCGTTTCCTCCAAAAAGAGAATTGCCACCACCGGTGGTTGTGTTGCCAAACGTATTATTACTACCCGTTCCAAAGAATGAAGGCTTTGCTGCTGTTGTCGCTGTTGCTGCTGTGTTGGTATTTGTGGAGGTGCCAAAAAGAGAGGGAGTTGGTGTACTACCAAACAAGGAGGGTGCACTACTCGTGGCGGCGGGTGTGGTTCCAAAGGAGGAGAGTGTATTGGTGGGTGCACCTCCAAATAATGAAGAAGTAGCAGCAGTGGAAGTAGGGGCAGAAGTAGTAGAAGCAGCGCCACCAAACAAGGAAGACGTACTGGTAGAGGGATTTCCAAATAATGAAGGTGTACTAGTAGTAGGTGCACTTCCAAACAAGGAAGGTGTCGTTGTTGTTGTTGTTGCAGCGGCTGGAGTACCAAACCCTCCAAACCCTGTATTAGTAGTTGTTGTTGACCCAAACATTATTTAATTTATTTTCTTTTCACTAAAAGAGATCAATTAAGGGAAGAAAAGAAAAAAAAAAAAACCAATTTTTTTTTTTTTTAAAAAATATGGGCTACGTCACACGTTTTTTTTTTTTTTTTTTTAAGGTGGGCAGTTCAAAAGTCACAGATGCACATTTTTTATTTAGTCTGTTTATTGATTTCTGAACTCTTTAATTGACCACAGGCCGCCATGATATCTAAAAAGGAAGGCATTAGAATTCAAGGCGCATACATGTAAATAAAAAAGAAAAAAAAAAGCTAGGTTACCTTGACCTCTGGGTCTGCGGATAGTACAGTGAACACCACCTTGCACCACGACTTGGGCAAATCTCTCTATTTGTTCCATATTGGTAGACACATAACCACTTCCAGGCCAAGGGTTAAAGGGTCTAAAAAAATGAAATTACATGTTAGTTTTTTTTTTGGGAGCGTACGCGCGCAGTGGGGGGGGGGGGCATAAATATAAGGCTTACATCAGGTTGACGTGGGCAGGTAACTGTTTTAATAATTTGACCATAAGTCTAGCATCGGATAACGAATCATTCACGTGATCCAGCATAACATATTCAAAAGTAATTCTTCTTCCTCTGTTGCCCATATGATGTGCATACGATTTACAGGCTTCCAAGACCATTTCAAGAGGGAAAGTCTTGTTTAAAGGTACGAGGATATCTCGTAATTCATTGTTGGTCGCATGAAGCGAAATAGCTAACGATACACCCAACTCTGTTGCAATCTTGGGTATTAAAGGAACTACACCAGAGGTAGAGATGGTGATTTTAGGCTTGGACCAGTTCAGACCTTGAACGTCTGTAAGTACTCGAATGGCTTTACTGACATGACGCCAATTGTACAAGGGTTCACCTTGACCCATAAAGACCATATTAGACAACATCTTTTTCTTTTCATCCGCAAACGGGAAATCACCACAAGCAGAGGCCGCAATCATGTATTGACCCACAATCTCCCCCGAGCTTAAACTACGCTCTAATTTCTGTGTGCCTGTGTGACAAAAGCTGCAATTGAGAGAGCATCCAATTTGAGAAGATACACAAAGCGTCGATCGTTTTATCTCGGGTATGATGACGGTTTCTACAATTGCTTTAGGGTCTTGTTTTGTGTTGAATCCAATTAAGAATTTACGAGTGTTATCCAATGCCACCTTATCCAGCTTTTGATGAACCCCAATTTGTGTCAGAAATTATATATGCATATGCAAAAAGAAAAAAAAAGAAATGGAGCTTACCTTAACTTCACCATAGTTGATCTCGTATTTGGCACTGAGTTCTTGTCGAAGATCCTTGGAGAGATTAGGCATGTCTTCGAACTGAGTAATGCCTTTTTTGTACATGTGCTGCCAGATCTGCAAAGGTGTAAAGGATTTGGTATGCTGCAAGCCTTCCAGTTCGACTTTGAGGTCATCGAGTGTGAGGCCAATCAAGTTTGTCTTTTTACTGAACGGTGTGGGTACTTTAAAGTTACGCACCAAAGAAGAATAGCTTCTACTGAGTACCGATCTATTCAACATGTTTAGATCTATGTTAAAAAAAAAAAAAGAAGTAAAGAAAGTCACTATGAAAGGGGGTTATGGGGGGAGGAGGAGGAGGGGTGGAGAAAGAAAAGAAAAAGAAAAAAGGGGAAAAGAATTTGATTGGTTAATGAAGAGAATGTACAGTTTAAACAATAACATGTACTGCAATTGAAATGTTCAAAAGTTTGCTGTGATAGGCAAGAAAGAAACAAGTATTATTTTGAAGTTTGTACATACAAGATATTCAAAATAGAGTTTCACTATTTAAACATGCAGATTAATTGTAGATTGTCTCTACGTCAATAATAACTTTTTTTTTTTTTATTTTAGTAAGTTAGTTTTTTATTCGTTCATTTTGAAATTGTTAATTATTTAAGGTGGCTATATTTTCGATGGTGATCTCTCTCTCTCTCTCTCCTATTACAAAAAAGGGAGATTTTCAGGAGAGAGAGGAAAGAAGAGAGACGTTTTAGCACAAAAAAAAAAGTAAACAAAAAAAAAGAGAGACATTAATCTAATAACCATATTTGATGTTTATTATTACATAAGGAGCATACACTAAATCTTTTTTTTTTCATGTTGTAATTATTATTATTATTATTTTTGATATGAAAGGGGAGGAGTGAGGAGGTTTGGGGGTGGATGGGAGAGAGAGAGAGTGAGAGAGAGAGGAGCAGATGAAAAATAAAGGTCATTAAACGACTTTTAAATAAAATTGGAAAAAGTACTATTATTACTATTAAAGTGATGATGGAGTTGTTGTTGTTGCTGCTGATGATGATGATGAATAGCAGTATTAGATGAAGGCGATGCCTGTTGTTGTTGTTGTTGTTGTTGCTTTGATGGCTTATTTAACATGGTTTCCTTGGTTGCACTATTACTGCTGTGTCTATGGATACGGATGTGTTGGTTCAGATTGTCTGATCTTGAGAATCTCTTGTTGCAGCTATGATAAGGGCACTCAAAAGCTAAAGATAAAATGTGAGTTTTTTTTTTTTTTGGTAGAAATAATCAAGACTTACGTTTTTCCAGGGTGTGAATAGAGCGGATGTGTCGTTTAAGATGCTCGGATCTTTTAAATACTTTACCACAAGAATCCGCCTTACATGTAAACATACGAGAATTGCATCCCGGAATATTAGAGACACGACGTCCTCGAGAGCGAGGTGTTTTCTTAATTTTATTATTATTGTTGTTAGATGCTGCTGCTGCTGCTGTTGGTGCTGTTGGTGTTGTTGTTGTTGTGGTATTGTTGTTGCTGGCGGATGTGTTTGTGGTTGAGGATGAAATCAAATTATTATTATTACTACTGGGCTGGTGATAATTGTCTTTTAAAATGAGAGGAGGAGAGACAGGAGTTACAGGGCGAGAAATATTCTTATTCATCGACATGTTATTCATGGGAAAATGCATCATTGAGTTATTGCGATACATATTGTTGGAAGAGAAATTCTTTTGGTGTGGATCATAGTAGTGAATCTGTTGTTGCCCACCATTCATCATTTGCGGGTGGTATTTGGTCTGAATATCCACGTAGATGGGATCAATGAACGATGTGACAGACACAGGGCTAACAGAAGAAGGTGGGGGTGTCTCTTGCTGAACATAGTCATCACTGTCATTGGAAGGCGAAGAATTGTTGGGGAGATAGCATCCGTCAGCATCAGATAACATACTAGTATAACTAAATCTTCTTGTATGTTGCTGTTGTTGCTGTTGCTGCTGTTGTTGTTGTTGGTGTTGGTGTTGTTGCTGATGCTGTCTTTTCATGAATTGATTATATTCACTATTGCTATTATTAGTATTGTGATGCTGGTCTTGTATCTGTTGCAACTGTTGCTGTTGCTGTTGAGTTAATGAATTGGGATTAATAAATCTCTGTTGTTGCTGTTGGATACAAGGTAACGACATGGTTTAAGTAAAAAAATAGAGAAAAAGTTAAAAAAAAGTATAAAGAAAGAAAGAAAATAAAGAAATGAACAGAGACATTTATAAGGTGGGTATTTAAGGGTTTTTTCTATTTTAAGTGATTACTACATGTAAAAGAGACAACATATTTATATAAAGGGAGTTCAATTTAGAATGATGCAGTATTTTTTTATGCAAAAAAACCAAAGTGGGAATCGAAGCTAAAACGTCAATAATTATAAAAACACGAGTTCAAGGGTTTTTTCTTTTTTTTTTCACTTTTTTTTTTGTAAGGGGCAAAACTCTTTCTTTTTCTATATATTGTCGTTTTAAAGGAGACCACTTCGAATTGACTATTTTAGCTTAATGGGTAAATATTTTCCCGTAAATTCAATTTTTTTTTTTTTTTCAGAGACATTTGGAAAATCCCGAAAAAGCCATGAGTCTAACTTTTTTTTTTTTTTTTACTCCCTTTTCGTCGAGAACACTTACACACACACATACACACACACACACAGACACACATATTATTTTACACATAAAATAAAAACTATTTTAAATATACGCCATTAATAAACGGTAAAGCATATTGTTTTAGTGTTTTAGGGGAGGTTCATTTGTTGATTACTAAAATGTACAGTGTTGTTATTTCTTTCGTTTTGCATAAATTAGATCGTAACATGAATTCAAGTGGAGAGGATGAAGCGAGACAAGAACAATTGCGAGAGTTTCTAAAGCAATATAAACTGGACCACTATGCTGCCACACTCATTGAAGAAGGATTCGATAGGTTATTATCTGTAAGTTGTCATCAAATAGTGATATATCCAAATAGAAACAAAAAAAAAAGGACTCCTTTTAATATACGGACTCTAATCTTATTGCTTATCCCCCCCCCTCCCCTTCTTCGTTTCTCCTATCAGTTATTTGATATCACAGAAACAGATTTAATTTCATTAAACGTTAAGCGTGGGCATCGACGAGTAGGTATTGTGCAACAATTTTGCTAAATTTACATAAACTAAAAAGGATCATAAAAAAAAATATATAACCCCACACGTCATGATTTGCTAACCCTCGATTATTAATAATAATAATTTTTTTTAATATAGTTACTGCAACGGGCCATAGCAACCGCTCGTGGTGTTCCTATTTCTACGCCGATTTTAATAAATTATGGATATGATGAACCAGGTAATTATAAACAATCTCCCTAAGACACATAAAAAAAAGAAAAAAGGCTATAAAAATCATCATTTGTACTTTTTTAGGGACTTCCCATATGCCAAAACCAGGAACAGTAACCACGACGACGACGACGACCCGATTCATTCCAGACGACCATACAACTCGACGCAGTAGTCCAAATACGTACTATAATAATCACCATCATGTTCAAAAGAAGCGAAAGCAACATGTGCCTTCAAAACCAATTACTGCCTTTGATGAATTCCTCAATGAATTAAAACGAGACTTAAGTGGGACTTCCATACCCGAAATTACCTCCATTGCATACGATCGCTGGAATTCATTAACGAGTACCGAAAAGGAAAAGTACGAACGAGAGGCATTGCATGCAAACTCGGACTATGTGATGGATCGCTTTTTATTTGAAGATGACAATGACAGGGTACGCACTGGGCTAGGCTAGACTAGACTAGACTGGATCGGGGTTATCATCTTTTTTAACTAATCCCCTTTATAATTATATTTTAGACATACATTGGACTTCACTCTTGTTAGTATACCCACCACACCCACCCACTCACACTCACTACAATCACCCACACTACACGCCCACATTACACACACACACACACTACACACCACATACGTCCCTTCTTTATTATAATTACTCAGATCACTAATATTTCCCATTGTCACAATAGCATCCTTCGCCAGATCCGATCAACACTACCAGCCTACACGAGACGACTGTGAACTATCCGTACCTGACATTTACTATTCAAACACCCATTCTTCCTCCGAAAACTAACTTTTTTTTGTGTATATTTTCTTTAACCTTTTTTATTACTGTGAATAAAACTATTAGCCCTTTTTTCATTCTTTAGGGTGAAATACAATGTCTGCTGTATGTCCATAATGTTGAGCACGCTTTCGTTCGAATTCCTCATGCCGCTTACGAGCTGTTTATATAAAAGAGTTACACAATTTAATATATATTTTTTTTTTTTTTTTTTTTGTAAAGTGATGTTTTGGGGGAAGGGGTGTCTATACTTGCCTTCCTCCTGCTTTTCTCTCTCCTCTTGTTCATCCCATGCATCGGTACCAAACGAAATCTTATTGACGCTTTGACCACCCATATCATCATCATCTAAACAAAACTCCTCGGGCTCTTCATGCGCTGCTCTTATATTCTCTGGTAAATCTACACATAATGGGATGGACAGTTATTTGACAGAGTTTCTTTTTCATATAAACATATCAGTCTAACCTTGCCAGTTAGTGACCTCATCTAGATCACTATTGTAACGCACATAAGGCGTATTAGGCTCGTCTACTTTCATTGTCACTTGCTCTTTTAGTTTTTCAGTCTCCTTGAGTTTGTTCTCGTCCCACTTTAACCTATTTAATAGAGAAAAGAAAAGGTTGAATATCTCCTATTTTGGCCTATGGGGAGGAAGAGGAATTATTTACCTGTGCGCATTTTTGGGCTGACACGTATTTTTTAAAATGCCTTTATGGGACTCCATTGTATAAAGTAAAAAAGAATGGCCGAAAAGAAAAGAAAAAAGGAAATTTGGACGTTTTTTAAGTTTTTTCTGGACGAATCAAAATTAATTTGCAAAAGGGAAATTTGAGTGTTGTAAAAACATAAGATGTTAGTATTTTTTTTAGAGTCACGCGATATTTATACTGACATTTTATTAAAGACACTGTCAAGAGAAACAGCCAAGTATGTCTAACACCACATCTTTATCATTTCGTATCACCAGCAAATATTTTCTTAAAAAGAGTGTCGTCCAAAAAAAAAAAAAAGGGACGTTCTAAACGGGAGTCAAAGTCAGCCAGACATTGATATATATTTTTTTTTGTTTCTTTTTGTCCCGTTCTAAATCATGACGATTGCAGTTACATTATCAATAGGTTATTTGACCATTCCCTTCATCATCAAACATTCTATAAAGTCGTTAGAAACCACGTCAGCAGAAGAAGAGGACGAGGTGCTATCGAGTGCACCGCAATGGACGTTTGGAAACACGATTTGCATTTCGAGTTTTGTAAAGTCGCCACCCAATATATACCCGACAATTGAGAAACATGTAATGGAACTAGCGTCCCATGCTAATGGGGTGGAAAAAGAAACCTTGTCGATTCTGTCAAAAGCTTTAAACACGAACGAGAATAAATGTCACGGCATGGCAATTATTGGAAATGATTTGTTGGGTATTTTATCCAGTACAGCACAAACGACATTGTTTACACTACAGGTGGTGCAATTCGCCACACCGACGACGGAGCATCAAAAGAGCTACTACACAAATGACTTGATGGATTTGGATTATCCCGTGAAACCCTTTGAGGTGATGGAACTGTGTCAAGACTGGCCTCAATCGCAACCTCAGTTGAAGAAATTGGCCAAACAAGTGTATCAGACCGCCAGTTTGTATGGTTATTGGGACTATTGGCGTGTCTTTGAAGGTATCTGTGATGGACATCAGATTAATTCTCAACTACTCTTGCAAGTGGCTTAGTTACACACACACCTTATTTCTCGGAACAATGCATTTTATCTCTGTTTGTGGGCTGTCACGTCCCTTTTTTTTATACATATCTCTTTTTTTTTTTTTTTTTTTTTTTTGGTTTTACATTGTAAATAAATATAATCGTAATGTCAGACCTACAAAAGAAATTAGCCCTTATCGAAGAAGGTATACACACACATACACTCACACACAAAAAAAAAAAAAAAAAAAAAAAAAAAATAGACTTTGACATGTCATTATAGAAACAAAGTGCAGTATATGTACGGGTCTTTTCCACGATCCACACGTATTGAATTGCGGTAGGTAAACCCTCCTCTCTCTCTCTCTCTACTTCATTCACCCTCTTACAAGATCACTCAAGCAGCATGCTAATTATTTCTTTCTCTCCGTAGGTCATTCTTTCTGTGGCGGATGCATTATTCACTGGTTTGGGCAAAAGAAATGCTGTCCTAAATGTCGAGAGCCAGCTATTCGACAACCTATTCAAGCCGTTACCCTGCAGAAAATTTGTAATTTTTTTTTAAAACAAAATGATATTCGCGCATTCCCCAACCTATTCTGACTAAAACGAAAAAAAAAAATTGTAGGCGATGTGTTAAGGCCGGCTAATGCCATTGTTGATCGAAAACTGACACGAGCCGATTGGGAATCTTTATATCCTGTTGAAAACCAATCCACCTTTATTCGCGATGTAGATCAAGACGGTGTCATGTAAGTTTTTCTTTTTTTTTTAAAAAAAAAAAAAAATATGTATATCACATAAAAAAAGCATGTATTCACATATTACACAAAAGTAATCGTTGCTCAAACTGCGGATGGGAATTGGATGAAGAAAATTTCTGTGGACAGTGTAATATTCAATTCGATCATGATGGAAGTGTCATAGCGGGTGGAAGTGATTATATGCATTCGGATGCAGAGTCTCATTTGGAAGAAGAGGAAGGGGATCTAGAAGATTTCATTGTAGACAATGATCAAGTGGAGTATGAACACTTGCAGGATAGCATCTTGGATGATGGGTCTGAATTGGGTCTCATTGAAGTCAGCAGTGATAACCATAGCGACCACAGCGATAACCATAGCGACCACGAAATCAGTGAATACAGCGAAGAGGAAGAAGGTAACGAGAGAGGGGGAATGATTGATATATATATAAAAAGGGCATAGCATTAACCAATGCAAGCGGGAAAAATAGTTCAAGAGCTGAGACGAAATCATAGAAAGAGAAGAAGGATATTGGATAGTGAAGAGGAAGGATCGCAGCATGGACCGATTTTGATCCCAGATGATGACCGTCGAAACTCAATTGTGATTGAAAGTGAAGCAGAGGAATCGGATGAAGAGCAAATCAGACGTATATCCACCGTGAATCTAGATGAGGATTCAGAGGAAGAATCTGAAGGTGATATGGAATACGCAGATGATCCCTTTGAACGACCTCGTAACCCATACATTGATGAATATGCTTCTGAGGAAGAAGAAGAACATCAACCGAGACCTGTCAAAGCAGACCGATTATTAGCGTCGATTCAGAGAGCCCAAGAGAACATGAATACTGCATCTGCATCTAAAGAGTCTGGTCCATCCTCTTCTTCAGAAGACAGCGATGATGAACCTGCAGATTATGATTTATAAAAAAAAAAGTCTAAAAAAGTTTATTTCGTTCTTAACTGTGTAAAAATGTGAGGGGTGTAGTGTAATTTGGGGGGGGGGGACCGGGTGAGAGAGGGTATAGTTTTTCTTTGCAGCAAAAAAAAGTAAAATAAGCCCGTTGTTTCTATAATAATTTAAAAAAGTCTAAAGTGTACATGATCTCGCATACATGACATGGTCAGGACCATTGGTACCCGTGCTTGAACCCACTGTATCATTAATATGAATTAGCGAGACAGACGTGTTTCTTCTTCTCTCTTCGTCTTCTTTTTCTTTTTCTGCTAATTCATCCGATGGTAATAAGATGGAGCGATCAATGGATGCTGGTAAACCACGATGTCTGCCCTTGTACATGAGAATAATCAATACTAATTTACTCAGAGTTCGATATTGGCCTGCCTGTGAAGTGGCTGTGTTTGGATATCCAGTGGATGCACCTACATTACCAAATGCTGAAACGCATTCATAAATCACTGTAGCAATTGTCACAGGAGAAGGTGACATGATGGATTCTGCTTCCAATACACAAATACAAAATATGCCCGTGATGACCCAGCAGATATCACTCGTTAATTGTCTTTGAATCTGTGTAATCACAAAAAAGTCAGGTCCCTTTAGTAATTTCTTGGTGCCTTGTGCAATGCTCGTCATAGTCGAGTGTCGTTTCAACTTGATAAAAGGTGCGGTGGATAAATCGTTTTCGGAAAATCGTACTGGCTCCTCATCTTCACCTCGAAATATGCCTAGTGCACGTTCCTATGGATCATATATAACTCCTTCATTAAAACCCCGCCCTTGATACTATTTTTTCATTATTCCTTTTCACACACACGCACACACACACACATACCTGATAGATATTACTGTTTCTCATCGAAATCGCAACAGGGTAGACACTAATGTACATGGCAACGATATAAACCAATTGTGCGCCAGGATTTAAATCTGCAAGACTGACTACACTGAAGCCAGCTACAAAAAGAAAGAAAAAAGGGTTTAATATATACAGCTCATCAATCAACCAAAAAAAAAAGGGAGTAAGTCAATAAAAGGGGAGTGGGTATTTACCATTTCTCGTGGCAACAGATTGAAATAGGCCATCCAAGAACCTGGAACCCCAGCTGATACCAGCCAAGACGGGCAACCAATAATTTAAGGCGAGAAAGCAGATGAGCTCCACCAGGGTGATACCAACCAAGACGATCAAGAGCCACCAAGTTTGGGTTGCAGGAAATAAAGTGGTGTAACATCTTCTAGGGTGATCCAAGAGGTACCGAAATGTTTCACGGCGCATGATATTTGATTTTGGGGTGAGGATAAAGCAGAGCCAGATGATGAACCTTAACAGGATGGCGAATGCAGTATTTCCGACCAAAATCAAGATGATAGCAAGTATGAGCGGAGCAGGCGCATTTTGAAAGGCCATCATGCTGCTGTCCAAATGGTTTAGTCCGAGGTTGGTGAAACTTGAAAGACTCATGAACATTGAAAAAAACCAAGGGTCTACAGGTCCACTAGCATTGGAAGTTCTTAGGATCTCTTGTGCGTAAGTGGAAGCAGCAACATAGATACGAAAAAAGAAGCCGAAAAGAATAATAAATCCAATATAATAGATAGGCACCATTCGTGCCAACATGTCTAATGCACGATACTCTGTACCACCAATTCGATACTTTTCATTTTTGGTCAATTCCGATTTTTCGACAGGCTGTCTCATAATTTCATATTCGGAATTCGTACGTTGTAACGGTAACTGTTCCACTTCTTCGTTATTTCGGTTCTGTAATAATTTTTTACGTTCTCGTTCTCTGAGGACATTGGTATCTTCTCGGAAAGTGATGGTGTTTTGCGGTTGATTGATGGGTTCTGAAAAGGTGATCGTTCTGCCATCGGGGTTGTTTTGAAGTGAGGATTCGCTATCGGTGGGTGATGAGTTATTCGTGCTGGTGTTGGTGGTGGTGGTAGTGGTATCACAAGGATGACTAGGTGGATCTGAGGAAGGTTCATCGTCGATTTGGATTGAATGATCTTTATCATGCATGGGATGGTGAACGACAATATCATCAGTTCGGGTTGCGTGGGTATCAAATGAAGCACGTCTACGAGAGAACATGCTCGTCTGTTTAGAACTGGCAGGACTAGACCGAACCGATAATAGGGACATACGCCGACGAATAGGATCTGTTCTAGACTGTTTTTGTCGTTTGTATTCATCTCTTCTCCTTTGATTTTCTTTCAATTCTTCCTCGAAGCGTTCTGAAAAATAATATCTGCGGACCATGACCACATAAAATGAAATAATGACGTGAGAACCGAAAAAGGCGCTGAGGTATAATAATACCATATGATAGGTTGACATCTCTGACATTGGTATTGTGTTTAAGCCTGTATCGGTGGATCCGGTGGTTGCCATAAACAGTGCGTCGATATAATTCCAATTTGTACCAGATTCACAATAATACAGACCAGAGAAAACAAGAATCAATATTAGAATGTATATATAATGCATTTGAAGAAAATGAATCCTGGTGTCCCAAAATCGATGCAGCGCTTTACTGAATCGATTCATTTTTTGCTGCTGAGACATGGGGAAAAAAAAATGTAAAAGAAGAAAAGAAAAAAAATATGAGAGAGGGAGGAGGGAAAAGAAAATTAATCTGAGTGTGTATTTTTTTTTTTTTTTTTTGGCTTTAATCTATCCCCCAATAGGGCAGTCACTAGGATACCAGATGTGATAAAATATCTATTTAAAGTTTTATTTTGTGATAGGCATTGGTTACATCTATTAATTGTTGAATGGCCTCTTTATCACCCGTCGCTAGACATGCTTCTGATATTTTATTGATGACATTTTGACTTGGTTTATATCCCTGTCCAAGTAAATCGTAATATAATGATAATGCTGAACGTAATTGTCTCTTATTTGAAAATCCAATAATCACTTTATTCAACTCTCCAACACATCTTCGACTTAACCGTCCAGCTTTGACATCCAAATAAACTTGTTCTGCCTTGGCTAATTCTCCATGCTGACCAAAATAGCTTAGGTATTTTTGAATCATCTCTTGCGGTATATTTGTTTCTGTTTTGGTCATGAGCACAGCCTGCCACAACTTTATCAAGGTATTCGCATGATCAGGCACATACTCTAATGACATGTAATGATCGATAAATAGCTCATATATCTCATAATTCGCTGTGATCTCATCTTGCAGCATAAATGAAAATATTTGACTAGCTGATGCTCCATCCTGCAAATACAAGTAAGATTCAATCAATAATCGATAACTGCTGATCGTTGCCATCTTGTTCTTTCGAAGCATCTCTAACAATACGTTGGCGTCCTCCATCTTTTTCGCTTTAATACATCCCTTGATAGCCGCATGCCAATCCTCCACTTGCAACTCTGCCTTATTATTCATCTTTGTAAACATCTCTAGTAAATTTGGGTGACCTTGAAACGACAAGTGAAACAACACTTTCTTGAACTTTTCTATTTTCGGTTCGGAGGCCACTAGATTGTTAAACCAAGCTTCTAATCGATCGTTCTGTGCGTGTGTACGATGACGTTGAAAGGACATGCCAATCACAAGTTGAAACCACGTCTGACTATTGGGTTGAATACCATGGAGCTTCATTTCTTGCAAGATCTTTATTGCTTCCTTTTGCCCTGAATCTTGCTTTTTAAACGTCTTTGCATGGGATTTGAGGAGTTTGTTGTAGTCAAGTAATTTTTGAGGCGCCGTGCTTATCTTTCGTTTGATTGTCGTCGATCGTGTAATAAATAAAGTTTTGAATACATTGTGAATGGCAAACTTTTGACCACAATGAATGGTTGTCATTGAAAAAAAAAGAAAATATCGCTCAGTTTGATTTACCCTCGGCCCCTTCCCTTTGTGGTCCATACGGGGATTGAAACACAAAAGCAAATCGACGTCACTCCAAACTTATCCCCATTTTGAGAAAAAAAACAAAAAAAAACTATACCAAGCGAACGGGTATCGTTTTTTGGAAATATCTAGAATAGATTTTGTATAAATTTCTGGACCCTGATTTGCTTTTGTTATTATTTTCACGGTCACCTAAAAGTGTCGGTGTTAGATCATCATGACAACAGCATTGGATCAAATTTGTTCGTTCCGATGGTAAATTGCTTAAAATCTTTTAAAACTCTCTTTGGTATGCAGTCTTAAAATCATAACAGACAGTAGGTCGGCTTGAAATAGCCTTGGTTTCAGAAGCATTTCTAGAATCAATGTTAGATGGCCATGCTATAAATCTTGGCTGGAACATGCATCATCTGTCATATTTTTCATAAAAAAACATTGTGCTACAGCCGAGATGGCAGTAGATAATGTATGTGCAATTTACTCGGTTAAAAGAAAATCCCTTTAAAGACATAACGAATATTAAAAAGAGTTTACATCCTCTCGCGTCTACAACATGAAGTGTCATAAATTAAAGTTACAAAGCATTCTCAAATATATTCCGTAGCACGTAAATACAGAGAAAGAATCTTATCAAAAAGAGCTTTAGTTTCTGTTGGGTACTAGAGAAGCTAATCTTTCAAAAATGTGCTACGTTGCGTAATATGCCATTGGAGGATAACATGATGAGGCTCGGATGCAACCCGGGATCGTTAAATTATACGTGAAATTTAATAGGTTGTTTCATTGTTCCTGATTTTATTGTCATATAATCGAAATATGGTTTTTGGCAGTTTGATTTTTAACTACTCTGGTATTTAATACGAATAAGCATAGTTAATTTTGTATTCGAGAAATTAAAGTTTACAATCGTGGCGGAAGAGAGGACTTGATTGGATGCAAAGGACGACTGAGTGATATCAACCTGTACAATAGTCAATAAGAGCAATACATTTTTGAGAACACGAGACATAGGGGATCATCTTGGGACTGTACAAACTTTTTTTTTATACATTTACATACAACTACTTTATAAGAGGAAACTTTTTAGAGATTTTTTCTACCAGAATATAGCGATTGTGTCCTTGAGTCAAAAATTCCACTTTCTCCGCTACAAAATGTAGCTGATAATTTTGAGACGCGAAAAACACGCTTGCAGATTTTGTGCCACCATTTTAACCTCAAGATTTACTCCTCGTATGAAGCAACTGACCTCCAATATGATCCTTTTCATTTATGACAGAGCTGGACATGTGCTGTAAAAAATAAGTGCTGCTTTTGTGTTTTATATAAAAAAAGTTCAAAACTTTTTTTTTTATGTATTATCCTGACAATATCTACTGCACTCAGTAAATATGCTCTGCTATTTACATGTCAATCTTTATACTAGCTTTTTTAATAAATACAGAAATTTTAACATTCTTCAGGGAGTTACCACGTATTAGTTGATGATACAAGGAATGGGATTATTTGTTTACTTGTAAGTTTAGAAACTGCAGCCCAGCAGGTTTTTGTTTAATGTCCGCAGCGAGTGACAAAAAAAATCATGCAAATTGTGTATAATCCTCAAACACTTTGATTACTACACCCTAAATTATGACGTTAGCTGGTTGCAATATTTGTTGGCCTGGTGAGAAAAAAAAACTTTTTTTTCTTCTACGCCCACATTAAACATCGTAGAGCATGATTAGAGATCGAGGTAAGAAAATTTGAACACTACTTGACAAACGCTGAATTACTAACTCCTAATCTCCCCTATGTGGGAGTTAAAAGACAGTAGACCGTGGTCCAGTCGGCTGTCAAAAAACCTTAGGCAAGTTTAATGCACATATGAACGTGACTAGATTAATGTGTTATCAAAAAGACGAAGACCTTGGTCAAGTCTTGTCTTTCAGTGAACCTTAGGCAAGTTCCTGTAAAATCATCGGATGGTAGGAGGTCTGGAGGCTGGTGGCTTTAACACTTCAGTTGACCTTAAGCAAGTCAGCTGTAGTCACATTTGACCTTAGCAAAGTCATTTGTGGAAGAGGTTTACAACCTTGGTGCAGTTGTTCCTCATCAGTGAACCTTGGTTGCAGTTCACAGTGACAACGGTTTGACCTTAGGCAAGTCAGCCGTTTATTGATTTACTTCTGGGTATTTCAATTAAATTCATACGACATGATGAAGCTTATTCAGTATTTGTTATTCTGATTGTATAATTAGTCTGTGGGTTACAACGGTCTGACCTTAGGCAAGTCAACCGTTTACTGATTTACCTTTGGGTATTTCAATTACTTTTATACGGCATGATGAAGATTATTCATTATTTGTTCTTCTGAGCGTATTATTATAATGAAGGTATGTTATTAATTTCACATGATATTATTTTTAATTATTAACCTTTTCTCCTTTTGCCAATCTTAAAGATAGCAATACTTGAGCAGGCAAGTATTTGAGAGGTAAATACTTTTTTGTATACTGCTATTTTTTGAACGTTGTTTTACTGACTCGCCTCCCTTTAAGGGGAGTTTTCAAAAGGCAGTAGGTCGTGGTCCATCCAACTGTCAAAATCCTTTAGGCGGGTTGTACACATATGACGTGAATAGATCAATGTGTTATCAAAAAGTCAAAGACCTTGGTCAAGTCTTGTCTTTCAGTGAACCTTAGGCAAGTTCCTGTAAAATCATCGGATGGTAGGAGGTTTGGAGGTTGGTGGCTTTAATACTTCAGTTGGCCTTGGGCAAGTCAGCTGTAGTCACATTTGACCTTAGCAAAGTCATTTGTGGGAGAGGTTTACAACCTTGGTGCAGTTGTTCCTCTTCAGTGAACCTTGGTTGCAGTTCACGGCGACAACGGTCTGACCTTAGGCAAGTCAGCCGTTTATTGATTTACTTCTGGGTATTTCAATTAAATTTATACGACATGATGAAGCTTATTCAGTATTTGTTATTCTGATTGTATAATTAGTCTGTGGGTTACAACGGTCTGACCTTAGGCAAGTCAACCGTTTACTGATTTACCTTTGGGTATTTCAATTACTTTTTTACGGCATGATGAAGACTATTCATTATTTGTTCTTCTGAGCGTATTATTATAATGAAGGTATTCTATTAATTTCACATGATCTTATTTTTAATTATTAACCTATTCTCTTTTTGCCAATCTTAAAGATAGCAATACTTGAGCAGGCAAGTATTTGAGGTAAATATTTTTTGTATACTGCTATTTTTTGAACGTTGTTTTACTGACTCGCCTCCCTTTAAGGGGAGTTTTCAAAAGGCAGTAGGTCGTGGTCCATCCAACTGTCAAAATCCTTTAGGCGGGTTGTACACATATGACGTGAATAGATCAATGTGTTATCAAAAAGTCAAAGACCTTGGTCAAGTCTTGTCTTTCAGTGAACCTTAGGCAAGTTCCTGTAAAATCATCGGATGGTAGGAGGTTTGGAGGTTGGTGGCTTTAATACTTCAGTTGGCCTTGGGCAAGTCAGCTGTAGTCACATTTGACCTTAGCAAAGTCATTTGTGGGAGAGGTTTACAACCTTGGTGCAGTTGTTCCTCTTCAGTGAACCTTGGTTGCAGTTCACGGCGACAACGGTCTGACCTTAGGCAAGTCAGCCGTTTATTGATTTACCTTTGGGTACTTCAATTACTTTTATACGACATGATGAAGATTATTTGGTATTTAATATTCTGATTGTATAATTAGTCTGTGGGTAACATATGTCTGACCTTGAGCAAGTCAACCGTTTCTTGATTGTACCTTTGGTACTTCAATTACTTTTGTAAAGCATGATGAAGATCATATAATGTTTGTTCTACTGATTTTATAATCATAGCCAAGGTATGCTATTACACTTACATAAAATCATTTGCATTTATTAATCTATTGCACCTTTCGTAATCTTAAAAATAGCAATACTTGAACATGGCAAGTATTAGAGGTAAAAAAAGTTTTTGTTTACTAGAACTTTTTTAGACTGTGTTTTATTGACTCACTTCCCTTTAAGGAGACCTTTAGAAGGCAGTAGGTCGTGGTCCAGCCAATTGTTGAAAAACTTTAGGCAGGTTATACACATATGACCTTAATTAAGGCATGGTGTTCTAAAGAAGCAACGACTTTGGTCAAGTCTTATCTTTTATTGAACCTTGGGCAAGTTTTTGTTAGATCAATGGGTGATTGAATGCATGGCGGGTAAGTATTTGTTTTTGCAATTAGGTTCGATTGGGTTTAATTATCATTGACATATTATCTTTGTAGCACCACGTTTTCAACCCGACAGCTGTATGTAGGCTATGGTTGCCCAGAAAAAGGGTTCTGCTTAATGGACAAAAATTACGCAATGTAATTCAATATTTCTTAGATATTCCAAATCAATCAATAAACATCTGTCATGACAAAAAAATATAAACTGCATATTTAAACCTTGCCAATCAATGCCAGTTTCTTTTTGACAGCCGCTCTGTTCCTGTGAAGCGTTACTGTCGGACAAAATTACAAGATACGGCTCTGGATAGGAATGTAAAAAAAAAAAAAATAACAGGATCGATCTGGTTGACTTTGTTGTTTCATGTGGCCACCATAATGATTTGATTAATATTTATAAAGAGACATGTTCCTGACTTCATTATTCGCTTTTACCAAGTTAATTTGGACTGCAGCTACAATTTATTACAGACTCTGGTGAGGGTTACACATGCTACAAATTGACTAAAAATGATTTCATTTCTTTAAGAAATTAGGAAATGTCTCGATTCCAAGCTTGAAAGCTGTATCTAACTTTCTTAAATGATACTACGATAAGTACATATAGACATGCATAAGCATATATACACTTTCGGTAGAAGATGAGCTTAACGAGATCGGATAAAGATTGCTGCACTTTTTAGTTACTTGAATAAACCCCTGATTATCTGGGTCCCTTCCGTAATAAGCATAGTTACTGAGGTATTTTCTCCCCAGACACATTCTTTTCGGCCTTCCCGGATTAATGCTACAAAGAATTGTAAAGCTATCGGCCTCTCCTTGTGGGTCAGTCTTTTTGGTTGACTCTGTGTTTACATAATCCACGTGTATCGTACATTGTCGTCAAACCTGTTTGTTCCAGTCCTACTAACTTTTTAAGGTTGCATAATTTAGTCTGGGGTAATGAATGAAGGGTTTGCAACCGCTAAAGTATTAATGGGTGATTAGCTCCATGTTGACATTTCAACCTGTTATTTGGTTGCGTAAGACGTGAATTTCGCCATGTTGACAACAAATTTACTAAACACTTGAACTAAATTTGTCGTTTATGTCAAAGTTCGACCAATAATATTTGATAAAAGAGTTTTTTTAGTTGTAAAGAGGAGTAGAGACAGCCACTTGCAGTCGATGTAAAATTAAAATAGTTACCATAAACTATGAAATGAATACCGCTTAATAAAAAAACCCCATTGTTCTATTGTCATTGACAGGTGGTATTTTGAGCTTGGTGCGAGGCGTGGGGCCCAAGATGGTGGTAAAAAGTGCTTTGATGTCAGCGCTATTTGAATGATTGGATTTGGAAAAAAATAAAAAACGTTTTTTTCACTCTCCCCTCTTTTTTTTTTTTTTTTTTTTTTTTCTTCTAAAATAAATAACAGTAGCTACATTATAAATAAAATAAAGTAAAATACGTTTATCAATGTCTGAAGAACACAATTGGAAGTTTGCTCAATGTTTTGGTGATAAAGGAGATTCTGATGATATTACTGATGGTAAGTTTGGGTTTTTTCTTCTTTAAAATGTTCAATGGCAACACATCTAAAGACACGTTCTTTTCATTATTATCATTATTTTGAAGCCGATATTATTTCGACGGTTGAGTTTGACCAAACTGGTGACTATCTCGCTACAGGAGATAAAGGAGGTCGCGTTGTCTTGTTTGAAAGAAATGAAAGCGTAAGGTATTTTCGCTTAGCACCCTTGACTGTAATAAACTCACTCCTTTTATCTGTCTCTTAGAAAAAGAACTGTGAATATCGATTCTATACAGAGTTCCAATCGCACGAAGCAGAGTTTGATTATTTAAAGAGTTTGGAAATCGAAGAGAAAATCAACAAGATCAAATGGTGTAAAAGACAGAATTCGGCTCACTTTTTATTATCCACTAACGGTAAAAAGCACACACACACATTTTTCATTATTGACAACACACACTTACCCCGTTATACATAGATAAAACAATCAAATTGTGGAAAGTGTTTGACAAGTCATTGAAATTGGTCACTGAAAACAGTATTGCGCCTAATCCCACTCCTGTCAATACCCTTCGCTTACCTACCTTGACTCATCACGATACCATTGTGGCTGCTGTACCTAGAAAAGTTTATGCCAATGGTAAGTTTTTATGTATATCTATTCACAAATACGTTTTCTAACATATGCCCTTGAAGCTCATACTTATCACATCAATTCTATCTCCATTAATTCCGATGGTGAAACCTATATCTCTGCTGATGATTTGAGAGTCAACCTTTGGAATTTAGACGTCTCTGATCAAAGTTTCAGTAAGTTTTCGTGTGTGGAATTGGGGTGTATAATTGACACATTTTTTTTTTTTTTTTTTTTTTTGTAGACATTGTTGATATCAAACCTGCAAACATGGAAGAGTTGACTGAAGTGATTACAGCTGCTGAATTCCACCCTGAACAATGTAATGTGTTCATGTATAGTTCTAGCAAGGGTACCATTAAATTGAGCGATATGAGAGAATCTGCATTGTGTGATCAACATGCCAAGGTGTTCGAAGAGGCTGAGGATCCTGCTCATCGTTCATTCTTTTCTGAAATTATTTCTTCTGTCTCTGATATCAACTTTAGTCATGATGGTCGATATATTCTTTCAAGGGATTATCTCACCTTAAAGATTTGGGATATCAATATGGACAGTAAGCCTGTTCAAACCATCAACATTCACGATCAACTGAGAACCAGATTATGTGATTTATACGAAAATGATTGTATCTTTGACAAGTTTGAGTGTACCTTTAGTGGTGATGACAGGTAAAATCACGATATGTAAATGATTTTAATTGAACTAACCCTATTTTACAGTCATGTGATGACTGGTTCCTATAACAACATGTTCCATTTATACGATCGTGAAGGCAAGACTGATATTGCCCTTCAAGCAGATAAAAGCGCTTTTAGATCCAAGCGACTTGGCTCTTCTAAAAACAAGATGTCTATGGCAAGAAATTCGGCTCCTAGTGCTGACAATATGGACTTTAACAAAAAGATTTTACACTCTTCATGGCATCCTCAGGAAAATACCATTGCTATTGCTGCAACTAATAACTTGTTTATTTTCACGTAAGTCACTTTTTTTTAAAAATTGATCTCTATATAAACTAATGTTATTTGTAGTGAACAATAAGTAAAATGTTAAAAAAAATAAGCCCCCTCTCTTCTTTTAAGTTAAGCCAAAAAAAAAAAAAAAAACCAAGACAATCTATTTTTTTTTTATATTATTTGTATCTTGTCTCCTTGTATTAACCACACACCTCAATAAACAAAACAAAAAAAAAAGAAGCCAAAATATGTTTGTTATGTACAATATGTCTTTTTTTTCTTGTATCATCTTTTTCTTTTATTATTCAATGTCTCGGTATCTTCTTTTGCTATTCTTCTTTTGCGATCTTCTTCATGTGCTCGTCGTTTGCTATCAAGAGGCGTTCACCAAGGATTAAAAAAAACAAAACATAAAATAATCTGTGGTTTGTAAATCGCTTACCTTTCTCTTTCGGCCAGTTGATTTCGAACTTCTGGATAAGTTGGTAAAAGCGAGGGATCTTGCGCTCTAGGCGATTCTTGGAAATAAGGGTGAGCTAAAGCCTGTTTTACGGTCAGTCTAGTTTTAGGGTTATATGTCAGTAATCCAGCAAGCAAGCCCAAGGTATTCTCACTAAATCTTGGAAAGACTTGTTTAATACTGTTATAGGTTTGCTTTGGTAATACAAGTAATTTAGATGAAGGTAATTTGTTGAATCCAGGCCAAATGGAATCGTTAGGCGAGCCTAAAAGCTTTACGATTAAATCTAATTGGGCTTGTTCTGTGTTTCCTGGTAATAATGGTTTATGTTGCATCAATTCGCCCATGATACATCCAGCCGACCATAAATCAATCGAGGTTGTGTAATTGGTATCGCCGAATAAAACTTCGGGAGCTCTATACCATAATGTCACTACATTGGGTGTCATTGGCTTTCCTGGTAAACTTAATGTTCTAGCTAATCCAAAATCAGCTATAAGACAAACCTATTAATACATTGGTATATCCCATCTTAATAAATCGTATCTATAACATACCAATCTTAAGTAACCCGGTAGATGTTAGTAATAAGTTTGACATTTTCAAATCTCTGTGAATGATTGAATGGCTATGACAATACTCTAAGCCTTTGAGTAGTTGTAACATTAAACATTTAACTATGGATTTACGATTAATAACGGAATATATCTCTAAAAACGCATTCTTACTTTCTGAAGCTGAGTAAGGTGTTGGTACCATATCTAACAAACTGCCCAAATCCTTTTTTTTTTTTTTTTTTTTTTACATATTTTTCAATGAGTGCTGGTATGCAATGTAAAAAGTGAAATAAAACCATACTTGTTCACAGTACTCCATGACTAGAAATATAGACTCTAAGCGAGGTCCAACAGCAACGTCTGTAACATTAACAATATTCTGATGCTTCATTCTTTTTAAAATACTAATTTCTCTTAAACTGGATACTGGCATGCCGTCGGTCTCACGTTCCATTCTAATTTTTTTTAAGGCAACAATTTGTTTTGTTTTGGTGTCTCTTACACGACTAGTATGGGATGTATTAGTATAAAAGTGAAGGGGGTAGTGTATTTTTTTTTAATATATTAGAGACTTACTAAACAACACCATAGGTGCCTTCTCCCACTCTATTCAATTTTTCGAAATCTTCTACATCTCTACAATTACCATAAAACGGTAATTCGTTACATTCTACTTGCGTTCCTTTCACCGTTGATAGCGTTATACTACGTGTTTGTGTTGGTTCTGTCATGAAAAGTGATAAAAAGGAAAAAAATACAGAAAAAATCAACCCAAATTACAGGTCACGAAATAGAAACCCACAAAAAACTGACAATTCCTTCTCCGGTAAGATCTACTCACTCCCCCAGGGTTCTCTTCTGACATCGTGTGCCCTTTTTTTTTTTTTTTTTTTTTTTTTGCTACAACTGTCACTGCATACGCGTCTACACATAAATCACAGTTGTGATTACGTGTTTATGCTCAGGGCAATCTTGATCTGTACTTGAAATAACATGTTGTCTTGAAGGCCCTGAGCTAAAGCGACAATTTTTAATATTGCATTGTCAATCGTAGCAGGGTATGTCCGCTGTTAAAACAGATGCTATGATTTATTATTATTACTCTGCATGATTATCTAATTAGTACAGTCTGCTGATATTAATAAACTAAGCGCACCATAAATAGAGGTACGTAATATCTACCCTTTTGGTTACACCGGGCGGTCCCGAATTAGTGGATCTGCCTTGAAGTAAAAAATGTGCCTTTTTGATTGACAGATCGGCCGCATTTAATATCATATTATTTGTTACAGGAGTAAAACTAGTAGATCTTTACTAGTGATTTTAGTCGTCTCAATTCATCGTGTATCTAAAAACTAATTGAAAACTTGAATTATTTAATCAACTAATTAAACAAGCATCTCATCATGATGCAGCACTATTTTTTTGATAAAGTTCTCCCCCATTATATGGCAGCTTTTACGGAGTTAAAAAGTCTCTATTGTTCATTGGGTTTAATTGATTGGCTAGTGAGGAGATTTACTTCTTATACGATGCGGTCGATCACATACATCAATTATCCTGCTTTACGATCTTAGACCTAGATTGTTCTCTTTAAAGTATGTGAGGACCCACACACAAAGAGTAGTACCGAGACAAGACAATAGTCAACGCCCAAAATAAATAAAGATCTACACGTGTGTATTTTCAGTATTCTTGATGAAAGAATCTGATGCATTATCAGCTTATTCAATTATTAAAAAAAAAAATTATGATTGGGAATCAATTTATTATCTCATCAAATGAAACAATAGAGTCAAGAGTTGGTCTTTGATAGCTCAAGATTGAAAAATTTATACTTTTGTAAAAAATGTGAACAAGTATTAGAACACGGTGTCGACTCAATTGGCTAACATTAAAAATAAATGATTTCGAGACCAACAAACTGCCGAGTTCATTAAGTTGATATCAACCCTGAGTTCGATAACAGATTTCTATATATCTTACTGCAAGAAACGATAAACAAAAAAGAATGCTTTTGATAAGACTCAGTTTACTATGCTGGATTTTCTAGCTGGCCCCAAAGACTTTCAAAAAGTCCTTCAAGTCATGGTTGGAGAGAAAATTCCAAAAAAAAAATATAAACGTATTTACTAATTATGATTATCAGAGCACACACTTCTATAAAAACGATTAAAATTGATCACGAATCATCCTTCGATATATTAATTCGCCATGACTTACTTCAAACGGACACTATTGAAAGTCTGAATACCAAGAAAAATGTGTACAGTGACAAAAATAAGCCATTTTTAAACATTTAGTAAGTTGTTATTAACATCCCTGCTTGCAAAATTGCCTTTTAAAAAATGATACGCAATGACAATTAATATTATCTTAATCCCAGGAGGTCAAAACTTACTCACCGTGTATGGTCATCTGTATACACCAACATATTCTATAATACTAACTGTATACCCCTTGCAATATTTTGCATAAAGAAAAAAATAATTAAACTTACGGCTTCTATAACAGCTACCGCGTTCAACATTGATTTGTACCGGATCGCGTATTTATGCCATGCCTGAAAATAGCCTAAATATGTCAATAGGTTTCCAAACAACCAGTAAAAAGACTTTAGCATAAAAAGAGGTGCATAATAACTAACTTCGCTTCTAGGTGATTCAATTCGCTTCTTTGCAATGAAAGAAGAATTCGGTACTGATTTTTTTCATGGAAGTAGCAAGTACATATGTCCCTCTTCGAAGAATCGACGTAAGAAAAATGCTTTTGGATTTGGACGCGTAAGGTCCTGGTAATATTATGTTCGCTTTTAAAAAAATACAGAATATATGTCTCTCTTATGTATGTTCTTTGCTTTAACGACATGTTTTTTCTCAGTGCTGTAAAGACAAAATACTTATTATTTATATAATAATTGAAGCCAAAAATGTGGAAATTTAGACACTAAATTGCTACATGGTCAATTTATCAATTCTAAAAGAAAACTTAAAATCTTTAGAACTGAACTTTACAGATTAGAAGGGAAATTGTAATTTGACTTTCATAGAATAATAAAGGGAAGCTCGTGATTTTGACCGTTTTATTTTTTTTATCTTGAGCGAACACTGTATTGACAGTCTACTGGATTAGCGTTGATTAAATGATGGAAAAAGTGGACAATTTTCATCGATTAAATAGCCAGTGTATTTTAAAAATTCACAGCTTTTTAACCAGGACAGTGTGTATTTTGACCTTCACTGCTGAAGAAGACGGTATTTATCGAGTATCCATACGGCAACATGGGAGATGACGTAAAGTGATTTATTTGGCATAAGCGCAGCTACATCGACTGCGCGGAATAGTCTGTTGATAAAAAAGAAAAAGAAAATTTTCCATACATTTTTCATTATAGCCTTTCTTACTTGTCAAGTGTCAAGAGGCTTGTTATAAAATTTAGTCCATCATTTACCAGTTTTGAAACCATTACAAGCCATATTGTTCAGCTGTCATTCAAAGGCTATGATTTAGGTGGACATGACACTTGCCGTATACGCTTTTCCCAAAAGGATAACGCTAACTAAACCGAAGAGAACGTATGTCTGATCAAATTTTTTTTTTTCTTTTTGAATAAAAAAACTGTGCTATGATGTCACGGGGCACAAGAAGGGAAAGCGGACTAAAAAAGCAAATCGAAGCGGCGGTTTAAACCCCCTGGATTGTTCACCCACTGGGATTTAGCACTAGAGGACCCATTTACTTCTTTTTTTTGTGAATTTGACCCGACCCTACAAGTAAGTTTACCCCCTTCTCCTCGCTTTCTCTCTCTCTCTTCATGTCCACCATGACAAGGAGAACCAGCCTAGACGAAATCTTGCACAGTATACTTAAATATTTCTAAAGCAAGATGAATTCCGTTTTCCGATTGACACCTCGTTTGAGCAACATGCAACAAACACGCTTATATTCCACCGCCAATACAAAAATGGGAGCCGGACGTGGAGGGTAAAAAAAAAAAAAAAAAATATTGATGCGTACGAACTTTTTTTTTTTTTATTTTAACATGGACTAGTGTTATTGGATTTCTTTTAGGTGTAACCGCAGCTGGTTCAGCCGGATATTATTATCTTTTGGGTGAATATAATAATGCATCTGAGGCACTTTTAATATCTGTTCAAGAACTTCAAGCATCCACTGACAAGGTACGAAAAAATAACAAAAAAAGTTGTATTTTAAAGGGGGTCATGTTAGAGTGTTAAAGGACTTTCTAATGTAGGTCAAGGATTATGCACGCCGCATTGAGGCAGTGGATAGAGATGTGGCCAAGTTAAAGGAGACTACAGCCACTAAGAAACAATTGAGTGATTTGAAGGTCGACTTTAGAAAATTATATGTATGTAAAAAAAAAAAAAAAAAAAAAAAAAGGTTGAAACATGGAGGATATGATTGGTTGCTTACGCAAAAAAAAAAAATTAATTGCTAGGATACGCTTAATATCGAACATCTCGAATTAAAGACTCATGTTTGGGGATTAGGTAACGTGTGAAAAGGGGTATACTATTTGTTTATTTGTGATGTTGATCCATGTTTTTTTTTTTTGCGCTAGAAAAGGATCTGGGTCATACAGCAGTTGTTGTAGAAGAAAAGAAGGATTGAAGTGTATAATAAAATCTCATTTGTTCCCTATTTTTTTTTTTTTTTTTTTTTTTTTTTTTGAGTGGCTTATATGCATTGACACCTTATTGAAAAAGCACAAATGATATGAGATACAGAGGGCCCTTGTGACGCCAATATTGAAGATCCGTAAAGATTCGATTGGTTAGTCATCGAAACCAAAGTAGTATAATTGGTACTATAAAAAATTTTTACTGTCGAGGAAAGAAAAAAAAAATTTTCGAAAAAAAAAAAATTTTTACTGAATAAATAGATTTCCAAGTTGAAGATTGAACAGTTTTAACGTTTTTGTTCCCTTTTTTTTTTCTACAAAACTTTACATTTGTGGACTCCCTCTCTCTTTTTTTTTTTGCTCTTAAATCCATTCTCTATATTTTAATTTAAATATGCCAGCTGCCGCTGCTAAGAACAACCAGAGCGAAATTGAGACCAAGAAGATGTCTATCGTCTCTCAAATTCCCTCCGATGTCGAGACCAAGAAGGCTAAGGATATCGTAAAGAAGCTCGCCGCTGCTTCCGATGAAGATCGTGAAGCTGTCGCCGCTGAACTTGCTTCCGTTATCAAGGCCAATGGTATTCTCTCCCTCAAGCCCGTTGTTGAACAACTCAAGAAGGATATCGTCAACAAGAAGAGTGCCGCTGCTCGTGCTGGTGCCATCGCTGGTGTCGTTGCTCTCACCAACGAGAACCTCCAAGGTCAAACTGAGCCTTTCCTTGTCTCCTTCGTTGCCAACCTTTTGGAACTCCAATCCGATAAGCAAAAGGCTGTCGTCGAGGCTGCTTCTGCTGCTGCCAAGAACATCTGTGAAAAGCTCAACCCTATTGCTTGTCCTCTCTTGGTTCCCTTCATTCTCGAAGGTCTTGGTAACTCCTGTAAGTGGCAAACCAAGATGCTCGCTCTTGAGCTTTTGGAACTTCTTGCTAAGCAAAACAAGGAAGAGTTCATTGTTGCTATTCCTGATGTCATCCCCACTGTCTCTGATTGTATGTGGGATACCAAGACTGATGTCAAGAAGAAGGCTACTGAAACCATGGGTGTCATCTGTTCTCTTGTTGAGAACAAGGATATTGAACGTTTCATTCCCGCCGTTATCGGTTGTATTAACCACCCCGAGAACGTCCCCGAAACCATTCATTTGCTCGGTGCCACTACTTTTGTCCAAGAAGTTGACTCTGCCACTCTTTCCATCATGGTTCCTCTCTTGGGTCGTGGTTTGAACGAACGTGCTACTCCTATCAAGCGTAAGGCTGCTCTTATTATTGACAACATGTCCAAGCTTGTCGATGATCCCGATGTTGCCGCTCCTTTCTTGCCTCTTCTTTTGCCTGCTCTTGAGAAGGTCCAAGATATGGTTGCTGACCCCGAATGTCGTGGTGTTGTCCAAAAGGCTCTTGCTACTCTTCAACGTGTTGGTAACCCTGCCATTGAGATCTTCACCAAGGATCAAAAGAAGGCCAAGGTTGAGTCTTCCATTAAGGAACTCTTGCCCGAGAACATGGATTCTTTCCTCGACACCACTGTCACCTTCATGAACGAAGTTGCTCTTACTCTTTGTGTCTCCAAGAACTTCTTCAAGAATGTCTGGATCAGCTCTCTTGCTCCCTATGCCAAGTCTTTCCTTTCCGCTGAGGATTCCGAGAAGCTTGCTTTCTCTGCTCTTAACAAGTGTGAGGAAGCTGTCACTGCCAAGGATGAAGAAGAGGAGGAGGATGAAGGTGAGGATCTCTGTAACTGTGAGTTCTCTCTTGCTTATGGTGCCAAGATCTTGTTGAATCGTACTGCTCTCCGTCTTAAGCGTGGTCGTAGATACGGTCTCTGTGGTGGTAACGGTTGTGGTAAGTCTACTCTTATGCGTGCCATTGCCAACGAACAAGTCGAAGGTTTCCCTCCTCGTTCCGAGCTCAAGACTGTCTACGTCGAACATGATATTGATGGTTCCGAAGCCGATACTCCTCTCGTTGAGTTCATCTTGTCCTCCAAGGGTGTTGAGACCACTGACCCCGTCGAAGTCAAGCGTCTCCTTCTCGAGTATGGTTTCTCTGAAGTCATGCTTACCAAGATGTCCATTGGTGAACTTTCCGGTGGTTGGAAGATGAAGTTGGCTCTTGCCCGTGCTATGTTGATGAACGCCGATATTCTCTTGTTGGATGAACCTACTAATCATTTGGATGTTATCAACGTTGCTTGGTTAGAGAACTACCTCTTGGGTCTTAAGACTGTCACCTCTCTTATCGTTTCTCACGATTCTGGTTTCTTGGATCATGTCTGTTCCGATATTATCCATTATGAGCCCAACTACAAGCTTAAACGTTACTCTGGTAACCTTTCCGAGTTCGTCAAGAAGGTTCCTCGTGCTGCTTCTTACTACTCTCTTGAGGTCTCTCAAATCTCTTTCACTTTCCCTGAGCCTGGATTCCTCGAAGGTATCAAGACCAAGGAGCGTGCTATCCTCAAGATGAAGAACGTTGATTTCCAATACCCTGGTTCCGACAGAAAGCAATTGATGGATATTTCCATGCAATGTTCTCTTTCTTCTCGTGTTGCTGTTATTGGTCCCAACGGTGCTGGTAAGTCTACCTTGATCAAGTTGTTGACTGGTGAGATCGAATCCGAGGTTGGTTCCGTCTGGAAGCATCCTAACTTGCGTATTGCTTATGTTGCTCAACATGCTTTCCATCATATTGAGAAGCATTTGGATTCTACCCCTAACGAATATATCCAATGGCGTTACGCTACTGGTGAAGATCGTGAAGAACTTGACAAGAACGATCGTATGCATGGTGATGCTAACAAGAAGGTCATGGAACAAGTCTTCGTTATCGATGGTGAGAAGCGTGTTATCGAAGAACTTGTTGGTCGTAGAAAGCTCAAGCAATCTTACGAATATGAGGTCTCTTGGATCGGTCGTTCTTCTGTTGACAACACCTGGATCTCTCGTCAAAAGCTCGAGGATATGGGTTTCGGTAAGAAGATTGCTGAAGTTGATTCCGCTGAAGCTGCCAAGATGGGTCTTAACCGTCCCTTGACTTCCAAGGAAATTGAGAAGCATTTAACCGATGTTGGTCTTGAAGCTGAATTCGCCACTCATTCTCGTATCCGTGGTCTTTCCGGTGGTCAAAAGGTCAAGCTCGTTGTTGGTGCTGCTATGTGGAACAAGCCCCATATGTTGGTTCTCGATGAACCTACCAATTACTTGGATCGTGAATCTCTCGGTGCTTTGGCTATGGCCATTAAGGCTTACGGTGGTGGTGTCGTTATTGTTACTCACAACCGTGAATTCACTGAAGCTCTCTGTGATGAAGTCTGGATGGTTGATGCCGGTCGTTTGACTGCCTCTGGTCACAACTGGGTCTCCGGTAACGGTACTACCAAGATCGAAGAAGCTAGCGCTGAAGATCAAGTCGATGGTCAAGGTAACACTATCAAGGCTGTCGAGAAGAAGCAAAAGTTGTCTTCTAAGGAACTCCGTAAGAAGAAGAAGGATCGTATGGAACGTCGTAAGCGTGGTGAGGAAGTCTACACTACCGATGAAGAATTATAAACTCTTTTATACACTTAATTCTTCTCTTCCCCTCCATTTTTTTTAGATCCCCTTTTTTACCATTGATTATAAATTAACCATTTTTCCATTCTCTTAATTTCATATTCTCCCACCCTAAAAATTTTTTAATAAAAAAATAAATTTTGTCACAATATAAACTCTACTGTCCTCTTATAACTATTGTGTATCGTTATTATTATTGATTGTCTTTTGTCTGCTAATCAATCAAAAACTTTGTCTAGAATAAATACTCTTTTATCATCATTTTTCCCTATCTTTTTTATCACTACTATTATGTTAAACGTTGATTTATTACACAAACGCCTAACTCCCGCCCACATTGGTTTGACAGCTTGGTTGCCTGACTACAACAAACCCAAAAAGACACCTCAACTTGTCATCAAGGAAACGCCTGATCAAGGAAAATTCTATGTTGCTGCCAAACCACTTTTACCTGGTGACATTGTATTGAAGGAAGAAGAGCCATTGATTCGACAATTAAATAAAGCGCAATGGAAAGACCACTGTTTTACTTGTTTCCGTCCTGTCACGAAAAAAACGCTTGTCCAGTGTCATGTCAAGACATGTCGTTGGAACATTGTCTTTTGCAGTGGCACGTGCGAGAAAAAGGGTTGGTCTACAGGACACGCTTGGCTTTGTCGTTTCCCTGAACTACAAGAACTGCCACAAGTGGTATTTGCATTCATGGGTTATATTACCTGTCGCTCTCAGGGACTCGGTAAAGTTTAATTTTTTTTTTTTTTTTTTTTTTTTTTTTTGCTTTTATACACTTTAAACTTATGCATTTCTATAGAAAACTTGTTTGACCTCGCGAACTCGGATACCACCGATCCCAAAAAAACGACACCATTGCATGACGAGTTGAAGTTACTAGGCACGTTATTTTTCCTTAAAGACATGTCCATGCTTGTTAAAATTCTGTCACAAATCAAATGTAATGCCTTTGCCATTAAACAAGCATCCTCTGTGACGGTCGACTCGTCCCTGGTTGTCTCGAGAGAGTCTATTCATTTGGGCCAAGCTGTGTATCTATCTGCAAGTCGTTTCAACCATTCCTGCGATCCTTCCTCTTTAGCCGTGTTTGGTAGTGACGGTCATCCATGTCAGATCCAGGTACAGATGATCAAGCCTGTCAAGTCTGGAGAAGAAGTGAATATAAGTTATGGTCCATTAGCCACAAAACATTCCAGAAAAGATCGACAACAAAAGCTATTGGATGATTATTTTTTTACATGTGAATGTGTTTCCTGCAAAGACACAAGGTAAAACAGAAAACATCAATGCATATATTTCATACGTCTAAATTTTTTTTTTTTTTTTTTTTTATGTATGTATTAGTAAAATAACGGTTGACAGCAAATACAAGTGTCAGATATGTCGAAAGGGTCGATTGTATAGACAACAAAGTCAATGTGAAAGTTGTGAACAAACCCCACATTGGCCCTATTTCCTAAGTGTACGAATCATCTAGAGAGAGAGAGAGAAAAGAAAACATTCTTTAAAAAATTAACTTTTTTTTTTTCACATATGGGGATGCAGACAGAAGCAAAGATAGAAGCCCATACAGAACGACACGAATTTATACAGACGCTTCAATTACAAGAAACGATTTACCATGACGATGTACTTGCGATTGGAGAAACATTGGATAAGTTAGCGCAAGTATATTGTATGCATGGTAACATGAAAGTGGCAGCCTCGTATTCGAAACGATCGTTAGAAGTGACACAAAAAGTGTATGGAAGAACAAGTGTGGAAGCTGCGGAAGAAATGATGAAATTATCTACATTGTTATTCAATTCGTAAAGTAGTAGAAATTTTTATTAAAATATGCATATTCTAACAATCTTTTTTTTTAATCGATTTAGTATGCAAAAATCAGAGGCACTACGACAAATCAAGGAAACTATTGTCTTGTATAGGATTTTAGGTTTGGATAAATCTGCTCCTGAGGATATAGAGGAATTAGAAGAATTACAAAATCACTTGCTTTACATTGTTCGTTAACATTTATATCACGTCAGAAAATTAATTATAAAATTACTGCTAAAAAAAAAAAAATGAAAATGACTCATTGAGTGTGTGGAGGGAGTAACCAACTAAAAAAAAAAAACCACCCTGCAGCCTTTTTTAGTTACCAGGATTTTTTTTTATATTGATAACATTGTCATATATTCCCCACCTGCATTCGACTCACATGCGCGCCAAAGGACGCTTGGTGAGACACGATTTGGATTTGCTTGAAGTATGTTTATGTTGAGAACAAATAAAAAAAAGAGATGAAATCTAGAACATATTGGCAGTCAAATCCCCTCTGTATCCCCTTTTTAACTCTTTTTCTCTAACGAATTAGTATCGTTTGACACTGTATATCTCTCTTTCTCTCTCTCTTTTGTTCTGTTTGGGGAATTGCTATTTGCACTAGTCTGATATAATAAACTTTCAAATACAACGATGCCTTTCTTTTTACGTATTTTCCATGTGTGTAAAATAGCATAAGATTCTAGGGGTTCTTCCATTTCATTAACAGAGACAAAGAGAGAGAGAGAGAGAGAGGGGTTCTTTTTTTTTTTAGGTTTTTTTTTTTATTGACTCAGCAAACATGAGTTGTAAACTATGTCTGTTTATTTAAACCGCATGTAATGTTTCTGTTCATCCATGACGTTTTTAAAATAAAAGCGCGATTATAAGCTTTTTTTTTTTTTTTTTTTTTTTTTTTTTTCCCAGCGAGAAAAAGAAAGGCAAGCTAAAGAATCGAAACACATGCTTCAAGGGGATGTAATAGTTGACTGTGTGGGGTATTAGGTATGATAATAAACAATGAAATAAAATGTTAAGGGGTCTTTTTTTTTTTTTTGTGTGTTTCGCGTGTGTGGGTTAAACAAGCCATTCTCTTGGCCCAACCTAAGAGGAGGTGAGCTTGGAACATATTAAAAAAAGATTTAGTAGCTTTTTTTTTTATTTAATTGCACTGCATTTGCCGAGGCCTATTATTTTATTAATATAAATGCCATGTCATATATCCACTAACAAACATATTATTATACAACAACAACAATACTTAATGTATAATAAAAATGGTGTTTACACGCATATCACGATAGTTACTTTCTTTGTAACCAAGTTAAATAAATGTTGTAGCGAAATGGGCCAAGTCGTGATTACTAAAATAAGTAGTTTTCTTTTATATGTAGTCTGTCACTCCCTCAAATGAGGAGCCTTTTTTTTTTTTTTTTATTGGATCACATGGTAAAAATAGAAGTTGCCCCAGCAGCAATTATTTAATATACAGAAAAAAAGAAAGACCAGTAAGTTTATTATTAGCTGAAGGAGGAGGGGTGTAAAACAAAAAAGACTTTTTGTAATAATCAAAGTAAACAATTTCTTTTTTGTTTAAGGGGGGTCTTCTGTCTATTTTCGACTTTCTTTTTGTATGCAAAAAAAAAAATTTGTCAGGAGAAAGTGATAAATTTCATTTTTTTTTGTCTGCATTGTGGCAAACAAAGTCGGTACTATGGAAACCATGAGGAGTATAACCTTTTTATTACAAGCTATTATTAAAATGAATCATTCCCCCCCTTGCTTTTTTTTTCTTTGTGAATATATATATAAAAGACCACTACTTTTTTCTCATTCTTTTTTTATTTTATTTATTCAACCAACTCTTCTTGAAATAAATACCTTGTATGATCTCACTTATTCTCATCACCTACCTCTTTGCGTTCTTGACCCTATGTAAGGCAGCTGGAACCACTGCAGATGGTAGACGTGGTGTAGCTCGTATCATGGACTTTGGTGGTGACCAAACTCCATATGACAAACGTGACCGAGTGACATGGTAAAGAGAATAAAAAAGTATAAAGAAGTGACAGGAACATTAACTTATTTCTTTAAAATGTTAGGTATGCAGGTCAAGATCTCAGAAATGCTGCTTGTTACGACCGTAACGGTTTAGCACCGTTCCATGCTAGAGTGAATGATATGATTGGAGCCATGGCAATGCATAACTTTGAAGAATGTTACAAGTGTATGCAAATTACCAATAATCGCAAGCCGAGTTTAAAGATTGTTGTTCGTATTGTTGATAAATGTGCTGCTTGCAAGGTGAAGACCGCTATTGATTTGACACCTGCTGCCTTTAGATTATTAAACCCAGGTGGTAATTTAGAAGTGGGTGTATTGGATATCAGTTATAAGCCTATCAAATGCCCAAATAACAACATCATCCCCAAGACTATCTGGTAAAAAAAAAATAGATTACTAGAGCTTACCAGTTTTACACATACCCTCCCCTCCATCACATGTAACCCTCCTACCCCATAACACATCCTATCTTGTAATAAGTTATTTTTTTCAATAAGCAATAAAAAATAAAAAAATAAAAATTCAATTTCATTTCTTATATTCATTATGTCTGTGCGTCATGTATGTATTTCCTTTCTCCCCCCTTGCTTTCATTCTCCCTTTTCATTATTATAGTTTATTATTTAAACTATTATATACTCATTGTACGCTTTCAGGTTGATTTATAGTTATTTTGTGAAATTTAACAGCATTTAATATATTTTTGCTATCCCAAAGACAACTTGCCAGCTTCAGACCAAATAAAGATGAAGTTCATTACAAGACGCTAAGAACGACATTTTGACATGTTAATGTCATTGTCATTTGTAATATGACACACCTAAGCAGTCCCTTGCAGTCACTTATTGGACTGAAAAAAGACACTATGACAGAAATAAGGTTGATAAGAGCCATCATGCAGGTACTCACAATTACCGAGGTCGAGAATAATTATCACTCCTCTTCCCACCATCCCCACAAAAAAAAAAAAAAAAAAAAGTGTACCAATCTACTCGTGCATGAGGTGCCAGTGTAACATTGTTATGCAATTCCCCCCTCTATAGATTTAACTAGCACTGTTATCAAATTTCCAGCTATTCAGCAATCCCTGTGTATGAATTGGGCTTGGAATAACTTTAGCTCTTTAGAATAGATAGGGGAAGAGAGTCTAGCAAATATGATTTTTCTTTCTTTTTGAACTTGATGTTTAGAGTGATTGGATATTTTTTTTTTGTTATCTCCGCTACATCGGAAAGAAGACAAAAATGTGAAACTATTCGAATCTTAGATGTCAAATACCATTAATGAAATACTGCTGATATCTGAGATGTTGCTAACTAGTGCAATACATACATGGATACAATTCAATTAAATTCTATTGTTCGGCAGTGAGACATCAACTAACTGACAGCTTACCAAAAGTGAAGCATCACATCCTCATTGTCATGAACAGATGCTTATGAATAAATCGGTTGAAATACTCGAGGAGGAAACAACCTCAAGTGTGTCGAGTTTCAAGAAGCCCTCTAATCACGTAGGATGGTAGATAAACACGAAACGACTATCTTGCAGGGTACGCGAATGCAGTCACGTTTTTTTTTTCTTCTCATATCTTTTTTTGCAGTGGGAAAAAAAAAAACGATTGCAGTAAACATTTAAGAGGAAAACAATCGATAAAGAGATCAGCGGAGATAATAAAATGTTTTTTTTTTGGCTACTTTACCCGTAGTTTTCAGCGCAACTCCTGATTTCTCCAGCCAGGGTTTTTTTTTTTTTATATATACTTTTTTTTTTTTTCTTTCTCTCTTTTTACAAAGATTTCGAACTATTTTACATAATGTCCTTGTTAAGAACCTCTGCTTCTGTACTCCGTACCTCTGCCACTAGAGTCTCTGCTAGAGCTCTTCCTTTATTGTCTCGTCAAGTCTCTGTTCGTACTTTCACTTGTACTAGGTAAAAAAAAAAAAAAAATGTAAACAAAAGAAAAAAAAAAAGTGGGTATTCAACGTTCTCGAAAAAAAAAAAAAAAATAGCTCAAAGTCTGTTGGTGCTCTTCGTGCCATGGTCATCCCTAATGTTCAAAAGGGTGCCAGATCTTATAGCTCCAAGAGTAAGCAACATGCTCATAGTTTTTCATCTCGGGAACCCTGTACTAATTTTTTTTTAATTTTTTACTATTTTTTTTTTTTTTTATTGTATCAGACTTCCCTCCTCATAACGTCATTGCTATGCCCGCCTTATCACCCACGTACGTATCTTTTTTATATATAAAAACAAAAACAAACACGCATGCAGTACGAGACCCCAATTTCTTACCCGATTTTCTTACTAAAAAATAATAATAGTATGACTGCTGGTGGTGTTGGTAAGTTCCAAAAGGTTGTTGGTGATGCTATCAACCCTGGAGATATTTTAGTAGAGATCGAAACAGATAAGGCACAAATGGATTTCGAATGTCAAGAAGAAGGTTTCGTTGCAAAGATTCTTGTCAACGAAGGTGATAAGGATATTCCCGTTGGAAAGGTAAAAATCTCTTTTTTTTTTTTAAAAAAAAAAAAAAAACTGTGTCTCTGTGTGTGTGTGTATGTATCTAAATACCCCCCCCCCTTTTTTTGCTTCTTTTTAGCCTATTGCTATCTTTGTTGATGATGAGAGTGATGTTGCTGCTTTCAAGGACTTTACTGTTGCTGATCTTGAATCTGCTCCCGCTGCCGCTCCCGCTGCTGAAGCTCCCAAGGAAGCTGCTGCTGCTCCTGCTGCTGCTGCTTCTACCGAAGAATCTAAGCCTGCCTCTTCTGGTAACGCTTCTTCCGGTAAGATTTATTTTTTTATATAACCCAAAACAAACTGTATATTGATTCCTTTTTTTTTTTATATGTTCCATTCTTTAGATCGCACCAAGGCAAGTCCTTTAGCTAGAGTAAGTCTTCAAAATAGATGTTAAAATGATAAAGATACTAAAGGAACAAATTATAGTTACTCGCCGAAGAACGTGGTATTGACATTTCTAAAATTCAGGGTTCAGGATTAGATGGTCATATCGTCAAGTCTGATGTTGAAAACTATAAGGAATCAGGTAAAAAAAAAGAGATTGAAATGAGACACAAAATTGATATTAATTTTATATATAAAAAAAAAAAAGCCGCTCCTGCTGCTGCTGCTCCTGCTCCTGCTGCCGCTGCACCTGTTGCTCAAGCACCTCCCGCTGCTTATGCTCCTCAAGGTACTTCTGGTAACGCTTTTGTTGACGAACCTACTACCAGCATGAGAAAGATCATTGCTGCCCGTTTAACTGAATCCAAGCAAACCGTTCCTCATTACTATGTCACTGTTGAAATCAACATGGACAAGGTCAACAAGTTGCGTCAAGTTTTGAACAAGTCCAGCGAAGGACAATATAAGCTCTCTGTCAATGACTTTGTGATCAAGGCCTCTGCTTTAGCTCTCAAGTCTGTCCCTGAAGTCAACTCTGCCTGGCAAGGTGATTTCATCCGTCAATACAACTCTGCCGATATCTGTGTTGCCGTTGCCACCCCTACTGGTTTGATTACCCCCATCATTGGCCAAGCCGAGACCAAGGGACTTTCTAGCATCTCTGCTCAAGTCAAGGATATGGCTAAGCGTGCTCGTGACGGTAAGCTCGCTCCTGCTGAATACCAAGGTGGATCTTTCACTATTTCTAACTTGGGTATGTTTGGTGTCAAGAACTTCACTGCCATCATTAACCCTCCTCAATCTTGTATTTTGGCCGTGGGCGGAGCTCAACAAAAGGTCGTTGCTGATGAGACCACCGAGAGCGGATTTGCTGTCCGTGATATCATGGAAGTCACCTTGAGTGCTGATCATCGTGTTGTTGATGGTGCTGTTGGTGCCACTTGGTTGCAATCATTCAAGGGTTTCATGGAGAACCCTCTCAAGATGTTGTTGTAAATACATATTTTTTTTAATTATACTACATACTATAGAAAAAAAGAAAAGAAAAAGAAATAAAAAAATACATTTGAGAAATATAATACAGCGGCTCCACTCCCAAAGTTCGTTTTCAAAAGTACTAAATTCGCTTTTGTCGTCGACTGAAATTCGCTTTTTTCGCAGCCCAAAGTTCGCTTTTTGATTGGTCAAAGTCCGTTTTTGTAAATCATCCAAATTCACTTTGGCGAGGACGTCGTCCTTTTTCAAGCTCAGTCTGAGTCGTAGAGGACGTCGTAGAGGACGTCGTAGAGGACGTCGTAGAGGACGTCGTAGAGGACGTCGTAGAGGACGTCGTAGAGGACGTCGTCCTTTTTCAAGTTCAGTCTGAGGACGTCGTAGAGGACGTCGTCCTTTTTCAAGTTCAGTCTGAGGACGTCGTAGAGGACGTCGTAGAGGACGTCGTCCTTTTTCAAGTTCAGTCTGAGTCGTAGAGGACGTCGTAGAGGACGTCGTAGAGGACGTCGTCCTTTTTCAAGTTCAGTCTGAGGACGTCGTAGAGGACGTCGTAGAGGACGTCGTCCTTTTTCAAGTTCAGTCTGAGTCGTAGAGGACGTCGTAGAGGACGTCGTAGAGGACGTCGTCCTTTTTCAAGTTCAGTCTGAGGACGTCGTAGAGGACGTCGTAGAGGACGTCGTCCTTTTTCAAGCTCAGTCTGAGTCGTAGAGGACGTCGTAGAGGACGTCGTAGAGGACGTCGTAGAGGACGTCGTCCTTTTTCAAGTTCAGTCTGAGGACGTCGTAGAGGACGTCGTCCTTTTTCAAGTTCAGTCTGAGGACGTCGTAGAGGACGTCGTAGAGGACGTCGTCCTTTTTCAAGCTCAGTCTGAGTCGTAGAGGACGTCGTAGAGGACGTCGTAGAGGACGTCGTCCTTTTTCAAGTTCAGTCTGAGGACGTCGTAGAGGACGTCGTAGAGGACGTCGTCCTTTTTCAAGCTCAGTCTGAGTCGTAGAGGACGTCGTAGAGGACGTCGTAGAGGACGTCGTCCTTTTTCAAGTTCAGTCTGAGGACGTCGTAGAGGACGTCGTCCTTTTTCAAGTTCAGTCTGAGTCTTAGAGGACGTCGTAGAGGACGTCGTAGAGGACGTCGTAGAGGACGTCGTCCTTTTTCAAGTTCAGTCTGAGGACGTCGTAGAGGACGTCGTCCTTTTTCAAGTTCAGTCTGAGGACGTCGTAGAGGACGTCGTAGAGGACGTCGTCCTTTTTCAAGCTCAGTCTGAGGACGTCGTAGAGGACGTCGTCCTTTTTCAAGTTCAGTCTGAGGACGTCGTAGAGGACGTCGTCCTTTTTCAAGTTCAGTCTGAGTCGTAGAGGACGTCGTAGAGGACGTCGTCCTTTTTGTTTTTCTTAACAATTTATAATTCTTTACAAAAGTTATTTGGAACACTAATGAACACCATAACGCGCGAGAAAGCGATTTGCATGTTCTACTGCGAACCATACAGCAAGGCTCGTGCTATAGATCTTTTAAACGGAATTGAAAATATTGGTCTTGATGTTTGTTACAAAGACGATCCCACAGAACCTTCCTTATACTCATCTGCAAATCTTTGTTCTTACGGGTATTATCCGTATCCAGCCTTGCTTAAAAAAAGCAAGCAGAAACAATATACATTGTTTAAAGAAAGTCTTTAATAAGGACTTCATACTTAATAAAAGAATTTTTTTTTATTAAACTATTTTGAGCGTTGCAAACAATTTTTTCGACAATCAAATTCTTTTAATTTTTCCTCATTGTTTAACAGTTCTCCACTAGTATACATTCTCACTTTGTTCTTGGATAATATTTGGTCTATAACAATTTCTTTTACACTGCTGTAGGTACTATTTTTGCAGTTTGTCAGTAATAGTTTTTTTTTATTACAAGCTTCTGGTTTGCATTTACCTTAAAAAGCTTTTCAAGTCTTCGCAATTTGTAGTCAGGCCTGCATAATCAATAGCGACAAGTATTATTTTCTTCTCTTTATCAGATATATATCTTAACATGTCTATTCAATAGGTAAATATGTATTTATAGTCAACAGAAATGACAAGTCCTCTCCTTACCTTGAGTGTCTCCATTTGCAATTAAGTGAGACATCATCTCTACTGGTTTTTTTTCATCTCTCTGATTAAATGGATCGTTTGCTGACGAATTCGGACTGACAAACACTCTATCTGCCAGCGATCTTGTCTTCAGTTTTTCAAGCATCAGGTTTAGCAAACGTATTCTTATTATGTCGTCCTTTTCACCTTTCGATTTTCTGGTATATCCAACTACTTCGTAGCCATCTTCTTTCATCTTTTTGAGATTTTCTTGATATCTTGGCAAAAGCATAACAATATCTTCTAAAGCTGCTTCTAAAATAGTATGATATTCTTAGAACATATATATAATATAAAAACTTGCGCATAATAGAAAAATGGATCTTACCGATAAATTCGTTCTTGAGTGTATAGAGGAGACGGATCGCGACTTTTTGTCCTGCTTCATTCATTCTTCTTTTTGAGGTGGCTTCAATTAGCTTCAATTTTTTATCGCTGCACCATTTAGTAAATCCAATGACACTCTTATTATCAAGAACATTAGTAATTTTCAAGACATCGCTGAAAATTTCACTGGAAGATAGGCTTTTGGGCTCATATAGATCATCATAATCCATGCCAAAGGGTACATATTTTGTATTAAGAAACTCTACGAGCTGTGTTTGATTAACTGCATAAAAGACATTAATATTTTAAACGCAAAACGACATTTTCTAATACTTACCTATTTTATACTGTATTTCATCTTCTGAATATATGATTATATTCGTTGTGTTTTCATTTTTATATCTTTTGTTTTTGTATGGGTTTTGGTCAATGGATTTTGTGCAAAGTACACTTGGCGTCGTGGGATCGTCTTTGTAACAAACATCAAGACCAATATTTTCAATTCCGTTTAAAAGATCTATAGCACGAGCCTTGCTGTATGGTTCGCAGTAGAACATGCAAATCGCTTTCTCGCGCGTTATGGTGTTCATTAGTGTTCCAAATAACTTTTGTAAAGAATTATAAATTGTTCAGAAAAACAAAAAGGACGACGTCCACGACGACGTCCTCTACGACTCAGACTGAGCTTGAAAAAGGACGACGTCCTCGCCAAAGTGAATTTGGATGATTTACAAAAACGGACTTTGACCAATCAAAAAGCGAACTTTGGGCTGCGAAAAAAGCGAATTTCAGTCGACGACAAAAGCGAATTTAGTACTTTTGAAAACGAACTTTGGGAGTGGAGCCGCTGTACACACATTTTTTATTGTTTTTGTTTATAATAACATTATTTATTAAGAAAGAAAGAATGGGGGGGGGTATTATCTGCCATAGGCTAATGAATCTAAGGATAATATCGCTTCCGCTTTAGATGCCAAGTCAGTAATGGATTGTGTCAGTTGGGATAAAGCGTTTGCTTGTTCAGGTCTCACTTGTCTTCGTAAGTGTTCTAATCGATCCAAAGCCATATCGAAATCAGCTAGTTCATAACCACCATGACTTGATGGAATATGTAAATTCGCTGGTGGTGAAGGTTGTTGAATGGGAATAGATGGTGGGGACATGGATATTCTATTTGTATGATTAAGGTGTTGACGTTGTTGTTGTGATAATGGAGGTGTGAGGGGTGGAAGTGAAAGTGGTGGTAAAGTGGTACCGGTGGAAGAAGAAGTGACGATGGAGGAATTGGAGTCTCTGCGACCGAATAAAGATTCAAGGCGATAAGATTGTCTTTCGGATGAAATGGGTGGTAAATAACTCTTGTTGGGTTGTTGTTCAGGATAAGGTTTTGAGAATAACGGCGATGTATTACTATGATTACTATTGCTATTATTATTATGATAGATCTTTTCTGATAACGGCGAAGTTTGTTGATTTGTGGGGGGAGGAGGAGGAGGGGGCGATGATCTGATAGATGACACAGCAGGCGAGGTCATGGGTGGGGATATAATAGCATGCTGTTGCTTCTTATGCGGTAACTCGATCTTCTTCTTCTTTAAGACAACATAATCTTCAATCTCTGGCACGGTTGCCATGATAGGCAAGGTTGCCATGACAGGATTGACGGTTGTCGTGGTTGTGTTATTGTTATTATTTGTATTTACAACAGCGGGAGGAGGAGACATCTCTTCGTCCTCTTCCTCTCCGTCATCCTCGTCACTTCCTTGTGCAACAATAATTCGCTTTCTTCTTTTGATGACACTGCGCTTCATACTCACAGGTCTATGTACATTGTGAAGTTTGTAGTATAAGCCACATGCGTTGCAAATGGTGTTTCCTTGTTCATCTCGTCTCCAAAGAGGAGTTGTAGTGGTTCTACAGTTAGCGCAGATGAGGGCTTGCCTATTGACTTGGTGCTGATTAAAGGCTGGACAGCCAGCACAAGAAGAAGAGCCACCTGTACCGTTGCATTGACCACCACCTGGACAAGTGCCACCGCAATCGTTCTTTGGTTCTGGGGTTGCTTTTTTATGAACGGTTCTTTTTAAGGTGGGTGGTCTTAGGGTATTTCTTGCTTTTAAATAGAGACCACAAGCGTTACAGATAGTTTCACCGTTGGGGCCTCTTCTCCAGAGAGGTGTTGTTGTTGTTCCACAATTGGCGCATTCCGTAGCAGATACACTGTCAATCTTTTTATGTTGATGTTGTGGTGATAAAGAATTATTATCTTGTTTAAGAGTCATTTTGATCATTTATGTAAAAAAAAAAAAAAAAAAAAATCTGATAACAAAAAGGGTAAAGATAAAAAAAGTAAAAAGGGAAGGGGGTGATTTAGAAAAAAGTAATTAAAAAGAAAAATATTTTCCTTTTCTCCCACTTTTTTTTTTTTTTAACTGATTGTATATTTGTATTATAAATGATTTAAAAAAATATCGGAGGATCTTATCAGTCGGAAGATCAAAAACTCATCAGTTTCCCATCATTCCCCCAAAATAAATCATCTTTTAAAAACAAGGAAAAAAAGACAGGTGTGATTTATTGATAAAAAAACAACACTTGATAAAAACAAGAAGCAAAAAAAGAAGAAAAAAAAAATTGAAGTCATGTAAATTTGATAGATGTGTTATGTTTACCTTTTTTTTTTTTTTTTGATGTCATATTGAGTCTCAAAAAAAAAATTTTTTTTTTCTTGTATTCCTTCTTCCTAATTACACAATGGACAGAAAAAGCCAAGATTTTCAAAAAAGAGAGGCTGCATATGAGGCCATTAAGAAGCAATATAAGTCACTCTATAAAAAAAAGGCAGATATATTAACCTTGAAGAAGAACCCGGATCAACCGACATGCTGGCCATTGAAATTGTAAGACATGAAATAAACCTTTTTTTTTATTTTTATTTCTAACTTTTTTTTGTGTGCACACACGCTAGTACGTTATTGAATAATGAAAGTTTAAATGGGGATTACGTTTCAAAATTATCTCGTTCTAGGCCTACTAAAAGACTTAAAGTGCAACTTTATAACGATTCGTATGAGTCGTATAAGGCGAGAATTATGCGGATGGCTAGGACAATGACCCGTAGGAAAAAGAATATCCTGGCAGAGGATTTTATAGACGAATTCGTCAGCCATTTCTTAACGAACGAATTAAAGCCGAAACCCCGAACAGAAATGAATGAAAAAGCCGTGGAGTTTATACAGGATGCCTCTGTAGATCTAATAGATAATGTATTATTAAATATGGTTAATTCACACACTGAAGGGGAAGGCTCATTTGATTGGGAATTTACGATGGGAAACTTGCTCTCACTTGGCCTACCCACCTGGTATTGTTTGCATTCAAATTGAACCTATAAAAAATAGAGAATTAACCGTTTTTTTTTTTTTTTTCTTTTATTAAAAAGTGTCACTGACAGAGTGAAACGACGTATGGAATCCACCACTGGTAAAAACGTACCAGGTAACTGATAATCTGTTTCTCATGTTTGACAATAAAACTCACACGATATAAATTTAGCCATTACCGCGATGATGGTTACACGGCCAAGTTTATCAGATCTTACAATCACGTCCGCAGAAGGTAAAAAAAAAAAAAAAAAAATTAAAGCCCCCGCCGTTTTTCCCTTAATTAAACAAGAAACGTGTATAGTGGAAATGAAGAAAGAGATTGAGAAATTAATCATAAAAAATGAAAGGTTTGAATCATTGCCAGAGGATCAACCATTTGAGGACTCTGTGAAATGGTTAATGGACTTGGATAAGAAAGATCAGTGTGCTAAAGATAAAGAAATTGAAAAGATTCATCAAGATTACACAACGCGCATTCTAGATTATAAACCAGCCTTCTTCTAGGTGCTACTGTCGTTCTTTTTTCTTTTTTAAATGCCAGCGAAAAATAAAGTTACAACCCATTTTATTTGCCCGTTCATATTTTCAAACACATTTTTATTATTTCATGTACATTGGAACCCCCCTTTTTTTTATTATAATTATTTTCTTCACACCAAAACCTCAAATTCGTGCTTAAGAGCTCTAACTTCAGCAAATACACGATTAATTCTTGGGTCTAAATCAGGAGTAAATACCAAAGTCTCCAGTGTAGTCATGAATCCTCCACACTCCTTATAATACTAAAATAAAATTGCAATAAAGTTCAGAATTAATTGATTTTTTTTTTTTTTGCCATGTGCCAATGATAATTAAAACGTACCACACGGAGAATTTCTCGGTACCAACCAAAGACCCACTTGTAAGTCCAACTAGATTCAACATCAGGGTTGGATGTAATGAGCTCTTGAAGAACACGAGCAAACTTTTGGTAAACAATCATAAAGACTTCCTTTTGTTCTCTTGATACAGAGGCCAAAGAGTTTTCTACAAGGCGTAATGCATCTGCTTCTTGTTGTGCTTCTGCTTCTGCCACTAAAGAAAAGAAAGATGAATTCAATTTTATTTCTACACTCATAAACAGTCTTTCTCTTACTTTCTGTCATTTCCGACTGTTCACGCTTGATCTTGTTGGTATCATATTGGGCTTGGAAGTTATCAAGTTTACCCTTGACTTGCACAACACGAGAGTTGACTTTAGCCAAAGTGTTCTTTAAAATTTCCCAGATAAATGATCTATATGTTATACATTTAGCAAACCTTTTCTATATATATAAAGAAATAAAAAAAAGCTTTACCTTCCAACAAACTTCAATTGATCAGCCTCGAAAATCCATGTGATTACAGAGGTAGGATCAATGACACGATAGTTTAATAATTTATCCAACAGAATACCCAAAAACTATCAGGAAAAAGTTAGTAAAACAGCCTCCAATAACGCATTTCTTCTCCCCCTCTTTCTTACTTGAGTATTGTTCTTCCAGAAAGAAGCAACAATTTGAACTGTATGAAGACGTCCCTCAGGTGTGGTATTGACAAATCGCAAGACATCCAAATATCTTTCAACGACATTCAAGATATGGGAGAAACTTTTGGATCCGACCAATAACAAACACTGTACAAACATTTGTCGAACGATTTGAGTTTGTTCTTGCTCACTAATCTCGACACCAAGTTCCTTCTTGAACTGTGCCAAAAGAGCACGCACTTCTTCCACACTCTTCTTTGTACGAAGACTTTCAATGATGATCTTGGCCTTCTCGTGCAAGGGATGGTTGGGATCCTTGTATTCAAAGTCAGGACCAGGTGCAATAGCAGGAATCAATTTCTGGAACTCGACGGGAATGATGGACTTGATACGTTCATAGTAACTAAGTCGTGTTTCCTTTTCCAAAGTCTCTCGGATGAAACACACTTGAGGATGAAGAGGGTCTAAAGTTAAGACACTGTCCCAAGCTTGCCAGTCCCATTGGAATCCAAAGTTACTTAAATGATGCGAGAACCAGCACCAGAGACGATGCACACATTCAACATCCATGTAGGCTAAACGATCAAACAAGGCCTTGACACCTCTACCAAGTGCCATGGGGAATGTATCAACATCTGCTCTACAGAGCTCAATGAACACACAAGAGTAAAATACTTGACGTACAGGAGGTGTAGGAAGACGGAGCATTTGAGAGAAAGCTGCTTCCACTAATAAATCAGACAAGTTCCATCGACTGTTTTCTTCTTCCTTGATCTCGGGGGCATCTTCAGAGGATGAAGGAGGTGATTTAAAAAACTTGGGTTCGAAACTGTTGGCGATACCCAAGAGATAACGTGCACAATCTTTACGGTTGACTTCAAATAATTCCATGGTGTCAGAAATAGTTTCTTGCAAGATAAAGTATTCGATACTGTTATGGTTGGGAATCGAAGGCAAGGAAGCTCCTCCTTCATCAATCAAAATCTTCATGGTGGGGTTAGGTGCAATATAGGTGACATTGTCGGTATGGTTGGGTACAACGAATCTGGGTAAGTCGTGTTGAAGAGCTGCAGTAAATTCATTGTCGTACCAAAGGTAAGGTTTAGGAATGAGTGGGAGCTATTAATGAAAAAAAAAAAAAAAAAAAAAAAAAGTTAATTATACTATTGAATTCCCCCCCCCCCCCCCTCATGATTGGCATATTTACATCCCAGTTTTTACGCTTGAGTTCTTCGGTCAAGGTCCAAATATGAGCCAAAACATCTTCACTGGCAGCGTCATACTTGATACCATTGTATTGCTTCAAGATACTGAGGACAGGTACATTTCCTCTGCGTTGCATATAAATCTCGATTTTCTTTAAAATATGATCAAGTTCTTCATGATTACGTTGACTTAATTCTTTGCCGCACCAAGGAAGTGTAGCCAAGATAATATAAACAATACAATCCAAACGTTGACGAAGTTGGTTAGGTTGATCCAAGGCAGCAAGTAAATCATTCAAGAGACCACAATAAACAGAAGGTAAAATAACATTGGCATTGACAAGTTCACCATAGAATCTGAGAAATTGTTTCAATTCAAACCATTTGGATTCGTTAATCGTCCTTTCCAAGCTCTGATTGAATCCAACCATCAACTTTGCTACAATATCATGACTGGAGGCGTTTAATAAACCTAATAAGGTACCATAAACAGGTGCTTTTGCAGGAAGTTCAGTGACACTATAGATAAATCAAAATCTGTCAGTTGTCGCTTTTTTTTCTTCCCTCTGATCTATTTCTTCTTCCTTACCAAGCTTTTAATGTATCTTGAACGGTTTGAGGGTACTTGGAATAATCATTATCTAAAATATTCTTCATTTTGGCTAAATTAATTTGCAAGTCGGACGAGATCTATAACAGAGTGTTTAGCACATGTCTTTAATTTTTTTTTATAGATCACACAAGTCATTACTTTGTCACCAATCTTGATGATTAAACTCTTGAGACGAACTTCAATATCTTCTTGTTCGTCCTCTTTAGGTTCGGAATTGGAGGAACGATCATAAGGACGACGTTGATTATAACCGCCACCATTACCACCACCGCCATTGTTGTTGTATTTTCTGTCTACAAATAGATCGGTATCAGTATTTAATTTCGTACAAAAGACTTGAGCATTAATTTATAATTACCTCGATTGTTGTAACGGTTGGGTCCTCCTCCTCCACCGCCGCCACCTCTGTAGCGATTGGGTCCACCGCCACCTGCATGTCAAAGTTAGTACAAGTCCCCAACACATAAATCATTCTATACCACACCTTCTTGACGAGGTCTATAGCCTCTATTATCTTCTCTGCCTTCGTAAGCCATTATTTTTTTTTTTTGTAAAGTGAGAAAAGCGCGTTTTTTTTTTAAAGCAATGAAAATTGTTTAAAGCAGTCTACTCGCGGGCCAATCAAAATCATAGTTACTCTGAAGTAGCTTGTTTTTTTACTGGTCTACTTTTCACGCCTGCATTTCTTCATAGGAAGGATGATAACATTTGTTTAATGCCATGGAAAAAAAAATCCAAGTGATTTTTCCCAATAGTAATTTGTATCATAACCATTTGGTGAATATCAAAGGATATCAATGAACTTTTTTAAAAAGAGTTCTGTTTTCGCTAAATAAATAAGCGCTTGATTACTTGTATCGCTTTTCATATGGACGGCCAGGGTACGCATATTCGTAATGTTGGATTATGATACTTTAATAGACACCAAGAGGTTAATATAACTTATCGTCTTGAACCAAATACAATTTATTATAATAAGCACATGGTAAACCAGTATGTGCGTGTTATAGCTTACGTTCAGCTTCTCATTATGGCCTTTACCTTATTAATTTTGTGTAAGATTGAGATCAAACGAGCTTAAAGGCGAAAGAGTGATGATGTAATTGTCAAAAAAAGTGTGAATCATTTAATATGCATTTATTCATACTTATCACATTGTTTTTGATTATATATTCTTGTTCCAGTTCTAAAGGACACCCAAATCACATATCTTACGTTGTGACTACGTGCACTTTGGTTGTCCCTAAGAAAATCGGTGGAAATAGTAGTCTTGAATATACTATTAATTTGTTTGGGTTATTCTTTTGGTTTTGGTCAGGTTAATGTGGATATACTATTGCAAGTATTTATGAAAAGAAATAAAAGGTATATTGGTTCGTTAAATTAGAAGACAAGTAAAACTTCCTTTTATATTTCTTCAGGAAAACTTTAGCCGTTTAATATTTCTTTAACACAAAATCCCATAAAGTCAACTCGGCACTTCAGTTCAGTTCACCTGGGTGTATCTATCTAAATATTTTGCTGAGCTGTGGTAGCACACATTTATTTGCGACACCAAAAAGCAACCTATGACTGGACGACAAAAAACTTTTTGACGTTGTTTTTTTTTACATTTTTTAAAAGCATGAATACTTTGGATCGAAAAGAATACGTCGTCGAAATAGGTCAGTGGTGATAATTTAACTTCTTAGACATATATTATAACATTTTATACAACAGATTTGGGGACTACTACTTCAAGGGTTTCAATAGCTCATGTAAACGATCCATTTAATATTATTACCGTTTTATCCTGGTACTTTACGTGGTGAAACAATATGTTACGCTCATAAACATCAATAAGAGTTTACGATAGGGATAATTTGAGCAAAGACCCTCAAAAATTCCCTTCTTCAGTTCTGTACCAGGAGGATCAGAACAATACCCCATTATGTGGTATTAAAGTCAAAGATGTTGGTGATTTAGATGTTTACGTAAGCAGTCATATGCTTGTCTCAAAAATTAAGCCATGCAAGTCTAAATATAAATAAATTAATATCCTGAAACTGCGAATGGCTCATCAAATTATTTCAACGCACTTTTTGCATCTTTTTTGAGGTTTACCAGAAACAGCCTTTTGTGTTTTTATCATTCTCCCTTCCTACTTTTCAGCTTTTTCTTCTTCTTGAAATAGTTCTTGAACCCTAGCATTTCTACCTTTTCTTCTTCTTTTATAGCTGCTTTTACCGGGACCTTGTTCCTCATAGTCACTTCTTACTGTATTTTTGGGGAGCCCTCATAGTCACTTCCTGCTGTATTTTTGGGGAGCATCGTCTAAGTTAAATAGATTAGTTAAAGCTTACATGGCTGACGGCCCAAGTTCATAAGAGATTTTACCTTCTTCCACTTCAAATTTTCTAATTTTCGTTTCTTTTACCTTTACGGACTTGTTGGCATAAATTTCATTAATATTATCTAACTTATTAAACTCAGTATACAAACGCATGGCCAACGTCTTTGCTTAAATTGATAATATAGACTTACCTTTGTCTACGTCTTTGAGGCCTCCCTTCTTTTTTCGCCTTTTGGATGGTTTATTTTACTGAAGAGCTCATCCGAGGTACTGTTATACTTTTATCCCATGAAACTGATAAATTTACAGCATTATAAGACCACAAATATGCGAAAAGAAATGCTTTTATGAATACCTGATTAATTCTATATAAGTGTTGGAATGAAAGTGCCCATTTTCATACCAAGCAGGCAGCAAAAAAAGGGATGAAAGGGCCTTGGAGACCGCACCGAACTTTCAGTTCGCATACTTGAGAATCTTGATCTGACAGATGGCCGTGACATTGTTCTGCTACCCTTCCATATAAAGCCATAGTTTGGAATAGTGTTTCCCACACAAGTAAGTTGTACCATTAGTCCTATTCCTTTGACTGATTGTTTAAGAAACGTGTCACATTGAGAGGTTTAAGAAGAAATACTGGAGAAAAAAAGGCACGCATACACGTTGTTTATTTAAAACTAGTCGTGCTCTAAGCCACTTTGACTTCTGATCCTCACTTAAAGAGCGTGTCTGGTTTGGGCAAAGGGAAAGTATAATGGGTCAAACTAATGAAGTTGTAAATGCAAATGATCTTTACACACGACCCTTTTTTTTTGCAAACACCGCCAGGGTTTCTGTACTCAACTGACGGAAAAGGACATCATGCCTTACTGTAATACGGTAGGGGCACAGTTATTACAGTCATTACTGGTATTTGAGTATGAATGTGGGTTTATGGATTTCACTGTAAGCTCTTATAAAAAAAAAGTATGCGACTTTCTCTATCCAATAATAATAATAACGGTCTTTCATCAAAAGACGTTGCCTGAAGGAACTTGAAATGTCGGAAGCGGGGACTGTAACATTTGCATAAAGTTTTAGAAGCCGTGCACGAAAAAGAAAGAAAATAATGACTAATAGTGAGCATTGACTATACCTTTAAGTCTAATTAGTTACCCCTACCCATTATATAATGACTTGCATACATGTGGAGTGAAAGACAGCAGTGACAAACCTGTTCTTTTATTAGACAGAATGACAAAAGACATTCTTAATTATGAACAGTAAATGGAGGTCAATAAAAATAACTACACTGGAGTCCTTTCTAATAGGTCTAAATTCTCTTTTCTGTGATTTGGCGTAACAAAAAAAAAAGACAGTTGAGTAACGTGAAGACTTCAAAGAAGACATGAATTTCTGTGGCATGAAAAATAGTGATTTTTACAGGAAAAAGAGTAGTTTTGTGTAACTTTATTTGCTTTTAAAGCGATCTCCTTGTGGCGTAAACACATTCACTTACCCAGAGGCAGTCATATCGATAGTCATATCGATAGTCATATTTGATAGTCATATCTATCACATGGCCCATAAATTTTTGATTTCAAAATGGTATAAAAAGGGAGCCCCCATCCATTGATTTTTCTTCTCTTTAAGGTTTGTTTTCAACACTGATGTTTGCTGTTCAATAGCTCTCATTGGTGCCGTCAGTCCCAGGATTGAATGATTCGTACTTCTCAGAGGTGTTGGGGAGTAAGCATCGTTTTTTTTTTTTTGTATATATATATTTTTTTTTTGTATATATTTTTTTTTTTTTTGTATATATTTTTTTTTTTTTGTATATATTTTTTTTTTTTTTTTTTTTTTTTTTTTTTGCCTCCTACTTCGGTGGGGGGCTTTTTTTTTGTTTTTTTGGCCCTTTACTTTTCTGAATAAGGCTTCTTATTCTCAAAAGTAAAGGGCCTTTTTTGCATTAGGTAGAACCATTAAGCAACACGTATTAAAATAAAAAGACTCCCTTTGCTCTCTATTAATTGAATGTTCTTAAAATGAAGAGAAGTTTGAAAATCTTGTTCACTCCACATGCCTTGACTGTGTCATGACAAAAAGATCACTGATCTATTCCGAATAGTGTAAAACATTTTTACTCACGGTGCCCATTAAAAGGTCCGATCGTGAAGAGTGTCAAAGAAAACGTTTGAATATGCTTATGAGTAACGTGCAAACAGCTAGTTTTCCCTTTAGAGAAGAAAAGACTTTTGCGTACACAAGAAAGTCATACTGCTGTCAAGGAGACGCTTGCCTGTTTCCTGTTTGTGAAATTACCAACCATGCCGTGCCATGACTACTTCATTAGCTGTCTATGTAAAAAGGGGATTTCATAGCAACTAAAAACCTCGTTGCTGTCATACAAGAAATCAAGCCTTACCCAGGGAAGGCAGTATAATTTCAGCAAATATGTGTATTTTTTGTGATAGCTCAACATAAGCCAGATCTGGGGGACCAATTATTTCGTTATGGACAGCTACTGCAGTGAAAGAATGCTTCAAGTCAGAGTCATTGGATTTTTACCTTTTAGAAAATTCAATGCAAGTCAAAAGTGACAAGGATAACATAAATGACAAATGAGGTTTCAATGAGTTACATCCGGAATAGGAAGGCTTTTTATAGTTAAATGAATTTCATCATGGCTGATGTTCTTTTCGAAAATGAATTGGTAAAAGTGACTCTGCATTTAACAATAAGAGAAATAGTGTTATCGTTCTCTACAGTACTTTCTCACTAAGGTTTTACTCGGATCTATTTCGCTTTCCTGGTGAAGACATTTAAAAAAGAAAATGAGATTTTAGTGTCACAAGAATTCCTGGAAATAAGGTTAAAAGCTTATGTCAGAGTGTGAACAAGCCAAAGCGATATTTCAAAGGGTAAGCCCTGAAGTATATAAAACAACTTTGACAGCCAACATTCTCCTCCGTGTAATTCCGATTAAAGAATACTACTGCTTTTGAAACACTGCCTTATTCATTTGGTTTTACTTGATATTTGAATTATTTACAGGCTGAGTCACTGTAGTACACGGTTGTGTGCGACAACAAAGAGTAACTTATGACTGGACGAGAAAGGGACATGTATAACTTAGACTTTTTGTTACTCGTTTTCTACTTCTTCCCATTTTTATCTTTTTTTAAAAGCATGGATGGTTTGAATCAAATAGAATATATCGTCGGAATAGGTACGTAGTGATAATTCAACTTATCAGACAAGTCCTATAACATTTTATGTAACAGATTTAGGGACTACTACTTCAGGGGTCTCGATAGCTCATGTAAACGACCCTTTCAATATTATTACCGTTTTATACTGGTATTTTACGTTCTGAAACAAATTAGGTTACGTTCATAAACATAACTAAGAGCTTACGATAGGGACGATTTGGGCAAAGACCCTCAAAAATTTCTTTCTTCAATTCTGTACCTGGAAGATCAGAACAATACCCCATTATGCGGTATTAAAGTCGAAGACGTTGGTGATTTAGGTGTTTACGTAGATAAAATCGGTCAATATCTAATTGACATCGACGCTTCGAATAGAAAACTTGGCCAGCTGATGGATGGTTTGACCATTAAAAAAGTTATCACTGACTATTTGAAGTATTTTGTTCAACTTGCCCTCAAAAGATTACAAGTCCACGATAAGCTAATTAAAAATAAGCACTTCCAAGAATTCGTTAACGAAGAGTTTATCGATGAAGACATAAAATCTGTTTGTTATTGCCTCGTTTGTCCAACCGATCGACAAGAATTTATGAAAGATTGCTTTATCGAAGCAGGAATTATTGAAGATTTTGAAGCTGAGCACAGACTTTCATTTGTCATCAAAGCTGTCGCTGTAGCCCATTACCAGCTTTCCCTCGATAGAAACGTGACCGAACTTCAAAACGATCAAGATTATTTTGTTGCAGATATAGACGATATCTCTATTGGAATAGCAAAAATTCATGCAGCTTCCACCGAATCCTTTAGTACTATTACGAGAATTTTTGACGATACCACACAAGGCTTATTAAACGTAGACATCAAGTTTAAGGACTATTTAATAGAAAATTTGACAGAGTTTAATATACATATTTGGCATATTGATCATCTCGTCCAGACTTTTTCCGAAAACATCAAGGTAAATACATGTAACACTTGTATTTATATTTATTATTCTTCATCTCAACTGCTTTTTTTACAAGTATGGATATGATACGGATACCCAGACAGGGACTACAATCTCACAATTGAATTTTAATGGGATTCCCATTGAATTCACGAATGAAGATTTAAACAAAATTGTCTTAAAACCATTTATGGAAAGTATAGATGAATTTGTATCGAAAGCTGATGAAAATTATGGGCAGTACAAACTGTTTCTCTCTGGAAATTATACTGTCAATACATACTTCGTTAGATATCTTAAAGCCACAGAAAATATAAAGTACCATCATTCTATTGTTAAGAATTCACTTGTAAATGTTTCTTCGGGTGTGGTCTCTTCAAGATTGAACAATTACAAATCTCAAACCCCCCTGTATCTTAATGATGAGCACCTGTCCCTATTTTTTGATATTAAATGGTCCCTACCAGAAGCAGTGCTGGAGAAACTTATCGATGATAACAATGGAAATGATGCTTATGACTTTATTGTTGGAATTGGTTCGTAAAAGCTTAAAAAACGCTATGCATAATTTAAGTTTTTTTTTAATTGTATCTTTCTTACTATTAGATTTTGGCACCAGTTTTTCTGGGTGCTCTTATGTCCGGCTCAAAGATAAAAATGGCATCCCTGTGACTACAGAACAAATTAAGGCCATAAGAACAGGCTGGTAATATTAGATGCAAGAGTTATTTAAACTCCAACAACATTCTAATTGATGATTGTAGGCCAAATTATAATGAAATTGCCCCAACCTTGTTAACGTACGATAGAATGATGAGATCAAAATATTGGGGTAATGAAGCCAAATATGAGTCAAAAAAATACAAAGATTTTAGCATAGAAAATTTCAAATTGTTTTTATGTCCGCAATATTTGGATTTGGATGCGGTTGGAGTTATTGCGGATTATCTCCGGTGTTTAAATGATCATACACTTAACGAGTTAGACAGGGTAAGTGATTTGACAAAAGTCCGGAAGATGCGATATGTGATTACTGTACCCGCCACGTGGAATTTATTGGCCCAAGATACCATGGTTCAAGCTGCAATTGAAGCTGGGATAATTCTAAAAGATGAGATCGACCAGCTTCATATAATCAGTGAACCCGAGGCAGCAGTACTGTGCTATAAGAAGGAATTGACCGAATATTTTGGAAAAGACAAAAGAAAGAAGGGATTAACTCGATATTTTGGAAAAGACAAAAGAAATAAGGATCTGAACTTTATTGTATGTGATGCTGGTGGAGGAATTGTAGAATTAACTACATTTAATTTACGACTGAACAAAGGAGAACACGATGTACCTACCACAGAACCAAGGATTTGTCAAATTGGTGACAGTATCAGTGATATTTGCGGTTCAGTCTGTCTCGACGTAAGATTTAAAAATTATATTTTTGAATTTTACAAGTACTTTGGAATAAATATAAACGAAGAATATGTACCTCTAGAAGATGTTATGCAGGATTTTGTAAAAAATCATAAGGTAACAATTTTTTCATTATATGGATATAACTTTTCCTGACTAATTTTTAAATAATGCAGCCTAATTTTAGACCTGGTTTCCGAGGCAGCAGATATTACGACATTAACTTGCCTGGAAAGGGGATTGAAAACTTTACCAGCAATAGTATCTACAAAATGTCTAATGGGAATATGACGCTGAAAATGAAAAACAAAGATATGAAAGAAAGAATATTCGACCCTGTTGTTAATCGTATTTTCGCCCTTATCGATGATCAATTAAAGCAGGCGGAAAAAGGAGGTAGAACTATTGAAGCTATTTTGATGGTCGGCGGCTTTTCTCAGTCTAAATACCTGCAAAAACGCATCAAAAACCTTTATAAAGGCGTGTGTGATATTAAAATCCCTTGCGATGGCGTCGATCAAGCTATTTCTCGTGGTGCAGTATCCTATGGCCTGAATCCCGGTATACTATCAAGAAATACTGCAAGACAATCGTTTGGATTAAAGGTACAGGCTGAATTCGATAAACGCTTGGCGGATTCGATAAAGAGGGAAATGAAAGGCTCTGACGGAAACAGCGATTTTGAAAAAGAATGTTTAGAGTATTTCGTAACAAAGGGTCAAGAATTAGAATGCAAGCGACAAACAATGTTTAAAAAAGATGTATGTATTACATACCCTAACGCTGCAGTAATAGGTATTTATGATAATTGGAAACAAACCCGCGAAACTGCTAATTTTTATATAAGCAATCTTCGCTTGTGACTCCGAAGAAGATGCTAATAGTAGATACCTTACTAAGAGTCATGTTAAAATAATGGAAGCCAAAATTATTATGCCATATATAGTTGGAATAGATGGGAAATTGATTCACTTTATAGTCAGTCTTCAAATGGAGCACATTGGAGTCAGTATTACTATAGAATGTCAAGATCAAATAATCACTGCAGAAGTTCAAAGGATCGCCAAAAATCAATGGTTCTCCCTTAAAATTGAGTCTAGGTATACCATTAATGCTATGATACTCAAACGGCCTTCTGTTGATATTCGAAAGAAGACCGACTACCTGTTTGAGAACCTTATAGCAAAATAGGTATTGTGGGATAGATCAACAGCCCGATAAACCTGAATTTATATGGGCAGGACATTTTTAATATATTAGTGCCCACATTAAAAAATTTATATATACCTTTTATTTATGACTACACATGAGATACACTTCGACATAATCTTTACATCAAGTAGTAAAACCTAACTGGGTAGCTTTATTTTTTTAAGAGACAGAAAGTTAAGTGTTGATTAAATAAGAAATAAATATGAAACTACAAGTGTTTCTCTTAGTTGTTAGTTAAAAAAATAATCTGTATAACAGGTCACACTACGATAAGGTAAAAGCACATCATGACTCAAGAAATGAGGGTAGATCCTCAAGTGACAAGAGGGCATGATGTTAATTAAACCCTCATGTAACCTGCACACAATACTTACATGGGAATCATCGAGACCGTGCTAGGGGATGATGTTTTTTACCCTAGCGTCTGACTTATAGCAGCTGCAACTGTAGGAATATCGGCTTTAAGGCGAACATTCCGTGAAGATGAGGTAATTTTTTAAAATGATCCCGATAGTTGACTGCCTATGCGTATTGCACTATCTTTAGCGTAGATGTAAGCAAACCAGAGCAAAAAGCACTTTCAAGATACATTATATTTCAGCTAAGATTGATGTTCAAGAGCGTGTCGATTGGCTTCAAACAGTTACGACCATTCACAGTCCCTTTTAATCACTCCTGCATTCACCCATCGTACGGGTGTATAATTAGTTCTTGGAAACTGGGGCTGCTAACCCAAATCAGACTATAATAAAACGCGAATGAAGCGATACTGACAAAATGAAGAACCCGCTTGGGGCTGCGTGCAAAAACTTTCCGGCCAAACGACTTTGACAGCCAATAGTCTCTTCTAATGTAAGCCAATTAAAGAATCCTATGGCTTATGGAACACTACGCAATTTAATTAGCAGTGAAGATTTACTGAAAATACGTGACCTGAAGACCAAAGAAATAAAGAAAGATACTTTTCCCCAACTCTTTTTATAAAAATTAAGTTTTGTTTACATTGTAAATAATGATGTCGAGGTGGGGCTTTTTTATTTTATTTTACTACTTTTTTTAAAAAATTGGATGATGACCATTGAATTATTTGTTACATCTATGTGCATCTGTCAAGATGTGGTTGAAGTAAGGATCCTGTTTTTTGTACAACCAAAACACTGAAGAAAACTAAAAACATCCATCAGCCAATCGCATTATAGCAACTGCGGCATTGATCGTTTCTCCAGGATGTGTATGAAATTATCACGAGTTTTATTATTGCAGTAATAAATAATTTTGTGACATGAAGTAGTTGCATTATAATACATAGCAGTGTACATCAAACGTATGCATACAAAAGAGGCAAAAAATTAGCTTGGCTTTATTTTTCTTTTGACAGAATAAAAATTGAGGCATGAAAGTTGTGGCTAAAGCTGTACGCAAATCTCTGCATTACAGTCGCAAACAGACTTAGCCAATCAAAGCATTTACCGTAACTGGATGCAGTACCTTTTTCTTCCACCCAACTTGTGCAAGAAAGGGATATTGCATTTTTATATATGCTGCTTTTAAAATCAATGAGTCGCGTGAAAAAAAAAACATACAATGCCACTAACAAAGAGTATATAAGGGGGCGGGGCTATCAAAATGCATGACCATTGTCGTTAACCAAGCGTGGAAATTAGGTAGCATACACATGTGTGTGTGACTTGATTTATTAGGATTTTATCCAAAGCTTTTTGGTTTGAACATCTTTTTATTTTTTTTCGTTACTTGTTGATTTTCCCATCATGGCAGGTAATTGCGTGGCGTGTGGGGAAAGAGGGGAAACACCGCCCTTTTTTTGTATAATTGGATTGAAGCGTTTGACATGTTTATTTTCAATGGATAGGTAATCATCCCAAAAAGTCGACAGAAAGAAAGGATGCTACTTTGAAGCAGCAACAGCAGCAAGGACAGCAGCAGCAACAAGGACAGCAAGGTCAGAGAAAGAATTCGTCTGGTAAATTGTTCGAATGGGGAGGGATAGAGATGCGATTGCTAATCGAAAAGAAACATATTTTTGTTGTTGTTGTTGTACAGGTGGAAAGAAAGAGAATACAACAACAAATAAGACACTATTGAATAATCCAAAAGCACAAGCAGCAGGTGCGGCAATATTATCAGCGGTGACTTCACCTCAAGCTGCTGGATTAATCCAACCTCAACAACAATCGATGGGAGCCAACGGATTTAATCGAGGTGAACTTGTCGAGTTTCTTAATATGCGTAAGTAAGAGAAAGAGAAAGAGAGAACAAGGCAGTTTGATAATAAAGACACTCTTAAATTAGGCTTTTCGGATGCATTGACGGCTTATCATGATACCAACTTAGACCCTTCGATGAGACCTGAAAAATATGAGAGCGTGAGTAAGCCAGTAACGACGACAACGAATGCTTGGGGAAAGAACAGTAACGGAGTTCCTTCTGCTTGGGGACAACAACCCAAGGAACGAGGTAATAAGAAAGGAAAAGGGGAATATTTTTATTTTTTATTTTATTTCTTAAATAACACATTACGAAACATAGAACCTGGTGTCATGGCCAATGGTGTTGACTTTTTAACCGAGTTGAATAAAAAATAAAAACAGATATTAATCATCCCAACTAAACTCTTTTGAAACTCGAGATTTTTCTACAATGTATTTGCCTTCCTTGTATTTTTGTGGTTCTTCTAGTGCTCGTAAGTATTTCCAACCAATTTTGACATGACATTGGGTACAAATGATGTCTGCCACTGTATGAATGCCAGTTAATAACATGCGTTCTTCTCTCGTTCCAACTGTGATGTTTATCACTTTATTCACAAGATAGGCCGGTCCATTCTATCAATCTGTGATATTAATTTTTGTTACTAAAGTGATGACTCTTTTTGTATATCTTACTCTGCCTTGGAAATTTCGTGACATGATTGAAGTTTGATCTAGTAAATGACAATGACATGAAGTACAAGAAAAGAATAGCTGAGAATCAAGATAATTGCGATGTTTTCGTTTATCCATCATTCAATGAGGGGGGGGGAAGAGAAAGATAGAAAGAAAAGAGAAACCTCATGAGAATAAAAAAAAAAAATTAATGTCCTGCTGCTCAAGTCACGTAGTTGATAACATAAAAACACCTATTTTAATATTGACAATCTACATGTTTAAATGTTTTTACATTATATGATCAATCACCTGTGAGCGCTTATTTGAATTATTTGCATTATCTTAAAACAGGGTGATTATTTATTTATTTTGGCACTCCGTAAAACATGCCTAAAAAAAACATTTTTTGTTGTTGTTATTTTTTGTTTTCCTCTCAAAATGTCAAACATGGAGAAAAACACAATTGTTGAACGCATTCAGAAAAAGATAAACTCTACTCAGCTGAGACCCGAAGAAATCCAAGCGATTGATAAAGCGAGGAGTCAAGTTTATAATCAAAGTAAATATTATTATCCCCAAACTACCGGGATTTTTTTTAATATGTACTTGTTTAGCAACGGTGGGAGGTTTTGTGGGTGCTGTGGGTACTTTTCTCATTGGGCGTAAAAGAAAGATATCTCCCTTCTTGATGTTACCCTTTGTGGGCGGCGGGTTTCTCATAGGCTCCCAAGTAGGCATGGTATCGGGTATCATGTCCGGTATCCGTACCATTAAGCGCTTACCTGATCAAGCGCGTCTTGTGAACCTCGTAAAAGATATACAGTAACATTGTTGTATCCATTTTATTTTATTTTGTATTACTAATTTTTTTTTAAGAAAGGTCCGAAGTCATGCATTCAAGTGGATATACACAAGATAGTCCTACAAGTAAGCCTCGTCCAATGACACCACAAGAAAAAGCTCAGTATCAACAAACTTTACTAAATGACGAAACAATGGTTGAAAATGACCCAATCTCCCAGAAACAAGAGGATAAACAAGACATGGCAACAGAGGATGTATGGTGGAAAGATAACACGGAAACAACTAACGATACGTGGACAGATGATGGTGATAAATACATGCAATCTACGACGAAGAGTGATAGCGCATGGGATAGAATTAGACAGGAAAATAACAAGTAGTTATTTACATGTTTTTATTATTAGCGATTAAATAGGAAAGGGTATCATTATTACATGTACATACAAAAAAAAAGAAGAAAAAAAAAAGGGTTAGTAGTGAGTGATTACATTGGGTTGTGCTGCTGTTGCAACAAATTGATGTTGAGGTAAAAAAGATCTTCTGGCATGTTGTCGATGGATAGACAGAGTTCTTTCTGGTGTAAATGGAAATCGATACAATGTTTTATTACGCTGTTGTACTTTTTCCATTTGAGCTAGTGCTGCTGCTGCTGTTTGTGGATGATGCACATCCACATCGTAATAATTAAATCGGCAACTAAAGATGAGGTCGACTTCTTCCAACGATTTACCCTAGTGACGGTTAATTAAGTTAAAAATAGAGGTTGCATGAAAATGAGAGAAGCTGCCTACATTGGTTTCGGGGTAATGCCAATAGACAATGACAGCTATCACTAGACACATGACACTAAATAAGACATAGGTTCTCCAATAAATGCGTTGTAACATGATGGGAGTTAATTGAAGTACGGCATAAGTGAAAAGCCAATTGGAGGCAGTGGAGATACCTAAAGCTTTAGCTCTAACACCCTGTGAATATAATTCAGCGGGATAAACCCAGCCTAAAGGACCCCAGGTACATGAGTAGACTGCTACACAAATATACATGACAATTAAAAAAACAATGGTGGGTTCATTGGCGTCGAACTGTAACCAAAGTGGATTTCCGCTTTTCCCTGTATTGGCGGACGGCATTTCTTTTTGAAGAGTTGGAGTTAACTGCGAGTAGGAGAATCCATGTACGCCTGATAATACCGCTAATACGGCAATACATACACTACAAAGAATAGCGCCAATAATCATTTGTGGTCTTCGACCCCATTTATCGATCTATCGTTCATGAGCATTCTTTAGATAAAAAAAAAAAAAAAAAAAAAAAAAAAACAATATAATTTTTTTGTTTTTTTTCTTTTTGTTTTTTTGTACATTACGAGTATCATTGCAGGAATGGTGGCAATTAGATTAATCGAGCCACTTAATCCGTTCGCTATATAATAAAAAATGCATTAGTGGCAAAATATGTAAGAACTCAATCAAACAAATTACCAAACAATGCAGCATCCCTTCCTGTAAGTCCAGTCGATTGAAATATTTGAGGGGCGAAGACTCTAATGGATATTTTAATTAAAGAAGAATACAAAGTTAGGTTGTAGCTTACAATAACGCGATTACACCTGTCAGTTGCTGAAATATCTGAACGGACATACCCAAGAATAGTCGCCTCCTGTTATTCTCAGCGCCGGCAAGAAATATGCGCTTGTATTTATGATCTTTATACATTTTATGTTCAAATGAAATGTTTTGCTTCATTTCAGCGAATTCCATAAGAACGTCGTTATGTGTTGTTGTTCCATCGCCTCGTATCTTCGATAACGTTTCCAGTGCTTCTGACATGCGGTTTTTATCAATCGAATGTCGTGGGCTCTGTGGTATGAATAAGAGCAATCCAACTAGACATATTAATGCCGGCACAAGTTGAAGGCCTAACGCTAATCTGGGTGGGGTTTTATTTCCTATTGTAAGTATTGTCTGCTTAATTATTATTTCGGTCGAATTTTACCTCCATCCGGTAGAGCCAGGCACGTTGACAAATGCATAATCAACCCAGTAAGAAATACAAGTTCCAAGCGTGATGGCGAATTGCTGAATTGACATTAGCCTACCGCGTATATTTTTAGGCGCTAATTCAGACTGATCTGTGTAATGCATACATAAATGTATATATTTATATATATAGCGTTAGATCACATGCGTTTAGATGGAGAGAGAATAAAAATGTACTTTACATAGTGGTACAACCATGGATAGAATTCTGCTCTGGAATTGTTAGAAAAGAGAGCACATGTACACAATAACAACTTACCCTAGGCTGACACCTGTTACACCCCTTCCTCCATACATGGTATTGAGTTCGTCGGCGCCGACTTGTAAGACATTTCCAAATATAAAGATGATTGTGCCTAAAGCCATTAAGGCTTTTCTGCCAATCGCGTCAGCTAACGGACCGCTCACGATGGCGCCTAAAAAAGCACCCGCCATCAAAACGCTGATTAATGCGCTACTGGTAACATCATCTTCAATCTGCATATCATTTTGAAAGGATGGCATTAATATCAATCCTGTCAATACACCAAAGTTATAACTATAATTATATAAATTAGCTTTTTAACAAACAACGCTTTTTATGTTTAAATTATTTACCCATACTAGTTGAAGTGGATAATTAAAAAAAAAAATAGAAATACGGGAATTATTAAGGGTCTAATAAGATCATCATTCTTTTCATTTCTTTTTTTTTCTTCTTTTATTCTTACTAATAAGCCGCCTAAAGCTAAAAAACTATATCCGAAAATGGTCAATACAAAAAATTCTTAAGAATGCATAAGAAATTAAAAAGGAGGCTTGTTTTTTTGGGTGTTCTTTTTACCAGCAATAAAAATAAACTCGAGTATTCGTTGAAACAGTAACGCACTTTGTTAGTTTCTGGAACGTCTTCATTTTTTGTTAATAAAAAGTGTCGAGATTTAAAAAAGGGCTCGTTATTTTGTTCTTATTCCCTTTTCTAAATTCCTTTATTGTTAAATGATGAATAAAAATAAAAAAAAAGAAAAAAAAAAGATAAATAAATAAAAATAAAAAAAAGTTTAAAATGATGGAAAAGCCCGGATAATCAAAAATAAGTGAGTGAATTACACAAGCACATTGTATAAAGATGTGGGGAGGCAATTATTTAAGCTATAAGCCACCATTTTTAGTTTTTTTTTTTTCTTTTTTTTTCTGTACCTCTCTATGTTGTCAATAAAGCATTCCTCTATCCCTTTGTACCTGAAAAAAAAAGCGAGGGGGGTAATAAAAATGTATGATTTGTTTGTTATATAAAAAGAGAGGGAAAAAAAGCATCTCTCCCTCTCCTTTATACACCTCTATTTACTAAAATGTGGATAAGCAAAGCTCGCTGTTGTTTGATTACCCTGTTATCTTTAAATAGCGCTAATCTATTTGTGGTCGCATTACCTCATAAAATACATCAATTGACCTCCGAAAATCGAGCGGATACCATTAAATCCGCATTTAAACACGCTTGGGACGGCTACTCGAAATATGCATTTGGTCACGATGAACTCATGCCGATATCGAACAATTTCTCTGATTCCAGGTAAAAAAAAAAAAACTGCCTATTGCTACACGTATGTTGTGTGTATAATCGCTCTAAAATTATAGCTTCATACTTTTATAGAAATGGATGGGGTGGTAAAATTATTATAAATCACTCAGATCGTGAAACATATCCTCATTAATCTAATTTTGCCATAGCAACCATATTTGATGCACTAGATACAATGATCATCATGGGTTTGGATGATGAATATAACACAGCACTAAAACATGTAGCCCAAGTAGACTGGACAGTGACAGATACACCTTCAAAAACATTTGAAACCTGTATCCGTTATTTGGGTGGTCTCATGTCAGCTTATGACCTCAGGCCAAATCTATTATTAATAAGAAAGGCCGTGGAATTAGTAAATCAAGTCATATTGCCCGCATTCAATACCACCAGCGGTATTCCTTCCTCGTTTGTAGATGTACCTTCGTAAGTTGTAATCAGAAACATTCTTCCCTCTATTTAATCTAATCTTTTATTTAGCCAACTACCTATTATCTCGGATACCATTGTCCTTGCAGAGTTTGCGCTGCAACTGGAATTTGTCAGATTATCTCAGATCACTGGTGATCCAACCTATGAAATCATGGCTAATTCAATCATCGAGAAAATATCACAGGTAGATACACCCATCCCTGGTTTATACTCCATCTTTTGGGACCCTCGTACCTTTGAGCCCAGTAGAAGTAAGTCTCTTTATGATTATTTCCCCTTCTTTTAGACTGACTGTGCGGTGTCTGTTTAGCTTATATCACCATATCGGGTGGCGGTGATAGTTTCTATGAATACCTGCTGAAAACGCATATACTGATGGATGGAGAGAATACGCAAGATATTTTGCAGCTTCAAATGTGGGAAGACGCTGTTGTGAGTATGTACTACTCTTTACGTTCTGTATCTCAACAGGGAGATGTTTTCCTGTCTGAGGATTTAGACGGTTATCAACGTTTAAAAACCGGTGAACTTGTAAGTGTATCAGATCATCCCCTCCAGTGTGTATGCACGCGCTAATCTAAATGAAAAAAAGGTTTGCTTTATGCCTGGAAATCTCTTGTTGGGGGCCAAGTATGTGAATAGTTTAGAGATGGCTACGTTTGCTCAAGAGCTTTTGGACTCGTGTTACAAGACATGGAAGAGATCACCAACGGGTTTATCTCCGGAAGCGTGGGGTTGGATTGATGATTTACACTACAATACAAGTAATATCCTTTACACGCCTGACCAATCCAAACTCTTTGATCAACTTGGATTCATTCCTAATGATTTACGTTACATGTTACGCCCAGGTACATAACAGACACAACAATAACAAAAAAAAAGCATGTGTACTCACATTACCCACCATTTTTAGAAACAATAGAAAGTCTATTTTATTTTTACAGGTTAACTGGTGAGACTAAATATCAGGTGCGTAACAAAATACATCTTTTTTTTTTTTGGCTGTACGTAACTCATCTCAACTCTTTAGGATATGGCGTGGGAAATTTTCGAGTCGATTGAAAGGTACTGCAAAACAAGCAGTGGTTACTCATCCGTGAGTAATATCATTAATAATATCAGTTCGAGCAGAAGCGATTTTCAAGAAAGGTTGGCAATAATTTTTTTCTTTTTCTTTTGTGAAATTGTGACACTAACACATATATACAAGCTTCCTTTTTGCAGAGACTTTGAAGTACCTCTATTTGATCTTTTCGGACCCTTCCTTGATCTCGCTTGATGAATATGTGTTCAATACAGAAGCCCATCCGTTTAAATTAAATAAACCAATTAAAGTTCAATTTTAGCGAAAAACCAAGGCTGTTCTCAAGCAAACCTTTTTCCCTTTGAAGTGCGGAGTTGACTTCTATGATTTTATGCAACAATAAAAACTGAAGTGATATAAAAGGAAGTTTTACTTGCTTTTTTTAGTATTTACTGTTATTTTCAGTTTCGATCCAGAAAAAGGGAACAGCATTATAATATCCAAAGTCTGTAAGACTATAATCTCAATCAAATATATGATGATCCTTTATTTAACACATAAATTGTAACAGTATTTATATCATTTGGTAATCTTCAGTTATAAACATTCCGTATTATGTAGTTGAGACATTAGCATAATGACTAAATAGATATGACAGATGAGACCTTGATCTGCTAGCTAGACAGATATATTATAGTTGAGATTCTGCTAGATATAATGGTTATACAGGTACGTGATACACCAATCATTAACGAGTTGTGATGCTTCTTAAGATAATGCCAGTAATGAGAACAAATAGCATTCTCAGTTGTGATGTGTTTCATACCAATCCCGAGTGAATACCTAGAGAAGCCTATGCGTTCGGCGACAACAAAGGGGTTATAAGGCAATTGATACACAAAATTCTGATCCGATAGCTTTGAAAGAAAATTCTTCATTGCAACCTAAAAGTATAAATATCCATTGGAGGTATCTCCTGTATTCTGATTTTTTTATATATTTACCTAGGCCGACACAACTGATCAAAGCAGAATAACAATTGCTTGATTTTTGATGGCATAGACATATCTTCTTGATTGAACCCGGATATATTTGATAAAAGGTAAATGGATTGTGAACCGGATCTGCCACCGTGGTGATAGTCCCGCAATTCCACACTTAATATGCAAAAATACCCTAAGATTCGATCCAAGTCAACCCGAAAGGTAAATGGATTGTTAACCGAATCTGCCACCTTCAGTGATAGTCCCGCAATACCACACTTAACGCATAATTGAAATGGGCACCAAGTCAACCCGAAAGGTAAATGGATTGTGAACCGGATCTGCCACCTTTACAGTGATAGTCCCGCAATTCCACACTTAACGCAAAATTGAAATGGACACCAAGCCAACCCGAAAGGTAAATGGATTGTGAATCGGATCTGCCACCTTTACAGTGATAGTCCCGCAATTCCACACTTAACGCAAAATTGAAATGGACACCAAGCCAACCCGAAAGGTAAATGGATTGTGAATCGGATCTGCCACCTTTACAGTGATAGTCCCGCAATGCCACACTTAACGCAAAGTTGAAATGGAAACCAAGAAATCCAAGTCTAGTAACAACAAAAAAGCAAAACTTTTACCAGCTAACACGAGGGATATTTGATAGTACTTGATAAAGAAAAGGTCTTCAAGGTGATCTAAAAGTAGGAACAAACATTTAAGCCATCTCTTCTATTCTAATTTAATACCTACATCTTATATTACCTTAAATGACACAACTGACCAAAACAGATCAACAATTGCTTGCTTTTGAGGGCGTAGACATGTCTTCTTCATTAAACTCGAATGTAGTTGATAAAAGGAAAGGGATTGTGAGGTGATCCGTAACCATCCCATAAAAAAAAGCCCAAGGAAAAAACTGACGTCACTCATTTTTTATTTGTGTATTTAAGGGTAATATGCTCTTCCTTGCGTTTCAACTAAAGCGTGGCTAATGACAAGAACGTATTGATGTCAAGATATTTCTTGGTCTTCTATTTTAAACAAAAACATTCTGGGACAATTACAAAGCAAAACATCAATCAAAACTGATTATTTAAATATGTGAACCTTTGTCTGAGTATTCCCTTTTTCTTTTGTTGGCACAGTTTCTCTTCTTCATTTTGAGACAATTTAGACAAACTGTATAATAATGGCTTTTTTAAAAGCCCGGTATTTTTCATGCAGAATAAAGATTGACAGATAAATGTAAACTATTTGCATGTCTTGGATATAACTGTAGTAATTACCGTTAAATTAGTTTATAAATCATGCTAAGACAGGCTTGATGCGTTTGACTGCAGTGCATTAAGTTACAGTAATTAGAAACGTAATGGATCAATGACCAGGATAAGTGGATAGCGGAGTTGGTCCTTTGAAGATGGTATAAATTTTTTTTTTAGGATATAATCACCCTAAAATAAATCAGCGATCAAAAATTGAAAAATATCGCAAACAAATTAGAGCGGAAATAACGATCTTTTTTTAAAAAATATCGCGATTGGCGATATCGATAAAATTTTCTAAAATATCGTTATTGGCAATATCGATCAAACTTTCCAAAATATCGCGATTGACGATATCGATCCATAAATCAAAAAAACAAAAAAATATCGTTGGATGGGGTAAAAAAAAATGGGGTAATCGATAATCGATATAATATTACTTTTACACCCCTGCTGAATCAGGATACAGGCTTAAAATTGATACGTTTGTATATATTGGAAAAAAAAAAATTTATTTATAAAAAAAAACTAAATAACGTCGAATCTGACCATGATGAACCTCTTCAAATATGGAAAATGACCAGTAAAATATGACCAGAGACAGACATAATCAGAGGAACTACGATAGTGACCACACGAAGACCTCAGAAGAACAGCAGTATCACTTACCTGCAAAAATATGGTTTACGTTAATAAGAGAATAAATTATCATGTTTAGCAATGTGTACCTTTACAAAACCGTGGGATGTACGAGCCTCAAATAAACAGTAATATCAATCAGCTTTAAAAAGTTGGGTTAACTTAATAATAAACAAGTATACCAAAGTCAAGTTATTTACCTTTCCACAAGTAATCAATGTATTGATTCCTTTAGCTATAAAAATGCGCTAATAGATATAAGAAAGTAGTTAGAGTTCCTTACCGAGCAAAGAGCATTGGTCTGATCCTAAATTAGAAAGTTGTAACACGTTTATTATTAGTCACATAACTAAATCTAAATTAATTTAAAAATGGTTATGATGAATCAAATACCATTAACTATTCGCATATACATACATTAACCTGGAAGAAAAAGAAAAGAGGAAAAAGAATAAGAATAAAAAGGTATAAAAAACAAAGTTTGTTTAAATAAGAAAAAAAAAAAATTCAGACTCAATTCCTTTTTTTTTGGCAACGCCGTTGATTATTTTCTACAGCAACTGATTCATCAGTCTTGTAAATGATAGATTCAAGGCACTCTCCTATTTTTTTTTTTTTTTTTTTTTTTTTTTTTTGCAAATCTAAATTCATGTGTGCTCACTTAAAGTAATTTGGATGTCTCGGCCTGTTGAAAACTGGTACGTGTGTAAACGCTTGTTCTTTTTTGACTTTACATATTAAGAAAGTACTCCAGGCTCGAACTTCGTTTTTGGTGAAGTTATAAAGAATCATGACGTTTCCCCTTATTCAAAGGCCATCCCGCGCATGATGAGGCAGAGCAAAAAAAAATTGTCGTCTTTGATGCAAAGGACCTTGTGTCTACTATTGGGTTGGTGAATGGGGTCGACAGGTCTAACAACAAATATTCAATAAAAACTGGTAAGGCTTTCAAAGTCGATAAGAGTAGTATTACCAGCAGTGTTGGAAAATCATTAAAACCCACAGTCACATGTCCCCTTTTCTCATTTTACTTACGTAATCTGAAGTTGTCTTTTTCTTACCCTGGCTATCATCCCCATAAACATTTTTTTTCTTTAAAAAATTACGTTTATCTATTAACATGGTATTGCTACATCTATTTATTTATGTATAGGTTGTTTTTATAGAGATTTGAAAATTTGGCTTTGCGATCAGCGATCAAAAAATCAAAAATATCGGAGATATCGATATTTTCGATTTTTTGAGCGATATCGCCAATATCGATCAAAAAAAACATTTTGATTGCTGATTTATTTTAGGGTGAATGTTTTTCTGTACCTCTTTTCACACGATGTCTACTCCTAAAGAATTAGTTCTCAAATACCTTAATAATTATAGCATACGAGCATTCAACATATTTGTCAGAAAACACCGGGACGAAATCGTTAGACTTTCAACCTCTTTAAGTGATATTGGCACACCTATCCAACTTCAGCGTTACTGGATCAGCTCGTATAACAGAATAGCTAGAGAAAATGGGAAGCCGTTATTGATGGTCGATGAAAGGTACATCGTATTTGAAGCAACTGTTACACATTTTTATCAACTTTATGATATATAGCTACGCTAGAGCATCGAAAAAACTTATAGTGATTTTTATAGTGATTTTTATACTGATTAAACGTCAAGTAAGTACGCTTTATAAGTCTTTAAATTGTAGTTCATGCCTTCTATCTAAACACATGTCTAGAAAAAGCTGCAGAGAAAAAGTCGAGAACGTTTTGTCCCCAATAAAAATTAGAATACTATAATCTCCTTAAACAGCTATGTTCCTGTTTAATTACTACCGTTGTGTACTACATGATATTAATTCGTCCATACAACTACTGTACAATGTTATTGGCTCAATTTTTACACAACCATCTCTGGAACTCAAAAAAATAGTAGATATTTCGTATTTAAAGCACTCGCTTTTACATATTTCATTAAATTTTGATATATACAGTCAATCAAAGGTTTCCAAAAGCCTTATGGAACATCAAGACGTTTAATAAGTACGTGTGCTAAAAAAAATCTAGCAATAGCACGGTGTTTTAAAAAAAACCGTGTAACAAAAAAAAAATTAAAAAATTATATAAAAAATAAACCCATGGGCAATTTTCATATCCTTTCTTCATTTTTACATCCATCCATCCGTTTAAATGGTAAGTCTATTTTTTATTTTTACATGATTCGAAACTTCACTTGTATCTACTTTTAGATGTGTGTACAAATGATGGCCCCACATTGGATGATTAGTATCTATTTTGATATTTACCATAGAATCTTGTGGGATTGGAGAACCTTGTAGGAAGCTCTTTTCCATGCACCCATGATTCTGTTTTTATTTTTATAAAAACGTCGAGCTTGATGTATACTATCATCTTTTGGTAAAATACAATGTGTATTTATCTGGCTGAGTTGTGTCTCTTTTTCTTCGGAAAAATCCAACTTGTTAGAGTGTAGTTTTATCAGAATTGTGAATTTTCTTAAAAAAAAATTTGAATCTGATCGAACCCTTATCACTCCATGACAGCCTCCCACTACCAAGAAGTCTGCCGGTAAGAAGGTTGCCCCTGCTCCTTATCCCGTCAAGGGAAAGCAAGCCGCTAAGGTTGCTGCCAACCCTTTGATTGAAAAGACTCCCAAGAACTTTGGTGTCGGTCAAGATGTTCAACCCAAGCGTGATGTCTCTCGTTTCGTCAAGTGGCCTCAATATGTCAAGCTTCAACGTCAAAAGAAGATCATCTACCAACGTTTGAAGGTCCCTCCTGCTCTCAACCAATTCACTCATGTTTTGGATAAGAACACTGCCACTCAAGTCTTCAAGTTGATGCACAAGTACAGACCCGAGTCCAAGACTGAGAAGCGTGATCGTCTCCGTGCCGCCGCTGCTGCCAAGGCCGAGAAGAAGGAAGTTGCTAAGACTGAGAAGCCCGTTGTTGTCAAGTATGGTATCAACCACATCACTGCTCTTATTGAAGCCAAGAAGGCCAAGTTGGTCGTTATTGCTGATGATGTTGACCCCATTGAGTTGGTTCTCTGGCTCCCTGCTCTCTGTCGTAAGATGGGTATCCCTTACTGTATTGTTAAGGGTAAGGCTAGACTCGGTACACTTGTTCACAAGAAGACTGCTACTGCTCTTGTCTTGACTGAAGTCTCTGATGCTGATAAGGCCGAACTTGCTACTATTGTCTCTGCTGTCAACACCAACTTTACCGAGAAGTGGGAAGATGTCCGTCGTCACTGGGGTGGTGGAATTATGGGTCCCAAGTCCAACGCCAAGATGGCCAAGCGTGCTGCTTTGGAAGCCAAGGAAATTGCTGCTCGTCAGTAAATTATCTCGTCTTAATAAAAAAAATCTCTCTGATTTGTTCTCCAAAACTTCTTTTCTATCCCCTATATTTGTAAATAAACTATATCTTTTTTTTAATTAATTTTTTTTTTTTTTTCTTGTGTACGTTCAAGGGGAAAGAGGTTATTAGGTCAGGTGTGTCATTTAGATCTCTTATTGGTGCAGATTGTTTAATTTGATTATTTAACACAGGGATTTTCCCTTTTTTGAAATTCCTTTTTTTTCATTGTCTGATAAATAGGAGATTTTTACTTATTTGATCACTTTTTTTTTTCCTCTCTCTTTTTTTTCCCCCTTTCAAAACCCTTATAAAAATGATTACAACTTCAATTCAACGAGCGCAAGAGCAACAACAAAATATCATCATGATTGCCAATCCAATTGTTGTTGTTCAACAAGAGGAAGACGAGAAAAAGAATGAAAAGGAGGAATATTACTATCGCCCACTACCTTCCGTCTTAACAGGTAAAAAAAGATAAGCATTATCTTGTTGTAGTTGGCAAAATGACTTATAAATAAAAAAAAACCAGACTTTTTCGCTTTTAAATTATGCGATTTTATTCGAACTCGTCCGTTACCAACGGGATCCGAAAGAACCGCACCCGAATTAGTGTATTTCATCTTGAAAATCACATCACAAGCCCGCATATCATGTCACATTGCAGTAGTTGCGCTGATTTATATAGAAAGATGCAAGGCTGCGCTTCCAAAAAATGCCATTGGTGATCAAGGTACGCTCTCTCTTTTTTTCTTTTTTGTGAGCGATGGGCTTAATATTCTAATTTTATAGACACCATCCATCGTATATTTGTGGCGTCGATTCTCGTGGCCTCTAAATATTTACACGGCACATGTTGGGGAGCCAGTCAGACGGTGATGATGATGGATGAGGAAGAAGAGGTGGTGGTGCGAGCAGAAGACGAACTCCCCGTATGGTTAAACAATGCCAGAATGGCCAGTATCTGTAATCGATTTTACAGTCTGCAACAAATCAATCAATTAGAACTGGCCTTTCTAAATCTGATCAAATTTGAGTGCTTTGTCAACCCAATTGAGGTCCAGGAATATTTGGTCAAACATCGACAAGACTTGTTACTCTAATTTTTATTTTTTTTTGACTTGTGCAGGTCACATTGATGAATTTCCCCATTTTTACGATAATCTCTCTTCCCTCTAGTGTACATAGAAAACTGCGTATTATTTCTCATTCATAATCATCTTAATTAGACACACACACACACACATTTTTTAGCCTTCTTGCCAAAAAAGAAATACCCCCCACGTCTCATTCGTTTATTCTATAAACACACAAATCATACATCATAATAATTAAAGCATTAATGTAACACATTTAAAATACTCCTTGCCTTTTTTGTACGTACAATGATCGACTCCCCCTAATCAATCATATCATATGTTGAACTCGTAAAACGCGTGATAAATTCTTTTTCAGGGTGCTTTTGTTCCGAAAAAAAAAGTCTCTAAAGGTAATTTGTAATCTCTTAACTCTCACCGTCTTCCCGCACGTGTTTTTTTTACCTATCAAAAAGAAATTTCCTCCCTTTCTAGGTTTTTTTTTTTTTTTTTTTTTTTTTTTTTTTTTTTTTTTTAATTCCATTTAACATTTTGTACCTCTCTCTTTTTGATTGAATTTTTTTCTGCAATAAAAAAAGTTCATGCAGCCAATGTACTTGCACCCCCATAAAAAAAAAATAAGAGTGGGTGGCACATAAGTGAGTGCAAGCTTTTGAATGAATGATGATCACCATACTACACGCCGAGTTCAAATTGCATACATCGTATCCTACCACACACGTTACCTTGGAATGTTTTTTTAATTAAAAAAAAAACGATATCTGTGTAGTCATGGCAACGTCCCAACTTTTTTTTTTTCTTACAAAGATACCCCCGCGGAGGGAATTTAAACTGTTTTTTAATATATTTTCGCTCTCTCTCTCTTTTTCCTATTAAATTCAAGATGGGTGACAAACGTCCCCATTCCGAACCATTGCTTCAGTCGAACAAACGTCTGAAGCGATTGACCATGCCAAAGCGAGTTAAAAAAGGAGACGACACGATTGGAGAAAAACTAGAGACCATTCGAAAGACGGTGACCACAGTGAATGAACAAGGTAAAAACAAAACAAAACAAAAACCTTTGCGCTCTCTTTCTTTTTTCTTTGCGTAGCTGATAAAAAGGGAGTAGAATACGAATGTAATTTATGCGGCGAAGTGCTGAAAGAACCTTATCCTCGTCCACTGAAACGATTAATTGATACCGTGAAAAAGAACGAACGTGAATACCGCAAAGAACAAGAGGAGGAGTACAAAGTGCTTAAAGCACAATGCGAGGCAGAAGGTCGACTCGTACCTCCGTTTACTTTTTTAAAGGGCGGGATATCCAAGAACGATCAATCGTTTATTTGTCGTATGCACAAGGTAGAATTGGTGTATAAACCCATGGCGATTGAAAAGGGATACCCGACACACATTGAGTTTGAGGAGATTGGAGCACGCGTGAAATTGTTCGAGTCGGAATTAAAGGATATTGTGGAAGGCAGGTTGGAGAGTTCGTTTCTGGAGACGGTGATGCGTGTGCACCAAGAGCTGGGGTCTGTCAAGGCACGTCAGACGAAACAATTAATGACTCGTTTTGAAGAGACGCTGGTAAAATTCATGTGTTGTGTGTGCATGTGTGTATAGTTTATTTGTTAACCAAAATAGGGTTTCTTTTTGATACAAAGCCGGGTTACTATGGTAACAGAGGGTCGCACTATATTTTGGAAGCATTAGACAAGATGTTTGTCAAGACGGATTATTTAGATAAGCAAAAGACAAGTCCGTTGACACCTGTGGAATATATGCAGCAAGTGATGGTACCTGAATGTGGTATACGATTAATCAAGCAGGACTTAAATTTAGAGAATTTACAAGAGGCGAGTAAAGTGATGAAAGAGAGTAGCGAATACGGAAGCACTGTTTATAACAAGCTGAAAAAGAAGTAAATAAAAAAAAAAAAAAAAACCAAAAAAAAAAAAAAAAAAAAAAAAAAAAGAGAGCCGAATAAAGTGTGTGTGTGTTTGTGTGTTTTTTTTTCTTTTCTTTTCTTTTTTCTTTTCTTTACATGATATGACACTTTTTTTCTAGTGATTTCTCCGACTTTTTTAATGTAATATGTTTTTGTTTTGTAGTTGGTTGAGCATTATTAGACATGATTGTGTTCAAGGCATCTTCTCGGAATGCCTTGGCATTGTCCTTGAGCGATCTTGCTAAATGCTTTGGTATCTCTTCGTCTTTAACGGGGCCTAATATCTCATCTAATTTATTCTGTTGAAAATAAACAAGCATATACGCATTGGTGAACCGTTTCAAAGCTCGCGCACTCGTGCATCGCAACTGATCTTCCGTCACGGGCGTCTTTGGATCATCGTCGTTTAAATCAGCTACACGCAATGGGTCATCGCCGTAATTGTCTTCAAATACTTCCCGTAACGTGACGGGTGTGACTCGATCATCGTCAAATTTAAACCATTTACCGTCCTTTTCGGGTTTTAGTAATGCAAAATAGTGTCCTCCGTCAATATCCCCACTATGTACCAGCACTCTTTTTTTTTTTTTCATAATTTAGTTACATTTCATACTAATTATCTCCCACATATACGTTACTTACCCGTGAAGAACATAGTTGCAATCGGTAGGATCTTGACTGGGTATGGAGCAAAACTCATTTAGATTGATATTGTCCGGAAACACATGATGATCATTAATCTAAAAAGGAGGGGTTAGTAAAAAATGAATCGGGTTTTGCTAAAGAACGCATTTTTTTTTTTTTTTTTACTTTTATCATGGTGTCTCTTTGCATATCGTATTCAAATCGCTTTAGTTGGAGATGAAGCACGGGAGGGAAGCTCTCAAATTTGACACCTTTACAGGCATCTTGTAATCCATACCCTTCAGCCATGTACTTGTTCTCACCACTCATAGTTTCAACATCCACATAACGTCGGAATGAATCCTCTAAATTCTTGCATCCTTTGACATTTAATTGAATGTCTAACAAATAGGAATCAGTATGGGATGTAGATGTAAGAACAAGCGTTATTTCCCCTTACATACCATAAAAGTCCTCTACTCGAGAGGATTCATAGTCAACATGGACACACTTTATATAACTCTTCATTTTTCCCATGAATATATGTGTCACTGCACCATCCACTGGCGTACCCTAACATAAAAAGACAGTGTGAGGACAAAAAAAAAGAAAGGAAAAAGAAAGGAAAATCGCACAAAAAAAAATCGTCGATATATATATATGTGTGTGTGTACCTTCATCTTGAGTTCTAAATTATCCTGCAGTACTCGACTAAACTCTTGTACGTCATGTTGCATAAAGGCATCCAAGGAATCCCAGCCAAAGGATTTGGTGAGTTCTGTGGTTCCCACCGAATCATCCGAGTGTTGCAGACTGTAAAAGCAACGCTGCAATGCTAAAGCCACACTGTTGTTGGGATCTTCCTTCTCGGTGGGTATCCTGTACACGGCTTTTCGAAATATATTGGTGAAGAAGAGTGATTGGATCAGTGAATTCATGTAACATGTGGCACCTTGGTTTCGAATGCCCACATAACCCGTCTCTTTACGGGAATCATAGCTGTTTCCCCCCAAGGAATGTTAGTTAGGCTAAAGAATGAGCAGAAGAAAGAAAAAGAAAAAGAAAAGAAAACTCACTTCATGAGGTTGCGCCATAAGACACCTGTTTCATCTTTGACGACTCGTAAAAAGACAGAGATGACGGTTTGATTAGTTTGGTTGATATAAGGTTCTTTACCGGTCTGTAATGATTTCAGATCATGATAACGAGTGAATCCCCAATCAATCTCATCCGCACAAAAACGATGATGAGCATCTATAAATCCACAGTGTTAAGAAAGAAAGAAAAAAGGAGAAAAGAAAAAGGAGGAAAACTAACTGTTGGTGTAAAACTGTTTGGGATCGTCCGGATTTGAAATGACTACAGCAAATTGACCACAGACGGACCAATCTTTTGTATAGGATTCTCCTTTGGTGTCCATAACAACCTCTAGATAGATGGACATCATTTCATGTTGACTGTTTCCCTTGGGGAACAACAAGACACGCCTACAAAGAGAGAGAAAGAATGAGTATCCCAAAAGAGAATGGTCCTTTTTTCTTTGTTACCATTGATATCCTGCTGCTTCGAAAATTGGACCGTGAGCACGTTGTTCCAAAGCTTGCCAGTCGTTTATTTCCCAATGATGGACTTGAAAATCCACTTGTTGCAGTTCTTTGTAAATGGGTAATACAATGGGCAAAACTTTCTCGTCTTTATCAATCAAGCAAGAAAAAAAAAAAAGGTTTATTTATACATGTAGAAGCAAGGTACTATAAACTTACGTTCATATACACTATATAGACTCTTTTCTCTTCCAGCCTTGGGGTCTGTCATGTAAAGAAAAAGAAAGAAAGAGAGAGAGAAAGAGAGAAAGAGAATGGGTAAAAAAAAAAAGAAAGGGAAATGAATGGAGTTTTAACCATGACAATGATGACGTTTTCTTCCAGTTGTTGTTACACCATCAGTATTTCCGGGCGTCGTCGGGTCAAATGAGGGATTTTTTTTTTATATAAAAAGAGCAAGCACAAAAAAAAATTTTTATGTATTTCCACCTCTTTCTTCTTTTTCTTATTCTTTAACCCTGTTTTTCTTTACGCTATATATAATTTTTTTATGAATCTTTTTAATGACACTTGTTGCGATTTCTTATAACCCACCTACGAACAGTAGTAAATGGAGAAAAGGGTTAGCTTTACTAGCATCAAAATTACAACATCACAAAGACAAGTCACCCACTACCCGAGCAGCTGCCACGGAAAAGGTGCTTCGTCACAACTCAAATACGGTGATCAAATGTGAGGATCTTACGGCCAAGGAATTTGCTCAAATGGCGGGCATCAAACTTAAGGAAGAGGATGTTTTGGAAGAGGATGTTTATTTGACAACAAAATCAACAACAACATTAAACAATCATCAAATGACATCAATTTCCACCACACTCTCAACCAAAAGTTGTCACCAGATTTGGGATTCCGACTTTTGGCAATCCAATGAGCCTGTGAAGAAGAAGAAGGTCACCCCCAAGAAATCCACACTGGGTGTTCACACCAAAAGAAATAACAATAATAACAATAATAACAACAATAATATTAATAATGATACCCTATTTATATCACAGCTTCGTTCTTCCTCTTCCACCATTAATTCCGTCCAAAAGGGCAGATTTAAAATCGTTGTAGGACAAGATGATTGTGAGCCTGTAAACCAATATAACCATGTAGTACTCGAGTGGAAACGAAAGAGATCTGATTCATCCACCACAAATATTACCAAAAAATAGCTTCTCCCCCTTCCCTTTCCCTACCTTTCCCTACTATATACTTTCCTTTATATCTATGCCCATCATCATCTCTATTTAACTTGTAAGCCTTTTTTTTTTCCTCCCTTACTCACACACAAAAAAAACACGTTTTTAAACAATCACGTTGTACATAATCACTCATAAAAAAAAATTTATATATACATAATAAATTAAATTTAACCAGTCCTAAAACACGTGTTACAGATATCTCTCACTCTTTCACAGGTGAGGTCATTTCCTTTGGCAGTAAGTCGATCATGTGTGTGAGACGTTGTTCTCGTTAAGAGTTACACCACAAACACACACAAACATAACACACACACACACACACACACACACACACACATACAAAGCCTGTTTACCCATCACAAACAGGCACAGTACCTAAAAGCAAAAAAAATAAGGGGGAAACGTTCCTATTTTTTTAGAGAACAGTCACACTTTTTTTTCTTTCTTTTGTTCTGAGGGAGACGCGTGAATAGAAGACCCGCGTTTTTTTAACAAGCTAAAAAAATGGACAAGGGAAAAGGCAAAGAAAAGGTGTTTAATCTAACAGCAGAATTAGATAATTTACCTTGGGTAGAAAAGTACAGACCCAAGACGTTGGATGACCTTGTCTCTCATGATAATATTACGTCGACCAGTAACTATTCTAGACACACACATACACACAAAGACACACACTAATTAAACGTGAAAAAAAAAATAGTTGAAAAGTTCATTGAAGCGAAAAAGTTGCCTCATTTACTCTTTTACGGTCCTCCTGGTACCGGTAAAACGTCAACGATTTTAGCATGTGCACGACAATTATACGGCGACAAGTTTAAGGCCATGATTCTAGAACTGAATGCATCCGACGATCGTGGTATTGATGTTGTGCGGGAGCAAATCAAGAACTTTGCAAGCACACGAAATATTTACAGCAGTGGTTTTAAACTAATTGTGTTGGACGAAGCGGATTCGATGACGAACCAAGCACAAGCAGCTCTTCGACGTGTGATTGAGAAATACACAAAGAATGTGCGGTTCTGTATTATTTGTAATTATGTCAGCAAGATATTACCGGCCATTCAATCGCGTTGTACCCGATTCCGTTTCTCGCCGTTGGAGGTGGATCAGATTGATGAGCGTCTGGGTGTGATTGTGGAGGCTGAGGGCGTAAATCTGACAGAGGACGGTAAGAAGGCCCTGTTGCGTCTTTCCAAGGGTGATATGCGTCGTGCATTGAATATCCTGCAAGCATGTCATGCTTCTTATGATCGCATCGATGAGACAGCCATCTATAGCTGTACAGGACATCCTGATCCCAAAGTGATTGAGCGAATTGCACGATGGATGATGAATGAAGATTTTACCACTGCTTACTCTAGTGAGTACTTTATGCAGACCCATGTCACACTTCTTTTTTAATGCTTATGTACACACTTTCTTTCTATTCTAGAAATCGAGGAAATTAAACGAGAGTCAGGAATTGCATTGCAGGATATCATTAGTGACCTGCATACTTTTGTCAGTACCATTGAATATCCTGCTAAATCTCGCATCTTGCTGCTCAAGAATCTATGTACGCTGGAATATCGATTAGGCGAGGGAGCCAATGAGCATATCCAGTTGGGTGCATTGGTAGGCACCTTCAAATCAGCACAAGAAAACCTGGCCAAATAAAAAAATTGATTTTTTTAGTGTAAAAAAAGTTAGTTAGTAACCGGATTTAGCATGGATGAGGAAAGTGAAGGGGGTGGGGCGCCCGCTCACCCGCTCTCCTGGGAAAAAAAGGCAACCAAATGGGAATGTAATTTTGAACTTGTTTTACATGCAAAGAGAATGACGTGACACTGCATGAAACGGGTTCTTTTTTTTTTAAAAAAAAAAAAAAAAAAAAAATGCCAAAGGAATGCCCTGAGGATGGGCTGAGATATAATGGATGGCAGAAGGGGAGGATGAAATAATTGCCTTTGTGAAAAAAGAGATGATCTACGGGATGATCAGAAAAGCGTTAGTACATCATGAAATAGCCGTAAGCCTTTTCTGGTTACTTCTAGAATAGAGAAAAATTGCTACTTGTAAAGAGGGTTGGTGGGGGAATGGAAGAGAATGGTGTACTTTTTTTTTATTGGTGCACCCAGATTTCTGGTTAAAAAAAAAAAAATGTGTCACTTTTTTCTATGCCAGTCGAGGATAATCGAGATATTTTTAACGGGACGATACGCTTTTAGGTTGGAAAGAATGCCTTATCTCGATACCCGTGTGATGTGTCTTGTTTAAAAGAGGAGATGCAATGTGACTGCTAATACACTTGTTCTTTTTTTTTTTTTTTTGAGCGGACCCAATTCTATCCAGCAAACTCCCTCTTTTTTTTTTCGAACATGAACTTTTTTGGGTTTTCTATATTTTTTTTTTTTTTATATATATACATATATTTTTTTTTTTTTTTTTGAAGTAAAAAAAGTTTAAATTGAGCTAATGGATGTTTCGAAATTATGTATTAATGAGGATGTTGTTAATTCCAGTTCACCACCAATAAATAGGTAAAGAAAAAAAAAGAACGTAAAAAGAATAAAAATAAAAAATAGGTGGTAATGTTTGATAGACCTCGTTTATTACCGACTCACGAAGACGAAAATGTAAATAATAATAATTCAACCTTATACCAGAATACTCCCCAATTCACCTATCAACAAAATTATCAACTACAACATCGAAATCTAAAGAACTATACGTTTCTACAGCAGATACAGCCACCTCCTCCACCTCCGCTACCTTCTTCCACCAACACATCGAATTATCCTCCTCCTCCGTTACCATCGTTACCACCCATCTCCTATCCGACCGTTACCTATGCTACACAACCACCGCCGGACAACAGCACTAAGCTTAATCAGGTACATGCCCACTAAAAGTAAGAAAAGACAATGACTAACAGTAAACTGTTTAGCTGTTGGAACAGTGTAACCTGATTCATTCAAGGATTGGCAAATACCGTGTCGATCCACTGACAGAATCAGAAAGAAGTCAAATTATTGATCAAGTGTATTATACAGCCGAGACCATGCTGGCCTCCATTAAAGAACTACAGTCTGAAGAAACCCACGACAATGATATCAATATGATGGACGATGTATCCGAATCCTCAATGAATAATAATAATAATAATAGAGTAAGCAAAATATAAAAAAAAAAGGTTCTTAATTGTTCTATCGACTCACTGCTAAATATACTTTTTTTTTTAGATGAACGATGATTCGCAAACTGACGAATATAAAATGATTAGACAAGCCCGAAACCTACAAGATGCCAATGCTAGACCGAAATACCGTCGAAGAAGCGTGAGTGTCTCTATTTTTACGCACTCCCTTTATTGATTCAATGTATTAACCGCACAAAGATAGAAACGTAGCATGATTGGACAACGATGTCATTCGTGTAATACCACAGAGGTAAAGTAAGGTTTTTTTAATTGTGATTGCATTGTAAACTAAACTGTATCCAGACACCCGAATGGCGAAGAGGACCAGATGGAGCTCGAACTCTATGTAATGCATGCGGGTTGCGTAAGTATTATTGGATTTTTATCTCCCATAAAAGTGTTAACTCTCTTTTTTTTTTTTTTTAGATTATTCCAAGCTGCTAAGAAAGGGATCGATGACAGTTCAAACACATAATTTTGCTTTAGACAGTCCGCCAGGAATTCAAATACCTACTCGAATCATTCAATATCCTTGTCCTTCTCCATCCCTGATAAAAAATAATGACGATATGGATGATCGATCTTAAAAAAATAAAAAATAAAAAATTACGCACTAAAAAAATAAAAAAAAATAAAAACCCCTATTTTCATTAAAAAAAAAAAAAAAATCTACGCCACACATGAATTTTCTATTTGTTTGGGATAAGGGGGGGAGGGGGAGGGGTATGTTGTGTGTGACAGGGTTTCTTTTTTTTTGATTTTTTTTGTTGTTTTTATTGGCAGCAGCCTTTGTTATGATCATCTTTCTTAATTCTATGGTTATATTCATATGTAGCAGAAGGAGGTCTCAGGGTCACTGTCTTTGTACCCACAGCCAGATCATTTACTTGCTCTTTGGTCTTTTGTAACAGCTTGGATTTGGCCAGTTCCTTATAGACATGTTCAAACATGGTTTCAAATGCATCAGTGACGTTGGTGGCATCATAAGCACTGGTCTCAAAGAACAGCATGTTGGATTGCGTCGCGTACTGTCGTGCTATTTCTGTGCTCACCTGTCGATTGACGTCCGAGAGATCCAGCTTATTACCGATCAACACCAGTGGGATATTCTCTTCCGTGTGTTCACGTAGTTCCTTTAACCACTGATCTACATGGTCAAACGACGGCTTCCGTGTGATGTCTGCTCAAGAAGTTAATAACACTCTTTTTTTATCACTCACATAAGTGTCTTCAATTTACCGTACACAAGCAGTGCACCCACTGCTCCCCTATAAAATGCACTTGTAATTGCCTTGTACCTTTCTTGACCACTCGTGTCCCAAATCTGGGCTTTGATGAAACAATTGTCCTGATAGGCATGCATGTGAGGCTCATGTGGCTTTCAATAATATATAAAAAAACACTTACAATCTTGAGGCTCTTGGTTGCAAATTCCACTCCTATTTAAAATAATGAGTCTCTCTCTTTTTAAATACTTATTAACGCACGGTACCTATTGTACTTCTGGAGTCCTCCATAAATTCATCGGACTATTTAAAAATCAGAAAGTCAGCATCAGGCGCAAAAAAAAAAAAAAAAAAAAAAAAAAAAAAAGACATACGGTGTATCGTAATAACAAGTTGGATTTACCCACACCTGAGTCACCAATAATGACAATCTTGAATAAATAATCGTACGCGTCCTCAGAAATCATGTCTTTTTTTATATATAAAAAAGAAAGAGAAAGAAAAAAAATAGAGAAAAACAAAAATAGAAAGCGGATAAAGGGGAAGAACTGTGTAACCAAAGGATTGGCGCAGTCTCTTTTTTATAAAAAAAAAGAAATGTGGTACAAAGTGGGACAATGGAGACAGAGGTTATTTGGCATTTGGCCACGTGCATTTCTCGCTTAGGGGAGAAAGCCACACATCTGTATTTTACCCCCCCCCTCCCCTCTTCTATTTATGCATAAAGGGGTAAGAAACACCCGATCATGATACCGAGGATTTCCCTTTATATATCTCTATGCTCTCTCCATCTTTCTCTATCACTTTTTCACACTTTTTACATATATATAAAACATGTCGGATTTCTCCATGAATGAAGGGCTAGAAAGGATCAGCAACTCTTTGCAGCAGCTGATTAGAGAGGCCCAAGCCAGTTTATCTCCATTGCCCGTCATTAAAGAAGATAGAGGTATATCCGTCAAGAGGAAATACCCAGCCATGATGGGATCAGTCATTACAGCGTTCATCATGTCACTGAGACAGAGCCAAGCGTCTATGGAGACCAACATGTGGACAGCATTGATTTTATTAAGTAAGAATTTTCACAAGAGAGCCCATATGATTAGTTGTGTGGATAAAATAGTGATTCGAATGAGTCTTTACAGTCATCCCATCATCTCGAGACAGATCCTGGACTGGATTTACAAGACCAATCTCTGTTTAAATCTAATAAACCTAATACTTTTTTAAAGTAGCTCTCGATCCATCCACTCGATCCATCAATTCCTGACACACTTTCACTCCCTTTCTTCTATCTTGTCTAGCCGTCTCAAACTCGGATGGGCAGTCCACTCCATCCAGTGTGATGAGTGCTTGCATTAATAGTTCCGATAAATAGATCCCCAGATCCTCTGTCTCCTTTCTCTTTTCCGTCTGTGGGTTCTCCATCACACACACCACGCCAATATCAAATTCTTCAATCTTATCCTTGGCTCCTTCGATCTTGTCCATCACCTTGGATATACGCATCATGTACCCTACCTCCTCTGGGTTGCCTGACGCCGTCTCCATCACCTGCTCTGTCTGTTTTTTTTTGGTGAGTCTCTCTTATAATATATATATATATATAGAACACACAATAAACACTCCTTCCACTTACTCGCACTCGGTCGCCGTATAATAGCACAACGGACCCGCCATGGATACCGCTGCTCTGTAAAGTAGCGGTATCATCTTTGATATAAGCCCCTGACACTTTAAGTTTCATGGTTGCCAAGGTAACCCCCGTGGCTCGTTTACATCGATCCTTTAATTCCCCCACGGTTGCTTGGGGAAGACGATCGCCGAATCCGACGTCATAGTAACGATCACCGTACGAAATTACAATCACACCTCTTCGTTCATGTTGTTCTCTCTGTTGTTGTTGTTTACTTTGTTGAGGAGTGTTCGTGTTTGATGAGTTGGACTTCTTCAAGCCAAAAAAAGATGCGAATGAGTCCATTAATAAAGAGAGAGAGAGAGAGAGAGAAAAAAAAAAAGAAAGGTTTATAAACTCAGAGAGATTTTTATTTATTTATTTATTTATTTATTTTTATATGTGTATAAAAAAATAGGGATCATTTACAAAAAAAAAAAAAAAAAATAAAGGAAGGAGAAATATATACAATGAAATAAAATGCGTTGTCTTTTTTTTTTTTTTTACCATTTATTAGGTTGAGAAGGTCGACGTTTTCCACCTTTAGGTGTTGCCATGGGAGAAGGAGGTCGATACGTGGGATGATATGTGCCGGACGACGATGAGGCTGCTGTTGTTGGTGTAGTGGTTTCGTATTTGGGTGAATAATAATTTTGTTCATCCTGTGTATTATTTAATAAAGAAGCAATGGAGGGAGATTGCCGTGCGTTACAGGAAGGCTCTTCTTCCTTCTCAATACGATGTTCCAAATGACGAATCCATCGATTACGACACTGTATATTGCTACGACCATGTACGTCCTTGGAACAGGCCTCCCAATTGCTATGGCCGTATTTTTTAACGGCCTTTCTCAGTAAAGCATCCTCAGCCTCTGTCCAACGTGTATAGGTGGATCTTGGCTTTTTTGGAATGTGTTGCGTAAATGAGGGTTGTTCTGGTGATGACGAGGGTTGCTGTTGTGTCGCAGCTAAATGTGTCTTTTGTTAGTGTTTTAATTCTATATAGTCAGTGAATAAAAGGTTACCTTTACGCGTGGGAACCATGAGCTGTGGCATAGCAAGGAGAGTGGCCGCAGAGTCAATGGAACGTTGTGATCTTCTATCGTCCAGACGAGAGCGCAGTCGCTTTTCGTTGGACAAGACACGGTGTGAGGTGGAATCGAATTCGGGATCACTCAGCATTTGGTCAGCCACGATACCTAAACTATCGAGACCGGACAAAGGATGTTGTTCAGAGGATCTTACCTCACTGCGTGGCGAATACTGTTGTTGAAAGAGATAGGGTACTTTTCTGGTGGTAGTGGTGTTGGTTGATGTATTTGGTGTGTTGAGGGTAGCCTTTTTTTCTTTGGGGGAAAGACTTGTGTTACTTTTGGAGTCCAATAGATTATGCAAATAATCGATTTCGGCATCTCTTGCTGATAGTCTTAATTCGGCTAAATGTAGTTTGCGCAATAAGAGTTTTCTGTCGTGAAGCAAAGTTTCCTTGTCTACGGTTTCATGGTCATTGAGATCGGTGTTTTCTATCGTGTACAGTATAGAGGCCATCTTAGCGAGTTTTTTGGTTAATGTTTCTATTTCTTTGTGTAATAAATCTGTTTCTAATAAATAATGCGCGCGCTGTTCATTTTGCTTTTTTTTTTGTGGTGCGTATTTAGTCTTAATTAATTAACTCTAATTTTTTTTTTATACGTTACCGACATGAGAAAGATGCTTTTCATTGTATTGATGGCATCGTCTTTATCCGGCACAGAAGAATGTTTGATTTGTTCTGCTTGTGACCAAATCACACCTTCCAAATACTTTTGACGTTCAATGGATTCTCGCAACTTTATTTTTTGGGGGTTTTAAATTAGTACATAAAAAGGATAAAATGTAAATAAAGGGTGAAAAATAAAATAAAAATTACCTTTTGTTGTAGATCATCCGAATTTTGTCTCCACTCACTAGTTGTAGGAGCAACATAATCCCACTTTTTTTTAAAAAATTACAAAGAATATACATTTCGTGTGTGGTTTAGAGTCACATGATATTCAATCTCTTTTTTTTAAAAAAAAAAAACTTACTGGATATTCAACAGTAGAAGTAACAGGCAATAATGTGCTCGTCATCGAATCTCCGCTATGGAGACTCACGGCTTGTTTACTATTACTTTGATTCGACGGAGCTGTGATCGCATTAGGGTGCAGATGCTGCGGGGACAACAAAGGATGAAGTTGTTGTTGTTGTTGTTGTTCATGTGGATTATCCAATAAAACAAGGTCAATCTTCCATTTTGCATTTTCTCCCCACTGATCAATCTACAAAAGAAGAAAAAAAAAAATTAAAAAAATTACCAAAAAAACTTTTCGGTCTTTTTTTTTTCGTCTTCTTTTTACCTGTCTTTTCACAGAGTTAAAGATATTATCCAATTGTCCAGAATTATGACCTTTTTGTGGTGATTGTACTCCTCCAAGAGGCGAAGGAGTTTTAACTGTCGAAGACAGATTTTGTAACCTTGATATTGTCTCGTTTTGCATTTGTTTGTTACAAAAGAAGTAAGAAAAAAAAAAAAAAAAAAAAAAGGGAAAACAAAAAATATTTAAATAAAAAAAAAAGGTTATGTTGCAAAAGAACGAGGAAATAACTTTTTTTTTCTTTTTTTTTTTTTTCTGGTAATTTTTCACCCCGCTTTTACAACTATGAGACATGACGTCATGGAAACCATTTTAGTTAAAGTGCTACAACCAAAACCTATGGAAATTGGCGTTTTACGCTGATATGATTGGTCAGAAGAAGAAAAAAAACTACTTGTCGGACATTGAAAAGTAAAACTCCATTAGGTGAAAGGGATGAAGTTTATCTTCTATAACGATAAAAATGTTCTTACTCCAAATTCATTTCTTGACTTAGCCAGAGAACGTATACAACATGGAATACAATAGCACTGTGATTCGAATTTATCATACAAGATAGCGACTTTACCCAGAGATTTTTGGTTGAACGTGGGGTTGGTGAGGGGGGGAGGACAAGCAGGTTGTAAATGACCAAATAGATCAACTTATCGCGTCAAGATGGGTAGAGTAAGCTACAACATAACAAAAGACAGATTTGGTGAGGGAAAATCTGGAGTATACACTAAGCAAGTATCAACAGGCCGTAAATTCATTCTCTCAAAAATTCCAGCTACATAAACGCGCTAGACTGCTGAATTCTACCTCCTTTTTATCTTCTTCCTTAGAACCTCCCAGATAAAGTATTTCATTACTATCTAAAATAGTTTATTATTATTATTCAAGCAGTAAATCTACTAGTGCTTTGCATGTTTACTTTACTCCTCGCGTAAACTTCACTCCATTTATGCAAGAAACCTTTATGGATTGAATCTCCGATATTTGTGTGTGTATGTATGTGTAACCAGGGTAGTATAAAAGAGAAAAAAAAAAGATAAGGGTGTAACCTCTTTTTTTTTTTTCTTTTTCTTTTTTTCTTTAAAAATCATACATAGAATGAGCTTGTTAGCAGCGGTTGGGCAATTTTGCGCCACTTGCATTGTTTCTTTTAACAAGACGACCTGTCAAGATCTCGTGAGACAAGCCTCCCAACGAGGAGCTAAAGTGAGTTGAACAAAAAGTGATTTTTTGTTGTTCCCCATAAAAAACTCAGCGCAAACATCGATATAAAAAAGATGATATTTCTGCCAGAAGCTTCTGATTTTGTTTCAAAAGACAAGGAGCAAACATTGGATTTGACCCGGCCTTTGAATGATTCCGAGTTTCTTAAGGGACTTGTGGAGACTGCACAAGAGCACAAGATATGGGTCTCTGTGGGGGTTCATGAGTCTTCTAACGTGTCAGACAAGGTGTACAACACGCATGTGGTACTTAACCACCAGGGTCGTATTGTATCTACCTATCGCAAACTTCACTTATTCAACGTGGATATAGAAGGTGGACCTCGTCTAATGGAAAGTGATGGGACGTTGCAGGGGGACCAACTGCCCGATCTCATTCAAACTCCCTTGGGAAAACTGGGTTTAGAAACCTGTTATGATATGCGCTTTCCTGAACTGTCCTTGGCACTACGAACAAAAGGTGCCCAGTTATTGGCTTTTCCAAGCGCCTTTACCATCAAAACAGGAATGGCTCACTGGGGTAAGAAGAAGAAATAAATAAATTCTTGACGTGACATTTCTAAATCATCCTTATTCTTTTTTTTTAAAAAAAAAAAAAGAGGTGCTGTTACGGGCAAGAGCCATTGAGACACAGAGTTATGTGTTTGCTGCTGCTCAGATCGGTCAACATAATGAAAAAAGAGCCAGCTATGGCAACTCCATGGTAACCCTAGTTCGTGTGGGATGAAGCTCACTGAAGACTGACTTTTTTTTTCTGCACTAGATTGTCGATCCTTGGGGGACTGTATTGGCAAGATGTCCTGATACAACAGAGCCCTCTGTTGTAATGGCCAATGTAGATTTAGACTATTTGACCAAGATTCGAACAGAAATGCCTGTCATGCAGCATCGCCGAAATGACATTTATCCTGGCTTTGTTTGTTGATGTGTAACCCTTCTTCTTACATTAAAAAAAAACTTTCTTTCCTGTCCCTCCTTTTCTTTTTATCTTTTTTCTCTTTTTTACAAAAATAAATAATGTCTAGTAAGAGTAATAGTGATACAGACATTGATATTGAATCCCCCATGACAGATGTTATAGCAGAAGAACCGAGTACACCTGTGCCTACCTCTGTCATGTCAAAGGAAACGCGTAAACTACGTAAAAAGAAACAGTTGGATTCGGATGAGGAGTCGTACATGAGTCAAGTCCTCAGCCAAGATGCTAGTACGTTGACAGATGAGCAGATTGATTTATTGGACACGGATGATTTGATGGAGTGTATGGATGCACCTGTCAAAAAGTCTTCCATGAAGAAGAAAAAGAAACCCACCGAGAGTAAAAAATCGCGTCCTACCAAAAAGTTAAACATTGTGAAGACAGACATTATCAAGAAGGTGTGTGTTTTATATGAAGTGTACAAATAACTATATTTTTGCTAACCTCGAAAAAAAAAGTACCTCAATAAAAAGGTGATTGAGCCATTTGATCCACGCGTGATTCAACAGTTGGCACTAGAGTATCCAGACAAGTATTGGCAATTCGATGCAGATACAGAAGACAGTCAAATGATTAACGAGATCAATGCAGACCATCCATTGTACCCTCTCGCTGTGGATGTATGTGATCAAGGTGCTGTTACGGGCATGACACTTTCCGACGATGGTACGCTTCTCGTTACCTTCTCCAACATTGGCGCCATCAAAATCTGGGATGTCCATCATAACCTCACCTGTCTTCGCCATATTCGGGACAGGCAAGAAACACAGATTGACGAGTTTTACTGTGGTCAGTTATTACCTGCGGACGAATTGTTGGTGGCGGGTGGTAAACTCAAGAATAGACATCGGTGGTCTGCAGAAGAAAACGATAACCATATCATGCCTTGTCCTATCAAGATCTTTAACATTATTACAGGTGAACGCGTGGCTGTCTTGGACGGCCATTCTGAAGAAATCCTTTGTATCAAGGCTGTTCAATTCAAGGGCGATAATTATCTACTTTCGACTAGTCAAGATGGCTACATCATTAAATGGCATATGGCACAAGATTGGATGTAAGCTTTTTATTTTTTATTTATTATTTATTTATTTAAAAAGAAAACTTTTTATGTAGTACATTGCTGGATTCTACTCCCATGATTGATGGTGTGACTTGTATGGCGTTTACTGTAAGCTTTCTTCCAAACACGGGTAATAAATACTTTCTAGCCGCATGTGATGAACATTTGCGACTGTATGACTTTGAGCAAGCCATGGTAAATCCTTTCACATGTACATGTAGTGTATATACTAAGAAGTTTCTATTATTATTATTATGATTACAAATAGCTTTTACAGACGTTTGATGACATGTATTCGTCGTATTGTGATTGTGGTAAGTTCGTCAATTGGGTGGATGCCCCTGTCAAGGAAGAGACGGATATTGAGAAACAGGTGGAAGAACTCGCTGTCACGGATGGAGAGAGGAAAGAGGGCACAAACCAGTTTGCATGGTTTATTAGTCGAGGTGCAGAAATGTGTGACGTAAGTGATGGTGTATGTAAGTTTGATATATGTTTTTTTTATTTATAAAAATGGATAAAATGCCTCATTTATTTACTGTTTTATAATATCAATCAGCGTCTATACCCAATTCGTGCATCTTACACAAGCTGGTGTATCCAAATAAAAAGGGTGGAAAGTTCGAATTACAGACAATACAAAAGTACACCCATGAGAGGTAAAAAAAGATTGTTTGTCTCTTCTGTTTTTTTTTCTTTCTTTCTCACCCCACTAATTTATAGTTATCACGCGAACTCTTGGTTAGTAAAGATTACGTCAAATGGAAGATATGTATTGGCGCCTACTATTTATGGTCAGATATTTGTTTTCAATATGAAGACGGGCAAGGTTTCGGCCATCATCAAGGAACACGAAGGTAACGCAATAGTCGTAGTTTTAATTATTCTTGTTTCTTGCTTACAAAAAATGTACGAGAATAGACATTGAGGTCAGAGATGTGATCTTTCACCCGTACTTGCCGCTTATTTTCTCTTCTAGTGATGGTAAGTTAAGAAACATGTTGTATTATTACTAGTTGGGTTTTTTTATTTATTAAGGAATAATTGAATTAGATGGATACGTGAAAGTGTACAGTTATGTATCCTTGGATAATTCAGCTAATTGATGATCCGCCTCTTTTAATAATAAAGGGGAAGAAGAGGGCGTCTTTTTATCAGTAATAAAGCCACTATAAATTTGATTGAGTAAATCTTCGGAACTTGTGTTTGTGAATTCGCCTAGGACAGCGGATTTGTCAGAGATAACTTCTTCATGAGATTTATAAATAGGAGTATCACTATCAATATCATCGGACGGATCATGAATGGGGATGGTCAGGTGTCGCAAGACAGGTAAAATAGTATTCAGTCCAGCTGAATTGCGTTTTAATCCGTACACAGGCGGTGTTACGGAACCGTCTGAACCACTACTACTGTTGCCTGATGAATCCAATTCCTGTTTAGCTCGTTTGCAGTTACAATAAAGGCTGGGGCGATCACAGACAGGGCATGACGATGCTAAGGTTACATTGGTTGTTCGTTGAGCCACATCTACAGGAGCCTTGGCTTGTTTACCGCCATTACTTAATTCTGAGTGTCTAAACATTGACTGGCTCTTATCGTTTAATGCATCTACCACATAAAAACTTAGTTTTTTTTTTTCCTCCTCCTTAAATACACAATATTTTGTTACCTTCAAGTTTGATATCCAAGTGACACATGCACTTGATATGAATTTGTTTGGTCTTTCTTAATTGTCTACAGGATTCGCATTGAGACACAGGGCGACCCTTCTTTTTTATTTCGAACAATTCTCGATTTGAATGATTACATTTGGACGATCGATGACCCTAACATTTTTTTTGGCTTTTTTTATTATCAAAAATCATCCATCTCCTTCTCTACTTTATACTTTCTCTTACTTTGATACATTTGAGGCAAGCAAATTTCTTTTCCTTGCCATCGTCTGAAGTCACATAAACCATTTTTTTTTCAATAAAACAAAGAAATACCTACAAGCAAAAGAGTGCAGGATAGCAATTTTTTTTTTCTAAAGGGATTTTTTGATGTTTACTGCCAAGATTTCGTATTTTTTATTTATGTTTTTTTTCGATTTTTTTTTTTTTTTTTTTTTTTTCAAAAAAGGTGAAGAAATACCACGTTGGTGTACGATATAAAAAAAGAGGGGGTGCAAAGAGAGAGAGAGAGAGATATTTAAGAAAAAAAACTGGGTTCGGATTAGAGGAAAGAAAGAAAAGGGGGGGTGGGGGTGTGCGTTATTTTTTGCATTTATGGAAAGCGGGGTGCACGTATATATCAATAAAAAAGTGTGGCTTAGATTTCGAATGACGTCGACAAGATGGGCAAAGGAAAGTGGAAAGAGCAAAAAAAAAAAAATTTTTTTTTGGCGGGTGTTCCGGGTTGGGGGGGATATCGTTTCGTTCCTCAGTAAAACGGTTGATTTCTCCTTTCTCTCCTCTTCTACGTTCGAACTATATCACAATGGCCCACGCTAACGTTTGGAACTCCCACCCCAAGACCTTCGGTAAGGGCTCTCGCGCTTGGTACGTATACAACAACATGGAAATTATCATACACTTTTGCCTCTTTTTTATTTTTCATCAATTCAATTGAGGGGATGGTGGCTTATGAAAAGAAAAAAATTATATTGACATGTTTTTATTTTTTATTTTTATAATTCAATAGTAGAGTTTGCTGTCATCGTGCTGGTCTTATTCGCAAGTACAACCTCAACATCTGTCGTCAATGTTTCCGTGAATATGCCGCCGATATTGGTTTCCACAAGGTAAAACATTATTTAATAGAGCTCGTTACCATAGCAACCCTTCTAACCCTTTTTATCTTTTATAGTATCGTTAAATCATCAATCTAGTTCGATGGATATAAGAGTCCTGTTCATGGGCTCCTTCCCCTTCCTTATAAATCGACGATAACATTTTTTAGCGAAACCAACTTTTTTTTTTTTTTTTAAAATAAAAATTTTAAAAAAAAAAATCTTTTCTTATTATTTTTGGGTTTACAGAGAAACGAAGCAAATAGGATTTCATGTATTGTCTTTCGTCTTGATAAAGTAATTAAGACAAATGTTTCGGACTGATCTGTCCTGTCTGTCTCGTAAAATATACATGTCTTGGCTATGCCTGAAAATGACCCCACACATACATCTACACACACACATACTCACACAATGTATTCTCATTGGCACGCTTTTTATGGTACAAATAAAAGAGAGAGAGAGAGAGATTGAATCATATGATTTAGAGTACCAAAAAAAAAAAAAAAAAAAAAAAAAAAACGTAGAAACCTTTAAAATGATCACAAACCACATAGTGTTAGTAACATGTTTTAAATAATATGAACTGACACGTTTGTACATCTTGAATGTTTCTCCTTGCTGAACCCCCCAGTGTTAAGGTTGACATAAAAGCGAAAGGATTATTTGTTTGTTTGTTCAGCACGAATTTTTTTTTACCATCCTTCTCCTAAACTCATTCATATATAATAAAAAATGGACGATAGCCACTACAATTTATCCAGTCCAACTATTCTTGTTACCTCGGCCCTCACTGCTGTAAGAAACAAAACTAAAACAAATTCACAAGAGAAGTCTCTCTAAACAAAAAGTTAAATTCAAAAATTTTTATCTTGTAGGCTTCTTGGTTAATTCTCTTTATTGGTGCTTGTGTTGCCCAATTTCATGGTGTGCCATGGTGGATTATCATCTTTGAGCTTGTCTTTGTCGTTGGCACAATTGTCTTGCTCGGTCTCAACAAGTTTTACCACTTCAAGTACATGGTAAATATATAACATGACTTACTTATATCACTTTGATCATGAACTCACCTTTTTATCTTGAAAAGATCTATCTTCTCATGTCTGTCAGTCTTGTCTATTTAACTTGGCTCGTTCAATACACTTTAGATAATGATGGTGACCCAGGAGCCAGAGCTGCTGCTGCCGGTTCTTGTATGTTGATTATTGTTCAGGTAAGTTGTCAATCCTATTCCTTTGTCGTTTTTTTGCCATGTTTTACTAAGACATTTTCTAGTTTATCTGGGCCATTTGCTTAACATCTCCCGCTGGTTCTTGGTTCAGTAGAAATGGTGCTCAAAACTTCAAGAATAGTTCTGTTGGTGTCACTGGTGCTAATTTGACTCGCAAGTTCTCTAATACTGTTCGTAATACTACTACTAATAACAGAAAGACTCCCAATTCTCCTTTACCTCCTCGTCGTGATGAAGAATTTGGGTCTCCCAATGGTAATACGGATTTTGAACAAGCTGTTGCTTTGCATGACTGTAAGTTTACCTTTATGAAATATATATTATATACTAATATTTTCCCCACCCCTCATAGATCAAGGCAGTGCTGAAGACCCTAACGAACTCTCATTCTCAAAGAATGAGCGTCTTGAGATCTTGGATAAGCGCGGTAATTGGTGGCAAGCACGTAAACAAGATGGTTCCACTGGTATTGTTCCCAGCAACTACGTAAGTTGACTCACACAAAGTTTCAATTTTTTTTATTTTTCTAACACACTTTTTTGTATCTAGTTCCAATAACTTGTAATCAAAGACCAAACAAAAAAAAACTACTTCCACTTAATCCTTAATACTTTCTATTAACAAAAAATATATATAACAATAAAAAAAAAAAATTACATTTTATCAATTTACTATTTACAATTTTTCTTTATTATTACTATTTATTGTGTCTTTTTCACTGCAGTTCTTTTGACCAACTTCTTTCTGGAGGGAGCAGAAAGGACAGTCATCCAAGTGATACCGATCATTAATAAAGCACCAAAACTGTAACAAGGACGAGGACCAAAGAGCCAATAGACAGCACTAGCGGTAATGGGACCAAATGCTCTACCCAATTGACCATAACTACGGAATTCACCCAAGGCACGACCCTTGGATAAGGGATCTTGACGTGTCGAGTCCTCATGACATTGGAGACTAGCTAAACTAGTCAAGCAATTGACGACGGTACCGGAGGTAAATGCAAGACAACTGACACCGGCATAAAGCCAATGAGGTGCATACAAGACCGAAGTCACACTATTGGCAAGACAATAGAGACCCACGGCACAAGCAGCCATACCTTGAATGGCCAAGATCTTTTCACCCACACTATCCACTTTACGACGTACATAACCACCTTGGATCAAGGCGGAAATGATACCCATGTAACCCAACAATTTACCTTGTTGCATATGACTGAAATCCAAAATATCAAATGTCAAGAAAACCAAGGTGAATTCCATACCGGAGAACAAGAAAGAGAAACCACACATGAGACGCTTTAAATAGACTAAATCTAAAAGACGACGATGGATCATCTCGACTGTTAACTTGGGAGTGGGTGTAGAACTGGTGGTAGAAGCGGCTTCAACGAGGGAACGGTTATGGATGGTTTCGGGTAAAGCAAAATACAGGTAGGTGGTTTCGATCAATAATAAGACTAAACCTACAAGGGCAGCCATGGAATAAGGATAGATGCCAAATTTGACAAGGGAAGGACAGGCAATGGACAAATCAATAGAAGCAAACCAGGCTCCCACAGCAGGTCCCACTGTAAACGCAACAGCAAATGCAATTCCGACCAGAGCCTAAAAATTGAAGAATCTGATTAGCCAAAATAAAGGTAAGAAGAATAAAAACACTTTACCAAGTTCTTTGATCTCTTTTCGGGAGTGGTGATATCTGAAATGATGGCAATACTTAATTGTACATTGCCTTCACTTAAACCAGCAATCACACGAGAAATCAAGAATAAATTAAATGAACCAGCAAATAACCAAACCAAAGCGGATAAAACGTTACCAATCTGATAAATAATAATGCCAGTTTAAATATTTTAGAACGCCCTTTCAAATAATTGTAATTATTTTTTTCTTTTTTTTTTTACCATTGTATACAACAAGACCTTACGACGGCCAAATTTATCACTTGCTCTTCCGATATAAGGGGAAACAATAAATTGAAGGAAAGAAAACAAGGAACCAATCATACCGCCTAATAAGACAGTATCCCATTTATCCGCAATCACATTAGGTGCACGCTTATTGGCAACAATCAAGTGCTTGAAGTATTCTAACCCTTGAAAGGCGTATCCAAGCACAGAGTTCTTTTAGAGAGAATTAGCGTCTTACTATTTATAAAACATTTCTTTTTTCTTTACCTTGTCTTGAAGTTCTTGGCTTTGATAGTAATTTAAGAGTCGAGGGAAAAGAGGGAGAATAATGGTAAACGCAAACAAATCAATCAAGAGTGCTATGAATACAACACGTACAATACGTGGTTGATTCAACTCTTTCACGCCAGCCATTTTTTTAGTGTATGAATTTAAAGAAGGGGGAAAAAAAGCAAATACAAATAAAAAACTGTATTTATTTTAAAATAAAAAAGGGAGCGGAGAAAAAAAAACGACTATAGTATTACAAGGAAAAAAAAAAAAAAGAGAGAGAGATGGCTCCATCAAGTCTCATCAAGTTGGAATGCTCCAAGTCAACCTATACCTTTTTACCTTTTAAACTTGGTTTTAAGCTGCTATAATCTGTCTGTTATTTTATTTTCCCAATTCTGATAAATGCTTGTATCAGTTTATTGTAGTTGTTTCTTTTTCCCTGGATTGGTATTACACAATTTATCTCTGTGCGCACTGTCTGCTTGAATCACCGATTGAGCCTCTTTTTTTTTTGGGGATCAAGACAGGACATAAGGCACATGTTTTTTCCCTCTTGTAATCTAACACGTACACATAAAAGAATGCATTTCTTCTTCTTTTTTTACACGAATAATAAAAGACCTTGACACGAATTGCATACTGAACCAGAACTTTATTATCTACTGGGAAATAGTCTCAGGATGAAAAAATCTCTCTTGGTTTAAAAAAACGTGCCTACTATTTTCATATCTTGCACAATTTATGCAGGAGAAACTATTTTATATAAAAGCAATCACATTGTTTTGTGGACCAACCTGAAATAACAAATGGGTTGAAATAAGGAACAAGCCCCTCCATCTTTATATATGTATATAAAAGAAAACTTACACCACTACTGTGGTATGTGATCTGTCAATAAAAAATAATCCCACGGCTTTCAAATTGACACTTATCCTTTTGATCCCTACTATTCTAGTATAATTGACACCTTGCATGACTTTTTCTTATAAATCACAGTGTAACAAAAAGTTTTAGAGCAAAAGATATAATGCTTTTTCGGTGTTAATTTTGGAAAGCCGCGCGTTTCCCAACATGTGGATTTATTTTAACCGTGCCTAGAATTCAAAATTACCCGAGAGTGTGTATGAGGGAGGATCATAGATAGTATGGGCTCTCGCTCATTTTTAGTATCATACATTGAAAGACTTCGATTCGGGAAAAACCATGACCAAAGTAGGGTCAATCTTCATGTTCATACAAATTACACTGTAAGTCATATAATTAATGTGTATATATATATATATACATATATCGCGCGACTCTAAAAACGACGTAGAAACTTGAAAAAGGCGTAGGTGTAGACATCTTCAAAGTTCAATAATTTATCAAGCTTCTTAAAATCAGGCCATGAAGCAAGAAGTTATGTCTTATATTGAAGGCAATTTCGCATCTTTCAGTGCAGTCAGGTTCTTATAAGGAAACTTAAGCTACATAATATCAAGGTTGCTAAGGACGTGTTCGGGAAAGCGATACTTTCCATTTCCAACAGAAATATGAGACAAACCTAAACCTCTGAACTTATTAAATGGGCAAGAAAAATTCAGAAGAGCGAGCACAATGTAATTAAAACATTTTTATACCCACTAACACTCCACAATAAGTAACCCGTTTTTATTGTATAATAGGCACTTCCATCTAACCGAATCCGAGCTCTACATGTACAGAGTAACCCGCAGGTATATACTCGCGTCTAAAAAGCTTTTCTGTGCTCAGTGAAAGAAAGAGTTTTATGAAGAGTTGTTAAATAACGGAAAATAATGAAAATGAGGTAGAAGAAGGCTTGGCTAGTTCTTCTGCTGATAAAAAAAAAGTTCCGGCCTTTTTTTTTTTTTTTTTTGGCCATGAAGCAGGAAAGTAGTCCCTTATAGCCAGGTTCTACTACTTTGGCCAAAATTTACTACGGGTTTAACCAAAACAAAATGGTGCCTCTCGACAGGGAGATGCGTAGGGGTAGACTGTTTGCATTTGGAATGCAATGGGAATATATCCGCCCTTTTCATTCATTTATTATGGACGCAAGTGACACCAATTACCGTAAGTACGAAGTTTTTTCATGGGCCAAACTGGAAGAAATCATTGTTTTAAGGTTGACTCATGGAGAGAAGGTCATCACAAAGGGAAGACACTTTTTATCTCAAAACATCCGGGAGATTGACTTCTTGAAGAAGGACTTGTTAAACTGCTAAAGTGTTTAAAGAACATGTTCGATAACATCTCATCTAAATCTGATACGAGTAAAAAGCTACAAACCTTAGGGTTTATCTATTCTGAACTACAGTCCTATGTTATACGGGCAGATCGTCCAACCAAATATATAACCAGAATTCAAAAGTCAAGAAACTGCCAGATATCAAGCGACATGTCACAATTTGTAGCTACTGCATTGCTTACTTTGGTTACCAAGGATACCCTAAAAACATTTACAACATGATTCAAGAAGCCAATACGCATAGCAACAACGACAACGACAACAACAACAGAAATATTCGCGGATCAAAATTTCGAACAGAATATTGTGAAGAGTCTGAAGGAGAAGAGGTACTAGAGACCTCATCCTCTCAAGAAGACTTTGAAAAAGCGGGTCTTCTTGGGGGGAAAGTATCTGTAATGTAGGATCTGATACCTTGACTGACACCAAGAGGTCAATATAACTCATCGTCTTAAACTAGATGCAAATTTATCACAATAAACATATTGAATTTCTTTATTATATACATGGTCTTTTGCTCCTTTAAAACTATATAAGAACAGCGCTATCAGTATGATCTAGATATCAAGTCACTGGGTGCTTTTTCTGTCCCCTCTGTCTCCTTAACTAGTTACAAAAGTTAATTCACATACAGCCTATAATCCTCACAGCTACCTTAGCTTAATGATATTTTTTAACTTGCGCCCGTGGAATTTTCTACATGCCGAAGGTCTAAATGAAGATGCTTATCATAGCTGACTGCCTGATTGTATAAGCGACAGCGATTACTTCAAAGCCAGATCAAAATAAGCAATTCTGTGCGATAACAAAATAAAGTTTATTAAATATGTCAAAAAAAAAAAAAGTTTATTTACGAATATATTTAATTATCTCATACAAAACAAAGGCTTTGAAATATAAAAAAAAAAAGTGCATGCTCATAAGATTCTAATACTATTACTGTATTGATTATCATTTCAATTAGAAGTTTCTGTACAGTGTTTCACTTTAGCCATAGTGTGAATTGATTTCTGGGACACGTCAGATGGAGGCAAATGTTATTTCCGGGATTGCTGCATGTTATCAGTTAAAGAGCCGACTTGTATAAGAAAAAGGTCACAAATTCCACTACTTTTTTCCGTGAACACACACACACGCACACACACACGCTTTTTTTTTCACTCTTTGTCTGCTTTTTTTAATTTTTTTTTTTTAATCCCACAGGAAAAAAAAAAGGAATTGGAAACAGCAAAGATAGGAAGCGAGGGGAAATATATATACACATAAAATGTACAGAAATTTGAATTCTACAACCGTGCGTCACCTTGGTTTACGTACCAACACAGCGTTTCGACATGTCAGTCAATATCATCAACGACCTGCTGTATCCGCTATTCGACTTGTCATTGTTAGACCCAGTGTTGCAGGCCAAAGAGGACTTCATTTATCCCGAGATCTTTTACGATCGGAAACCAAGTTGGGTAAAGTAGTTGCTGAAGAAAAGGAAACCATGACTTCAAGAGCAGCTGCCCTTGCAAAAGAACAACAAGCTGCTAAAGCAGCTGCTTTGGCTTCTTCAGGCACTGTCTCCACCACCAGTGCAGCTACTGCCATCAAGCCCAAAAAGACTCTCTGGCAAAAAGTAAAGGCTGAAGCTGTTCATTACTGGCACGGTACTCAATTGCTTGGTCTTGAAATTAAAATTTCTTCTTCTTTAACCTGGAAATTATTACACGGTGGAAAATTGACTCGTCGTGAGCAACGTCAGGTAATTTTTTTTTTTTTTAAAAAAAAGCCCTCATTTAGCCTTATCAATCGTATATATTTTGACACATAATTTTTTTTTGTTTTTATAGTTACGTCGTACTACATCTGATCTTATGCGTCTGGTCCCTTTCGCGTTCTTCCTCATTGTGCCATTTATGGAATTGTTATTACCTGTTGCACTCAAATTGTTCCCCAACATGTTACCTAGTACTTATGAGAGCAAATCTCAAGAGGTAAGATTGACTTTTTTTTTTTCTGGGAAGAGCAGTCCTAAATATGACTTTTTTTTTTAAACGTGTAGGAAAAGAAAAAGATGGCATTGTTAAAGGTTCGTTTGGAAATGGCCAAATTCTTGCAAGAGACTATATCCGAATCGGGTTTCCCCGGATCTGACCATGAAAAAGCCGCTACCGAATTTGCAGAGTTTTTCAGAAAGGTAACAAATTTTTTTTTGAGTCATAAAAAAAAAAAAAATTGAAGCTAAAAAAAATGTAGATTCGTATGACCGGTGAACAAGCCTCTACCGAAGATTTATTGAACGTAGCCAGACGTTTTGAGGACGAATTGACCTTGGACAATTTATCTAGACCCCAAATTGTGTCCATGTGTCGTTACATGAATATTAATGCCTTTGGTACTGATAATTTCTTGCGTTTCCAAATCCGAAACCGTATGCGTCAAATCAAGGCAGATGATAAGGTAATTCAAACCGAGGGTATTGAGTCTTTAACTATCCAAGAGCTCCAAAATGCATGTGCTGCTCGTGGTATTCGTTCCGTTGGTACCTCCCCTGGTCGTCTTAGAGATGAATTATCTCAATGGCTTGATCTTCACTTGGAACATCACGTTCCAGGTACCCTTTTGATTCTTTCCAGAGCCTTCAGTTATACCGATCGTGGTATGACCACCGAAGAAGCCTTGAAGGCTACTTTCAACAGTTTGCCTGATAACCTTGTAAACGAAGCCGAACTCCAAGTCTTGGAGCAAGTGGGTGCTAGTACCTATAAGCAAAAGTTGGATGTCTTGGAACAACAACAAGAGTTAATTGAGGATGAATCTGAGCAAGAAGAGAAGGAAGAGAAGGCCAAGTTGGAAGCTGCCAAGGCTGCTGAGGAACTTCGTTTGGAACAAGAAAAGAAGGAACGTGAGGCTGCTGAAAAGAAGGACGAATTCGTCGCTGATGAGCCTGCCGTGACTGATGCTCAAGCTGATAAGAAGGAAGAGAAGGATATGGCTGCTGCTACTGAGGCTGCTGCCACTGTTGAAGCCGTTGCTGAAAAGATTGAGCCTATTTCTGAAGAGACTCCTTTGTCTCAAGAACAACAATCCGAACTCCAAGATGCTTTGGCCAAGTTACGTACCAAGGTCAATGTCTTGGAAGAACGTGCTCAATTTAACGAGATCAAGGTTCAACATGAAGATTATAAAGAGGTAAATAGGGAACATTGGATGGATGGAGGGGATATACGCTGACATTTTTTTTTTACATGTTATAGCTTATCGAAGAACTCAAGGATTCTACTCAACGTGAAGCTGATAAAGCCACATTACGTATGGGCAAGAAGTTGGAAAAGATGTTGGCTACTATTGACAAGGAACTGGATGCCTTGGAAAAGGATACCACTTCCAAGGAGGCTCCTGTCAAGGAAGAGCCTACTCAAGAAGAACAAGCAAAGAAGGATTAAAGCCATAGATGATAGATATCTAAATAAACATTTTTGATTACCCCCACCCACCAACGCAAAAGTTTAATGTGTTTTCATCAGAATCAGTCATAAACCGAAGACAGCTTCAAACAAATAGAGTAAATGCTGTACCATTTTTTTTTATCTCCTATTGTTAGGCTTCATATTGTAGAGAAGGGAGGGACTATTTGCGTATTCAATTCAATATCCCTCTTTTATTAAATATCATAATATGTGTATGACTAAAATCTTTGGTTAACATGACCCTGCTACTTTACCAAGGTGAAAATTCTGCCAAATAACTTTAGTCTTATGATATCATGAAACATATTGATAATGCAAAATATGTTACCCAAGGTAACATTATGAGGAGAGGAAGGGGTTGTTGTTGTCTAATGAAATACAGGTACCAGCAAATGCCTATTTAGACTCTTTCGCATGCGCTACAGCAAAAAAAAAAGTATCAATAAGTTTAATTGAGTTGGCTCATGTGGCTATCAATCCGGGAAATTTTATACAGTGATTTGTGTTTTTCTTTATATTAGTGACAAGTTTTATAGTTGTAGTAGTTATGAAGGTAAAAAGAAAAAGAATAATACAATCTTAAAAAAGAAGGAGGGAGATATGGGGGAAATGTATGTGTGTATCCGCTTTTCTTCTCCTGACTGTTCTTGCATCTTCACAAATAGGAGAATTGCCTATCTTATACTTCTCATGGCAATAGTTGGTACAGCAGCACAAGAAGTAACTAAAAAAAAAAAGCCATATGTCAGTTGAGGTTCTGAAAGATTTGCGCCCCCCCCCCAGAGGGTTGAACTCCGCTTGATCAATTCATGTGATGAAATAAAAAAACAGACTAACACTCAATCAACCTAAAGTGAGGTATATTTGGCTATAGAATTTTGAAAGAAAGACTATGAGGCTGTGTTTGGTCCCAGCTGTCAACACTACCAACAGCCTTTTCGAGATAAAAGAACGAGAAAAACACATTTATGTCGGGTTATGGAGTGATCATACTAGTCTGTAAGTATCAAGATAACTTGAGGTTAATAATTTCGTAATAAACACCAATCATACTTTGAGAATTACCGGATTCGAGACTTCAAAGAAAGAACAATACAGTGTATTGTTCTATACTCTTATGACTGCTTGTCCATAAAAGTCAATTTGATTTTCATAAACAATCATGTATAGATGAGATACAATAGGTACATGATGGATATGAAAGATGGATTTTGATCATTGCTGATGGTCTGATTATTTATAAATCAAGAAATATATGAGGAATAAATTGGTTTGTGCTTGTATGAAATACAATCCGGTTGCCCAGACACAAACAGAAATTATGGATTAAAACACCGTACGCATCCGTTTCTTGTGCGACATTTCAAATGTGATAAAAGGGGAATATCAATTACACGAGAAATATGGCGAGTGCAACGCCGAAAATAAACCTTTTTATTCTTAATAAAAACAATCTTATATTTTCCCTTTTCTTTCTTCTTCTTTTCTTATACTTGGATCAACAACAAAAAAATACAAGCAACCCCAACATCTTAATTTTACTTTAAGCAACCGGTTTTGCTTCAACACATATCCTCATATTCTACCTTTTTTTAATATAAACCATGGTGACCTTGAATAAAATCGTAAATTAAACGTTATTGTAACTAAAGGGGAACTTTTTTACTGAGCAAAATCTTATTTTCTTCCATTTTTTTTTTTTTAAAAAAAAAAAAAAAAAAACTATTAGACTCGACGTGTTACAGAAACTCGCTGGTCGAAACTGTATATTACAATGGCGTTGCTTCAATGCATTTTTATTATTGGACTTCAAGCAGCAATTTGTTCACAAAACACACTACAAGCAGATCTATTACCACAATCCGAATCAAAACTTCTAGATGCTTTAACAAACAACTCCAGCGAAATTCACCTTCGAGCCAAAGAACGACTTGAGCGAATCAAGTGGGAAAACATCGCCTTTATGGGGTTTCAAATATGGTACTTTGGCATGGCTATTGATGCTGTAAGCAACAGATTCAATACGACGAAAACAAGTTAAATATTCACACCTTTTCTTTCTCTTTTGAATATAGACGGTCTACCAAAACACAGCCGAGATTTTGGTGCTGGCTGTCTTAAACTGTCTATGTGCTATTTTAGGAGCGCTTGAAATTGTCGATGGTGTCAAATGGCTGAATTTATTGAAAAAGACTCAATATGATACAACACCTTTGGCTGTAGCAGAAAAAATTGAAATCGGCTTAGCTATTGCGATTCTTGGCTTTGCTATTGCTATGGCTTATTTGAGTTTCGAAATGTCAAAGCAATTCGGCTGGAATATTTACAAGAAAATCGGAGCAGATGTCCGAATTCAAAGTATGTGTGTACATGGATTGTGCACTTAATTTTTTTTACTAACAGCAGAAATATAGAAATGTACAGAGTATTTCAATTTTTTGTCTTATCAATCAAAGTAGATATCTTTACAGAATTTTTGATTTCTTTGTTTTATCTGATCCAATTCGCTGTGGGAGGAGTCAAGTCAAATTGGGATACGTGGTTTCAATTAGTCATTACTATTTTATTGCTCCCCATGTTGTACTTTGCAAGAACAGCTGTAAGCGATATGTGTTTTTTGAACGCTTTTTCATGGAATACTGACGTTGTTGTTTTGTATAGGGAAGCACAGAGAGCCCAGGCAGAATGATTACTTTTATTACGTTTCAAGGTATTGTGATTGTTCATTTCGTATTGATCTTGCGTGAAACATTTAAGCCAAACAACAATTGGTATACATGGATTGTGTTTAGTAAGTAGCTAATAGATAAGAAACAAGGAAAATAATGATTAATCCTATTCATAGTCTGCGTTGGCATGGCAACTGCTATCGTGACCATTGTGCTGGGATCTTTTGCTATGCGCAACTTTGGAGAAGGATTAAAACCCTATGTACAAAGAGGTGCTAAGAACAAGAGTAAACATACTGATCTTGAGTTAAACAAGACAACCACCAATGGCACTTGGAAAATTGATGACAATTAGATTCAATAGTCATTCTCTTTAAAATATTCATGTAAATCATTCTCGCTTTTTAATCTTATTTTTACTTTATAAATGCATCATTTTATCATATTGGATCTGACTCTTCCTATTTCAACTAAGCAGGTTTTTTTTTTGTTTATTAGAAGGGAAAAAAAGGGGAGGAGGGAATCAATCATGTATATTATTACAAACAAAATGGAAATAGAGTAAAAGAGTGGTATAAATAATTAATTACCGTTTTTTTTTATATAATTTTTAGGCAAAAGGAGTGAAAGCTTTTGCGGGTGCAGCTTCACTGGAAGGACTGACGGAACCCTTAAGAGCTAATAACTGGTTAGAACGGAAGGTTTCATAATGAACCATCGAGGTAGTTTCGACCAAATCTTGTAAATGAGTTCTTGTCAAAAAGTTACGCAAATGAATAAATTCACAATGGTTCTCATCCTCGACAACAACAGCTCCCCATCTTGTCTTACGTCCAATGACTGCTTTACCATTGACAACAACCTGCTTTTCTGATCCGACAACGGCAAAAGGAAGAAGTTCCTAGATAAAAATAGACGGCCGATTAGGAATAGTTTTCCAATTAAGAACGTATTTTATCACTTACTCTGATGCTAGAATTTAACATGCGTTCTTCGTCATCATAATCCTCGGTATTATCATAGGGATATAAATCAATGTTATGGAAAGCTAATTCAGCGTTAATCTAAATAAGGGAAATAAGTAACCGCATAATAATTTATATCAATAAATAAATAAAAATCTTACTCTCTTTTTAAATGCAGCACGTTCTTCGATTGTAAGAGAATCAGCTTTTGCAATGACAGGCACAACATTGACTACCTGAACCAACTTTTTGAGTACAATGATATCAATAGGTTTTAATCTATTTAAAAAAAAATTAATAAGTTTTGGTACGACCCTCAGAAATAACAACTTACGAATGACCAGAAGGGGTAATAAAGTAAAGACAGCAATGAACACGATTATCTTGAATTAATCTTTCACGTTGTGCAGTAAGCTCTTTACGAAGGTAAGCAGAGTGTTGATCCTTAATGTATTTGATGATTGATTCCCAACTAGTAAAAAAAAAAAAAAAAAAAAAAAAAAATGGAATTTAAATACGGCTGTTGTTGTTCTGCTACTAGTTTCTATTTAATTTACCAATCCTCGTTATTAACTTGATCACCATAACCTGGAGTATCGACGATATTTAATCTCAGGCGAACACCGTTTTCCTCAATGACTATAGTAAAACGTTGTTAATATACGAGTTTATTCCAATGGAGGGGTTTTTTTTTTTCGAGAGTTATACCATGAGACACTGCTTCAATTCTAGTTGTTTGTCTATCCAATTCATCCACATTATGACGGCCTTTGCTTTCGATAAGGTGAGAAGCAAATAAAGTATTTACAAGTGTAGATTTGCCTAAACCAGTTTGACCTAGCAAGGATTATTTTAATAACTCAAAAGGGGGTCCAACACACGCACACACACACACACACAAAAAGGGGGAAAATTTAGTTACCCACAACCATGACATTGAACTGGAATCCTCTTTTAATTGACTTCTTCTCAATTTGTTGAGTAATAGTGTCGAAACCAACATAGGCATTTAAGGGTGTTTGCTATATAAACCAAACAGTCAATGACCTATTCACCATCAATTTACTTTTTACTACCTCTTGAAACATGATTTGAATTAATGGACGAAAGAAAAGAGATGAAAGTTTATTTTTCGAAAATAACTTTTTTTAACCAAGACTGGTAAAAAGATCAATTTTTAATTTGTCTGAAAATCATTTTGCGTTTGTCCAAAAAAAGTTTATTGATTTCAAAGTACGAATACTATAGCGTCAATTCAAAATAACTAGAAACGGGTGCAAATACCTATACGAAAAGAGCCTCTGAAGAAGACATTTATCTAACCTCTTGCTCAACTTGTTTATCGATAGTTATCGATAGACTAGAGCTTCAGGGGGACAATGTACCTTACATCATACGCATTAGAAACAGACAACATATGTATGGCCAAGGATAGCTAGCAACCGTTTATTATCTATAGAAAAAAAGGGGGTGGGGGTAAAAAAAAAAGGTATAGCTTATTGTAGCACATCATGTACTTGATCACTATTGTATTGGCACCTAATAGTTGTTGAGACTTTAAATGTTTGCTAAAGACGTACAAACCTTCTTTAAGTGCATATAATGAATTTTTCGCTGCACTTCGTATCTGTCATTCTAGCTTCTGGTACAATGGTTTTTATGGGTTTTAATGACTACTAATTGCTTATTACTGCTTCAGGAAACGGTAACAGTACCGGAAAAAAAGAAGAGAAGGATAGAGAAGAGTATTTTGTTGAAGGCGTTTCGATACTAAACAAACTCGTTTGTCATCCCCGTCTCATATTAATCTGAAGCGTTGCCTGCGAAAATAAATCATAGTAAACAATCTAGGTGGACGTCAAAATGCGATGTAAATGTTTATTTAATCACGTTACTCACATTATTAGACAAACACATGTCACCTCAAATAGGCAACAGTTGATTGACGCGGATGTATATAAAGTGTTATATGATGCACAGATCAAATAGGACCCAATACACGGTGAAAACAAAAGTATCAAAGGTTGTTCCTTTCTGCAAATGTCAGTAAAAAACTTGTTTTAGTCCTATCAAAAGCACGTAGGCTTAGACATTGCCCGAAAATTGAAAAAAAAAGTTGTCGCCAGCCGATAACCTCAAAGCCATTGTAGTACCGTGCTCTGTTAAAATATTGACCGTGCATGTGTGGCCCACCCTTAACATTTATTTTTGTCGTCTAGACTCAAACTAGCAAGTTATTTTTAGCAAAAAAGAAAAAAAGAAAACAACATTGATAAACGAGTTCATATGTATATATTGTGCGTTTTATTTGTAAAATGGAGGGGGGGAAAATTGAAAAACTGCCTTAATATTGATCCAACTGATTGACAAAAAAAAAAAAAAAGTTAGCACACAGGCACATACATGAATCATTTTTTTGTTTCTTACCATTAAAGTCATTGTCTTACTCGAATTGATGTCTTGGTCACGGTAAATACCAACCAAACTTTGAGCCTTTTCGTACAAAGTATGCTTAAGAGAAATAACGATAAATTGGAAATCGGGTGTTGCATGTTCACGAATATAAGTAGCAACCGTGGAAACATTGGTATTATCAAGAGCTGCATCTACTTCATCCAAGACGAAGAAAGGTGAAGGCTTGTAACTATGGATAGCAAATAATAAAGCTAATGCTGCTACACTCTTTTCACCACCTGAAAGTTGTTCCATATCCCTGAATCGCTTCATGGGTGGCATCGCATGGTATTTGATGCCTTCAAGATATGGCTCATCGAGATCTTCAAGTGTTAAATAAGCCGTACCACCCAAAGGAAATACTTGGCTCTTTGTCAGGTCCTTGTAGACCTTATCGATTTGCTCTGAGATATGACTAAATGCATCATAGAACAAAGTGTGTCTACGTAATTTCTTAAACGTTAGTCATCTCAGAATAACTCACCCCTCGGGACGTACATGCAATGAAATATCGATTTTTACCTCTTTTGCTTAACTGCTGTAAATTGTTCTTTGGAGGTCTTGGCAATGAGTCTTGCGCTATTGAACTCTTGTTCAGCAGCCTTGAGTCTTTCGGCTACACCTTCTAAACGATCGATGGCCTTAAGGTTAGGGGCCATATGTTCAATTTCTTCGCCAAGTTCCTTAATTTTGTCTTGGAACTCTCGGTCAATCTGAGGTCCATCGTTTTCTCTTTGGAGTGCGCTCACTCGTTCAAAATTGACTTCTACTTCCCAATCTGTGGACTGAATAGATACTTGAGAAGGAGCATCCAGGTCCATATCACTGCTATAGTTTGTAGAAGGCGCTGTGGTAGATCCAGCCGCAGAAGAGGCATCCGAGACAGACCCAGCATCGGAACCAGCAACATCGGTATTGGATTCTTCAATGATGATATCATCCATGGTACCACGACTCAAAGGTAGACTGATACCTTCCAATTTACACTTTCTGAAGATAGCCACACGCTCAGCTTGCACCTTATTACACTCACTTTCGACAGCTCTGTATTCTCTCAAGATGGCTTCAACGTCTCTACCCTTGGCTTCAAGCGCACGGCTCACTTCACTAATCTCATTCTGCTTCTCTTCCTCAAGTTTAATCTGTGTTTCCAATTCAACTTGGAAACCTTCCAAACTAGATTGCAAGCTATCAGATTTACCAGACATACCAGCTAAATCAGTTTCAAGTTGAGCCTTAGATTTGGCGCTGTTCACAAGTGTAGTTTCTAACTTGCTCAAACGTTCAACCAATTCACTTAGCTGGTTCTTCTCGAAGGCAAGTTGGGTATCCAATCTGGTTTTCTGGTTGGAGAATTGTGCACGGCGTTCCGTGACTTCATCAGAGACACCAAATTGCAAAGCTTCATATTCACGAATATTGGTGACATTGATTTGAGCACAAAAATCTTCAAAGATATGATCTTCCACTTGGGCAATGTGTTGTTCGAGCTTCTTCATGTTGGCATTTAATTGATTTAAAGCCAATTGAGATTGCTCGAAAGGAGCGACAAGTTCGGCAATCTTGCTACGGATGTCGCTAAGTGTACCATGAATACCCTCAATTCTTCTAGTAAGTGTAGTCTTTTTGCAAGAAATTTTTTAGCATATATAATTATGCGGAATGAAATTTATTTCTCTCCTTACCAATTCTTCATTCAGCGTGTTCAATTGACTCTTCATATTGGAGCAATCACTCTTGGCTGAATCTTCGGCACTACCCATACGTTTGTTCTTGCTGAGAAGGTTTAACTCAGCTAATAATTTGTCTCTGTTACGAACCAAATCTATAGAACTATGTTAGATCATAATTTATTTATAATTTACCCAGATGCATTATTTGTACATTATTTACCTTCAATTTCACTATCGTGCCACTTTTGAGTTGGTTGAGTACTAGCTTGACCACCAGTCATCAAACCATTTTGATGGATAACAGCACCATCCAAAGTGACAGCTGTTATATTCTTGATTAGTTTTTTTTTATCATTCTTTCATAATAAATATGCATAGTTTTACCTCTGACAGATTCGCTCATGTTGAAACAGATTTGTTTAGCAATTGCCATAGTGTCACACACCAAGGTATTACCACAAGCATACTGTATAACTTGTTCGTATTGCTTATCAAACTTCAAGACATCATATGCGAGACGAGCACCTCTTACAAGATTACGGTAACGATCATTGATGGTGGGCGATTGCAAAGCGTTGAGGGGTAAAAATGTGGCGGTTCCGATATGTTGCTCTCTCATGTATTGGATACACTCAAAAGCGGTCTGTTCATCCTCAACAACAATAGCATCCATGTTTCTTCCCAGCACAGTAGCAACTGCAATATCGTATTTACGTTGATTGGGTCTACATAAATCAACCAATTTACCGTGCACGTCTATGTTTTATATGCAACGGTTAGAAAGAAAAAATTGGCAACATAAAAGTAGGACTACTTACTAGGATAAATTTGCTTCATTACGGCCACACTTTCGTTGAATTTAGTGTCTTTATCAGATTCTTGTTGGGTAACACTAGCTTCCATCAACTTGTTCAAAGTTTCCTGAAGTTTTTCATTTAAAAAGACTTCACGTTGATGAACTGTAGTACGTTCATTTTCAAGTTTATTCAATTCAGATGTACGTTCCTTCAATTGTTCCGCAATGTTTTCAGCATCCATGGACAAAGTGGCCTTTTCCTCTTCGGCATGTCGCAAAGAATCAAGATTTTCGGCTTCGGATTCCTTGAGTTGCTCAATCTTGGATTTCTTATCTTCGATACGTTGATTCTCGGTTTTGTATTGACGTTCAAGCTGTTGTAATTGGTGTTGTTCTTCTACAGCCTTAACGCTTAATTCTTGCTTTCTTCTTTCGTAATCCATCAATTGTGCAGGAGTTAAAATGGGTCCATTTCTCGAAGTAGCAGGAATCGACTCTACAAAATTCTGTTAGTTACCTTCTATATATATATAAAATCTTGGTTACCATTGAATGATCTTTCGGCCTCGTTCAACAATTGCAAATCTCTATCCAAAGAAGCAACTACTTGTTCTTGTTGTACACCATCGCGCTTAACACGCTCGATGTTTTGCTCGGTTTGTCTCAACTTCTTTTCTAAATGGACAATCTTTTCCTTGTAACCAATGGATGTAGGAAGCTAAAAGGGGGAGGAGGGTTAATATTAGTTTAGACAAAAAAAATATCTGTATTTTGCCTGTTCGTCCAATTCACGGTTGATTTTACGGATGTGCAATTCACACTTGATTTTTTCTCTGTGAACAAGTGCCTTTTCTTCCCTGGCTCTTTTAAATGCTTGTTCTAAAGCAGCCTAAAAAAAAAAAGGGCATTAGACTCTATAGGCACATGCGTTTCTATTCTGACGATGGATTATTTACCACATCGTATTGCGCGTCATTCTTGTTTGCATTTTTAGCGGTACTTTCGTCTGTTAAATCCTTTAATTTTTGATCGATATGGAAAAGTTTCCAGAGTAAATACTGAACAACACAATCACGCTTATCGGCTACGAGTTCTTCAAATCTTTCGGCTTCCTTCTTTTGTTCTTCGTACTGCTTAATTTCAGCAGCAGCACCACGCTTTTTGTTGAAAGCGTGTGCACTGCTATCGTGTGCTGCTTCCATCTTTTGCTTTAAATCCTCATATTCATCTCTATAATCCCAAGAACTGCATAAATAATCAAAAGTTAGTTATCCATTTATCTCTTTATGGTAGATGGTTCTTTTACCCACTGATTTGCTCAATCAAACGAGTCAAGTCTTTGGGATTTTGACTGGCAACTGACTCGACATCACCTTGGAAGACCAAAAAATTCTTGGCCTTGACAAGGATGTTTTCCTTTTCAAGAGCAGCATTGTATTGAGCATATTGTACGGTTCTATCATTGATGCGATACTCGGATTGTCCATTTTGGTTAATACTACGTGTAAATTTGAATTCGACACCTTCGGTAGTTTGATACACGGCAGTGACATGAGCCTTTCTAGGTGAACGGCCTCCTGGTGTCGTGGGCGTATCGTCATAATTCTTTAATGCTTCGGAACGATAAATCATGTCCTTGAGGTTTTGAGAACGCAAATGACTGGAATGAACACCAAGTACAAAGGAAATTGCATCCATAAGATTGGATTTACCTATTTATCCCACTTATTAAAAATCGATCTCTTCATTTCAGGTTTAAACGCTTTAATTACCAGAGCCATTAGGACCAATAACACTCGTGAACTGATGAAAGGGCCCAATAATTTGTTGGCCCTTGTAGGATTTAAAGTTTTCAACTTCGATACGAATAAGTTTACCCATAACGTAAGAAAAAAAGAAAAAAATAACAAGAAGAAAAAAAAAACCGCGTAGTGAGGGAAGTCCCCTTTTTTTTTTATTTTATTTTATTATTATTATCCAGACGCGCCCCACGCGTCTCCGCTCGTACACATGAAACTTGGCTTTCGAAGTGACTGGTGAAAAAGTCCTATTTCTTAGGCTCATGTATGTTCTTGGGGCGGCAGTTCGTCTCGTTTCACTTTACTTTATTCTAGCAAAATAGTAATAAATGCTTCAAATAAAGTTATTTAAATACAACAATCAGTACTAAACGTCTAAAAGAACTTGAGCAATATTTAAAGAAGTGGGTTATCGAGAACAGCTTCGTTTTAGCTGTGGATAAGAGCAATAAAAATAAACGCCTTGGCCTTCGCTGTAAATTCGGAAGAGTTCCACAAAAGCCTTCCTCTATAAAGCAATCCCCTTGGAATCAAATGAGCCTAAAAATGGTACTTTACTGATCCAACTTCACGCTTAAAAAATGAGTTACTACTTCTGGGACTGTTTACTGAGAATAAGATATAAAATCTGGCGTTTTCCCCTTTCAAATCGCCCGTTTTTATTTATTTATCTTTTCATTTATTTTTATCTAACAAAATGAGTAACAGGGATTCCCATAACATGCGTGTTCTTGGGAAAGACCTGTTCGACAAAGTTTCCCAAAGTAACATTCTTCTAATTGGTGCCGGTGGCATTGGTTGTGAGTTACTCAAGGACTTGGTAATGACAGGGTTTAAAAATATCAAAGTTGTAAGTTTGATTCAAATTCTAATTCAAAAAAAAAGGAACGCGACATATTAAGCATGTTTATACTAGATTGACTTGGATACGATTGATATTTCCAACTTAAACCGACAATTCTTATTTCAAAGGAAACATGTGAAACAAGCAAAAGCTCACGTAAGTTTACAAATTATATCCACCCCACACAAAATGTCTTTAATACTATTTTTTTTTTTCAACTTGTCTTAGGTTGCCAAAGAATCTGCACACAAATTTAATCCGACAACAAATATCGAATCCCTCCAAGCCAACATCAAAGAAACTCAGTTTAGTGTTCAATGGTTTAGTCAATTCACAATGGTCTTAAATGCTTTAGATAATTTGGGTAGGAAAAGAATGTGTGTTTAATATGCGATTAGAGTTTTTTTTTGACATGTTTATAATAGAGGCTCGTCGACACGTCAATGCTATGTGCTTAGCCGCTGATATACCTCTTGTTGAATCTGGAACAGAAGGGTATTTTGGACAAACCTACATCATTAAGAAGGTTAATATGAAAGACAAGGGATATTATTTGGTTGGTATGCTAATTGTCGTTTATGTAGGGTGTAACAGAATGTTTTGACTGTCAAGAGAAGCCATCCAAAAAGACATATCCTGTATGTACTATTAGAAGTACGCCCAGTGAGCCTATCCATTGCATTGTTTGGGCAAAAAGTTTCCTGTTCAGGTAACAGAAGAAGAAAATACATGGTGATATAGTAGTTAACAACTGTCCAAAATAGTGAATTATTCGGCAATTCAGAAGACGAGGAAGCTCTTGAACCAGATAGCTCTTCTGAAATGGGTATGGACAAAGATTCGAAATAGAGTAGTTCTAACACTGACAAACATTCACAGCTACAGAAATTGCTGCTTTAAAAAGAGAAACTGAGGAATTAAAAGCTATAAAGGAGGCAGCTGGATCACCCGACTATACCAAAAAAATCTTTACCAAAGTATTCGAAAGTGATATTGAAAGACTGCTGTCGATGGAATCCATGTGGGAGAAGCGTAAAAAACCAACTGCCTTGAACTACGATGCATTGGATCAGATGGATCTCTCAGATGTGGCCAAGGGAAATCGTGATGCTAGAAAAGTGTGGGATTTAAAGGAAAACTTTGACATGTTTAAAGAAAGTGCTACAAAATTAGCAGCACGATTATTGAAGGAAAAGGAAGCTCAGAGTGATGCTATTTTAACTTTCGATAAAGACGATGCTGATGCTATGGACTTTGTCACTGCAGCCTCTAACCTGAGAGCTTATGTGTTCGATATTGGAAAGAAAAGCTTGTTTGACGTCAAATGTAAGATTGATACTTTTTCCTTCTGATGAATACTAACCTTTAAAAACCTTTTAGCCATAGCAGGTAATATTATTCCAGCTATTGCTACCACGAATGCTATTATTGCAGGCTTGGTAATCTTGAAAGCACTTGGTATCTTGCGGGGTGAATTGAAAGAAAACTCAAGGGTAAGATAGCATCAATAAAGAAAGCATCAGTTGATGATTCTGACATTTTTATTTATTTATTTATGGCAGGTTCATCTCCATACTGGATCTCGTCTTCTTTCAGATCCTAATAACGGTCCTAATCCTAATTGCAATGTCTGTAAATCAAGAAGAGGAACTGTTAACGTGGACTTCGAAAAGGCTACCTTAAATCATTTGATAGAAAAGGTCATATTACTTTCAATCGAAGAAGGTGGAGCAGGCATGGATAGAGATGATATTGGTATCTTGGACGGAAACAGGTAAGTTATCCATTAAATGTATCTGCAATCTAACTATATTAACACGCTCTGATAGAATGATTTATGATGTCGACTTCCAGGATATGGCTGATACACCATTGTCCAATGTAGGATTAAAAGCTGGTACCATTTTACGTATCACAAACGATGATGGAGACGAAATTGATTTAAATTTGGATGCAATGTAAGGATATGAACTTTGCAATAACTAGAATCCTCTAGATTAAAGATATAAAAATATGTAGAGATCCCGCTCATCACGAAGATACAGTTATACTGGTTAGACCTATTAGTAAGCCTGTTTCTAGAGTGCCTATGAAGCGTAAACTGGAAGAAGAAGAGGAAGAAAATAACGAAGCGAACAAGAAAACAAAAACTATTCACACTGTAGTGGATGATGTAATCCATTTGGACGAAGATGAAGATGATGATGATATATTATTGTTGGATTAATGTGAGTCTAAATATTCACACGATTTTAAATCTGCTTGATCCTGTTTATTATTGTTTTAAAAAGGATTCCAATAAATTTTTGAAAAAAATTCCTCTTTTTCACTTTTTATAATGCAAATGCAACACATTGACTCTCAAAAACGTGATAGGACAGTATATGTCAACGATCCAACAGACCAAATGGAAGAGCACTTAAAATACAAAGTTGTGAACAGAAATAAATCCAAAATAAACGATTTTCAATGCCAAGTTTATTTTAGAGATCAAATTTTTGACTTTCAGCTTTCCAATGTATTTAGCACCGCTTCCTTTGCCGTCCTGTTCTTTTGTCCTTACGACTTGTAAAGTATTTGCTATATATTTTTTTTTTTTTTTTTTTTTTTTTTTTTTTTGCCTGAAGTAGTATATCATTAACATTTGATATTTGGTTTTTAGTTCGGAACAATCCAGAATCGATTTAACTCAGATTGAGTACATTATGACAAATTCCTGATATATGCATGATAAATTAACAGCATTTTTTATCTTCTTGTTGTCATTAGGGAAAACTACTCAAAATTTATTGAACGTAGTGCAATCCCAATCGTAATCACACACGATAGAGCACACGTTCATTGGGCGTACGCTTCACCAGACAAGACTACAGAAAGCTTAAAATTTAAACCATCATTTATACTTGGTAAACAAAACAATCATGCATGTTTTTTTTTCTTGCGTTTTAACTTTAATCTATTTAAGCTTCGGACAGTGTTGATAAACTTATTTCCACGTCATACAAAGCTATTGACATGCAGAACCTTGAGATGATTCGTTCTGTAGTAGTCATCGACAGTGATCTGAACATTGTTTTTACTTGCCACGTTCCACCAATTAAATTTTTCCCAATTCAACCCATCTTGAACTGCTTTCAATAAAAAACAAATAACTATGTGAACCAAAAAGAGCAAGAGTTTTTATTAATTTTTTTTTTAAAGGAAAAAATGGGAATAATGTGAAAAAGAAATAATAAAAAAAAGGAGAATAATAATAATTTATAGTATCAATAATAGTCAGCGAGAAGGATGATATTTACTCGACAAGCTTCCAGTTATAACCCTTGAAGGCATTTTCAGCTTTGGCATCATCAATCCAGAAGGAGTCAGCTTCGTTCTCGACAAGTTGAACAACTACGGCATTCTCAGAAATTTCAGAAATTTCAGAATTTTCAGCTACAGCGGAAACGGGGACAGCAGACATTTGGAATACAAAAGAAGGAGCAACTGAAGCAGAGGCAGCACTTGCTTGCTCAACACTTGCTGAAGCAACATCAACAGATGCTGAAGCTTCATCTGCAACTTCTCTCTTCATGTTACGGTTTAATTCAGCTAATCTGGCAACCACCGAGGCAGAGGCTTCAGAAGGACGAGCACCTGGGGCAGATGCAGATGCACTGACAGATGCAACGTTAGCTTGATGAGGATGGCTATGGTGATGATCAGAATGTTCAGCGTGTTCAGCGTGTTCAGCAGATGCTTTTTCTCCTTCTTCAGACCAAGGAGCATGCTTATGTGCACGTTTGTACATAGCAACAGGCTCAACAACACTAGCTGAGGCTGAAGCTGAGGCAACAGCAGAAACGGGGGCTGAGGCTGATGCTGAGGCGAGGTTAGAGGAAGCAGCGGCAACAGGGGCAGAAGCGTGAGCGTGGGCGTGTTCAGAAGCAGCAGCGGGTGCGGATGCTTTGATAGAGGCGTTACTAGAGGCAGCAGCAGCGGGGGCTGAAGCATGTCCAGAGGCAGCAGCAGCTGAGGCTGGGGCAGAGGCGGAGGCATGGGCGTGAGCGGAGGCATGAGCTGAGGCAGCAGCAGCAGCAGGTGCAGCGTTTTCAGAGGCAGCAGCAGCAGCGGGGGCTGAAGCGTGGGCAGCAGCAGAACCATGGCGAGATTGTGACTTGGCATTGACTTGCTCGGCAGCACGATTACGTAACTTGGGTGCAATACTGGCGCTAGGTCTAGCCGACATGGCTGAAATTGAACCTTGAGCTTTGGCGATAGAAGCGAGAATTTGTTGCATATTACCGTCACGCTTAGCAGCTGAAGGAGCAATAGAAGCAGATGCACTGGCGGAGGCACCGTGGATTGCACTGGCGGAAGCACTAGGGGCATAAGAAGAGCTTTCTTCTTCAGCAAAGATCACCTTTCTCATGAAGGCAAAGAGACCACGCTTATCGAGTTCAGCAGCACCAGATACTGAAGCAGCTGAGGCAGATTGAGATGCTGAAACAGCATCATTTTGGGCCGAGACAGAGACTGAGGCAGCATGACTAGGGGCCGAGGCCGAGACTGAAGCAGCAGCGTGATTATTGGCATGTTCAGAGGCATGTGCAGAGGCATGTGCAGATCCATGCTCAGAGGCATAAACAGCTTGAGATAAGACAACAGTGGCGATAATAGCAAGAGAAAAACGCATAATGATTTAAGTATTATATAATAGGTTGATTGAAGAAAAAAAAAGAATAACCTGGCTAAAACGAGTTGTATTTATCTAATTTGATTATTGTTAAGAATTTGACAACAGTTTTGGCAACAACATAAAAATATCAGTTTTAACTACAACATTTATGCACGGACATATTGCAACGAGGGAACGTAAAATTTTTCTGAATTTAAAACATTCTTGTATATTCCAACATCTACCAAGTACAATTTTTTGATACTTCTATAATGTAAATACATGTAAAAAAATGATATATAGAACTTCGTATCCATTAGTATAAAAGGAAGCCAATTTTTCTCTCTGTTTTTTTCTTCTTTTCTTTCCTTGTTTTTTATTTCCTTTGTTTTATTGCATGTCTAAAGGTCAATAACCTTAATTGTTTGTAATTATTTTACATTTCTTGCTATTATGTGTCATTATAAACCTGAGACAATAAATTAAATATATTTATACATTCGATAAATGACTTACTAGATCGATTAAGGAACACATACCGATTGTTATCTTTTACACACAACACATACTGTTTCAAACTCCGTATAACCGCATTTTTAGCATTTCGTCACTTGTGTAAGTGCTTATATTTCCTTTTTCTTAGTTAGAAACCAAAAAAAAAAAAATGGCAAGTATTTCAATAAAGACCGAAGATGGACAACAATAAATAAAAAACGCGTACTAACTACACCATATAGTCAAACACACTTCGTCCATACCTCACAGCTGTTCGTGCAACTTTGACTGCTGCTCTTTGTTTGGATAATTTCTCTTCTCAAGTTGCTGAAAGACATAATACACCTGAAATCGAATCAGGGTAATACTATTCTTCCCGTACCAAAACTTTTTCGACTAATACTAATTACCATCTAATCTAGAAAGTCAAAGGAAGTATTGATGAACCCTTTGGTCATCAGTCGTAATGAAAATGAAAAAGTATTAGTTGAACCTTCTGTTAATTCCGTTCGTATCAGTATCAAGATTAAACAGGCAGACGACCTCGAACGTATTTTATGCCACAAGTTTTCTCGTTTCTTAATGTTGAGAGCAGAAAGCTTCATTATTTTACGTAGAAAGCCCATTGATGTAAATTTGTGCTCAAAGAAAAAACAGGCCCAACAGATTGCTAACAACTCTTTCTATAGGGCTATGATATCTCCTTCTTGATTACCAACAACCATACCGAACAAATGTATAAGCACAAGCTGGTTGATTTCATTGTTCATTTCATGGAAGAGGTTGACAAGGAAATTTCGGAAATGAAGTTGAGTGTAAACACTCGTGCAAGAACTGTTGCCGAAAGTTATTTAGTCCAGGTAAATATTTAGATGGAAGTGAAATGCTATAACATTCTCATGAATTTCTAAATTTTTCACAGTTTGCTTAAGCATTGCCCTGTTCATTACATTTTGGGAAACGTTGGCAAAATAAATTCGAAAATGGAAGCATTCTTTTTTTTTAATATGGGCTTTTTGGGTTGCAAAATGGTTATTGGTTGTTGAATACATACATAGAGAATGTCGAGGCAGCTGCTTAGGTAATGGGTACATTATATCCAAAGATTTTTTAACCGGGGCCAGTATGTGCATATGTATCTAGAAAGCAATTCATGACAGGCGCTCTCCGCGGTTTCATGTAGAATAGTCATGTATAAACAACAAGCAGTTCTATTTATGAACACACCAGGACAATCCAGCAAATGAGTCTCTAATGCCTTAAAATTTTACTTATGAGCCGTGAAATAAATTCTGGTTTTCGGTTATGCTTGATATCCGAATGCACAAAATAGCCAATCTCATGTTTTTAAAAATGAGACATCTCTGCCCTGGAAACAAAAACGGGGCGTTGGAGCTGTACGCGACTATTTAAAGCTAGCCAATCTTTAAATTTTGAAACGCGATCTTCTATACAAAAACAATTCCTTGTCTCTCAAAAAAATAACCGGCAATTTTGAGTGTAACTATATAAACATATAAAACATGCAGTTTATCGTCCGTACATCTTGTAACTGTTTATATATACCTATCAATGACATGGTACGACCACAAATACACTAACATTGAAATTTCGTCACTTTTTACCTCGTACAATATTAATAAATCTGCTAGCGAATAAACCGTAATACTGATAAAACATAAAGTTCATGCGATTGAATTCTATTGGCTCCAATCACAATCTGATGCTGTTTGTTATGCATTCTCTTTTTTAAGTTCTTTGGGAAAATTGTATTCGTATTCCGGATTAGTTAAGCAGGAAATAGAATAATTTTTTAGTATATTTTGTTCAATGTTACATGTTTAGCCGCACATCTTTGTTTTTTTTAATGATGTTCCACTAAACTAATCCTGTGATAGATATAGTATAGGGAACCTACCCATTGAATCCTTGTAATACGGTTGATGTGCGCAGCATGAGTAGAGTCAGGCCTATTGAATTTGGCACCTTTTTAAAAATAATCGGCCTAACGTCAAAAATAAATGTAGCCCATCATATTCATTTTAAAAAACTGGTTAATAGTGTTAATGGTGTGATGTATAAAACAATTAATGTAAATATGGAAATCCTTACTACGCCGAAAAAAGTTAATAGCCTACACCTATAAAATATCAAAGATGCTTGCATGGATGTATACATTCTGTTGATTCAAAAATCATGAAATAAATATAAAATCTGTTTTAAGCTTCATACTGAAGATTCATTTTGACCTGAAATCGATCATTTTTCTGAGTGATTTATTTTCAAGCAGTTAGGCTAATTAGTTTCAAACATTTGACCTCACTCAAATGTTTAAGATCACTCAAAAAGTGTGCGACGTTTTCAAAATCTAGTAAATTGAGAGTGGGAACAATGTATCTAACTGACAATAATTTTTTAAAAAAGTGCCAAATTCAATAAGCTTGACTGTATGTTCAATACATGCAATCTGGAATCTTGCAGGATAATAAAAGAATTTCATAGAACAGAGGTGGAATTCGATTTCAATCTTACGTAATTATAATAGAGACAACATACAAGAATGGATTTAAAAATAAAGGTGTGCCCCACGTTTTTTTGTTCGGTAATCATTGAGAGCACAATTTAAAATGATAATTTATAAGCCTGCCTTGAATACTGAACGAACGATTACATCATTTTGTAGTAGATCAGCGGTAAGACAAAATATAAAAAATGGGGTGACAGTTCTGTCCAATGCTAAAGTATAATGCACACTTTTTCGTGTTTTTATATATATATATAAATCTATTAAATCAGCCATATTTTTTTGTTCGTATTTCTGAAGACTTTAATTTTGTGTGCAATTTGTATGAACACTGAATCGTCCGTATATATAAGGACGTACCCGGAAATGGAATGCCCTTTCAATTAGTCTAAGAAGCATCTTATTGTTATATTATGAATAATGCTAAATGTTTGCTTTCCAACCAAATATATACCTTTGACTGAAGGTTTCTTGTCAACCTTCAGTTTTAGCCTATTTTTTCAACTGATTTTCTTGCTTTTTACAAAATCAGTTTACATTAATGTATATGTCGAGCATTCAACTCCTGCTTGTAGACGCAAATTCCAATGATCCCGCGCGTACATGCAAAAACTTTCCCTTGCTCAATCTCCTGATTGGTTTTCCATGTCTCCGGGTGATTCTGGCAATATTTTTCACATATATAAAGATATATAATGAAAACCAATCAAATCACATACCCCCATTGTTTAAAAGAAAGAAGCTTACATGTATGCAAACTATGATTAAAAGTCAATGATTCAAGTTTGAAATATTAAAGTCATGCATATTTTTTAAAATTTTAAAGTCATTTGTTTAAGGTGGTTTATTTATTTGAAAGCATTTTAATGCTCTCCTGCTTTATGATCTGGTGAAGAGAATATAACAGAAGTTTCTATTACTTTGTTATTGTTATTGTTTTTTAGATACCATGTTGCAAAAAATATACTTGCTACAATAGGACAACATCTATACTTCTCATTCTTACAATCAAAACAATTACTTCATTTAAAGGATCTATTGTTTTAGATTTCAAATGTCCCATTAACGAAAAACACAATGTGTAATATCAATTAAAACGTAGGCGTTCTGTGCAAATGGATACAGCTATATGTTTATTTGTATATGTATATATTTGCGATACATACCTATAAATGGTACCTACGCACAAACTGCCCTACAGAGTAACAAAGTAAACGTTACCGATTTTTTTCTTGTTCTGGGCTGGCATTTTAAATACAAATGCATTTAATATATATGTTCATGGATTTCTATAACCAATTAAAAAATTAGCATGCTGCATTTTATCTATTTCTATTACCTTGTGTCAGGTCTATATTTGTACGTTTGTGTAGTATCCATGACAAAACACGAGTTACATTTTTGCGTCAGTTAAAAAAAACCCGTATTTATATACATTAAACACATACTAGGAATCAAATGATGCATCTGACCAGATGAGCAGGAAGACAACCCCTGTAAAATATATATGATCTCAAACAAGATATTTACTTGTTGTATCCCCCTCAGCCTCTACTTGGTAATCCTGACCACAGCCTGTAATACGTTAGTGTAACTGGACATGTAAAAATGTGATGTGCATACTATCATGTTATCCCATCTTCATGCATACAATAAAACGCTAAAGGATCCAACTCCAATTTAAAATTACTTATTTATTACATGTATAATAAACTGACGTAATAATAGCTTGAGTATGTCATTTGTCTTTTCTGTTTAATACCGATGCCTGTATGGATTACACAAGAAAAACTATATCTTTTATTTTTTTTTGTAGACTATTTCTAGATAAATCAGATCGATTTAAACTCAGTATGTATAATGGGCACAATAAAGAAATTGATAATTTGTTTTAAGGTTAAGAAAAAAAGCGCTTTTGCCTCTTATTAGATTTATATGCGGGGTATAGTACTACCGTTTTTTCGGTATAAGAAAGGCGGGAACCTGAAGGTCATGTGTACGGTAGAAAGTTTACTGACCGGAACAAGTTATAATGATTGGTTTGGAGTAAAAAATGTGGGGTTGAGATGTTCTTAATTTAGCCCTAATGCTGCGTTTTAGCAGTACTTTTTGTACGACATACTTTTTTTTTTTTTTTAAAAAACCCTATTCTTGCCCTAATTTTTTCTTTTTTGTTTTTTTTTCTTTTTTTTCTTATACTTTTCCATAATATAAATATTTGCTGGCACGAATATGTTTACTACTGATTCCAGAAAAAGAAAGCAACAAGATGACAATAAACTCCTTAGTTCATCTTTGCCCAATACATCTTCGTGGTCAGACTTTATCTACTCATCACCGTCGTCTCCCTCTGTCGAAAATGATAATCATTTTAATTTCGATTCCTTTTTTGAACAACACCAGTTACATATAGATACCAATAATCTTTCTGGATCAAATTCTCGCCGCCATTCAGTTGCCGTCGGAGAAATGGATTACCATTCTTTTGATTTCTCAAAGCAAGAAATGAATGTGTTGCCAGCTAGTGATAATGGGCCTTGGGATGACCTTCACCATCTTTTGAATTCCACTACCAATCACCATGTTGACAGGCCTATTCACAAACGTACTCAGTCTTTGAGGGAAGATGATCCTAATTTTGCTACCCTTTTATCACCCACTGCCTCTGTCTCTTCACCTACTTTCTTTTCCACAAGTTTTCTCGATGCACTGGTTGCCGAAAACGGTGTTGGAAGGGATTTCCATAGAGAAAATAGTTCAAATGGCGACGCTGCCACCATGATATCCGATATCTCATTTATGGATTCAACTACAACTGAATTATTGTCACAGTCTGGAGATTTCCTTAAGTTGGCAACGAATGAATTTAACAGCACTATTACACCTTCATCTATCACCAATGAAATCAACAACATGGCAGATTGGTTACTCGAACAACAGGAAGCAAAGAAAATGCACTCTCAGGCCCAAAAAAGACAAAGATGTAGTATCAATTCTTTATCTCCTGTATCTCCATCAAATACTATGGGATCATCCTTATCTTCTTTATCACCTTCTCCTCCTATCACTCCAATGCAGCCGGCCTCTTTGGGATTTGAGCCTATTCCTTTCCATCAACCTCAGCCTCAAGGTCAGCAACCTCAGCAAATGAACGATGATTGGGAGATGAATAACCAATTATCCAGCTTGATAAATAATAACAAAAGCGGTATTATATCAGCCCGCATCTTGCAGGGAAAAAATACAGCATCTTCCTTGAAGCCTTTGATTCAAGAGTATCTTGTTCAACGGGATCTTCAAGAAAGATCATTACCCGTTACTGGTGAAAGAACCGTTATGGTTTTGACTAGTAGAGTTGCACAAAAGAGTTATGGAACCGAGAAAAGGTAAATTAGCATTCGAGCTCGTAGTTTCAAAAGCCAAAAAATTAATATGACGTTTTATTAGATTTTTGTGTCCCCCACCTACAACTATCTTAAAAGGTGCCAACTGGTGGACAAACACCACATCTTCGGACAAACCTAATTTACTAACCGAACCAAAGAAAACCAATTTATTTCAATCCCAGAGTAACGTTTTAAGCTCCCCTAAACTCACGATTCATATTTCTGGAGAAACCATCAATCAAACCGGAGTTCTCGAATGGCAAACGCCTTCCGGAACAATAATCGATACCTCTATCGCAGCCGTCAATAACTCTACAAATTCATCAATTTCCGGAAGAAGTGTATCTAAACAACTGTATATAAACGATGCTGACGAAAAAAGAAAACGTGTGGAGGTTTTAGCTAAAATTCAACTTGGAAATGGATTACAATTAGGCACCTTCCCTAGTAAAGGTATCAAAGTGATTAGTAAGCCAAGCAAAAAGAGGCAAAGTATCAAGAATATGGAATGTAAGTATCCATTTATTTTATCATTGTTCTATTATTTATTGTATTATATTTAGTATGTATACATCATGGTACAACTATTTCTTTGTTTAATCGTATTCGTTCACAAACTGTTTCAACAAAATATTTGGGCGTATCTAATGGGCAACCACCTTCATCACCAAACAATAAAAGCAACACAAGTGGTTCAAACAATGGTACCTGTTTTGTTGCAAGAACTGGATCCTGGGATCCTTTTGTTATTTGGGTTGTTGATACCTCTCGTTCACCTGACACGACCAGTATGCCTCGTCCTAACCAGCATCATCCCAACAATATCAATTTCCCTCCCCCACCTGCAATTGCATTACAAACACCTTCTTCAAGTCAGCAACCTGTAGCTATTCATTACAATCAGCCAGTTGTCCTTCAATGCGTTACAACCGGGCTTGTAAGTCCTGTTATGATCATCCGCAAAGTAGACAAAGGAAGTATGATTTTAGGCGGCAATCAGATTGAAGATCTCTCTGGCAAAACAGGGGGTGAATGCGGCGATGAGACGCTGGGTGACCCTGTTTCTCAGTTACATAAGATTGCATTTCAAATCGTTCAAGATCCAACCTTTTCGCATCATAACAAAGCTAGATATCAACAACAGCAACAGCAGCAGCAACAACAGCAACAGCAGCCACAGCAGCAGCAACCATCCGGTGGTAACCCTAATTATAAAGTTCCTCAATCATGCCATCCGGTCACATACTTGGCTTGTCTCAATGATGTTGTTGGTATGCATAAAACGACTTACAATCGTCATTTAGTCCCAGGTTGTCAACCATCAAAGTTGGAAACTTTACCTACTGGCGGCGCTTGGTCTGATTTAATGCAGGGAGTTGTTGAAAGCAAATTTACAGATAAACCTGCTAGTGTGCAACCTGAATCGCCTATACCAGCAACTGCAAAAGCACGCCGCCGTATGAGCTCCATTAGCAGCACAGAGACTAAAGGACGTCGGGGCAGTTTAGCAGATCGTCGTGGTAGTTCAATCTCTGACTCATCTGGATTGGAAGGTGCATGCTGGACAGAAGATGTTTCAGATGCAGCAGTTTGGACAATTGTTGGCACAGATTGTGCTAGTTATACCTTTTGGACACCTTCGGATGCACCAGATAAAAGCTGTTTCAACATGCCATTTGACCAACAGGCTACAACCACATTATCTACCACATCTGCACCAATTACACCATTCCCTCTTGTTCATGAAACATCTAGCAAAAAAACAGACGCATTGCATTTGACATTGGCAGGCGAAAATCTAACGCGCGATCTTAATATTTGGTTTGGTGATATTAAATCACCCCAAACAGAATATAAATCAAGAGACTCGATAACCTGTATAATTCCTGACCTTCAAGAACTTTTAAATAGCCCTACTTTATTACTGGAAGATGATGGTTTAAAGAAAAAAATACCCTTGTTACTGGTTCGTGGCGACGGTGTTGTTTATAGAACGGACCAATTTTACAACTTTTAAGTCAATTATGTACCATGTATTTTTATGTAATCTCCTCCCCCCGCCCTCCCTCCCTTTTTTTGTATCTTTTATGTTTATGTACTACTGCTATTTTTTCTCTTTTTTTTTTTTTTTTTTTTTTTTTTTTTTGCTTTCTTGTAATAAATAACTCGGATCGTCATTTTATAAAATAAAATATTAATTGTGGGGTAATTCCATACCTCGCTCTTTTTTACTCTGCCACGTTGTCAAGGCGGTTAGAATATTCTAAATATAGCTTAGCATAACTTTGAAATTAAGGTTTATGTCCAACAATACACTTACACACAAACAGATAATAAGCCGCGGTTTTAAGTAGACCCCGTTAAAAGATATGTGTAACCAGCGCTACGGTCATTCGCTATTATTGGTTCTTGTGCGTATATAGAAATAAATATTTACAAAGCTTTTTTTTGCCCGCTGTGTCAGGCCAAGCTTGATCGAAAATTGAAACATAAATTGGTCCGAAATAGGTCTAGCCAAACAGTAGCTCAGCTTCGAAGTCTTTGAGGTCTTTGAGGTCTTTGAGGTCTTATAGAAATGGAATTTCTGCATTATCGTTTAATAGTGTTGCTTGAGATTATATTGTAGAAGAACAATTGCTGTCGGAAAACAGAGATCCGTAAAGCAGTTACCAGAACTTTACAAAATCGCCCCATTTTTCATCATTAGAGTTTCTTTTTGACACCTTGCAACACGAACCAAAATAGATAACGAATTAATATATATGGTTCCTAATCCAATGGACTATGCTTACAAAGCAAGCTGTAGATATTATCTTTTAACTGTTCTTCAATGCACTCAATGAAGCCCCTTGTATCAGTATGTATGGGTATCATTATGAGTAGCGATTAGAATCCCAATCGTATACTCCCCAAAGTAGTATGTACCTCAATCTTGTTGCGTTATGGGTAAAATAACCTCCTAAGCTCTGGCCAAGATTTAGTTTTAAGAAGATTTAGGCTCAATAAAATACGGATGATTTTAAAGGCACGTTGTTTTCTTTTAATGAATTATGTTTACCCCCTTGAGCTGAATCTCAACAGCACCGTTGCAAGCAATGGTGCTATATTTGCAAAGCTTCCAATACTGTTATTTGGCGTTCTTAAATAAAAGCAAGTGTATGTCAACCAGTACATTACAAATGAGTGCTATCATATTTCATGATTGTTTATGCAGATTATTATCCAGACAAGCTATGCATTGAATTATTTTGATTATTAATAGGCTAGAATGCCTGTACAACATCTAACTAATGCATTCGCTTTTCAGGTAGTAGGCTTCTTTTAATACCCCTATATTTGTAACAATCATCATCGAAAATCTTCTACAAATCAACTTAAATTAAATCTGAAGCTAAGGATGCGCTTATCAGCTTGATCCTAATTGATGAAATGAACTATCTAATTCTGAAACCTTATTTAATCTTATCAAGAATTTTTTTTTTTTTTTTTTTTTTTGCTTGATTATGCTACATGTTAAACCTTTGTGTGGCACTGACTAGCAAATATAACTGGATATCAGTACTCTATTATTCATAAATCTTACAGATACAATACCCGGGCTTGTGCATAAGCATATAGTTTGGCCAGTTTTTGAAACATAAGAGCATTTGTTGTCGGTATTCAATTTTTTCACTAAATGCGTAATACCAGCGTTCCAGCCCAACACTTGTTACTAGCTGTCGCCGTTGAATTTTTAAAGGGTACCGAATGTATCATATGCTGGTACACAATATACTAAGTGTAACAATACCAAGCAATAATAGAAGCTAAAAGAAAATAAAAAAGAACATAAATGTTTCATCTTAAAGTTTATACTTTATACAATCACGAACCAGTGTTATACTGGCTATTATTGAGGGAATGTGCCTTTGGAAATTGACCTGTTATAAATTCCCCTTAATGCAATGCTAACCACCTCGATCCATAGTTAGTGTAACATCACTAGTTGCGTAGATGTTTGCTAACCATTCGAGTCGGCGTAAGAATTTGTGCGCAGATAAATTAGTAATGCTGATAATGCATGTTTGCGAGGTTCTTCTGGTGTACAGAAACCCCAGTTATGGAAGTCCTTGATGTAGTAATTTCTGTCATAATTATACTAGCTGCTTTTGTTTTGGACGGATTTTAATCATTTCCAGCGTAATTGTATTTGCGCCACCTTACATCCAGACAAATTATATGCGTCTGTGTGTGTCATTATGAGCCCCCAGACTCAGAATACGTTGAAACAAATTCAACATTAGAGTTATAGGGAATTCCGTGCAAAAGTCGGTCTTCAAATCGACTGTATATGATTGGGCCGTATCTTCCAGTTTCAATAAAAAAGGAGTTTCACTTTCTTGGATCTCCTACAGTGACACCTTTAACGGATCCTCGTTAAAACGGGAAAATGGGCTTAAAAGACTGTATTTTATAGGAATTTTTCAAGGGTTCCGTACAGGGTCAAAAGTACCAAAAAAAAGTGGAGACTCCCGCCCACCTTTTGATTTTTACGGTGGCTGCTATGCTCAAACGAGTGTATGTGAAGTGTGGTTGAAATGAAAGGGGGAGGGGGTTCGTCTGAAACTTCTAATTATCGGTAACATGTAACGAAGTCCTGCCGTTAAACTAGATGAGTTTCAAAGCTGTCTACCATAATGCAGTTCTCTGGAATACCATATATTTAATTTTTACCCAAATATCACTCAAATGCTATGTTTGTGCGTACTCTATTCTGACTTTGTTCGATTATTTTATGGACCTACTGAGAGACTATAACAATCCCAGTTATTACATGCAAGCATTAATTTCTTGTACTTGTTTCTATTTGTAAATGACAATTAAAATAGATGTTGTACCCGTTACTGTTTGGAATTTTTTATGTGAGCAATCAATCGGATTATTTGACATAAGGCATCAGGCTGGTTTGGACACTGCAATTTGATTGTATGTGCAAATTTGAAAAAATTAAAAATCGTTGCAAAAAAAGCGGAAGTAAGTAAATTACGACTAAATCTTAAAAAAAAATGAGCGGGAATTATTTACTAGAACGTCTGCCAACAGACTTTCAATGTTTGCCAATGTGCCTGTTCCAATTTTTTTTTTTAGGCAGAAGTATTTTTGTATCACACTGAACGACTTGGCCAGCATCAAATATGTATCTCGTGTATCGCTAAAATGGATTGTCTTCAAAGATTATTTCGTTTTACTGCTGATTATGTATTTTTAGATGCCACGTTATGAAAAGGGCCTGTCTTAATAATGCTCTGAAACGAGGTGCTTTTTAATTGCAGAATCTAATTCTGGAAACCCTTTCATGGCAGATTATATTAAAAGAACTATAGATACTGGCTGGTAATTTGAATGTCTTAAAAGATCCATTTTACTAAAGCGAATTAGGCGGTGTTTGCACCAACAAAATAAGTTGATTATATTACACGTTGTAATTTCTCTGTCATCCTATACTATTTTTGAAAAAAAAGTTAACCTTTTTATGTTTTGTGGCATATCACTTTTATAATTATTTTGATGATAAACGGCCTGCATTTCCAAATGATAGTATTCAAAACAAACATTCTGTCATGACATGACGGTTTAATTAATTTACAAACGGCTGATAGTGTAATTCAGAATGACTTTATATCCACGTTGCTGGAGTGGCACAAGATTCCGGTAGTCAGAAAAATCCACATGCATTATTATTAAAATAAGCAGTGTATTTTGACCTGTTTATTAAATTCTCTGAACAGGCAGTAAAATCTACTAGACCCTTTTTAAGCGTGCCAGGAACGAATCTAATTATAATCTATTGTAATGGTACATGAAATTAGTAAAATAGTTTATAATCTTTAAATTTTCTATATTTCATCATATTTGTGCTATTAGCTTTCTCCCCATAGGGCCAGTGTTGTTATAAATAAAGTGTAAAAACGATTGAACATCCAAATCGTGCTCATAGTAAATTCTAGCAATTCAGGAACTCATCTTTTATAAATTCTTAATTTAGGTCAGGAATTGTATGTGGCTAATAAACAAGTACTCATACCAATGGGCGTATTGCTTTGTGTGATAAATAATTACCACAGTTCTTGTGTATATAAGAGCCGTTCTGCATAGATAGGAGAGTGTGCGTAATGGAAACGATAGAGTTTTCGCGTAACGTAAATATAAAAAGCCACGTTGACACCGATATCGATGTATGCAAGAGAATGTGTTTGGCAGTAACAACGATAATACAGGTTTTAAAGGAGACAAAGAATGCACGGTAGAGCAATTGATTAAAGAGATCTACATACACCTCTGTATACCTTACATAATAATGAATGAAACTTGTATCAGATATTCATTTGATTACACATATACACACTCCTAACAATTTATTTAAAGGAGTTGTCTTTTTTAAAGACACATTCTTCTTTTGAATCAAAACGCACTACCACCTCGTCTTTGCAATCCAAATAAAGAAATTCTTGTGTTCCCTCATTTCTTTTTAGTTTTTCACAATTTATATTTTTTTTTCCTCTTCTCTTTTCCTTCTATTTGAACATTGTATGAAAACTGTGTAAACCAGATTCCATTTTTTGTTTTGAAATCAGAAAAGAGTAGAAAAAATGGATTCCAAAAAGTTTTCACCCCATCTCAATAGCAATACTGAATCTCAACCTCAACATGTAGAACAAATTCCGAACAGATCTACTTCAAATCGTCTTGTCTCTTCACATCTTATACCACCTGTTACAACAAACAGAACACATAACGATACCTCCACAGACGAATTAAACAAAAACATTAGTTCAGATTATCAAGATATACAAATCCGTACCTTAACGAAATGGATAAATGTTCAATTAAGCCAAGTAGACGAGCATATCGATAGCATAGATAAAGATTTAAAAAATGGCAAGAAGCTTCTGAAGCTGTTATCTGTTGTTTCAAAGAATACTTCTGCTTTGAAACCAGAGAGGGGTAATATGCGAATTCATGAACTTTCAAATGTAGCACTAGCATTGAAATTCCTACAAGATGAATGGGGTGCCGATAGTTTACCTGCTATTGGAAGTGAGGCAATTGTAAATGGCGATGTAAAAAGCACTTTGGCAATAACTTTCTTCATCATGTTAAAGTACCAAATACATCCAATTTTACTGGATAATCCAGAATTTAATACAAAGAAATCCAAGCAAGATAATGTAAATGCCCTTTATTTTTGCTGTACATATTTTTTTATTTTTATTTTTTACTAAATCTCTACCAACAGCTCCAAGTACCACCTCCGTCTCCTTTACCCAGTGTCAGCGCGTCTCGTGGTGGTGGAAAACCAATGGCGGAAGCAAAGTTAGCTCTACTCTATTGGGTTCGAACACAACTAGAAGATTATGTTAGCAATCATATTATTACAACGATACAAGATTTTTCCAGGTCATGGCGTTCAGGCTTAGCGTTTTGTTTGTTAATACATCGACATGATCCAGATTTAATTCCAGCTCTGTTTACTGACCATATACAACATGCATCAGAAAAGGAAACATGGAATACTCTCTTGACTTTAGCATTTGAAATTGCGGATGAACAGTTAAATATACCAAAGTATTTAGAGCCTGCTGATTTAATCAATGTGGACTATCCGCATGAGCCTTCCGTTATGATGTACGTTAGTGAAATGTATAAAGTCATGTCTCAACAACAACAAAAACAGCAAAGCGATAGTTCAACGTTGCAAAAGAGGTTACAAGATATTGCATTGGTGTCCCCTCTAGTTGAACAAAGCATTGTTGTACCAGATAAAACGGATAAGCACCAAGACATTACACACCAAGACATTACACCACCTGATTCAACTACAACACCTGATGATGAAGAAGAGGAGGAGGATGAAGAACTACCAAGTACACCTCAGCCGGAATTGTTGTTTGATGATCATGATGATGTGTACCAACAATTAGATATCTTGTCATCATTATTAACAACCCAAAACGAAGAAAAAGAAATTGGGCAGCAACTACAGGATACGCAGCAATCAAGATTGTTACTTGATCATGCACAAAAAGTCATCAATAAGTTAGATCCATCCTCAGAAGAGAAGCAAATTCTGACCAATCGTTATAACCAGTTACGATCCGAATGGGAAACTTTATCAAAGCGTTTAAAAGTTACCCAGCACACATCCAATTATTTTAACGAGAGTGATACCTCTATGCTGATAAGGTCACAGTTGAAAGAGTGTAATATATCGATTCATCCGCTGGACGGAACGCTAGATATGGCTGCTGATTTTGAACGTTCTATTTCCCATGTATCAAAATTCATAGAAACCGAAGAGTTTCAAAATAATCAGGATCATCCCGTAGTATCCGAATTCAGATCAATTCAATTGGCCTGTCAATTGTTTAGACGTGGTGTCACTTTTGCTCAGATAGCTTCGGCTATTAATGACGAATTGGAGGTCGTTCAACAATTGATGTCGAATAGCGGAGTGAATAAAGCAGTCGTCACTGATGATTTAATTCAAAGTTTGGAACAACGTGTCCACGTAGTTAATGCCACAATCCAAGGCATCAGAGAAGAATATACCGACATATTACGTTACGATACCAACGAAAAGTATTTTGACCGTTTTGTGAACCATATTGATGATATCGAAGATCGTTACGAAACTGTACGTGATTGGGTTGATCAAGTTAGAGTCTGGTTTGTGGAAGCAGAAAGAATCCGTACATGGATCGACAAGCAAATTCACGTTATCGAAGAAAGAAACGAATCCGACACGTTTAATCCCGTATCTCGAGACATCACTATTGCAGATACAATGGTTATTCATGTGCATGAGGAACACGAAAGGTTAAAACAGGAAATTGACCATTTTGAGTCTGATGATATGAATAGACTGCGTGCTCATGTCAAGATGTTGACCCAGTCGGCCACTTCAACAGATGAAATACTTGGTGATGATCGACACGATTTGTCACCAGCAGATACGTCCACAATTGAAATCACTCTTACAACTCTCAACATGTTAAACCATTTGACTCATTTATTGACAAAAAGATCACAGTTAATTGAATTGCTACTTTTACGTGTTAAATGGGAAGGCTTATTTGGTAATGCTGTTCAATGGATCGCACAAACTGATGGAGAGTTGGATGGATTTCTAAGGGGTAAAGCAAGATGGTCTGAAAAAGAAGAGTCGAGTTATGGATCTTCTGATGATGATGATGGCATTGAAGGTGTGATCAAAACTTTAGTAAGTTTAGAAAGGAAAATTGCTGATTTTGATCATGCTGCATATTCGGATGTACTTGACGCGTACCAAGAAATGGAAACGTTAAAAAACTCTTCATTGCCTGATTATTTGGAAATGCGTCAACTAGGGTTTGAAAAAGCTTTTGAAGATCTGATGAAGAGATCCGGATTCAGTAGAAAGGTAGTGGAACAATTACTCTTTATGATCAATACTGTGGATAAATTCAAAGAGCTCCGAGATGTTGGAGAGCGCCTCCGATACCATCTTTTGAAAGACGCAGAGGATAAAATCGTACAAGATGATGAAGTATACGCCGAACAAGTCCAGCTATTTAAAGAAGAATCGGCACGTCTCATTACAAGTTCCGAGGCTTCTGTTCCTTATCCTTCTGTTCCAGAGATGTCTACCGCTATAGGAGCGAATGACCCACACGATAATCAGATTACCAATGAAAATATTCGTAGTGCCATTAGTGCGTATAGTATGTCTCTTGCTTTAATTGCAGATGGTTTAGATCAGTTACTCATGTCACGTTATCAGACAATGTCTCTTCAGCAGCGCGCACAGGAAGCATATGATGCTATGACAAGGGCCAAGTCTTGGATGGAAGAGCGTATCAAGTTATTGGGAAAATCTCGTTTTGATTTAATGTTGTACACCAACCAGAAGCAATCGCCTTCCAATTCAACTACTTCTATAGATGAATCGAAACAACCTAAAAACAACAATTCCAACAATTCTAGTGCTACGTTATCAACTACTACAGCCGCTGCTTCCGTTGCTGATGACGAAAATTTATTGCGTCTAGAAAAGGAACGAGATGGCATTGATATGCGTTTGCAACAAATGGAAAACGACGATCTAGCCAAATTGTTTGAATCTGTTCGTGTTCTGGAATATGATGTGGATGCTTCAAATGCTGTTTCAATTGATCGCGATCATCTTGTCAATGGCGTTGAAAGTTTAGAAATGACTCACCAACAGCTAAAGGATTTGTTGTTATCTCGTGGGCTCCAATTAGATGCACTTAAGAAACGCATCGATTGGGAGAGTCAATACTCTAAATGTAATAACCATCTCAACACAATCGCGCGCAAGTTGTGTGATTTTAATGTCAAAAAGGCTCGCTATGATCCTTCGAAAGAAAACGTGGATAAGCCGTCTTATCAAAACGACCATGAAAATATGCAATCCTTACAGTTTATTCAAGACCGTGTAGCTGAATTAGGTGACCGACACTTGACATCTCTTTCTGAATGCTATCAAGAAATGCTTGAAAGCTATTCTCGACTTGACAATGGTGGTACCGCTATACCTGAATTTGTTTCTCAAAAGCAGGCTGACATAAAAACCGAATATGACGATCTCAAATATCTTTCTTCGTATACATCGGATCTCATGACCCAACGCTCTACTATCACGGAGTTTTTATTACGTGTTCAAGATGCCCATCATGAAGGTGAAAAAATTAAGGATGCCGTCAACAAAAGAACACGTCGTATCATGATAAAAGAAGAAGAAAATGTAACTACTTTGGATGATCATGTTTCTGCATTTAAACAAGAAATCAAGAGCATTTGGGAAGATTGTGTCAACAACATGTCGTATCCTGTGTACAATGGCAATTGGATTCGATCTACTTCTCATGCATCAGCTGTGCCCACTGGATCTTCATTTTCAGAGATCAACACTGCCGGTAATAATGCCGCTGGATTGTATCGCTCTCAGATCCGAGCTCAAATCAAGGCTTTATTGGACAGAAAGATGGAGGAATTGTCTGCATTGGAAAAATCAATTGATCAATTGTTAGAGGTCTATCGTGATGCTGACAGAATGAAGGCTCTTGTCACCCAATACGAACAGGAAGCTTGTCAATTGGGTCAATGGATCGATGAACAAATTGAGGCTCTTAAACGTCAACACGTTGATGTTTCGGCTGAAAGTTTCTTGGCTCGTGGCATGAACATATCTGACCTGAAAAAATCCAGATTAGACCTGTTTTTGCAAGTAGAATCTTTTGAAGGGAATAAAGTTAAAGTTTTGCATGACAAAATTGCCCGTTTGGTAGAAGACTCTGTGGAAAAAAAGAAGAATAAATCTGTCGATGTTTCTTCTGCCGCGCGTAACTTGGGCGATGTAATGGAACATTTATCTCAATTAAAGCGTGGTCTTTCTGATCAAGCTGTTACTTTGGAAGCTGCTAGCATGAGATCCGAATGGGAGAAGAATTTACAGTTGGGTATTACTCGTTTAGAAGAAATGAACGAACAACTTCGTCAATTCACCACAAAGAAAAATCAATGGATTTCTCAAGACGATCTTTCCGAAGAGCATGTATCTACCTTACAACAGGATTTGAATAAGCTTATTGCGCAAAGAAACAAGTTTGAAAAATCCATACTGCCTGGCATCCAGTTAAGCTACGACGCATTTGTAGAATACTTTCCTAAATTATCTAGACCTATTGCTACTCCTGATCATTTGGAAGCTCGTATGGAATCTTTAGGTAGAGCTTCAACTCGTCTTCAAGAAAATGTGGCCGCTCGTTCCAAAGAACTCGAGTTAATAAAACAACGTATTCGATGGGAGGACGCCGTGAAGCAAGCTCTTGTTTACCTTTCTGAAAAAGAATTGCTAATCGAAGTATTTATTGAAGAAAAGGCTAGATGGCACAATGACACTGCTGAAAACCTGTCTTCAGTTCATGACGACGACGATGAATCCAAGCTTCGTACAGAATGGTCCACATTATACACTGATTTCAAATCTTATGAAGAAGATGTGATTATTTCTATTCAAAAAAGGTTCCAGTCTTTAGTCAATGAAACAACTGATCATTACAACAATACAAGTGTTTCCCTTCTTCCAAACGCATTTTCAAAGAAAATGCAGGATTTGCAATCCGCTCAAGACCGTGCCGGCTACTACTTGAATTTCTCAAATGAGGTAGTAACCCAAAGATGTTTGGTTTCTGCTTTCATTTTGAGAACTGCTCAACTCGAACAGTCTGCCGAATTAATCCGCGAAGAATTTATCGCTACCAAAGTAGCTGGCGAGACAGTTCAGATTGCAGGTCTTTTGGAGAGCCATACGGAGAGATTACAAAAGTTCAAAGATGGAATTGATGATGTTCGTCAGAATCTTGCCACTAGTATTCCGTATCCTGTACGTTCTTTGGAAAATATTTCTACTCAAGCCAAGCTCAAGGATGAAACCACCAATTCTGTAATCCATGAGACGATCGATATGAGAAACACTCGTCTGGACGAAATATGTAATAGTCTCCAACAGCTGCTTGAAACTAAGGAACGTGTATCTCGCCGTCGATTATCTTTACACTCATACAAAAAGCAGGCTCAGGTTGCGGAAGCTTGGATTGGTTCCCGTCACGAGATTTTGAGCCGTAGCAATTCTTATGTTATCAACAAGGACTCTGCTGTAAATATTGAAAAACTCAAGGAGGCCGTAAGCCAAGCGGATAGTGTTGAGCAAGCCATGAAAGCCAATGAAAGCGTGTTTACCTCATTAAATACCACTTTCGATAAATGCATCACTGCATTCGAGGACAAGTCATTGGATCAAGAAGAGGTGCAAGATGAAGGGCACCATGAATTGGTCAAAGAAATTGCTGATATTGTTGAACCTACACAAAAGCGTTTGAGCCAAGCATGGAGTACTCTTTTAATCGAAGCCGGTGAAACCACTAAGAACACTACAGCTTTGTTGATCGAAAACAAGATTCAGAGCTGGTTGAATACTCTAGACGACCTGAAAACTCGTGTTGGGACTGCCGATAAGGGTGATGACGATCAAATCTCTACGTGGGTCGATGAATTGGACAAATTGGAACAACAAGAGTATCAAAATTTGGCTGCCGATGTTGATGCTAACAAGATGGTACTAAACAAAGAACAACTTGAGAATGTTCAAAATCTTTTTGAGATTGGGCTGTCAACCATTCAAATTGTTCGAGCAATCCTTGTTGAAATGGAACATGAACTTCATCTCGGTCAGCTCATTGAAAAATACCTGGCTGATATATCTGATTTGGAAGTATCAATCCAATCACAGATTGACCAGCTTAACAAGACCAACGAAAGTCATGTTCGTATTAATTGTGAAGCAACACCCGATGTAAGAAATAACGAATATCAAATCCTTGTAAGCGAATATAAGCAAGCCAGTGATACGATAGTAGATTTGAAAGATGCTCATAGTGATGTTAATGCCCAATACAGCACAATCTTGGAAAATGATGACACTTATAGCAATAAGACTCAAGAAGAGGTATCGAAAAAATGGGAAAACCTCTTATCTTTGGAATCTATGGTCGCTGGTCTTGTATCTCGTTCCTCGAAATGGGTTAAGCACTTCAATTCTTTAGTTATCATTCGTGACGAACTCGATCTGGTTCAGTCCAAATTAAATACAACTCTGGATAAAACTGAAGAGGAAAAATATGCTGAATATAAACAGATTAATGAACAACTTAGTCAAATCGACTCTTCCCTCAAAGGTGAATTATCTAGTTTATTGGATGAGTTGCTTGATGATACAGTCAACTCAGAACCTTTTGAAATCCAGCGTACTACTTGCTTGAATTTGAAGAACAAATTGAAATTGGAATTAGATCAAAAAATGACAGAGGTAGAGAAATCGTCTTTGCTTCAATCAATTACTGCTATTGTGAAGCGCCTTTGTGAAGAATGTGATGCTCAGCTAACTCTCGCCAATAACCATTGTTCCAGCACAGTTTTTCTCGACGGAGTTCAAACCACTATCAAAGCTTGTTCTGATATAGTCAGTGCAAACAATTTGGTGCAATCGAATATTCAAAATGAAGTAGATGCATTGCGTATGAATCAATGTGACAGTCTTTTAACTAAACTCAATTGTAAGGAGGATGAAATTGACAGCTTTATCACACCTGTGTCTTCACTTTTGGAAAAATTGGATCAAGCTACTAAATCTGAAAAGGAATGCCTCTCCTTGGCGAAGCTTTTCTCTCAGTACTTAACATCAGAAAAGTGTTTTATTGATACTGTTACTGCCAATAGTTTACAACTTGCAAATGATAATGATATCACTGAAGCCATCGTATCACATTTGGAAGCCCAACTGGAGTCGCTAGATGACAACAAGAAAGAGCTTTATAACTTGGAGAACGGTATAGTTCATTTCGAATTTAACGATCTGTTATTATCTGATATTCGCATGACCAATATTTCTTCAACTATACAAACATGCAAGGAGGAAGTTCATAACAAGTACGATGAATTCGTTACAGCGCTACGTCAATCAAGATATGATATTGAAAAAGTGAAACAACGTCAACAAATTATTATCAAATTGAATGACATGATCGCATTTATCGCAGATATGAGTGACAGGGTAAATGTATTGCAACTATCTGGTAAATCTGTTTCGGCTGCAGAAGAACGTGAATTCAAGGAACTCTGTCAAGACTTTTACCAAACATTGTCAAAGAAGACGGCTGTGTCCGATGGTCTAATTCAAGATTACGATGGATCAAATAACGATGAAGAGATCAAGGAGCTTCAGGAACGTTTGTCTACTGATCTTGCTGCCCTTAAGATACTGATCAGTATCAAGAAGAAGGAAGCTTCTGACGAAGGAGATCTCACTGAATTCCTTTCGATTATGAGCGAGTTTGATCAACATATTTCAATTGTGACTTCTGCTATCGAAAATGCATCTCCCCACCATTCGGGTATTGTCAATAACAAGTTCGTTAAGGCAGACCTTCAAGCTTTGTTGAGATCTTTGGTTGCCGCTTATAAGCAGCATCAACAAATCATCAATGGTGTTTTAGAACGAGCGCTTACTGAATCGAAGAAACAATTTTTGGGCGATAACCAACGGGTTGCCAGTAGTATCAAAAAGGCCACTAAGAAATGGACCCAAGTCCAAGCTGCTGCTGCTGCTCGTGAGAGAGAACTGCAAACATGCATCGGAAAATTAGATCACGAATTTTTTACCAAGTTAGCTATGGCTAAAACAACAACTAAATCTTCCCGTCATGTATTGCCACCACAACCTCCCGCATTGAAAAGACATCATGCACCGGCAACCGGAAGACACTTTGGCAGTGTCTCGCCTTTCCCAAGACGAAGTGTTGACGAGACTAACAGAAAATCATCAAAAACGCCTGTTTCGGCATCAACATCAGCTAGCAGACTCACTCGACCATCTTATGTTCCGGACCCTAGAAATGCTCTTGATATTGAATTAGGTCATATTGTAAATGCATCTCCTTACAAAATTACAGTTAAGATTGTTCCTGATCAAGTTGGAAAATATTGGTTTGGAGATGAGAATCCCAGACTTGTCTATTGTCGTATCCTCCCTAGTCAATTGGTGATGGTTCGTGTTGGAGGCGGTTGGGTTGAGTTATCAAAGTAAGTCATACATTGATTCGAAAGATTCTGGTACTAATACTTTCTTTCCTCTTCAGATTCTTAAGAGATCACGGACTCACAGAAGGTGCACATTCAAGACCCGAATCTTCCAACGATATTGTTATCAATCAGACCAGTGAGCCTGCTCCATTCCAAGAAAGTTATTTACAAACACTAAGATCAGCTTCCCCTTCAGGACGCGTTACAATTCGTGGCGGCGGCGTTGGAGGTAACAGCAGCAGCCTAGCTTCAACAAGATCATCCAGCAAATCGTCAGGAAGTAGATCTAAATCACCTTTACCGGGATTTGTAAATGGAGACAAATATATCAGTGTAGATGAAGCCGGTAATCATGTGGTTGTAAAAATGAAAAAGGCCGAGAGCGACGCTAAAATGCCCATTATCAAGAAGAAACAGTAAACAGTATAAATAACAAAAAAAATTAAAAGTACACATTAGAGCCATCCTCATTTGCATAAATCATACACCAACACATATCAAAACATTTCCGTAATTTTTTTCAAATTAAATTAGTACATAATACATATCCATTTTTCGCTATTTTCAGATAAATAACAGTAATAAATAATACCAATATTAAAAAAAAAAAAAAAAAAAAAATAAGAAATAAATTTATTATATTATGTGGATTACAATGCAGGGGAGTTGAACCTTGTTCTCTTTGATCTTGTTGGGATACGAATGACAGCATTATACGCTCTGCAGTTGTGAATAAATTGTGAGACTAATTCAGCATGGTCGTTGTAGTTCGCTTCACTGTCTTCTTTCTTATCTACACCGTCATCGTCATCTTCACCTTCGTTGTTATTAAGACTTTCTTCTTTCTCTTCCTCTTCGTCAGATGAAAACAAATCTCTTCTTCTCTTCCTAGTTCTCATTCCTTGTGATGATCTAGCGATGCTTAATCTTGCTGATTTACGGGTACCCATATTATCATTGTATTCACTGTCAGAGCTGGAAGATGTAACGATATCTTCTTCACCAGATACATATTCTTCATCCGAAATGCTTATCTTTTTTGTGTCTGGATTCTTTTTATTAACCTTGATAATAACTACCGGTCCATCCCCATCGGAATCGTATTCACTACCGGTTTCAGGCGCTACTTCGTCGATAACAATATCACTTGAACTGTCCTCTAATTCGTCGTCTTCAGAAGATTGCACTTCAAAGCTAGGAACAGGAGACTCGGGTACTTCAGGAAGAGATGACGTATCGATATCAATAAGCTCAGAGTCCTCAGTAATCTCTGCTGCAACGTCCTGTTTGTTGGGAACCTCAACCTCATCATCGTCACTATCCTCGCTGTCGTCGCTGTCATCGCTGTCATCGCTGTCATCGCTGTCATCACTATCTTCATCTTCATTGACATCACTATTATCTTCAATTTCGATCATTTCAGCATCTTTCATCGTTTCTGCAGGTTTATTGAGATCATTTTCACAGTCTCCATTATCTTCGGCTTCAGTCTCTTTGGTTAAGTATTCCACATCTTCAAAAGTCTTTTCTACTTCGACGATCTCTGTTTCTTCGACAGAACCGTGATCCTCTTCTTCGTCATTTTTACCGTCCTCCCCCACATCAGTTACGTCAACGACATCATTGTCTTCTTCGGAAATATGAGCTTCTTCTATCCTATCAGCTTCTTCCTCGATTTCAGCTTCTTCGTCACTTTCAATATTTTCATTCTCTTCAATTACGGACTTTCCAGTCTCAGTTTCTTCAACTTCTTCGGCCTCTTCAATCTCCTCGGCATCGTCCTCAACCTCCATAATTTTTCCAGTTCCTTCATCGGCGCTAGAATCGTCTTCGTCTGAAGCTTCGCTGGCAAGGCAAAAATAAACGTCGAAAGGTAGGCTTTTCGAGACCGAGAATGAGCGGATCAAATCGGCTTTGATAACTAACGTAATGCGTGCAGAGGATTCATTCTCGTTGGTTGCCATATCGTAGACAAATATGTTATTATCCATGAACATTCTGCCTCTCTTTGATTTGTCTTTACGTTTTGAACGGAGTTTTCCAGCATACCCTTTAGTGTCATCCAGGACGAACTTGAATCTAGTGATATTCCTCTTCTTCATATTTTTAGAAAGCTTGCTTGAATTATTCAATTTACAGTCTTCGATCAGCAAAGTTTCCAGTTGATAGTTTTCAAATGAGATTGTACTTTCAATATCAGAACCGGATTTTCCAATTCGGCAACTAGTCAGAGCCACATTTTTCAAGTTGGGAAGTTGAGAGCTTAACTCATTGAACACGTTCCCATCAATGTGTACATTATGGAGTGCAATTCGATTTAAATTCTCGAATGCGCCATAGCTGAAGAGATTACTGACTAAAACACCCTGACGCTTTTCAAACCCCAATTCCAATGATGTCAAATTAGGCAAGACCATCAATACTTTTAAAATGTCCATCTTTGCATCAACTTCCTCCCACAAGTACGAGAGCTCCTTGAGAGATTCTAATTTACGAAGAAGTCTGACGTCTTCATACTTTCGGGTTGTTACAGTAAGAGATTCCAAGGAGTGTTGATAACTTTCGGTGATACGATTAAATATGGAAGTTACGGTTGTTTGTCCAAGGAACTTGACGGTCTTTAAATTGCGGCAGGTCTTAACTATATGTCTGAGCACCGTGTCAATATCAATCCAGTTTGAAAAGTTGCTGATCTCCAAAGTTTCCAGGTTGCTAAAGTTCAGTTCGTTTTCTCTAAAAACTTTCTTTATAATACTGCCACGATCCTCTCTGTCGTTTTTGGCCACTTTTGGTAGCACCAATGTTGTCATCCCCAGTCTGAACGATTTGATGGTTTTGTGGTAGGATCTAAATAAAAATGCTAAAAAACTTGATGGGCAAATAACTGGATTGGTAAATGTGATATCTAATGATTCCAAACAACTTTTTTTAACAATAGCATCTCCATATTTCTCCATCTTGAATTGAAGATCTTTGATAGAGACAGATTTTAATTCGGGTAAAACATCATGCATAGTAACCATATCCTCGGCTGTTAAGGCAGTCTTCCTCTTCCTGTGGGCGTTATAAACCATTTTGATGTTAAGGCTTTCGTCGTCGTCTTCTGGTGTCATGATAAGAACATTTGGGATCACTCTTGACTTGTTTGCATTAATGTTGTGGATCAGTTTTTCAGAAACCAAATGTTTAAAAACCGCCAATTGTTTGCCATTTAGTGTAGGAAGGCTGTCAATCATTTTCAAGTCCTCGATTAAACGTTCTTTCCACTGGTGATCACTCAAAGGATCTTCAACAGAGGCTCTGGCATTGTCTGCAATGTTATTTAATTCGTTGTCGTAAACCAAGTCAATGGAATCAAATAGATCACCGGCCAAAATGCTTTCAACTGTTTTCAGAAAGTTACTTAGAATATCAGTTTTATCAAAACGCGCGTTTGATTTGTCCCACGGAAAAGTGTTCAACCATGCTTGACACAGATGAGGACAAGGTAGGGATAGGTCTGTTTTGTGGTTGCAGCTAATGTTATTAGCGTCTTCTGACATTTTTTTTATATATTCGTATTTAAATAGAAACAAAAACTTTCCTACTTAACCTGAAGAACTTTTAATTTTGTGACTGTTTTCACAAAAGTAGTCTTGATTGTATTTTCACTGCATGATTTAGTATCGTGATATCTCGAACAAAGAATTCAAACTTAAACCCTAATATAATTTGTGGTCGCTACTTAGTTGCAGGATAAATAGCTTGGTTGTGAGTGCATGGGAACCTCAAATAAGAACAGGTAAATATTTTTTCAAGCTGTCCACGTCCTGTTATGTCGAAAAAAACGTGATAAAATTAAATGAATTGTTTGAAGCCTGATAATTTATTGAGAATTATAGATAGTTGAAAGTGTGTGCAATATTATTTCGTTAGCAGCCCTGCTAAGTTTTCATTAAAGCTGACCGTTCCTGCTACATATGTTACGGAGCTCAGAATAGCTGCAAGCTCATTCAATCACGTGTCTTTAACTATTTTAACTTGTTTTGAATCATTAAAAAAATCCAGTAGGTATAGATACCTAGAATGTATGTCCAAGTACAATCCTTAAATTCCTGTCAAAAATCCAACTACCTTTATCTACATATAAGAGTACTGTTCCCTAGACGTACATCGTAATGTGACATATTCGGGTTGATCTAAAAAGTTGTTACTTGATATCTCTCTGAGGAAGATCAAACAGGTTTAATTGTAATTGAAGCTCAGAATTATACGGAAGATTTTACAAACATTTATATACCTGTACATATTTATTTTTGGCAAGCTTTTCTATCCACTTTAAGGGCTTTTACTAAATTCGTCTTTATCAAATTTTGTAGTAATGTGTTAAAACTTCAAACATCCGTTAGTTTTTTTTTCTCCAGGGGAATCAGGACAACGGTTGATCCAGTTGAAAGGGTCATTTTTCTTGAGATTGTTGTTAGTGGTCTCATGTTTTCCGCAATTTTTTCTGGTTGGATAACTTGATTTTCAAGAGGTACACAATGACACTTAGTTTTTTCTAAATACTTCCATACGATAGTAAGGACTCTAGCATTTTCTCACTATTAGCACCGCGTTGGTTCTATTCGCCTCTCTCAACAGATATTTTTATCTTCACCCCTTCACAAACAGCCTTGCTAACAAATGAGCCCACAATGTTTGTGTCATATTCTTTTTCAGCAAGCTCTTGTTGGGTTGGAAGATAATTGCCAGCAATGAAAAATCCAGGGATACCATTCTCAGCAAAGTTGTTCAAAAGCCATGTTTTTAAATCCCTAAGACAATAATGTGAGTATGCAACATCAAAAGTTGTTTCTCTTACTTACCATGTTATAGCCATTTTGAAAATAAAGAATAAGAAAAAAAAAAGGGTTAATAAATCACGCAAGTCGAATAATTTCTGAATAAAGTGTATCATTGTAGCACATTAAAAAATTCGTATAAATATTATAATTTTTTTTTTCTTTTCTTTTCTTTTCCTTTTTTTTTTTTTTTTTTTTTACGTGTAATTCATAGCCAACGTATCCATGGTTCTTCCTACGGTTGCTGTTATAGGAAGCGGGTATTCTTAATTTGATAACAAACATGAATAAAACAGGCATTGAACTTTTATTTTAGTTTCAGTGGTTTAAATTCTGCTATCCAGCTAAAGAAAAAGCTTGGCATCGCTGCCGAAATTTTTGAAGCCACAAAGGATATTGGTGGTACCTGGAATTATAACACCTATCCAGGTCCAAAACAACAACAAGAACCGACAAAAAAGACACTGACTTTTTTTAATGATAATAGGATGTGCTTCTGATATCGAGAGTCATCTTTACTCTTTCAGTTTCGAGCTGAATCCAAGTAATATAAATAATTTTTATTTTTCAGACCCTTTTTTATGTCTAACGGACTACCTCTAGATTGGAGTCACAAATACAGTCCACAAAAAGAAATTTATGCATACCTTCACAAAGTAGCAAAGAAATACGATGTTCACAAGCAAGTTCAATTCAGCACTAACGTTATCCGTGCTACTTGGGTTCAAGAAATAAAAAAGTGGGAGCTTGAATTAAGTCAACCCTCAGTTGATGAAAAGAATCAGATCAGACACTTTGACTTTATGTAAATATTACATTGTACACATGGAAGAATAATCTTAACATGATGATAGATTTTCGAGTATTGGTACTTTACGGGTGCCTAATATTCCAAAGCAGTCTACTTCATTTGAAGGAAAAATCATTCATTCGGCATCTTGGGACCACAATTATGATTTGACCAATAAACGTGTAGCTGTCATTGGTAGTGGTACAAGGTAAACAAATCAATAGTTTAATGATTATTTTGTCTCTCTCTCTCTCTCTCATGCCTCTCTGTTAAATATATAGCGCAATTCAAATTGTTCCCAGTATCTTGGATAGAGTAACCCATCTTTCTAGTTTTCAGCGAACGCCAGCTTGGGTAGCTCCTCGACAACAATTCGCCTACTCTCCATTTATCCAATGGTGTTTCACCTATATTCCTTTTCTCATGTTTTTTTATCGTGCCTATATTTTTTTTTCTTCGGATTTTTCTTTTAGTCGATGGGGAAATGCTTCTTCTAAAAAAGCTATTGAATCAAGAGCTTCTATTAAACGTTACATGGAATACATCATGACAGCATATGGTCGGGAAGACCTCATTCCTAAATTGATTCCGGATTTTCCAGTAGGTTGTAAACGGATCGGTATCTCTGATAATTATCTCGCTGCTCTTTGTTCTCCCAAAACAAGTGTGCTTAGATCTCCCATCAAGATAGTCCAAGGAAGAACAATTACAACCGAAGATGGTGTAGAGACAGAAGTGGATGCCTTGATTTTAGCCACAGGGTTTAATATCACCGGCTTTTTGGGCGAGTTGAAAGTATATGGAAAAGATGGTGTATCGTTAAATCAACTGTGGGAAGAGAATGTCCCCAAAACTTACAGAACAGTTAGTGTGCATCAGTTTCCCAACTTGTTTATTTTACTAGGTCCTGGATCTGTATTGGGTCATAACTCCGTAGTAACCATCTCTGAGAGGTATTTTGTATAGAAAACAAGGAATAGTTTGTTGTAGATACTCAGCTACTTTCTTCGTCTAGTCAAGTGGATTATGGTATCAGAATGATAAAATACATGATGAAGAATAAAATTGCTAGTTTAGATCCTACGGAAAAAGCACAAGCAAAATTCTCTGCCGACCTTCAGAGTAAATTCGAAGGAACTGTATGGAAAGGCGGATGTCAGTCGTGGTACATGAATAAGGATGGTGAAATCCAATCTCTTTGGCCTGAATCCGTTTTAAAGTTTATTGCTATGCTTCGCCGTGTGGATTATGAGTCTGATTTCATCAAAGGCTAGATATACTTGTATAGTTTTTTTTTATTACATAAAAAAAAGAGGTTGAGGTGGGGTAGAAGGAGAACGAGGGCAAGTAAAAGTACGTTGTTTTGTTTCGTTTAGTTTTTTTTTTTTACCTTTTGAATTTACTTTCTAATAAAGACAGCTTTTTCATGGCATGATCAAGAGATTTTTGTAATTCATCTTGTCCGTTGGTACGGCCTAATCTGGCACGAGCAGCCATAGTCCTCTTTGTACTATTGATGAAATTTTGCTCTTTTTGAATTTCATTCATCATGCTAGCTTCCATTGATTAGTTTTTTTGTGTTTATATAAACTCTTTTTAAGAAAAAAAGCCGATTTCATTCTATTCTTTTTATAGTATTTACCCAAGACTTCTCTTTTCTTGATCAAAATAAGTCGGCGGTGTAGGAAAACGAATTGCGTCCAAAGGTGGTGTTGTTGGTGCATCTCTTGTTGATTTCTTTGAATCGTCAATATAATACAGCCCTTCCTCCGTATATTGATTCACTTGTCTTTCAAAGGTATATTTCTGGAAACACTTGACTTCCTTTTTTAAACGCATGACTTGTCTTTTTGCAAATGCTAGTTTGTTTTCAGACGCTTCTAATGCTTGTTCTACTTTTCGCAAGGAGTCACGGTCTTTTTGCCACATACTAGATAAAAGAGATCGACCTTGACCTGGTGAATCATCTATTTTATGAGGTGTAGCTGCAATAGGTATATTAGGTAACGATTTATTGGTTCGTTTCATCCGAAGTGCAATAGAATTGTGTTGCTTTAATTCGTTTTTCAATTCAGTGCATTCAGATTGTAATCGGTTGACCAACATGGAATAATCATTGGCTTGTTGTTCCAATAATTCTCTGGATTGTTCAGCTTCTGTTGATAGTCTGCTGTTTAAATCCGAAATGTGACAATTGAGTAAATCCAACTGTTGATGTAATTCATTTTTAGTCGCTGTTAATTGTTTGTTTTGATTTTCGAGGGATGGTATCTTTGACAGTAAAGCATGATTCTCTTCTTGAAGATGTGTGTCTTTCTGTTGGTGATCAAGCATATTTTGTTGAATCCTGGATTGTTCTTTCGACATGAGACCCTTAATATCCGACTCCAGCTCTCCATTATCCATGCATAATAAATTATTTTTAGCTTCTAGCTCTTGATTAGATTGTTGCAATGATAAAACAGTGTCTGTTAGTTTTTTGATATTTTCCTCCAATGACTGATTTTTTGATTCTAGCATCTCTGTATTTTCTTCCAACCTTGATTCTAGCATTTTTGTATTTTCCTCCAACCTTGATTCTAACACTTTTGTGTTTTGCTGTAAAGACTGATTTTTCGACTCTAATGCTTTTGTATTTTGCTCCAATACTTGATTCCTTAGTTCTAACATTTTTGCATTTTGTTCTTTTGACTCGAGCAGCGTTGTACTTTGTATCAGTGACTGATTTTTTGACTCTAGCTCCTTGTTGCTTAATTCCAATTTCTGTGATAAAAGCTCGCATATTTTATTCTTGGATTCCAGTTCTTTTATATACAACTCCAATGTCTGATTCCTGGATGCCAACTCTTCCCATGACTTTTTTTCTGATTCGAGGACCTGGATACGTTGTTCCAAAGCCTCTCCATTTTGTACGGAGGATTGAAGTTGTAGCCATGTTTTCTTTTCCTTTGTTACGGATGCATCCACTTGTAGCCGAATTTCGGCCTGTGTTGACTCTAAACGTGCGATTGTCTGTGCTTGATCCTGTACTAGACGCGATTTATCTTCCAACAACTTTTTGAGATTGGAATCTGTAGGAGTTAGATTTGTTAGAAATGCACGATTTTGACTGGTAAGTGTCGGTGATTTATTTCTCAAGCTGCTGCATGAATAAGTGTAACCAATGTAAGGTAAATGTTTGTCCAAATCCTCTTCATCATCATCCTCTTCTTCTTCTTCTTCGTCATCATCTTCTGGGTTATGAGTAGATGCAAAGAATGTGATATCATCTTGTGACTTGATGGAAGGTATAAAAGGGGGTGTAGCACATGTATGAATTTTGTCCCACTGAATCTCCTTGAAAAAAGCGTGGGATTTCAATTGGCGCGCATCCTTGATACGTTTGTCCTTGTTTTTGGTGAGTAATTGAGTCAAAAGGTCTTTGGCTTCTTCTGAAATTGAGACACCGGGCAAGAATTCCACGGCAATATCAGGGTTTAATAAACTCATTTGAATCTGAAGATCTCGACCTGTAAATGGTGTTTGACCAAAGATGAGTTCATAGAGAACGATGCCAACAGACCACCAATCGACTTCGGGACCATAGCCGGGACCTCCATCATTAAAGTTGCACATTTCGGGCGAGATGTAAGGCATAGTGCCTACCATAAAGAGTGATTCCTTTTTATTTGTTATGGTTAGTTTTTTTTTTATTATTTAGAGTAAAACTTTGCTGTGTCTTACGGTGGTATCTATGGAGATGCAAGAGCCAAGATCGCCCAATTTGATGTGACCTTGACTATCGATAAGTATATTAGCAGGCTTGATATCTCGATGCATGTAACCCAACTGGTGGACTCTTTCTACGGCCAAGATCAATTCGGCGCAATAGAACTTGGCTTCGTTCTCTGTAAAAGAGTTATTTCTTCTGTCCATTAAATTCTCGAGGTCACCACCATGAGCGTATTCCATGACGAGGTATAAGTTTTTGGTGTCTTGGAAGGCAGCGTAGAGTTTGGGCAACCATTCTTCATCTGGGTTGGAAAGGATAAGACGCTCTTCCATAGGAGAAGAACGGTCAATTTGGTTATTGAGGTAGGATTTGTTGAGTGTTTTCATGGCGTAAATGGTGTCAGGGTCGTATTTGCTTTTAACAATGGTGACTTTTCCAAAGGCACCTTCGACAAAGGAGTCCTTGTCGAGTAGCTGAAAATCTTTTAGGGATATTTTTGATTTGGACATTTGGTGACATATCGGTTTATCTATTGAGATTATGAGTGTAAATAATAAATATAAACATGATTTATATATTTACATGTTTGTATGAATTTATTTGCGGTGTCTTGTCGGTATTGACACTTGGAAGTGTTGTTATAAAGAGTGGTTAATGCATCGATTAATGCGTCTCCATGTGTTAATTGTTGAAATACTCGTTGTTCTTTTTGAAAGCGAACGGAGGCATTATTTATCATCGGAATATTGTGCTTTTTTTATATGTATATTATTGGGAAGAAAGCGCAGAAAATATGAAAATAAAATTAAAAAGATGTATATAAACATTCTTCTTAGTTTGGAAAGTAAGACAAAAACAATAATTACTTTTTGGCTTGCTGCCCCGGGCTATTTAATTCCGACAATCAAACACGTAATCATTTGTTATTTTTTTTTTTTGTATATTTTATTTCCCCTTTTTTTTTTCTTCTGTTTTTAAAAGATGGCAGCGAATAATCTAGCACCTGATCAGCGTTATAGTCGTTTGGAAAAGTTGGGAGAAGGCACTTATGCTACTGTGTTTAAAGGAAAGAATAAGGTGACGGGCGAGATTGTTGCTTTAAAGGAGATTCATTTGGATCCAGAGGAAGGAGCACCTTCCACAGCAATTCGAGAGATATCTTTAATGAAGGAACTGAAGCACCCAAATATCGTACGCTTACAAGATATCATCCACACCGAAAACAAGCTGAGTCTTGTGTTTGAATTCATGGACCAGGATTTAAAAAAGTATATGGATTCAACAGCCAGAGCTACTCATGGCGCCTTAGACCCCAACATTATCAAATCCTTCATGTATCAGTTATTGCGAGGCATTGCTTATTGCCATGAAAACCGTGTATTACATCGAGATTTGAAACCACAAAACCTATTGATTAACAAGCACAACCAGTTAAAGTTGGGTGATTTTGGTCTTGCGCGTGCCTTTGGTATACCTGTAAATACATTCTCAAATGAGGTGGTGACTCTTTGGTACAGAGCACCCGATGTTCTGTTGGGTTCTCGCATGTATTCCACCTCGATTGATATCTGGTCTGCAGGATGTATTATGGCGGAAATGTATACTGGAAGACCTCTCTTTCCTGGTACAAATAATGAAGACCAACTACAAAAGATCTTTCGTCTATTGGGAACACCTAACGAACAGTCTTGGCAGAACATTACTCAGTTTCCCGAATATAAACCTCCTCAAGTCGTTTACCCTACTCAGCATATTTCTCAGATTTTGACCAACATTGACACATGTGGATTAGACTTATTGAATAGAATGTTACAATACCAGCCTCAAATGAGAATTAGTGCCAAGGATGCATTAAACCATGCCTATTTCAATGAAGTGCGTTACATGTTTAATGATTAAAATAAAATGGGAAAGTGAGAAAGAAAGAAAAAGAGTTTATTTATAAAGAAAATGCAATAAGAGTAAAAAAAAAATGTGGTTGAAAATGAATAGTAGTTAAGCAGGGCAAATTTGCGATGAAGTTAAAATGTACCAAGGGATTGTTGTTGCCCATCCCAATCAAACAAGTCGTCTAATTGAAAATCTTGAACAAGTGTGTTTGGTGAATAGACCGAGTCTTCGTCTGAGGAGAAACTAGGTGATAACATGGGCGATGGTAATAATAATAAATCTGTTCTTTGCTTTGTACTCTCAGTTTGTCCAACAACCTCCGCTGCAGGGAAAAAAAAAGTGTTAAAAGTCATAAAGTGAAAAAGTAGAAGGTATGTGTGCAGCATTTCCATTGGGTGGATTTTTGATTGAGTTGATTTTAGGCACACAGAAGGGAACTTTTCTCTTTTTCACAGGATGGTTTTAAACCTTCTTTCTTCGCGATCCGTGCTGAATCGCAAAAGTCATTAAACAAGATGGGAGTAGTGGCATTGAATTTAATTTGTGCTTGTAGTGTTGCTAGCTGTCTAGTGAACGCTTCTAACTGTGAATTTAAAACCGCATTTTGATCTTGTAAGGTCTTTACTTTCTTGTTGGCATTTTCATTTTCCTCCGTAAGCTTCTTGTTGGAACACTCAAGATCAGAGACATATCGACGCTTTTTATCGCGTGATTCTTGAGCTGCAGCTCGATTACGTAGGATTCTAATTGGATGTTAGTATTTGTAACCATAGTGATAAAAAAATAATCATAGTTACCTTTCTTTGGTTTTTTGGTCTTTATCGTCCAATGAGAGCCTGGATTTCTTTAGTGAGACAATAGAGTCTGAAGAAGGGTCATACTCTGATGAGGACACAGAAGAGGCAGAGGAAAAGGACGCTTGTCTCTTTTGGGGCATGGAAGAAGACAAGGGAGATAAAGGATCCATAGTGAAATCAACAGGCAACGATAATAACTCGGTCAAGTCATTAACGTTCTTATTATTATTGTTGTTGTTGTTGTTGTTGTTGTTATTGTTGTTATTCATTTTGTTTTATATACAAAAAAAAATTTTTACCACCCAATGGAAAAATATATAAAGTATAAAAAAATCGACTAGAGAAAAAAAAGGAAGAGATAGCTGAAAAAAGAAATTCTTATAGTAAATTCTTGTGTTTTTTCTAGCCAATCAGAAGTGAACACTTGTTCCAATTTGCTGCAAACACTTTTAAATACGGTGGAATGTTTAACCGTTGTAAAAGATACGTGTTCATACTCACGTGAGCAATCACACGCCGTACCAAAATAATCGTTGAATGATATCACTGCATAATATTATAAAAGAGTAGTACAACCATGAAGGGACATGAATGTTTATGACTGACATATTTCATACTGTCTTTTTTTTAATTCTTATATCCCTTGTAATACGCAAGAACAGAAAATAATCCACAGAATGTAACAAACATTTACTTTAATGCATAATGTACAACAGTGGCTGATACGTCTATTCTATATTTTAATTTTTTTTTTTTTAACTAGTTCTTTAAAATCTTGCTGATAGCATTCTCTGATATACTTTTTTTTTTTTTTTAATTTTCCTTATGTTTATTTTTAAACAAATCTTGTTACCTGGACCGTGTTTAAAAAAAGAGTTGTGGCTTTTGTGTAGCCTATCTCTCTCCGTGAAAAACTCAAAGTGTTACAAAAATCTGCAGATTTCGGGGGCATATGAAAAAAAAAAAGAGAGTTCACACCAGAAGGGGTACAGCTTTTTTCTTCTTCTTTTGTTACATGGCGCACAGACTATCGAATATTTATTTTTTCTATCTTTCTCTTTTTCTTTCTCTCTCTTTCTTTTGTTTTATACAAAACTCATGCAAGTAAACAAGTTTTTCTTTGTTCTAACGAAAGAGATGCAATATAAGCTCCGTTTAAATATTTTACGCCCGGAGATGTGTGTGACTTTGGGAACTTTTTTTTTTGCTTTTTGTCCAGGCACATTTTCGGAATATCCAAATTAGAATACCTTTTACTACTTGAAAAAAGACGTGTAATAATAGAAAGTTATAAAAGATGAATTGAATATCTATTTAGGTAAATGTTGTCACTTTTTACTTTTGATCTGGGTGTACGTAACCCAGGAAAAAAAGCCCCCTCTTCTCTTCTTGTTTGGGTTTTTTTTTTTTTGTTGTTGGTTCCCCGACCTCTTTTGTATTTAACTTTCTTTTTTTTTGATAACTTATTCTCTCTCTCTTTTCTTTTCTTCTTTTTAAATAAAAGTGTGGTGATACATTTTTTCCTGTCACATAATAATATTCATAATGAATCAAGTACATAATTCAAAAGATTGGCATTCACAAGCGCCGCTTCAAAGCCCACCTTCCGTTGATCCTTTAACATCTCCCAAACCATCGAATAACTTTACCAATTATACACCAACTTCTGCTTATCCTGAGCAACACAACATGTAAGTAATAAATCTCGTGTTTTTGTGTGTGTCTGGAGTGTCTGTGTGAGAAATAGTGTCACTCTGTCATCTAGTTTATGCTGTACCTGTCGCTGTTTTAGTGCAACAGGTACTACAACCCAGAAAATCAAGATTCTCTAACACAATCTTTAGACCTTATACCAATGCTGGCGAACCTGATACCAGTCGATTACCTGGGTAAAAAAAAAAAAAAAAAAAAAAAAAAAATATATTTGTTTGTTTATCGTATTCTGATTGGTCCAATTATAGAATGATTGCTCCATCACAACCTGCGACACCTCGTCCCGAACGTGCTGAAGCCATGTATCAACCACCCTTTCCTCGCAATACTAATGTGAGAGGAAGAACAAATCTATTTGCCAATGAAACCGGTCCCTTTTTCAGCCCTTCCGAGCCCTTTGAAAATCTTTATTCATCCGACAAGACCAGCCTGTAAAATAATGCACATAAAAAAAAAAAAAATGTCGTCATGAATCATACTCACATACTACTTTTTTTATATAGTCTATCGGTGCGTGTTCAGTCAAAGATGGATCGAGGCTTTTTTATGGCAGATGATGACTGGACTTGTTACCGTAGAAATTATTTCCAAGTCAGCAGTGTGTTTTCCATCCACGGTTACAATCATTATTACGCCATGAACGATGCACCTCAACAAGTCTTTGTGCAGACTGAAGATGGACTAGCACCCGTACAAAGATTTCTGTTAGGCGTGTCTGCACGTGTTGCTAACGGTGAAAAAGAAATTGAATTGATTCAACATACACCAAAACGCGATAAGGGTCCTCAATTCAGACCGGATCCCAAACCCATCACGCCCGGTGGTAATCTTACCATGAGTTCCGTCGCCAACAACCAAAATATCGTGACTTTTGAACGTGTTCAATTCAAGACCGCAACTGCAAACAATGGTAAACGCAGAGCAGCTCAACAATATTATCTCTGCGTCGTTGATCTCTTTGCCGAAACAGACAGGCATCAATTGGTCAAGGTCGCTTCTTGTAGATCTTCGCCCTTGGTTGTACGTGGTAGAAGTCCTGGCCATTACGCAGAAATTAGCTCTCAACCTATTCAGCAGCAACAACACACGATAACTGTTAAAAATGAGTCGATGGAAGGGGAATCAGGAAATCAACGTCAGCATGTATTTGCCACTTATTCTAAACCTGCCACACCTACGCCCTCTTCTTCTTCTACAGAATACAGTCATAGTAGTAGTAGTCAGGCTCCTTCTTCTCAACAAACCGTGTCTAACGCTTACTCCACTTATTATTCTTCGGGTGGTTATCCTCCTCATTATGCACCTACAAGCAATGTTCAACGTAGTAGTACTTCGCCTGCGTCACAACCACCTTATGCACAACCCAATTATGTGATTCACGATGCAAGTCATACAGAGACATACCCTAACGAGTTCCATGGCGGTAGTCCTCGCTCAACAGTTGAGGAACAACCCAAGATGGTCCAACAATTTAATATGCAGCAAACCGGACCCATTGAGTCTCCTCATAGTGGATTTGATTGGCAACGAGCAAGATATAACAGTGCTTCCTCATCTGCTTCGGCTCCTTCGCCTGGTAACCATGGTAACGCTTCTGCCGCGGCTGCTGCGGCTGCTGCAGAACATCAACAACATCATCAACAACAACAACAGCAGCAGCAGCAGGCGTATTTTTCTCAAAATGATGCACGTGCTTCTTATTCACCCACTACCCCAACTTATGCTACCTCAGGAAGAAAGTATAATAATGTACCAAATCTTATGAATAACCAAATCGCTTAACTCCAAAAAAGGCCACCTCTGTTTAAATGCAACCCCCCCCCCCAATTATTTTATATAGCTCACAAGTTTTAAAAAAAAATAACAAAAAAAACACACTTCTATTATTATTATTATTATTATACTATTAAATATTCATTTTGAAAAAAAAAAAAAAAGAAAAAAAGGAAAAAAAAAAACGTTTATGCATTGCTGGAAGGTGATGTTGCACGATTGTTGTTCTCTGTGTCATCATGATCGTCCTGCGTAACAAAATTTGTCAAGATTAATGTCTTGACTTTTTCAATAAAAGTGTCTTCATCCTCCTTATGAAGGAATAAATGCGCTTTCAATGAATCAAGTAATTTTTCTAACCTCGATTGTGAGCCGAAGGGAGATAACATCTTTACTTTACTACACATATCACTGTTAGTTTACCTTCTTTTACATATATAAATTTTTTAAAAAAAAAAAAAAAACTCACTGTTCGTAGTCTTTGTAGTCTTGTACGAGTTCAACGAGTTGGTGAAAGATGTCGGACGAGACCTGCTCGCTTTGTATCACTGTTCTACGACACGCATATGGCACACCTAGTCACAGAAGAAAAGTTTAATCATCCGTTGTGTGCAATTATACGAGAAAAAAAAAAGACTTACGAAATGACTGAGATTCGTTCCACTCTTTGCTGATGTGCAAGTATTGTATTTGAGAATGATCACTAGGCATGTGGGGGTCGTAAGGTGTGACAATGACACCAATAAATGGCTCATCACCTGTATCTTCTTTACGGAATAAGGTCTGATAGGAAGTTTGATTTTCGATATCGCGTATACTAGGATGAGGTTCAAAGGTAGGATGCGAATGGTACCAACCAACGACATCCAAGCCTCTTTCCGAAAACAATTCACGCGCCTTCATCTCGGACGCTGGATCCATCTCACATTGAATGCCCGTACTTGTACTTTGACATGGAAATACCGTCGTTACCTGTAACACCTTTTGTTCATTGCGTTTGATAAAATTTCCGCCCAATAATCCAATGATTTCTGTATGTGCCAAATGCGAATGAAAATCCATCACGAGCTAAAATAAAATTTCTGGTTTTTAGTATACATGCAAATATATAGACTCTCTTTCATTTTACCAAGGCGTCGCTGATCACTTCGACTTCAAAGGGAGCAGATAAGGTATCGTTGTAATGGCTGGTTGGAACTAATCGAAATGGGTCATAACCTCTTCCGAAATCGTCGCCTCCATAATATTGATGAGCGTTTTTCATTACACGTTTCGGTTTAGCGGCTATTTTTGAAACGTTATTAATAAAACATGTAAACATCTGCCTTTCCCCCCAAAAAATTTTTTTACCTAATGAAACGACCACTTGACCATGTTCAATCACTCTTCCTTCTAGTTCTTTTGGATCCACCCTATGATTTCATGCTGTTAAAACCTTTTTTTTTTCATTTTACATGTATTTTTTATTTCCTTACCAGTCGCCTCGTTCGTTCCTCACCTTTCTCTTTCTAGGCCTATATATATATATATATTTTAAGAGGATGTAAGTAAATGATGTCATTGGCAATAAAAGATCGTCCAGCTAGTTAAAATAATTTACCCGTCGTAACCCAGCACGAAATCGGCTGCATCAAACTCATCTTCTTCGTCTTCTTTGTATATTTCACGTGGTACACGTTTAGGAGGCCGAGGTGCATGTGTCATACAATCCACGTTGATGGCGCCCACGGATTCCAAATACTGATGCACACGACCAATGGCATTGACATCACCACAATCTTTCAATCCTTTACGTGCACTTGTCTTGGTTAAATATTTAGGTCGACAGGCTTGCCAACAACTCAACATGTGATTTCGGATCTTGAGATAACGATCAGGGGTTTTACTGTATTTTTGTCGAAACCATTCTGGGTTATGGTTCATTTCTTCTGCGGAAACACGGTAAGGATCAAATCCTTCCGTAGGAGTGCTGGGTATATTGCCATCTATAGGTAATTCTGCTTGTTTGGGTTGTATCACGAGTGCACAGTCCGTCTGCGTCTTTTCCTTTAATGACTCTTTCTCTACTATCTCTTCGCCCACTGGTTTCGTGGACTGGTCTACCTTTGTAGGCTCTTCTATTGTGCGCTCTTCTACTCTGGTGTGCTCTTCTACTCTCGTTGGCTCCTCTACCGTGATTGGCTCTTCTACTGTGACAATCTCTTCCACTGTGTGCTGTTCCTCTGCTTTGATGACCTCCTCTGATGTAACAGCTCTATGGGTGGTATGTGCGACGGTATGCACACTAGGATCGACCTTATCTGTTTGTGTCAGGTGTCGAGCGTGATTTTTACATTGTAATGGATTTCGACTCTTGACATGTTCCGATATCAACTTCCAATTGCCGTAGCCAAATTTGCCCTATTATTGAACTGTGTGAGTGCAAGTTTTTTGTGTTTCATTCTACAAGGTCCGTTACCAATGCTTCAATAAGACGATCATCTTCCTCTGAATTCCACCTTGTTTTATGCGAAGGTAAAGAAGCGGAAGAGATGGCGCCTGATGGGGAATAGACAGTGTGAGTGATTTCCATTGTTTTATTAATCAAAGAGCGTACCTTCTTTCTTTGACTTTTTGGCTATGGGTTCGACATTATGATAATAATCGGCGTCGTTCTTGGAATGTGATTTTTTCCTCTTTGGTGTTGTGGTTTCTTGTTCATAATAATATTCTTCTTCTGCCAACATTTGTTCAATTAGTTTCCTTGACTCGTCGTCCATGGGTGTATCGTTCCATTCGTGTGGGCTATTTTTTTTTTTTTATTTGGCAGGGAAAGAATGATTTATAACATGTATAAAGAGGGATCTTACTGTAAACAAACCTTGGTTCTTCTTCTTGATCGCTACCAATGTCAATAAGTTCTTCATCTAGATCCATTTTTTTTTTAATAAAAATATCACAATAATAAAAAGGTGGAAGGGGAAACAAAAAAAAAATATGTGTACAGTAAGTGACTGTTTGGTATGTATGTATGTGTGTGTGTGTGTGTGTGTGTGTGTGTGTGTGTGTGTGTGTGTGTGTGTGTGTGTGTGTGAATACAAGAAAGGACCACATGGAATAAAAAGTAATTCATCAATCGTATTACACATCTGTTTATGGTGAATATAATCTTGTTTTGTAAATTTAGGTCATCTGTTTTATCTTTTTTTTTTTTTTTGATTATATAAATAATCCCTCAACTTAAACATTTCTCTCTTTTTTTTTTTTTTGCTATCTTTTTTTGTTATTTCTTTTTGCATAATGACAGACAATGATAAATATGATGTGGGTGCTTCTACTCCAGAGAAATCACATTTATCTGCCATGCAACAGTTAACAGTGGAAGAGTTATACGATAAAGACAAGTATGACTTATCCACCATGGAACCTGGTGATGTCTTTACTCTGTTACAGTAAGTTTTATTTTTATTTTATTCTTGTGATAGATCTCTCACTAACTCTCTTTCCCAAAAAAGAACTACTACTGAAGGGCTTTCGTCTGAAGAAGCGGCAGCTCGTGTAGAAAAGTTCGGCTACAACCGTCTTGAACACAAGGAAACCAATCCTCTTTTACAATTCCTTGGGTTTATGTGGAATCCACTCTCCTGGGTAATGGAAGCAGCTGCTATTGTTGCTATTGCTTTATCTAATGGTGGTGGTGAACCTCCCGATTGGGAAGATTTCATCGGTATTATTCTTTTACTACTTGCAAATTCCATCATTGGCTTTTTAGAGGAACGTCAAGCGGGTAACGCTGTCAAGGCTCTGATGGAATCACTGGCTCCTGAATGTAAAGTACGTCGTGACGGAGAATGGAAAACCATGGAAGCTGCTGAGCTCGTTCCGGGTGATGTAATCAGTATTAAGTTAGGAGATGTAATTCCCGCTGACGCTCGATTGATATCTGCGCATGGCCAAGTATCTATTGATCAAGCAGCCTTAACCGGTGAATCTTTACCGGTAGGTAAACATGCCGGTGATGAGATCTTTTCTGGTTCCACCGTGAAACAAGGTGAAGCGGAGGCTATTGTCATTGGTACCGGTCTAAACACTTTCTTTGGTCGCGCTGCTAAGCTAGTAGGAGATGCTGGAGATGATGTGGGTCATCTTCAATCGATTTTGGCAAAAATTGGTAATTTCTGTCTTTGTAGTATTGGTATCTTTCTAGTAGCAGAAATCTTGGTGATGTACGCTGGATTTCGTTATAGTTATCGTACCGGTATTAATAACTTGCTCGTGTTACTCATTGGTGGTATCCCTATTGCTATGCCTACCGTGCTCTCTGTGACGTTGGCGATCGGTGCCAAGCAATTAGCTGAACACAAGGCCATTGTTACTCGAATTACAGCAATTGAAGAAATGGCGGCTGTGACCATCTTGTGTTCAGATAAGACTGGTACCTTGACTCTAAACAAATTGATTGTAGATAAACCTACTATCAAGACCTATGCATCTGACTATGATGCAGATGGCATCATTCAAATCTCCGCCTATGCATCCCGTACTGAAAATCAAGACGCTATTGATTTCTGTATTGTCAATTCTTTACCCGATCCCAAGGGAGCACGACAAGATATTCAAGAACTTGGGTTCGAGCCATTTAATCCTACTATTAAGCGTACTGAAATTACATACCGGACTATTTCCAGTGGCAAACTGTATCGTGCTACCAAGGGCATGTCACATTTTATTCTAGATCTATGTACACGAGATAAAACACCCGAACAAATTCAACTCTTGAACGATGATGTAGATGAATTTGCACGTCGTGGACTGAGATCTTTAGCAGTGGCCATTGAAGAGATTGAAGGCGAAGACCCTACAGGAACAGGTACTGGGTTCAGACTGATTGGACTGTTACCTATTTATGATCCACCTCGGTCTGATACCAAGGAAACCATTGATCGTGCTATTGAATTGGGCGTTCAAGTCAAGATGATTACGGGAGATCAATTAGCCATTGCAAAAGAAACAGGCCGTCGTCTTGGTATGGGTGATAATATGTATCTTTCCAAAACACTGAAAGATGGACCTCCTCCTGGTTCTGGTTATTCCACAGTAGATGAACTTGTATTGCATGCGGATGGATTTGCAGGTGTATATCCCGAACACAAGTATGAGATTGTACAACGACTTCAAGCCATGGGACATATGACGGCCATGACGGGAGATGGTGTGAATGATGCACCTGCGCTATCGAAATCCAATGTAGGTATTGCTGTTGCAGATGCTTCAGATGCTGCACGATCTGCAGCGGATATTGTGTTGACCGAACCTGGACTTTCGGTGATCATTGAAGCTTTGATTCATTCTCGACAAATTTTTCAACGTATGCGTAATTATTCCATTTACACTTGCTCAGTGACGATTCGTGTGGTGGTGGGATTTGCCGTCATGTGTTTTGCATTCAAGTATAATTTTCCACCGTTTATGGTATTGATTTTGGCTGTATTGAATGATGGTACGATTATGACAATTTCAACGGATCGTGTAAGACCTTCTCCTTTCCCTGATCAATGGAACTTGTTTGAAATCTTTTCTTATGCCATCATGTACGGTCTCTACTTGGCTGCTTCTACTGTGGTATTTTTTGCTGTAATTTACAATACGAATTTCTTTCAATCGAAATTCGGTATTCCTATATTTGAAGATCCCAATGACGGTATACTTCATTCCGTGATTTATTTACAAGTGTCTACTATTTCACAGGGTTTGATCTTTGTGACACGATCCCAAAGTTGGTTCTTTCTTGAAAGACCTTCCACTTTATTGATGACTGCCTTTGTCATTGCTCAGTTAACTGCGACATTCATCTCGGTTTACGCCAATTGGGAATTCACATCTATTAGAGGATGTGGCTGGCCATTAGCTGGTATTGCTTGGGTTTGGAACTTTATTTGGTTTGCACCCTTGGATCTGATCAAATTTGGTATGCAACGTTACTTCAGGCCAAACACAAAGTTACCCGAAGGAGGAGCCAAGGTAATGTCAAGACGTGCTTCTGCTACTTCCACTTCAGGTTCTGCAAGATACTATGCTAATCGTACACAGTCATTACGTAACATGTCTCGTCCTCGAAATTTTGGTAAAAGAATCTTTCGACTGGATAAAAAGATGGCGATGGAACCTCAAGAACTCAGACGATTTTCTTCCGTTCAGGTAAGCATATAGGCATCTATGATGAAAGAAGAAAGCTAAAATTTTTTGTGATAGACAAACCATGCTGCACAAGTCCTTAGTGGAAACTAATAAGCTAGCTCTTATTTTTTTATCTTTAATATTAAATCTTTTTCTCTCTCTGTGCAACTTGAACACAATATATGCACATTTTTCCATTTGTACCACAGATGATGTGTCTCAATTTAGATTAGCGCTTTTCAGCGTTTAAATTATAAATAAACAACATTTCTGACGTAGAAACCTGTTTTGTACATCACTTTTTTACGCAAGTCGTCAATTATCTATGACCATGGCCTAACTTCAGGTTGTATTACTCGCGGTTTATTTTAAAGGGTACGGCTAAAATTTTCATGTAATATATTGAGCCTGTGATAATCAATACACCATGAATGGACACTTCTGCAACAATTGATGTTAAGAATGACTTGTTTACTCATCTTTGGGTCTAATTGACTTACATACATTACAACGTGTGCGTTTAAATAAGCTATTCACACTACTTCAACGCTTCATTTGAATAATACAATTTAAAGAGCATGTTGGACTAGTGACGAAAACCTATCTGTATGGTTGAGACTCTTATGGTCGACTGAGTAAAAACAAAGTGGTGTCATTGCGAAATCGGGTGTTATTATCCATCTTTTAATAGCGAACAATGAACAAACTGAGATGCAGCACTCACTTATGATGGTAACAACCACAATAAAATATAAGTCTGTGTGTCATGAACCGAAAGCAGTAGAGCTGCTCTTTCGGGCAAATGGTTTCTGGAAGATACGATAAAAGATTTGTTTATGTATTGGATGGTGGTACGAATTTCGGCAAACACTGTAATGATGACGATGGCCGTGCATGAAATCGAGTGTTGCTTTGTTTGTGGCATCATTGTGATGGACCATTGTTTTTTATTATGATTCGTATTATGAATGTTGTGGTGTATTGTTCCTAAATGAGACCATTTTGTGTGTCAATTGATCATTTTCTCTCTCTACAGAGGTACTTGTCAAAAAAAAAAAAAAAAAAAGAAGGTGAGCTAAGCCAAGTGTGACCATGTTTCGTTGATGGCATGTGTAGAGCTAAAAAGGCAGAAAAAAAAGAAATTGAAAGACCGCTGAAAATTTTTTAAGGCCTAGAGGGAATTACAGTGAGTTAAGTGTGTGTGTGGGCTGGGCCGGACTGGGGTGTAGGGTGAAAAAAGTGTAGTGCGCAAGAAAGTGAGCTACACACAGTATAACAGTATTATCTTTTTTTTTTTTTTTTTTTTTTTTTTCTCTCTCTCTCTCTCTCTTCTTCTTTTTTTTTCTCTTCTTCTTTTCGACGTTTATTCGCCGTTTTCTTTTAATTGTCTAATCTCATAATTTTGGGTTTGACATTAACAAATATATAAACTACCAAAAAAAAATTTATAAAATAGAAAAACCCGAAATGTCTACTTCTCCTGTCGTGACCCCCGCTGAAGTTGCTCCCGTTCAACAGCTTTCAGCTGAACAACAACAGCAAATTGCTCAGGCTCAAGCCTCTGCTCCTGCTGGTTCCAACGCTGCTCCTTCCCCTTCTGCTTCCCTTTATGTTGGTGAGCTTGATCCCTCTGTCACCGAGGCCATGCTCTTTGAAATGTTCAACATGATCGGTCCCGTTGCCTCCATCCGTGTCTGTCGTGATGCTGTCACCCGTCGCAGTTTGGGTTATGCTTACGTTAACTTCCACAACATTGTTGATGGTAAGTCTATTTTTTTTTTTTTTTTTTTGACACAAAGGAAAATTTTTATTATATACTGCTTTGTGCATGTGGAGAAAAAAATTTTTTTTTTTTATTGGGGTCACAAATTTTTTTTTTTTTTTGATATATACTAATTTTTTAATGTTCTTTGTTTTTGACAGGTGAACGTGCTTTGGAAAGCCTTAACTACACCTTGATCAAGGGTAAGCCTTGTCGTATTATGTGGTCTCAACGTGATCCCTCTCTCCGTAAGACCGGTTCCGGAAACGTTTTCATCAAGAACCTCGATCCCTCTATCGACAACAAGGCTCTTCACGATACCTTTTCTGCTTTCGGTAACATCTTATCTTGTAAGATTGCTATTGATGAGAACGGTAACTCTAAGGGTTACGGTTTCGTCCACTACGAAACTGAAGAAGCTGCCGATAATGCCATCAAGCATGTCAACGGTATGCTCTTGAACGACAAGAAGGTGTAAGTAGAATCAGTGAGGGAATTTTTTTTTTTTTTATATATATATGTGGGTTGTGATATATTATTTTTCTCGGGAATATTATGATGTGATGTGATCCATAGAAACTCACACATAGCTCTATAGTTACGTCGGTCGTCATGTCCCCAAGAAGGAGCGTCAAGCAAAGATTGAGCAATACAGAGCTAAATTCACCAACGTCTACGTCAAGAACTTGGATGAGACTGTCAACGATCAACAATTGAGCGAAATGTTCGGCAAGTATGGTCCTATCACCTCTGCCATTGTTCAAGTTGATGAAGAGAACCACTCCAAGGGTTTCGGTTTCGTTAACTTTGAAGATCACGAAGATGCCCAAAAGGCTGTCGATGCTTTGAACGAAACTGAGCAAGCTGATGGTAAGATCCTTTACGTCGCTCGTGCCCAAAAGAAGTCTGAGCGTGAGGAAGAGCTCCGCAAGCAATACGAACAAGCCAAGCTCGAGAAGCTCGCCAAGTATCAAGGTGTTAACTTGTACGTCAAGAACTTGGATGATGATCTTGATGATGAGAAGCTCCGTCAAGAGTTCTCTGTCTATGGTGTTATCACCTCTGCCAAGGTCATGGCTGATGAGAAGGGTCAATCCAAGGGTTTCGGTTTCGTCTGTTTCTCTTCTCCTGATGAGGCTACCAAGGCTGTCACTGAGATGAACGGTCGTATGATTGGTGCTAAGCCCATCTATGTCGCTCTTGCTCAACGTAAGGAAGTTCGTCGTTCTCAATTAGAGGCTCAAATGGCTCAACGTAACCAAATGCGTATGCAACAAGGTATGCCCATGCCCGGTGCTCCTGGTTACATGCCCGGTGCTCCCATGTTCTATGCTCCTCCCGGAGGTTTCCTTCCTCAAGGTCAACGTCCCGTTTTCCCCCCTAACGGTATGATGCCTCGTCCTCGTTGGGCTCCTCAACAAGGTCAACCCATGGCTGGTTTCGCTCCTCAAGGATTTGCTCCCAACAACAGCGGTAGCAACAACATGCGTCCTCCTCGTCAACCTCGTGCTCCTCGTGGCGGTGCTGCCGGTCAGCGCAAGTATGCTAACCAAGCTCGTCAACCTGCTGCCGAGACCGCTGAGTCTGCTGCTGCTGCTCCCTTGACCGCCGCCGCTTTAGCTGCTGCCCCTGCTGAGGCTCAAAAGCAAATGCTCGGTGAACGTCTCTATCCTTTGATCAATGCCCAACAACCCGAATATGCTGGTAAGATCACTGGTATGCTCCTCGAGATGGATAACGGTGAATTATTGAACCTTATTGAAGACAACAAGGCCTTGGAGAACAAGATCAATGAAGCCATTGAGGTTCTTAAGGCTCATATGTCTGAAGCTCCCAAGGAAGAAGAGAAGGTTGAGGCTTCTGCCTAAACTTTGTCTTTCTTTTTGGTTTCAATGAAATAAAAAAAAACACCCCCCCCCCCCCCTTAATAAAGAAGATAATAAAAGAAATAAAATATCAAACAGTTAGAGATAAAAAAAAAATATACATGGCTCTTTTCTCTTCTTTACTATGTTTGTTTTAAGGCGCTTTTACTCTGCTAAAGCTTGGTCTTATAAAGAAGCAACTGCATGGCAACAAGCATTTAATCAAGCTGCAATTCCGAAGGATCATGTCTCGATTAGCTTCTGTCGTAGTAGTGGACCTGGGGGACAAAACGTCAACAAAGGTAAAATGAAGACCATGCTCGTTAAAAAAATAGAATGGAGTGGTTAATGAGACCCTTGATAGTGAGTACAAAGGTTGATTTACGCTTGTCACTTTCTAAAGCAAATTGGATTCCTGATTATGCAAAAGAGAATTTAAAAAATACCTCACAATTGAAGAAAAGTAAATCGAATGAGTTAATCATTACTTCAGACAAGACGAGATCACAAGCCAAGAATATTCAGGATTGTTATGACAAACTTGTGGATGTTATTAAAGCGTCTGTAGCAGTGAACAAGGAGCCCGATCAAGCCACTTTAGCTCGGGTCGAACAATTGTAAGTTTTTATTATGCAAAAAAAAAAAAAAGTAATTAATAAGTGTGTACAGGCGAAATATTCAAGATAAAGGTCGTAAAGAGTTCAAGAAAAAACATTCTCAGAAAAAGACGGAAAGAAGATCAAAGGGCAATGATTACTGATCCTGTTGTTGTTGTTGTTGTTGCTGTTGTTGTTGTTGTTGGTTACACTTGTCTCGGTTGACCCATTTACCAAACTTTGCCTGTTTATTGTTTACAAACGATTAGTGAACGAGAAAATCATGCCACAACATTTAGAAATAGTGACAATAAAAAAAAAAAACTTTACTTTAATACCGGAGAATAGTTCGACGTCAGAATTCTTCTTGCGTTGTTCTTGTTCGAAATTAATCACAGGTACTGTGGATGAAGTGATGGAAGGCACATTTAGCAAGAACGAAGAAGAAGGTGTAGTAGGTTTATAATTGTCATCTTGTGTTGGGCTAATTGTGCTTTTCTGAGATATCCATGGTTTACTTTTGATGGACGCTGTGGATAGAATATCATCAGACTCTTTGGAGTGAATAGAACGATGTACCATAAGTGAAGAAGGGGCGATAGATGAAGCACAGTCGTAATTGTCTTCGTCGTTGTTACTGTTATTACTGTTGCTTTGCCACCACCATTTCCATGCTGTCTTTTTGTTTATCTTTTGATTACTCATCTTTTTGGGTTTATGTAAAGAAGAAAAGGAAAAAGAAAAAGAGAAAAAAAAATTGAGTTTCATCAACCAAAATAAGGTTTCAATCCCACATGATCACAGTAACAATGGTTAAAATCACTTTTTTTTATGCTCAGACACGTCAAGCGAAATGCATCCACATCGTTGATCGTCCTTACTGCTTTATATGCCCTCTTAATCATAAATGATCCATTCCCCATGCACATGTTCCGAATTAGCATTCTCCGGATCACAAGACTAACACAAGTGATCCATCATGTTTTATTATTACAACAAAAGAGCTGCCCAGCCAGCCATCATGGCAAGACCTCCTGCAGGAGGAAGAAGATGAAACTTGTTACGATCAAGAGTTGACATATAGATAGCTCCACTGAACATAACAGTACCACCCAAAATTAAGGGAGCAGCAGCAGGATGAATACGACGCACACTAGCAGGAACGGAGGATAACACTAAAAGTGTAACACCCTGGATAATTTGAAATTCGGCAGCCATAGCCCAGTTCTATCACAAAATCTAAATTAACACTCGTGGCTTATTCTGCTTTGTTTTTCCTAACCTTAAGTTTCTTGGGGTTGTCTCCAACGACTTTCACAAGTCCGTGAGCTCCAAAAGCGCCTAAAGCTAATCCAGAAGCACCTAAGTTCAATAGTAAGTATGCCTGTTTAGCCTTGCATTAAAGTTAAAAAAAACTTCTAATTACCCAAGATGCTGCCTGCTCTCCAGTAGAATTGAGATGCCATGTTATTATTTTAAAGGAAAAATAACAACAACAAAAAAAGGCGCGACATAATTTATGTATTCTCTCCCGGGGGTATAATTTTTCCGCCTGCCGAAAGTCAGGGTAATTTGCCTGTATAAATCAACGTCCTACGTAAACCTTGTTCTAGATTACTCTACAGCATTTTATTTTATATGTAATCATAGATAAAGTATCAAGTAGAACTCACAGCCGAAAGTTGTATAGTGAAGAGTATCAGAATGACAGTAATAGCAACTAAATTAATACTTACAGTTGAAAGGGCTTTATTGGAAGTATACTAAACTTAATTATGGACTTTTATTACAAGAGTAACCAACATATGAGAACAGCTTTACGTGGATTGACGTGCCATAGCATCTTATCTTTTCTAAACTTCATGGGATCATCGCACAATATGCTTCACTATAGGCACATGCTACTAGCTATTTGCAACTGCAAACAACCTATGACAACTAATAATAACCACAAAAGAACTCCTTTTGTTGAGTACACTGTACCAATGTTTAAACATTTGGCTAAAAAATTGAACTTATTGGGATTTTTATGTGAATGACTGTGATTAGACTGTAGATGGCTGGTGTGAAAATTTGGTAGAGACACAAATAAGTATGCCCAGGTAGCAGACAAGTAGACTTTGTGCCAGCCAAGGTTGATAAGAAGTACGCCAATGAATTAAAAAAGCCGTCGTGTTGGAAGTTTTTATGCTCATACCGAGTTCTATGAGCTTATCATCGAAAAGGATCATACCAACCAGACGTTCCTGGTCGTTTTTTGAATGATATCCGCACTCTTCCTCTTTTGCATGAGATCTTACAGTAATTGACTCATCATTCTAATACTCCTCGTAAAATTTGAGTTGACATGTTGAAGAAAGCCGACAGCTATGGTTGTAAGTCTCACCGTTAGGTCAGTTACCATGATATCTGGAATTGCTTGAACAAGAGAAAGTCAATTCTCAAATGAAAAAATGAAAATCCTGGATATATTGAGGTTGCCGCAGAGGAAACCTTGTCTGCTTATTTAAATTAGGAAGGAGCTAATTTGATTGTTTTATTATTTTAAGGGATACAATATTGCAATTATAGACCATTTATTATATTTAACAATAAAAATTATTCTAATCAGGGATTTTATTCTTTATCTTCATTCTCTTTGATTGCTTTTTCTATTGGTGACATTTCAGTTTCATAAGGTCTCTTGCCTAAAAGTTTTTCCATATCTGGAAAGACAAATGAATTGTTAAGTAAAAGTGAAGTTAAAGCATGTAATGTTATTTTACCTTGCTTAGTCAGAATCTCCTTGGTCATGAGCAATTGGGCGACTTTTTCAATATCAGACTTCTTCTCGGTTAATAATTTGGTGGTTCTATCGAGCGCTTCTGTCACCAAGCTTCTTGCCTCATCATCAATTAAGGAACCCGTTTTCTCTGAATAAGGTTTCTGGAACTGAGGTTCGTTACTGTCTTGTTGATAGGACATGGGTCCAATGGTTGGATTCATACCAAAGATACTGACTTGTGAATAAGCCATCTTGGTCACTTTCTGTAAATCGTTTTGAGCGCCTGTTGTGATAGACTCGAAAAACATGCTCTCAGATACTCTGCCTCCTAATGCGACACACATGCGATCCATCAATTGAAGTTTTGAGTATAGATATTGATCCTTAGGCAAATACTGAGCATAACCTAAGGCACTGCTACCACGTGGAATAATCGAAACTTTGATTAAAGGCTCAGCGTATTTAAGATACCAACCTGCTACAGCATGACCTGCTTCATGATAAGCTACCGTCTTCTTCTCTTCAGGAGAGAGTACACGCGACTTCTTTTCAATACCGGCAATCACGCGCTCAATAGCTGCTTCAAAATCAATCTCGTTGACATTATCTTTCCCATTACGTGCAGCAATTAAAGCAGCTTCGTTACAAACGTTATGAATATCTGCACCTGCAAAACCACCTGTCAATGAAGCTAATTTATGGGCTAAAGCAGGTACATCTAATTTAGGGTTAAGCTTGATAGGTTTTAGATGAACCTTAAAGATATCAGCACGACCAATGATATCAGGTTTATCAATCACAATATGTCTGTCAAATCTTCCAGGGCGTAATAATGCAGGGTCCAAGACATCAGGTCTGTTTGTACCTGCTAATACAACAACATGATCACTTGAATTAAATCCATCTAGTTCCACCAAGAGTTGATTCAGCGTGCTTTCTCTTTCATCATTACCACCGGTAAAATGACCTCCTTTTCCTCTGGCTTTACCAATAGCATCAATTTCGTCAATAAAGATAATGCAAGGAGCATTTTTCTTGGCCGTCTCAAACAGATCTCTCACACGAGAGGATCCTACACCTACAAACATTTCTATAAACTCTGAACCCGAGACACTGAGAAAAGGCACATTGGCTTCACCGGCAGTTGCCTTTGCCATCAATGTTTTACCAGTACCAGGAGGTCCTGATAAGATGGCACCTTTGGGGATGGTAGCGCCCAATCTTTCAAAGCGCTGTGGGTCTTTTAGAAATTTAACAAACTCCATAATTTCTTCTTTAGCTTCATCTGCACCCGCAACATCCTTGAACTTGATTTGAACATCGGTTTCCTTATTAAATAATTTGGCTTTGCTTTTCCCTATACCAAAGATTCCACCTTGGCCACCCATACCTCCACCCGCTCGACGACCCATATAGACAAAGAAGCCAATCAACATGAGTGTAGGTACCAACTGAACCAGTGCGTTAGTCAAATTCCCCTCTCGATGATATGAAACAGGAATTCTCTCGCTATCAGGTATACCCAGCTTATCTTGGGTTTTTTCTAATTGTCGTTCAAAATTTTCGACCGAGCCTATACTGAAATAGTACACTGTATTGGGATCTTCTGCTAAAAAAGATCTTGCTTCAGGTAAAAGATGAACTTGCACATAACTATTGTTGATTACATTCAATTCTCGAACCAATCCTTTATCCAATAAATTTGCCTTGAATTCTTGATAAGTGACTTCATGGTAATTACTATTGGAACCCATGCCAAGAGCATACCATAAAAAGACGGTACTGGCTATGACAGGTGCCAGAGTTTTTAAACCGTTGGGATCCGGTGGTTTAGGTGAATTCTTTGGGTTGGGTGGTGGTATCTTGGCTTTACTACCACCACTGCCATTGTTGAAAAAGTTTTCAAATCCTTTTGGAGTTTGAGGGTTGGTTGCATAGGATCGATAGATATTTTTCAGTGGATATCTCTGAAGCAAAGAAGATGGACACTTGTTTTTTAACAAAGATAACCGATTAAACATTGGATTCAAGAAACTAATAAAAAAAGGGTTGCATAATAAACAGACATTTGGAAAAAAAAAAGATTAGCGGGGTTATTTTGGGAATTTGTCGGGACATTTCACTTGGTGGGAGGGACATAGCATGGGCAATCGACGATTGTTTATTCAAAATACCAAACAAAATGTTCTTATTACTGGTCAGTTTCAGTATTTCATTTGGAGCCTACTTTCTCCGGGAAAAGCTTAAACAATTAAACCTTGCTGCGAGTCAATTACAACCATCATCGCATGCCGATGGGTTTTTAGAGGCGGTTAATCTCGACATTCACCAATGGACTTGGATACCTACTTTTTTAAAAGTTTATTTTATTGGCGTTGTCGAAACGATTTATATCACCCTCTGTCAACGAGGTTTATTCAAGAGTTCTTCAACACGAAGCATGAATGAGAGTCACGTGGATACGTTAGCACTTGGGTCCAAAAACGATGGGTCGATAGCTGTTATCACAGGAGGTGACTCTGGAATTGGATTAGAAATATGTAGAGGTTTGCTTGACGCTGGATTTCATGTGATTATTGGTACTTTTAAAAAGTGGTGTAATGTTACACACAGCCACTCACACATTATATGAACATTAATTGCTAGGCACCCATTCCGTAAAGTCATGCGAGGCCGTTATTGATTCTTTACAAAAAGCAACAAGCTCAGATAAGATATCATCCATACATTTAGACCTGACAAACTATCAATCTGTTCGAGATTTTGTAGATCAGATTCAGTTAAAGGTTCCTAAAAAGAACATTCAGTTACTGATTAGTATGTTGTGTGATAAACGATTCTTTTTATAAATCTGACGATATTTTGTTTAAAAGATAATGCAGGTATAATGAATACAGATTATAAAATGACTGATGACGGATTTGAATCCCAGTGTCAAACAGTAAGTCATTCTCATCAACAACGATAAATTACCAATTGACTGATTTCTTTGTATGCCAAAATAAAAACAAAGAACTTTTTATCTCCTATGCTTTTGACTCGACTCTTGTTACCCTATATTAGCCCTAAATCCGGTCGAGTATTGTTCGCATCAAGTTCTACATTATACACTGTCAACGATTTAGATCTGAGTGTCCCATCGAAAAAGTATGGTTTGAATGGACTTGATCATTATGCCTATAGTAAATCCTGCATTGCTCAGCTCGTACCACGTTTAGCCAAAACGACACCAGTTAAAATTTATGGTAAGACAACAAGATATGTAAGTAAATGGGGGGGCCAAAATATTTAATAACCCCGTTTGGGTTCCCTTTTTAGCCTATCATCCCGGTACAGTTCGAACCAAATTATTTTCGACTACTACTGTATTTAATTTGCCACTTGTGTCCAGAATCTTTCATTACATCATGTTATCACCCAAAGAAGGATGTCGAACACCTCTCTTTCTTTGTTTGTCAAAGGATGTAGGTGATAGTGGCACATATTGGGCAAATGAACATCAACAGACATTACCCAGTGTTTCGGTCAATGGAAAAGACAATAATAATGAAGCACTATGGATTGATACAATGCAAAAGATCAATCTTAAGAAATAATAATAATAATAAAACGGCATCCTCATTTTTATTAATAGAGACAGCATGTTGTTCTTTTTTTTTGATGGTGACATTATTTAATTATAGAATTATCGTGGTACTGGGCTTACTAACATACCATCCAGATGAAAAAAAAAATCATTCGGAATCGGCATTGCATATTATATATCAAATATTTGATTGTTATATGTGTTTAGTGATTATGAAGTTCCATCATTTAACTAAAATAAAACATGATGAAGAGCTCTCACATATATATAAAGCATGGTTCAATATCGATCGAAAAAAGTCCTTTCTTTCTCTTTCATTTTTAATTTTATTCTTCTTAATTTCTCTATTTTTGAAGGACTATTTCCAGAATCTGTAAAAAAAAAAAAAAAAACCTATTCACTCCTCAATACATTATACTATTTAAAAAGAAAAAAAGCTTACTCCCTAATGTCAAGGATGTTTTCAATCATTAGCCTTATATTCGTTTTATATTGTCATTTTGTTAATGCATTATCTAATCACCGCGCACTGTCTCCTACAGTTCAAATACCGAGTCCTGAATATGTCAAACTCCTTAATCATTCTATATTATTTTATGAAGCCCAGAGATCTGGAAAGTTACCCGCCAATCACCGAGTTTCCTGGTGAATACCTCTTTTCTTCCTTTATTTTTTTTTTAGAAGAACCTTTTTTATTCATCATCTTTTTCTTTATATGTAGGCGTTATGATTCAGCATTAACAGATGGGTCAGATGTCAATTTGGATCTTACAGGCGTAAGTATTATTTGTGCATACCCAAAGAATGAAAGGGTTTTTATTTTATTTTATTTTCCCCAGAATTAGATATTAATTGTAGCTCCGTTTTTTTTTTTTTAATAGGGGTATTATGATGCCGGTGATTACTTGAAGGTAATAAATCGTGAATAGCTTATATATAATGAAATTTAATAGTTTATTAACATAATCATTTATATAGTTCACTTATCCATTAAGTTACGCAGTATTTATGTTAAGTTGGGGAGGTAAATGAAATACTGCTATTTATAATCATCATCTAAATTTAACTCTAACTTAATTTTTTAATAGGATCCGACTATATTGAAGGATACCATATGGCAAATCAAACAGATTATTTGCGTACTCAAATTAAATGGGTAAGTAGAAAAAAAAAAGTGTATACATTGATTATATGACTAAATTCGTGGCATAATAGGCTACAGATTGGCTGATAAAAGCCCATCCAGAACCTTCAACCTTAATTGTACAGGTAAGTTAATAAACAGAATTTTGATAAAATCACACAAGATGTATATGCTTATACATTTATTCCGTTAGGTGGGTAATGTCAAAATTGATAACGATTATTTTGGTACGTTGTTTCATTGTTAAAATGTTGTAAAATGCAAAATAACTCAAATTTAATAATAGGTCCTGATTCTGGAATACCAATCCCACGACCTTGTTACCAAATAAACGAAACTCATTTTGGTACAGATGCTGCATCTATGGCAGGTAAAATATATATGCACATGTTTGCGGTTTAATAAGCAAGGGAAAAAAAATACTGAAGTATCCGATTTATTTTAGCAACAGCATTTGCAAGTGCATCAGCATTTTTTAATAATTTGGCCCAAAGTAAAGCTGGTGTTGAAGAAGATGCCGCCTATGCAGATATATTACTCATGCATGCCACTCAGTTGTATAACTCGTCTCATAGCATAGTCCCTTATTCTCGATATCAGTCATCCGTACCTACAATTCTAGGCGCTTATGCGAGTACAGGTATGAAATAAATCGATATTGTTTCGGCTCATGATCTAATATTTTTCTAGCATATTTGGATGACTTGTTGCTATCAGGATTGGCTTTATATAGAGCCACCGAAGACGAAACATATCTCCAACAATCTCTTGAAATTTACAAATCCAGCCCTGGTGCTAGTAGCCATATTGAACCTCTTGATTGGGATAATAAGGTATATGTTGTTTTATAAAGAAAAAGAAAATCCATGCTAAAGTTGTATACGCTTAGTGGGGTGCTTTGTATGTATTATTTGCGGAGCTCATGCTCAACAGTTCTGATCAAACCGAGGCACTTGCAAGAAGAGTTGATGCAGAAATTTATCTCGATGGCCTTGTAAGCGGTACAGGAGTAAACAAAACAAATGGTGGTTTATTGTTTTGGGACTTTTATAGGTATTTTTTTTTGTTTTCATTCGAATATGCGATGCAAAGGCATGTACTAATACTATTATTATCTCATAGTGATGCTAACAGTAATCAAAATGCCATGAGTGCAAGTCATTTATTACTATCTTATTCCACAAACGTGTTGCGACCTCTTTCGGAAACTTCTAATGATAAAGGCCCAATTTTAGAAAAGATCAAGCGTTATGAAGGTATATATTTACATTACTCGGTCATTTTATGACTAAAACTCATATACTGATTCATTTGAATAGATCTTGCTAAAAGTCAACTTGATTATGTGTTTGGTAAAAACCCAATTGAGCAAAACTATATAGTCGGGGAACGATCCAATTCGCCAAAATATCCTCATTCTGCACCGGCCAGTGGATTCGCCTCGCTAGCTCAAGCCATTTCTAATCCCACTGACAGAAGCAAATCACATGTGATCTACGGGGGTAATATATCATTATTAATCTCATCCCTGATATATATATTAACCCGCTTCTTATTTTAGCTCTGGTTGGAGGCCCTAGCCGAAATGATTCTTTTGCGGATGCTCTTTTAGACTGGTCGCAGACAGAAGTAGCGCTAGATTACAACGCACCATATCAAAATTTATTAGCCTATCAAATCATGTTTAGCGCAGATGATCCATACTATATTCCTAAAAGAGATACAACAAACAATGATAAACCAGACTCGCCTAGCGATGAAGAACCTTCTGCTGGATTCCCATCATGGGGAATTGCACTGGCTGTGGTGTTACCTATCTTATTCATCATATCCCTCTTCGCATTCCTGTTTATCCGACATCGTCAAAATAAGATTGAAAAGAACAAAATCAATAGCGATATTGAGGAAATTATGGTCCAGCAGCTTGGTATTGATGAGTCTCATGTGTCTGAAACTACCTTGGTAGCAAGTCAAGATGGGTCTGCCATAAAAAAAGAAAAGATATAAGCGATTGATAAATTACGCCAATTCTATTTTCAAGTATGATACATACGAACCCGTTTTAACTGTAAAAATAAATAAACTTTGATTATGCATGAATTACTTCTCGTTCCAAATAGTTAACATTAAAAGCCAAGTATTTTTTTTTATGAGTGAGTTTCGTAAAGAACAGACTGAAAAGGAGTAGGCCTTTGCTTAGTATTCGAGAACTGTAGAATTCAAGAATAATTCACGTGATAATAATTATGGTGACATTAAAGTTGATAGATAAATGCAAGAAAATATAACCTCCTGTAATGGGGGCTTGGATCATACAAACTCATTATTTCGAGTTACATCAAGACTAATAACTACTGTTTGAAGGAAAAATCGAGTAAGAAAAATTAGAGGCTGGGTTTTAGTTATTGATTTTTTTCCTTTAAAGTGTGTTTAAAGGGTATGCATTAAAATATTTGTATATATCATTGTCAACTTTTGAGCTTGTCAGAAATAGGCATTTGAATGACTAAAGTTTACTCGAATTTAAAGACAGACAAACATCGGCAACTGGATGAGAAGGGCCGTGAGAAACTCTGATAAATTGAACTGAAGTAGAGGTTTCAAGCTTATATCTATATTGACCATTTCGATAAGATAAGTTATATAGCTTCATACTAAAAAATTAGTCATTAATAATAAACCAGGATATACATATTTTACAACATACAACAAATAATCAATCTTTTGACCAATGCTTCTTTATCCTTCTGCTGCAAAAAGCGGGTCAATTCTGAAAATTGACTTTTAATTTGTAGCACGTGAGACATAAAAAAAATGGTTCCGTGCCTACCTGCGGCATCGACACCCAATAGTGCCTTAATCAAGCTTCATCTTATCAATCGCCGTTAGCTACGACATTTAAAATGTATATTTGAAGATCTTATATGAGTTATGAACAGGCTTGTTGATTTCCTGATATAAGAAGATTTGGAGTACATGAAAATGTGAAATCCCATGCTAACCGTTTTCGCAATCAAGGAAGTTGGGCTTTATCGGAACACCAGGAGAGCGTTTTGATTTTCTTTTTCGTGTTGAATTAAAGATTTATAATTTTATACAGTCTCCGATCTAAAGTTGCAGGTTAAGAAACAATTAAGGAAGCTTCTTTTCGACTTGGACAAAGAACAGGGAAACCACGGGCTAATATTTGGGAAAAAAAACCATGCGATTTTATAATCACTTCTAGAACATCAGTGACTTTTTTATCTAGCTGTCAACGTAGTATTAGTAATAATTAGATCTTTTTGTTCAATCAAGCTGTTCCGGAAGGAAACGTAACTGGATTATAAACGTTTGTGTGACATCGAAAATCAGAGTTTTATCATTTGCACGGAGGTTGCTCTACGGGTGGAGGTCGTTAAATATTGTTAAATCACCACATAGAATAGCAGCTTCATACAGGTATTCAAATATCGTTGATCTACAAAAAAAGATAACTACTATACATTAAGTGTAACCAATCACCTAAAATAGGCCCATGCCCCAGTTTATGACACGCTTCACACAGTCAAATACAAGTCTAACGAAGGCAACTCTTATTTACCAGTTTTACTATTGTATTAATATTAATAAGGGTATGCGAAGACTGTTTCAGTTCTTTCTTTTTTGTTGTTGAAATACCAAAGCTTCTTCAACACGTACTCAAAACAAACAAGTGATATAGTTAAGCATGTGCTTTATACTACTGACAACAATTTGGTTACTATAGACAGGCTAACGGATAATAAACATACATTGGTATTCCAGGCACCAAAATTTTGAATATTTCAACCAAAGTATCGGCTGAAGCAGTGATAAAATTAAACCAACGTGTGGCGTGCCGAATTTCCACTCAGTACGGATACCCGTATATAATCCCTGATTTTTGGATCTCCTTTTTTACTCTCGTTTCTTTTTCCTTTTTTTTTTTTTTTTTTTTCCTCGTTCGAAGAATATTTCTTTTATCAATTATGCTTTCATCCATCACCCGTGCTTCTGTCAAGCCCACCCAAATGGCTTCTCGTGCCTTCATTTCTACCTGGAACGCTGTTCCTCAAGGTAAAAATTAAATACGATCCACGTTAATATCGGGACTGAAAAAAAAATGCTGTTTATTTACCATTTCCCCGCGTTTTTCAATATGTAGGTCCTCCTGATGCTATTTTGGGTGTCTCCGAGGCTTTCAAGAAGGATGTCTCTCCCAGCAAGATGAACTTGGGTGTTGGTGCTTATCGTGATGATGGTGGTAAGCCTTATGTTTTAAACTCTGTCAAGAAGGTACGTTTCTTAAAAAGGTGGTGTGAGAATTATTAGTGACTCATCAAAAAAAAAATTTATTCTCCTTTAGGCCGAGAGATACATGATTGACCAAAACATGGACAAGGAATATGCTGGTATTACTGGTGTTCCTAGTTTCACCAAGGCTGCCGGTGCTCTTGCTTACGGTGAGGATAGCCCTGCTATCAAGGAAAACAGAGTAAGTGTATTTGGTACGTCGAGAAAAAAGGTTTCTGGTTACTTATTACTTTAATTAGCTTGCTATCGCTCAATCCATCTCTGGTACCGGTGCTCTCCGTATGGGTGCGGAATTCTTCAACGCTTGGTTCCCTCACGCCAAGAACGTTGTTGTTCCCAACCCTACCTGGGGAAACCATATCCCTATCATGAAGAATGCTGGTCTTAACTTGGAGAAATATACTTACTTCGATAAGCAAACCAACGGTCTCAACATTGACGGTATGTTGGAAGACCTTCACGTAAGTTGTTCTTTGTTTTGGTTTGCAATTGGAATCTAATGTTTATTTGCGATTTGTTTATAGAAAGCCCCCAAGAACACTATTGTCTTGCTCCATGCTTGTGCACATAACCCTACTGGTGTTGACCCTACCAAGGAACAATGGGATCAAATCTCCAAGGTCATGAAGGTAAGAATTATTCAATATGATGGATTGACTCATTCTTGTACAACAATGGATGTATCAATTGAAAAAAAAAAAAAGGATCATCAAACTAAGGGCTAATAATAGGAACGTGGACATTTCCCTTTCTTCGATATGGCCTATCAAGGTTTTGCCTCTGGTGATTGTTCTCGCGATGCCTATGCCCTCCGTAAGTTTGTTGACGAAGGACATCAAGTTGTTTTAGCTCAATCTTTCGCCAAGAACATGGGTCTCTATGGTGAGCGTGTCGGTTCTTTCTCTGTCGTCTGTGCTGACGAAGCTGAAAAGGCACGCGTTGATTCTCAACTCAAGATTATCATCCGTCCCATGTACTCTAACCCTCCCATTCATGGTGCTCACATTGTCAGCACTGTTTTGAACAACAACGAATTAAAGCAAGAATGGTTAGGTGAAGTTAAGACTATGGCCGATCGTATTATCACCATGAGAGATCAACTTAAGGGTCACCTCGAGAACGATTTCAACTCTCAAAAGAGCTGGAACCACATCACTGACCAAATCGGTATGTTCTGTTTCTCCGGTATGACTCCCGAACAAGTCAACAACATTAAGAATGACTGGCACGTCTATTTGACCCAAGATGGTAGAATCTCCATGGCTGGTATCTCATCTGCTAACGTCAAGTATCTTGCTGAAGCTATTCACAACGTCACCAAGGACTAAATGTTTTTATAAGGATTTTTTATTTTATTTTTTTATTTTATCGCACCAAATACCTCATCGTTATTGATATTAAAATTAGTCGGTTTTAATCCGAAACATCAAAACTTAAAATTTAAAGCTGGGAAGATGTACATTATCTCATGTGATTTAAGGGACTTTCATGTGGGATTTTGCAGGCATAATTTGAAACTGCCCAATACTATTTGGCGGATTGTGGTTTACCGGATTAAAATAAGTCCCCTTAAATACGTTGGCCTGAGCAAAAAAACATTTCCTCATTGTTATGCATAAAACAAACAGTGCAATTCTTCTAATATTTTCCATGATATAATTGATGACGGTGTGAAAAAAGCTGTGTGAAAATAAAAGCTTGTGCGACTTTGTGTCGGATAATCTGGAGGCTGAAATATTATCGCAGTAATATTTTTATGCTACATAGTAGGTATGTGCCACAAGCTTTATACATACCTAAAAAAAAAAAAAAAAATCGCGTAATCAACGTCGACGTTTTCCAGCATATCGCTCTACATATTCTATCTCTTTTTGTTTTGATCTCGACTTTTACGATCGAGATATAATAGGCGAATTAGATCAAAATAACAACACTGTTCATTCGACTAGATATAACGAATGATCAGATCTTGTGCCGAAAACACAAGTCCGTTTAAACAAATGGATACTTTTTAGTTTCTGATGAGTAGAGACTAATTGTTCCTAAAATAGATGTGTGTAACTTGATTTTATCGAATGATCAGGCTCTTATAACTGTTGCAACAAACCACGGTTTTACGGTATATGTAGATGATGTTCATCATTTTGATGGCATTACTGATAATTTACTTAATTTATCATAGTCGCCTTGGATTTTAAATTACATTTTTTTGACGTCTTATGAGAAAATAATAATAAACGTAACACCAATGTGGGGTAATGGACCTAAAATCACATGTAGATACACACATATATAATAAATTCAGTACAATAAAATGGGCACCGAAATACAATGTCATGAGATTCGTATACGATGTTCCACTGTGTCTCTTTTACTGCTCTTAATTAACCCTTCGATATACATGTGAAATACTCACCCTATTTTTTTTTTGTCAAAGTTAAATTGTGCCTTTTTCACAAAATTTAATCACACTTTTTCTTTTGCTTCGTTTACCTTACTCCTCACTCTTAATTATACACAAAACTACAATAATGTCTAAGAAGTACACCATCGAAGAAGTTGCCAAGCACCAACAAGGTGATGATTGGTATGAATCAAACTATATATTAGAAGAATTTATTTTGTCAATTACTTTTTCTAACCTTTTATAAATAGTTGGATCATTGTTCATGACAAAATCTATGATATTTCTAAATTTTTGGACGATCATCCAGGAGGAAAAAAGGTCCTCTTGAAGGCAGCTGGAACAGACGCTACTAAACAATTCGATGCTTTCCATAGTCCTTCTGTCCTGACTAAGATTGCTGCCCAATATTTAATTGGTGAGGTAGGCGATGGATCTGTTGAGGAAGAGGCAGACACGGATGATGTTGTTGATGTAAACCCTCTTCAAGTTGGTGAAGCCTATGGTGATATGGTTCCTTTCGGTGACCCTATGTGGTATCAAGATTGGTACAGCCCTTACTATAACGACTCGCATCGTAAGGTGAGACAATCGGTCCGTGATTTTGTAGAGCGCGAAATCATGCCATTCACTCATGAATGGGATGAGGCCAAGCAGTTGCCTCATGATCTTTTTGAAAAAGCAGCTAAGGCAGGTATCCTTGCTTCTGTTGTTGGCCATGTAGATCCTGAGTATATTCCCTATGGGTTACCTGGTGATGTACCACACGCTGATTTTGATACCTTCCATCATATTATTGTTGCTGATGAGTTGTCTCGCTGTGGTTCTGGCGGTGTAAGTTCCCTTTTTTTTTTGTTTTCTTACCAAACGCTTGGTCTTAAAATACTAACATTGTTTTTAGATTACCTGGGGTCTTATTGGCGGTCTGGGTATTGGTCTTCCTCCTGTCCTTCATTTCGGTTCCAAGTACCTTAGAGATAAGGTAGCCCTAGACTGTTTGGCTGGTAGAAAGAGCATCTGTTTGGCTATTACTGAACCATCAGGTGGATCTGATGTTGCTGGGCTTCAAACTGAGGCTAAAGATATGGGTGACCATTATCTTGTCAATGGTGAAAAGAAATGGATCACAAACGGTACCTTCGCTGACTATTTTACTGTCGCTGTTCGTACTGGTGAGCCAGGTTTCAATGGTATTTCATTTTTGTTACTCGAAAGAAGCATGCCCGGTATCAAGTAAGATAATTATAGTAACGGAAAATGACATTTTCTCATATCGACAATTAGGACTACACAAATGAAGTGTTCTGGTGTATGGCCTTCAGGTAAGTAAAAATGTTTAGGATGAGTGAGTTATGATGTAAAACTAACGGTGCACACATTTTAGGTACTGCTTATGTTACTTTGGAAGATGTTAAGGTGCCCAAAGAAAATTTAATCGGTGAAGAAAACAAGGGTTTCAAATATATCATGCACAACTTCAATTCTGAACGTATGGGTATTGTTATCCAAGCTAATCGTTTCGCTCGTGTATGCGTTGAGGAGTCTCTCAAATATGCCCACAAGAGAAAGACCTTTGGCAAGCGTCTTATCGATCATCCCGTTATCCGTAACAAGCTTGCTCATATGATCAGACAAGTCGAGTCTACTCATGCCTGGATGGAGACTCTCGCTTATCAATCTATGCATATGCCCGAAGAAATTCAAGCTATTCGTCTTGGTGGTCATATTGCTCTTTGTAAGGCACAATCCACTCAAACATTCGAATACTGTGCTCGTGAAGCCGCTCAAATCTTTGGTGGATTAGCATACAGCCGTGGTGGCCAAGGTGAAAAGGTTGAACGTTTGTACAGAGAAGTCCGGTAAGTAACTATTTGATATGCGTGTATCTTTATACTGACTGTGTCCTTAAAAAAAGTGCCTTTGCCATTCCAGGTGGTAGCGAAGGTTTGTAATTACAGCTGCAATATATATCAATGTTCTAATTGAGTTTGTATATTTTCTAGAAATTATGCTTGATTTAGGTGTGAGACAGGCTGTCAAGGTCGGTGCCTTCATGGGTGCCAAGATGTAATTGAATTCCTATTATTTATTAAAGTATATGCAATAAACACTGTCATATGTTTCTCTAATTACAATATTTTTCATACGACCACTATGAAGAATTACACTCTTGATAAGAACTTTGATAACTAAAATATACATTGGCCCTTAATTTTTGGTGGAAGAAATATGGGCTTTCTTTTTTTTTAAAAAAAAATAATTGTCACACGTCCAAAGTTCTTTACAAGAGATATATACCTGAACTCAATGCAAAGAGATTGGCAGATATTAAAGTAATACTTTAAACTCCAACACCGTACGCTGGTGACCATCAAACTAACCCGAACAAGAACAATACAGCAGTTTTTACCTAATTGGAAAAAAAAGAGACGTACCAACTCGCCTTACACAATCTGTGTCGCTAATTCGGGGGGTTTGGGATGTAACCAGTAAAGGTAATTATCCTAGTATTTGGATCCATGGCTCATGGGTACTGGCATCTGTAAATTTTGATAAAATTAATTTTGTATGCTTGCATAATCATAAAAAACAGATATAATCATAGTCATTGATATGTGAGCATGGATGGAAGCTGTTTTGTTATATTTTTCAATCCTCCCTTCATATATCTTCGTCTAATCTAAACATCAGTAAAAGCTCACTCGTGGCAAGATGGTTAAACAAATATGTCCTGTCCGACTATAACCTTCCCCCCTCCTTTTTTTTTTTGGTTGAGTATGACGAAAGATATGTTTCTCTACCTCACAGTTGATGTCCCAGTGATAGGGTAAAAAAAAGAAAAAAAAAGAAAAAAAAGAAAAAAAACTAACACCAAGCACAGATCAATCTTCTACTGACAGTAAAATTCTGACTTAAATGTCTTTAACAAACAAGCAAAAATAAAAAACGAGAAACACGAATATTTTTAAGAAAGACAGCCTTAAAACAGAGTATTTGGTGGGAATATTACACATCTTGGTCGCATTCTGAGTTGTTGGTGGACCATCAAGACACTTTGTGTTACACTTTCAGATGCTGTACCACTAATGAGTGCATTTTGCGGAGATGTCGGTATGAATTTGGAGCTATTTTTGAAGCATCATTAGGTAGTACTAATCCAATGGATGGGACAAGGCTAAAGAAACCAGTTGTTATTTATTGCTTTTGTGCATCTATTGTACATTTTTCTTTTTTACTTTTTTTTTATTCATATATAATAGAATATATTATTGTTATCAGCAGATCCTTCAATTTCAAAAAAAAGTAACAATGTCGCATTTCAGGTACGGCACGTCAATTTATACTGTATTTACTGCTCCTAATAGTTCTGGTTTATTATTAGTGACTTTTCATATCTTCGTATGTTTTTTGTATTTAAATGGGAAAATAGACAACTTACCTTAATTGATACGAATATGTACTTATGTAGAGAGATGTTCAATATGGGTTTATATGGGCGTTTTTCTTGCATTCAAAATTTGGACAAGCGATAGGTTCAAATGTCTTCACCCGAAAAAGATCTTCAGTGGAGAGTTACGAAGCATTATCACTATATTGTATATATTAATGCTGTTCATGCAGGCCTCATGGGGTAAATTGAATCAAGCTATTTCAGCAAGATGGCATTTAATTTTAAACATGCGTTAATTTAGATATTGTACTTGCTTGGATCAAGTATTATGAGAAATTCACCATAATCCCAGGGACCGCAACAATAATTGAAACCCCTTTTAACTCTTGGACCGAGCAACATAAAAATGCATCACAGGTAGATTCATATTTCGTTTATATAGTATGGGATTTCAAGCTAACTCTTCTTTTAAGTCAATGGATTACGTAGAATGTATAAATTTGTCAATGCAGGCTAGCGTTCTTATTTTACTGCAGTGTTTCTGGAATTACATTTCAAACAGCGTTGCAAAAAGATCTTTCATGACATCTTTGGAATTTAAGTTTTATATTTTCTGGTAAAGTATACGTTATTAGATTTTAAGCCCACTTTTTTAATTTTTACTGCTTTAGGGCAATTAGTACTATCGTTACATTCCCTACATTACAGTACAGCTACCGAAACAGCGAGATTTTAAGAGAAAGCGTTCCTTTATTAGCATATTCGGCAATAGGTACAACATTAAACTGCATCGTGTATACATTGTCGATCACTAATGTTTTGCTATTAAGGCTTGATTATTTCTAGCCTGGGTATCCGCTCTCATAAAAGATTTAATCGAATGCTAGAAACGCTTCATATGTTAGAAAATGGAAGCAGTGTTATCGCACGTCTTGAATACTTTCAGGAAATGAATCTACTCATCTCGATCCTGTTATGCTTCTATGCACTAACTTTGGGTATTATGTGTGTAGACGGTTTGACATCTACACTCATTGCCAGAAGTAAATTTGCAACAGATTTTTTAATCGCCAATTGTAATACGTGTGCTTTGTTGATGTGGATGGTTGGCGTAAGTCTTGAATTTTAGGTACAAAAATTTCAGTGCACAACTAATATGTTCATGTATATTAGATTTTCATATTTCATCCTCGACGTACTACAGAAGAGATCAAATTAGACAACAGATCTAAATCAAGCGAAAACATAAGCAATCGTGATTCTCTTGTTGCAACCGGTGACATCGAATTATCGAGCGTTCAATATCAAGAGCCTTCGATGGATGAACATAAATCTCGAAATAGTCAAACTAGTCAACGTGTCAGCAAATTTGTGAACAGTCAAAATGCAGTAAATTAAAGTAGTCTTGTGATGCAATACCTTAAGAGTGTGCTAACTATGACATTTGTGTTATTGGTATATAACAAACGGCCTCAGCACGGATAAACTGTTACTGGCTTTAATATGGCTACAGCCTTGCTAGATCACCAACACATTATCCCCACCTAGATATTGACTTATACCGTTTAAGTATCTTTTTTTAATCAACATTAGCTTAGCCTTTGTATACTTAAGCAAATAAACAATATTACTTATTTCATCAGAAATAAGATCTTCATAAATACTACTTAAAACCCAAGGTATTATATGTGTATATCTCCATGTGAAGCTGAAAGTATTGATTTCAGTATTCTTTTTATAGATATGATCAATGTTATATCTTCATCTAAGCAAAAGATATGCTTGTTTGTTAATGATTATCGTGGTTTATCCAGAATCAACACCTCTTGTGAAGGAGGAATAAAAACCGCAAAACATGTAACAAAACAAACACCATCTATTTCATTCTCGTACGTACTCTTATTCATGGAAAGTTTATACATAGATATGTTTAAAAAGACTACATTGATATGACAAAAAGGACCATCGTCAATTTAAAAACGGATATTAAAAACACTAGGACGTGCGCATCCACTTTTGGCGCGCCTTATTATGTATATCCTCCATCAATCATGCGCTTCAAAAGCTTTTTGTACTGTAGGAACGACAATACAAAAGCATCCGTCCCCAAGTTTTATCAACGTAAATATGAAAGCCTCACTATTTCTCTTATTGTTAAATGCAGAGTCACTTCACCAATTTGTTTTCGAAAAAAATATATATCAGCCATGATGAATTCATTGTCAACTATAAAACTCATTGAAACCCCATTTATCATTTATGTTATCCTTGTCACTTTTGACTTGCATTGATTTTGCTAAAAGATAAAAATCCAATGACTCACTGACTTGAAGCATTCTTTCACTGCAGTAACTGTCCGTAAAGAAATAATTGGTCCCCCAGATCTGGTTTATCTTGAGCTGTCCCTATAGATACATGTTTGCTGAAACTATATTACCTTCCCTGGGTAAGGCTTGATTTCTTGTATGACAGCAACGAGGTTTTTAGTTGCTATGAAATCCCCTTTTTACGATCGACAGCTAATAAAGTAGTCATGGCATGGCATGGTTGGTAATTTTACAAACAGGAAACAGGCAAACATCTCCTTGACAGCAGCACGACTTTCTTATGTACGCAAAAGTCTTTTCTTGTCTAAAGGGAAAACTAGCTGTTTGCACGTTACTCACAAGCATATTCAAACGTTTTCTTTGACACTCTTCACGATCGGACCTTTTAATGGGCACCGTGAGTAGAAATGTTTTACACTATTCGGAATAGATCAGTGATCTTTTTGTCATGACACAGTCAAGGCATGTGGAGTGAACAAGATTTTCAAACTTCTCTTCATTTTAAGAACATTCAATTAATAGAGAGCAAAGGGAGTCTTTTTATTTTAATATGTGTTGCTTAATGGTTCTACCTAATGCAAAAAAGGCCCTTTACTTTTGAGAATAAGAAGCCTTATTCAGAAAAGTAAAGGGCCAAAAAAACAAAAAAAAAGCCCCCCACCGAAGCAGGAGGCAAAAAAAAAAAAAAAAAAAAAAAAAAAAAAAAAAAAAAAAAAAAAAAAAAAAAAAAAAAAAATATATATACAAAAAAAAAAAAAATATATACAAAAAAAAAAAAAATATATACAAAAAAAAAAACGATGCTTACTCCCCAACACCTCTGAGAAGCACGAATCATTCAATCCTGGGACTGACGGCACCAATGAGAGCTATTGAACAGCAAACATCAGTGTGAAAACAAACCTTAAAGAGAAGAAAAATCAATGGATGGGGGTTCCCTTTTTATACCATTTTGAAATCAAAAAAATTTATGCGCCATGTGATAGATATGACTATCAAATATGACTATCGATATGACTGCCTCTGGGTAAGTGAATGTGTTTGCGCAGCAAAAGGATCGCTTTAAAAGCAAAAAAAGTTACACAAAACTACTCTTTTTCCTGTAAAAATCACTATTTTTCATACCACAGATTTTCATGCCTTCTTTGAAGTCTTCACGTTACTCAACTGTCTTTTTTTTTGTTACGCCAAATCACAGAAAAGAGAGTTTAGACCTACCAGAAAGGACTCCAGTGTAGTTATTTTTATTGACCTTCAGTTACTGTTCATAATTAAGAATGTTTTTTGTCATTCTGTCTAATAAAAGAACAGGTTTGTCAATGTTGTCTTTTACTCCACATGTATGCAAGTCATTATATAATGGGTGGGGTAACTACTTGGACTTAAAGGCATAGTCAATGCTCACCATTAGTCATTATTTCCTTTTTTTTTTTTTCGTGTACGGCTTCTTAAACTTTATGCAAATGTTACAGTCCCCGCTTCCGATATTTCAAGTTCCTTCAGGCAACGTTTTTTGATGAAGACCATTATTATTATTATTGGATAGAGAAAGTCGCATACTTTTTTTTATAAGAGCTTGCAGTGAAATCCATAAACCCACATTCATACTCAAAGACCTGTAATGGCTGTAATAACCGTGCCCCCATCGTATTACAGTAAGGCATGATGTCCTTTTCCGTGAGTTGAGTACAGAAATTTCGACGGTGTTTGCAAAAAAAAAAAAAAAAAAAAAAAAAAAATCGTGTGTAAAATATCTTTTCTTTAAATTACCATGACTATGTGTCTACAGTGTCCCTCAGACATGTAATACGCACCAAACTTTGTGACCTTTTTTAGCTTATGAAAAAGTATAAAAGAAGAGCACTTCCCTGTTCTATTTTTTTCCCTTGGTTTCTGAAAAGGCGGGCGGCGGTACTGGGTCCGACGTCTGTAAGCGCTCGAGTGCTTTCACTCCCAAGTGCTGGCCACTACTTCGGGTAGCCTCAGAATCCACCCTTTTTGATAAAAAAAATGAGAAAAACAAGCAATTCTATTGGCTGAATTTGGCTTTAATTCAATGCATAAAGCGGGTTTTAAATGCTCTTGGGCTGCGATTCAGTGTGTGCAAGCCAAGAGTTACAAAATACCTACTTCTCAAATAACTTGTCTTTGTTTAAAGACAATTAGACTTATGGCTTTACAAGACATGAACAACCGCTATTGAATTTGTAGTTTACAGTTTATTAATGCGTATAGAATAAATCCCTAAGTCACGATGTAAATTGGCTCTTTTTTTTTCAACCTACACCAAATCACACAGCTGTCTTACAACTTTAGCTTGCAGTCATTTTGTTGATATGTGCTTAGGTGTCAGACATTTTTTTTTGACGGCCTTACAAATGAAAAAAATAATTTTCCGGGCTTATAAAGCAATAGTTGATAGGCATAGCGTCCATGTCTTTTAAGGCAAGCATTGTTGTTTTGTATAGTAGATATGACATCGAAAAAAAAAAATTCATGTCAATAAAATTATCAAAGGTCTAATATAATATACCAGCATCGGCATAATATTCCTTAATATGTTATACATAAACAGAAAGCGTTGGAAATATCTTGCTACAGCTAGAAAATCACCGGAAAGGCACACTTAAATCAAGTAAATATGATTTTACATATCAATACCTAATATATAATACCAAAGGTGATATTCGATAGCAGAGTGAGAATATATTAATCTGGGATATATTATAGTTTATCGCTAAATACAATGTTTGTATACAGTACCAGTACTATCATCGAAACTTTAGGGACGGGGCATTTGATTTGTCTTATCTTGTTATCTGGGCAATATGGGACTTGTCATACTTTGATTGTAATGTCTTTTAACTAGCCTTCCTCTTGGGTTGTTGCTGAACGAACGAAAACGGAGTTTAAAAAGCAGTCGTACATACCTTCTTAAATGAAGCCACGCATGGATTGCATATCGTGCGTAACGAGAAGAACGTATCGGATAAGCGGTGTACATTGTTCTGTTTTAGTGTTCCATTTTAGGTTCCACCTGTCAAATTTAAAAATTTAAAAGTTTAGCAGCTGAAAAAAAAAGAATAGCAACTATGTTACAAATGGCAATTATCAACAACTAGTATAATACAAATTATATTTATAATGACAGATAAATGTCATCAAAAGAAGTATAAAGAGGTTGAACATATCTTCAATTGTGCCCCGATCCATGTACCAAAAGGGAAGAACAGAAAAACTAGTCTAATATTACATCGGTCGCAATAGCTGTTAATAAACTTACAGATGTTCTCTTTTAAATATTTAGTTTAGTAGATGTTTTAGCTTCAGATGACATCAAAAATTCTGTAGATCCTCTTTGAAAGGAAACTATCTACACTCACTATAGGATCTTTAAGTCATGTTCTCAGAGAGATTGAAATTTTATAAACGTAAGGCAAGACATTACATTCTTATATGTAAATGTACCTTGTCAAATCTGCAGCTTGCAAAAGTGGATCAACAGCATTTGATGAAATAACTTCTTTTACGAGTCCGTGCCATAAGGGGTATTCGTTGAGAAAAAAGAAAAAGGATGGCGGATAAAAGTTAGCAATGATAAGTGAATGACGGAACCCATATATAGTAACTTGTGTGTAATAAGCTTTGAAGTAACAATTTTTTTTTTCGCACGCCAAATAATTGTTTGGACTCATATCAGACTCTATTTACTTCTTATAGAAATATATAAATCGTGATTGGCTACAGCTGACAAATGCCAGAAGGTTTATTTCGAGTTCCCTCGAGTTCTCATTGGCCGACGTTACGCACATTATTTATATATAAAGTCCATTTTTTTACACTAATCCATTTTTTTTCTTTTTTTTTTACAATAAAAGAACTATGTCTTCTATCACAAAGTTTGTTCAATTTGGTAAGACCCACATTGCTAGAGGTATTGGAAGATCCACCGAGCTTGTTATCGACAAGGCAAAGGGTACTTATGTTTATGCTGTTGACGGTAAGAAGTATCTCGACCTTTCCACCGGTATCGGAGTCACCAACACTGGTAAGTGATATCATACTACATATAATGTGTAATGAATACGCGAAAGATATATTCTACGCGTTGATGTAAAAAATACAAGCATACTAATTTCAATCTAGGTCACTGTCACCCTACTGTTGTGAAGGCTGTCCAAGAACAAGCTGGCAACTTGGCTCACGGTCAAGTCAATATCTTTTTCCAAAAGCCTATGCTCGAACTTATTGAAGGTTTGCTTCCCAGAATGCCTTCTCCTAAGCTTGATACATTCTTTTTCTGGAACTCTGGATCCGAAGCTGTTGAAGCTGCCATCAAGGTCGCCCGTCATGCCACCAAGAAACAAAACATTATCGTCTTCCAAGGTTCTTATCATGGTCGTACTTTTGGTACCATGGCCTTAACTACCTCCAAGACCATCTATGCTGCCGGTTTCTCTCCCTTGATGCCTGGTGTACATGTCGCACCTTACCCTTACTTCCAACAATGGTCTGCACATAAGGCTGATCCCGAGAAGTTTGATGCCGATTGGTGTGGTGATGAAGCCCTTCATCAACTCGAGCTTTTGTTAAAGCAACGTTCAGATCCCGAGGATACTGCTGCTATTTTGATTGAACCCGTTCAAGGTGAAGGTGGCTATGTTGTCCCCCCTAAAAGTAAGTGACATATTAAAATAGTGGGAAAAAAAAGCAAAGTGTTGATTGGCCTTTTATTTTAGACTTCCTCGCTGGTCTTCGCAAGATTTGTGACAAGCACAACATTTTATTGATTTGTGATGAAGTACAATCTGGTTTCGGTCGTACCGGTAAGATGTTTGCTGTTGAGCACTTTGGTATTGTTCCCGATATTTTGGTCATGGCTAAGGGTATTGCCTCTGGTTATCCTCTTTCAGCTATTGTATCACGCAAGGAGATTATGGATAAGCAACCTCCTGGATCCATGGGTGGTACTTACTCTGGTAACGCCATTGCTTGTGCTGCTGCCAAGGCTACACTCCAAGTCTTTGATGACGAGAAGCTTTTAGATAACTGTAACGTTCGTTCCGAGCAATTCTTCAAGGGTTTGAGATCCAAGATTCCTGCTCTTTTGCCAGAAGGCGTGACCTGCGATATTCGTGGTAAGGGTCTCATGATTGGTATTGAATTCATGGGTGTTCCTAAGGGTTTCGCAAATAACGTTGCTACTGAGGCCTTAAACCTTGATACCATCCTCTTAACCACATCTATTTACGAAACTCTTCGTTTAATTCCTCCTCTTACTATCACTGAAGAAGAAACTAATCTTGCCCTTGAACGTGTTGTTGCTAGTGTTGCCGCTGCCGTCGAGAACCTCAAGAAGGCTTAAATTCAATTTAGCCTAATGTACAATTATTTACAATAAACTTTTTTATATACACTGTGAATGTCGAGTTCGGATATTCAGAAGAAAACCTTTTTTTCTCCTGTTAATGTATTTTCATATAAAAAAAAAAAAAATAAGGTTTCCCATTGGTATTACCACTACTGGCGTGCAATTTTTTTTACTCCACGGCCAGACAATGTTAAGTATTGTATTTTTGGACGAATCAAAATCAATTTCCAGGTGTTCAATTTACTTTTTTCGGATGAAACAAAAATGGAATAAAATTCAGGTACCTTGCTTATTTATTTTGGATGCCGAGTTTTAAGTAATTTGAAGATGGTGAAGTATAATTCAGCTTTAGGTTTTCTTTAAAATTACAGAAACAAAATGCTTATACCACACTGCAAAGAGAAGCGTGCATTAAACAACACGTGGACAACAATGTGATTTAATTCAGTAATAATTTTTGACATAATAAACTCTTTCTTGGCACAAAAAAGGTCAGCCGAACATCTTTCATCGTGGATGAAAATGGTGCCAAAGGCCGTGCTTTATATTGCGGGGATTTTTTTCAACCTCTAACACGGTGAAAAAAACAGAAATACATACCAACATACGAAGATAATAGAGAAAAAAATACAGTGAAGGTTATCAGATAGCTTGAAAAGTTAAATATAATCAAAATGCTCACACATTTAAATCACTCAGTGTGGAGTGAAAACGGAAACTGAGCTATTTTGCTATAGAATTGTCCAGAACTTTTCTTTTTCACAAATAAAAGATCAAAAAGTATGACAACTAAGGTAAACTAACTTTGATTGATCTTAACAGAAGCGAGAATATTGACGTCATTGAGTACTTGTTTATCACTTCCAATTCCGAAAAAGTTCTCAATACATTTATGTACATATTCAAGCTCCCAAGTGCAACATGGATTTCAGAAAGTTTAAGCTTAAACTTTTGGTTGCCAAAGTTTCTCTGTAGAAGGTGTACAATAATTAGGGGGGACCCAACCCACTGAAGGTTCAATAGGCTACTTCTGGGTCCACGACGCTTACAGAATTCTGCTTTTGTATGGCAGGAAGAGCTGACATCGAAGAATCAAGTCCGGCATGGTAAAATATTACACTATCGTAAAATACAAACAAAATTTATTCAATTTCCCCTTAGACTACATCAGAAAGCACTTTTGCGGGTGAAGTTATCAAGAATGCTACCATCCACACCTACACCCACCAAATTTTTAAAAATAATCCAAGCGAGATTCATCTGGGTACTAGTGTCGGTGAAACTACTCTTACAAAAACAGACCCAGGTACTACAACGTAAGTGGTGATTATGACGATCTTCGAACTACTAGTGCCGCAGGTTATGATATCTGTGTAGTTGAATTTCCAAGGTATCTATCCAATGCCAAATACAGCGAAGATCATCGCAAGGTATTGCAAGAATTAAAGAACAACGGCGATCACGTTTATAAGACCACGTGTGTTCCAAAGAAACTGAAGAGTAGATTGAAGAACATTTCCATTCAAATTTCTGCTAATATAGGGGAAATAAACCCAACACGTCTGCAGGCTGATGGCTTATACACCAATGAAAAGATAGGCTCAATGTACATCTCATCCGGCGTAGATGATTTGACGCGTTCCTTTTGAACGTTTGGATAAAGTGAACGTAGGTCCCTGTAATCGCTATCATAACAAAATTTACTTAATGACTATTTCAGTTTTTTTTAGAAAATTACTGTTCATGTCAATAGTATGCGCACCATAATCAAGAAGAATTTGTTGATGAAACTAAAAGCGGTCGATATGTGTCTACAGACAGAAACATGGAAGTTAAGGAAGTTGGTCATAGGAAAGCGAATGAATCGATCTACTCAAGTTGGGTAAGAGGGTGTTAGTTATGGCTGTACCCAACTGTAAGCCCAGTACTTCGAAGGATATCCTATTTACTGGGGATTTGTCCAAGTACTTTCTCACTCACACCTTTCCATTACATCTTATGACGATTGAAGGTCTCCTTCTTTTTTTTTAAATAAAGCTCATCCACTCAAACACGCCCATTCTACTTTAAAAAGTTCTTTTTTATTCTTTTCCAGTCTTTTTTTTTTACAAAAATAAATAAATAAATTAGTAGTACAAGTCCATAACTATTTTTATCTTAAACATCACTCAAGTAGACTTGCCGATTTTTATTAATTGACATGTTAGCCGTAATCTGTATGACCATGTTGCACGGATAAATATTATGCCAACAAAGAGGCGCTTGTTAGTAAAGCAAGGTATCGCCATGTACCTCAATTAGTTCAACTCAAGGATACGGGGATCAGAAAGTCGCATCTTACTACGTCAAAGCATTGGAACAACATTATTTTATTCTGACTTTAATTTTAGAAAGAATAAAAACAAAGTTGAATTAATACAGGCTCTGATTGAAGGAACAACAGACACTTTGGTGTGAAGTGATCAACAAACCCAATAGCTCTTATGATATTTAATAGACAACACAGATAGGTTAAAGAAGCTATTTTAAAAGAATCTAAATATTTCGGTTACAAGTGGGGTTTATTATAAAAGAGAATACGTAAGCAAAAATATGAACATGACAAACGTCATTAGATGTTGGTCTTTACCAGCAATAAGTACTTGGGTCAATAATTCTCAAATGATTGGCCACAGCGTAAGTTAAGGTCATGGCTAGCAACTTGGGTTCATGAACGAAAAGCTGTCTTTCTTCCAACTGCACAGCTCCGTTAAAATGGAATTAGAGGGACATAATAGATATACGCCTTATTTTTTTTTCTGAATTGTATAACAAGTTATACATGAAAAAGGCAACCTCTTTGTTTTCCTCCGACCATGTACTCTCATAGAAGTTTTTTCTAAAGAACAACTCGTGTATGTCAAGCTACTAGTAATTTTACCGAAAGCATCACATGAAAGCACTATTTTAACTTACATCTACATTGTATCATTTAATATCATTTCTACTAATGATGGTTGTGTAACCCATCAATCCCAAGCTAAATGATTGTAATAGCATTGAGAATAAAAATATCCCCGGCCATCGACGGGTGAAGTTATTACCGCTGATTCATTCTTTTAAACATACTATCTCGCTGGGGCCTACGAGTTAAAATCATTGGCTTTATGCTCTCGTTGAAGTTTTTTTTTTGGGGGGAGCTTTTTTTTTTTCTGGAAAACCTTGTTTTAACTAAGTTAACGAACAATACAACTTGATTAAAATCAACAATTCAGATATGATGAGAGTTGTGGTATTCACGATCAGATCAATGGGCATTTTAGTAAATGTATGCCGGTGATTTGATGCCGCATTGGTTCAAATATGATTGGAATCTATAAAGCGATGGGACTCAACATTTACCCCTGAAAGTCGCTTGTAAACTGTAATTAGCTTATGTATGCTAAGTAACGAATTACGTATGTCTATTCGATCACCATTCTATGGCCTACTTTAAGTTTCTGCAGTACATGTGCTGACTATTATAGTCAATATTTGCATGTACAGCAATTCCCGACAGTTTGGTGTGCCTTGACAAACTAGTTTGTATTGACAGAATACTGATTCTTTGACAGATAGGGTGTCTCTCATTGTTGAGTTATCTATTTATAATATTTTTATCACGCTTGTTTCATAATTTTTTTAATTGATGTGACTTATAAAGTGTGACGGAAAACGAGTTTGATAGGTAGAAAATGTGATTGGAAAAAAAACATAGATGTGGTATGACTGCCATATACAGTATGGTGCATAATCGCCACCGAAATATTTGGGTCTAGTTCTTTTTTATAATTATTTTGGCCATTATTTTTGCCCAAATATCCAAAAGGCATGTTTTTTAAAGAAACGGAAGCATAGTGAGTGGTGCAAAGTTTTAAACTCAATTAACTTTTTGTGTAATGCTCATGTTGATCCCATACGTTGTCGAAAGGGGGCGATCGAATTGCTTTTGTGCACTGAATTTCTAACCTTATTTCGTCTACACCTTCATAGATTTTCACAGCACGTGATTCTATTTTTTCTCTAAAAAATGACATCCAAGTAAAGTTATAATGTATGCGATCAACCTTTGTCTAAGTTTAGAGCTAAGAAACCACCCTGCAAACAAATTTAGTGGTGATCAGATGCAAATTCAACCCATGTCCCCGCAAAATCAGAACGCAACCTTTCGTGTATAAAAAGGATGGATTATTTGTCAAGTTTTAGCATAAAAAGGAGCGGATTTTAGAAGGACAAGGACTGGATTATTACATCAGGGAATTATAAAAGGAATAGCTGGGTTGTAAGGTATTCTTTATCAAATACTATTAACATTAAACCAGTGTGGTCTTAAAATATTTCTATAATGCAAACTGTTCATATGCTTGAGACAGTGTCCATGATTTTCTGATTGATCTCACACAATTAAAAATTACCCGTATTATTCAAAACCCAGAGCTGGAAAGAGAAAGATGGTAGGGCGCACAAGAAAGGACCTGTATTTTATCCGAAACAAATGTTGGCTTTAAAAGGCTAGTATTAAAATCCTTTTCATATAACACAATGTTAAAAGCACAACAATTCATATATTTTTGAAAATTCGTCATTGAATCCAATGTACGTCATTTGAAAATAGTTAGTCTCTTTTTCAAGTTCCATTGAGTCTAATTTTTTTTTTATATATTTATATTTTTTTTTCTTCTCCACTTTCCTTAATGTACCCAATCTTGCACTAATTCAAACGCATTTGAATTTTATTTTTATAATACTCCTTCATTGACTCTTATTCTTCCTTACTGTATTAGCTAAAGGAAGCTTGCGTGTATAACAATAATAACAACAACGACAACGACAAAAGCAACAAAATTAATTATTTAATACAACTATGACAAGGTAAAAACTCTTTTATTAGTAGTCTTTCTTTCTCCCCCCCTAATTTCAAAGCAGTGATACGTCTTCTTCAGCCACTTCACAATATCATGCTCAGTTATTTTCTGGGCAACAGCAGTTGCAGAAACGACACCAGCAACAGCAGGAGCAACAAATCATCACACCTACATTGATTGCAAATAAACCAACACAATTGAACTATAAAGTGATGTCGTTTGATGCGCCCAATCTATATCATACTTCCCTACAACTGACGACAGAAATCGATATTCATGCTTGGTGGATATCTCTAGTAAAAATCTTTTCCGGTAATATAACGAATATGGGGGAAGGGGATGTTTCTATTTATAGAACTTTTTTTTTTGCTGACTGTTTATTCAGGAACTTCCTTTCATGCTACCAGAATCACACTCAGTGTTCCTCAAGATCCAAATGACCCCTTTAATGGACCATGGGGATTAAAGGCAGTTTATAACAAAACTGGTTCGATCAGTCAAGACTCAGATATTATTAGTGTAGATTCAGGAACGGATGAGAATAAAGAATATGAAGATGAAAAGGAAGATGAAACAAATTATGATTATTTTTTACATGGTCATAGTGTACACGAAACTTTTCCTCGTCATACCCCTTGGTGTTTTGATAGGTTACAGCCGTTTGAATCAGAACCTGAACCTTTGATAAATAATCCAAGTGTCACAAAAATACTCAAAAGAAACGCTCCCGTCGTTTTATCAAGAGAGTATCGTAGAAAATCTGCAACAAAGAGATCATTTGGAAGCGAAGACCTTGGTTTAGAGATATTCAAAAGAGCCTTGTTAGATCACACAAACGAAAAATCCCGTAAATCAAACTGGACTCTACCCATCATCACAACACCATGTCTATCAAAGGACGAAGCTAGTGAGATATTAGTAGACGGTTCCTCCCTGATGCTATTGGAACAGGATGACGATAATACCTCAAGTAAAAACAATAGCAACGATTCAATATTAACCAACAATACACCAGGTGGTGCAACTGCTGCCTCTACAGTCACACCCGGAAGTACATTTTTACAAGACTACGATGAATATGAACAGCAACAACCATCACCATGGTCTCAATCACCCGCTCCTTCTCCAGCGATTATGGATCCTGAATTTAACCCATTCTTCCAATCGCCACCTGATATAGACGATGAAGCATTCAACCCAGTCTCACCCGAATCTTATGACAATACTTCAGCTCCATTTCCTCCTCCTATTTCTAACGTACAGTCGATTGTACACATACCACTCTTTCATCCTTATGGTTCACTCGACCAACTTTCAGCTGCACAGCCTCAGCAACCACAGACACCACAGCACCACCATCTCTATACAACACATACAAACAGTACAACTACGAATAATACGTCAACTAATAAACAGCAACAAAATAACCCTATACCAATCGCTATTTTATCCTTTCTGGCACCTATCGTACCTTATCCTCCTGTCCTGCTCTCCAGTATTGCTTCATTGGCACCATTTATCGCTACCAGTTTTACCAACGCTATCGAAAACGCTCAAATGAAGAAACAAGGACAGTTTTATAATCGCAAAACAAATAACGGAAATGGTAGTAGCAACAACGCCAATAACGAAGCCAATAGTCGACCCAAAAATTACCGACGACGATCCTCTAAATCCTCCAAGTTGAAGAAACAGCGTGAAGATTTCCAGGACGAATGCGATAACAATGATGAGCTCTTGGAACGAGAAGATGAATCAGGGAACGAAGATGATTATCTCTTGCACCAGCAGCAACATCAAACTCAGATAGACTCCACCAACACTACACCGACAGCGGCACCCAACTCGTATGTACACGAAAAGCGCCCTGATCATTTAGGGAGTATGTCGAATTTCACAAGAAGTTCATTGGAAACCGTCACTGAACAATTTGATCCTGCTGTTCATCCTAAACAAACTATTGCTGAGTCAACTACAGATCTGTCGTCATTATATTCCTACGGTTCCTCATTTTCATCGGCACCTGCAGAAATATTGCAGGATAATGAAGCAGCATCGTCTAATGCGAGTGAGAGGTCTTCACCTCCGAATGTTAGAAAACGGTCTTCTCAGACTTCAATTGCCAGCACAGGGTCCTCACGAAGAATGTCTCAGGGTCGATCCTATAAATCGCTTTCTCCTTCTTCCGTCGCTGTGATGGAAGGTTGGGGTGCCGTCTCCCCAACGACGGGTTTACCCATTTCTGCTTCAATCCCGCCTCATGCCATGTGTAGCGATCGAAAATGCGTCAAACACGCTAATCTCGATTTAGATACCGATCATGATTTAGATACAGAGTATGGCAGCGGAGTGACCAACGATAATATAACACCACCAACCGCTAATAGTAGCAAGCATTTCTTGTTCAAAAGAAGAAAAAACGCAAGAAAGTCGAGATACAAGCGAACCAGTAGTGGAAGCAGCAGTAAATCACTAACCAAGAAATTTTATGATGATGATGGATTTCACTATCACCGTCAACAACAGCCAAAAAGCGGTGTTGATCGTTTCTTGGTCGCACCCAAATCTAGTTTACTGAGATTGATTATTGATGGTATCCCCATTCATGTATTGTAAGTGATCAACTTTTTTTTTTACATCAAATATTGATCTCTTCTTTTCAGTACTTGCTCTACTGCAACAGGCCAACTGACATGGGTGAATAATCGTACTTTACAGTATACCGGAAAATCTTTAAAAGATCATTTGGGTCCCAAATGGTTATCTCATATGCACCCAGACGACAGGCCAGAGTGTAAAAAAGCATGGGAAGCTGCTTATGAACATGGTAACGGATTTGCGGGAGAGTATAGGTTGAAACGATTTGATGGTTTATACCGATGCTTTCTGTGGAGAATTGTTCCACTACGAGATTTAAAAGGTCGAATCATTCATTGGTTCGGAACATGGTAAAAATAAGAGTGACAAATCAGAGGAAAGAGATAGACTGTCTAACCACCCAAAAAAAAAAAAATTAGTACGGATGTTCACGATCAGCATGTCGCCAAAGAAAGTAATTTGCGTCAGGTGGAAGTAGAAAGCAATGAAAGAAAGTATCGACTACTGGCTGAAGCGATTCCACAAATCGTCTTTACTTTTTCACCTGGGGCTGGTTTAACTTACGCCAATGGAAAATGGAGTTCCTACTCGGGGAAATCATTTTATCAAACAAGAGGCCTCGGTTTCATGTCGGCTGTTCATCCAGAGGATCGTGCCAAGCTTCAATTGCCTGATTTACCTCCCTTATTAAATAAAGCTGGCATTTCTTGGCAGAGTGAAGTAAGGTTATTAAGCGCTCAAGATGAATACAAGTGGTTCCTGGTTAAATGTGTATCTGTTGATGAATTAGATACGGGTGATGTAAGATGGTTTGGTACTTGGTAAGTGGGATATCTTCTTCCGGGTTTATGTGATTGAGGAGAGTAAAATTAAAAAGATATATGTTCATAGTACCGACATCAACGATCATAAGCTACTGGAAAAGAAATTGAAAGAAGCGCATGATGCTGCCCAAAAATCCACAGAAAGTAAAACCCGGTTCTTGTCCAACATGTCACATGAAATCCGAACTCCTTTGATTGGTATCACGGGTATGCTGAATTTCTTGCTAGACACAGAATTGACGGCAGAACAAATGGATTATGTTCACACCATACAACAATCAGCTGAATCACTTTTAGTCGTTATTAATGATATCTTGGATCTCAGCAAAGTAGAAGCAGGAATGATGAAGTTGGAATGGGAACCATTTAGTTTGGTTACAATGATTGAAGATGCAAACGAATTATTATCTACCCTGGCCATTCAAAAAGATTTAGAGTTGAGTTTCTGGGTCGATGATAATGTTCCTGATGTGGTTGTTGGTGATCGTGTCAGATTGAGACAGGTCTTACTGAATTTAATTGGTGTAAGTAGACAGTTTTGACAACTGAAACAGCCTAATTCTTTAATTGTCTCACACATTCTTATAGAACGCTATCAAATTCACAGCAGAAGGTGAGGTATTTACAAAGTGTACGATTGAAAAATGTCCACAATCCGAATCCGAAATCATCTTGCTATTTGAGGTTGTGGATACTGGTGCAGGATTCGATGCTTTAGAAGAGGCAGTTATGTTTAAACCATTTTCTCAAGTGGATAGTTCCAGCACTCGTAAACACGGCGGTAGTGGACTTGGACTTGTAATTTCACGACAACTTATTGAGCTCCATGGCGGCACAATGAAATGTAAGAGTCAAAAGGGTAAAGGGTCAACGTTCTACTTTACCGTCAAATTTGGCATTCCAACCGCAGCTACAAAACCCTTACCACAAACACCTCAAAACGATTCTAACAATGATCCCTTTTTCCGGTCAAATGGATACGGCAATAACAATACAGCACAGGCTATTGTCGAAGGCAAACAAGAAAAAGATACAACACCTCTCCCTTTTGTAAATAGCAACCATCAAAAGTTTATACCCTCTCCTTCAACGTCTGAAAAACTTTTAGCAAGCACTGAAGAAAAACGTGCAGAATCGATTCAAGATGTATTAATGACAAAGGCAGCATCCATGCAACTAAAACCTCCTCCTATTCGAAATCCTACACCTTCAGCTATAGCAGCTGTAGCGGCTGCGGCTACTGCTGCCACTATGTTGGGTAACCAGGCTTTACTGCCTACCATGCATATTACGAAGCCTGCACCACAAGTTGAAAAAACAATGAGCGTGAATTCAGATGTGATGTCGAGATCAAGCAGCGGCCGAAGTCTAGAACCTCGTATCCCAACCATTGGTACAGGGCCTGGATTATCGAGCTCGCCTCATGGAGCTGTGATATTGCCGCCCAGAACACCAACTCGATCAGCGCCTCTACGTGCTTTGATTGTATCACAATGGGAGCATTCAAGAGAATCCATGGTGAAGCATGTAAAGTCGATCATAGGATCTTTAATCGGCAACAGTACAAGTGGAGAATGCAGTACAGTGATTTCTTCGAATCCCACCTCACTCTCTCCTTCACATTATCAAGTTGACACACTTACCAATCAATTAGAAGCAACCGAATGGTTAACAGATCCTCACACACCAGCTTATGATTACATCATGATTAATTTACCTTCAGAACAACAAATTTTATCTTTAACGCAAGCGATTTGTGGATCAATGCAGCAACAAAAGGCTTCTGTTTTGGTAGTAACGACACCCATGCAGCGATCATTGATTACAGAAAGTGCTAAAGGTCGAGAAGATCAAGTGATCCCGCATACGTGCGGATTCGTATTTAAACCGCTTAAACGAACCAAATTACGATGGTATTTCGGTGTACGACAGCAATTTGAGATCAAGGTGAATAGCAATGGCTCTATTGCTCAAGGTAGTAGCGCAGTTTCTACTCCTGACACACCTTATCGAAGAGCTGCAACACAGAAAGAGATATTTAGAAAGATGGAAGCGGACGTGGGAGGAAAAGGATTCCGTGTATTACTCGTTGAAGGTAAAAAAAAAAAGAAGAATTGATATTTGAAAGGAAACACATGGTATTAAAAAGGGTTTATTTTGGTAATAGACAACCTTGTAAATCAAAAGGTTTTAACAAGATATTTGGGTCGAGTTGGATTGGATGTGGACATAGCTGTACACGGTGGCGAATGTATTGATATGTTCCTGAAACATCCTAGAGACTATTATTGCTTAATTCTTTGTGATTTATTCATGCCTGTCAAAGGTAACATAGCAACAGCCAGAGGCTCTGTCTAGGTGTGGCACTAACAATTTCCTTTTATAGATGGGTATGAAACCACACGTGAAATTCGGGAATGGGAGAAAGACAATCTAGGACCCAACGAAGAGCCTAAACCAATAGTTGCTTTGTCCGCCAATGTAATGAGTGATGTGGCAAACAAGTGTTTGGAATGTGGATTTTCCACGTATATTTCTAAGCCTGTTAATTTCTCCATATTGAGCGATGTCATACGTGGATATTTATTAAAGTAAATAAAAAAATAAACCTTTATCCGCATTTTGCATTACTGGATTAATACTTCCCCAGTCCCTGTCATAATTGGAATCCCGGGTTTTGGCATGAGTAAATAATAAAACTCTGCTCCAGTCCTGGATTGCTCTCTTTATCTTTCTTTTTTTTTTCTATTTACAAAAAAAAAAAAAAAAAAAAAAAAAATCCTCCCCCCGCTCTTTTTCTTGTAAAAAAGTTTATTTATAATGTCCTTCACTTTGACCTCTGCTAAGGGTACTGCTTCTCAAATCCTCCGTTCTCGTTGGATTGGTGCTTCCACTGTAAAAATCAAAGAATATATTAATAGCATGTTTTTTTTCGATAGAATTTTAACATTTTCTATGATATATTAGCCCATAATGCGTACATTGCAAACTAGTGCTACTTCCCACATGGCTTCAACAACAGAAACAAACACAACAACACCAACAACACCAGTGTCATCAGATAATACTCCTGCTGTTAAAGAGCCTAGAAATAAGACATTTGAAATCTATCGCTGGGTAAATTGCATTGCATGAATATTAGTCAGGCAAATAAAAAAAAAACAGAAGACACTCATACTTTCATTTTAGAATCCTGATAAACCAACAGAAAAGCCTATTCTTCAAAAATACACTGTTGATTTAAACAGTTGTGGACCCATGGTATTAGATGCACTTATCAAGATCAAAAACGAGCAAGATTCTACTTTAACTTTCCGTCGTTCTTGTCGTGAAGGTATTTGTGGTTCCTGTGCCATGAATATTGAAGGTTGTAACACATTGGCTTGTATCTCAAAGGTGGATAAAGATACTAGTAAATCTCTAAAGATTTATCCTTTACCCCATAGTAAGTTGTTTGTAGTAGGGATCGGACCGGATCGGGCAAGCCCGGATATTTAATTTTTTTCTTTTTTTCTTTTTTATTAGTGAACATTGTCAAGGATTTGGTGCCCGATTTAACTCATTTTTATAAGCAATATAAGAGCATTGAACCTTTCCTTAAGCAAACAAATCCTCCCACCGATGGAAAGGAGAATTTACAATCAATTGAAGATAGAAAGAAGTTGGATGGTCTTTATGAATGTATTCTTTGTGCCTGTTGTTCCACCTCTTGCCCTTCATATTGGTGGAATCAAGAAGAATATCTTGGCCCTGCCGTCTTAATGCAAGCTTATCGTTGGATGATTGATTCTCGTGACCAATTTGGTCCCCAACGTCGTGAAAAGCTTCAAAACAAGATGTCTCTTTACCGTTGCCATACCATCATGAATTGTTCAAAGACCTGTCCCAAGGGTCTTCAACCTGGTGCTGCTATTGCAAAGATCAAGTTGATGATGGCTAAGGAATAAACTGTTAATTATTAAAAAAGCGTCGTTTCACAGCACATGAGTTTTTTTGTTTTTGTTTTTTTTTTTTTTTTTTTTTTTTTTGCTTACACAATACTTGCTAATAATGCTTGCCTACAATGCTTACACAATGCTGGCCCACAATGCTTGCAAAAAAAAAAAAAAAATATTTTCTGCAATTTTTTGATTGGCCAACGAAACAAACGCCATTTGAAGGCCATGGGATTCTCTCTCTCTCTCTTTTGCGCAAATTGTAACGTGAGCTTCTCTATTCTTTTTTTTTATTATTTATCACTACAAAGAATGTTTTCGCCATCATCTTATAAGAGTAGTTTATCGTCAGACTCTTTCACTCTTGAAAAGACAGCCGAAACAAACATGCTAGCATGTAGTCCCAAAAAGACAGAACGCATCATTTGGACACCTTACTTACGAGAATACATTTCTAATGGTTATGCAGAACATCCCGACCTATACACTGACGACTTCAGAGTTTTAGATGAGCTGAGAAACGATTGTATCTACATGGAAACCAACGAAAAAGCCTTAAACAGACTCATCAAGTAAGAGAGCCAAAACAATAAAACAAACAAGGATTCTAAAACTCTTTGATAGATATTACGCTCAACTCGTCTTTATCAGCGCAAAGTTTCCAATCGATGTTTGTTTGATGTCTTGTTTTAATTTTTCTTGTGAGTTATTTATTCTAGTTATTTATAGGTTGGGATCGAGTTCCCATGGTATTTGGCTTTTCAAGCAGACGCACAGAGACCAGGTAAGGTCATCTAAAAAAAAAAAAAAAAAAAAAAATCGAGCAACAAATTAAAAAAAAAGTATTTTGTGGGTCTAGTTTTACACCGTAATATGAATTATGAAAAGGCATGTGTTCTTTATTCGATAGGTGCTGTTTACAGTCAGATGGGTAACGCAGAGAACAGATCTACCACGGAAGGTGTCAAAAGAGCTTGTAATTATTTTCAAGTAAGCAATGTTTTTACACAGATGATTTGTTTATTAGTGTGAGTCATAACATGGATATCACTAGAACTCGGCAGGATGTTTTCAACACCTTTTAGAAACAGTTGTTCCAGAAATGAGAATCGCACCTACAGTCGATATGTCACCTTATGCTTTACAAACCTTGATTAATCTCATGTTAGCTCAAGCTCAGGAATGTGTCTGGCAAAAGGCCGCCATGGATCAACTCCGCGATGGAACAATTGCCAGATTATCCTCGAAAATTTCAGAATTCTACGATGCAGCTTGTGAATTAGCTACGAACTCATCGATACAGAATGTATACCCCAAAATGTGGATCACCCATATGCAAATTAAAGCACTTCATTTTAATGCTGCAGCTCAGTTTCGTAAATCCTGTGAATGTATCTCACAAGACAAATACGGTGAAGAAGTATCCAGACTTCAGGTAGCCTCAGATTATGTACGTCGCGCATTCGATGTCATCCGAAGCAGCGGGTATGGTAAAACAGGTGGAAGCAGTGCTGTTGTCAACGATTTGAAATCATTACAACAAATTCTATCAAGCAATCTTGCGAGAGCTGAAAAGGACAATGACGTTATATATCTTGAATTAGTACCTCTTTTCTCTTCTTTACCACCCATCTTGAAAACTCAAATGGTCAAAGCAGTAGCTCCTCCAGAGATATCGGATCCTGTCGCTCTGATGTTGAACAATGAACGAGCTGACCTATCACCACATCCCATTATTGGCCTACCCTTGTTTCAAAAATTGGTTCCGTTTGCTGTTCACCAAGCTGCCAGTGTTTATGTCGATCGAAAGGAAAGATTGATCAAGGAAGACATCATTTCAAAGCTGGAAGAATTGACAGCTGTATATCACAGGTATATATATATACATATTTTTGTGTCAATAGAAATAATGCCTAACATCAATGATTTCTTTTTATTCTTGTAGTTCAATAGAATCATTACATTTACCAGCTTTGCTTGCCACTGCTGATCACACTACAGGATTGCCTGATTCGATATTGCGACAGGCGGCAGAAGTAAGAAGCGGAGGGGGCTCGCAATCATTATACGACATGTGGGAATTAGTTCAAAAGGCATCATCAAAAAATGCAGACATTTTAGAAGATGCATTTAATGCCTTGGATGAAGAACATGAGGCAGACGAAGTCTATCGATCAAGGTTCCCTAATGGTACGTATATCAATTCAATAATTATAAAGAAAGTGTGTACTAATACCATGTCGAATTAGAATGGAAGCGACCCGAATCACATATACTGACACAGCAATTAGCCGCACAAGGCCAAAAACATCGACAGACATTGACCTCTGCACAGAAAGCGGATCTGATTGTTAGAAATAAACTGGATACATGGGCAAATATTATTGATGTGCTTACACTCACACGTGAGGAATTAGAGGATTCTATTCCTTCGGATAACAGCTCTTCAGATCATCCTCAACGCCAGGAAGATAGCCTAGTACGTATCAAGAGATTGGTGGACGACATGAACCAGCACATGAGGATCAGAAAAGATTTGATAGACCAAGCCAAAAAAGCATCCAACGCTGACGATATTTCACCTGCACTATTGAAGAAAGCTGCCGAATTGACTGCAAAATCGCCTATCGTGAAAATCGAAGCTGCTCAATTCGAAGAGTTATTTGTAGACGAGTTGAGAAAATATGATCAATTGCTTATGGCTGTAGATCAAGAAGACGAGCAACAGAACACGAACTTGAGACAGCTAAATGAAGCCTATCATCAATACAAGGCTAAAGTTAGTGACAAAACAAGTGGCGCTAAACGCGATAAGGCATTACAAAATTTGAATCAAGCCTATCTCAAATATAAAGAAATCAAGACAAACTTAACTGAAGGATTAAAGGTAATGTTTACTCATACATCATGATGATTTGTAAGCTTATTATGTTTCTTATATGATCTAGTTCTATGGGGAACATGCAAAAGGATTAGAAACATTTTGTGATACCTGCAAAGATTACTGCCAGAGGCGTACTAACGAGTCAGAACAAATCATGCAGTAAGTTGTTTTTTTTTTGAAAAAATAAAATAAAAAAAAATCCTGTATTTAACTTTTTATTTTTCTTTCTTTCCCAAATTAGAAGATTGAATCTTGGTATGAAAAATCTTTCTGTTGGTCGTTAGAATCTAGCTCTGCCAATTTTCCCAGGCTTCATAGTATGCCTATTTGAAATATTTAGGGTAAATAAAAACCCCAGGTCATTTATGTATATGCATTTCTTTTTTGTACCTTGTACTCATCAGTAGACATATTGCGTTGATCTTCCTCCTGCACTTCATTTAGTGGTATCATTTTACCATTAACTAGTCGATAGCATTAATAAGCAAACAACACCCCTCATATAATTTACTTTCCAACTTACCAGACACAAGTGGGATATCCTCGTCTTCCTCAAAATCTTCAGCCGAATCGGCTGTTTCCTCAAATGTATTGATGGCTGGTTCATGAATCCCATTCTGTTCAGTTCCCACAACTTCAAACATTTCACTATCGTCATCTATATCATCATTCGTCGGGACTGCAGCATTATTGCTTAAACTTTCGTAATATTTTGCGTAATCTATAAAAAAAAACAAGATACGATTAATCTTTACATGAAGCTGGGGAATGGAAAAAAAGATAATCATACAATCCTCCGTGTCAGCATCCATGCCGTTTGTCCCAACATCTTCAAAGGTATCATCTTCATCTTGGTCCTTTTCTTCTGCTGGACGATCGCCTGTACCCACCAATATAGTATCGGAAATGGTGGATCGTTGATGCCATACAGGTAAGGCATTTTGGGCTCTCTTTTGTTCAGCCTCCTCTTGTTTAGCCCGTCTAGCAGCTTCATTATCCATTTGAAGATCGACAATAATATCACCTTGTCCTGCGCCTGTATCTTGTGCCACAGCAAGTTCATATTCATCTATGGTAGAAAATTAGAATTTGATATAGAATAAGGTACAAACAATTACCATTGTTGTTTCCACTGTTTCTACTACCAGGAGCATGTTTGTAGATGTAACTTGTGGGAATAACAATGGAATCAGTTTGCTTCAACAAGGTAATGATGGGTTGTGATTGTTCTCTTAATCGGGTCAATATTTGTTGACTACCCTTAACGTTCTCAGCATTGTCATTTTCTTCCAGAATATTTTCACACATGTCACAATGGAATAATTGATCTGACATATCGACCATGGATAATACGTCTAGTGGAGAGAATTGTTTCTCACAGTTGGGACAAACATAGCCTTTATTTTCAGACTCGGTTCGAAGATTATCTCGAACAATCGTTTGCATTTTGTACATCTTCCACTTTACCACGTCTACAAATTCTTTATAGTCGATATAGTAGTAGGTTTTTGGAACGAGTCGTTGATCTTGCTTTCTAGGTTCCATCCGATTGGCCCTATAAAAAGTTACACTATTAGCACATGCTTACAGACTAACAAGAACATATATTATATATGTATATATTTATTTACATTTTAATCAAACGATCTTCCTTTAGTTTACCACATATTCTATGAATATCACGCGGTGTCATTTTAAGTGTTAAAACAAGGTCTTCCTCACGAACACTATGGGAGGAAAGAATTAACTAGTAAATCTCTTTTCGCTCTCTCTCTTTCTCTCGCTCTTTGTTTTCTCAAGGTGGCTGTATTACCCATTACAGTTTGGTGGTGCACGATTTAGCTCATCTAAAATAGCAATGTACTTGGGATCGTAAAAAGCTCTTGCTACTCTTGCTACAAGTGCTTTGAGGATCTCCATGAAAAAAAAAGTGTCAAAAGAAGATTGTTTGTCTTCCTGCGATTAAAAAAAAAGAGAGGAGGTGTATTTTTTTTAGAAAGTCAGTCACATCCCAGCGGGTAACTCATGGTCATACCATATCAACGAACCCTTTGATTATTTCTGCATGTAAAGGCCCTTTGTTTAATTACTATGTTTGCCATGGATACCCCATTTTTCAATAAAACTATAGATACAATAATAAAAAAAGCCGACAGCCAAGAAGGACTGGTCACATTTATTGCGACATTTCTATCAGTGATTTATGTGTAAATCATAGATTTTATTAATGCTGATGACTTAAGATAAAATTAACTTTTACAACTATAGCTGCGTCTCCTATCTTTAATGAAAGAAATAAACAGAAAACGAAAGTGTTCGTGCTACTCTGTCAGGTTCTTTTTCGTCTTTTGTTAATGCTGGATATGTTACTGCGATTTATTTATAAAACATTGTATATTATCATAATTGGATCTTCTATGTAAGTCTTATAACGTTAGGAGAACTCTCATACTCAAAGGAATGTCTGAAGAAAAAATTACTTGAACGATAAAAAAAAAACTGTTGTAGATATTTGATACACAAAAAACCTGTTGTTCATGGTTTATGTAATATTTGAAGCGTGATCACGGCTTTTAAAAAAAGCGCATAATGGATGTTACACGCGTGACGAAATAGCATATGTAAACAAAAGATAAAGTAATCTATTTCATTACTTAAGTTATTTTTTCATTTTCATTAATATTAAAAAAACCCAGTTCTCCGCGCGCAAGCCCTGGGGAAAAAACAGTGTCTCGCCTATGCGGTAGACAACCATACGATCATGGACAACGCCGCTCAACATACCCAGTACATCGTCTGACAAATGATCAGGTGGGAATACGAGACCGGAATACCTCAGACATTGCTGCCGTTTTTTGATTGAAGAGAAAGAAGAGAAAGAAGATCTTCGATGAAAAAAAAAAGTGCCTTTCTATATCTTTTTTTTGCATGAATTTTTTTTTTTTTTTTGTAAATTAAAGTTTTTATTAAACTTAATAGTCACACATACACTTAGAGGTGGGACTTGATGAGTTTGGTTGGGATAAGAAATTCGGGGACGTGGATTAATTTAGGTTGTGTTAAGATTAATATTTTATCTTATTCGTTGATCTAATTTCTATTCAGTATGATGGATATTTGTCTGTTGCTTTTGTTGATGATAGTTTCAGCTACAAATGGTATGTTATGGATGATATATTGCCAGTAAAAGTACCATATATAATAATTTGTTGTGGAAATAATCACCAGGAAAGGGATGTTTCGACTATTTTTTGCATGAATTGTGGTTCCCATACTAAATAATTTTTGGGACTTTTTTTTTGGTAGTCATAATAGGGGTGGTCCGTAGGGGCCCAGGAGTTTTCAAAAAATCAGAAAAATAATCCACCAATCACAATGTTACCTCTTTGCTTTGTACAGACCATCTCCATGATGTCCATCAAAATGAGACATAAACACTGTATTTATTTTGCAAACTATGATTAAAACAAGTATTTCATCAGACCATTTCAAATTTTATTATACATTAGGAAGGCAATCGCATAGTTAGTTTGTATATGATTGTATTAGTAGTAGTAATAGTAGTGTCTAATCAGGGCAAAAAGTGGGTATTTATTATAAATTAAAATAGATTTAAGTGGTCATTTCCTTCAATTTCTTCGATTCAGCGGTCTCTTGTTCAGTGGGTGATGCTTTACGTTTCATGGTCATCATGCCGCCAAACTTGGGGGCGGAGGGAGCGGAAGTCGAAGGAGTAGATTTCTTTGCTAAAGCTGATAACCCTGATCGTTTCTTCATACCGCCCAACATCATCTTGGCACCCGTAGATTTGGGAGCTTCAGCTGCAACAGCAATAGGCTTCATGGTCAAATTAAGCTTGATGGGCTGTTCGCCGTCTCTTTTTAACTCGGTTGTTTGTTGTTCGACAATTCCTCGTTCCTCTGCTGTTTTGGAGGCCTTTTCGATTTGCTCCTTTAACATTTGTAATTCTCGTTCTTCGTCGTCTTTCTTAGTTCTATCCATTTTCTGAATGGCAGCTTGTCTGGCCAAGGCTTTGGGACTATTATCAACCCAAGCGATATGTAAACCTCTTTCTGTTTCGTCAACCCGAAGAATGCCGTCTCTACCCATTTGTTTACAAAATTCACTCAGTGAGTTCCAACGTGTTGCATTCATATGGATATGTTCCTTGTGAGCAATATATTCTTGATACACTTTGTTGGCAAACACACGTTTTGTGCCATGTCTACGTGAGAGTAAATTGAGAAATTCCTTTTTAAAATCGTCAGAAAAGTTGTGAACGTAGCGGCCTGGATTGGCAGCAACCAGAAGCATTTGACGTTGATGGGATTCAGACATGATGTGACATTTAAAACCGTTTTCGTCTCTACATTGACGCTCACAAGCTTGACAATAGAATCGTAACTTTTGAAGACCTTTGGACTAGACAGAAAAATAGAATCAGCTCCTGTTTCTACATGATCATGTAGGGACATAAGCACTAACCTTCATACGATTGCCAATGGCTTTGGGGGACATGAATTCTGCTTTTGCCATCTTTTTTGATTTGTTAGATTTGTTTAAGAAAGAGGAAGAAGAAAGAAAAAAAAAAGCGGAATTTCCATTTTAAAGCATTAAGGTTTTCATTGGCTCCTTGAAGGAAGTATCGTGACTGCACACTCATACATTGGTTGAAGCAACGTTTTGGGAGGAAACAGATCTTCAAAAGCACGCAAACCAACAGTAATCATGACCTGCCCAAACTGTGGAGAATGTCAACAATGTATTAATGAGCTCGACAGCTCCATTGTCTGTGGATCGTGTGGTACCGTTTTGGATGATCCGGATCTAGTTTCATATGACGATAATGTTGTGCATCGAAAGGGAGGGAACGATGCCTTGGTATGCCCATTTCTTTTTCTTTTTTAACTTGCGTTTATGCATTGAGCCTAACGTTCAATATTAGATACCCACCGAGAGCTTATGGTTTCAAAGGACAGCAACATATTATGGACTTCCAGCTGAATATATAGAAGCCGGGAAGAATTTATACAAAAAGCATCGATTGGAACTTCCAAAATTAGCATACAATGAAATCAGTGTGGGCATTATATGCTATGTAGGCAGGGACCTGAAACCTACATGGCAATATGAGGACTTTATTGCTGCCTTCCCGTATCCTTTGCATAAACCATCGGTTATCAAGACGTTTATATGCGTAAGTGGAGCTTTACCGTCCTCAGAAGCAAAGTTATCAAATCAATTTGATTACGCAACGGACCAAATATACGGCATAATAAAAAAGGAAATGTACCCACGTAAGGCTCCAAAAAACTTCACCTCCGAGAAAATGAAATCCTATTGCAAAAAGCTATTAAGTTTGGGTGAAAAATACGGCTTGAATGCAGGGAAAAAAATTCGGCCGTTGATTACAGCTGCCGCGTGCTTAAGTGCCTTACATTTACAAACAAAACAGCCTATCAGGCGGGTCAGAGATAGCAAGCGCGTTGGTGAGATCAAGAAGGAGTACTATTTCAATTGGAAATTTAACCGCTTCTCATGTTTTGTCTTTGCAAGTCCAAGGTATATCCAAGACACCTACAACGCTTATTATCAAATGATTTATCAAGGTGTAAAACGATTAGCGTGGATAAAATGTGATAATGTTAAAGACTCTATATTCTATCTAGACGATTTTCTAGACTTTTTCCTAGCCACAGACAACCAAAAACCCAAGATGGAACTTGATAGCATATTGTTTTGGCCAAGTTCGTATATGAAAAGCTTAGCAAGAAGTGAAATACTAGAAGTTTATATAAACGAAGCCAAGCAGCATATCACTTTAAAAACAAACCCCGAGGACCCATTCTCATTAGTCAATTCCATCATCACCTTGTTAAAAGCTGGCTATGACGAAAAGGAATTTATTGAGTGGACTCCTGGTTATATGCGCTCCTTCAGTAATATGCTTATTTTCAGAAATGCTTATATGTCAGATATACAGACCAATAGGAACCTTGATAATCCATTGGTAAATTCAAATGATATGAGTAACGAAGAAATCAATATTTATCTGGTATAATCGGTTTACAATAAAGACTCTCTTCCCAGGCTGCTCAATTCCGATAAAGTTTTCAATATTCCGGATACATGCTAGTATAATTATTCCTTTTTTTTTTATTTTTTTTTTTTTTTATGTTAAGCAATACGTGTTGAGATTCATAAATGCAATTTATCCCTTGTTACTTTATGGTCATTGTTGATTTTCCAGGTCAATATGAAATTGTAGTGGGTTATTATAACTATTGTTTGAAAAACATAAATGTAGAATACGGAGGGATTTACAGCTAAAAAGAAACCTATTTACTACACCACGCTTAGATTGTTTATATCCGCTTTCAGTCAGTTTCGTGACATTGGTTACTGAATATTCAAAGACCCCATTGATTATATAATAAAATTTGCCCTTCTTTTCTGTTGTAATCTTGATCAAACATGTCATTATTTCATAGGGTTGCCCATAAGTATCATTTGCAGGTTTACGATTCGTGCTATACATGTGATCGGTGTATGTTAAGCTGTCTAATGACGAGTCTGGCATACTAATATGGTGATATTCACTTAACCAGCAGAAGGTTGGACTTTTGACATTTAAAGTTTTCAAAGAAGGAAATTTCAGTGATAAGGTGACATAATCATTATTCGACATTGCAAGAAAGGAAAGATCTACATCCGTTATTGTCAGATTTGGAGGTGAAAGGGGATTTATACCAATAAAACCGCCAGTAATAAGGAACAGTTGAGTTAGATTGGGGCAATACTCCAACACTAAATCTAGATAGAACTCCTCCTTCGAGTATCGTTTCCCTATCAGATTACCATCACAAGGACCGCCATCCAAGACAAGCAAGAGTTTTTTTAAAGAGCTTCCAAAGGGTTTGATCAGATCCAAGAGATATGTACGAGGGCTGAGATTATGGCAAGAGACTTTGAATCCTCCAATATGGACGTGTTCTTCAGAAAGCCTTCTCATTGCGGGCGGAGCGTGATAGACATCTCGAAGTAATCTTTTGTTGGTCAATGGTGCAATATATTCTATTCCTTCTCCGGAGAGATACTGAGGGCAACCATACGCATATTCGAAGCAATTAAAGAATGTTATCGTTAAATTCTGAAGCATGTTTGCATCCATTAGTTTTGAACATTTCATGACTGTCTCTATAAGCATTGCCTCCCCAATAGCCAAATACAGGATACAATCTTCTATTTTGAAACAGAAAACTAGAAACTCGACCAAAGTTTCTTGTGCCACGTAGTAATAGTTTTCAGCATAAGGTAAGTAACACTTCACATCTGTAGTGCAGTAGAAGGACTTCAAGCGGGGAAATTTACGCATAATATAGTGTAAAGTGAGATCTGTTTGGATGGAAAGCTGCCAGGTTAACTTTTGAATATCGGGTTTTGGTTCAAATGACGAAATATCATCTTCTACTTGACTGTATTTGAATAGAACACTATCAATTTTTGCGTCTGATTGTATTGTAAGCGTTTTTAAGACTTTGCATTTGGAAAGTACGCTGTCAATAAAATTGAGAGGGTTATCTGATATGTGTGTTCGATAAGTTAGCTCCTTTAAGTTGGAAAATGTATCAAGTTTTTCAGCAAAGTTACGAAGTTGCACGCCTCTTCTGGTGACGACACCTTGACTGTACGAGGCTCTCCATAATATGACCTTCTCAATCGAATCCCTACAATTTTCGATACATTTGTAATATGCATTCATGTATTGAGAAAATAAAGGTGGCGATATATGCTTGAGTGAAACCCACTTTGATTCTTTTTGTATTTCCAACAAGAGTCGATAGAATTCATCTGTTTTACAGTGGAACCTTAAAGTGTCGACAAACGGGAAGACACTCGCCATCCTTTCTAAAAGAAACTTTTGCGACTTAAAAAGTTCTTCAAACTGTCGACATTCTATGACTTTAGTTATCAATGCAGGAGAGTGAGGGTGTTCATTCGCTCCATTCACCATTTTGTTAAGTTGAGTTGGTCCCTCCAAATAAACGGTAGAGAATTGAACGATCTGCGCAGGCTTTTGCCAATTCTTGCAAACAAGTTGGTATTGAAGCGTGCCTGAGGGTTCATGGGTTAACCATGCCAAAATGAGCAACAGGATCTCGGCTGGCAAATCGCTCCAACTTTTCATAAAAGCAGAAATAAAGGTTTACGTGCTGTGGCTAAATCCAAAAAAAAAAAATGGGTTTTATGTAGTGTACCATCATGTAGTGAACATTATGCATAATTTGGCAACTTTTTTTTGGTACTGCGTCAGGATAATAAAATATTTCCAAACATCATACCTATGCTCTTTTTATTATTTGTTAATACAAAGCACGCTATTTGAGACCCAAATACCAGCAAGCCGCGGAGTGTTTGATTGTTAATGTTACTAAAAAAGAATTCGTAAAACACTGGTTTTACGCTCCGGAATATATATGGGTACAGCATAAACAACCACATTGATTCTTTTTTGAACTTGGAATATATGAATGAGAGGATTCTAGGGTGATTAACTAACTAGCGATGAAGGGTACACTTCTTTTTGCGAAAATAAATAAAATAAAGAGTATATGTTAACCTTTGCAGAAGCAGTCCTAACCATTTCCGACAAATTACAGTTTTCCTTGGCAAACCGAAATCCGGGTAGCTTTACTCAAAGGGTTTAGATTGTAAAGATTATCAGATGCTGTCAAAATAATTGTGAAAACTTGGGGATCCGACGGTCCCTAATTCAACAGACCCCAGACCTGTCGTAATTATAGGAAGAGAAACACTGTATTGGCGATCGAGATGAGAACTGTTTTTCCTGCGAGTGACAAGTAAATACAAATAATACTCGGGTTACCCATTAATTAACAGTGTATTATTTTAGAATTAGAAGACCAGTTAATGACGATGAGTATTACATATGGAATATCATAAATAAAATAATTCCTTTGCTAGGTGGAATTGAATCAGGATTGTGAGGCTGTCAAACATAGCTGACAAAAAAGTTGTTACTGCTGTAGAAAACGGTACAAGTCAGTGATAGGTAACCAGAGAAGGAAGCAGTTGGATACCCAGGTAATAAGCAAAATAAACTTTGCGTTGCCGGAAAAAGTCGAGGCTGCGCACGTTTTTACTGCACAAGCTTTTATAAATCAAGTATAATGTTACACACACATTAAAAGGAAGGTTCCAATAAAACGAAGAGATTTTTTTTTCTTTTTTCTTTTTGTTTTCCCCTCTTCCCTCCATTCCGCCTCCTCCCTTTGTGTTTTTATTTTCTGTGATTGACAATGAAGGCCCAATTCAACAATAAGTTGATTAGGCTCCTTTCAATTGTTCTGGTGGTGTTTGGCCTGTGCTTTTTATTTAGTTACCTGCTAGACCTCGAACAACAAAACACACTCCGTAAAGAACATGAGGAACATGAAGCTCAAGTCTTATTAGTGCAAGAGAAAGAGCAAGAGAAACAAGCCGCTCTCGAGTTAGCCATCAAGCAAGAAAAGGCTCGTATCCAAAAAGTCATGAACAGCAGAGCTATCATAGAGCCAGGTAAAAAAAAAAAAAAAAGTTATATATGAATACAGTAAAAAGCTAAAAATAACATTTTGTTTTCATAATAATAGAGTTGAGTTTAGAAAACACTGTCGAATTAAACGAAAAATATTTTATTGCTGTGCCTACACCAGTGGAAGCATGGACAGAGGAAACCTTAAAGCTATTAAAAACACCTTTCGGACAAAGTATTCAAGCGGATCTGTTGACTGTGCCTGAGAAAATGCCTGATTTTAAATTATTAACAACTCAAGAACGAGTTTTCAAGGCCCTGTTTCAATACCTGGATCCTATTGTTACGGAAGGTGTCATTGATGTGACCAAGGATAAAGACTATAAAGAGGTGTGGAGTATCTACAGTAAATTAGAAAAGTTGCTCTTTCCCTGGATTATGCCCAGATGGAAAAACGTGTTTGAAATCAACGCGACTTCCAATGGAAAAGGTATTGTGATGTGTGTAGGTAATGGTCAATTCAAGCATGCTGCTACATCTGTCAAAGCCATCCGAGAAATCTTGAAATCGAATATTCCAATCGAGATCTTTTATATCGACGAATACGATCTTGATCAAGATAAGCGGGATTATTTCAATATTATACCCAACGTTAAGACTAAATCCATTTCGCAATATATCAACAATCATTATACGCAATTTGGTGGCTGGTCTGTCAAGCCTTATGCTATCTTAGCCAGTAGTTTCTCGCAAGTTTTGATGATGGATGCCGATGTGTTTATGTTCCAAAAGCCCGAAAGCTTCTTTGAAGACCAAGGCTATGAAAAGACAGGTGCTTTATTCTTTTTGGATCGTACCTTATTTAATAACTACAAAGAAGGTAAAAAATGGTTGAAATCATTTTTACCTACACATAGCTCTTATATCGAACAATCAAGATGGTGGTTAACTACTTCGACTCATGAACAAGAATCTGGTATTGTTGTGATTGATAAGAGAAAGGCCTTGTTTGGTTTATTGGCTACTTGTAAAATGAATGATAAGAACGAGAGAGACAAGGTTTCTTATCAACATTCTCATGGCGACAAGGAGACTTTTTGGATCGGTTTTGAAATGATTAGCGCACCTTACGTATTTATCAAGTCGTATGGTGCTGTGATTGGTGGTTTGGGTGATGCTGGCGCGACTGGCACAGTTTGTGGTAATCAACTTCATTTGGATACACACAATAAGCCCATGTGGTGGAACGGTGGATTGCTACGTGACAAGAATAAGTGGGATGATCGTTATATGAAGTTTACCCACTTTTCTCAAGGTGATGATTGGGAGTTTGGTTCCTCTTGTATTCGAGAAACAGATCGTATTGTTGAATTAACAGCAACCGAGAAAGATATCGGAGCTCAATTGGTTGCCATGGATAAAAAGAGAAGACAAAAAGAGGAGGATGAATAAATTACAACGGTTTTTTTTAATAAAATCTTAAACAACTATAACCATCATTATCAAAGTTTTGTTCCGGACGACATGTACATTTAGAATAGCGAGATTTATCACTAGGACAATGTGTGAAATAATTCGCAACTCTGTAACCGATATTATCCCAGAAATGAATATCGTCCTTGGTCAAGAACATGACGGCTCCCAACGATTGGATAATTGGATCTCCCCATCGTTCATAAAATATACCATTTGATAGATCTAAATGGTTGAAAAATGCCTGGTATTTCTCTCCTCTATAAAAACTGACATCGGCAATCTAAACATAATAATTTAGATCTATTAGGGATCATACTACATACAGCTCACATGATCAAAAAAGCTTAAGCTTACCTGAAAATTGTTCCAGAAGTGACATCCATTAAATGAATTTGAGCCGTCCAAAATAAAATGCCATAAAGTTTTTGGGTCGCTAGCAGGTTGTATCCAATCCTTATTTTTAGATGCAAAATCCAACACGGTATTGTATAACGAGGGAATCGTCTCCTTATACTCATACAATGCCACTGAAAAAGAAGTAATCAATTTTTTTTCAAACATGTATTGAAATGGATCTTCATCCATGGGACAGATATATTCTGTTCCCGCTTCGAATCGCCAGCTGTAATCCAGGTCCTGCATCAGAGCATGTCTTTTTGAAGAAATATTAGCCCAGAGGGGGGAAACATTTCATGTCGGCTCTTATAATCAACGTACCTGTAAATCGTGCCTGCCATGAATCGAGACTGGAATCTATAGTCTTCACTGTCTCCAAACATTGTGCTTTGTAAGTCGATTCGAGCCTGGGCAGCTCTTTTTAAATCCGTGCTAGGATGATATCCATATAAATCGTTCTCCACCCGTTCAAAGCGCACGGTGGCTTGTGTTAGTGTACTTGCTAATTCCATGTATTCTTCTGAAAGTTCTTGATCCGTGAAAATAATATAAGGGTAATTATGGTTTCGGTTGAACTGGTCTTCAATGTTGCGAATGGTGAACCGTAATTTTGTTAGTGATGCTGTGTCACTCTTGACAAATGTGACAAAGGCTGCTTTGAATCGTTGATGAGGAAATGTCAGGTTGGTGGGATTTTCGTATGTCCATGAAGAAGTAGTGTAAGCAAAGTAGTCATCGTCCCATGTAACCCCTTGTTCCTTGATGGGGTTGTCTTGGTGGACTGTGGAAGTTGTGAATAAATAAATACCAGTAAAAATCACTATAGCAACTAGGACAATCCTGGCTATCGGTTTATTTGAATTTATCATTCTTTTTTTTTTCTTTCACTTTTTGTTAATAAGAGGGAACGAAAAGGTAAAAAGAGAATTTAAAAATACGTAAATGCATACAATCCAGTTCATTTATGATTGTTACTGCAGATCTCCTTAATACAGCAGTTTTATATTGCGACAAGTTTAAATTCCTTGTAGACCAATAGGAATTTGCTTTAATCTAAAAAGTCTTTTGATTGTGTTTCCCCATCCATGCTTGTACTGGGTTCCATAAAAAAAAGGTTACCTGGTAAAGTCAGTCTCTCTTCTTATTTCTTATTTTGGGGTTTTTTCCTTGCAGAGTTTGAAAAGGGTGTTCTTGATTTTTCAAAAGGAGTCGTGCTTCTTCCTTTTTTAATTAATCATTGACTGTGTAACTTTGTAACAATGGCTACTCCCCTCAGCCCTTTGTTATCATACTCTAATTTAGGTACATACCAAGTTCAACATAATTGTGTGGAGATCCAATGTTTATCTTGGCAAAGAAAATTTATTGCTCATAAATGTTTGAACTCATTTATTATCTCAAGTGATGAATCTTGATGGCTTGTGCGTAGGCTAGACTCCACAAGACCGCCTTCTCTGTATAATGTGATTTCAACATCGAAAGGGCTTGACAGAATTTCTATAAATGGGTCATCATTTTATGATAAATATTTTTTTTTATCTTGGCTCATAGGTTTTGCATACATCTTTTAATAAAAAAAGTTCAGCAATAATGTTTAAGGACGTTAGCGATACATGATAATTAGTATACTTAACATTGACCCATAGTATTGTAGCATTTGTGATTTATCTTGACAGTGGATATACCAACAAAGAAATTTACGTAGACGTAGATATTCGGTGTAAGCATGCAACTACCTCGTTTCTTTTATTTATTTTTTAGCAAGACTGCATTAACTATAATGTATAGTTATAGACATTTCCTATATAAAATAACTCCAGCTCTTCATATTTATAGCCAGTGTGATAAAGGTCGGGTGTCCTCGACTTATCGTTTGTAGAACGACTGTAGACTGGAAACCATTTTAATTTTAGGCCGCTCATGGACGTCTTGCCTTGGTATACCCAACCAATATCGACTAGTCTGGATGTTCGTATGTGCCAGTAGAGGGAGTGAGACTATATACAGTCATGTAGCTGCATTCGATACTATGTCATTGTTGAGAAAGGACAACTACGGTTAGAATAGAGGAGTTGAGACAGGTACGAATTTGATAACTAAATCTATTTATGGTTAGCGGAACCTCGTAAGACAAATAAGAACCAGTGACAAGAGTATAGCAGAAGTGATGTCCGATTTCTTGACTTATCTTGCTAGTAAATTGTAAAGCTGAAACAGTGGTCATTGTAGTATTTAGCTTGGCTTACATCTCTGAGTATCTAGCTGCTGATGTATCTGTGATCATCCTAAAATGACATGGGTCACTAAATTTATTATTATTTTAAATGCACAATAATGTCTTTGGCTTATTTTAAGTTTATTAATGGATACACAAACTATGTCGAATTGTCTTATGGCGTTATGCCATGCTTATTAGGAGGCTGTTTGTAAAGACCGTCTCTAGATAAAATGTCATTTAGCTATAAAGGTTTTAATATCCCTTTGGCAATGCTTATTTACTAAATCCAGATTTGATTGAAAAAAAAAATGTTGTCTCTATTTTTTAATTTAAAGCCCCGTTATCGCTCCTCAAAAAAATGCCTCCTTTTGTGTATGAGGGAGTTTTTGGGTCATGTACGACTTTCAGATTATAAAAAGGGCTTTGCTTATCGCTTTATCGCTTTATCGCTCTTCTTTTCTTTTTCTTTTTTCACACATCTATTTATATCGCTGTTCTTTTTTTATTTTTAATTTTTTTTTGCTGTTAAACGTGTATATCGCAACATTTTCTTTACTACTTAATATAATACTTATTCGTCCAATATAAACATTTAAAACCGCAGAAATATGCCTAATAACAACGAGACGATTCCACTCAACCCTATCGAAAAAGAATGGAAAGATCAAATCTCACCGGATCTAGAGATATATCTCGAAACGGAACCGACGTTTGGACTGACGGATACACAAGTAGCTGATCGGCTAGCAAAGTTTGGCAGAAATGAGTTGCAAGAAAAGAAAAAGAGCAAAATTAAGCATTTCTTATCCTTTTGTAAAGTTAGCCTCATCTTGAAACACATCAATCTTGTATTCATACTTTTCTTTATGTAGTCACAGGAGCTATTGCATATTTAATGGAGATCTCCATCATTTTAACGGCAGTGACCAAAGATTGGGTAGATTTTGGTATTATCTTGGCCATGTTGATCATCAATGCTTTAATTGGATACAGCGAAGAATCGAAAGCGGAATCTGCAGTAGCAGCATTAAAGAGCAGTCTTGCATTACATACGCGCTGTTGGCGTAATGGGCGTTTGCAAGAGATTCAAGCGACCGAATTAGTGATTGGTGATGTGATTGTGATTCGTTTAGGTGATATTGTACCTGCCGATGTTCGACTTTTAGGTATCGGTGCTACGGGTGAGGCAATTGATGGTGATCTGCAGGTTGATCAAAGTGCATTGACGGGTGAATCCTTACCGTTACGAAAGCGTAAAGGAGATCTTGTTTATTCTTCCAGCACAGTAAAGCAAGGCCAACAATTAGGTATTGTCGTGCGTACAGGTGCTGATACCTTCATTGGAAAAGCTGCCAACTTGATTTCGATCACAACAGACGCTGGTCACTTTCAAAAAGTTGTTAATTACATTGGAAATTTCTTGATTGCAATTTCTGTGGTTTTGGTCTTGATTATTTTTATTTACGACTTGGTCGAAGTGAAGGTTCAAAATGGAACAATCACAAAGGATGATGTATTGGAGACCCTGAAAGAGATGGTCGTGCTAACGATTGCTGCGTAAGTGCAAAAAAATAGTAATAATGTTAAATGTTGTGATTTCTTGATGTTAATATAAATATGCAGAATTCCTGTAGGGTTGCCTACTGTTATGTCTGTCACCATGGCGATCGGAGCAAAACAATTAGCCAAAAAACAAGTGATTGTAAAACGTTTAACTGCTGTCGAAGAACTTGCTTCAGTCTCTATTCTTTGCAGTGACAAAACGGGTACCTTGACCTTGAACGAATTGACATTTGACGAGCCTTATCTTTCTCAAGGATATGATAAAAACGATATTCTGTTGTATGCCTATCTCTCATCCGAACCCGCTACCAGTGATCCTATTGAATTTGCCATTCGTACTGCCGCCACCAAAGACCATCCTTTAATTACAGGAGAGAAGCATGAAGCGATGGGTTACAAAGTACAAATGTTTAAACCCTTTGATCCCACTGAAAAAATGTCTCGTGCAACTATATTGGATAATTCAACACAGACCGACTTTAAAGTGGCGAAAGGTGCACCCCAAGTGATTATTGATCTTGTTAAGCAAAGCAGTGGAAATAATATGAGAGATGCTGAAGCAGTGATTGTGGAGTTTGCAAGTCGTGGATTACGTGCACTTGGTGTAGCACGTACGCGCATTATGGGCGGACAAGAAATCTGGGAGTTGGTCGGTATCTTTAGTTTAATTGATCCTCCACGTCATGATTCTGCAGAGACTATCAAGGATTGCGCTGATTATGGAATCGTTGTCAAGATGATTACAGGTGATCAAACAATTATTGCAAAAGAGGTGGCCCAAAGATTGGATATGGGACAAGATATTTTGGATGCCAATTGTTTGGTAGATCCTTCGAAAACAGATGACCAAGTAGCACAGCAGTGTCTCGATGTGGATGGTTTTGCTCGAGTGATTCCTGGTAAATACAAAAAGAGGGCACATTTCGTGACATTATATGCTAACGTAATGATATAGAACATAAATACAGAGTGGTTGAATTATTGCAAGGCAAAGGATACTTTGTAGCAATGACAGGTGATGGAGTAAACGACGCACCTGCGCTGAAGAAAGCCAATGTAGGTATTGCTGTGCATGGCAGCACAGATGCAGCCCGGACTGCTGCTGATATTGTATTACTTGCGCCTGGTTTATCCGCCATTATTGATGGTATCAAAACATCGCGTGCCATTTTCCAAAGACTTCAATCGTATGCGCTCTACCGTATTGCTTCTACTATTCACTTTTTGATCTTCTTCTTTGTCATTACTCTGGCCGAAGGGTGGCAAATGCCACCGATTTTTTTGATCTTGATCTCGGTTTTAAATGATGCTGCTACTATGATTATGACGGTGGATAATGTAACGATTTCAAAGGCACCCAATGTGTGGCGATTGAAACTTTTGGTGGTGCTTTCCTCTGTGTTGGCTATTTTCTTGTCATTCTTCTCATTTGCTCATTTCTACATCTTTAGAGATGTACTTAAAGTAACAGAGGGTCAATTATACTCAGTGATGTATCTTCATATCTCAGCTGGTAAGAAATATAGATAGATTACTTTAAAATATTTTTTTTTACTTATATATTCTTTCCAATCATATAGCACCTCATTTCATTATCTTTTCAACACGTACAGAAGGATTTTGTTGGAATAGTCTACCCTCATGGCCATTTACACTTGTTGTATTAGGTACACAAGTGATTGCATTGGTCTTATCTGTCTACGGTGTGGTGGGCGATGCTAAAGTAGAAGGTATTGGTTGGCCACGTGGTTTGATTATTATTGCTATTGCTCTAGTAACATTTGTGCTTGTGGATCTTGTCAAGGTGTTGACTATCCGACTCTGGAACCGTACGCATGATACCCATAGTGTGATTGTAAAACATAAGCGTACGCTCAAAGATTTCACCACTAAAAAACCCACGCGTGCTCAAAAGTTTAATCAAGATAATCATCTTAATTGGGATGAGGGATATCGCGCTTATTAAATAAAATCTGTTGTCTATTTATACCTATATTAACCATGCACAGCGTCTCTCTCTCTTTCTAAATAATGCTCTAAACAGGAGAATGTTAAATATTTCGAGGGGTTATAAGCTAATTTTTGGGGTAGAAGTGTATAATCGGTTTTATATAAATTCATAGATATAATGTTACTAATATAAGCTCCACGGCCTTTGAAAACAACTACACTAGCATTTACAACTTCTGATAACTTCTTGCTGTGTATGATTGAAATGTGCTTACCAGACACACAAACAGTTGACGTCAAACTGTTTGTTTACAAAGTAATTAAAAAAATTTGGGCGTTTTTTTCTGTTTTTATTTCTTTCTTCTTCGTGCCAAAAGTCTTCATTGAGGGTGAGTCCTTGGTGTTTGAACGATCTGGGGTAAATTATTTAACGAGCTACTGAAGGTGAATTCAACTTCACTTTTACCGTTTGGAGCATATTTCAGGTGCCCTAGCTTAAGAGCGGGAGTTGCCTTGGTGATTCAAAAGCAACATTCTACTTGCCGGTTGTGCACTCCTGAGTTTGGAAGAAATGGGTCCCTCGTCGTGTAAGTCGGAATTGGTTCTTGAACAAGTGAAACCCCAAGGGGTAGAACGATCATAAATTGAGAACGTGGTGTTTTGACCTCTTTGTGGTGATGCGCGGGAGTCTTTTTTGCGAGCCATCAAAACTAATAAAAAGTGGGTGAGTGCACATCCTCGCAGTTGCACTTGGGCAGTTTTCTCTTATTGAAAATGGCTAGCGAGTCTCCATTTTTTTTTTATAGTAATAAAAACCACATTGTCTTCTCTAATGTTTGTCTTAATGTAAATGTCTTGTATTTTGTGTGATGAGAAATGGTCTTTGGGGCCTTTGCTTGTAAATGGACTATATTGTCAACACGTCTAATTTTTTTTACGTGAAGACAGTTATAAAAATACTACGAACTAAATATTTGGAAGACATAAACTGGTAGATGGAGCACAGTACCTTAAGAAAAAAAGGCCTTTATTAGACATCGAGGTGTTTGAGAACGAGTATAGAGGATCTAATAGTAGTGCGTATATAAAAGGTCCCTAACTCTTGCACGATGTATGCAAACAACCAGTATAAGGTAAAATACTTGGGCGGTATCCGTGTTGTAACTAAAGTGACTTTATAATTTAAGGTAAGCAAAATATTCAATCAACTACTTGATAATATTTATCCGGGAAATGAGAAAACTGATAGTAATTTAATAACAAAAGGATAAAATATCTTTATTATTTGGATGAATAATCAGGAAGGGTAGCAAGGTACTTCTTAATATTGGGGCGTTGCTCAAAAGCTCCAACAAATTCTTGGAGGTTAGGAGAGCCGTCCAAACGATGAAGAGCCAAATCGTCATCAAGGAGATGGTAAACCAAAAAGTCAGGATAAGTTATCTGATGACATAAAGTAATTAGAAGTTGTTAAATTTTATATTATGCATCTAATTTTACTTTTTCACCAAGAATATAGGGACCACCATGTTTGGCATAGGACTGTTCAAACAAGTTAATGTATCTAGGTGTAACAATATTCTTGTGATTTTCTTTCTTCTCCTTTGGTGGCATACTTGAGTTAAAACTAATCACTTTTATGATCATTCCATTTACTTACATCATTACCGATGAAGGCATTTTTCAAGCATTCAAACCATTCATTGGTGATTTCGGCAACATAAGCCAAGTATTGATCTTCCTCAGCATTTGATCCGTGATACTTATTACCCAACTTGACAGAGATGTATTGCATGATTGGGACAGTTTTACCAAACTTCTTGCCTCCAACCTCAATATAAGGGAGAGTGGGAGAGAGAAAGCCTTCTTCAATAAGTTGGGCTTTCTTGGCCGACCAGTTTTCATCTCTACTCAAACGAACATACTCATTATCTAAACCTGCGTCTTCAAGCAACAATTTGACATTTTCACCACGAGCGCGGGTGACTATTCGTATTACTTATCAGTAAGCCGGAAAGAAACCTAGAATAAATATATAAAATACCTTTGTCGCCAACAATAAAGTAGTAAAGAGTGATTTTTTCCATTGCTATAAACTGATGCTTGAATAAAGTAATAATGATAAAATTTGACAAAACATGTTGTCTTATTTATACATTTTGAAAAAATCAAAAGACATACCGGAAGTTGAAACTATTTATAATATAAAAAATGCAAATGTAACTCTTTATTCAAATCCGAATACACAACAGAAGAAAACCGCAGTAATATATTTGGTTGTAATACTACTGAACCCGAACAAATCTCAATACAGTGTAACAAATAGAATAAATTTTTACACAAATATGCAATCGTTCACCGCAGTAGTAGTTTGATTATTCATCAAATCGAGATCTTTATGTACTTCTTTTACATAGTAAATGGTATTCATAAAAACAGAAAATATTATTTGCTTGCTGATTTAGGTAAGATTGGTAACTACTGTCTCTAAATTTATGCTCTGTCCCACACCATCGGAATCTCCTTAAATATTCGACATAAGACGTAACGCTGTCATTGACGACAGTCCCTAAATTTTAACATCTTGTACTTCGAGAAACTTTAGCCTTAAGTGTTATTAGCATTAGTTTGAAAGTACCTACTTACAACCCAAGAATTTTTAGATTTAAGGCAGTAAAATAGAGGAGCTACCCCCAAACAAAAGGAGCAGTATTTGATGGTTATCTTGATTTTATTTCAGAGACGTTGTTCATTATGAACAAATTTCCAAATATGAACGGTTTCTAGCTAATTATGAATAATGACCCGATCCATTCATTGAGTGAAGTAAATGGCCAGATGATAGAAATAAGGAGCAAAGACTATGTACGTATTTTTTGTGAAGAAAACTTTTTAAAAAGACACTGCTACATTTTTATAGATTTACAAAAGCACAATACTTTACATGATACTCGGCCAAGTTTCACAAACAGCTTGGCATTCAACCTAAACCAGTTTCGTTAATTTGCCATTTACTTGTAGCAGTTTTATTACAGATTATTATGGTAGGTTCCACCAATTTCCATCAGGACCTCCATATTTATAGCTAGCATGGTGCCAGAAAAAGTCTTGACACAGTTACAAAATTAGGCATTAGAATTGTATGGGAATTAGTGTTACGCTATTGATAAATTTACCCGAGAAGTCGTTTTCTTTAACGATATATATATATATATATATATAAGTTAGCCGTATGAAGAGATAAGCCAGTTTGAAATAAGTACATGTTTATAACAAGGGTTGCATTTTTCTATTCACACGTAAGTCACGACAAGACCTTTTAACATTACCTTGTAAATATCCATCTATTATAAAAATTCCGCAGCAAGATCTCAGCAAGATGTTCAATAGAACAAGTTGTTGGTTATTGTCTTCAAGCATTCAAAAATTAAGAGTCAAGATAATTCCCTTGCCAAAATATGTCATATTACTTTGCAACAATATTTTAAAACGGCTGTGATTTACTTTCTTATGTGGTGTTATGTAATTATTGAGCCGGTCGTTCTTATATTATTCTAACAACGCCAGATCTAGCCGTAAAAAAACAGGGCAATAGAAATAAATATGATAAATAACAAATGTTTCTTCAATGCATAAACAAAATAATTCAGAATAGATGCAAGTGCAATAGAAAAAAATTTGAGGATTTGTACGATATGTAATGAGGGCCAAGTCATAAATAATTTAGATACAGCACAGCTGATTGAAATGCTATAAATAGGAATAAAAGTGTTCTGGCAATACGATGTCAGTGCCGCCCTTCTTATTTCTTCCAAAAGAAACAATTGTAACAGTAACATAAAAGCTCAGATCGTGATTAAAGAAGAGTCATATATTACGAACGAGAATTTAAAAGCATGTAAATAAGAAGTACATTAGAAGTTTATATTATTATAACAAACTTTTGTGAAAAGGATCTTTATAAAGCAAGACAGTATCCATTTAAAGAAGGTTAAAACTATGAAAGAGGTACTACACATTAATCTTATCATTCAATTGTTTTCACAGATAGAAGATGGGAAAAATGACGCTTTTTTTAGGAGGGGACTGCATGTGCATTAACTCAAGGATACATTCTTGTTGGAGCAACGATTTTACTGTTGGCGCCTGTGTCATTTTATAAAAGCAGGTATTGTCTCATACTAATCACGTAGGTGACATATGTAAGTCAAATACGTGTCTAATTCTATAGTTTATCTTTGCATATTTTTTACAAGATAAGGGATAGGCTTCAAAATAAATTATGAAACTGATACAACTCTATTGTTCGTAGATTAAAAAACGTTGTACGACAGCCTTTCTTGAGCCAAATTTCCTTGTCCGGTTGAGGTTTTGTAAAGCATTTTATTTTTTCCTAATACTTTTTTCTGGAAATAGTGTACATACAAAAAAAAACCAAGAATAGAGATTAAAACATGGAAGCTGATGGACCTTCAGGTATGTTTAAGAAGTTTTCAAATATAAAACCAAAGTTGTTGAGTATCTTTTTGGGAATAGGTTTTCGTAATGCACCTGTGACCAAATTCTTGGTACCTATTGTAGGTGGTTGTTCTGCTCTGGCGGCCGTACTTAATGCTAAACCTCACATGGTAATTCAACTCTCTCAACTAACCATGGATGGTCAAGTAAGTAATGAGGTATTTAGAGAAAATATTGGACTGACTTGAACAATTTAGTTCTGGAGATTATTTACCTCGCATTGGGCTTTTGGAAGCATCGGAACATCCGTAGTAGGCACTTGGTTAATTTATAAAATGAAAATTGTGGAAAGACGTTACGGAAGCTCCAAATATGCAGTAAAGTATTCAAATCTAATTTGAAAATTTGTGTGTGTGTTATTTACCAAAAAAAAAAAAAAAAAAAAAAAAAGGCTCTAGTGTTTATTTCATTTGTCGCGTCTACATTGCTTCAAACAGGTGCTTTAGTCTCAGGACTTGGATTTATCAAATCCATTGCGAGTGGACCGTAAGTTGGTTCTGATCAATTGGAGAGTATTAAGTGACTAATGAAGACATACTAGTTATGCTATACTATTCTCGATCATGTATCAGTTCCAAAAGATTGTGCCTGCCAGTCATCAGACAAGTATGTTGGGTTTGAAAATCACCGACAAGACCTACGTGTACTTGGCTGCAGCTCAGGTAAAAAAATAATAATAATAATAAAAATAGGAGGGAGAGGAGAAGTGAGCAAGGAAAAGGAGAGAAGGTATTGAAATTTGAATTCAGTTATTCTTGTCTAGTTCTAGTGCGTCTATTATACCTTGTGTGTGTGGTATTGTTGTAGGAGCTATCTATGATCAGACACGAGCCAAGACATGGCGTTTCCCTCAATGGATACAAAGATTTGGCCGCAATTATCTATCACCCCTATTGACAAGTAAAAGTAAAAAGAAGCCTAGTAGACAACCCACCACTGCCAACGTGCGACCAAGAAGTGCACCCGCACCTCCTATTGACGAGGGTGATATTGACATCATGTTGGGCATGTTCCCCAATTATACAAGACAGGATATTAAAAATGCTTTAATCAAATCCAAATCGGATTTGAATCGTGCAGCAGAAATTCTATTGACAACAGAACCAAGTGCTAGTGGTAGTCAATAAAAAAAAAATTATTCTCTTTATTAGTATTATTTAAGCAATTTTGCCTTCATCATGTGTGAAAGAGAAACTCGAGCCAAGTTTATTTGGATTGGCAGCCACAAGGGGCCTTTGTGAAGGTGGTTGGAATGTAAAGATGTTGCGAGCAGGAGGTGCATTAGCCTCGGGGCGGCGAACAGCTTGACGTACTTGATCTTTTGGATCCACAGGACCAAAAATTCTGCCTGGCACTAAACCGTATGAGTTAGTAAGTGATGTCTTGGCTAGTCTATAAAGAACTTACCAAATTGATTCTTGTCTTGTTCCTGTTGAGTCTAATAGTAAACAAATAAAAGATGAGCAAGTGTGAATGAGAATATGATATGCATATCTTAACTACCTTTTGATGATCCAAATCTACTGGTTGATCATTTAGCCCTGTTAGTGGAACAGTGTTGGGAGAACGCAGCACTTCGATTTGCTCTTGACCGACTACAGGCCATTTGACTTTAGAAGAAATGACTTGTAATTGTTTCAAGACGCAAGCCTGATCCCAAAGATAACGAATGGATTGAATTTTATGATTTTTATCAAAACTGACCGAGGCAGTCTAATCAGGAATTTTAGTGTAAGTATATAAAAAATGACAGAAGAGATTATGCTTACGACTGGAAATTTAATGGTTGAATTCATCTAATTAAAAAAAAAGAGGGGATGAGCCAATAAGAAAAGAGGGAGAAATTTGTGATTTATTGCCATGCTGATGATTACCAAATATCGATCTTCGAGATGAGGCACTAACCATTTACATTCCCCACTGTGAAAATGAATGGACCAGATGACTTCTTCAATTAATTGATGTGATCCAACGACGGTATTGTAAACGGTTTCTTGTACAGGGTTTACTTTTTCGGAAAACTGCGAATTTAAAAAGAATTTACGGATCTGTGCGTTGCCGCGAACACCTACGCAGGTAGGTACATACATGACGACTGCATCCTCCGAGTACAACTCGGTAGAAGTGCGTTTGGTCTTGAAAGAAGCCCATGTTTGCTCGATAGGTGACACTGAAGATAACATTTTAATTTTAAAATAAAAAGAAAAAGGAAAAAGGAAAAAGAGGGAGGGTCCAATTTAATTATATTGTACTTTATTAAGCCTGTGTTACAACGGCAAGTCAATTGTTGGAAGACCCCTCCTATTATTATTATTTTGGTGCCCGAAAGTTTTCGCTGACATTATAAAAAGGGAGTGATATTATGGTTGAGCAGCATGATTTACCTTTGTTCTCCTGCTTATAATGTATGTCCTAATGGCAAAAAACACACACAATTACGAATAATGAGCCAGAATGTATTTATCTTGCCAATGAAGAACCATCTTTTTCCGATTGTTGCGTTAATAAAAGGCTTATTGTCTTTTTATGCTGCTTGAACAAGTATAATTGAAAGCTAATACACGGAAGAAAGGTATGGAGATACTAATTGAACAAAAAAGTTAGAATTCACGACGCCGGAGTTTATGCTGTATTGTCGAGATGCTAATTGTACTACGGATGCCGGCTTTACTGCTCTTTTTAGCACCTGTCATCAGGGCTAACGATAGATGGGTTTCGCTTGCAAGAGGAATAAGGTTAATATTTATTTTTCTACCATTGGCATCACTCAAACATCATGTTTGATGAAAAAAGATAACAATCATATGTCTTCATTATTTATATTGATGCAAATAACAAATAGAGTTCTTTAATTGAAAAAAGAGAATTGGGGAGGTGAGAAAAGTTCAATAATGTAGAGAGTAAGAGAGTCAATGATATTGACAAGGCCTGTCCCCCTAATTTTATTTTTATTTTATTAAATGACAATAAGGAGGGTGGCGTGTCTTATAGGGAGTGCTTATGAGTGTGATGTACATGCTGGACAGTAGCGTTCATAGGGCCTTTTTGTGTCGACTGTTTGCCGTAATGATGGGAGAGGGCACTATTTGACTTGTTAATATTAGAGGCTGTAAAATAAATAGATAAAAAAAAAAAAAAATGTTTGTAGTACCTCATTGTTGTGTTGATATTGCTGTGCAGTAGATAGTGACATTGTTTTTTGCATTCTTGGTCTTCCGGTCGAAGATTCTGACGAGGAACGTGAAACGATAGAATTTGGAGGAGCGTGTTTCTTTTTTTTTGGTAGGATAGGCAAAGTGGCATTCTGCACAGTGATCTCACGTTGACCAGGACTCCGACGTAACAATTTTGGCTTTTCGGTGGTATTGAATGAAGAAGCCCTGTTACGAGTAACACGTGAAGGACCCAAGACGGGAGAGAAGTCCATCTTTCTTGAGGGTTGAATAAAGATGTGAGGTGTTGGGGAATTCATGGGTGAATAATAGTGACCACTTGATCTCTTATTCGGTGAAGATGGTTCCGAAATACCGCCATGATGATTGGTACTACTGTTACCTTTTGTGCATTGATCAGTTTTAGTTTTATTTGGTAAATCATAATCATCACGATAAGTATCAGTAGAAGATCGATAATTATCTTCCTCATCATCACTACGCAACATGCCTCGCATCTGATTTTGATTCTGACTCTGACTCTGGTGCTGCTTTTGTTCTACTTCCACTTGACGGTACTCCATGCGTCGTGGTGATGGTGCTATCACTCCAGCCATCTCACGCTCCACATTCAATAAACGCGCAATGTTATCCAGTAGCAACAGCATAATTAGTAATATCCATCGCAATGCATTTCTTATCACGGATCGGATTGTCATAAACACTCGCTGGAACGGTGAAGAGGTTCTGGTATCACGTATAGGCGGCAATGTAGATAGAATCTGAACAACATACGCTTGGATCTGAAGTAAACAGATTGTTGTAATCGATGGAGTGCGAAGATTAGTTTGCTGAGTTTCTTCAAATAGATCCTGTCGCACTTTATCATACAAATGCATGTTATTATGTGATTGTTTCAACATCTCTTTAAAAAATAAAAATAAAAAAGCTAAGAAGAAGAAGAAGAATAGAATCCAAGAAAAAAAAAAAAAGGCTTGTATTTGTACTTCCTAAAATGATTAAAAAGGGATAGGAAGAGGGGGGAGGAGGAGTAGGGGTGGGAAATCATCGTTTTGTTTACATGCTGTTATAATGATTGCAGCTTATTTATTATATAATATATCCATCTGGGGTATAAATCATTTCTGTATTTTACAGAGAACCATTTCACGTTCTTCTCTCAAGGTTTCAAGTTGTTGCTTCAACTTTTGAATATCCTCTTCGCTCACCACTTGAGTCACTTTGGCGTCGTTTCTTTCTCTCAATTCGGTGCCAATAAAATAGCCCACTGGTAATGTTATCAGTGCAAGCGCTGGGTAAATGTTGTTCTTGAGGGCAGAAAGCATAATGACCTTAATGTTCAATTAAAAAAGAAGAAAGAGAGATGCATGCTAAGAAGCAAAAGAAAAAAAAAAGGTTCGACGTCACTCGAATCGGGGGCTGGAGCAATATTGTCCCCCCGCCCTATCGCAATAGCTGAAAGATGGGCACCCCTCACAATTTTTTTTCGCTTTTTTTATTATCCTCACATTAACACTTTTTTAATAATGGCTTCAAAGATCATTGGTTGTGCTCAAAGCACTCTCGGCAAACTCTGTGGTAATTGGCTTGCATTAGACTTTTGACGAATAGTTAAACATTATAACTAACACAGATAATTGACAGCTCTTCAAAAGCCTGTCGTTTTCAACGCCAAGGTTGCAGCTGAAGTTGCCAAGCAAGTGTATGTCAAGGAAGGTATGGCTTTCCCCACCGGTGCCCAATTCGCCGAAGCCCAAAAGACTCTCCAACAATCCTTAAAGCTCAACCAACTCAAGAACTTGACCTTCACTGACGTTGCAAAGGGTGGTGTCGTCCTTGCCGAAATCTATACCTTCTTCCTTATTGGTGAAATCGTCGGTCGTAGAAACTTGATTGGTTACAATGTTAAGTCTGAAGAAACCCATGATCATTAAATTATACATATACAACTACTGTTCGAATACAACACATCAACCCCATTATTAAAGAGTTCAATTTTGTCTATATGTTATGTTTGCAAAGGATTGTTATATATGTTAAAAAAAAGGCACGAGGATTTGTTTGTTATTTATACAGTGGTTTATTAAATTCTAAATATCTTGGACTATTTTTTCTTTTTTCTTTATTTTTTGCCCTTCTTTCCACCAGCCTTTGGTGCTCTCATCTTTGTAATTCGAGTTGGTTGTGAGGATTTCTTGGCTGCTCTGGCAGCAAACTTTTGTCCACGACCATCATCTTCAGCATCACTATCTTCCATGGCCTGCATACGTCTTCTCTTTTGACGACTCATACCATCATATTTACCACGCTTCTCTTGAGGCTTTGCAGGTTCGGTAGGTTTGGTATCTTTTGCTCCGGATTTGTTCTTGATGGCCTCAGAAGAGTTACGCTTTTCGGTCTCGGTTTGGAACCAAGTTCTGGCAGGTCGAGCATAGATCTCGGCACCATGATGAAGCATATTCTCACTCTTTTTAAGTTGCATCTCGGCATTTCTAATAGCACGCTCTTGCTTTTCTTCAGCTAAAACTTCCTTGATTTGAGGCCCTAAACTTTCGACTTTTTGCTTATATCTTTGAACAACTTCGTGATTAACCACGCGATTTTTGACTTGTGCACCAACTGAAGACTTGATGGCCATCTTTAACATTTTACGATCGGATTCACCAACCAAGGTGACTGAACGACCATTACGACCAGCACGAGCAGTACGACCAACACGATGAAGATATTGGGCAAATTGTGTAGGCATGTTGTAATTGATGACGGTTTCAATACCCTTAATATCGAGACCTCTCGCAGCTAAATCGGTAGCAAGCAAATAATCCACTTCGTTATCTCTGAATCTTTCCAAGGCTTCCAAACGTTGTTCCTGAGTAAGATTACCATGTAATTCAGCAGCAGAGAGTCCCATCAAACCAAACAAAATCTTCATTTGATGAGCAGCAGCCTTTGATCTGAAAAACACAATGACCTTTTCCTTGAAAGTCTTTCTACATAAAGCCAATAAAACAGCAGCACGATCGGATTCACGCGTTTGACGAATACGGACAAACTCTTGAATAAGACGAGAAGCGGCTTGATTGCTAGGATCGACAAACAAACGAACAGGGTTATTTAAGGACATACGAACCAATTGATCCACGTTATCTGTCATGGTGGCAGAGAAAAGCATGGTTTGTCTTCCTCTGGGACAAGCCTTGATAATCTCACCCAATTCATCAGCAAAACCATCTTCGAGCATACGATCAGCTTCATCCATCACTAAAATTTCACAAGCATCAAGATGGAAACCAGAAGAGTTACGCACATGATCAATCAAACGACCGGGAGTAGCAACAACCACATCAGGCTTTAACTTTAATTCTTGTTCTTGGGTCTTTACACTTAAACCACCAACACAGAGAGCAAATGTGATATCGGTATAATTTGCCAACTTGACGGCGACACTGTGAACCTGAGCAGCCAATTCACGCGTAGGACAGAGAATGAGGACACGAGTAGAGGGGGTTTGTCTGGGTCTGTATAAAAGACGTTCCAAAATAGGTACAATGAAGGCAGCAGTTTTACCAGAACCTGTCACGGCACCACCACAAATATCCTTACCCATAAGAGAAATAGGAATAGTACGGGATTGAATGTCAGTAGGCTTTACAAAGCCAACGTTAGACAAACCCTTGAGAATAGGACGAGAGAGGTTCATGGAGGCAAAAGATTGATGTTCCTTTTTATCCTCCTCTTCTTCATCAGCGAAATATTCCTTCTTACGCTATAATAATAATAACAGGACATGTTAGTTTTTTTTCCTCCTTTGAAATAATCAGAAATGGGCACACTTGCCTGCTTCTCAGCTTCATCTTCGACAACTTCTTCATCGCTGCCTTGTTGAATATCCTCAGCTTCACCGTCTGTAAGATCTTCTTCGGTATCACTGTCTGAATCCTCTTCATCCTCTTCTTCGATTTGTTCGATTCTTTCAGCACCAGCGCCGAAACCGTCAAGAGCTAAATCTTCGTCGTTCTCAGCAGTCTTTTCTTCCTCTTCCTCCTCGTCATCATCTGAAGCGGCACCGACAAATTCAGAGGTCTCATCCTCTGCCTCCTCTTCCTCTTCTTGTTCGACTTCGACTACTTTAGACTTCTTCTTCTTATCTTTATTTTCTTGTCTCTTTTTGGCGATAATATCATCAATTGAAGTTCTATCGGCATCACCCTTAATGATAAATACGAGTCAGCGAAAAAGACATGGTAATATTGAAATTTTTATATTTTTTACCTGTTTGCCCTTTAACATACCACGAGCAGCAGTAAAATCCCAATCTTTAGGCTTGGCGCCACTTCCACCGTCCATGGAGAAAGTGAATTGGTCATCAAAAGCGCTATCTTTTTCAGCCTTCTTCTTCTTTTCGACGTCGGCCTTAATGGTAGCTTGGAGACCTTGTCTCTTTTCACGGTTAGCGAGTTTTCTCATCTTTTTAGCCTCTTTTTTGTCCATGGGCTTCTTGACAACGGGCTTATCCTCTTCAATTTCCTCCATGGGTTCATCGACTACAATATCTTGATCGTCCTCGATCGTCATTACAAAATCATCGTTCTTTCCCATTTTTTCTAAAGTTGAAGCTAGTAGATCTATAAAAGTTACAAAAAAAAATAAAGGTATCCCTTTTTTTTCTTTTTTCTAAAAAAAAAAAAGTTCAAATGAAAACCGTCACATTCAACGTCACGTTATGGGCCTCTTTGACAGCTGTCATGGCAACCCCATACTTGGGATCATGAAAGACCTTCAATTCAATTCATTTTCATGTTAGACTTATCTATTTAATGACTTGAATTAATGTGGAGCGGGTTTCAATCAGACATTTAACTGTTTAAGCCAATTTCAGAGCCATCTGCCCCCTAAGAGTATAATGTTTATGCTAGCACTCATAAGTAAAAGGGTGGAAGATGAATTAAGAAAGAACAGTGGGGTGGTTTGGTTTTTGGAACTTTGCTTTCCAAAATATGTTGACTGTGAATGACCTTTTAAAATTGAAACATGCATTGTATCTTCTCGGCTCATGGATAGGTTTAAGTCACAAAGTAGTAAAAGACGCCAAAATTAGCTGCTTCTCTGCCAGAACATTTTGCAACTTTTGTACTAAAAACGCTTATTGCCATTTAGTGTTGACAATAATTTATGCAATTTGCGTTATCCCCATATTTGTTTTTCTGAGCAGATAATTGGATGTTAATCTTGGTAGAAGAAAAGATAGGTTTGCTTGACCCTCACCCCCCCTCCCCCACCCCGCCCTCCAAGAAAATTTATAGAAAGCTACAGCGTCCAAACTAAAAAAACTAACTCTGTTTATGTTTTTCATGACTAAGGCTGTCGTAGCTGTTTGCTGAAAACTATTTCATAGCCTTAGGATATATATGTCTATCTCCATATTAGATTTCCTATCCAACATATAGAACTACCATGGAAACTCACATTTTTTAGAATGGGGCGGGAGGTTCTGTAGGGTTATCATTAGCAGTGTGGCTGCCGATTTCGGTTAAGATAAGTTACACATGAAGCACATAATTGATGCATGAGAGCTTTTTTTTTCTTGTCTACAAAGGTTTTATGATGAATCGATATCTGCATCCCTATCTTAAAAAAATCATCAGTAACAAAAACGTTATTTTAATCTCTTATACAGGCACATCATCCATAATTATTACAAAAGGACCGATAATGGATGCACCACCCTCAAGTGATGGCGCAAAAAAAAAAAAAAAAAAAAAAAAAAAAAAAAAAAAAAAAAAAAAAAAAAAAAAAAAACTTATAGTGGCTGTACTCTAATGTCCATCAGATTTAACATGTCTAGAAATCAAACCTTATTGACAGTGACACGTGCTTGATACAGGAGACATATCGCCTATTTTTGGGGCCAGGTTAACGTCGATTGCAGTTAACACTAGTCAATATGTTGCTCGTCGCTCTAATTTTGATAAGTCGGTCTCTATCAATTCTAAAATCGTTGAAACCATCAACGCTGCTCTTATTATTGATGCCACTACTAATGGTTTATACGCTTTCAATAAAAGTCGATTTAGTGAGGTTTCTTGTCCTACTAACACGACTGTCAATTTCAAAGCAAGTTTTATTTTCTTTTTTTTAAAAAATAGATTGTAAAAGACAAGTAAATACTAATTTGTACATTAGGTTATGAAGAATCCATCTTTTTTGAGGGCGGTCAAAATTTCAAGGAACTGGATAGATATAAAAATTCAAGCAGCCTTTAAGCTTAAATTCTACAAGCATAAGGAATCTCGTTAAATAAACTTCTTTTTTTGTCTAGTTCTCGTCTGCCGTGTTTTTTATACATGGTTTCAGTAGGCAGAAGGGAGCTCCCAGTAATGTACTTCTGTCTATAATTTACATGACTCATATGAAAAGCAATCAAAGAAGTTGACAATACATGATTGTTACATAGACCCATTATTGGCTGTGGCTCACCTCATCCTGGTTTAGACTTGTTACACAAACACATGATAATTTGCATGAACGCCTAGAAAAACACTTTTTGCGCAGCAAAAAATGTATGCTGTCATTTAAAAGTGATGCCACCTTTCTTCTTTGTAAATATCTTTGTACATGATTTATACTACTATGGAATCAAATGTACTGGGATATATCTGATATGAATTATGCTCCGTTTATAAACTTTTTTTTAGTTACAGATAATATTTTCAGAGGTTGTAACAGACACTGAAAAAATCATAATAATAGGCAAATATTCCCAGATGCTTATCTAAGTACGTCATGCACGTCAGTAGTAGGATTTGTCATGTATAGAATACGATTCGGAAGTGTTAATATATATATAAAGTGTGGAACCTGCAAAGATCATCGTTTCAGACTAATAAGAGAGAGAAAAATCAATCTTTACTAATTCCATCAAATAAAGCAGTTCCAATTTTCTCCATTTAATAGATGACTTTAATAACGACAACAAACACTGTCTCTTTAAAAAATGATATATTACATGACATTTAGGGAGAACAGATGAACCCAAAAATAAAAAATTAACTGTCAGATTATTACTGTTTACTGTTTTTCACATTTACATTCCCGCCACTTTGTTTTTTCGTCTTCTTTCCCCCTCTTTTCCTTCTTAAAAACAATTGTTGGTGTCACTATGAGTGTATTTTCACATTTGCATGTTGGGGGAAAGCCCTCTTCACAAAGCGAGCCTCCGTTTTTTCAACCGTGGGAGCTGCCTGATAACTTCTCTCTAAACTATGACTGTATAAGTCTTTCTACCAAGAAACAAGGTTTGTTATATTCATCTTTATACATATGCATGTATTTGTTTATTTAAAAACCCTTTCATTAGATACCTTAATGGAGTCAAAAGCCTTCAAATCCGATTATCCAACAAGACATATTGCCTTGTTCTCTATTAACCTCTTGACCATAAGCCACGGAGAGTTACTCGAGCTACTGATGGTAAATATATTTTTGCTTTTCCTATCATTTTGATTCTTGACTAAAAATTATTTTCTCAAGTCTTGCGGGGAGATCAGAACTCTTTACCCTTTTTTTATAGAAGGGGTTACAATAATCTCTTATTATAAATATACTGATGCCTTAAAAGCCTTGTCTATAATCAAAGACAGCTTTAGCCTTTCATATAAGGCTTGCTTTGTAAAACCTTGTTTGGTAAATAAGCCATTAAATAATAAGATTTTTTTGGTGATCGATTCACAAAAGGCGCTTAAAGATGCAAGATTACTAAATATTGAGGTACGCGTAAAAAAAAAAAAAAAAAAAAAAAAAAATTAAAACGCGCTTTTTTGACAAACGACGAATAGGAGCTCGCGTCTCAAATTGGTACAATTCACTCTTTCTCGGAAGCTTGTGCATCGAGCAACGTACAACTGGTGAATCTTGAATACGACGATGAGCGTAAAACAGAAAAATTGTTTGCGCGTCTTAATGGTGTGTCAATTGAGGTTAGTTTTTATAGTCTTCTAAAAAAGGCATGGATAAATTGTTCTTACCGGTCGTATAATAGGGCACAACTATTAAAGTTCTTCAAGCAAATAACAATCTGTTTGATTGTACATGCAATGAGGATGTTTTATCAAAGTTAAAAGAGCCTCCCACTTGTAATAAGAAGCCAATGAACTGGAGTATTATGTCTGCTCTCAATCTTTCGGAGAACCATACGTATTTCTCTACAGATCCATTTAGTGCTTCTCCTTTGTCTGTTGAAGACCCTCTGGTTTCAGACCATTTCTCTTCGTCTAGCTCCAATTGCACCCGCAAAAATTCCAGCTCCAAGACTTATCTCTCTCGCTCAGATTCCCCCTCATCCCCAGAGGTCTCTGATAAGACTACCGGTCTCTTTAAAGAAGAATCTAACTCTTCAAACCCACCTTTATCTTGTTCGGCTGCGATTTCTGACGTAATTTTATCTAAACCCGATGAGAAGTCTCCAAAAGCTACTATTAACGTCGATGGCGCCTTGACTTCAAAAATCAAATCCACAGCAAATACTGTATTGGATTCACCAAATGATCCCACTACCAAGGACAAGAAAGGGTCATCTGGATCAACAGGTTACAAGAAGAACAAATCTTACTCGTCTGTTGTAAGTGCGGGTGTAAAAACAAAGGCAAAGCCTTCATCGCCTTTAGTTCCTTTAGCTCCTTCAGCTCCATCAGCTCCATCAGCTCCTTCCGCTCCTGGTAAGGCTTCATATGAACTTGATATTAATAAGGTGATTACAAAGCAAGACACCCGAACAACATTCATGATCCGCAACATTCCCAATAAATACACCCAGGTAAGAAATAATTTGGATATAAAATACGTACGAAAGCCGCATACCAATAATTTTTTCTTGTATAGGAAATGATCATGAATTTGATTAATGAAACCCACAAAAACACATATGATTTCTTTTATCTCCGAATGGACTTTAAAAACAAATGTAATGTGGGGTACGCTTTTATTAACTTCCTTGAAGCAAAGTAAGTATCTCGTACAGAAGCATATATGCATACATCCTATTCACATATTTTTTTTAATCATCCGCAGGAGTGTAATAAGCTTGCATCAGGAGCGTGGGGGCAAGAGATGGTAATAACAAACTATAAAAGAGACAAAAAAAAGAGACGCTTCTTCTCACTATTTTTTTTATAGGAGCAAATTCAATTCAGATAAGCGTTTTCAATTATCATACGCTGAAATTCAAGGAAAGAAAGCTCTAATTAAAAAGTTCCAGAACTCTCAAGTAATGGAACAAGAGCCTAATTATCAGCCTAAATTGTTTTATTCTTCTGGCTCTTCGAAAGGAAAAGAGCAGCCTTTCCCGAGACCAACGGGGGATGGTCATAAGGCTAAGTCTCAAACTCGACGGCGTTGAAAAAATTACTTTTTCTTGTTCTTTTCTCTTTTTCCCGTTTCTTTGGGGTTTGTTTCTTTCTTGTTTTTTTTAAAAAAATTTGTTTTGGCATATTTGTCTTTTGCCTTTTGTTTTCTTTTTCTTTTTTTTTTTTGCATAAAAAAAAAATCAAAAATCAAAATTTTTATTAAAAATAAACAATAGTTTTTATGTACATGGCATACAATTCTGGTTATTTGTTAAATGGAAAAGTTGTCAGCTTTATAGGCTCATAAAAAACAGCCAAACTAAAGGATTTCTTTTAAGCTTCTTCTTTTATTTAATGAGACAGCAACTTTATTATATGATTAGGAATCTGCAATTTGGTAATACGCTCCTGTATCAAGACTCTTTGATCGCTATTCCATACAGATCTAATCTGTAATTGATCCTTTAATATGGCAGACTTGTGTTGCATTGCCTTGATTTTTCTTTCAAATTGATAGAATAAGACCTCTGCCCTTTCTAAAGTGGGTTCCAACGGAATATTGTCGGACAATCCGATAAAAAACTATTAAAAAAAATGGTTTAGTCTTTATAGGGCAAAGCTCAGATAGAATATGTATTACCTGTAACATTTCATCCAGTTCATTGATTTCCGTCAACATGGTATGTCGGTGTGTATCAATGACGGCTAATGCGATAAAGATGATGAACTGATCGGATAAATGATTGGTCCAAAGAACTTCCCAAAGACGAATGACTTGATCCCAAGCAAACTCTCTTTTAAACCAAACAAGAAACCAACGAAAGCAAAAGAACATTTCATGTGCTTGTATTTTTTCTAAATGTTGATACAAGGTTGGATCCATAAACCGGATCAGATCCTTCAAGGTATTGAGTAAACCGTGCATGCCTGTTTGATCCACATAAAAATTGCCTTGCACACGATCCATAAAGGAACAAAAACCCCAAAAGGCCATAGCTTCATCTCCCATGGCCACAAACAAGGGTGCCAAAATATCCGACATACCTTGCACATAACCCAGATCGATGTTATAAAAGTTGTAAGTGACCAAGATATCCTTCATGATTTCCAAGTTAGCATTGGTGCCTACACACATGGCAGGATCCGGGTTCGGTAAATCCTCTCCTTCAAAGGCCTCCTGTTCTCTATCCGTTCGATGTACATCTTTGTCAATACGATGTTTTTCATCCTTAAATTCGGTGGTGTCACGAATTTCAGTATCATCAAACCAAGTAGCCTTGATAGCATAATACGACTCCTTTTGACTACGTCGTATCGCTTCTCGTTCATCAAACGTCGAATGCCAAGTATAAATCCCTAACAAAAATTTCCATGCTTCAATACGAATATCTGAATCCAAACCACCGGAAAAGACAATCTGTCGTACATGGTCTACGGGTACATTTAATCGTCCTTCATCATCAAATAACAAAATCCATTCTTCGGGTGAAACGGGACTTCGTCGTGTGTGAATTGGGGTGGGCCCAGAGAGTTCTGGCATGCCTAGTAAAAGTCCATCGGTATCATCCATAAGATAATATTCAGGTTCGGACTTATTTCCCCATCGTGCTATATAATGTGATGCCATCTGGTATTCATTCACTGTCCTGCTTCGACTGAATGCTTGCATGGATAAGGCAATGGGTTGAGTGAGTGCTTGAGCTGCGTCTTTGGAATACTGGGTAATCTTTGCTAAACGTTCCAATAAAGTCCATCTTGCATTATGAATAGCTTTGGTCACTGGATCTTCTTCCTTGGAAATGGCTGCTTTGGTCACTGGATCCTTTTCTTTCACAACAGCAGCTTTAGGTACTGGTGAAGAAACTGTATCATTTTTTACCAAATGAACATATTGTGTATCTGAAGGTCTAAAAAAAGGGTGAGGGTCAAATCAGCTGATAAGCTATTATTATTTTCTCGTTCTTACCTTAATGGAATAAAAGCGTTCAAGACATCAATGATATCATACCCAGGCCAAGCATTGATATCTGACTGCAAATCATTGACGGTGGTGGTTGAGAACCAAATAGGTTTCAGGACATCACCGGACTTGGATGTGATGACGATGGATCCCTGTGCATGGATAGAAGGCGGACAGATATAGAGCGAGTGAATATGACTTAAACCGATGATCATTGTCTCCCCTTGACCTAAATTGAGCCCGATAGATGGAAATCCATGTTCGGAGGCTACATCACCATCTAACTGTAAAAAGAGGTCGATATCTTTAGGGTCTATTAAGTACTCGGGTATCCAGGCCACGTTCACTTGTACATTTTCCTATTGTCCTTTATTAGTACATGTGGGTCTTTTATTGATATATTTGTGTATTTATTTACCATCGACTTAGAAAAGACTGCAAAAAAGCCATGGATACTATCGTCAGCCATAGGATTGGTGGATTTGAGATAAAAGCCGGACTTTGCGTAAATTAGACGTACACTATTTGCAGGTTCCTGAGGAATTGCTTGAGGCTGATATACAACAGCAGCAGGAGTGGCAGCAACAGGGACAGGTGGTACAGAGGACTGCTGGTAAGCGGTCGGCACGGGAGGTAAAACAGGTGCCGCCGGTGATGCCAAAAGTGGCACGGGATCAAGTTGATATTCGTTGGGATCATAACTAGGATACACTGAACTAAACGAAGATTCACTGGACCAGTTGGTTTGTGCTAGAAAGGGATTGTAGTTGGACTAATAAAGAGGCAAAAAAAAAAAGAGAGGATTTAGTCTATACGTTTTTATGCAATGGGAAAGGACATTACCCGCTGTTGAAACTGTTGTCGTCTTTTGCTTTGTTCGGCTAGATCGTCATGTTGATGAGGAGGTTTCGGAGGTAGCTGTGGTGAAGGAGTTTGTGGTTGTGGCGAGTAGGGCTGAGGTGAATAGTGTTGCGGTGAGTGGTTTTGTGGTGCATATGGTTGCTGTGGATACGGCTGCTGTGAATAAGGTTGTTGCGGATATGGCTGCTGTGAATACGGTTGCTGAGTATGAGGTTGTGGATACGACGGTTGTCTGTTATAGCTTGACTCTGTCATGGGTATATTGTTATGATTAGGACCTCCACCCATTGTTATTATTATTATTATTTAAAGTATTTAAGAGAATAAAAAAGAAAAAAGGGGTTTTTTTGATAAATTTATAAGACGAGACAGGCCAAGTAATTTTATGCGAAATAAAAAAAACTTGGCAAAAAAAAAAAAAAAAAAAAAATGAAAGTCAACCTTGGCTCTTTTAAGTGTTTTTATTTTTATTTTAATAACTCCTTAACAATGTTGCTGACAGTCTTACGATCAGCTGTTGCAGCGTCATATTTCCAAGCCTTCATGACTTTGCCCATATCCTTGGCTGATGTGGCACCCACTTCACCAATCAATGCGATCAACTCTTCCTTGATGAGCTCGGGCGACATTTGCTCGGGTAAATAAGCTTGTAATAAATCCAACTCTTGTTTTTCCTGTTGTGCTAATTCGGGACGTCCTCCTGCTTCATACTGGTTGACAGAATCTTGACGACGCTTAATGGCCTTTTGAAGAACAGACATGAGGGCTTCTTCCTCAGGTGTTCCCTCTGTGAAATTAGCACTCTTTGTGTAGTATGTAAAGTCGCTTAAGAGCCCCTTGACTACGTTTAAGTTGGGTTGCTTCTTTTCTTTCATGAAGGTTTTACGGTCATTCTTAAGTCTGGCCAACAAGGGCTCTAGAGACGAGTGTGTGAGACTCCCGTAAATTAAACGCGTGTGTGTTTGTGGGCTTACCTGTGACAACGACGCCACTTGTGTAATATCTGGAGGCAGTAAAGGCCAAAGGTTTAAAGCGTGCGAGAAACATATTTGTATGTGTGAAAGAGTTTTTTTTTTAAAAATAAATAGTGCAGGGTTATGTGTCAAAGTCGGAGTAATGCACAAATTTCTTTTTTTTATTGGGGAGGGAAATTAGGTTCTTCTGTTTCGGTATTTGTGACGAAACCTCCGTCAGGATTTTCCATTGTAGGACCTGTCAATGGAGTTCCCAAAAATTGTGAGCCATCTACATTATCAACATTGTGAAAATCCAAAATTTCAGAATACATCATGACCTTCCATGTGTCAATAGGTAAATCCGCTTCGTTAAATGACCAATCAAACTTCTCGGGTGCGACAGGCTCGTCAGTAGGATCATGATATGGTGCAAGATAAGGATGTGCTAAGGCTTCTTCAGCATTGATACGTTTACGAGGATCAAATGTCAACATCTTTTCCAATAAATCGATTGCTTGGGGGTCTTGGCCAACAAATCTCTCAGAGAAGGGAATAGGGCTACGTTGAGGCAAGTTCTTTACGAAACGAAGTGTCTGTGTTTGCTTGTATTAGTGACCCGTCCAACTATATACTCTCTTCCTCTCTTCCTCTCTCTCTCCCTCTATCTATCTCCCCTATGCACACTTACATTCTCACTGCAGATGGTGGATACTAAATCGTCGTTGGGAGTGCCAAGAAGCTCGGTGATGATGGAGAACTGATGGACGTCTATAAGTTGCGCATGAGTCTCCAATTACACAAAAATACATATAAACACTTACGATCTTTGCCAGGGAATAATGGCTTTCCTTCAAGCATTTCAGCAAAGATACAGCCAGTACTCCAGATATCCACTGCAACATCATACTTTTGCCAGGTCAACATGATTTCGGGAGCACGATAATATCTGGTGGAGACATAACCTGTCATTTGAGGATCCTGAATACGAGCAAGACCGAAATCACAAATCTTGAGGTCACAGTTTTCATTAATCAAAATGTTGCTTGGTTTCTGTATTTAGTGTGGTTAGTGAAAACAATAACATAACAAATACAGAAATAAAAAAGCTTACAAGATCACGATGAATAACACCAGCGGAGTGAACATATTTTAATCCTCTCAAGATTTGGTATAAAAAGTATTGGATGAATTGCTTTTCCAAGGGACGTGATTGTAATAATCGGTGAAGATCTGTACCCAATAACTCTGTGACAAAGTAACTAATTTAAGGAATGAATGAGCGATTTTTTTTTTTTTTTTTTTTTTTTTTTTTGAATAAAATTAAGAGCCTTACATATCTTCCAAAGGTGAAATGAAAATATCACTCAAGCTGATAATCTAGCGCGGAAATGAGGAGTTTATATACATATTCACACACACACAAATACAGACCCACTTACGTTTTCATGACGAAGAGCTTTTAATAACTTTAATTCACGATAAGTACGCTTTGCCAAGACGGGTGCTGAAAAAGGTTTCATAATCTTTTTAATAGCGACATTCATGCCTGTTAATTGATCCTTGGACGAACTTTTTGAGTGCAAACAAAAGTAAGAGAAGGGTTAATAATGTCACGTATTAAAGCCTTATTGTTTCTTACCAGACAAGACCGAAAGCACCCATACCAACAGGTTGCAAGTCCACATATCTAAATCGTTCGAAACGTGTTTAGAATATAAAAGAGAGTGAGGTATTTTAAACGCTTTCTTCATTACCTGGTGGTGACTTCAAAAACTGTACCGAAAATAGAAAGCTTTACAAACTCTGCCATCTTGTTTTTTAAATAATACAAAAAAAAAAAAAGTTGTGGGAGAGAGAAAAGAAGGAAATAGAAGATTTAAGCCGCACACCCACCCAAAAAAATAAGGCACAAAAAAAAAAGGTCTTTTGGTCCAGGCGCTACACTGACTTTCAAGTTTTTCTTTCTTTTTTTCTTTTTCTTTTAACATTGAATGTATTGCTCATTTTACTGCTGTTATTTATTACGCTCTTTACAAGAAGGACAGGGCAATAAGACTTACGTAGGGTCGACGCCTGAACCCATAAAACGTTTACGACAACACAATGGCGAGATCACACAAGGCGCCTATCGAACCCGTAAGCTACGACCTTGGTAAGGGAGGATATGCGTTTAGAAAAGCAAAGTTAACGTAAATGTTTGATAGGGAGCATGTGATGATTGTCTATGGCTTCCCTAGTCGAACGGAAGCACTACAATTCGAATGGGCCTGGCAAAAACCGCAGCAAAGCCGACATGTCAAGGCACTGGCAGACACCAATCCGTACAAAATCAGATATACCCAATGCACCAAAAATAAGGCCAACCATCCTCTCACCAAGATCAAAGTGGCTCAATTGCTATTAAATTCAAAGCCGTTTTGTCAGTTACCTCTTAAGCTCCGATTTGTCCTACCATCTATGCAAGACATCTTTCTTCAGGTCGATCTGCCCAAGCATATGCAATCGTCTGTAGGGCCTATTCGAGACCTTATTCAACAACATAAGCAGCATGGTATACACACGCATCTTTTTTTTCTATTGTTAATGCGCATAGTACTAATCTACCTTAGTATAGAAGAAGACATTCTAACGAAGTTTCAACTACCAGACAAGGATCCACTGTCTTGTTATCTCTGTCGAGAATCAATTGAAAAGGTTTGTTCTATTTATTTTTAAAAACACATCATGCTCCTTACTAAAATCTATGTAGGATGATGCCCTCGATTATGTAAGCTGTGACGATTGTGACGAAATGAAGAGCCATGTGGCTTGCTTCCAAGCAATATTAGAAACAACAGAACAAGGCTACTGTCCCGAGTGCTCTAAACTGCATGTATGGGGGGATCTAATACAAGCGTCTAAATTACGAGAGAAATTTGTGCAAGACGGTATTTCGTACTCGACCGAAGATGATTCTGATTCTTCAGTCATTAATTTGACGACCGTGTAAGCCACCACTAATTATATGATGCGTGTGTGACATAAAGATTGTGAACATATACACCCAACAAAAATTATTTCAAGACCAATAAAAACTAAAATCCCGTTCTTTGTCTCCGACTGAAATGCCTTCTTTTGCGTCACCCCAGTGAATAGTAATCTCGGATCCAATACTTTTGTTGAACTTTACAAAGGTAGAGAAGCTGATAGCAAAAGGTCACTAGCTTAGATAAAGAGGAGAAATATCTCGGAAAGATGAAAAAGAATGATAAAAGAGAATTACAATGGTTGCAATAATAGATGAATATCAACAAGAATATTTATAACAAGCGCCAAGCCGTAAATCACCAATGTCATCATCTCAGAGTTTAATTGGATCATTTCAGCTCTAAGTGTTGTCAAGATAAATATGCCACCTTAAGAACTACCCAACGACTATGAATTGAAACGAGAATCCAATGATAATACCAAAATGATCAGACAACAATAAGGTTGATAGTCCCGCTTAATTTTTAATACAATGATTCTTATTGGTAAGAGTTTAAACTTTTTTTTTATCAGTTACGCAGAGAGGTGACATCTTTCTACACAGCACAGTGTAGTATCAGTTCATTAAAATTATGTGGCCTTTTTATTTATTAATTTCACCAACTATAATTATCAAAAAATCTCCTGCTTCTGTCGCCCAGGAACGTCTAGACATACCGGTTAGAAGGATAGCCCCGGAAGGACACTGGTATACCGCCTTGGAAAGCACAAGGTAACTACCATAAGTGGGGGGAAATGGAAATGACTTTTCCTTTCCATGGCCTTCCTTGGTTTATCGTGACTTCAGCACATTCTTTTATATCGCCATGCCACTTAACATAATTCTTGTAAATATTAAGATATCATGCATGTATCCGATTCCTTGCTATTTTTTATTGTTGTGAAAAGCACCTAGATTAATTTACGTAATTTGCAATCTACACAATCGTATGGAATGAGCTTCTTGCATGAATTTATTCATTGTGTAACATCCCCAGTCATAAGTAAATCATTCAAAGAGCTCTTTCCAATAAGCATTTATCTGGCCGTAACTCTTAAAAACGTAAATGTCTGAACTTGTGGGTTTACATATATATATAGGGTTTCATGATCGTCTTTCAATAACGAAATGCTTAAACGATAAAGATTCCAAATTGTTAAAAAAAATGATAAAAACCAATCAAACAGACCGAGCTAAACTCGCACAAACTCATGCTTGTATGTGAGTTCTGCTGAAGGCTGTTCACAGACATAAATTAGTACGATCTGATAGGCTGGAACTACAGAATATTAATCACTTCAGAGTATACACTTCCTTTTTGTCATTTGAAGTATTCCATGATGGACGGTAACTAGCAGTTTTTTTTTTCAATTGGGTAAATTCTCATATCATTGTTGCTTTCTGAACCCATGCAAAAGTCTACACCATGTGAGTGTCAGTATTTAGTAACAAATGATGCGCAAATCATGACGTAAACTTGATCTCGTCTCCCATTTTCATTATAACTAAGACCTAAATAAATTTGCTTTTCTTTTCTTTCTTTCCTCAAGAGAATTTTATTTGCGCTTGGAAGGCCTCCGTCACTCGTTAGTAATCATAGCTGAGTATCGTTTGTAAAAAAACACATCTGGGTATCACTGACGCTAGACTGTCCACTATTCGCCGGGCGATAGTTCCAAAGCTGTTAACCCCGATGACAAACATTTTACGGTTAGACAGATACTACAAGATACCATTATACCCTCATACATAGTAATATATACGTAAATGGGTTGTTTCAATTGGGGCTGTTTTTTTTTTTTTATTGTTAAGAAACATACTGATTTAGTATACAGTAGTAATTAAGAAAATAAGGAAAAATGATAAGAGTAAAAAAAAAGGAAGTTGATTTGTATCCGATTTTGTTCTGGCCAAGAAATAGACTAAGAAGATAACTAAATATGTTATGGGTTTAGTTAAGGTTGAGGCTGTAAGGCTACGACGATTAGCTGTCACACTATGGCACTGCATGTAACAACGTCTCTTACATTGCTAATACTGACTTTTTGGCCTAATTTTCTCACTAATTAAGATCGATAAATTCCGAATAATATCAACGACATTTTAGTCGACAATAGGTAGTTATAATTTCTAAAGCACATTTTTTAAAACTTGAAATAAGCTTTAAGACAAGCTCGCCTTCATAAATGTGAAAATTACAAATAGGAATGAGCTAAGCCAATACTTTAAACATTGGGCGGAGATGAAAGTTGTCTACAATTCTTCTGCAGTGCCTTGCTTCAAAGTTTGTAACACGATGATATCACTAAAAAAAAATTTACGAGCTAGTGAAGCTCTGAGTTTAGACAATTTTTTTTCTTTTTGCCTGTAACTGATAGCTTATCCCCCAATGAGTTGAATTATTCTTTAGTTTTCTTTTTTATATTGTCGGCCAATCAAATACATGCAATTTCAACGTCACTTTACTGTTTTAGAGTCGAAAAAAAAAAGTTTTCCAATATAGGCTTTTTTTATATTTTAGCATCATCTATCTCTTTTTTTTTTAAAACCACTCCCTTTTTCTTTAACAAAAAAAAAAAAAAAAAGACAATATGAGTGCTACCGTATCTGCTTCAAAGGCCAAGCGTCTCGCCGCCAGAGCTGCCAAGTCCTCCAAGTCTGGAACACCTAAAGCATCCGGAAAGAACACTCCTGCCGACTCTTCTGATGTCGAAGGTGAGATGGGTAACCTCAAGATCAGTACTGATCGTACTGCTACTGGTGTCTATACTTCTCAAGAAAGAAGTAGAGATATTAAGATTGATTCCTACTCTCTTAATTTCCATGGTCGTGTCTTGATTGATAATGCTTCCATCGAACTCAATTTTGGTAGACGTTATGGTCTCATTGGTTCTAACGGTTCTGGTAAGTCTACTTTCTTGGCCTCTCTTGCCGGTCGTGATATCGAAATCCCTGACCACATTGATGTAAGTTATTATAAAAGAGTGAAAAATGGTAGAAAAGTAAGTAGTATATGAGTACTAAACAATCTATTACTCTAGATCTACCTCTTGAACCAAGAAGCTGAACCCTCTGAGTTCAATGCTGTTGAGTCCGTCATCATGTCTGCCCAAAAGGAAGTTGCTCGTCTCGAAAAGCAAGTTGAAGAACTTTTGAGTGAAGATGATGGAGCTGATAACCCATTGTTGGACGATATTTATGAACGTATTGAACAAATGGATGCTGCTACCTTCGAAACCAGAGCCTGTACTCTCTTATCCGGTTTAGGTTTCGATCCTCTTCAAATGAAGAAGAAGACCAGTGATATGTCCGGTGGTTGGAGAATGAGAGTTGCTTTAGCTCGTGCTCTTTTCATTAAGCCCACTCTTTTGCTTTTGGATGAACCCACTAACCATTTGGATTTGGAAGCTACTGTCTGGCTCGAAGAATACTTGAAGACCTATGATCGTATTCTCATCATTGTTTCTCATTCTCAAGATTTCTTGAACGGTGTCTGTTCCAACATGATGCACTTGAACCACAAGCGTAAGCTTCTTTACTATGGTGGTAACTACGATACTTTCATGAAGACTAAGGAAGAAAACGAAGTTAACCAAGCCAAGGCTTATGCTAAACAACAAGAAGAAATTGCTCACATCAAGAAGTTCATTGCTTCCGCTGGTACTTATGCTAATTTGGTCAGACAAGCCAAGTCCAAGCAAAAGATTATTGATAAAATGGAGGCTGCCGGTCTTATCGAAAAGGTTGAAAACCCTTTGGCTTTCAAGTTCTCCTTCACTGATGTTGCCAAGCTTCCTCCTCCCGTCCTTGCTTTCCAAGATGTCTCTTTCGCTTGGGATGGTAAGATGGAGAACTGTCTTTACAGACATCTCGAATTGGGTATTGATATGGATTCCCGTATTGCCCTTGTCGGTCCCAATGGTGCTGGTAAGTCTACACTCCTTAAGTTGATGGATAACGAGCTTGTCCCTACTGGTGGTCGTATTCAAAAGCATACTGCCTTAAAGCTCGGTAAATACTCTCAGCATTCAAACGATCAATTGGATAGCTCCGTCTCTGCTATCGATTACATGCGTAACAAGTTCCCTCACGTCTCTACTGATTTAACTCACTGGCGTCAACAATTGGGTCGTTATGGTTTAACTGGTTCTCATCAAACCTCTTTGATCAGCACCTTATCCGATGGTCTTAAGTCTCGTCTTGTGTTTGCTGAATTAGCTGTGCTTCGTCCTCATATCATCTTATTGGATGAACCTACTAATCATTTGGATATGGAGTCTATTGATTCTCTTGCCGATGCTATTAACCGTTTCTCTGGTGGTGTTGTCCTTGTTTCTCACGATTTCCGTTTGATCTCTCAAGTTGCAAAGGAAATCTGGCGTTGTGAAGGTGGTCTTGTTCAACCTTTCCAAGGTTCTATCAATGCTTACAAGGAACAACTCAGAAAGGCTGTCAAGTTATAAATTGTTTTTTCTCTCTTTTTCGCGCACTCTATATTTTCTTTTCTTTTACAAACACACACACTCAAAACCCTTATCCTTATTTTAGATGATAATATATACATTAAACCTTTTTTTTTTCTACTTTTTGCTTTATGATTACGAGAATGTTACTCCTTACCATTTCATATAAATAAATAAACTAAAAACAATAAAAAAAAAACATTCCCCAAAAAAAAAAAAATTACGGATGTCTCGTATAAAAAAGCTCCGTTTTTCTAAACTGTTTCTTGTCTATAATAACATTGGAATGAAGTACGTTTCTATCCTAGTAGCCTCGCTTATCTCTGTATCTGCTCTAGCCATCGATCAAGGTAAACAAATAACAAACATTTAGCTTTATTTTTAGTTAACCTTTCTTTCAGATAACAACCCAAACTGTAAATTTACCCCCCTCTTTGTTTGTGTTTGATAACGGCTAACCTCTTTTAAATAGTCCACATCGCTCCTGAATTACGTGGTTTCTTTGACGACGAAAAAACTGTTACAGTCACTGTCGGATCAGGTACACGGTGTCCCACTGCATCATCGTCATCAGCAGCAGGAGGAGGTGGTGGCTTTGGAGACTTTTTTGGCAACGGTGGCAATCAAAAAGTGACTACGACTGTAACATTCACTCCCTCGCCCATCACTGTCACTAAAAATGCCGGTGGTGATTCAAAACCATCCACTGTGACTGTGCATGCCTCCACGTGTCCTAACAAGACGGAATCCCCTTCTACTAAAACGATCACAAAAGAATGTAGTGCAGCTCCCATGTTTGACGGAGGTGGGCTCTTTGGCGGGAAAACCGTGACAGTAACAGTATCTGCAGGAGCAGCAACAGTAGCACCAACAACAACAACGGATGATGCCATATTTGATGGAGGTATTTTTGGCGGGAAAAAAACCGTGACCGTATCTCAAACATGTGCTTCTCCCTCAACAGTGATAGAGACATCTACCATGACAAGCTATCTTCCTGCTTCCACATCTGTAAGTACGGTTGTGAGTACTGAACTCAGTACGGTTGTGAGCACTAAATTAAGCACGGTTATAAATACTGAAGTGAGTACGGTCGTAAGTACCAAGGTGAGCACTGAGGTCAGTGCTGTAACCACCACAGTGACAAGTACAGTCGCAGCATCTGGTGATACACTGGCCGCACCTACTGTGACCCATGATGTGACAGTAACTAAAACTATTACCACTTTTGTTACGGATGCCGCTGCTGTTGCTACTGCTGCCGCTTCCAATGATGCTCCTACTGCGGCAGAGTTACTATGTGATATTGGAAAGATGAGAAAAGCCCTTGAAGAAAAGCAGAATGAAGAAAGAAATAAACAGTTTCTGATGTTTATCATTGGCGAGATTATAAAGGCAAATCAAAAATCCCCTTTCCTTTTAGAAAAGAGTGAAAATATGAAATAGATAAAACGATCGAATAATAAAAACCACACATAGTATATAATTTTTTTTTTTGTTTTTATTTAAAAAAAAATCAGAAGCTAAACTTATTGAGTGGGAGAGGGTGTGGCATTGGGGTCCAAAGGTAAACGAATCCAGAATCTTTGTTTACGAATCGCTTGTTCAAAGTGTTGATAAAGTGCATCCGAGTCATCCATAATAAGCACGCCATACTTTTTTTGCTCTTGCAATGCAGAATTGTCTAGTACACTGTTAGGTAAGCGTGCAGCTTTGAGTAATGACTTGCCAAGTCCAGAAGCAGCAATGGGTTTACCATGACGATAAGCGTCCAATATAAACATGGCAGGTTCTTCATACGGGAATAAAGATGTGTCTCCCTTCAAAGTATCAAATGCTTCTTGATTACCATTGGGAACATACACGGCATCATAAAGGACCGAGGAAGCTGTCAAGTAAGTCTGAGCGACATCTTTGTTCATTTCAACACCAATCAAATCGACATAGGCACCCTTCTCTGTTAAGAATTTAAACATGTGCTCCACTTGATCTTTGTCAATGCCAGGGGCTGTCAAGATGGCTACTTTTTTGGCTCTGATGTTTTCAGGTAGCTTGTATTTCTCAATGGAGAGCCCAACCGAGGTCATGTTAGCGTTGGGGTAGATATCTTGTGGTGAATTCAAACCCAAATAGGTAGCAATACGTACAGCCAAATTATGATCGACATGGTTCAAGGCTTGCACCATGTTCTCACGTACTGAATTATTATTGCATTTTCCGATTTCAAAGCGTGCACCATCGACCACTTGTTGTTGTTCAAAGGTAGTTAAACTATTGTAAAATAACTGTGCTTGAGAAAAGTGGTCAGCGAATTTTCCGGATTTACCACGCTGTTTCTTGGCTGAGAGTTTTAAAGGAGCACCAATTTTCTCCGATTCATCATACTGTTTCTTGTCAGAGGCTTGTCTTGTTGGGTATTGTAAATCACTTTTATCTTTGCCTGATTGATAGTCTTGTTTACAAACTTGTTCTGGGTATTCCAAATAACCACCTTCTTGTGGGGAAACTACTGCGGGGGTATTATTTTGAAGCGTGTTGGGATAGTAAGCCACTTTTCCCGTGTACACATTACGCTGCATATAGCCATCACGCTGATTGTTATGTACAGGATTCAAGGGTTGGTTGATAGGCAATTGCATGTAATTGACAGAGTTCATACGATTGACCTGAGTGTCGGTATAACTAAATAAGCGACCTTGTAAGAGAGGATCATCGGTAAAAGTGATACCACGTACAATGTGACCTAAATGAAACGTAATTTGTTCCGTCTCTAAAAAGAAGTTGTCAACGTTGCGATTGAGCGTCATTTTTCCTAAGCATTGAGCAGGGACAATAGATTCAGGAATAATTTTGGTAGCATCAAGTAAGTCAAAGTCATACATGTCTTCATCCTCTTCGGGTACAATTTGGGCACAAAGCTCATATTGGGGGAAATCACCATTTTCAATGGCAGTGTAAAGATCGTTGCGATGGTAATCAATATCTTTACCAGCAATCTTTTGCGCCTCATCCTATTAATAATGGGTGAGACAGCAATACCGGAAAGTAATAACTAAAGCTTACCCAGACCAAGTTGGAGAGACCTTGCAATGGTTTCCAAATAAACTTGACAAACACAACTTTTTCATCCTCAGTGATTAATCGAAACCTTATTTCAGATAAATTATATAAATAAATACAAAACCCATTTTAGCATCTAATATAAACAAGTTTCTTACGTATGAACTCCAAATCCTTCTACCTGTCTGAAACTTTTAACAAGTCCTCTACCAGATAAAGCCCATATGACGGTGTGCATACTCTCGGTATGTTGAGAAAAGAAATCGTACGATGTACAATGTGCAGTTCCAGCTTGAGGGACTTCCTTGTCAGGTTCAGGTTTAGCAGCATGAATCAAGTCTGGAAACTTGATGGCATCTATTATGGGGAAGCGGAGTGTTAGTGAATAAAATGTTGTCTGCATAATTTTAGCTTATTTTACCTTGAATGAAAAATGGGGCAATCACATTACCAACTACAGTTGTTAAGTAAGTGATAAATTTAGTGGATCATGCATAAAAAAAATATGACGAAGTTATTACCTAAATCCCAAAGACCTTCTTGCGTATAGAATCGAGTAGCAAAACCACGAACATCTCTTACTGTATCTGGAGACCCTCTGGACCCCAAAACAGTAGAGAAACGAACAAATACAGGTGTCTTTGTTTCAGGATCTTGTAAAAAGTTGGCAGCAGTAATATTGGACCAATTTGTATAAGTTTGGAAATAACCATGGGCACCAACGCCGCGAGCATGAACTACACGTTCAGGAATCCTTTATAAAAAAATGGTATGTCAATACTAAAGTATATATATGTTTTGTAAAATAGAAGAAATCACCTTTCATGATCTATATATATGTGTATATGTATGTATAAAAGTTGTTAGTATACATATGCATATATACAAAGTCTTACACTTGCTTTTAGAGTAATACACTTACCAAAATGCATGACTTTTTCTCTGAGCATAAAGTCCTCTAAAAGAGTTGGACCACGTTCACCGGCAGTAAGACTGTCTGTGTTGTTGATTTTGGTACCGAATTGAGTAGTTTCTTGTGTGCCAGCGTCAATCACAATGGCTTCTTGCACCGGATCCTTCTGGGCCAAAACTAATACCAATGGTATCAGTGTAAGTACTGTATAAAGTAATTTCATTGGAAAAAGTGAGAGAGAGGAAAGAACATATGTTTAAAAATTAATCACTACATTTTATACAGGTGTTTAAAAATAAGACGGTCTTTTTTTCGTTCTTTTGCAGACACATAATTCCTGTTCTAAAACATACACTGTATCTGTGTAGGGGTGATACGGGCAGAAAACACAATTGAGAACTTGGTAAAAACCAAGATGTCATTGTAAGTCCGTCATTAATTATCAACAATCATACTAAAATACATTTATGCAATGACAGATATTTTCAAAAGGACAGTCTTTCGAGGAATAAATGTAATTATTATCATATCAAGTATTGTATACGAGGTTTTACAGCGTTTATGGTACCAATATATGTTGTCGCTTTTAATAGGATATTGAATGGAGTAAAAAGCCCATGAGCGATTAAGAAAATTTGTGCAGTGGCTATGTAGTATGTCAAAAAAATTATGAAATCTCTATTGAAAAAAAAATGCCAATTATTTTAGACAAGCATCCTTTATTTTTTCTAAAAAATTAAATGCAACCTCTATTTGTGATAAAAGTGTCTTCATCTTTTTGACAGCGTGTTTTATAAACAGATAGCCTGTAATATTTTCTAAGGCCATTAGCTAAATGAACCAAGCCTTACTCATTATACTTATCAATAAATAATGAGATCCCTCCCCTCCTAAATTCTACTTTTCCACTTTATAGTCAATAGGTCTTCTCAAACTGATAGAAAAAATAGTACTTGTCCAAATATGGGAGTGATTCTAAATCATTCTTCTGTTACGCATTTGGATTTTGATGAGATTCTACATCCTTTTTAAGGTTATAATTTGAATGTAGGATCTATGTATGATCCTAATCCTAACAGTATTATTTTATGTCCATTTTTGTAGAAAAAATATATATACAACTATTTCCATCATTTTGGTAATTGGCATTCCTTGTTAATAATAAAAAAAAAAATTAAATTCAACTTGAGAGGACCCAATAAAATATAATCCATTCATCAAGGTTATTGAAGTCTGAGGAATTTTATAAAATAACCTTTTATTTAAAGCCAGAAGGTTCTAGGCCGTTCTCAAAAAAAAAAAAAAAAAAAAAAAAAAGATCGACAGAACAATGCGATTTTTTTATGATTTTTGTACCTATCCTACATAGTGTATAATGGGTTTTATACACATTGAGTAATTTGGATTTAGATACCTGATGTAATGCATATTATTATGCCCATTTTGAAGTACTTATTTCATCAGCTGTCAAAAATTTCGTGAGAACCCAAACGATTTGACGTCTCCTTATTTTCAAGTATTAGACAAGATATTCTTTATATGTTACTTTTAATACTAAAGACCATATGAAACGAACATGCCATAGACTTTATATTTTCCTTGTTTTAATGAGAGTTTATTTATACCAGATCGCTATGTACTAATTTACACGAAAGCAGGATAATTACCCCATTCTGTTCTTGTTTGATAGGACTTCAAATTTTGGTGATAAATACAAAATATGTGCTAAAAAAGTTTTTTATGGTGATTTAATGCATTCATGCCTAAAACAGTAATAAAGAACGATATAGATAACCCACTATTATCAATTATTTCGAACACCAGCAGAATTTATGTCTAAAAGTATAAACAGCCTCTGTTCCATACACATGGGCAGTTACTATTGAACGTTCAACGACAAGAGAATACTAAATTACAGATTGATTGTTGCCATAGTAATAAAGTGAAACACTTATCTTGAGACGTAAACCTTTATTGTTGACTACCATAAGCATATGATTCTTCTTGTCTTTATAGTTTAGTAAAACATAAATAAAAGGAGAGGTGATCATGTTTGCTCATTACTTAAAAGTCATATGCATTCAATTGTAAGTACATGATTTTTGATTGATGTTTTCTTCAGTAAGAATATATGGCTCTTTTGCAGATTGTATGATGAATATAAGCTACCAGTTAAACATATTCATATAAGGTATTTCCAACTAGTGTCATGAAGCTTTGTTCTGCCATGGTTGGGAACGGTTCATTTATAAAAACAGTAGTATCCATGCATTACTCTAAGCTTGTTTCTTCTACTAGCAAGAGTTTCTGTTGCTTCTTCGATTCTCACAAGAACTATATTTTTGCAGGAACTGAGTTTCTACACGGTATACATGTAAAATTCTGTTTTTAAACCTCAAACACGGTCATTTAAATTAATACTAGTGATTTCAAGCCAATCAAGGCTAAAGAAAAGGCTAAATATAGTTACGGGTAATTCATTATTTTCCTCCTTTCTCTCTCTTACACACACTTTTTTTTTTTTTTTTTTTTGCTTTTTTGAAAAAGAAGAACTTCATAATGAATATAAATGACAGTAAACGACAGTCCCTGGAAGAGACAGGACCAAGACTTCCAACACACGAGACCATGGATATTTCACCTACACCCAGTAAATCCGTGCATCGTTCAAAAACAGTACGCAATCTTGGTTCAGCAGGAAGTAAAATGCGAGGTTTATTCAAGTCCAAAAACAAGGAAAGCACACCTCCACCAGCACAAGCTAGAAGAATGACAACCAATGCCGATGAAAATGGGTTTATAACGAGACCCATTTTATCCACTTCGGCTTCATATGGCGCTGAACAACAAAAAGGTATGTTTGAAGAACCTTAATTTTTTTGAGGGGGAGACTGGGAGTCAGCTTTAATTTTTAATTTTTTTTTTGTTTTCTTTTTTCTTTTTGCTCATCTCTTTATTTTTTATTGTTACATATAAATAGTTGAACCTCATTACGTTGAACATACCATGAATGACTCTGAAGTGAACAAGATGCCACCACAGCAACCATCTGTTTCATCTGAAGATGCAGAACAAGTCCAGGCACAACAAGTCCAGGCACAACAACAAGTCCAGGCACAGCAACAAGCTCAGGCACAACAACAGCAACAGCAACAACAACAACAAGCGCCACAGGCACCCCCTCCCCATCAACAGCAGCCAGTACAACAACAACAGCAGCCAGCGCAACAACAACAACAACAACAACAACAGCAGCAGCAGCAGACACAAGCACAGGTACAACAACAAGCACAACAACAACAACTCAACTTTCAACACGAGTTGGAGCAGCTGAATGAGCTTATTGCACAGCGAACAGCCGAAGTATTACAAGAGAAAAAGACCAAGGAGCGCCTACAAACGGAGCTGGGTGAAGCACAAAAGGTGTACAAGGAAAGAGAGGCGGAGTACTCAGCCATTGAGCATAGTTTCTTTGAACACACTCGATCGATTCGAGCCACAGATGATGATCTATCAACAATCCGGGATAGTTTCAAGCTTCTCAAATACTCAATTGCACGTTTGTTGATGACGCTGAACAAGAAGGCTGATAAAGCTAAAGCAGCACAAAAGTTCACGGAGGCATGGCCGCATTTGACGATTGTGGATCCTTCTACAGGCGAGATGGAAGGTTCGTTTGTGAACTTGTTGGCTGAGAAATTAGTACATCAACATTTGGTGAAACATGTCTTTAGTGCACCTATTTACCCGGGGCTTAAGGTGAACGATGCGTACTATGCCTTGCATAGCTGGCTTCAGGCTCATGCGTCTCAATTCTCTGTACGGTTACGTCAACAAATGGCTGCAGTGGTGGCCAAGTCGGGTAAGGAGAGTGAAATTCAACAAGCTGCACAAAAGGAAAAATTAAGAATTGCTACCAAGATTTACGATGATCTTGCAGATATTTATCATCCATTTTTACGAGAAAATGATGCAGCTGTGGATGAAGAAAAGCGATACTTCAATAAGATATGTGATATTGTTGATAAATGTCTGAAATTGACCATTGCCATGCGTGGTCAAGACGTTGAGATTACTACCGTACCTATTGAAGAAGGAAAGCAACAATTTGAAGAAGAGACAATGACAGAAGTGAAGGGTAGATGCAATGGTCTTGTTCGTTTTTGTATATGTCCTACCTTTATGGGCGGTGATCGTGAACATGGTTTCCTTGAAAAGGGCAAGGTCGTTATTTCTGGTTAATTTTTTTATAGTTTAATTTATGTGTAACAAATATCTTTTTCTTTCTCTTTTCTTTTTTTTTTTTTTTTTTTTTTTTTTTGCCAATAAACAACTTATAATGTCGAATGAAGCTGAAGAAGAGAATGCTCACTATCGACATAATTCGTTCAATGTAAATAATGAAGCCATGGTTCAACCAGTAGATAGCACGAACCATTTTAAGGCACCTTTTCCAAGGCCTTACCATCAACCGCAGCGACATGCGACGGTGTGGGACAATGACCATCGACCTCATTCGCAATCACATGCACGACGAGCCTCGGAGAACTTTCCAGCACAAAGACAAGTAGCGCAACAACAATTATATCCTTATCAACCCATGACGGGCACGCATCCAGTTCCGACCTCAGATATTACGGTGCCACACATGTTTATTGCTGAGCCCGATGAAGATCCAATACAACATTTGGTTTTATTACCACTTGGTAAGACGGGCGCTGGTAAATCCAGTTTATTAAATATCTTGTTGGGTTATGATGAATTTAAAGCAAAAGCTGCGGCTAAGTCCGTCACGGATTGTATCACGGAACGCACGGGAATATGGACCATTGATCAAACAGAGTCGATTATTACGGTGGCAGATACACCGGGTTTTGCTGATTCTATGCAACGTGATGAGGAATTCTTATCAGAATTTCAAGACTATATTTTGGAAGTGGGGCAACGCTTTGGTATTGATTCATTCATGCTGGTATTCCAATGTAATTCACCCACAGGCAAGTAAGTAACGAGCAGTCACTAAACACACCAGGTTATTTAATGCCAATTGATAGTGTCATGTCTATTTTAGATCATTTTAAATCCATGATGGATCAGAAATTTCCAGACGATGATAGCTATTGGAATCATGTGATGCTTGTATTTACACGAGTCGATTATTTCCCCAACCTGAAACTACCAGCCAATTTACTGAGTAAAAAGCAAAGTATTACCGAAGTGCTGATACCTGAAATTCAAGAGAAATACAATATGAAGGCACCTCCCAAGTATGCCTTTGTAAGTTCAAAGGCACCAAACTGCTCGTACAATAAAAAAGGACAATGCGATTGTTTAGCTGCTAAGAAGTATCATTTGGATCAAATGAGGACACTAAAATCAAGAATTAATGCCATCATTATAGATAATGGTGGTCGATGGGTGCCACACACTTAATATATTCCTGCCTGCTTGTATTCATATCCAATAAATCGCCTCCTTTTATATATATACATATGATTCAAAGCACGGACTTTTTTTTTCATGCGTAGAAAAAAATGGGATCATCTACAAGAAGACAGTGCTTTTAAATAGGACCTGTTCATTAAAAAAAGATCTACTTGCGGCATTATAATGTATAAAAAAAGTTAATTGTTTGATGTGCAGCCCGTTTGTGTGTAACATGACAATGGGAGCCAATCAACCTGAAAAGCAACAAGCAAAAAGAAAAAAAAGACCGTTCTTTTTTTCAGATGGGGTATTTACAAGGGGAAATTGCATTTCTTTTTTTGGAAATGCCTCACAGGTACTTGTGTTTCCCAAAGTCTTAAATTTACCGAATGTTTGATTTCTTTAGTAATTAATCATCTTATGAATTGTCTTTCACATAAAGCGGGATGGGTTCCGGTGAAGAATAAATGTCTGTGTAGATCATGTTCAATTAAAAAAAAAGTGCTACATGCTAAATATAAACAAACAAAAGGACCTTGACACGAAATGAGAAAATGTCAATAATTACTCTGTTTACTGCATTCAAATGTTAACGGTTGTGATCCACCAAATAGCTGTCAATGGTAGTTAGGGCTTACCAAAATCTATCAACGGTAGTTAGGCAGTTGTTATGACTACATGGGCTCATATCAGGAAGCTTCTTTTCTGTCTAGTGATGGGAAACAGACACACATGACGGAGTCTTTCTTGAAGCACCATTGAATAAAAAAGATTTTTCACTTCCAAAAAAAGAAAAAACGCTGTCCATGTTTAATATATTCAAAGTCAACTTTTCCCCTTATTAAACATCTCGTTTTTTTTTGTGTATGTTGTAAAAAAAAGTTTTTTTTTTTTTTTTGCCTCTCTTTTCTCCCCCGCCGCTTCTTTTTAAGCAAACAAACAAAAAGTAATAATAACCCTTGTCGAGATGGCACAACCTGAGGTGTCATGTTCAAAGAGTCATGTAGAGGAAAGAGTGTTGAGAAGCTCACCGTCCAGTACGAATATCTATAGTCGATATCGATTGCCTTCAACCACCACCACAGCCACTACTAATAGCATGGATAGTCTTAATAGTGAAGAGAATAATGTGATGATGGACCATAAGCGTAGTTATACCATTGAAGGGTTGAACACGCTTGCCTACTTTTCAAACACAGATAACGAACTCACGCCATCTGCTGCCATTCGAGACAAGTATTATCAATCCAGTCGTTACTTGTCTGATAACGATGTAATTGACGAAGAAGACATTATATATGAAGAAGAAAAAATTGATGGCGATGTATTCCTCTATCGACCCGGAGATAGTGAATTCTATACGAAACCCACTATTTCCACACCCAGTATTTACAGTGTGAATGATTCGGTTATATCTCTAAGAACAGAGTACAACAACAATGATGATAATCGGTCTATTGCCAGTATTCGCACTGTGGACGACCGTATGCAAGGAAGATCTTCTTCGGTCTTAGGCGCCAATTTAAATTCGTTTGCCCAGAAAACAGCTAAAAAAGTATCAAGATCAAGTTCCATCTTTCGTACTGTAGGGGATAAAAAGTCAAAGGATGATACTGCAAAATCCAAAAAGAAATTACAACCTTTTGTACCCGTGCGAGATTCTCCAAAACCCGTCATGGATAACAGCAGTATTCGAACCGCTGGTGGAACCAGTTTGTTATCAAGGCTGTCTAAATCCACTGCTCCCATGCGAGCTAAATTGTCCGCCATCTCCTCCATCACTAGCCGTATGTTTATATTATTATTAACTATAATTTAATATTCTAACTTTTTATAATTAGGTCACTCGCGTATAGATGCATTCTCGTCCAGTTCAAACTCACTAGCTGTCCCCGGTAGAAAACGCATGGCCGAAAGTGTTTACAATATGCCCATTTCATCATCTTCTCAACAGCAACAAAGAAAACCCAAGGTGATAGAAAAGGCTTCCTCCTTTATCATGTTACCCAAATCGCTCTCTGCCTCTTCTTCTTCTACCTCTTCCATGATCCTTTCCTCTTCAGTTATGGTGGAAGAGCCTGGATCCGTCAAAGATCATATTGTTATTTACCCCGCTTTATTATCTAAAATTGCCTTAGCCTTTAGAGATCGAATTGTGACAAGTACCAAATCCAAGGATAGTATCAAGTACAAGGACGCATTTGACGGAAAAGAGGCTGTGGTAAGTAAACGAAACCTTAAAAAAAAGCTTATATTTATGTGTACACTAAAAAAATAGAGTAGGACAAACTAGCCTTCATTATTAAATCAAATGACCGTAATTTAGCTTTATTATTGGGAAGAGCATTAGATGCACAAAAATTCTTTCACGATGTCAATTACGAGCATCGATTAAGAGACTCCAGTCAAGAATTGTATCAGTTTAAAGAAGACCATTTAATGCGACCCAAGAGTGGTATTATCATGGCTGATTCAACTTCGGAATTCAATCTGTTTCTGGGAAGTCCTACTTCACCTCTGGAAGAGGAAGATCCCATTAATGGTGTCTTTACTTTGTTGACAGATTGTTACTCTCCTACTTGTTCGAGAGACCAATTATGTTATTCCGCAAGATGTCCAAGACGTCAAGAACAACAAAAGAGACAAAAGGGTCATCATCGTGAAGGAAGTAATTCTTACTTGATCACTCAGCAAGAGGAGAGATTATGGATTAATACCGTTCCCAAATCTGTCCTTGAAAAACTTGATAAAAACGAAATTAAGCGTCAAGAGAATATTTTCGAATTAATGTACACTGAAAAAGATTTTGTGGATGATTTGACATATTTAAAAGAGGTAAATTCCCTTTATATGCCTAAAGAGGATACCAATGTGGATTCTAATGTAAAATATTTGTTAGCAATGGATTGAGCCTTTGTTGGAAGAGGATTCACCCATCACTGGGGATAAGCCTGCTTTTGTCAAATCTATATTTTGGAACATGATGGAAGTACTTCAAGTTAACACAATCTTATCCATCAATTTTACAAGTCGACAGGGTAAGAACACAATTGTGGACCAAATAGGCGACATTATGCTGGCTCATGTACCCAAATTCGAGCCATTTGTACGTTATGGAGCTCACCAAATCATTGGCAAATATACCTTTGAAACCGAAAAATCCAACAATCCTGCTTTTGCGGATTTTGTTACCCGAACAGAACGTTTACCTCAATCACGTAAATTGGAATTAAATGGTTATTTGACCAAACCCACGACACGTTTGGGACGTTACAATCTGCTTTTAAGAGAGATTTTAAAACATACACCCAAGGATCATCCGGACCAAGAAACCATTCCACGCGTGATGACCATCATTGCTAAATTCTTGGCGGATGTCAATCGAGAGACGGGCAAGACTGAGAACCTTTTTAATTTACAGTTATTAAATGATCGATTAATCAACAAACATATCTCGAATTTCGTAAGTTACACCATATCACACACGTTTTTTTGCTAAATGTATCAACTGTTTCTATTTATAGGATTTGGATTTAATGGCCTCGAACCGTCAAGTGGTGATCAAGGGAACTTGGAAAAAGGGTTCTGGATCTGAATCTTCTGAAGTTTTAGTTTATTTATTGGACCACTGTTTGTTAATCATCAAGCCTAAACAAAACGAAGAAATTTATAAACTGACTCGCAAGGTAAAAAAAAGACATCAAATTTCCTGGCCTATTATTAACATTTTTTTATTTATTTATTTAAAAAGCCTATTCCCTTGGCGTTGTTATCCATTTCCTTTCCAGATCATACAAAACGAGCCAGTACAATTATTCCTTTGGGAAGACCCAGCAATGTAGTTGGTACCAGCGAGAATAATGTCACTACCATGACCAATAATACAACACCCACTGTCAAAAATGGATACCCCATCTCGTTTGTTCATTTAGGGAAACAAGGTTCGGGAGGTCCCATCACGCTTTATGCATCTACTTTAGCAGGTCGTAAACAATGGGCCGAAAAAATTGATGCCCAGAGAAGAGCTTTGGTTGAAAAACATAAAGTCTTTCATGTTCAACCCATCAATGAAAGTTTCTTTAGTACCTTTAATAAGGTCAATTGTATCGCTGTCTTTGGTAATTTATTCATCTTTATTTCTCCCAATCATCATGTTTTAACCATATATATATACATAGATAATGGAAAGTCGCTTGTGTTGGGTGGCGATCAGGGTGTTTACCTTAAAAAGGAAGGCAGTGGGGATGAATTAATTCGAATCTTGGCCATGGATAAGGTGTCTCAAATTGACATTTTGGAACAAAGTAATTTAATCCTTGTTTTGGCTGATAAGATTCTCTACACCTATTCATTGGATACTTTACTTTCAACCGAAACCGGTATTAAACGAGGCCGCAAGATCAGTAGTCATGTTTCCTTTTTCAAGGTGGGTAAAATCTGGGATAAAACAGCTGCCGTGTCGGATGGTAATGAACAAGTGCATGATGGAGAAGGTGTGGAACGTACGCTTGTTTGTTTTGTACGTTACAATGCCATGACATCTACCATTCGTGCTTTGGAACCTTATGAAACTACCGAATCAAAAAAGAAGAGCAAGCATAAGAATTTACGTGGTTTGATCAGTCGAAATAACGAAGCCCTCAAGGTTTACAAGGATCTATATATTCCTGGTGAAGCGTCATCCATTCAATACTTTAAAAATATCATTTGTGTTGGAAGTGCTAGAGGATTTCAAATGGTGAATTTGAGCTCTGCTGAAGTTCAAAGTGTGTTGGACCCCAATGATGAAAGTAACAAGACTATTCTTGCTTCCAATGAAAATATGAAACCCATCTCAATGTTTAGACATAAGGATGGCAATATTTTACTTTGTTACAGTGGTAAGCACTTATATCGATGCAAGATGGTAAAATATAACTAACACGGGTTTCTTAGAATTGGCATTTTATATTGATAAAAAGGGTAAACGCGTTCGTAAGGATTGGTCCATTTCTTGGGAAGGCAATCCTACGGCATTTTCCTTCCGATTCCCGTACGTTGTAGCATTCAACACAAACTTTATTGAAGTTAGACACATGGATACTGTAAGTGTGATAAAATTTAATTTTGTGTTTGTGTGTTGTGACTGACAGATATTATAGGGAGATTTGCTTCAGGTTATACCGGGTAATAACATCCGTTGCCTTCGACCTGATTCCACTGATCGCATTCATGGTGTGATGGATGATCGTCTGGCGGGATCTGAAGTCATTTTTGAATTAAAATTAGTCGACCCTCATCGTAGAAAAATCAGCATGATAAAAAATAGAAGCAAGAAACCAGCATAAAATATAATCTTTTTACTCTTTTTTTTTTCTCTTTTCTGTACAACAAACACCCATCCATTTATATGTGCTTTATTCCCCCCCCCGCCCACCCACCCACCCCCATTCCACACTATTATTTTACTCTTTTTTAAAAAATACCCTTTTTTTTTGCATAAATTATTTAATATTACTTGTAATTACAATTTGATTAGGTCTTCCCATGTGCTTAATTTAATTAACTAAATGAATGTAGTAGTTCGTAAATAATTGATGGCACAGATTAGCGTTATGTACCATGTTGGTATATTGAGGATGGTTTGTCAATGTTTACAGTACGTTTTATTTAGCTACACGGACAAGTAGCGCCAAAAAATAGAAATATGGTCAAATCATATCAAAGTTTCGTGCAGCTTGTTAACCAATCGAGACATTTACTGGTTCGTAACTAGAAATGAGCTCGTACTTGTTCTTTACGATCAATTATTAATTCGCTCAGTTCCTCAATTTATCTAACTATTGAAATCATATCAGTGTATTTTACAATCATGCAAAACTATACCACCTAAAGAAAGGACTAGACATCTTGAAAAGTTGCAAATCTTGTGGATCGAAACGTTAGGATTAATTTTTCAACAAGATCTGATATTGGAACGCTAGTATTACTTTTTTTGGTCATACCAGTTACCTATTGTACAGTCATCGCACTCGTTCAAAACGTTATAGGAAATCTACATCAACATTCTGATCATGTACCATAAGTTTTGATAAAATATCTTAATACGATAGATCAAATAATTTATTACGATAGTTCTTGTTTGTAAATCTTATTTAGCTTTCAATAGATGTTAATGGGTTTCATATAATTTTTTAATTTTACTATCTAACACACCCAATTGCTGTCATTAAGGTGTTTTTTTTCAATTCTCTAGCATTGTTGATTTTGTTTGTTGCACTAAATCTAAGTATTATCTTCTACGTATTGACGGAGAATGCTGACGAGGCTTTGAAGGCGATTTTTTTCTTGATTTGAAATTTTGTATTCTAATTGAAGGTTGACCTAAATGTTTTTAAAGTAATTAATCAACAGAATTTGTAATATAAAATGGTAAATTAGTCCAACCTCGCTTGTATGTAACCTTTCTTCTACTTCTTTTAATGATTTTTGAATGGAAGCATTCTTCTCTCCCAAATGCTTGTTGTGGTGAAGGAGTAACTTTCTATTATCTAATAGCTTGTAGTATAATATGTGTAGCTCTTTATTTTCCTCGTTTAGTCCACTAATTTTAGCTCTCAGTTCTTTAGTCTCGTCATTCAAGCTATCATTTTTTGCTTTTGTGGCCAAGATCTTATTTTTTAATCCTACTATCCTTAAGCGCCCAATTTTCTTAATATTTTCTACGTGTCTTTCTACGTCGTGCTTAGCATTCTGAACTTGACTACCAATTTGTTTGATTAAGCGTTCTAAAAAAATTCTTCTTTTCTCAGACTTTTTAAACTTGTCTTTAAATTGCTAAATATAAATTAGTGTCATATCTTGGATAGATAATTTTACACCTACGAGATCCACCTCTATAGAATTTTTTAATGTGGTGATAGAACGCTCAAGTTCCACTATTTGAAATTATTAGAATAAGACAGATTTTTTTTTTGTTTTGTAAATTAAGAAAAGTAAAAGTCATGCATTTACTTATGTAATTTTTTTGGAACGCCATTTCAGTATCTACATAGTTATTGGCCTAATTATAAATGTACTTCGCTTACATATTTTAGATCGCAGCTAAATATAATGTATTACCTGTAGTGTATGATTGTAGACTTTATTGCGTAATATGTCAATATGGATAGTGTTTCTTCATTACTTACATTACAAACCTGAGAATTTGGCAGTCTCATCTGAAAGTGGTTCATTAGGGAGTTGATAAGACTTGATATTTCTGAGCTGCGTGATAAAGTCCAAGGTAAGTACAGTCTCAGCTTGAAGATTCTTGGGGCATTCCTGTTTAATATGTAAAAACTATGTGATATGTAGATAACAATTTGATTTCTAGTATCATTACGTTTATAAGAGCGTACACTACCAGATTCCCCTGTCCAAGAAGAAACGGCAGCAGAAGCTTAGTCAATACGCAATTTATAGGCACATAATCATTTTTGACGCGATTGGATGTTACTATTAAGTTTACCAATCTTCCTGAAATATTCTGTTAAAAGCAAAGAAACAAAATAATATTATTTATACTTTCTTAAATTCTGAAATGATTCTTGTACACTGAATACTAGTTTGCTTTCCTGTGGTGAAAACATAGGATTGAGCAAGTCAAACAGATTCAAATACCCAGGCCTGTTTGTCACAGGATCAATTAATCTAATTCTAACAACATGTGGGAATTTCGTTCCATTGCGCATCATTTTCCAAATATCCATCACGCTATCAGCTTTTCTCATCCAATAGTTAAGGCCTTTTTCTAGGACATGTATGTCTGATATAAACTAAGTAAGATGAATTATAAATCGAAGCTTACTCACTGCTTTGCGGTGTTTCACTATACAAATCGCAGCAACTACTGTCAAACATGCAAAAATACACATACTCGATAGTGGTATTTGGCATTATTTGTCTGTTCAGTTCTTTAAAAAGTAATTCTTGTTCGTCCATCCTAGTTTTTGCCAATGCTTAAAATATGCTCCTTAGCAAATACCTATATGAACCTGTATTACCTTCTTTTAAACGAATAATAATCCCCTCTACGACAACATAGTACAAGCTTAGTGGATACCATAAACTATTTATCCAATCACTAACCCCTTATTTATAAATAAGCAAGCTGTATTATATCCTAATATATCGTATTTAAAGCGTGTTATACAATGGTTTATAGAGTACTTCAAACCTTTCAATGAAAGTTCGATAATCCTTCTTCGCTCTTCTGCAGCAGCTTTATTGTAAAAATCATCGTCGTCATAAGAGTGGCTACCCGAGTATGGGATGCATTTATCGATACTCCAACTATGCCTATAAAAAGCACCAAAATATGAATTCATAGCTTTTCCGTTTACAAGGTCTGTAGTACCATTGGTCAATACCAGCTATCAAAATCAATATGAGTAGAGTGTTTGGCTCAAGTTATTCTAAATTTACATTTAATAGATAGTATCACTTCATCTCCATTTGTTTCTTTAATTTTTACACACTCTGTGTGATCGTGTGGGGCAGAACAACCTTCCACCTCGGTCACCGAAAGAACATAAACAATAGCTTCTCCACTTGATATATTCATTGAAGGAAAAATTTCCGTTTATTGTGGTTCAAAAGCGAAAACAAAAGGGGCCAAATAATTTTTAAGTCATTGAAAAAATAAAAAAAGAGAAAAAATGACGCGAGCTATTTTTTTTTATATTGTTAAGTTTCGTTTGAAAACTTTGAAACATAAAGAATGTCTATGGGGAAGAAGGGAGATACTAGTATTTGAAAAAAAAAATCAGTCGATGATCTTAAATATTACAAACGTTGTCTTACCTTATATGGGTTCATAATGGCATTAGGATCGAGCATGTTTTTCATGGTTTTCATCATTTTGATCATTACGGGAGACTTAGAATAGCCCAAAAATTCATTCTTAGCTACACCCAAACCATGTTCAGCACTAATGGATCCCTGATGGTTGGCAACCCACTCAAATAAGTAAGGTTCTATCAGTGCGGATACACGACTTTCAAGACGACTGGCAGCAATGTTCAAATGCAAATTACCGTCACCAACATGACCATAAGCAACAACATCGGTAACAGGGGAATCTTCTTGACCAAACACACCGCCATCGCGTAAATGCTGGCGCATATCTTCTACGCACTCGTATAATTTGGGTACGGGCATTGAAATATCATATTTATACACAGCAGGTTCTTTACCAAGTGCTTCGGTAAAACCTTCACGCAAACTCCAGAGGCCACGGATCTGCGTCTCGTCTTGTGCAACAACACCATCTTCAGCGACGCCATCAACCATCATATTTTCAAGGTAGGTGTTCAATTTCTTTTTTCATGGTCAGTGGTATATTTCACATCTAATACTGAGACTTACCTCATCATCATGGTCCTTATTGGATCCACTGGTTTCAATCAATACGTAGAAAGGATATTCCTTCTCCATGACGTCTTTAGGTGTAGCATGCTTTTTGAACATTTGAAGAGCGTTGGTATCCCAAAACTCAAAAGCTTATACATAGTGTTAATATTGAATAGGAAAAGTAAATAATTCAGTACAAACCTGATAAAATTTCTGATAATTCAATTCTAGATTGCTTGAAGGCCTTTTGAACATCCTCGAATGAATTTAAGCCTAAAAGAGCAACATTAACAGCCTTTGATCTATGAGGAGTCAGAATAGATACACCAGTGATTACACCAATAGTTCCTTCAGATCCAATGAAAAGTTGTTTTAAATCATAACCTTATTGAAGAAGGTTTAGTTATTAAGACTTTTCCCACACATTTCGCTTAATAAATTACCAGTATTGTCTTTTCTCAAGGTAGACATATTGTCCAAAATAGTACCATCGGGAAGGACTACCTCTAAGCCCAATACAGTACCATGAAGAGATCCATAACGCAATAATCTCAAGCCTCCTGCATTAGTTGCGATATTTCCGCCAATATGACAACTAACATTGTTGATTAAAACCCAGACGATGGATACTCATTTTCTAAACTAACCTTCCTTTAGCACCTAAGTCCAATGGCATCATGTAACCCTTTTCTCCTAACCAGTTATCAAGTACTTCAAGTACACAACCAGCATCAGCCGTCAGGATACCTTTTTTTATATTTTAGTTGTTTTCATTAATTTTAAAACCCCTCCCCCCCTCTTTTGTTTGTACCTGATACATTATCGAATCCACGGATTTTATTCATACCCTGCAGACTCAATACGACTTCGTCAAATACAGGAACAGAACCACCTACTAGACCGGTGTTACCACCTTGGGGAACCACGGCTAATCTAAGTCGAACCATCAGTCATAGATATAATGCACACGAATCGAGATACCTTACTTTTGGTCATTACAATACTTCATGATATCAGAAACCTGTTGAGTTGTTTTTGGCTTCAAAACAAGCTGCGATTTTCCACGGAACTTGTGCATCCAATCGGTATTAAAAGGGAATAAGTCATCCTCGTTACCGTAAAGTAATCCATTATTGCCAAGGATGGTTCTAAAATGATCCACATCTTGTTCTGTAAGCTACATAAAACATAATCATATGTCAATGCTTTACCAGTAACTAGATGTATAATTTTTTTTTTATACCTCTTTATAGTTTTCGTTACGAACGTAACCCGGGAACTTATCGACAGTGTAAGACACTTGTTTATCCTTCGTTGCATATTGACGAATATGAGTTACACGACTGGATAAAGCAGGAACAGCGGTTTTAACAACCAAAGGCTTTAATGAATTCAAAGCAAGACGGCTCGACAACGATCTCAAGCGTGAAGCAGCAAACATTTTTATTCGATTAGCAAGATGGAAGAAGAAGAAGAAGAAAAAAAAAAGTAAAAAAGCGGAGAAAGTAAAAGCGAGGGTGACTCAACTGCTGTACATCCAGTGCAGAGATGCGATCGTTGCACCCCCCATTTGCTGTGCTTCAATCTCACGCAGACCGCTTAATATTTTAAACAACCGCTCAGTAAAACAAATAGTGCAAACACCCTCATAAAACAGCATTACCTCTTGTAAGCTAGCATTGTCACACATCGAACACAATATGATAGTATTTTCAGCACAACTGTGTGATATCTGAATGCAAGTAAAATATTACAGGCCTATAGGTGGTATTGTTGATTTGAATTTGGAATTAAACATCTATGTTACGTCTAGCTGTAACATCCAATTATTTTACTGATTGATACGCCTGCCACCTTCAATTTTCGCTTTCCAGCAAACTGATCTTATTTTGATCTCCGACCAATTTTCGTTTTTGTAAAGCCCAATCTTCATTATACAAATTTTGTTCTGGTAAGAGCTCATTTTTCGCTTTTGTCGCTCCCAAAGATCGCTTTTGTCTGTTTCAAATTTCGCTTTTACATCACTCAATTTTCGTGTGTGATCTCAGGTTTTACTAAAGTGGCTCTTTATTAAGGTCTTTTTAAAAAGCTTTTCGTAGGGACAGCCATTTTTCTTAGGGACAGTCGAGGTGCACGTAGTCGTAATGTTGGATTATGATACTTTAATAGACACCAAGAGGTCTTAAATAACTTATCGTCTTGAACTAGATACAATTTATTACAACCAGAACATGGTGAACCAGTGTGTGTGTGTTAAAGCTTATTTTCAGCTTCTCATTTGGCCTTTACCTTAATAAATCTGCGTAAGATTAGGATCAAACGAGCTGAAAGGCGAAAGTATGATGATAAAATTGTCAAAACAAGTATAAATCATTTGATATGCATTTATTCGTAATTACTACATTGTTTTTGAATATATATTCTTGTTTTCAGGTCTAAAAGATAGCCAAATCATAGATCTTACTCTGTGGCTACGTGCAGTTCGACCGTCCCTAAGGAAAAATTGGCTGTCTTAAAAATAGCGATTTTCTACTATGAGCTTTTATTTTCTACGTACTTTTTTATGTGCCTGTTTTTTACATCCATGAACACGCCTGTTTTCTAGTATATGAAGACTCAAACACATGGATAATTAAATAAACAGTTGAATAATCCTGACATAAACCAGCTCTTGTTTCAGTTTATAAATAACACTCGTTCACATGGTCTTCTGACTTAATAAACAATTTAATCATCCTGACATAAGCCAGTTCTTGTTTATAAGTCTACAAATAAAATCTATTTAATCATTCTTTTCTTTCCCTTCCTTTCTCTTCATCTTTTTTCTTTTTTGTTCACATCCTGTATAACACCGTCTTTTCAAAGAAAAGTAATAAAATTGGGAAAAGGTTAGTTAATAACAACTTTTGCTTTTTATTTTAAAAAAAAACGCTAAAATATTACCTTTTTTTTTAAAAAAAAAAGGATATTCTCTCATTTTTTATTATCACGGCCAAAGCTAGACTCCTCTATATAATGAAGACTTTCCCATTACCCGTTGTAGACATTGTAAGCTTGTATCTTACAATACCAACTACGGTGGGTCAGAATATCGAGTAGTAAGCTTTGGCTAAGGCTAGACTTCTCTATATAATGAAGATTTTCTCATTACCTGTTGTAGGCATTGTAAGCATAAATCTTACAATACCAACAACGGTAGATCAGAATATTGAGTAGTAAGTCGTCTTTGATGATTCCGAAATACGTTAGAAAAGAATGGATCACGTGACCTAAAAAAATACGTAAATTTTTTTTACAAAATACGTAGGTGTAGACATTGTCTTATAAACATATTGCAACTAAGCTAAAAAATAAAAATTCAGGTATTTAAGCTGGGAAAAGGGTCCACCATTTGATATTATTGGATACAAAGACTAGAATTTATAATTAACAAAGCACACGCTTTATCCAATTAAAAGAATTATGCGCGAAAAAAAAAATGGCAACATGTGCATCAGCAAACGTTACAAGATGAAGTCGTAGGTAACGCAGCCGTGGAAGAAGACTCTCGGGAGACCAAAAAGAAGACTGCCGAAATTTTTTTTGAAAATCTTTCGCGCATTTGGCAAGGTATTATGGCGAAGATGGAATCTTGGACCTGGGCCACCTCAAACTTCCAAGACGATTCACCAAGTATCTAAAGACGATGAAAGACAAAGCTGGAATTTGTGTAGAACCATTGGTAACTCTTGAAGAAAGAGATATCCTGGTTGAACTTTCAAACTGCAAGAAAACTGCTGAACTTGAAAATCTTCTGTCTGCATGGTACTCAAGGAAAGAATTATCCTCAAATTGTAAATATATCAGGTTTGCTTTGTCTGCGAGTCTTGAGCTTTGGTCAACAAAGTCTTTGCTTAACAAAACTCATGGTGAAGACTGGTATCGCATGCATGTATATTCAAACGTATGGGATAAGGCTTTTCTCGATGATGAACCGGGATTTGCCGATGTTTTGCAGTGCTACAGTACCCAAACTAAAGCTTATGTAAACTTGTAGCACAAGACATTCTAAAAAAGTAAGGTGAATCACTTCAATGCATGGTTCCCATTAGGAATCTGGGGCAAGAATGAAACTCAATGTTGGCTGATGTTCAGGTGTCAAGTCGGTATGAGGCAAAGAGACCCCAAAAGAAGTCTCTCCTACTGGTCGCTTAAATGGTAACTATAACAGAAAAAAGAAAAAAAAAATAGGGGCAAGTTCTCAATAGTATTTTATTTTCTTTGTCTAGACACTCCTTATGGTAATAGCTACCGTAACAGCGTGGATATCTCCGGGGCTCCAAGTTTTGTTTATTTCACCAGGTTTGATAAAAATTTGAGTATATGACATAGTATAATTGCTGGGATGAAAGATGCATGCACCACCTTCTTTCTTGTCACAATTGCTACGATATCCTCTATATTTGAGACTTTATCTTGCCCATGTGAAAAAAACATGATTCGTAATGCAAGTACGGTGGTGATTCTCGGTGGTGAATCAATGCTCGGAAGAGTTTGAGACCAAGCGCTCTGAATGTGTGAGTCAGGTGACGAAGGTTTTAAAGGAAGCTAAAAAAGACATCAAACTGCAACGATTGGATTTCATTTTACGTGATATGAACAATGACACTGATATTTTGACCGTAGAAGAAAAGCCGTCATTAAAGGGGGTGAAAGCCGATATCAAAAAAGGAAATATGTTGAAAAGACACGCACTCTACCTATGGTCCAAGCAAGTTGATAGTAGCGCCCTCATGGAAAGATTGGAAGCTATTTCTTGTCAATGGCAAGGCACAAAGTTCACAATTTATGGATCAAGGCTACTATCTTCTGATACAATGCTCATCTATAGAAAAGGATGTTATAGTTTTCCAATCTCATCAAGACACTCACCCGAATTCTCCAAGCTTCTTTTGGCCATCCTTTCTCTAAAACGAACAGTGAAGTTAAATTATGCCAAGTTCAACTTGATTCTGGAGAAAAAATACAAAAACGAGGTTAAGACGCTGAACTTTGCAGATGATCACTCAAGTGAAATTAGTATAACAAGCGACAGCACCAACAGTGACATAGAATCAGAGGACAGCAACTATAAACCAGAAGATAAAGACTTTGTTGAAAATACAAAGGTCATGTTGGACGAATTGAAGGAGGAAGAAAAAGGATTGAAACGTTTTCATGACTGGGAGGACATGTTGTTGTATGATTGTTCAAAGCTGTTGAGGATATCATAGACATAATAATAAAGTTAATTGTCACATCACATTAAGGATGGATAATAATATAAAAGTTAATCATGAATCACACATTACCCCGCTTGTTCTCATCCTACCGTTGAAGTCTGTACACAGGGCACAACCCTGTGGCGAGTAAATATTTATTTTGCAAAAAGCACTACAATCGAATGGGTCTGGACTATGAAATATCAATAGATCCTGAGCACAAATATTACTCTTGTCATTTGATGTTATAGCTGTTGATCCCTCTGACTAATATTTATATACTCAGTATGGAAGGGCTAAATTTAAAGATGTTGATTATTTATTATCACCATGTTATTAGATCATGATCCAATAAGGCGCTTAATATTCCCCCTAGAACTATTGCAGTTCTTTATATAAATATCCATAGTTTTTAATTAATTTATTTTTTTCGTCTATAATAAAGTGGTATCCAAGTTCTAACAGTATCACTTTCGGTTTACTATAATTTTGTTCTCCATGCAAAACAACGTCTATGAATACGCCTGTTTTCTGGTATGTGAAGACTCAAACACATGGGTAATTAAATAAACAATTAAATAATCCAGCTCTTGTTTCAGTTTATAAATAACACTCGTTCACATGATCTTCTGATTAAATAAACAGTTTAATCATCCTGACATAAGCCAGTTCTTGTTTATCAGTCTACAAATAAAATCTATTTAATCATTCTTTTCTTTCCCTTCCCTTCTCTTCATCTTTTTTCTTTTTTGTTCACATCCTGTATAACACCATCTTTTAAAGAAAAGTAATAAAATTAGGAAAAGGTTAGTTAATAACAACTTTTGCTTTTTTCTTAAAAAAACGCTAAAATATTACCCATTTTTTTTTTTTAAAAAAAAGGATATTCTCTCATTTTTTATTATCACGGCCAAAGCTAGACTCCTCTATATAATGAAGACTTTCCCATTACCCGTTGTAGACATTGTAAGCTTGTATCTTACAATACCAACTACGGTGGGTCAGAATATCGAGTAGTAAGCTTTGGCTAAGGCTAGACTTCTCTATATAATGAAGATTTTCTCATTACCTGTTGTAGACATTGTAAGCATAAATCTTACAATACCAACAACGGTAGATCAGAATATTGAGTAGTAAGCCGTCTTTGATGATTCCGAAATACGTTAGAAAAGAATGGTTCACGTGACCTAAAAAAATACGTAGGTGTAGACATTGTCTTATTATAAACACATTGCAACTAAGCTAAAAAATAAAAACTCAGGAAGATACTCAGAAGCCGAACGTACGAAAATAACAAATGTCATTGAACATATGGAATCATTATGTACGGCTCAACCAATTAGAAGAATTATGAGCGAAAAAAAATCGCAAAATACGTATCAGCAAACCTTACAAGATGAAGTTATAGGCACCACAACTGTAGAAGAAGACTCTTGGGAGACCAAGAAAAATATTGCGGAAAAGAACTTTGAAAATCTGTCAGTCACTGGTAAATTTGCCCATTTGGCCAGATACTATGGCGAAGATGGAATCTTGGATCTGGACCATCTCAAACTTCCAAGACAATTCACTAAGTACTTAAAGACAATGAAAGACGAAGCTGGAATTTGTTTAGAGCCATTGGTAACTCTTGAAGAAAGGGATATGCTGGTTGAACTTTCGAATTGCAAGAAAACTGTTGAACTTGAAAATCTTCTCTCTGCATGGTACTCAAGGAAAGAACTATCTTCAGATTGTAAATATATCAGGTTTGCTTTGTCTGCGAGTCTTGAGCTTTGGTCAACAAAGTCTTTGCTTAACAAAACTCATGGTGAAGACTGGTACCGCATGCATGTATACTCAAATGTATGGGATAAAGCTTTCCTCGATGATGAAGAGTTTGAGACCAAGCGCTCCGAATGTGTGAGTCAGGTGACGAAGGTTTTAAAGGAAGCTAAAAAAGACATCAAACTGCAACGATTGGATTTCATTTTACGTGATATGAACAATGACACTGATATTTTGACCGTAGAAGAAAAGCCGTCATTAAAGGGGGTGAAAGCCGATATCAAAAAAGGAAATATGTTGAAAAGACACGCACTCTACCTATGGTCCAAGCAAGTTGATAGTAGCGCCCTCATGGAAAGATTGGAAGCTATTTCTTGTCAATGGCAAGGCACAAAGTTCACAATTTATGGATCAAGGCTACTATCTTCTGATACAATGCTCATCTATAGAAAAGGATGTTATAGTTTTCCAATCTCATCAAGACACTCACCCGAATTCTCCAAGCTTCTTTTGGCCATCCTTTCTCTAAAACGAACAGTGAAGTTAAATTATGCCAAGTTCAACTTGATTCTGGAGGAAAAATACAAAAACGAGGTTAAGACGCTGAACTTTTCAGATGATCATTTGAGTGAAATTAGTATAACAAGCGACAGCACCAACAGTGACATAGAATCAGAAGATAGCAACTATAAACTAGAAGATAAAGACTTTGTTTAAAATACAAAGATCATGTTGGACGAATTGAAGGAGGAAGAAAAAGGATTGAAACGTTTTCATGACTGGAAGGACATGTTGTTTGATTGCTCAAAGCGCTTAGACAAGATACTAGTAGCATCGCGTGTTATGTTTAGTTTAGCTATAATAAATTATTATGATATCAGTATCAAGGATTAATTACTTTTAATGTATTGCTACTTTCAAAGAATCAATATTTAGAGTGTGCCTCCAATCTTTGTTGTTCTTAAAAGCGGGAAGTCAATAATCACATATGTTGGTGAGACGAAGTCAGAGAATGTGATAGATACTCACTCCTGGTATCGTCGACTCTTAGGTCTTTAGTTTAGTTACATTATACTATATCTTAATCCCTCACAAAAAGTTTTTTTTTCTTTTGAATATTTAGCTTAAGGGAAATTACTATTTATTACAAAAAAGGAAAATAAAGCGTGGCTCTGAGAGCATCTATCACATTAGACGACAAAGTCGAACCAACTGAGATTGGTCTAGGAATGACAAGCAATTGGAGGTGGAGACACTTTATTACGGGTAGTCTAGCAAATAATATTGTGTAATTATTTAGGATAGTATTTGTTACGTACATAATTATCTCAAACGTAATACTATTGGAACCGATTAGGATTATTCCATCCCAAGATTAACATGAATACAGCACAAATTTCTTTACAGTCTTTTGTATAATGGTGTGTGTATGAAGTAGCTGCCCCACGTAATGGAGTTTTCGGATATGATGTTAGTTTTTTTTGAAAGCGCAGGAATAACGGCATAATAACATACCTGAATTGAGACGATTCATTGTAAGGGCATGTCTTTCCAAGATATTGCATCGCGCGGCTACTGTGGCCCACTTTTAAGCTGGACCTTCTGAGTTAACCCTCTTTTTAAATTATTGTTGTCAGTTTAGACTGTACCACAGAAATTAAATCCAAAACTTTCTGTTAAGGTTTCAGAGTATCATGACTCGTGTCAATAACTTATCCCAAAGCGTCATATTGGTATTGGTTCCTCAGCGATCACCAAAGATATTCGGCAGAAATTTCTTTGTTTATCGATCGTCGAAGGGAGAAGCAATTGAAGACAGGCAAAATTATATTCGTTGAAAGAAATAACCATTTCAAAAATGGCTCAAATGATTTCAGCAATAGTGACCAAGAGTTATCATTTTTTTTTTTTTTTTTTTTTTTTTTTTTTTTTACAGCGTCATATCAAGCATGGGTTCTCTCTTCGAAGGGATAAAAATATGTACGTGGAAAATAAAAATGTGTCTCCATAGTGCTTAAACTAAATTCTGAATTCCCGAAAAAAGGAAGGCGAAATCCTAGAAAACTAGGTGATAGATGATTCATTCGTCAAGAGTGCATTCATTTTCTTATGTAATCATTAAGCGTCAAAATCAAAAACGATTTTGATTTATAATTGTAACAAAGCAATGCCAATCAATATACAGAATTATTTAGTTACATTTAATATACAAATCATTCAATCAGCAAAGTCAATACAGGGGAATTCTTGATAAAGTAGCTTTGGACATGTAGCATTTACAGTATGGAGTTTTAATAGAATAAAATTATGTACATTTTGCCTCCTCTACATGTTCTTCAGGCAAGACAGTAACTGCTTCCTTTTCTTCGTCACTTGAACTCTCATCATCGCTACCCAAACAACCTCTTTCGTCGCATCTAGTCGAATTATTTTAGTAGATAGCTCCCTTGTTAGCAAATGATAGACTCTACCTCTCATTATTCACATATTTTGGATCTATAACAGCGCCAGGGAAAGTATAAAGACCATCTCTCCAGAACTTCCAAATTTTTTTATTCTCATTGTTACCGTCCTGACTTAACTTGATGCTCTCTTCGCTCAAAGCACCACCTCCAGGTAGACTTGGATGCTTCAAATCCCATTTTAACATTCGACATAGCTCTGGCACAATAACATCACTATCACCAAGTAGTTGTATATCAAATGTCATATGTGTGATAGGTGTGCGATTGATGAGGATTTGGGGTACGCTATGAGGTATTTGTGACATGATTTCGGATACAGGTGACACTTTTAATGAAGAACCCATGACGATCAATAAATCAACTTGCTCTGTATCAACAGCAAGTAAATTATCAAATTCTGCAGGAAGTCGTTCACCGAAAAATGTAATGTCCTAGTTAATTTAACGCTTAGTAAATGTATGTATATATATATAACACTAACGATCAAATATGCAATGATTGTACATACAGGCTTCATAATTGATACACCGCCGTCAACTTGATCTTCTTCGCTTTTATTAGGCTTAGTTTCGAGAGCACATTTTGGACATGGGGGTACTTGCTGAGCCATTATATATTCCTCAATTTCCTTGCCATCCACTTTATATCCACATGTAACACAGCTAGCAGTAGCGAAGCTTCCATGGCAGTTTACAAGTCTTTTGATGTTGGCTTTGTGTTCCAACGTGTCAATATTTTGTGTGTAATTTCTAAGCAGTTTTCCTTTTTCTTCGACTAACTTTACAAATAAATGACTAGGACTAGGTTGATATTTAGCAGGGTAAAGTTCTTTGGCAAATGAATAAAATATCTCGGGTGATTCGCGAAAGTATTCAATATCGAACATTTGTTGAGGATCATCTAGTTCATATTCCTGTAATCTAGAGTATATTCCTTTTTCTGATCTAAAATCGGGGATACCGCATGACACAGAAACACCGGCGCCTGTTACGATCATAATATTATTAGCTTTAGCCAGTAGACTAGCTACATCATCTAAAGTGTTGACATAATCCAATCTACGTCGTTTACGTAAGTAACGAGTAATAACACTTTTTAAAATCGGAAGTAGCTCAATATCGGTAGCTAGTAAGGCTGCTTTTGGATGCTATCAGACAAATTAGTATCAAAATAAAGTATATATTTAACCATCGTTTACCATGTAAATATCGAAAGCCTCTAACATTTTGGGAACAGGAATCGATTCTTGCATCAAATACTTGTCGATAAACTTCATTAAACCTAATTTTACATTGACAGTTACCAACTATGGTGAATCAAGCAAATGCACACACATACCCTTTTCTCTTGCTTCCTCTTGGAGTTGCTCTTTTTCTTCTTCAGTAAAGCTTGTCCATGCTTAAACAATGTATTAAAATAATGTTAAATATCAGTAAAAGCATATATTTTACCCTGTTGATATTGACTTTCATCCTCAGGTCCATCGACATCGACATCGTCTTCGTCCAAGTGAAAAGCAGGGTGTGATAGCAAACCCTGATCAATAATACTGCCATCACTCTCACTGTCACTTCCACCTGTGGCCCAATCTTGATCAGTTTCCTCGTTGTAATCGTCGAAAATTTGATCGTTTATTGAAAGAGATCCTGTTGGTGCTGGATCGTCTTCATTACTAGCATTTTCTATTTAAAATTGAGTATTGCTTATATATACATCAGTTGTATTTTTTCTTGCTGTGTACCTTCTACTTTCGCTTTTTTAATTGAATGATCAGTGTTACCTAATTCAATATCTTTTTCGCTAGAGAAACGTTTCTTTGACGGAAAGTCTTCTCCCTCTTGACTATCTAAAAACTGATTCTCATCTTTGCCATTCATAATGCCTTCCATAAAGAAAGAATAAGCCTTGTTTGTATTTTTTTATCACTTGTACTTGTGGAAGCTTAATGACGTGACTGGTTTTAGTATGTTAAATGATTTTCCAGCATTTGCCGACTTACAGGATTTTGATTTTTACCTTACTTTTGGATGATATCAGATCTAAATAATACTTATCTTAAATCCTTTTCAGAGTGTCGTCTTTAACAAATCAATTGCAAATCTGGTGTGGTAAGCTTCATGTATGTCAACTTTAGTTGTTCTTTATTAAAAATGAAGTTCCCATCATATTGCCTTTGGCATCACTCACACCGTTCAAAGTGTCTGTTTCACGTTTAAAAAAAAATCTTGCAGCTTAAAATTCATCGATTTCTGCGTCAAGAAGGTCATCAACAGTCTTCTTTTTCTGGGAAACACTACATGATACCAGCTACATTACAACGTAGAAATTGCATACTAACAAGATATTGTATTGTACATAAGCCGTCTGAGTTATTGGTTCCGTCTAGTTTATAATACATTATTAGTTACAAGAATTGTTCATTAAAGTGGACATGTTGGAACCTTACTTTTTCAACCAGCACAGTGAGCGATTATGAAGACAAAATTTCTAGATTTTCCGAGCAAAATTTACAGAACAAGATCGGTCTTTAAGTAATTCCATTTAATTTTATTCCAAGGATACTTAAAACCGCCAACAGTTACTTGAGAGCTAAATTTACTGCTGTATTTTTATTAGTATCTACTGGTTATAAAAACCCCTAATCTGATATGTCTGATAGCAGTGGTCCAAAATGGATTAAATGAGAAAAACTCTTCAGCTACTTTTTTTCCTAAACAACATCGATATATAGCCTTAATCTCTGAAGATATTTACTTACTATTTAAAAGATCATTTTCATTAGATTACTAACTTGGTTACTGGGCGTACTCCTCTTCTGGGCGGTTATTATGAAGGGTGGCTCTAGACAAATTTTAAAATAGTTTAGGGCAACGTAGATATAACACAGGTAGACGAGCTTTGAGAATTAATTGAAAAGTTTTAAATAGTCATTCCTTTCACAATTAACTTTCATTCTTGAAATCAAGTATCATTTGTTATGATATTGTTTTAGCAAAAAAGTTATTCCACGCCCGTCTCCTGACTCAGACAGCTAATTATGAAATATGGAGGCACCATAAAACTGACTACGCCTCATAAAATAAATATAGACGAAACTCGCTTAATTGTAAGCCTTACATGTAGTCGTGTTCAGTAGAATATCACTTCCTAAACAAAACACGTATCTATTTTGATAAATTAGACGAGCCAGTTACATACCATAGTTGTATCTCCATCTTCAGAATTATATTGAATTTTCTATATTTAGTCTTCCTTCTAATATCAATAGGTATTACGATACAAAGAGCATCTTACAAAAACATTTCTCGGTATTGATGAGGGTGATATACCCCAAGACATTAGAACTAGAAGAATTAAACAAAAAGCACAGGCATGAATTATATCTAAACCTTTATTTTCACAAAAATAACTTAGCTGGGACAAATCATAGATTTACTAACTAGTTATGGCGATTCTTCGCCATTATTTTTCTGCTAATATTTATATACGCTATTGTCAGACCAAATTGTATTCCTTTCCTAAGCCTTTGTGCGAGCCTTTAGTCCATTCTGTAACTTTAAATTCAAAATAAAATTGACAATTCATCTTATATATAAGTTAGATTCTACTTAATTCTTAAGACTTTTCGATTCGCTATCAGCTACCAAAAAGGAAACTCCAATGTATGTTCTTTCAGACTATTTCCTGCTTGTGGTTGTTTAAACCGCTAAAAAAAGCCTGGATGTGGGAAAGTGTAATGTTAGCTAACTTATTATGGAAGCAAGAAATTTAATTGATTCTATTTTTTTACACATCTTTATTTTTGTTTTTAGCTTTATGTTTAATTTTACTTTTACTTTTTTTTGAAGCCTCAGTTATGTCAAATTAAAAGATTAATGCCCATAATAAACTTTTGGATAACTCCTAATGACTGTCGAAGATGACATTCGTTTCTCAGCCATAAGTTTTCTCTCCTGTCGAGCCCATTCTTCAAATCTTCGCATAATTATACCAGTGCTATCAAACTCTCCTTCACGTCGGCCATGGTCTTCTTTCTTCTCAGGTACAGCACCTTCCAGCATACGTGTTTGGCCCCAAGAGAAATCATCAAAATGCCAGTAAGCATATGCGGGTAAAATAAAATTCCAAATTGGTAGTGACAATAAGTATACACACATCCATCCAATATATACCATTTTACGAGTCGTCAGTGCGATCAGTATTGCAGGTAAACCCAAAATTGCAGCTAAAAGAAGTAGCGGAATGATTGGAATCGGTGTCACGAAAAACGAAATTATAATGAGGTAGACAGTGAATGAAATAGCTGCAGGAAGAACAACAGTGCCAACTAATTCCATGAATACCACAAATTGCATAGAGAAACAGAAAGTACCACAAAGATCGCGAATGAGTACTAATTCTAATAAGTTATGTACAGTTGAATTAATCCATCTTCTTCTTTGGGATAAAAGGACTTCAAATGTATCAGGTACAACGGTTTTGCATACCTTTGGAACAAAATATTAATATGATGTAAAATCTAACCAACAAAAATTGCACTTACAGCTTGTGGCACAAACATCATTTTTCGTTTTGGAAACGTTCGTAACATCAGTGTCGTTAAGTATCTGTCTTCACCTAAAAGCAACAAGTTCTTTTTATGCAATGTATCAACGACATTCTCACAATACATCTCTACAATGTCGGATGAACAGAATATAGGGACATAGCGGTCACCCTTTGGTGCGATGATACGATACATACAAAAACATCCAGGAAGACAAGTAACACCGCCAAAGATGGACTCAAATGCCTTACTCATATGATGGGAAATATAATATTCAAAAACTGTTTGTTTTGTTAGAAATATGAGTGACTTAATAATATATACACTGACCTTGTATAGCAGTAACCCAGCTATCAGCCTTATTTGCAATCTTGGTCTCTCCACATAGACCCATAATGTAAGGATCTCTTGACATACATGCAATCATACGTGCCAAAGAGTCTGGGTATACTTTGGTATCAGCATCAACCTTGACCAAAACAAATTGTTAAAATAAGAAGAAACGACGTCATTTTTGCTCGAATTAACGCTTACCATTAAGCACGTTTCAAAACGAGAAGGATGATTTCCGGTCAACTTGACTATAGCTTTGCAGAACTGGTATTCTAGATCGCACATTCGTTCTCCGTAATAAACTTTTTGCATGGTATTCATCAGGATAACTTGGCTATCTCTTTTACCACGATTACCAGGCTTTTTATCTTTTGATTCAGCCTCAGTGCCGCATTTAATAATAACAATCATTGGAACTTGTTGTTGTTGGTCCTCGGGAGTGTCTGCACTATAACTGTAATAACCTGCATGTACTTGTGCCATATTATGACGCTTCATACCATCAGCAATAGCTACGTAAGAGGAAGGTTGAACCTGATCTCTAGCTACAATATTTCCTTTCATCATTGACAAGACAATATCTGGTGTTGAACTACCATTACCGGATCCTGTAATAATACCGTCGCATATTACTAATAGCATTTTGTGAGAACACGGATAATCCGTATTTGCCAAGGAATCGAGAGTTGTTCTTAGACCTTCTTCCCCTTCCGAATAACATGTAACAACCATAAAAGTATGGATAAGATCAAAGTTAAAATTGTATTGGCTCTTAGCTTGGATATTGGCGGACGAAATCCCTTGAGACAAAGTACCCCCTCCTTCTTCAAAATTTTGAAAAAACTGGGAGCTCAAGGTATAAGGTATATCAGGAGTAGCTGTATTGATATCGGAACTTCCAAAAGTGCGTGATCCATGTGTTGACTTTGGTGAACCAGGCTGCGTAAAACGAGACGTGGAAGGAAAAAATCGTTTTTTTGATTTTTGAGCTTGCGGTGATTGAGACGATGAAAGAGATTGTGAAGCCGAGGATATTTCGTCACTTGTCAGTGGATTAGGATTCGGAATAAAATCACGTTCACTATTATCGATTGCTGATACAGATGCAACTTCCGGGATTGACGCGATACTTTGTGTCCTGGGATAATGCATGTCTTCTGCATTGTTCATTTCCCATTGAAGTACTTGTTCTTGTCGCTTCTTTCGATCTTCGTCAGATTCTTCCCGGATACTTCCCAGTTTCCACGATACAAACCAACCAAAAACAAGGGCCAAAAAGAAACGAATTAAAACAACCCCAAGAATAACGGCCAATGATACCCATAAAACGATATCAGAAATAATACATCCGGTTGATCTAGTATCAACCACACCGACTTTGAGAATGTCCGTCAAACATTTACCAATTTGTAGTCGATCGGCCGTAGTACTGAGCCAGTATGTGGCATCTCTTCCAATAAAAGCATTTCCAGGACCAACAATTTGTGCTACCTGGATTGGCAATGGGATGTTTGGAGTTAAATATCTTAGACGTGACAAATCAAGCACGTTTCTATAGTAAACAATGTTAGGCTTTTGTACTTTATAATGAGAAAATGAGGAAGCAATTACCCATTGAATGCTACCAAACTTGTTCCAGGTTTTTGAATATCAGTCCAGTTGTAATATATATCACCAATGACATCCAATCGACGCAAGGCGATACGAGATTTTGTGCTGATATGACAGCCGTTCCTTTGTGCATTATCTGTATTACTAACATCTGGGTTGTATCTATCCAAGGAAACACAAGGAAAATAATTTGCTACATTGCCTTTGTCATCGTCTGGCTGTATGGGGTTTAAAATGCCTTTGCAATTGTAATTTACAGTTTGAAATAAAAAAGATAAATCACGGCCACCAACACCTAGTTCCTGTAGATCACCGCTTCCTGGCATATCTGGAACCGGGGTAGGATGTCTAAATGATTTCAAATCAAAAGCCCTTCCAGAAATGACAATATGATTATATTCAACACCTGTAGGACGGATTCGATTAGGTTGTCTACCACAAACTGTTGTATTAAACCCAAAGGTTAAAAACCCTACAATAGCGCATAGAAAGATAATCACTTGAACCAAAGAAACTTTCTCGCGCCATGCCTGCTGCATTTCCTTGTCTTTAATTCCTATAATAAAGTAGTTTAATAAAGCATCTTAAAGTCGAAAGTAACATCTGTGGTTACTTACCAAAAGTTCGTAACATGAATGGAGGAGCCCACCAGGTTAATATCCAGCTTGTTGTTACCCAACATGTGGGTGGTTTTCGTGGATTCTTTTTGATTTTCTCATTATCATCTGTATCGATTGCGGCTATTTCGGAGGCTGTTGATAAGTATTGAGCTCTTTTTAAATCTTCTGGTCTTTGTGTTCGTTCGGGCCTTGAGTCTGTTGGTAGTTCATTTCGCTTAGCACTACCAGGTTTATGCTGATACAGTTGAGGCAATCCAAAGTTCGATGGACTCTGGATAGACTCCGGTTGTCTTGCTACCCCAGAATGTTTTTGAGATCCTGTATTTTGAGATTGCTGGGGCATAGATGTGTCTACATTGATACTACTTTCTGAGCGATTTTGGTTTCTTGACATAGATATTGGCGGTAGCCCATTCAATTCATCTCCCTTGGGATTTTCCGAATTATTTTCCGAATTACCCATCCTTTATGCCAATCAGGAACAAAAAAGAAAGTGAAAGGAATACAATCGTATGTTTATGAAGTGAAAAAATACAAAATAGAAAGTAACATTCTCTAAGCAAGTCCAATTTGAAATGGTTTATAATTTCGGAAAAATGAAGGATTTTATTTACTTGTCAATGCTATAAAAGTGTTCAAAACATCTTGGACGGTTGGAAGTCTCCAGCTAGCCATGGTCTTTTTATCCTCTATCCCAACTATAATTGAGAAAACAGGCAAATCCGAACTAACAACCTTTTTTAAAATTTTAAACATATCTTCATCAGTTTTATCATCGCCACAGCACATAATAAAGTCAATTTCTCCATTAGCTGAAAGCAATCGTTTTATAATTTCACCCTTGTTAGTAGCAGTGGGACGCACCTCCAAATTTTTTTTTCCAACTAAAATTTCCACCGGCAATTTGGATAAGATGGCATTTTCCAAATGATTTTGACATTCTTTCGATTGGAACGCCCCATAGTCGGGGTCAGAAAGCCCGTAGTGCCATGTTACAGAACACCGTTTATGTTCGATGAAACTTCCTGTCGTTCTTTCGGCATAGTAAGTGAATATCTCAACTACATCATGCTTCCAACCCATATCGAAATGCTCCAATAAGTTTATCCATTTAGAACTAGAAGGATATTTTACAAAACTACCGTGTTCCGCACTGAGGCCAATACCCTTGACTTGTCCGAGCCATTTGTCTAATGTGGCTTCATCTCTTCCTGAAATAACCCAGACTTCATTATTAGGGTCATTACAAAGTAATTGGAGTGCCTCGAGCATAGATTGCGAGGGAGCGCTTGAACCAGGAAATTTTCGAACAGAAGACAAAGTCCCCTAAATTTATCTTTTGGTTTAGTAAGGATAGGCAACCTTAAATTAATACATACATCATAATCGAAACACAGAAGTCGCTTCTTTGATTTTTTGTAATTTTTCTGAAGTGAATTTCTTTCCAAGAGTGGTGTATGACTAGACTGTTCAGAAGCAGCAATTGATTTTTCCAAAACATTTACAAAGGACATAGCCCAGAATGATGCAGTGTGGGTTTTTACATGATCCAACATTTGCTGTAGTAATTATGTTAATACACAATATACATTATTCTCTATTACTTACCATATGTCTACCGTATTTTTCCTCATCTGACATTACCAGCGCATCGTTGATAGCTTTTGCCACACCAGCATAATCCCAAGGATTAACCATTAGAGAAGAACTTAATGATCCAGCAGTACCCGTTAACTCTGAAAGAATTAACGGCCCATGTTTTCCTTCTCCTTCTTGACACACAATATATTCTAAGCTTGTTGTGTTCATACCATCTCTGTTCGCAGTAATGACAGCCACATCAGCAGCTGTTAAAAGAGCATAATATTCATCAAGTTGAATTTGATGATGAAAGTGATGAACAGGAGCAAATTCAAGTGATCCAAATGAATTGTTTATATGGGCTACGAGTTCTGACACTTTGTTCTCGAGTTTTGCTGATTCGTTTGTTGTGCCTTCAGTCAATTGGATCATGACTACTTTATTTCTCCATTCAGGAAAATCCAATAGGAATTTCTCGAAAGCAGCTAGTTTCTGAAGGACGCCTTTAACCAAATCCACTTTGTCTTTTCCAACAATAATTTTTTTACCACTGTACATTTCTTTAATCGCATCTGATTTTGAACGCACGCTAGGGTCGTTACACCTTGATGCAATATCTTCGGGGGCGATACCTATGGGGAAAGTACCTACATGACAGAAATGGCCATCTAAACCTCGAAGGCCTTCTGGTGTCGATTCATATCCTAATACTCTAGTACAAGTAGATATAAAGTGTCTTGAATAAGCATATGTCTAAACTCTATAAATTATTTTGAAAATGCGATTTATTTATAGCTTTTTTTTTTGTTTTTTGGTACCTGAAATCCAACAAGATTTGCTCCGATCATCCCTTTCAAAATTTCTTGCCGCTCTATTGATGATGAATAAATTAATCTTAAGCATAAATATCGATTTTGGAAAGTTACTAGGTAAACATCTAAATATTTCTGATGTTGGAAATGGTGAATGCACGAAAAGTCCAATTCTAGCTTTAGGATGTTTTGCTCGTATCATTGAAGGGACTAATAAAAGATGATAGTCGTGGACCCAAACTGCGATATAAAGCGTTAGACATAATGATACTGATCAGCATGATAATACCTACTAATGTCGCCGTCTTGATATATTTCCGATGCAAGATCGGCATACCGCTGATTTACTGCCTTGTATGATTCCCATTGCTTACTTTCCAGTCTACCATCAGTCGCATTATTCCAAATGATATAATGCAGTAAAGGCCATAGCACTAAACAAAATGAGTATCAAGTATGTTATTAAGTTATCCGTACTCTACTTGTTTTGCAATATCCATCATAATGTCCAGCAACGCTTTCATTGTCCACAAATATAGGTAAGCAGAAGTGGTTTTCTCGTAGTTGTTTCTTCAAACAATTTTCTTCATCCAGTGATAATTCCTCAATGGGCAATCCTTCTCCAGTACTTATCAGGCCAGTCCAACCTATATGAAGAACGTCCCATTCTTTTTTTAAAGAGTGAATTCCTCCATACATTGCACCATGTCCCCTTCGAGGTGCAAATTGCCAGTTTCCATCTTCTAATGCTATTTCATAAGGGATTTGATGAGTTATATTAACGATTCGTCCTTTTTCCTTTAATGCTGAAGCAACAGTCATATTTTTATTGGTGTGTAAGAACAATTCAGTTATTATGTTGCAAAAAGTTCGCCCTATATGGCTAAGATAAGCGATAAGAGACTGCTTATTGTGCAACCTTCATCATAACCATGCGGTAAATCCTTTGAGCAGCATATTTTATCAAATGAGGTGCACAAAAGAATGAAGCATTTTAACCTCCCGTCTAAAATTCAGATGTTGTTCTATATTAGCTTTATTTTTCGCGAACGAAGCAAAAATGGTTGGGAGACAAAGTAAAGACAGTATTCAACGGATCCAACCGACTCTGGTGGTACCAACAAGGGCTGCATTAGTCAGGCGGATGAAAAGTGGAAGAATTAATGTGACACAAAGTGTTAGCGTTCGAAACGAAATACGCCGTCGAATATCTCATACATATCCATCTACCTTTGGTATTCCCGCTTGATGAAAGTAGAACTTGTACAAGGTATATACTTTATTGAAACCTGACTATGGTCAATCACCAACTTTCACTCTCGCATGTTCAATTGACAAGAAAATAAGTGAGCGGTTTGCCTAAAGCGATAAAAAATTGAGAATTTTATTCATGAGCAAACGTTGGCGCTTGAAACCCATATCTACGTCGTAACTTAAAAAGACGTATCTTTGCTGAATTTTGCATATGATGTTGTGAGTGTCATCGCCATTATCAACCCGAGAAGGTCATAGGTTACAAGGTAAACTCGGTTGAAGGACAGACTAAAGCTTATGATTGGTATTATAAAAAGTGTTTACATTGAATATAAATGACTACTACCTTTACCATACAATACAATGGTTATCCATCGACAAGTTTGATTTAATAAGGAACATATAGGAAGGAAACTTAAGTTTGTTACATTATTTCATTTAAATGCTTTATATATATCTAATACTTGCTTAAGGGTAATTATACCTATCACAAACTAAATTTTCGGGCTGTCTCACAAAAAGTGTAGAGAAAGAAAGAGAAGGAAAATTAGAGATTGCATGCTTGTGCGACATGCCTGTGGAATACATTAAAACATTACGGTCTTGGCTGAATAGATATTTTAAACAACTTTTAAAAATGCATGTTTTGATAGAGAAACTAACATGTTGGGTTTGGTATAATTTATCTAAATATCCAAATGATTTTACTGCTATCTAAAAGTCATTTCATTTGTCAGAATTTATAGTTAGCAGAGCGTGACGTGTTTTAAGAACCAGTTGCCGCATTTTCGTTTCGTACTTTTTTCTAATGTAACCCCTTCTTCATTTTTGTTTTTATCTTTTTTTGTAACAAATAAAAACCCTCAACATAATGGTAACATTTTTTTCTGTTCATTTTAAAAACAAAGAGGCTAAAATTGTAAATTTTATCAATCTCGTTTTAAATATTCCTCATAATAGGATGAAAGACAAATACCTCTCTCGGGAGTACAGCAAGAAGAAGAACTTATAGACCAACCAACACCAATTGAGCCTGTTGCTATAAACTCTGAAGATTTAGACAAACCCATGACTGAAGTAGAGCCTGTCCCTTTATTATCAGTAATTGACGATTGTTCGTATTCTAACTAAAACAATACATAAAGAATTATACTAACACTTTCGTCTGTTTGCGCGCGTGTGTCATATAGTCGAGCAAATTGCCAACAAGGAAATGTCACCTGTTGAAGAAGAAGTGATTGAAACTAAAGTAGATCATTGGACAGTCCCTTCTTGGTCTCAGCTAAACGCTCGTACTGTTGGACCTGTAATTAAGGCAGGTGGTCATGACTGGTAAAATACATATAATTTCTCTTGTTTCAAAAAAAAAAAAGAGTACTAACGTTTAAAGAAAAACTAGGCATATTCTCATGTTCCCCAAAGGCAACAATCAAAGTGATTACGCTTCTATTTATTTAGAATTGACAAACGCTAAATCGGGTAACGCGGATGAATACGCGTGTGCCCAATTTGTGGTATTACTTTCCAAACCTTCTGATCCTACTTCATACATACTTCACAGTGCTCAGCATCGATTCACTAGTGATGAATCAGATTGGGGATTCACTCGTTTTATCACCTTGGATAGTGCAAATGACAGCAGTCTTGAAAAGTATCTTGAAGATGATTCCATCCGCATCACGACGATTATTCGTGTCGTTAAGGATGCTACAGGTATTTTATGGCATAATTTCGTAAATTATGATTCCAAAAAAGTCACAGGTTATGTGGGTCTTCAAAATCAAGGTGCTACCTGTTATATGAACTCGCTTTTCCAGTCTCTTTATTTCACAAACTCGTTTAGAAAAGCAGTATATCAAATCCCAACTGAAAACGACGAACCTGTCAAAAGTGTGGCTTTAGCTTTGCAGAGAGTTTTTTATAATTTACAATTTATGAATACTGCAGTTGGTACTACCGAATTAACAAAATCTTTTGGTTGGGATTCATTTGAAGCTTTCAGACAGCATGATGTTCAAGAGTTCAACAGAGTTCTACAAGATAATTTGGAAATTAAAATGAAGGTAACGAGGGAAAGAGAAACAGTGTTTTCGCATATTTAACAAGTCTTTATTGCGTAGAATACACCCGCTGAAGACGCTATTAAGAATTTGTTTGTCGGTAGAATGAAGAGTTATATCAAATGCATCGACGTTAATTTTGAATCCTCTAGATCCGAAGACTATTACGGTATGTAATATTTCTGCTACACTCAGTTATTAGATTGGAAGTTAATTTTTTATTTTATTTTTTCGCTCAGATATCCAATTGAACGTCAAGGGATGCAAGAACCTCGAAGATTCTTTCAAGGATTACATCACAGAGGAAACATTGGAGGGTGATAATAAGTATATGGCTGAAGGCTATGGATTACAAGATGCCAAAAAGGGTGTTATCTTCGAAAGCTTTCCTCCTGTTTTGCATTTACAATTAAAACGTTTTGAGTACGATATGATGAGAGATATGATGGTGAAGGTATGTACAAATGTGATAATGATTTTGGTGAGTGAGTATTGAATTCACATACCCTGTAGATTAATGATCGTCATGAATTTCCTACCGAAATTGATCTCGAACCTTATCTCAGCGAGAATGCTGATAAATCACAAGAGCACAAATATGTACTTCACGGGTAAGCAAAATACAAGCTATATTTATCCCTTATGTTAATTTTCTTTATTGTTGACAGTGTGTTAGTACATAGTGGTGATTTGAGCGGTGGTCACTATTTTGCTTTTGTAAAACCCGAAAAAGATGGAAAATGGTAAGCCTTATTCCCACTTGCATAATTTGTGCGCTAAATATTTCTATTAGGTTCAAATTTGACGACGACAGGGTTGTTCCTGCAACAATTAAGGAAGTATTGGAGGAGAATTTCGGTGGCGAACAAATGGGTATGCCTGGCATCAATATGCGTCCCAATGGACGTCCCATGAATCGTTTCACCAACGCCTACATGTTGGTTTATATCCGTGAATGCATGTTAGATAATGTCTTGGCACCCGTTACTGCTGAAGACATTCCTCGTCATTTAGTGGAACGTATTGAAACAGAAACTCGTATCCGCGAACAGAAAAGAAAAGAGAAAGAAGAGCAACATCTTTACATGAAGACCCTGATTGCTAGTGATGAAACTTTCAAGAGCAACCACGGTTTTGATTTTGCAAATTTTGATGAAAAGGATGCAGCTGAAAACCGTATCATGGCACTTCGCGTCAGAAAAGATCAAGCTTTTGGCTCTTTTAAGGAGGACTTGGCTCATAGTATTGGGTTACGGCCAACGGATTTCAGACTTTGGTTAATGGTAAATCGGCAAAATCGAACTGTTCGCATAGATATTCCTATCCCTGAAGAGGAATATGAGTCTACATTGGACGAAGTACGTCTCAAGTATGCTACCAACCAACCAGCTCTTCGATTATATTTGGAAAGATGTGACCTCTACGATGAGGAAGGAAAAGCTCTTTTCCCTGTGACAAACACAACAGCTTCTGCTGGTATTTTGATTTTCATCAAGCATTTCAAACCCGAATTACAACTCATTCATGGTGTCGGTCATTTATATGTTGGCAAGGATGCTAAAGTACATTCTATTTTGGGTGCACTTCGAGAGATGATTGGATTCAGTGAAGATGAAGAAATTTTAATCTATGAAGAAATCAAGGCCAATATGATTGACCCTGTTGATTTTAATTTGACTTTTGCTCAAGCCGAGCTTCAAGACGGCGATATACTTTGTGTACAAAAGAAATTGACTCCCGAGGAAGAAAGCATTGTTATAGCTGCAGGCGGTCTTACTACTGTAGATTCTTTCATGGGCTACGAACTCGGTAAAGTTTCTGTCTTCTTTTCTCCCCTTGTTCCAGATGAAGACTCTCCCGAGTTAAGGTTGATATTGCATAAAAGTATGGGTTATGAAGACATTGCTGTTCGTGTAGCTAGAGAATTGAATGTTGATAGTGACAAAATTCGTTTGATCAACCCTTATATTCAAACCAACAACAGAGCTACTCTTAAAAGATTTGCGGGCATGAATTTGGGCAAAATTTTACAGACCGCCTATGCGCCTGGTGGAGGCGCTTTGGCTCAAAAGGCTAGACTTATATATGAAAAGTTGGATGTAAGTTTGGAAGAAATTGAATCAAAATGTTCCGTCCAAGTCACTGTGTGTACTCCTACATTGAAGGATTTGCAGATCGTAGAACTTCTATTACCAAAGGACAGTGGTATTGTCGATTTAAAGGAAGCTCTGGTAGCTAAAGGAGTTCGATTTGAGAGTAAAACAGGCACAAGAGATCTTCGTATTTTTGACGAGGTTAACGGTAAATTTGACAAGGAATACACAGACAAATTATGGAGAGAAGCGGTCTCTGCTCGTCCCTTTGTTAAGGTTTATGCCGAAGAAATTCCTGAAGATGAGGCAGACATGGATCCTAATAACGATGCTTTTATCAATGTATTCCATTTCCAGCGCTCTCCAAGTCGCACGCACTCTGTGCCATTCAAATTTGTGTTAAAGAAAGTGAGTGCACAAAAAAACATGAATCTGTATATATCACTAATATTTGATTCATATTCAGGATGAGTTATTGGTTGATACATTGAAACGTCTTCAGGCACGAACTGGGCTGGATGATAAAGAATGGAGTAAAGTCAAAATTAATATAGTGGCCGAAGACGAAGAAACTACTACATTGATAAGTGAAGAAGATGATACACTTTTCTCAACATATACACACAAGTCAGGCGACATGATTGGATTGGATCATATTGACAAGGCCACCAAGATTGATAAAACTGGTGCGATTTTTATAAGAGGTTAAACCATTAAAATAAAACATTCCCTTTTTTTTTTTTTTTTTTCTCGTAATCCTCCGATCTGTGCATAAATATTTACACTTCTTATTTCATTATTATGCTTAACCCTTTCTTGTTTTTTCGGTTATTATAATTATGAGCGAAAAAGAATCACAATCATTTAAAGAGGTATTGTTTATGCTTATTGTCAAACATAACCCCCTTTAATATATATCTATATTTTTTTTTTTTTTTTTTTTTTTTTTGGCCAGACACGAAGCAGCGAACCAGCACCCACAGTATGTTTGTAAATTAATTTAATCTACAATTCTAAAAAAAAAACCAATTTATACATATTAGAACTCGATTTCTCCAAACAGACAACGACACATTGAAACATTATCAGACTCTGAAGATTTTACAGGTTCTTATACCAGTTATTCATCCTCAGGCGAATATTCTTCTGTAGGTGACGTATTAAATAATGCGAGTAACCGCGATAAAAAAGCCTTTTTTAAGCCTCTCTCCGTCAATGAAGGTAATACGGACTCTCAGTTTAGTCATGGCATTCTGAGTCAAGTCTTTAAAATGCAAAGCCTCCTGGAAGAATACCAGACCTCCTTAACCGCATTGGAGATCGAAAAGGCTGACAATCAACAAGAGCTCAATAAATTCGATAAGCGATTAAAGGTCAAGGCTGAAAATGAAGGTAAAGAACCACTTTTCCTTCTGTATTTTTCGATAAACCTGATTTTGAGAGACATCTCCTAAAATGTTTTTTTTTTGAACGACCTCGATTTTTTAGAAAGATACAAAGAAGATATCTGGAACTTGGAATTAAATAATCAAGAATTGACACAGAAAATCAATGATCTGACACAAGATTTATTAAGGTCTAATTTAGACCATACGCGTCTATCGCGTGAAAAAACATTATTGACACAAGAACTTGACTCTTTCAAGGCAATACAGCAGTCTTGGGAGCAAAAATTGAAGGACACTCAACAAACTCATGAGCAAGAAATCGTTGCATTAAAAAAAACTTTACATATGATCAGAATTGAAAAGGATAATTTGTCAAAGCAGATTCAGGATCTGTTGATAGTACATACAACAACAGCAACAACTACCACGCTCCGTCACATTGATAGTAAAACAAACTTGCGTGATATTGAACCTACAACAACTGCACCCTGCCAAATAAAAAACACGATATCAAATAATTCACATAGAAGACATTCAAGACACGTAGAAATAGACGCTTTAACAAATTCACTAAACCAAGCTCATGAAATCATTCACACCATGCAGAATAAAATTGACCTGGAACGAGAAGAGCGAACTGAAGTGGATAAGCTTTTAAGGGAAGCCCAAGAAACCATTGAAAATTTCAATACGCAATCAATTCATTCACATCATTGTGAGCAGTCATCAAGTCATCAAAACCATACTTTGGGAGACGAATTAGCAGGATCGACAGACAATTTCAAATCGTTATCAACACAAGAGAAAAACGGATCGTTGGAACTTACTTACGTCATTTTACCTTCGCAGTCTAATATTGATATGAACGCCTCCCTTTCTTCACCAATCGTTTTAAAGAAAAGCAACGAGTCTGAGGGAGATATACATATTGTTAATGAGACCTATGGCTCATTATTAACCCAGCCTGAAAGCTATTTTTACAAATCAAGACGCAACCTACAAGAGGAAAAGAAAGCTTCTCCCTCAGCCATGTTTGCATCAACCGCAGTGGACAGTATACTCAACTCGAAACTAGAATTGTTTCCAGAAGTCAGAAAGAGACAGAGTGTGGATGAAGGCTTTGTTGCGGCCTTGACGAAAACAATGATTGGCGATTGGATGTGGAAATACACAAGAAAGGTGGTTGGCAGTGGGATATCGGAAAACAGACATCGTCGGTTTTTTTGGATACATCCATATACTCAGACATTATATTGGAGTGCGCAAGAGCCTGGTGCGAGTACTAGCTATGCTAGTACAAAGAGTGGTAATGTAATTATTATGAAAATACTATAGGATAAGTACATAAACTTACAAAAACAATAGCGTTGGTGGAATCTTTTATTTTATTGGATCATCTTGAAAAGTCGAGACCGCCTGGTATTCTAATCAAGACTCCTACTAGAGGATTGAAACTTGAGTGTGTGGATATGCCTTCCCATCATGCATGGATAAAAGTAAGATTAATCTTAATTACTTAATAAGGGAAGGCCTTAACTTTTTGTAATTAGTCTCTGCAATTTATATTAGCAGATAATAAGGAAGATATGCAACCACATTTATCAAGGCTAAGTAGTGTATCAAAAAGTCATTATCAAAATAGAAAAAAGTCCTGCACATTAGTAGAAGCCACACTCTCGTCAAATATGTTTAACAATTCAACCCTAGTTGATTTATCAACAACCAGCAGTAATTTTTTATCGAGACAACTATAAATGTATTTGTTAAATCTTTTCAATGTTTTTTATTTATATATGTGAGTGTGTGAGTGTGTGATTGTGTGATTGTGATTGTGAGTGTGCGTGTGAGTGTGAATGTGAATGTGTTTATACAGAAATTAGGCCAGTATTATTTTGTTTGTATGTTTGTGACTTTTGCTTATATGGTACATGTGATGAAATTCTTGACACGAGTTTATTATCTTTTTGTGATTTGGCTGGGATTTACAGTTTTTCGGCTACATGATAACGCAGGAATTTTGAATGTCACAGGAACAGAAGAACGACGTACATTGTTATTTGAAAGAAGCACTGGTTTTACATTTACCGATTCTGAAATGCTTGAACTGCTGGTTGAAGGACTTATTGGAGGCGTATCATTCCAGTCACAAACACTACTTGTATCCGTTGTATGGCTCCCATTTGTCATTGAAACACAGTCACTATTGTCGACACTAACCCAAGTTTCTTTACGTTGTGCATATCGGAACCATTTTCTTCGTCGCGTATAGAAACCTGACCCATTGGCGTCAGAACTCCAATTTTTCCACTTTGATCCATATTGCCATGATTGTTTATCTCCGACCACATCTTTTTGCTTTGACCAGAATGGATCCATCCAGACCCAAGAGACACAACGTTGTTGGTTCATTTCGTTAGGAGGACCAATATATGTATCTGGTGGCAATGTAAAATCATGAAGTTTGGGAATAGGTTTTCCATGTTGATCTGACCTATATTAAAATTCTGTTTCAGTATGATAGTATAGTCTCTTTTATCATGATCATATTACCAGACTGGTGGGTCTTCTGGCAACAAAAAGTTGCTCCAACCCGTAGGAAACCACCATCTTTGATGATGATAGACCTGGAAGCAGTACGCGCTAACAAGGTCCGTAGGCTGTCTGGCACTCTGCTCGTCCTTTTCAGTGACTTTCCAAGAGTAGACCAATGGGGTGACCGCACGGACACAGGCCACACAAATCGGATTTGTCCACGGACTGTATAAACACATGATGGAAACAATCAATAACCACATTAGCGAAGCACATCCTGTTATCATGTGTTGGTGTATTAGCAGCATCCATCCTGCATACGTGAAGGCTAAGACAATTGTCGCACCAAATCCAATCATCGAACGCTGCTTTGAGGTGGCTACGGAATAGTATCGATAGTAAGCTCTACATAATGTATCACTTTTTTGAACCCAGGCTTTGATTGATGCTAATAAACACACGGTGTCTCGAATCTCGGTCAAATCGTGAATTAACTCGTTTGTTTCATCGACTTGTGTGGATTTACGCGTGGAAGGAAAGATCGTTTCGTGCTGAAGTATTGCTACAACCAAGATCAATGGCAATAGATACAATACGCATAGGTCAATACTCCACCAAATAATCAGGCTGAGCAATAAGGCGAAAGAGTGTTTGAGTTTCTTATTGTCTTTCCAATGAATTAATCGAATAAATAAAGCAGTGTAATGAATCAACGGTTGTAAATCTTTGACTAGACTCTCTATGGTAGAATTGTCAATGATGGTTTCGGGGTTTGCTTCAGAAGATAATAGCGATGAGCGTCGACCTATCTGCATTATATGTAAAGGATATAATAGCATATATGAGGAAGAAAAAGAAGGGATAAAAACAAAGTAAAAATTTATATATATATGCTAAAATAGCTGAGAAATAAAAATATTAATGGAAAAAAGAAGGGGGAAAAATTAAGGTTTTTATCACATCTTGTATCATTAATTAGACCCCTCACGTGACAAAAACAAGGTGTGCTCTTTCAGTGAAAGGAACAATGGTAACGAGAAATATTTCAATACATCATGTTATAAGCACACACAAAAAACTCTCATTGTATCTATTGTTTCAAATCATAAAGACACCTACTTATTGTCCTGCAGACAAAAGCATTTCCCAAATAGCAGTTCAACGTAATATTTTTTTAATTCTTATGTAAGTTTACATGATCTATTATTTATCAACTAATGTAACGAAAATGCATGCCATTTTTTTTTCATATTAAGAGCTATTTATCGTAACATTTGATCCATACCAGTAATAAGAAAGTTTCCAATCTTGCGAAGCATGATGATTCCTTTGTTTAGTAAAATTACAGTAAACTTATAAAACGTCAAATTGTGATTTTATTCTAAGAATCGTCTCTGTGTTACTCGAAGGTTTCTTTAAGATATCTGCATAAAAAACCCAGAGTTTATGTATTTAGATGATCGGCATCGATTACAACCCTGACAGCTTTGTTTTCTTTTCTTTTATATGACCTTTCATTATTGAATACCCTCTCTTTTTTTATTCTGATAGAGACGGCCAATACAGAATCTCCCAAAAAATAATAATAAAAAACAAAAATGTATCAGAAATGACAAATAACAACAATCCAGATGATATCTTTTGGACAGAAAAAAAAATTTAGTTACCTAATTAGCTGTTTCCTTAAAGGTTTCATGTCACTGATAATAAAAAATACACAAACAATGTCATCATGCACTATGTAAACGCTTAATTGAATGATTTCTACTACGTCTAGAACTCACAAATTACGTAGTGTCATACGTTTTGAGACAAAAGAAGTCTTCTTTTCAAAGAGTACACATTGTTTACATGATTGAGGAGGCGTTTGTTTTGCTGGTGTTTCCATCTACCGCTAGAAAAGTCACAAACCTAATTTTACTGCTCTCTGTTCCATAACACTTGAGCATATTCAGGTGCCACGTTCTTCTTTAATGATACTATCGTTCTTTCTCCATTGCTCGCTTTCTTAAAGCCAAACAAACATGAATGTGTTTGCCACTCACTGATTGGCTTAGAGTTTCATCCACCGAATTAAAATCATTTTTACGCCCTGGAAAAACGATTAGGGTTTCAACTTTTTTTCAAACAAATAACAAATGACAGCTGTATTGAAATTTAAGCAGTCGATAGCGAATCAGCTTTCAAAACATACACCATGTAATCCAAAGGATATCACCACCTTCATGAGGCCTTCCAAGCAAATGAAAGAGGGTCATATTTCGATTGCAGTACCCAAGTTGAATGCGTCATTAACAGATCCTACACCAAAACAAGACTTACCTGCATGGACTCAAAGCATTGCAGACAATGTAAAATGCCATTGTGTCTGACCAAAACAAACAAACTCAACTCCTTCTTTTTTTTTCTTTGTATATATGTATATATTCATATAGTTTGAACCCAATGAATTTATCGAAAAAGCAAGTGCACAAAACACAAACTTATTCTTCAAGTTTAGAGAACCCGAATTTATCAAACACGTATTGCAGCAAGTGTATCAAGATAACAAATCATATGGATGGTCTCACATACCAAAACCAAATAACGACACTGTCTTAATCGATTACAGCTCGCCAAATATTGCAAAACCCTTTCATGCTGGACATTTAAGAAGTACAATCATTGGTAACTTTACTAGGATTATTCATGAATCGTTGGGATATAATGTCATCGGTATCAATTATTTGGGTGATTGGGGAAAGCAATACGGTAATACAAATAAATCACTAGAAGTGTCCCCAACTGATCCCAGTTTATTTAGGTTTATTGGCGATTGGGTTTCAAAAGTACGGTGATGAGTCAAAGTTAGTGTCGGATCCTATCCATCATCTATATGAAGTATATGTAAAGATCAATGCAGACGCAAAAGATGACGATGTGATATATCGACAGGCAAATGAGTACTTCAAAAAGATGGAAGAGGGTGATCCTACTGCCCTAAAACAGTGGTCCAGATTTAGAGAGATGAGTATCAAATCTTACGCATCCATTTACGACCGGCTAAATGTTAAATTTGATGTTTATTCTGGTGAATCACAGGTCAATCCTTACATTTCCAAGGCACACGACATGTTAGACGAGAAGAAGTTATTGACCCGTACAGAGGACGGTGCATATGCAGTAGATTTAGAAACTTATAAATTGGATAAAGCAGTGATACGAAGAGCTGATGGAACATCGCTTTACATGACTCGCGATTTAGCAAGTGTCCTTATGAGAAGTGACTTATACCCATTCCAAAAGGGTATTTATGTTGTTGGTAGTGAACAGGCTGGTTATTTTAAACAAATGTTTCAAATATCTAAGCTAATGATGGATCCATCGTTAAATTTACAACATATCGGCTTTGGAAGAATTAAGGGAATGTCAACCAGAAAAGGTACTGTGGTATTCCTTCAAGACATTCTGGATACAGCCAAAGAAAGGATATTAGAGTACATGAACAATGATCAAGAAAAGAGCCAAATGAAGGACCGTGATGCAATTGCTGATCAGCTGGGAATGTCTGCTATTTTAATTCAAGATATGAAATCAAAACGAACCAAAGATTATGAATTTTCTTGGGATCGTATGACTGATGCAAAAGGTGATACTGGTGTCTTCTTGCAATACGCTCATGCTAGGGCCTGTGGCATTGAAAGAAAATCAGGTACAGAAATCAGTCCAAATGTTGATTTTACTATTTTGAAAGAAAAGGAAGCGATGGATTTAGTTCAATCTATAGCACAATTTCCTGAGATTGTGGAGGCTGCCTTTGCATCACTCGAGCCTTCCACTCTTGTTAATTACTTGTTTAAACTATCCCACGCAACAAGTGTTGCGAGTAAGTTTTTGCGTGTCAAAGATATGGAGCAGGATGTGTCTAAGGCACGCATGTTGTTATTCTGGTCGGCTCGTATCACCTTAAGAAATGGCTTGTATCTTTTGGGTATTAAACCTATCAAACAAATGTAAATAAATTTATCATTACATAACGATATATTGGAAAAACACTTTAGGACGTCATGTAATTTTGAATTCTCTTATTGCATGTTCATTGGTCTTGCATAGCGTAACTACCATTGTTTCTATCGATGACAACGTACCCAAGCGTGTCACATAACTATCCAAGGAATAACATCCATAATATTTTTCTTAACCAAAATTTCTCTTTAAAGTATAAATAGATTGGATCACTAGCTGACAACTGGAGTTGTACCACAGAGTTAAATTTAAATCTTATGTGTAATGATTTTCTCTTTTACCATTTTCTGAATGATAATAAAAAGGTGCATGTAAATATGTTTTCTTGGATGATGACACAGGAGAGTAGTAAAGGTGATAACTTATAAATGTTGTCAATACCGTTGTCCAACATTACAATTTTCTCAGTTCTTTACTACTAATATACATGTTCTAGGTTGATTGTTCATATCGTGCGGCTTTGTACTCAATCTTCTACAAACAGAGAGCTCAAATCAGCAATGGAAAAGCTATAAAAAGAGTATTCTATTGTTAAATAATGAAAACTCAAAAAAAAAAAAAAAAAAAAAAAATGATAATGCTGAACAGTTTTAACCTCCAAGCTGCTCATTTATTCCTCATCAAGAACAGTAAGAGATACCAATTGGTTTTACACAAAGAACCCAAGTGATTTAACTACAAAAAGTCAAAGATCTAAAGGTAAACCATGTACAATTTTATACGAATAAAATATGCATTAACATTCTTTTTAAAATATGGTGGTCAAGCTGTATACGTGTATAGGGAGCCTAAAGGATACATATAATACAGTCATTATTCTACTAAATGAGTCCCAAAAGAACTGTAAATATAAGCGAAATCTATCATCAAATACAAAGCATCCAAAGAAAGGGAAACAGGGCTGAACAATATCCTTCATAGACACCCATTTTAGATCCACAGTTGTTCTGGGAGATGAACCTCGAGTCGATCAGAAATCTTTATCTCAAACGGTAAATCCAGTCGCTAGTTTTTTCAATGTATATTTGTTTGGTCTGATAACACAGTTATGCCCATATGAACTTTGACCAAGTAATGCACACTTCATTGCATTGTTAAATGAGGTCTATCGTGAACTGTATGTTATTGTGTAGTTGAGTGCTGATCATTCTTCTTACAGGTAACAGACATGAGCAAGAAAAGAAGAGCGTTTGTAAACTCTACTTCTTTCTCATAACAAATAACAATGTTCTCTTCTACCGTGTGTTATCTCTTAGATTCACTTTCCAATGAGTTGTGTATGCAAAATTCATATTTTGGCATTTTAAAAATAAGAAATCGGAGTTTAAAGTGAGAAAAGTTTCTTACAGTGTTTACACTTCAAATTCAGACAATATCAGTTTTTTTTTTCAGACATTTGCTTACGATATAAAAATGGAAATTCAGATTTAGTGTTAGACTTTTTTTTTTTTATTATTATTATTTTTTTTTACCTGTAGGTATCTTTAAGCCATCGCCGTTGAGGGCGTGGCAACCACATTGGAGGTGGCGCTTTGTCTTTTAAAGACATCGGGTCGGCCATCACCTCTCCAAATTGAGGTGGCAATGGTGTACATGTTTTTCGTAGCCATAACGTCACGATTCCAACGAATATTGCATTTTTTGCAAAAGAATATTTGATGGATTGATAGGTTGTCCGTTCCACATTTATACTTTAAGTTTTCTAGACTGCTTTCTAGGCAGTTATTGCAGTTCTAAGAAAGAAATGACATTGTATTAGTAATTACATGTTATAGACGCGTATATTTTTCACCTTTGATGTTTTATATTCATCTATGTCAAGTAGCAATAATTCTCCAAGTTTTTCCCGCAGCTTCAACTGTCTGTATATCATTTCAGAGACGCCATGCCTATACCCACTGATCTTTACGTGACTTTTATTCTTCAGACCGTCCCCAAAAATTATCAATGGCATTTTACTTTTGTCACCCTCCTCAAATTTCTCTTTGTGGCTTCTTTTTTTTAAAAAAAAAGAAAAAAAAATATTAGAAGAGGAACAACATCAATGGATATGTGAGTAATACCTGGATGCGCTTTTTCTTTGTCTTGAGCCGGCTTGAGGGGTGTTGCTTTGATACTTTGCAGCTGTCTTGCTTCTTTTTCTCTTGTTTTTTCTTGTTTTCTTCCGTCGTCCTTTATTGTACTTCTTTGATCCGTTAATTAGGATATTTACAGTGAAATATCGTAGATATCAAAATGGGTCTTTATGAATAATCAAAGTAAAGATAACCTTTTATTAAGAGTTGAATGAGCTCGTATTTATACTTTTACGAAGCTGTGTCTAAACTAATAGTAGATCCAATCGGGATTTACTATTCAATCGTTTATCCATTTGAATTGAATAAATGTTTATCCATGTATTCTTATTCGTTCATAACAATCTTTCCATGATTACGATCTCCAGTCTGTCTACTGAGATCTAATATTGGATTTCTATTGTTTCTATGATTCAATACATCTGCGATACAACATACAGCATCCTGGAGGGCACGCTGCTTTTCCGATGTAGTTACACCATTTGACTCTTGCTGTTTGAAAATTGTAAAAATTAAATAGTGTCTCATTATGTTGCATCATGTATTTGACATGCGTAATATATTTATCTGCAACTGTTGACTTTACAGAAGGTATGTTTATCTCGATTATTTGCACTCCTTGTTCTTTATTCCTGTCTTGCTCCAACCTCAGACGATTAGTACTTCCATTCGTGTTGTAATATTCGGCAGATGATAGCCGCCTAACATCCGTGTTACCATGAAATGACACAAAAGCATCTTTCCTGTTGCGATCTACTGTGCAAGGTCTAAAATAACGATCTATTTCTTCACTATTGAAATCTTGCAGCTCCAAAGCAGTTTCATTCACAGGAGATTCTGCGTATCTCTTTTGGCAAAAAGAAATCCTACAAGTGTACCCATCTGTGTACAGGCTATTGATAAACATCCTTCCTTTTCGTTGAGGTAAATTTTTTAATCTTCCAAAGCTATACAAGTTGAAAATTAGCAGATTTATTTGTTGCTAAAAGCGTATGTACCTACGTATTTATGTTTATTTTAGCAAAATTAAAACGGGCAAAAAAATATCTTTGGGTGTATTCAAAAACTGTTTCTTCCTCTAACCGTTCCATTGAAGCTGTCGGAAACACACCAGTCAAATTTTGGCTATCTATTTTAACAAAACGCCAATGCAAGCTAGGATTTGGGAATAGACTGAAGAGACCAGGCGGCTGGAAATCTCTTTTTACGCCGTTGTTGTCGTTTTTTTTTTTTTTTTTTTTTTTTTTTTTTTTTTACTTTCTTCTTTTTTCTTGGTCTTTTATTTACTTGATTGGTCTCGTCTTATTGTTCTTGTGGGATGATTTGCAATTGAGAGACAGAGACAGGTAGCGGTGCTTCCACAATTAAGGACTCATATTTCTCCAGAATGTGCTTAAGTACTGGCATAATGCTGAATGGGTCATTATTTAGAGTTGCCTTTGTTACAGGAAATGCTGGTATACGATTCTTGATCTCCAATATCAATGGGTTTAAAAACGTACAAATGTTTTCTTGCTCTTCACTGTTCAAAGAAGTGGAAATATTGTCAGAATTGATGGCTCCCAGTCCTGGAGAAAATAGTACATTGAGCACATGTTCGTATACTATATGTTTTACTACGGGCATTTTTATGTCCTTTTAAAAAAAAATTGATGTCAAGTTTTTGATATGTATATTTAACAAGGTTTTACACTTACATGAAATGCTTGACGGATCATGTATATAAAATAGTTTGCAATAATATTTTCAAAGTTCTCTATATAATAGTTTTTATAACAAGTAGCTATAGATTCACAAGCGGATGAAACCACTTGGCCGTAAAGAGTTAAATTTCCTTTATCAACTGTCAAGTTGACGCCTTCAACACCGTTAAGCTCATCCCATACTTCGGCGAGGTGGGGAATAAGTGGATATTGTGATTGAAAATTTTGAGCTGATAAATTTTGGTACACCACTCTACATACGCTATACCAAAAGTTTTGTTTCAATAGTTCATTAGGCAAACTGTTTGGATGTTTCAAAATATAAAAGTTGACAAAAAGCTGAGCGTTGTAGGTAACTTTTCGCAAAAACATTGAAAGACTTTTGATTTTTTCAACCGCCGTGTTATTCGCATTCTCATCTACTGAAGACATGAATGACTTGAGAGGTATGGAGACTGTATATCTTTGATTTTGAGAACCCAGATTTTGTTGAATCAATTCTTTTACTGTATAATTATAATTCAGGCATTCTCTGGACCTAGCAGATGCATGGCCATTTTGACCGCAGGACTTACATACTAGACTCGATGTATTTGGGACAACATTTCTAGCTCTTTTTGCATCACTTTTTGCCCTTTTCTCTTCTGGGGTATCTTTTCTTTTTACACCTTTGGGAAGATTTAGTTATTACAACACATTGAAGAAAGCTTTTATATTACCTTTCTTTTTTTTACTTGGTTTGTTTATGGTTTCACTAGCAGTTTCCTGTTGTTGGCTTTCATATTTTTTCAACTTTTTCGTTTGTATAAAAGCTTCAATTTCTGAATAAATTGGTGTACGCATCCCGTTTTAGATATTAGAAAGAAAAGGACATAATTATTGTTGTTTAAATCGACATCAGGCTCATATATATATATTTGATGTGACCGCTACTTATTATTAATTTATCAAAGTATTTGTACAAATCAAAGTTATTATTTTTTATATCACAGATTGTATCTATATGCTATGAAGTGAGGTTATTAGTAGTAGGCTGGGTATAATAATTGTAGGCATGTAAATCACTTTATCCATTATAATATAAATCGTATTAAACAAAATTTGTTGAGTGAGTTTTGGCTGTCTCAAAGTTTGATTGAATAGATTATTATGATTTCGCTTTTTTTTAGGACCGGTAAAGTGCGCGTAGTCATAACCTAGGATCACTTACCCGTTCTTTTTCACCGCCGTACGTTTTTCTATGCCATATTCTCTATCATTATCTTCTTTTCCTCCGCTATGTCCTACCCAAATAACATCCCGCCTCAATCATTACATCACAAGTAGACCATGCCAATTATCTGCACAAGTGTAGGAACCTTTGTCGGTACCTCCGTACTCTGTTTTTCTCAATTAAATCGTGAAGTGTTGGTTGAAAATAATTTGACGTCCTCTTTAAATTCTTTGTAACATTATCGACACAAAAGATTGTATTGACTGGGATGGATATCTTGTCTGATTATCTTTTACATTTGTCTGAAAACAATTATAAGCCTGTCTGAAAACAAATATAAGTTTGTCCAAAAATAATTTGCATTTGTCTGAATTTGAAGTAACAACTCACTGTAATGGTAAGTGATAAATAAAAAAGAGGCATATACCCAGCTAGCCAATCAATCCTCGGCTTTCCCTCATGACAGGTGCCCTATCAAGTCCCGGTTCAAACAGGATGATCAAAGTCTGACTCGAAGATCAGAAAAAAAGGGAGAGATGGAGTCTCCCTCACCCGCATGCGGGTCGCCGACGCAAGCTTGCTTTTCCTACCTTTTTTTTTTCTTGTTGAAAAGTATACAAAACATATAAGAAAATATCAAAATATTCAGTAAAACTGCTTACAGCTGATATTTTTATGTACTTTTCATTTTGTTTCGCTCAAGAAGCTATAGTAAGCATCATGCCTGAAGGAATATACGGCATGAAAACGGAGCTGTAAAAGCGGGGATAGATTTTTGAGAAGTAGCTTTCATTTGTGTGCTTTAAGATGCCATGCTTCGTATAATAATAGCGTATAATGTCCAAGGCAAATCCTTTGTCTAAAGAGTGGTGATTTCTTCACTGTACATAATAAAGAAGAGAGAGGTTATCTGCAGCAAGACAGATACCCCCTGTAACAGTAATGTCAGTAGCACATGGTTAAACAGCAAACGACTGCAAGTTCAACCATACAGTGATGACGAAGGCACACTCTTAAAGATGAACATATATCGACCCTGCTCCGGATATCACAGCCAAGAAGCACTTGAGACAACCATTGATGACTTCTCAACTAAATAAAAAGTGGGTTATGTCCATATAAGAAAAGTTAAATAAGAGGAAGCAGCTCTTACAAAAAGTTATGTGTGTGCGTTATAATACATGGCACAAATGTAAACTGTTACAAATGCAAAATAAGTGTAACTCATCTCTTGCTCAATCGTAAAAGTCGTGCATATCAAAAACCTACTACTGGATGTTGCAGCGATTAGATCCGATCTGGAAGCTGACACCAATCATTCTGGTCAAGTATACAAAGATTTAGTATCCAATTATGGGAGTACGATTGCTCTTCTGCAATTATAAATTAACTATATAGTCTCTATTACAGATAAAAAGATATTTTGAAGTAGTAATCTTAGCGACATGACAAGGACTAAGGTTTTTAAGAAATACGCTATAATCACTGATTTAAATTTCTTTATGAGTCCCAGTTGTCTTTTGTTCTGCCTCAATGTCTAAATCTATTATTTAATTAATTAAATTGTATCAAATAGCAAAAGTTGTACCGGAGTAGTACCGGTTGTCTAAAGACGACACACTACTTTGAACATGTTCGCCTCGACTGGCTCCAGTGATCCAATGGCTTATAATATAATTTCATATGCCTGCAGGTAAGCTAAACCGATTTCATTTGTGTCTGAATTTTTGTTCAGAAATGGTAAGTCAACGTCCGAACATACATTCTGATTCGTCCGAATCAATCTGAATTTGAGGACCTTCCCCCTTTTTTTTGCATCTCTTTTCATTCTCATCTCAATGTTGAATGCGTTCATATGGCTACTTCTACTTTGCATAGCCATGCTTGTGGCTAGTTTTGTAGCAGGTTGTATACCGCTTTCAACCAAACTATCCGATGCCAAACTCAATTTTTTGACTTCACTTAGTGTGGGTCTACTCATTTCAACAAGTTTAGTTGTCATCATACCCGAGGGTGTCGAAACCTTATATAATAACAGCATAGATTCAGAAGTTGTCAAGTCAACTACTGCCAACCACTCTGCGGTGGGCATGTCCTTATTGTTCGGATTCGCCGTCATGTTTGTCATCGATCAAGTGAGTTCAATGCATGTCCATCAACCGAAACGAATCGTAAATACCGAGATAGACGCACTAGAAACCACAAATCACAAGGAAACACTAGTGACACCGACCATTGGACTTATTGTACATGCAGCAGCTGATGGCATTGCGCTGGGAGCTTCGGCCACTCATCCCCAACTGTCGATGGTGGTCTTTTTCGCCATTATGCTTCACAAGGCACCTTCGAGTTTCGCCTTGACAACAGTTTTGTTAAGCGAAGGACTTTCGAGGACAACCGTAAGGCGACATTTACTACTTTTTTCGATGTCTGCACCAGCTGGTGCTATCTCGACTTATCTATTATTGCAGCTATTCTCTGTGGACAATAGTTGGAATTTAGAGTATTGGACGGGTATTCTTTTATTGTTTTCAGGCGGCACCTTTTTATATGTGGCGATGCATGCCATTCAAGAATTACAATCAAATACATCCAAAGTCGATTATCATCAGCTAGGCTCAATCCTGGTTGGCATGTTGATTCCCTTTGTCTTAAATTTCAATCATTCCCATTAAAAATGTGTACACATGTAAACAAATCCAATGATTATTATTTTTTCATTCACCGTTTCGAGCCATATAAACTTTCAAAGCACGCAACACATACACACACCTTAATTTTTTTTTTTTTTTTAATTTTTTTTACGTACTTTCACTTTTTCTCATACAATGACCATGCCTAATTCAGAAACCAATGCTGTTGTTATTTTATCGGACGATGAAGAGGATGTTTTAGTATTGAATGAACACGGTAAAAGAACACATTATACAGAAGAAGACGATGAAGACGGGGAAGAGGAGAAAGACGAAGGCGAGGAGGGAGAAGAAGAAGAGCAAGACGAAGAGGAAGAGGACTATTATGAGAGTGAAGAAGACGAGTTTGATCAAGACGAGGAATTTGATGATTATCACGATATGACTGAACTCAACCAAACTTTACCTGAAGACCATGAATCTGCCATATTTAGTGAACGTACGGTGGAGAGTCTCTACAAGGAGATCGATCAAGCCATGACCGAGTTTAAAGAAGCCTGTGTGGATACGACACAAGATGATATCGAGACTGGATTCGCCTGCGGTTCACCCTTGAAAGATAACGCGCCAGATATTGCCATGAACGTACAAGGTGTGATTGGTCCCATCACCTTTCCTCTCTCACTCAAAGATATCAACCGTGTCTTATCCACTCGTCCTCCCATGAACGATGGATTCTCATTGGATACTTCCGAGATCTTATTAAACCTGTCTTTTCAAGAATACTTGTTTGAAACCCTTTTACCGGAGATCGTGACTCATTTGGGCCTAAATAAATTGGCAGGTAAAAATACACGTCTACAAGCACATCGTTTTTATATCCGAGAAGCAGAGCAAGAATTAAAACTCCCAGATCCAGTGTAAATAAGAATATATCATGTCTTTTGTATGTCTTTATCATTAACTCTCCTTTATCAAAAAAAAAGTGCGGGTGCGTTTGGTACAATGCTTTTGATCTTGCCTTGTGATTTCAATGCTGGTAATATAGTGATGGAATACAACGGTCAAGACAACGTGTTTCAACCCGAATCCGATGCAATGAACCAAGCCTATTATGTAGCTTGGTACAACAATGTCAAAACCAGCTTCTTGCCTCTTTCCTCAGGACACCAAGTTGCCATCTTATTTTCATTAATCTACGACGGACCTGATAAGACCATCACCACAGACAATTTACAACAAGCAAGAATCACCTTGGAAAACGGTGATCTGAGCCCGGGTCAGCTCATCCAGGCTCAACCCTATCTGGAAAAGATGAAGCAATTTTTGCAGTCAGAGCCAGTAGCAAATAGCCCATATCCTTACTTTTATATGTTGAATTACAGTTATATACCACCTTGCATGAAACATGATCAACTCAAGAAGAGTGATAAAGTGCTGGTCAATACCTTGGCTAAAGTAGCACAAGAAGCAGGCATGACAATGTATATTGGAGGCATTGAACGTGAAGTGGAAGGCAAAATATACCCGGATGATGAGGAAATTGAGGATAGTGAGTGTCCTATGGATGAGGAAGGCATATTTTTAACATTGAGTGCCAACTATGATGAATACATATTAAAGTCCTTGGTGGATGAACATGGCAAGAACGTCTTGAAGAAGCCAATTGCGATGGACTCCAAGGAACATCAGCCTATCATCCAAGGCGTTTCTTGGTATGCTAGGTGTAAGCCAGATTCTCAAGAGATTAGTGGTACAAAGAGAGATATCAAATACTGGTATGCCAACCATACAGCTCTTGTCTTTGTACCCAAGACTTGTGCACTTGATTAAGCACACAGAAATAAAAAACATGTCTATGTAACCGTGGCTTTTTGAAGTGAGCGTGGCTTAGATTTCACACCCGCCACTGTAAAGACCTTCTCTCTTTCATCTTTTTTTTTTTTTTCTTTCTCTTTTTATTTCACCGTAATTTCTCACCATGTCTACTTTTGAAAAGGTAAACCGTGGCACATTCTCTCTTTCTTGCTTTCTTTTTTAAACCAAATTGTCGTTCAGACCATTGTTATTGACGGTAAAGGTCATCTCCTCGGTCGTCTTGCCAGTATTATTTCTAAGCAAGCACTCAATGGCCAAAAGGTTGTTGTTGTCCGTTGTGAAGCTTTGAACGTTTCTGGTGAATTCTTCCGTAACAAGTGTAAGCTCTTTTTTATGTGATTGATAGAAACAGGTTGCTAAGTAATGCATAATAGTGAAGTACCATGCTTATCTCAACAAGCGTTGTCTTGTCAACCCCACGCGTGGTCCTTTCCATTTCCGTGCTCCTTCTCGTATCTTGTATAAGGCCATTCGTGGTATGGTTCCTCACAAGACTGCTCGTGGAGCTGCTGCTTTGGATCGCATTAAGCTTTTCGAAGGTGTCCCCGCTCCTTATGACCGTACCAAGCGTATGGTGATCCCTGCTGCTCTTCGTGTGCTCCGTCTTAAGCCTGGTCGTAAGTATACTACCATTGGCCGTGTCTCCCACGAAGTCGGATGGAAGTATCAAGATGTTGTTGCCAAGCTTGAAGAAAAGCGTAAGGCCAAATCTGCTGCTTATTATCAACGCAAGACTGCTCTTGCTGCCATTCAAAAGAAGGCTGTTGATTCTAAGGCTGATTCCATCAAGGAAATTAACTCTGCCATTGCCGCTCTTGGTTATTAAAAGCACAAACAAGAAAACAAACAAAAAAAAAGAGAAGACAGCATGTACATAAAAAAGTGATTTAAAAAAAAAATGTGTGTTTAGGTATATATTAACAGGGCCTAATCTTTTGTTTCACTTTGTTGAGCTGCGAATCGACTTCACCCAACATTTCTTCTAATTGATCTTTTCTTCTCCGAGACAATGCTATTTTCTTTGAGATATCAGCAGACTATATTTAAGGGGTTAATTCGACACACGCTTATTTGTTTGTAATACGTGAAAATACGCTAAAATAAAGCTTATAACGCGTACCTTTCTTTTCGCCATGGACGTATTGGGATCATCTTCTTTGACGTCATACTTCAAAAAGTCATACTGTTGATTACGCAAAGCGTGATAGCTACTATGACCAGAGTCTCTAGAAGTGACAGATAGTATGTCTTCATCTTCGTCATGACTAAGAGCATATCTTTCTTCTGTCATTGTGGTATTAGAGTAGCAAGGTGTGGGTGAAGGTGGGTTTGTGGTGGGTCTTGTTGTATTTGATGGTGACTCTGGGTGGTAGCCTGTCTGTAACAGTAGATATTTTTCTCCGTCACTATAAATATGTGAGTATAAATAGGATACTGCAGATGGCATATAGACTACCTTTTACGGCTTTCACCCCCTCCATCAAAGAAATCATCATCAAAATCTTTCCCGTCTGCCCGTAGCATTTGTTCCATCGTCTTTCTTAGGACTTGTATTTGTCTTGTAGCTTGTTTCAGGTCATACCTGAGCTTATTATTTTCGTCGTTTTTTATTTGGATATTGTTATAGTAAATGTATTGATTTTCAGTGTTTTGTTGCTGTGCGTTCTATTTCATATGTTAGTATCTATTACATGTAATACACACAAATGATTTACTTCTAATTCCAGCTTTAACCGCGATTCTCCTTTTGGTGAGACTGCTCCTATTGTTCTATAGAAACGATAAAAGGGATTTGTCAGTATATATGAGATTCACGCAATTCGTTGAGTGTTTATTGTTATACCCGAACGATTTCTTGAGTTCTTCATTTTTAAGCTACAGAATTCTAATTTTAGTTTCTAAAGGAGAACAAGAGATAATGTGTGTACCTTTTCCTGCTCATATTTGCGTTTAAAATCATCTTTTTCTTCAGTGATTTGATCGACTAGACTACAAAAATAATCTAAATCTTTTGCAATGGCTAATCATTATTGAAACATTGAGTAAGTATATTTTAAGGGGTTGAAAAATAAGAAAAAAAAATTTACCCTCTTTTTGACCCTGAAGGGAGCGTACCGAAGCTTTCTCTTTTTCTAATTCATCCTTAAGCATATCGATGGCAAAATCTGCGGGAGGTAACTTTCTTTTCTCCAGGCTTGATTTTCGTCTTGTGCTACCATTGGAGGATGTCCTTGTCATACACGATTTAGAATCATCGTCGCTACTTTGACTTTTGGAAGATTTCTTTCGTGAGGTGGAACTAATTGAACTATTACTTTCGCTCCGTGTTAGTAACTTGGCGTGTGTAGCTGCAGGTGAAGGTTGACGTAATTTACTCGTCTTTTCAGGTGATTTATTGTTGATAGACATTATGGATTGGTTGCTTTTAGTCCTGCTGAGACGAGTAGGGGTTAATCGACTCGGTGTGCTTTCAACTGCCGCTTTTCGTGTTGACATTTTTCGACCAATGTCTATTGTTGATATTCTGGTTGGAGAAGCAATTTTCTGGTCTACATTTAATAGTTTAATAAACAATAAAAAAAAAAATTACAGTAAGTTTAATTCATTACCACAAGGAGTAGTCAAATTAGCCGTATTTTCATTCATTTTGTTGCCATTTGATTCTTCTATAAAAGATTTATTTTCTTGTACAACATTAAAATCACATGAGTCAAGTTTTACCTGGATCAATCCTTCTGAATGGCTTCATGTAAGAACCTCGCTTCTGCTGCTTCTGTTGCTGCTGCTGATTTTGTTGTTGTTGTTGTTGTTGTTGATGATGCGGCTTATCTTGTGATGTCATTTGTTGATACAGAGATGCTGAGCTAGCTCGATGTCTCAGTGACATGCTTCCACTAAAACAATAGTATATATTAAAAAGGGGGGAAAGGCCTGATGATTGCTAAACAAATAAAAGAGTATTACCTAAAGCGTTTCATTTGCTTTTCTCCGTAATCGAGACTAGCATCGTGGACATTGTTAAAGGACATGGAAGACGACATGCCATTCTGCTTGTTGTTACTGTCTATTTTGGGGTATTTTTTTTAGGTTTTTTTTTTTTTTTAATATTATAAGGTGAGACAAGGCCCCCCACTTTAGAATTATAAACCAACCATTCGAACTAACGGTGGAAGAAGACTTGTTTTGCTTTCCCAAACCCAACTTTTGCCAAAATCTAGGTGATGAAGACATTTTTCGTATGATTTATGTAAAATAGATCTGTTTTTTATTGTTGTTGTATATATAGTAAAAAGTAAAAAAAGAAGAAGAAAAAGAGAGAGAGAAAGACAAAAAAACAAAAAAACAAAATAGCTTTAAAAACACAAACAGAAATTTTGTTTGAAGCAGGAGGTCAAGGTGATACACGAATAATCATCGGAGATTCAATTGAGGTTTACTTTTGGGCACAATAAAATACCGGTCCAACTTTTTTGATTTAAAATTAAGCTTTTTTATTAAAGCAGTAATACACTTTCTCGAGCACTGTTAAAAAAAAAAAAAAAAAAAAAAAAATAGAGAGAGAGAGAAGCGCAAGCCATAATGATTCGCCTACACATTATTTATTCCATAAATAAAACACTGTATAGAAAAATAAAGAAGAGTTTTCTTCATTCAATATAGTAATGATAATTTTTACTCCTTACACCTTTTCTCCCTTTTAACTCTCCTTTCGTTCGATAATATTTAAACCAGCTTTTTTTTTTTATCGTTTTTTTTTTTTTCTTCTTTCTTGCAGATCCATCACTTCTCTTTTTTGTATAACATGACTAAAAAAGAAACTATATGATATGCATGTACTTACATGAAGCCTACATTGAAATCACACTCATTATTCTTACACTAACATTTTCTTAGTATACATGTCCGCCATAACTAAACTTTCTGCACCAAGAAATATACACCATCCTAACCTTGTTTTTACTTTACCTATTATTTCCCCTTCACCCAGGACATTTACAGCTAAAGAAACGACAAAAAGAAAAGAAAAAAAAAAGATCGATCTCAGCGTGATTCAGAACTCGTTGGCATATTCTTGGGCGTATTATGCATCTTTTGCAAACGCACAGATCTCTTAGTTTTTTTTTTTTCTCTGCACTGAACAGCTTCAAAGCAAATCTAACCATCACTATGTTAATACATGTCCACAGCATGGTCTTCATTTCATCTCTATCATCAGTCTTTATAAAATCACATCCCTAATCATAATTCAGCCATCACTAACCTGCTCATAAACTGGATCGTGTAATGTCTATCTTTCTTATTGCATCAAAAGTGAGTAACATGCTTTCTTTTTTTTTTAAAAAATGTACGCCACTGCACTTTAATGATTAATGTGCCTTTTTTTTTGCCTCGCCAATTGAATCTCATGCCTTATAATATCATTAACCTGTGTGTTTTTTTAATAACTTTTTTTTTTTTTTAAAAAAAAAAAAAAAACAAAATCTATTTACCAGTCTACTGCGTGTTATATCCCAGCATATCAGTTTAAACAGTAGTTGATTACATGGTGACATGATTTGAAGACCATTTTTCTGTTTGCTTGATTACATATCGCATGCTACATTTCATCCTAGATGTTAATATTCAACCTGTTATAATTTACCAGTTCATCACGCGCTATATTTTACATTCCTGGTGTTAAGGAAGTGTTTAAGTCACAATATTGATATTTGTAAGATTTTCATTCAATTATCATTGTGTTGTATTTTATTGCCCTGAAGTCCAAACGTGATTGTGGTTGATAAGATGATATTAATAGTCATACTCTATACTGCAATGACATCTATCTGTTTATATAACCATTAAGTGTGCTATATCTCATCAATCTAGAGCTCAAAAATACTTTTTTAACAATAATCCATTACACATGAGTCTATGGTGCGCTTTTACCTGTTTATTCTGTGCTATATAGTATTATTCTTGGTATCACCTCCAACTCTGTACTATCTTCGAGTCCAAACATTATATCAGACAATGACAAGCCCACATATGTTTACCAACAAGATCCAGAAAGCAGATTGGGTGTGTATTCACGCTTGTAGAATATTGATCGATATCATAACTTGCAGCGCGATTATTATCACTGGTATATCTGATCATATAGTGTATCTCTCTATCACTAATCTTGAGTTCACATCTTCTTGATCTCTGATTCGTTGCAGTAATTCCGTTTATTTAACTCGATACTCGATCCTCTCTATTTTTTGTATAACTTGGTCTATTTTTACTTGATTCTCTATATTTCTATAATTGACTTGATCATCCTCTATATTTTGAAAACTTACTTGATCCTGATCCTCGTATCTTTGTCCACCAAGTTGGCTATCTGACTTTTTATTTTTAATATACTTCGGTTTAACATCAGCACACACACACACACATATATATACACACACATGGCACTATATCTTTAACATTTCTATGAAAAATTCTAAGTAACATTCCCATGCTATTCTTTTCGATGTGTTACCTATTGAGTTAGACTATTTTGCTATCTTTAGAAGCCTAGACACAATCACCAAAATACCTTTGCATTCACATCCGCATCCACAATTTTAGTGTTTTTTTATATAGAAAAACATTTCTGCTGGCTCCAACCTTCTACTTTGAGGAGAATAGATATCGAAATGGCCTACGTTCTCGTCCTTGATACAAAAGGTATATAATTCACCAAGGTATATTCGGGAAATATTCCGCAAACTTTTGCGGATGCAACCGAAATTAGAAAATTAATCATACTTGTCGCGGTTGATAAAACTTTCGGGTTGATACGCGAAAGAAAATTAAATGTTACCTTTATGTATTTTTAAGTTTCGATCATAAAGGCTTTGTACGCCATCAATGGTGCAATCCACGAGCAATGTGAGAATAAAAAAAAAGAAAAGAAAAGTGCCTACATAAACAAAGAGAAAAAATCTACATGTAGTTGTTTACCCTTTGGTTTCGAATAAAGGATTAGGCGAGTGTTTGCAATATGACGAAACTATGTCATAAGTCAAGGCTAGACGCGTTTTAGTTAAGAATACATCTTGGCAGTTCTCTAGAGAGGGTTTTTTTTTTTTTTAATAAACTTAATTTGAATGAATCATCATGACACCCCTGCTGGTAACTTCCGACCTTTTTTTTTTTTTTTTTTAATTTTTTTTTTTTTTTTTTTTTTTTTTTTTTTTTTTTTAAGAAAAAAAAAAACAATGTGTATACATACATTAATAAATAAGTTTAGAATTCTATTTTCACTTTGTTTATCCGTAATTGCATACAAACTTTCGTCTTATTTTTCTCAATTAACCTGTATCAGTATATTTACCTTTTTCATTTCTTCTTCTTTTTACTAAAAGAAAGAGAAAAGAAAGAGAAAAGATTAAAAACCTTAAGTTAGCAAAATTTAATCATTTCTGTCATGTGGTACATTTGAGGCTAACGATTTTTTTTTCTATATAGAAAAGTAAGGATATAGTCCCCGTTTGAAAAAAGCAGTGAAACATGAGATTCTTTATTTATAATATTACTGGGATACACCAACCATTTTAGCCAAACACCGCGCGCGCAAGAGAGAGAAATAGCTGCAAATCAGTTTTCTTAATTTTCTTCATTATCGGACAGGTCTTGACGCTTTGAAAATGTCGTGGAAATAGATTTTTCTTTACGAATGGGTATTTTTATTCCTTGACGAGCAAAACATTTTGATAAAGGTGTAGATTCTATAGAAATAATAAATTACAGAACCGCAAAAAAGGGTGGGGAATAAAATAGAATAAATAAAGTATTGAAAAAGAATAAAAAAACATTTTTATTTTTTACAGAAATGAAATGAATTTTTTTTTTTTTTTTTATCAACTTACGAACTACACCAGGAAACTTTTTGGCAGTATATACCATGAATGGATTTGATTGAATCGTTTTCAACACATGAGAAGTTGTTGTTGTATTTACGCTATGTGAGTACGGCCTACAAAAAAAAAAAAAAAAAAAAAAAAAATATTAAAAAAAAAATAATGATCTGGTTAGGGATTTATCCGTATGTGTGTTTATATTTTTTTTTTTTTTTTGTATATAACTTTACGATCCAACATCGATCAACGAAAATTTTAACCGAAAATAACCTTCTGTCCTTAAACTAACGTCCTGGAAAATAAAAAAAATCCCAAGGTTCCCATTTAAATCGTAAAGTTTAGTGGCAGAAGATACCGACGATCCTACCAAATTTCGCATCTTGATCGAACTTGTGCTAGTTTCCGTCCCTTCATCCTCAATGTTGCTAGGAAGAGTAACCACCTGAATTGTATCTTCGTCGTCAGTTTCATTTTGTTGCCATGAGTCACACATGACAATCAAAAAAGACGTGTCAAATGTTCTTAGGATGAGGCTGGTTAGTATATATGTAGAAAACAAAAAATAAAAACATACTCTGGATTGATAATCTGTCCAAACTTATTGGTGACAACTAGCTGAACAATGGGTGGAGGTGAAATGGGTCTTCTATCTTTATCCCCAAACCCACACATTCTAGCTCTAGAAGGTTGTTGCGCAATGGAAAGTTCATATATTCTAAAACAGAACCTATCAAAATTCACGCTTGCGTATTAATATAAAAAAGTAAAACAATACCTATCAAGTTCAATGGGAGGCCCGCCACTAAGAGCGATGTTGGCTGCTAATTTAGATAGATAATCATGGTGCTGTTCCTGCATATGATTTATGGGAAAATGCGTAGAAAAGGGTGGAGCCACGTATCCAAACGAGGAGGGTTGTGCATTATTATTATTATTATTATTATTGTTGTTGTTGTTATTGTTGTTATTGGTGTTGTTGGTGTTCGTTGCCAAGGAAATAAGTTCACAGAATACGTCTTGCTCTTTGCGGGCCGGTAAAGTTGTGGAATCTCTCTGTCCAAATGAGTTCAACATGTTCTCATTCGACATTAAGACATTAGCTTCTTCAGGTGTAAAAACGAAATTATTATTATGGTGAAACAAGATATTCGGTGTATTGATTTCGTCTGTAAACTCGGGTTTATAATAGTATTCGTTCAGTATATCTCTTTGGTCAAACACGCTCTGCCCTTCTTGTGCCTGTGCCTGTTGCTCTAGTGCAAGCTGCTGTTGCTGAAGTTGCTGAATTTGTAGTTGTTGTTGCTGCTGTTGTTGTTGCTGTTGCTGCAGTTGATGTACGTTTACTCTATAAAACTTTTCATATTCGTCTCCCATTTTCTCTTGTTTTGGGATTTTTCTTATCTATGGTATTTTTGATTTTCGTGATTATATGTATTTTTTGATTTTAGGTTTTTTGATTTTTTGATTTTTTGATTTTTTGATTTTTTGGAAAAGAGAAAGAGAAAGAGAAAGAGAAAGATAAAAAGAAAAAAAAACAGTCTGAAGTATAAAAAAAAAAAATTATTGGAGGGTTGTGCTACAGCTATTTTTTTTTTTTTCAAAACAAGTAAAAAAAATTACCCTCTAGAGTGTTCTAGATTAAACTGATTTAATGGTCAATCCGTATTTCTAATTGGATATCTTTCGCCAATCTCGATCTCGTATGTTACAAAGTCAAAATAGAAATTACCTATCAAGATTTAAGGCGCCACCCCACTCACACAAGCTTACAAAGTAAAAGAGAGCTCCACTACAATTCACCAGTAACACAAACGGAGTACTTTACCAAGCTGTTGGGTCTTCCAATAACCCGATATTATAATCCCATCGAAATATTTTTGCACATTTATATACAAAAAGTTCCCCATTGGTAATAAAAATCAAAAAAATATTGATTTTAAGCATTCTACTATTTTAGTTTATTTCCCTCTCCATCCCGAGCGCCTTTCCTTTTGTATCACGCTAGTCTCTTTTTTTTTTCTTGTTTTTTTCTTGGCTCTAGGGGCAAAATAGAACGAAAAAAGAATGATGATATGTTTCTCTAGTCTATCATTTCCCCATTGTTGTCTGACTGCGCCTTAAAAAAATTAATTGTAGTTCAAATTAGTGGAAGATTTATCTATATCGGAGTTTAGATATTTCCCTTGCACCGCGCACTCAATTTGTCTGTTCTGGGTGGGAATTCTTCTTTTCCGCTTTGAAAGATCATCCAGAAAATTCTTGGGTGGCCGTATTTTACAGATTTTCTACTGGATTTGAAACAATTAGCACTGTCACCATGAAAGAAGAAATTACATTTGGTTTAAGTGTGACCCATAAAAACATTCTCAATTCGATTTGAGTTATAAACACAAGCCTCTTTCTTTTCTCCACATACGCAATGATTGTATATTAGAACGTCAATTCGGTAACACTGTTATCATCATACGTCTTTTTTCGGCTTGTTTGACTATACTGCCTGTTGCTAACATGATTATGACCGTTCTGGTTTCGGACTCTTAACCTGACATATTTCCATAGTTACACCAATCGATTCAAGCCATATAAATATCCCCCTCTTTATTTTTGTGTTATTTTCCTTTATTACATGCCATTATCAGAATATATCCCGCCAAAGAACATTATTTTACATGAACCAGTGAATTAGAAGTCTATCATAGAAAGAGCCATTATATCTATCCAACTAATCCTCGATAATCATACAATATCAGTTTTTATCATACATCTTTTACAAAAAATCTATTATCATATCTTAATCAGAAGAGGCCATTATAATATCAACCCCTATTCATGTGTAAGATAAAAGTTCTGCACTTGAACCCTCTGCATTACTTATTCATAAGTGCTTTAATCAGTTTATTATGTGTCTTATAAAATTTAAAAACAATCCTATTTTTTGTTACAGCATGCAGCTGTGCACACCACATTCAACTTAAACCCAGCATAGCTTTTTTTGTTTGTATTTTACAGTCCGATGAGACAAGCTCTTTCCACGTAGTCTTTTCTTCTATCTTATTTTATCAGATCTTTTTCATCTTTAATTTGTTTCTTAGTCTTTTCTGTATTTATTCATCAACTGTTTGATAAATAACGACGAATGATTATTTATGATGCATATTCTGATAATATAAATGAAAAGAATGAATGAATTCGGGAAGCGGAAAAAAAAAGCGTATGGGAGTATGAGATGATGTGATCAAAAGATCTGATAAGATGATAAAAGTTTCCATGCTAAAAAAAAAAAAAGTTGATGGGAAAAAAAAAATTATAGACAGATTACACATGTTTTAGGATTAATCAACCACATTTGATTGGTTCAAACTGTTATCAGATTCGGCGGCATCTGATAATGGAAATTTTTACAAGGGGTCCAAGACAAAAAGAAATAAATAAAAAAAAAGGAAAATATTTTTCTAATCAGATCCTTTTTTCTTTATCTTTTTCATCAAATCCTTTTATTATTAAACAATGGCTTCCCGTACACTTTTCTCTAAAACTTGCTTTAAATCCTCTCTGGTAAAGGCAGCAACAAAAAAGAACATATTAAATAATAGAACAACCATCTTTCCTGCTTCTCAAGCCTCTCGTCAAGCCACCACCACTTCCATCTCGGATACCTCCACTACCCAAGGCAGAGTTCCTTCCTTTCAATTCTTGGAATATTCCCCTAAAAATGTCCATCTGGTAAAATTCACCTCGGTCGAAGGTAAAAGACTTTTCCGTAATGCCATGGTGCAAGGTCATGCCGAGAGTTTCTTTAAACTCATGGGCAACTTTTCCACTCAATCTTCACCATCTCACGGTGGTGTTAGTTCCTGTAAGTATATTTTTTTTTTATCCTAAACATTATACACAAAGAGAATATGTTATTTATATTATATTTATCATAGTGGCCATGGTTTTAAATGCGCTGGAAATCGATCCTAAAAGAACCTGGAAGGGTAACTGGCGCTGGTTCTCCACTGAGCAAATGAAAACCTGCTCACCAGCGGAGTCTGTACAAGAACGAGGCATCCCATTTGATGAATTTACTTGCTTAGCACAAACACACTGTAAAGTGCATGCTTATCGAGGACAAAGCTACCAACAATTCTTGCAAGATCTAGAGAAGGTTACCTCAGATACATTAAGTCAAATGGTAGTCAACTATTCCAGAACAAGCCTAGGTCAACATGATCATTTAGCACACTTCAGTCCTATTGGTGGTTATAACAAGACTGAGAACCAAGTTCTGATTATGGACGTGGCCCGTGGTAAATATCCCAGTGTCTGGGTTCATACTGAAGATCTGTATAATGCCATGATGGCTAGCAGTAAAGAAGAAACAGGTCGTCCTCGTGGCTATTTCATCTTATCCAATCATCACGAACAACCTGTCTCCTCCCGTTTGGATTTATCTTCTTCCAAGTTAAAGTGTAAAGATTGTTCTCGCAACTGCCATTCTACCACATCTGCTTAAAATAACATCACTTCATCAATCATTATTTAATTATTATTTTCTATATATCCCCCACCCCTGCATCTTGTATTATATTGTGTACATCAATAAAAAAAAAACCTCAAACCTTTCAGAGTTAAGGTTAAAACCCCTTTCCGATCTTACTAATACCATATAGCCAATTAACAGCCTTTGTCACACCTTATTAAAAATATAATGCATGCATTACTTCCATATGCTGTAGTGCAACCGAACATCCTATTTTAAAATACACTCTATTATTCGTAAAAATTAAAATCAATTTTTGGGGACAACTTTATCCTGAGTTTTATCTTTGTTTTATTTGATATTATATTGGTATAATTTTCAGGTGCATATTTTGTACCACAGTCAGATTTTAAGCTTTTTTTTAAATGTGTGTGGTGGGGGTACATAATTTTAACGTCATGGTTACCCACTATTTTCTTTTTAGATCTGCCAAAAATAGGGTCTTTAAAATAGGGTTCTGTTTTCATTTATGGATGCCAAGATGATCCTTTCTAGACTTAATAGCTTGAAATGTTATTTTAATCTGCATTGTAAAACCTTACTGAATACGAATCAATTCTATTGCAAATTGAATCTAAATAGCCATCATGACGGAAAAGCTATTTTTATACTGCTGAAAAGCAAGGTAGACTCATTTTTAGATTACCAGAAGCAAATGATAAGATACTTTACTATTTTCAATATTTACCAGCATACTAAAATTTATCAGAACCGATTAGCACTAAAAGCACACGTATGTAAAGGCAAGCAAAGAAAAATCGGTGTTTAAAGTATGTCTACTGTGTTAAATTGTCATCATACTTCAAGCCAGAGAGAAGAAGCACAACTGAATATGCGGCATTTTATCTACATATATCCCCCACCTTCTTTAAACTTGTTATAATTTTTAAACGTGTCGTTCTTTTGTTTTTACACGCGGCAATTCTACGCAATGTACCAAGCTAATCGTTCCCCTCCCCACACATGACATGTTAAAAACTGAGCTACTCAATTGACCAGAGCAGACAAACAGATTTATTAAAATTGATCGTTGTGAAACTCCCATTTCAAATAACAAAAAGACAAACTGGTGATCTCTCTGTTAAGATTATTAAGAGAAAATAAGAACAGGTGTGTTTGATAACAGTAGCACACGTAGAGATATGAAGGTGTCTTTCTACCGTCTTTTTTCAAATAGAAGGAACATTGAAGATACATGGATCACGAATATAAAAGTGATTGTTGAAAACATCACAATTTCACGATTGATCTATCCCATTCACTTCCTGCGTATCTTGGAGTACCACATTATATTCCTTTAGGCATGAAATATTCCAAGAAATAAACGGTTAAATTATTTGAGACTCAAACTAGATATCTTTTTTTAAAAAAGGAAAAGGGGTTTCTTTTTGTAAGAAAGGATTAAAACAGATTTTTATCCGGGAGGATCAGATGGGAGCGTGGATTAGAACTAGAAATTAATGGATTGATCAGTTAATGGTCTATGTTTCAGCGCTGGGTTGCTATAGAGTAAAAAGTAGATCAATAAGGCTGGATACATAGTGTGTATATATCAAAGCATATTCTTGTTGCCAGTTTCGAGTTACAGACCAAATTCCACCTTTCTTGGATTCAAACAGGACCAAATTTTGCATTATTCGTTCTGCTAAACGAAGATCAAGAAGTGGCTCGTTTTAATTTTTATGATTTCCCTGGTGCAAGTAAAAACGGTGCTGTTTGTCTTTAGATATGTTGAGTATCAATCGAATAGTGAGTATTGGAATCCTCGAAATTGATCCTTGTTATTCACCTTTTTAACGTTTCTAATCGGTATTCACAATTTTTATTTTTGATGTCTAGCTATATTTTGTGGGCCACTTAATAGCTGCTCACTTTGTTTCTATAATATGTTCTTCCTTAGACCTTTAGTTTAATACATTATCAGAATATATTTGCAATTAAAAGTCGGTTTGTTTTGAGGACTTTGATGATTAAAAGAGTTCATTCTATGTGCAAACCCCCCCCCCCCAGAACAATGGAGCCTTGGTGTTATTTGCATATGCTACTTTGTAGCACTCTTACTTTTCCTCTTTAATATAACATGATTCATACGGCATGTTTGTGTCCTACTTGATGCATGGTTTCTATTAATCAGGACAATAAGATAATTGGAATGAATCCACAATTAAAGTAAGAACTTCCCTTCAATTCCCATACTACCCAAACTACACCTAACTGACTTTATTTTACAGTTTCCTTGCTGAACAACAAAAATCTTAGTATGGGTCATGATCAAAGGTGTTTGCGAAAAAAAATAAAAAAATTCAAATTCAACAAGTAAAAAAAGGTCCGGCGACTTTCTCGAAAACCCAGGTGACTGTCCGACGAAATGTGCACCGGACTATCAAAATTGGAAAAAAAGCCTCGCAAGCCGTTACTACCACTAAACATCAACACGGAACCCATTGAATCTTCCTCTCTCTTTGCGTATTTCCAAGTATGTATGAATAGGGTTTATTAAGGGGTGGCGTGAAACAGATATGAATAAGAGAATCAATGAATGGATTCATGATGGATGGATGAAAAGGAAGAGGGCTGTTGGGAGAGGGGTCATACCAATTTTTTTTTGGAAAGAAAAAAAATGCTAATCAAATACTTTACAAATTATAGACTTGAGCAATAATGGTCAGATACGCTGCTACACCGGCTAACCCCGCCTTGGGTAACTACGAAGCAACTTGATTGTATCGAAACAACCTACTAACCAACTTTTTTTTCCTGTCACATTAGCCTCTAAGTCCAGAGGTTCTTACCTTCGTGTTCATGTATGTATAAATTACAAATCAGTAGCAATGATAATTAAGACTAATTTTTTTCTTTTCCCGAATAATAGTTCAAGAACACCCATGAAGTTGCTGTTGCCGTTAAGGGTTTAAAGTTAAGCAAGGCTTATACTTACCTTAACAACGTTACCGAACACAAGCAAATCATTCCTTTCCGTAAGTTCAACGGTGGTGTTGGTCGTCATGCCCAAGCCAAGGAGTTCGGTACCACTCAAGGTCGCTGGCCCGTCAAGTCTGTCAAGTTCGTCACTGACCTCTTGAAGAACGCTGAATCCAACGCTGAGGTAAGATTTTTACGAGAAAAAAAAAGTTTTTCATTTTGACATGGTGTTAATTTTTTTTGTTTTGAATGATTAGGCCAAGGGTTTGAACGTCGAAGAACTTTATATTTCTAGCATCGTTGTTAACCAAGCTCCCAAGCATCGTCGTCGTACTTATCGTGCTCACGGTAGAATCAACCCTTTCATGTGTTCTCCCTCTCACATCGAGGTTGTCCTCACCCAAAAGGATGAGGTTGTTCCCCGTGCTGATGACAAGAAGGTTGTCAAGCTTAACGCTCGTCAATTAGCTCGTAACGCTCGTCTTGCTCGCGCTTAAATATATTTTTAAAATAAACAAATAAATTGTCCTTTTTTGATTATAACATTTGTCTTCTCTCATGTGGAATAAATTTGGGAATTGGTAGGCTTACACGGTGTTTAATTTGCGTCTTACCTACTATGTTCAAATTGCTGATTACCTTTTTAAATCACTTAAATTGGCTCAAGTGACAGGTTTCTTTAAATTCGAATTGCCAATGAACCATATTAAATTTACATGCATCATATATGGCTAAATCAAGCGTTTCCCTGACGTTCGTTGTAACACAATCTTGAACTTTTATCCCTGTTAATTTCTGCTATGCAACAACAATAGAAGACTTCAATTTCCTTCTTGTCTTAAAATACAGATCAGCAAAAGTACAGCCTTGGCTAAATTAGAATACTTGTTTAAAAGTACATGTACAAACTCAATTTTTAAACAGGTTTGTGGTCCGAATCTTTACTATCCGTTACTGACTGTAGATCCTTTATTTCACACCCTTATGTTCTAGTAATTTAACATGACTCCAAAAGACTGCCTGTAATTCCCAAGGCATGTCATTTTAAAAACTGTTGTTTGTTTGTATTATTAAATTAGTTGCACCATTATCTTGAATCCAATGATTTGGGTGAGATAGGTTGAAGGTTATTATTTATCCTTCTAATGATCACTGACTAAAAGTTACACAAAGCGCACAATAACCTAATCACGTTTGGGCGTATTTAAAAATTGCGTTTAAATGAAAAATTGCCAAAGAGGGGGAAATCAAACATAGATTTTAAGAACAATGTTTTCTTGACGAAACACAACTAATATTTTTTGTTTATTCAAAAAAAAGGAAAGGGAATTAGTAATAATTCAATTTATTAGCCTTTCGTTGGGAAAGTGTCGATATCGATGTTTAGTTTTCTTTTCCGCATAAACAGCTAAATATAAAACCTGATCAAGAGGCCTTACACATGGTGCATAGTTTTAACATGTTGACAAAAATGATACCAAAAGAAGACAAAAGACTTTCTGATATCATGAGAAAAGTGTGTCTTAATCGAGGCTATACACTCCCGTGTAGGGATACGGCTCAGTACTAATCGGTTATGGAGTTCAAGATTTTCTCAAGATAATTCAGAATTCTAGCCTTTCATGGGGATGCTTGGCGCTCAAAATATTTACCATAAGAACGATCATTGGTGAAACCCCAAATATAAATGTTCATATACTTTAAGGTAACTATCACGGTCCAGATAGATAACAGGCACGTTACGTGAATACGCTATTTTACATATGAATGAGTGAGTAGGAAGTCAGGAGATACATTTTATTGATACTAAATGTAAATTTTTTTTTAACCTGGTGATTCTGCATGTTGGAATGATGGTGGGTAAAAAAAAATTAATTGCATGTATAATGCAGTAGTTTTATAGAAATGTATTATGTACGCCTGTTAATACTAGAATCACAACCACACAAAGAATCATAAGAAACATTGTGGTGATTATGCATAATTTTGTTATTATTGAAAGGTGCTAACAGTGCGTTTTATGATGATTCTAATTCTTAATGACACCAGCAGCAAAAAATAAAAATAAAAAAAACTAAGCCAGATCAAGTAATTGCATAAAAAAAAGGTTGATCATGCAAGCAATTTTTGTTGGCGTCATGGATTTTCTATGTGAACAGTCTTTTTAAGTTATTGTGACAAGTGTATCACAAGATTCTACTGGGCCTAAACTTTATAGATAAAAATACTCAATTGTTTCTTGTTTATTTTACTTTTTTTTATTGTCTAAATCACATCAAAATCAAACATGTCTACAGCTGTTGAACCCACTACCACGGCTCCTACTCCCGTCATTGAAGCCCCCTTACAAAATCAGACACCTGCTATCATTAATGTAGAGGATTCCACCATCAATACTACTGAAGCAACTACTCCCATTATTACCCAAGCGTCTACTACCGAAGTGCCTGCTACCGAAGCGCCTACTGCCTCCAAAGTAAGCCCAACACAACGTTTGAGTTCTGTATTTGCCAAAGCAAAACAAACAGTTACTGTCGCCGTTTCAGATGCACAAAAGGCTATCAATGAAAGAAAGGCTCATCATAATACTGCTACTACTACCACAACTGGCGGAACATCTGACGTTCCTAATACTACTACTACTACTACTACTAATTCCGCTACTATGGCTACAGAAAAAAAAGAGGGAAAACCAAACCAAACATTTAAGGATATATTGAATCGTGTCAAGGTATGAAAGTTGGCGTAACAGCGAATAATCTAAAAACAGCACAATGACTTTTTTTTTTTTTGGTTTATGTAGGGGCTCAAGCCAGCTTCTACTCATCCTGCTGTAGTCGGTAAGAAAATAGGGCAATGTTATATTTTATGTGACTAACCTAACATAACTTCAAAGAACAAGTTTCTATAAACGAACAGACTGTTGCTGCTGATAGTGGTGCACCCGTTCCTCCACCCAAAGATAACGTCAAAACAAAATCAAGCACAAACACACCAAACCCAGTTCTAGAACAATTTAAGCGTAACATGGCCTTACTTAGTAGCTATCTTTTACAAAAAAAGAAGGACTTTACAGAAAAAAAGTCATCTGATGAACATCAACAAACCGCTACTCCTGCATGATTTTAAACTGGTATATTTATATTTGTACAAAGTATGTTTCGCGTCTGAAACTATAAAAAAAAAAAAAAAACTAGGAGATAAATAAAATGTCTGTGTCACTAATAATAACAACAATAATAATAAAACTCGGGTCCGATAAATTCCTAATGACTGAACAATAGAAGCATGTTAACTGTGGTTCTGTTCTGCCATTTAAGTGTAAAATTGGTATTTTGTTTATCTAATTAAAGTGTTATTTAAAACAACTTTTGTAGTTGTTGATTTCTTTTTGATTATCGTTAAATCGTCAGATTATATATAAGGGGGATTACTGCGCCGCTAGCATCCGTGATTCCCGCACTAAGGCTCTCATCATTTTCAATACAGTTTATATGGCATGACTGGTAAGAATAAGTATATACTTTAAACGATTATTATAAAATAAGAGTTTTTTTTTAGGAAGGCGTGATTGTATTTTCGAAATGTTTTTTATGAATATAGGCGATCTATATGTGTTTTTTTGTATGTCCTATACTCGTCGATTGTTAAAGAAAAGATTTGACATTATATCACTTTGCAGCATAGCTAACTTTACATGTTATGTGCATAATTTTTAAACCCGTCATTTAGGAAAGCTCATTCTTTCTTGGCATACTTAAATCATTATGTTGGGTAATGTTTTAGGGATATGGATTTTGTTTAGTTGAAGAAGCGAGCTGTTATTTACAAGTTTGATAGAAGCGTTTCATCAATCCTTGCCCCTACAGAAGATTAGGGGCACTCAAGTGAATTCAAATTTTAAATTTTATTTGGTAGTCCTGTCTTGATTTTCTCTCTCTGATCCTTGACAAGCTTGTACCATAACATTGTAGTATTCTTAAAACGTACTCTTTTGCATTTTGAACTATTGTGCGACTTTGGTAAGACCATAATGTCTAACAGAATCTCTCGTTTATGTTTAATGTATTTATTATTTATGGAAATGTGTATTAAGAATAAAAGAAAGAAAAAAAAGAAGAGGACTATATAATATTTATATTTGAAAACAAAGATATAGAGGTATTTAAATGTATCAAAAGAAAAGGGAGCTTTTGTAACCTTTTAAACAGCTTGTCTAAGACACATTTTTCCTTGATTTCTAAATAACAATACCTCTCTACGACCAAGAATAGTCAATGCTCTAGTGATAGCAGCATCGGCATAACCTTTTTGTAAGAAATCGGCCTTAATTTTAGCAACAGGGACTTGAGAACCAATAGGTAATCTCTTTTGAATTTCTTGCTCGATCAATTGTACTTCAGACATAATATCACTACGAGTCATGCCATCGGCACCACCACTGTTGACTGCGTCCATAGTGGAATATTTAAAAAGACGAAGTGCTTCCTCGACATGCTTTTCTGTGGCATAAGGTGAAAGTGTCATCTTGGCTAATGATTCTGAAATACGGATGATAGCTTCTAATTGTCTGACAGTAATAGGAATCGTGGATCTAACTTGAGTATCTCTTTCTGCCTCCTTCATTTCTTTACGAATACTGACGAAATGACTACTCAACTTTTCGGCGGCGCTAGGTGTTAAACGAGGGGCACATTTTCTAGTTTGATTTCAAATGTTTAGTACACCCAAGTCTTTATATCCTTATCAAAAGTTACTTACGTTTTACAGTAATTGATATATGCCTTCATTTTATCCAAATCAATCTCACCCATAACAGCATCTTGTGTTTGTCTGTTCATGTGGACGTTCAACACATGTCTGGCAATTGACTACACGTAAATTTTTATCAGATTACCCGGTTTTTAAAATGACCTTGAATATGTATATTTACCATATCACGAGCTTCGTTGTGATCATCCTTGACAATGAAAATCATATCGAAACGAGAAAGAATGGTAGTTTGGAAATCAATGTTCTATTACAAAAAAAAAAAAAAAAAAAATTAAGTGCATGCCCATGTCAATAATATAATTGGTTTTACCTCGCCTGCGCTCTTCATATCATCATAGCGACCGAATACAGGATTAGCAGCAGCAAGAACTGATGTACGAGAGTTAAGAATCGTGGTAATACCAGCCTTAGCAATGGAAATGGTTTGTTGTTCCATTGCTTCATGAATAGCTACACGATCTTCATCACGCATTTTATCAAACTCATCAATACAAACAACACCGCCATCAGCTAATACCATTGCACCACCTTCCAAATAAAAATCGCGCTATTAAACAGGTAAACATACCACTCTTTTTTTTTAAAAAATAAATAAGACTTACAGTGCTAGGATCACGAATAACAGAGGCGGTCAAACCAGCGGCACTACTACCCTTACCGGATGTATAAACAGCGATAGGAGCCACCTTTTCAACGAATTTTAACAATTGTGATTTGGCAGTACCTGGATCACCCAATAACAACACATTAATATCACCTCTCAATCTCATCCCATCGGGAAGAATCTTTTTGGATCCGCTGAAAAGCAAACATGTGATGGCCTTTTTGATGTCTCCATTACCGAAAATGGAGGGGGCAAGACTGGCAGCAAAAGTTTCGTATAAATCAGTTTGTCGTGACATTCTAATATATTCTTCCTCTTCAGCATCACTGAAATGAGGTCTACCACGACCATTGTTGTGTTGATCGACTTCCAAACCAATGATTCTGATGTAAGGTGTTCTAACAGCTGCAGCACCAGTAGATTTCTATGGTCAAATAGTCAGTATACTCTTTCCCTCACTCTGTGCGTGTATTTTCTTTTACTTACGGCAGCTTTGTTCTGGAAAATGGAGTAAATACCCATCACTACAGTTCTCATACCAGGCACAACACGGTTAGTGAGCCATCTATCAGCATTTAAAATGGTGTGACGGGGAAGGTCACCAACAGGGACCATATCAGGAGCTTCTTGCAATTTGATAACCTGAGAGTCAACAAAACTACACTTGTCGTGAAGAATGACATATGGGTCCATGGGACAATCCTTTGGAGTACCATTGATGCTTGGACTATCACAGTTTCTGGGTAAAACAATGGAAGAAAACCCACCAGTAACAGGGATAGTTTTGGTATTACGACAATTTCTACACATAACGGTGATTTGTGTAGCTCTGGAACTGAGTGTAGAAGCACCGATGACAATACCGGGAATGCGAACTAACTTACCAATGAAGTCAGACTATTACAAAATGGTTAGTTTCAGACACACGTTCGAGATAGCGATTAAATATATTTACGTTCAATTCTCGAATTTGAACAACGTTAGCATCGGATTTAAGTGTAACTTGACAATCAGGAACATCCAAGTTGCTGGCTTTAACAGGGTTAGGAAATAGGATACGCTTAGCTGTTTCCTTCACTGCAATTTCGAACTAATCGTGAAAGAAATAAAAAAAGGGACTTTGTGTCAGTCGCAATTATATCTGTCATTGTGGAAATGGTATTTACGAGAGGTAAAAAATCAGCAGGAGCAGTTGATAGTTTGTTAGCGAGATCTGCATTGTAGTTGATGAGATGATTAAGGTCAACTTCGACAAAATATTGCTTTGTCAGTAAGTTCTGTGATAATTGGTCTCTAAAGTGAGTAAAGGGGCAGGTAAGTTATTCAGGATAAGCGCGTAATATTCTAAGAATTACCTGTAAACGTAACTGTTATTGACACGGAAGTTTTGAATAAATTCCAAAAATTGTCCAGTAATTTCAGAATGAGAGTTAACTCTATCTTCTCCGGGAAGTACAGAGGTTGAATAGACTTGTCCTTGATCCCAACCGAAGCTTGCCATTTTGTGCTTTTCTGTGTTTAATTAAAAAAGACCAAACGCGTCTTAAAAAAAAAAAATCACCATTTACTCAAGCACGTCACAAAGCGACTGTTTTTGTTTAAATTTCAAACTGTCACATTCTCGACCAACCGGGCTGTTGAAGCATTTGCACTTACCATAAGATCTTATAAAGAACAAGATATTGTAAATTCTCTTTCTTGACATATGTATTTTTACAGCCCCCATGTATTTTTCTAATCAAATTTAAACTTATTCAATATATCAGATTATTTATATCAAAAACCTCGCTAAGATTGGGAGTTGGCCGAATGTACCGCTGGATTGAGGAGACCTGTTTTCCCAACAAAAAGCACACTTTCAGCAATATTGGTGGGTGTTAATCACATATTTTACACCAAAAAACCACATTCTATATTAGAAGACTATATTACATGTAAGCTTCCTGCCTCCCGCGAGCTTACTTCATCGGCAAAAGCAAGCCACCTTTTCATGTAAAAGAGTACCAATACGATTAGCTTCTTTGACAGGTCATGGAAATATAACGTGCAGTATTATACTTATTTCCAACAGTTGTACAAGCAAAGATAACAGAATAATCTGCTCAAAACGAGCAATCGTGTCGTTGATATAGTCACCTTTATCGTAGGCCATGATCATCGTTTGACATAGAGCGTTCAGTCTCCTTTATGCAGCACATTATGAGAATTCTAGTATTGATCCTGGTGAAACACTCATATAAGATTCTAGTGAAACAATTAGTGCTTCAAACGGGACTCTCTCCTCCTCGAAGGGCGTAAGTTTGCGTAATTGTTTTGCGGGACCGTTTAACGGAGAGCTGGTCGCCCGTAGTACACAGAAATAATAGATGAGTAGGGGAGAGTGATGAGAAGTTTCATTGTTTCTTGAAACTATATGCTCTGCTACTGTGTTATCTTGCGTTGATGGAAAAAAAATTGAGGTCATGTTTAGTAACTATTCACATGTTAAGCTGATAGATATAATACATGGGGAACTAAAAAATTCCGAAAATGAACGCTTGGCTACAAATCAACTGATGTAGTAGAATGTCTGATTCATAGTTTTTGTGGTGTTTGAGAGATAACTTTGTCGTTCATATGGCACAAATCAGATAATAAATTGAATCAATGTTAGTCTTTTTACCTGTTGATTTTTTTTTGCGAGCTTTCTGATGTATTCGAGTTACATGATTCGATTTAATAATGCAATACTTACAACCAAGAGTAGAATATATTTACTCAGTCAGAGGTTCATTTAGGAGGTGTCCTAAGAATACACATTGTGATCATTGTCAATGTCAATTGTCATGGCCGTACTAGACATATGTAAAAACTCTCAGAATGTAAGGAATAGTTAAATATGAAACAAATGTTTTTATTATATATAATTTGATATTATTGTTGAACATTGTACATGTCAACAAGTTTAGGGTATACACTGTTAAAAACATTCCAACAAACTTCAATACGGGCTACTTCGAATATACCCATGGTCAATATAGTATCGTCTTCATGTGAGGGTAGCTTGCTTTCAATGGAGTTCTTTGTTGAAGGGGATGTGGTTAACATGTTTTCGCGTTTTCTTGGGCTCAGTTCCGGATAATGGTGGTATAGATTTTGATATGCGATATCAATGGAATGACGAGCACGGTAGGATATATTTACTTGGGATGATGTATCTTCTCGAATAAATGTTTCGTACAAATGAATAAAAGCAGGAAACATTTTTTCTGGTATAGGCGTTGATAAGTATTTGATAAGATTCTTTTTGTATTCTATATCTGTATTTGTTGGAGGTTTTTTCGTAAATTTCCATTGTCGTGGCCCATTTTGTAATTGAAAGTATTCAATTTTAAATTTGTTTTCAAGTTCAAGATATTTTTCGTAGAATAGTAAATTTTCAGAGCTGAAATCTCGAATAGCCAAGTCTTGTAGCTGCTGCATAATATGTGGGTCAGACATACAGCGTTCTAGCGAGTCCATCGATAGGTCTGGGATACAGACAGATGTTTCAAGAGCAGAAGCATTGGAAGTCCTCTTTTTTAGCCTGCAATGTTTAATGACTGAATTTCGCAGTCTATTCCAATAAACGTTCTGTATTGGAAGTAGAGAGAGTACAGGTATGACAACCGAAAGAATATGGGCAGCAGCGGTGTAAATAACAATCCAATTGGCTGGGGTAAATAGCTTATGTCTAAACTCTGCCTGTACCAACACTTTGGGTGCTAAAACTGTAAAAAATACGATGTAAATAACAAATATGGGTATTCCAAGTATTGAATCGATCCAAAGCTCAGTTCTGATACCATGAGCATCTGCGTTGTCTTTTAAGTAGTAGAGTATAAAAGGCGCTACAAAAGTAATAAAACTAACATAAAATGCTATTGACAATGCAGCCCCAACACGTATTGTACAGGCCTGAGTGATTTCCAATGGAGCAACAACGGTAACAATAATGACGATTGTCAAAGCGTATAATATATATGGTTTCATAAGGGACATGGTGATTCTGTCTTTCTTTTTGATATACCATCTATAATCTTTATCATTTAAACAAGCAAATCGTTCTGAAGTTGTCATTCGCAGGTATTTTACTTTTAACCGATTCAATCGAAACAAAAACCGTAGCCTGTATGCTCTGGTACAAAAGGCAAACATCCAAGTATAATATCCAATCAGTAATCCCCATAGTAACAGGTGACATCCAATAAATCCATTTAAAGACTGCGACAAAAACATGCATGTGCTGAAAATAAAATGTCCTATTGCGCCCAGTGTTGTACCAAGTACCGATCTTTTTTGCAGTGAAGGAGCTGCCGATGTAAATAATGAACAATAAATAAATATGCTTGTAGTGGCAATAATACCAACGCCGTTAAAGACTGTTACTGCCAAATAAATTCTTCCCGCCGTGAACTTTTGTTGATCGGCCCAGCAATCGTCAATTGTCTTGTTGAATGCGGTATAATCATTTGCAATGATGTCGCCATCGCTGCAATCAGGTATAGGTTCTGTACAGTAATACATTTGTTATTGTTGTTGTTGATAGTAAAAGTGACCTGTCACTTGTTGTGTCCCAAAAACTTTAAGAGGTTGGTTTCAAATGCTGTCATGAAACAAGATAAGCATTGATTGGCTAGCTCATTTCAAGCCACCTATCGAGATTGTGTCGATCATGCCAGAAACTGTTTTCATAATGATATGGTACATTTAAATTTGAAATTCACGAAGTCATGCTAGTTATTAACTGTTATAATTTGGGGTATAGATCATTGGTATGATTTGCGATTTGGAGATCTTCTTGCAGCAAGCATAAATTAAACAAGTGTTGAAATGCTCCGACTAAATTATTTTAGGCTTTTTTTGTTTTAGAATTACCCACTGAGATTTTCTGAAAAATACACTCAAAGGAAATCAGTAAGATATTGCTGTATGTATAATAATTCAGTACCTGTCTTTAACATAATGTATACTTTACTGAGGAAGAGATAACGCTACCAGTCTTGGTCAGGATTCCCAGAATTGTGCTGACAACAATGAAAGCGAGGATTTCAGTGATTTTCTGTCGTTACTACCCTTTTAAATAAACATTAAAAAAAATAAAAAAATAACAAAATTCTTTTTAAACAGATAAAAAGGGCTTCTTTATATTCACATGCAATATGGATATTAATCAAAGACTGGATTACAACAGATTTCATTTAAATATCAGCCCTTGCCATTGGACTTACAGGTTTAGAAAGTTTGCTATTCGATACAATTTTTCTGTCTTTCCATCCTTACATCAGTCACCCCAAACGTTGTTTCCAAAAATGGTGCCCAAACTTTTTAAAAAAAGTGTGTTTAATGGCTCTGTCACGTCGAGGAAAGCATCAGTGCTAATGAACTTGGTGATCTGGCAAACAGCACCATGACATCCTTAGTGGACCATACTACTAAGACATATCGAATAAACTTACAAAATTATGTACAAACACGTATTAAGAAGGTTTTAGCAATTTAACTGGTAAATATAAATCAATGAATCAATGAATCAATGAATCAAACAATTAACTTTTTTAAGTTCAAAAACCACACAAAGAAGTAATTTACATCACTATAATATCAACACGTACATTCAAGGCTAGAAACAATTTAGAGAGGAAAAGACCAAGTTTCTCAGATGATCAATAAGGTCTTGCCCAAATCGATATTACCTGTATCGATTTTAGTCCTGATTCCTATTATATAAAACTGTAACGTGTCAATATAAGAAAATGATGACTTCCTATAATCTGGTTGATTTAAAACGAAAGGGAAGAGCGTGTTATTTTGTTCAAAGGTTTGCTAAAGAGAATCAGTAAAGGCTACGATGATAAGCCGTCACTCAAAAGGTGGGATGGCTGGATGTTACAAAGGGTGTGGATGTCCCAAAAAGGAAATTTAGGGGTGTGGAACAAGTTTTTTGTTTTGAAAATTCAATGGGAAACCCCAACTTGGTTACGACTTTTAACCTGTTTCTATAGTAAATTAAATGTCATTTCATGTACTGGATATATTTTGGACGATTGTGCTCAAATACTACTTAAATTCTGTTACTGTATCCATCTACTGGACTTTGCGGAGAAAAGCTACTTCACACACTCTATCGATTGCGATTTCTGTTGGTTTCTATCTCGCCTTTTGGGGTATAAGGGCACTAGTCTCCGCTTTATTGGTAGCTCTAATGGATACATTTTATTTTTATAAATCTTATCTACATGAATACGTCCCACTTTTTTTAAAATAGGATATCACACCTTTTTAAATAAAAAATGTATCCCTGAAAGGGAATTATCCACACAAAAAAAGCTACGTGACTGTCAGATGGCGGAGTTATTTTACAGTAGCTATCCGTATTGAGGGCCAAAGAGGTATAGTCAATGGCGAGTAAGGCGTACATGTAATCCTCCTCTTTTTCGTGCATCCGATTATTAATATGGTAATGTATAAAAAACCTAATGAGTGCTGAATACTGTGTTCAAGTCGAGTCAAATGAATGGATGGATGAATAGATGATTGAATGGATGGATAGACGAAAATGGGATGAACCAACAATTTTATTTCGATATTGACATGAACACAGCATTCTTAAAATGTGGGAAATGTATGTCTAGAAATCAATTGTATTAACCAGAAAATATAGGCCCCCGCCAAGAAGTCCACCGGTAAGAAGGTTGCTCCCGCTCCTTATCCCGTCAAGGGAAAGCAAGCCGCCAAGGTTGCTGCCAACCCTTTGATTGAAAAGACCCCCAAGAACTTTGGTGTTGGTCAAGATGTTCAACCCAAGCGTGATGTCTCTCGTTTCGTTAAGTGGCCTCAATATGTCAAGCTTCAACGTCAAAAGAAGATCATCTACCAACGTTTGAAGGTCCCTCCTGCTCTTAACCAATTCACTCATGTTTTGGATAAGAACACTGCCACTCAAGTCTTCAAGTTGATGCACAAGTACAGACCTGAGTCCAAGACTGAGAAGCGTGATCGTCTCCGTGCCGCCGCTGCTGCCAAGGCTGAGAAGAAGGAAGTTGCCAAGACTGACAAGCCCGTTGTTGTCAAGTATGGTATCAACCACATCACTGCTCTTATTGAAGCCAAGAAGGCCAAGTTGGTCGTTATTGCTGATGATGTTGACCCCATTGAGTTAGTTCTCTGGCTCCCTGCCCTCTGTCGTAAGATGGGTATCCCTTACTGTATTGTTAAGGGTAAGGCCAGACTCGGTACTCTTGTCCACAAGAAGACCGCTACTGCTCTTGTCTTGACTGAAGTCTCTGATGCTGATAAGGCCGAACTTGCCACTATTGTCTCTGCCGTCAACACCAACTTCACCGAGAAGTGGGAAGATGTCCGTCGTCACTGGGGTGGTGGAATTATGGGTCCCAAGTCCAACGCCAAGATGGCCAAGCGTGCTGCTTTGGAAGCCAAGGAAATTGCTGCTCGTCAATAAGTACCTTAACTCTTTTTGTTCGCTCTTTTTTTAATGTATATCTATGGAACCCCATTCATATCATTCTAGATGTTTGAAATAAAAAAAAAAATTAATTCATTTAAATTTCTTTTCGGCATGAATGTGTACAATTTTGACAGCTTAAAAAAGGAAAAAATACAGGGTTTTTGGAGTCCCTTTTCTTTCTTGTTCATTTAAACATTATGGCCAATCAATTTAGTCTTTTGGAAACTATTTTGTATGAACCTTCCAAAGGTACGATCATACAAGGTATAGACCTCATGTGCATTTATTAATAACTCGGTTAGGTTTCTATCTTCTCGAGCAACATTTAACAAGACTTCAAAACGCCATCACAGACTTCTCTAGTTCCAATTCTGCTTTATTTAGAAGTCCACCTACAAACCAAGACATCATTCAAAAGCTGAATGACATTGTTCCTCTTGATGACTCTCATCATCGAGTAGGTTTTTACTTTATTTGACTCGTGTTTTTAACTGATAGGTTCTTAATAGATTCGATTACTTGTGGACACAAGCTCTAGAATAACAGTGGAACATACACCATTGCCCGTGCCTGAGTATTCGAACGAAACATTGGAGGAGGCGGTGCGTATGGTGCCTTCCTTTGATGTAGTTTTAGACACGCAGCCGTTTGCAGTGTCCACCCAAGACCCTTACGTACTTCATAAGACAACCCAACGTGAGATGTATGATTTATCTAGAGAGAGAACAGGTTGTGAATGGCATGGTCCAGGCCCATTTGACGTAATTTTATGGAATACTCAAGGCGAAATTACAGAGACAAGTATTACCAACATAGCAATTCGATTCATTGTTGACGGTCAACCTATTTGGAAGACACCCAGAGTCAGTTGTGGTGTATTACCAGGTGTCTTTCGAGCTTTTTTACTCAAAAGTCATCCTAACCTTGTGGAAGATATTATTACAGTTGAAGACTTAAAAGCCGCACAAAAGGTACACATATTTCAATCTATAAACGTGAGAGAATGGGATCCACTAATTTTATTAATTATTGAATAGGAGGGATACCCAATTGTTTGTTTTAATTCAGTAAGAAAGGCATATCGAGTTCAGTTATTGGCAGTATGAGACAAGGTTATACTTCTTCCTTTCATAATAGTCTTTTAATACAGTGATTCCACATGCGCTTTTAAAGACTGTCACCAAAATCACATAGGTTGGTTTAGTAAGGTTGACCCTATCATTAAGTAAAATCAATTAGATTCCTTGTCATTGCAATTCCTAGTTTTTTTTTTTTTTTTACTTGTATTTTGGTGGTATAAGTGGTGCAATAGTTTGGATCACATCCGCCTTTTTAATCATTATGTTGTTACGAGACTCATAAAGAATAGCGACGGTATCTTCTGTTGTCTCTTGATCATTTTCGAAATAATCAGCTTTAACTCTCTCGAAGCAAGCCTTGATACGTTCTGTGGTTGCTGCACAAATATAGTCTAAAGGCATCCATCTCTATCAAGACATCCCTTATTAATATACACGACACATTTAAAGATACAAACAACATTACTTACAGCGCAATGTCTAAGTTTGCCCAATTCTTGCTCACGTTCTGTGTCAGGTAATGCCTTGATATGATCTAAAGACAGACATTGTGTTGATATATGTGAAAGCGATAGGTTTAAAGATGATTACCCATCAGCTTGAGAACAAATTCGGTGGGTTTGACGTTAATTCTAAATCTATAAAACACAAGTCCACCGCAAGCAGCATCAATTGCTTGGAATTTCTTTTCTTTACGCTCTAATTCATCTTCCTTCTTTTCCTGGGGACATTCCTTCTCTTCCTGTGTATCCTTCAAGTCATCTTTCTTAATGGCGCTTTCCTCAATTTCAACAGGATCCTCCTCGATATCGATATCAACTTCGTCATCGTCTAATTTCCCTTCAAACCTTGTCCAAGTGGATTCATGTTCAGGAAACAACACATTAATGTAGTGCTCCAAACAAGTAGATACCTGTCCTAATGCACGCGTTTCAGCATTGACGCTACAGGAGACCATGAGTCCTGTCACATCGTCCGACTTTTTCAACAAGTGAGAATGTTTGGTTAACCAACGTTGCTTGAAACGACCACGAAGAATAGGGATTGTATCACTCTTTTGCTTCTTATTGCTCTTGGTTTCCACATGTTCCAGTGGTCTTTTTTTGTCGTCAACCATGTCTGTCTGCATTGTTTTAATCAAAGACTTTTTTTTTCAGTGTGGCTTGTAATTCTGCATTATCTCCATTTTTAGTGCAAGTGTAACACAGCACCAACCAACGTCATCATGGTATCAATTAAATCTGATCTAATCCCCATCATTACAATAAGGAAAAGGGTCCCGGAATTCTTTCTAAAAGAGATTGTTCTCTCTCTCTATCAGCCTGGTATAACACAGGCTTGCAAATGATAACCCTCTATATAAGGGCAAATCAGTGTAATGACAGGAAAATCCGGGGAAAAGCAAGATTATCAAACGATAAGGTATTAAGAAGAACTGCAATATATTTTGTGTATCAAGAAATGAATTTATAATAGCGCTACAATAATGGCAGTGATTGTTCATGGTGATATGCCTTCGTGCGATAGGCTCCAAAAAAAAAAAAGGGTTTTAGTTTCAACTGGCCATAGACCATTTTTCCCTGAACATTGAACCTTGATGTGCATGTATGTATGTAATCATTGCTCCCCTAGGCTGATACTATAGTGACAAAATCATTTTGATACCTCAATCCGAGGATCCTGCTCATACGACACAGCTGATTTGACAAACTCTCTACATGAATGGCTCTTGGGAATAGCCGATAAAGACAATAATAATAAACTGAGACATAACTGCTAATAATAAAATATGCTGGCAACTTGGCCCCGTGGCATCTCTCTTGAGGGCTGAGATAATTATCGATTATCATATTCCACATCGTCTATTTAAACATATCAAGAGTATTGATTAATCTAGACACTTGTCCTAGGCCAAGTGTCACAAGATGTGCGGGTTCCCGAAATATTATGAAATTTTAAACTGAATAGAATATCAAGTTTGGACCTCTTTTTTTTATTTAGGTTGAAGATGATATGTATTTATATCTTATTTGACTCCCCCATTCATAATACAACAGGGCCCTGACTTTTTCATATTCTTTTGATGGTGCAAAAAAGCGGTTCCCGCACGTGGCTAATGTGGTTAATTTAAAAAGTTTATCGATCAAACTCATGGGGTCCAAAAAGATTTTTCCCTGCTGACTTGATATCGCAACGGAACAAATACGTAATCGTATCGTCAATGCAAGAGCATAATTAAAGAACCGCGTACCCCTACTGAGTTCAGTTTATAGCCTAAAACACAGTCACCACACAGAAAAAAAAAGTTCCCATAAATTACCCAGAGTTATCAAATGATTCATATCTTTTCTCTCTTCATATATTTTTGGTAGGAAAAAAAAATACACAGTTTATTCTTTACTTGACTTTAACAAAACAAGCATAGTATATAACAATTATAACAATGCCTGATAACACAGTTTCCAAAAACGACAAGAACCTTCGTTTACTAGTTGTATCCAACAGATTGCCTGTAACCGTCAACAAGGATGATAAAACTGGCGAATATGCTTTCAAAATGTCCTCTGGTGGTTTAGTAGCTGCATTAAGTGGTTTAAAGAAGATGATGTCTTTTACTTGGATCGGTTGGCCTGGTAAGGTTTTGCACCATTTAATAATGATATGAAACATCAAGATTAAACCCTTTTATCAATAGGTTTGGATGTCCCCCACGATGATCGTAAAGATCTTGAAGATAGATTATTAAAAGAAACATCTACTATGCCCGTCTTTGTTGAAAATGAATTGGCTGATTTGCATTATAACGGTTTTTCAAACAGGTAACAAGATTTTGTTTGTTGCTTTTATAATTTTTTTGTATCACTTAGCGATTTTTGAAATTCTTGTTTCTTAATAGTATTCTTTGGCCTCTTTTCCATTATCATCCTGGAGAGATTTCTTTCAATGAAGAATGGTGGGAAGCTTATCAAAAAGTCAACTTAATGTTTGCTGAAGCTATTGCAAAAATCGTACAAGATGGCGATCTTGTCTGGATTCAAGATTATCATTTAATGTTGTTACCCGCTATGCTTAGAAAAATCACCAAGAAGAACATCAAGATCGGTTGGTTCTTACACACTCCATTCCCTAGTAGTGAAATCTACAGGTAACATAGACATGACATAATTTTTTAATTTTTTTAAAACGGCATTCTAAAATTTTGCTTTAAATCTTTTTAGAATTTTGCCTGTTCGTAAAGAAATCTTGTTGGGCGTTTTAGAAAGCGATTTGTTGGGTTTCCACACCTACGATTATGCTCGTCACTTCTTATCTTCTTGTACTCGTATCCTGGGTCTATCCACTATGCCGAATGGTGTCGAATTCGAAGGTCGATATATCCACGTCGGTACTTTCCCTATCGGTATAGATCCCGAAAAGTTTACCGACGCTCTCAAAGAAACTAAAATTCAAAACCGTATTGCCCAATTAAAGAGTCGGTTCGGTGATTGTAAGGTGATTGTAGGTGTCGATAGACTTGATTATATCAAGGGTGTTCCTCAAAAGATGCATGCTATGGAAGTCTTCTTGAGTCAACATCCTGAGTGGGTAGGTAAGGTCGTACTTGTGCAACTCGCTGTACCTTCGCGTGAGGATGTGGAGGAATATCAACAATTAAGAAGTACTATCAATGAATTGGTTGGTCGTATTAATGGTCAATACGGTACTGTAGAGTTCGTTCCTATCCATTTCATGCATCGTTCTATCCCCTTTGATGAACTCGTGGCTCTTTACGCTGCCGCTGATGTCTGTCTTGTCTCTTCTACACGTGATGGTATGAACTTGGTCTCTTATGAATATATCTCGGCTCAACAAGAAAAACATGGTGTTCTTATCCTTTCCGAATTTGCTGGTGCTGCTCAATCCTTGAATGGATCCATCATTGTTAACCCTTGGAACACTGAAGAATTAGCAAACGCTATCCACGAAGCTGTCACCATGCCCGAGGATATTCGTAAGGTCAACCATCAAAAATTGTATCGCTATGTCACAAAGTATACAGCTGCGTATTGGGGTGTAAGTTTTGTCAATGAATTAAGACGTGTCAGCGAAGAATTCGGTCAGCGTATGTCCATTCCACAATTAAATGCCAATACAGTCATTACCAAAGCAAAGGAGTCCACCAAAAAGAAGTTAATTTTACTCGACTATGATGGTACTTTAACGACTACACACAAGTTGCCTGAATTCGCGAAACCTTCTCAAACTGTCTTGGGTCACCTCAAGACATTGGCTGAACAACCCGATACATACGTCTACATTCTCTCTGGCCGTTCTCGTCATCATTTGGATAGCTGGTTTGAATCTACCGGTGTCGGACTTTCGGCCGAACATGGTTGTTTCTACAAACATCCTGCCAGTATCCGTGACAAGATCAACCCCGTAGCAGCATCAAACGAAGGTAAATTAATCAAGGAAGAAGATAATAAGTGGTACTGCCTTGTGGAACAAGTAGATCCTAGCTGGAAGGAAACAATTCGACCTCTTTTCCAACATTATACCGAACGTACACCCGGCTCCTTTATTGAAGAGAAAGAAATCAACTTGACCTGGCATTATCGTAACGCAGATCCAGAATTCGGATCTTGGCAAGCAACCGAATTACAAGTGAACCTGGAAAAGCTATTGAGTCATATGGCACTTTCAATTGTGCTTGGTAACAAAACTTTAGAACTTCGTCCTTCTTCTATTGATAAATCTACAGCCGTGCGCAACATTCTTAAGGATTTGGATATGTCTTCTATTGACTTTATCTTGTGTGTGGGTGATGGAAAGACTGACGAGGTCGTATTCTCTCTCTTGAACGAAATTCCTCAAGCCATTACAAGTACTGTCGGAAAGAAACAAACAGAGGCTCATTACTATATTCCTGATGTTGATCAAGTGAATAGTCTTGTAGACGCATTAGGACAAATTTAAACAACCCTTTCTTTTTCGGCCTGCTCACATTTACTTTAATATTTTTTTTTTGTAATAAACATACACGCAATACATATTATAATCACACACATAAAATCAGGCTTTAAAAAAAAACGAATGTGTATACTATATTAGGATTATTTAATAAAAAACCTAACCGACCAAAATAAATCTGTTGAGAAAATAAAAAAAAAAAATTCAGGCTTGCACGATATTTTGCTTTTTAAAAGAGGGAAGTTTGTTACCTGTTAGCTTTAGATTTGAAGGACCTGTTTAAAAGCTGTACAGTTTTGCTTACATTCAGTTTGATATACTCAAGATCAAGTGACTGAATATGATCCTTTTGCTGTTTTTTTAGGTTAGTAAACAATTATAGTTCATTATCTATTTTATTTACCTTTTCTAGAAGATCATCCAGCTTTAAATCAATTTCTAAAAGGGGTTTATCCCTTCCTTTAAAATGCAGTGAAATGATAAATGTACCGGCCATTGGGCATTGGATCATTAAAAAAATATTAGCCCTCCTATATTCAGGAACTTCAGATTCAATAATGATGCCATCTTTCTCAAGCTGAAGATGTGAAAATTTAATAGGCCCATTTACTCCATTGTTGGACTTTTTTCGTGTTGCCGCTGTATTCATCACAGGCAGAATATTACAACTACTCATATCGTTTGAACTAAAAGACGGCGTCGAAACAATTGTAGACGTATAGAACTCCGTGGTCTTCATAATACCCATCTTATTTTGTCGCCCACTTTGCATGCGGACGTTTTGCAGATATGCCTTATAGCTCTCCAACTGACTTTGCAAGTATTGGTTATGATCACCAATGGTTTTGAAAACCTTTTCAAGTGACTCAATCTCCAGAACAACCCTGTTCTTTAAATCACCCAAGTGGATCAATTCTTGCTTTATCTCTTGTACAAGTAATTCATATTGGTTTGATCGACTGATAATTTCTGCTTCCTCCAATTCTTGTAACAAAATTTGCGCTTTTCGACCTTTATTGACCAATTGAGGATCTTTGGCTGACTCAGCGGCCTCTAAAATACTTGAAATATTCCATGTCTTGATTGTCATTGGTAAAGATCGGATAATCTGAACAAAGATGGATTTGGTCTCCATGTACATGATATCATTTTGTGTGATGCTATTGTTGGCTGTTTCGGTTATGGCGGGAGAGGAAGTGTCCCATCTTCCAAACAAGGGTAATTGTATAGGCTTGTTTAAATGACGTGGTAACTGTGCAGGTATATTATGAAGCCCCAAATCGTTTAGTAAAATTCGCAAATGATGTTTTGGTTCAGGCGCTAATTTATCCAAATGCTGGCATAAGAGTGTTTGAGTGCTATAGAGCTCATTGGGTGTAATATTAATATAGATGTCTTTGCGAGACAAAGCCATGTATTGGTCCATTTCAAGTGACTCGTAAAAGTCACTAACTTCGCATAAATCATTTAAAAATTGATGAATTCGCTTCTTATTATCTTTTACAAACGGGTTGGTTGGAATCATAAAAGATTCTTTGGTATATGTGGGTTTGTTGGCCAAGTTTTGAAGCATTTTGGCAACCTATTGTATGATTTAAAAAAAATTGTTAGTAATGCATGACATTTTTACAACGGCGAGGTGTTATTACCAAAGTTAGAGTGGTTCTAGGATTTAAGCCTGGATGACCTTCGACCAACATGTATGCCTGTGGAGTGACAATGGCTGGATTGATAAACCTTAAAAAGAAGAAGCCTCCAATCAATGAAGAGATGGCTGAGTCGGAAGCTTCAGGATATTTTCTTTTGGTGAGAGACCTGATCTGCTTACATATCCAGCGAATACCATAAGGCACCTGGTGTAACGAATCGATAATGGTAGACAAAAACGAGTTTGCAACCTCCATGAGGGATTTGAGTCTAGGTCCGATGATAGCCTGTACTTGTTCATTTGCAGCGGCAACTTCCGGAGTTACGCTTTTATTAAAATTAGGAGGTAAAGTGCGTTCGAGTTCCATTTTAGCAACTATTTCATCATACACTTTCAAGGGATTAATTTGGAGATTGGTGTCCTTTTGTTCAATCAGTCCATTGATCTTTTCGGATAACACGGATTTTAAATATGATTGACCAGGGCCTCTTCTTGTGTATGTGGTTAGCATTCTAGAAACAGGAGTGTTGGCTCTTAATAATGAACCAAATTCAATGGCTGCCTCAAATTGAGCAGCCAAAACATTCTTTTTTTCTGGGTTGTTAGACTAACATTTTTTTTTTTTTTTTTTTTCATATTACCTGAAACATGGTTAATAATAGATTTTCTTCTCGACTTTCGTATTGATTTCCGTATAACGTAAACATCACGGTTTGTAACAGAGTATCAATTTCTGACAGATTGACTAATCGGCAAAGTGACGCAATATAACGTGGTTCACTTTGAAGTAAGTACAGCAAGTTGCCATATTGGTGCATTTTTCTATCATCAGATGAATAGAGATCCACATGGGATCCCTCTGTTTCTTCAATATGACTCAAATCGTTTTGCTATGGGATAATAGGATAGTTAGACATTCATTTTAAATTGGTTCCGCGACCATGTGTATATTGTTTATTTTACGTTACATCATCCAACGCCATTCTGTTTTGAATAAGCAAAGCTATCCTAGAATCTAAAGATCTCACATCTCTTTCTAATAGGAAGTTATTCTTGGATTGCAACGAGATATTTGTTTTCAGGTCACGTAGTATTCTTTGAACTGCAGACTAATTTTAGCCGTGCATTTTTTTTTATTGCACAACGATTATTCAGGTTACCTTGAGCAAGTTCATCTTCAATTTCATTATCTTGTTCTGTGGCTAAAGAGTAGAAAACAGAAACCGAATAATGTCTGGACACTAAACCAGAGGTAGGTCTCCTCTTGGCTGAAGCTACCGTCATTGCTCTGTTCACAATGCCTCCAAACGTTGGCGCCATTCCACTATTATGTCGGTTATCTTCAAGTTGTACGGCCATTTATTTTGAAATACGTGTGTTTAGAAAAGAAAAAAAAAAAAAAAAAAAAAAAAAAGAAGAGAGAGAGAGAGAGAGAGAGAGAAGGATAAAAGGAGGTCAAAATATACTGATATAATATAAGCAATGCCTGTGACTGATATTAGGTGCATAATTACCTCTTGATTAAACGTGCACCCCTTCTTTTTTGTTTTACAACTCCCTTGTTTTATTTGTCCGTTGTCTCATTCATATTTTTGTTGTATGCTTCAAGAGATTTGTGCAAACAATGGGTTCATTGTACTAATTTATGTCAATACTATTGAAGAGTTACACGTTATTGTTGTTATTAATTAATTTGGGTATGGATAGAACATATACACTTCTTATACTTATTGAAACGACTCTTAATCACTCGCGATACATACAAAAAAAAAAGACGCTCTTAATTAAATTCATTGGAAAGGTTTATCGCTTCCGATTGGGAAAATTTATTTGTTTGCTTACAAATAGTACCTTTTGTGGATTATGCCACGAAAAAAGAAAAGAAAAAAAGGTTGACATGGAAATGGCGAATAACTCCTTAGCAGTAATTTTTGGTCTGTGCTCAACTTTGACCTGTTTTTTATTTCTTTCAAACAATGGAAAATTTATTAGTTGACAATGCGATATTTTCCCCCTTATTTTCACTCCATGAATTTCTTTAAACACAAGTCTGTATGATATAATGCTCCCCTCCCCCACGAAGAAAAAAAATTTTATTAATGCAATGCTTTTTTCCAAATGCATCCGTCAAATACTATATGAGTTTTCTATGCTTAAAGGAGGAAGGAAAAAAAAAAAAGAAAAAAAAAAAAAGAAAAAAAAAAAGAAAACTCCTGTGATTAACACGTTTTGTCACAAGGTATTTTGCATAATCCAAAATATAATGACACTGTTTAAAACAAGTCAGAAATAATATCACACACACACACACGCATATACACACCAAAACGTGTTTTTTTTGCAATAATGAAGAAAAGGTTTATTTTACCTTGCAAGGATCAAACAATTTTGAATTATACCACTATAATAAATCTTGTTGAAGACTGGAACACACTGAGAGAAGGAGTTATTTACCTAGTAAGATATATACACTTCTCATAATAACAATAACAATAAAAAAATACCTACAAGGCTTCCCGCAAACCCTCCCGTAATTAATGTGAAACCCGTCAATAGACTTGTTCTCATTTTCCACACGCTCTCAACGTGTTCCTCGCCCTGAAAGTATGCTCTACCAATGAAATTAATACTGTTCATTTTTAGTTCATATTTTGCTCGTATTCCTTAAACATTTTAAAACACTGACATGAGCAGGCCTAATGAACTGGCAATACCAGGCATCCAATCAACTAAAGTCAAGGGCTCGGGGCTCTTTATTGAAATAATGTAAGCGTCAAGAAATATCCACCAGCCTAAAGAAAACTTGAATACGGTTTTTTTTAGTCATGGTCAAGCACTCTGTTAAAAGCGTACAACTTACTAATATACCAGCTAAATAAACACCTGTGCTTCGTTGAGGTTTTACAATCAGGTCGGGAATGATTAAAATAGTAGATCTAGGGTCTTCATCATATAAATGAGGCATAGTAACTGCTGTATATACAAAGGAGAAAAAAGCAACAACAAACAATAATAATAAAAAAAAATACACATATAAGGTTTGCAATTACAGCTGTGAGAGTGTTCTTTCCATTTTAGTATTTAATGGCCCCTTTTAAAAGAGAATCATACACAAGGACCCTACTAGGAGCACGACCTGCTTCATTATCCCTTGATAAGAACAGAATCCGTTTTTACAGACCCCCTCATTCTTTTGATTATGTGCCTTACTGTCAAATGTCAACGTGGTCAAGTTCCAGAACTAATTGCTCCATATTCAACTCTTTTGATTGAAACTTCTTCTTTTTTTTTTTTTTTCGAAGGTGCTTAATGAAATTTTAAGATGTATATGAATACAGCCAGTATCCTTACATTTAACGACTCCTCTTTTTCAAAAAAAAATTACAAAAAGTTGTGTGGTAAATACTTCAGAAACGAAAAGCAAATAGCAAGGTTTCTTAATTTATTATGAATAAAACTGTTTTCAAGTATTTAGGCATTTCTTTTTCTCTCTTATTCAGAGTATTTCTTTTCCAGCATGTCCACTCGCTTTGCTAAACCCGAGAAACTGTTCTTTGTATATTGTTCAATCGTTGTTCTGAGGGCGTTTGTGAGGTGTACGTTTTGCTCATATAATGAAATTTTGGCTGGTATATCCTTGCCTCCCTTCAACTCCCCCATGTAAGTTTCTGTGTTTTCGCGGCCATCCGGTGCAATCAAAAATTCCAGGATTTTTGTGTGCTTTCTACAATTGCGTGTTTTGTTAAAAAAAAAAAACTCCCAGATCATACGAAAATGAATTTTTACTTACGATAAGACATTGTCGACATGCCCAAGTTGATTATATGTTTTGATGAGCGAGTCGGAGTTTAGTTTTGCTTGTAAAGAGGATAATGCTTCATCTGACTCTTTTGAAATCTTCTTCAATGTTTCCTTCATTTTGTTTGGTTGTGGTTTTGTAACCTTTGCCGAACGAGTAGTGGAGTGTCTAACCTGGAGAGATTCGAGTTTGGTGGGGTATAATGTTTGGTTGCGTGGGCGCACCAATTCAGCAACAAATTCTTTTCCGATATAATCGTCAAATGATTTCTTGACAATGGTTTCCAGGCCATGCGTTTTCAAGTAGGCTTCCTCCTCCGCCAGACTACTTTGGCCTAACAATCTTCGTAAACTCTCCTCTGTCAAGTACTCGATATTTTCCTTGCTAGACCAGTGCTTCAATTCTATTTCAAATTTATTCGCTTGGTCTTCCATATGCTTTAACGATGCGGCAAATTCAATCTCTGATTTCCTTAAATCTGACAGGATGAGTTCGTCCATTTGGTGTAGTTTGTCGAATAGTTCTTTGGCATGAGGTACAACATCTAATTTGCTGTCTGACACAACTTTACATTCTTTTTCTGTCTTTTCCAATTGATCTGTATAAGGTTTAATATCCACTATTTGATGTGGATCCAATGATTCTGGGGTCAAGAACTTTGGATCCATCACTCTTTTTATATCTGCAGCGTCCTTTAAATCATCAGACAGTTGTTTGACCAGATCATCATTTAATATTTGTAGCCTATCGTACTGTTATAAGTGACACTTAAATAAATTTAGAAGGCAAATAGACTTACTGCTGCTTTGTGTTTGCGCTTTTAACTTCTGCGACCCTTATTACAGATTCTGCAAGACAAGAATTAAGGAGCGTTAGTAAAGTTGGTTGAACAAAAAATACAAATCAAAGAAATCGCATTACTTAATTTTGCCACCTCCGGCTGACTCTCGTAAATTCGTTTACGAATCACTTTCTTTGATTGTCGTAGGTGAAGAATTTCTGTTTTTTGTTTATGAACTAATTGTGAAGTAAGAAAACCTTCCGTCAAGCTATAAAATTACAATTAATTAAGCAATGCCGGTGGTAATTAGGTCGCACACTTACACAGCCGAAAATGATTTCTTTGCACCGTCAGTAATTTGTCTCATTGAAAAGTTTGTAGAAAAGCACGAAGGAAAAAAAAAAAAAAAAGAAAAAAAAAAATTGGCTGGATCCTAATTGTATTGGCCCGTGAAAATATTCAGAATCCAATAGATATGCGATCCAGAGGCTGTAATTGATTTTATAACCAATTGAATGGCAATCCAGAGGCTGTAACCAAGTACTTATAAAAATGCTTCAATCAGGACGATAACCATGAGATTACGATCCAACCGGGGATATGTAATTATACGCAGACGAATCTTGTCTGCTGACATAAGCTCGAACAATAAAATGATCATACAGTAATAGATGTTACCCCTAATAAGGATATGCTGTACCTACAAAAAAAAAAAAAAAAAAAAAAAAAAATGTAAAGGAGTTTATGCCTTTATTCCTAGTCAGACAGTTACATATGGTCTATTTTCATATTTCGATAATCAATGGTATCTACTTTAATACCTTATTTGTGACCTGTTTGACACAAGATTTAATTTTAGATCAGTGAATTATTTATTTACCAATTAAAAATGTTGTTACATACAATCTTTCTTCCTTTTTACTTTGGCCACTTTGTCTCAAGATGAAACGTAAATCCCAAGTGGATGATAGAAGAAGTATTCACACACATTTTTTATTCACTTGTCAAGTACTTAATATTAATTCACTACTATTAACAGACGTTAGGCAAAAACCGGTACCTTTGCTTTTAAAACATAGCCATGGGGAAAGTAGCAGTACAGAAGGTACAAAAACATCATTGACTTTTACCCCATTTGTTCACCGCATAATACAAACATATTTGCCACATACAGGTTCCTTAATGGGTGAGGCTCCCCTGGAATTTTATTGCTTAAATAGCAATATGGCTTCGTTTATACCTAGCATTGGTGACAATACTAGAGTTTATGAAGTATTAGAAGGTGCCACTTCAAACTTTGACTTTCCCTTCAACAACAATATCAGTAGAATATAAAATTATTTCTCTTGTCAACTCAGAATCATCCCTAATGGTGGTCTACATACGTCTGATTGCGATGTAATCAATAATGATATACCTACAATTCAACAAGTAGTAAAATTTTTGAACAATGATGCTGTCAACCCGTTCGGGATCAAATCCAAAAAGTATATCGACAAAGCTATAGTGCCTAGAGGAAATCTTTTACTGTATACTTGCAGTCAAATCTATAACTGCCGTATTTATTTGTTTTCATCAAGAGCAAAGCCAAAACTTATTGATCCTCCGTCGAATAGCCAATTGGAAAAAGACAATGTTCCGAACATTGCTGTATTCAAACATTGCGATTCATTTAGCAAAGAATGGTTTCCGTTGAGGGTGTTGTCGTATTTGGGTACGATCCACTTAAAGAATAATTAAGCAAATCGTCTAAATAAATAAACTATGAAATTAAAACAACCTTTGATGTTGCATATCAGCATACGCTTGTATACTGCTATACAACTTCTCCTACTTCGAGTACATACTTCTATATAAAAGATTGCATGATTGGCCTAAATACGATATACGAATGACAGTTGGATACAGAATGCTATACCACTGAGTTACGATATCACCGATCGAGAAGAGAAACTTCTCAGATCAATCAAGAATTATAAGAAAGAGAAACTTAATATTAATAGTTCTCTCAATGGATTAGCTACCCAGAGAGAGAATAGAACAGCTATTAATATAAATGGTTCATTTACTTATATATTGATATAATTATACTGCTGATGAAGAGTATAAAGAAATAGTGTATGAATTAATGGTTACCTAGCTTCTACAACCAAATATACAAATATCGGTAAGACATTTTATATTTGGGATCGTAATTTATTCATTACAAAGATAATGAATAAATGATCAGCTATTATGTTCTATTGCCAATTACACTTGACAAACAAGTATGCATCTTTTACAGTAACCGTTGCATGATCTGATAAATAAGTGTCTCGTAATACTAAAGATTTATTAGAATACTCATGCTCCCGATCCACTGATATGGGACAACGTTAACTGGAAACAATTCTAGCGAGTAGTATCCACTTAACCTAAGGCGGGAAACAAAGTATAGATCTATTCCAAAACCAGAAAGGTTGACTCATCATTAAAACTCAGGAGAGTTGTGCAATATAAAAAGGATCAATTATTTCATAGCAGCAGAGTTCTTTTAGTCTATTTTTACCTCTAATAAAAATATACTTTTATCTCATTACTTTTCTATGTAATATTTTGTCAAATACCACAGGTGTGTTTAAAACCCGGTGCCCACACTAAAAAACCAATTAATGTCGTCAGCACTATCATTTCACCTGCAGTAGAAAAAAGACAAATTGGCGAGAAAAAACCAAGGCAAGCTTATACAAAAATTGGAAATGATCTTGATGATGAAATATTACGCCTATTGGAGGAAGAAGTCAAGTGTCTGTACGAAAAAAATGGTCTTCATTTACAGCAAAGCAAAAGAACAAGCCGAATATGATTGAAAAATTTTCTGAAAGTCTTTCCAGGAAAAGTTTACCGACAGGCGCTGCAAATATCATACAAGCTAAACTGGAACAGAAAATAAAAAGCAACCACTTTTCTGATTTTAAAGAGTCTGCTGTTCCCCCATCAGGTGTATGGGTTCAGCAGAAAACAAATCGACTCAAGCAGCAAAATAAATTCACAATCGAGGGATTCATAAACAATTTCATTGCTAATATCACGGAACATAAGCAATCTGTGGAATTAGAGGCCGAAAGTAGCAGTAGTACCTCTTTTTCCTCTTTGAAATCTGATCAAACCGATACAGAAATACTCATTGACACTGAAGACTCAGCAGAAAAAGATTATCGCACAGTGAGTAGAAGCCTGAAGAGCGTTATTCATAAAGACTTCGACTATAATAGTTTTTTACGCCATATTGAAGAACTACAAAAAGAATGCAGCTTATGTGCACATGGATTATCTCAAGCAACGGGCTTATTTACTGAAACAGTAATATCTAGTGCTATTTTTCCTACGAATCCTGAATCATACTTTGATTACAGTTGTATCGGTCTTACCGAATTAACAGCACATGTAGGGTAAAAACAGATTGCTATCTTGAATCGTAAAGAGAAAAAATTCCTACATAAGAGTGATGATTTTACTTATCTGGGTTTTTGGCGCATACTATCAAATTGTGTTGGGGGTAAATCAAGCTCCAAAAGCCAGCATGTGTAAGTAATTTTTAGATATCATCCACATAAAAAATAACATTTTATTTTTATGATCCCACAAAGAGTTATTACATTTATCAAAAACAATTTAGAAGATCAATACAAGCATAATTTTATTTCAAATCCTACGTTTGCATACGTCTGCCGTCAATACTACATAAACTTTACAAATTTATCTACTTTTTAAAAATACATGCAAGACTTAAAAGTGGTTATAACTCTTTCTACAAGAGCTAATCTTTGCAGGCAAAGATTCTTTTCAAAGTCTTCCACGGTGTCTTTCAAAACCCCCTCACCTAATAGAAGCTCCTCCGTAAAAAAGAACACCAATCGATTATTTTTAATGAATGAGCTCTTCGATTGTTTATTGATACACAATCAACATAAAAAAAGTGGAAAACTCTTTGCCATAGAAAAATTAGTAGAAAAATTGTTTCAATCTGCGGATACAGCTACCAACGTAGAAAAAGCAATCACCGATATTAATCCTCCATCGTTAGATGTCCGTATGTTCTCTGTGCTAAAACCACATAATAAATGCTACTGTCTACAAAAGGAAAGATGTTTCACGGATAAAAGATCGGGAATAAGTAACCCGGCTTTATGGAAATTTCTTCATTACAACACAACTCTAGGCTCCGACCAATGAGAGATCAGAGAATTTAAGGAACAATAATAAATCAAGGACAGCTATCTTACGATCTTCAATAAACCAAATGAATGGTCCATCATATAAAACTACGATGGATCTGAGCTGTCAAAAATACAAGCCACAATATCTTCAATCTTCTATAAATATCAGGGCAAACCTGCCCGTCTAGTTAGCTCTTAATCAATTTTTATACAAATAAATCGACAAGACTTATAATTGTATTCTCTTTGTTTTTTTATCTATTTTTTTCTGTAAAACTATTCTCTCTTAAAGTCTACTTTTACTACATTCTCTTTAGAAAATGAAAGTGAATTCGAAGACGAAGAAGATCTAGTAATTACTTCATCTTCAGACTTTGACGATGTCAAAAGGGTTACTTTGGATTACGCACAGAAGGATTTAACAGCCAAGGGTGTAGCAAAAGTAGGCTTAAAGAGGATAGTTTTGCAGAAAAAAAGGTAGAAAAAAACAATAGGATCAATTAGAATTCTTGTCAGATTTTATTGATGTTAAAGTTAACTAAAGATTTAAGAAGAGGAAAAATAAAGAGTATTTATAATAAATGGAATGGACGAGGCTGAGGATACTACTCTTAACAATATGAGTATGCTATCAATAACAATATCTATATTGGACAATTAGTGCTACGCATAGTCAATAGAGAAATAATAACAATAACATGTCTCAAGTTTGGACATTGGTGTTACGATACCGTGACACTTTAAAATAGTGACCGGCTTTAGCGAATTCCTTTTTTATGCCTGATCATGATTTAGCTATCATTTATCAGTGATGATGAGATATGAATTTATTATATGTATAATCTATATGTGTGATTTAGCACAAAGGGGGTGAGAGCGCTATCCGCAGTTTGTATAATGCTAATACTGTCATGGAACACTGAAAAAGAAGTGGACGCTGACAACATATTTGAAAAGTTGTATTGCAATTCGCAAGAGAGTATACTGTTGTAGTTGAAGTATAATATACATATACTTGGGACTTCTTTATTTGAAGTTCCGAGCCTGGTTTAAATATCAGGTTTTATCCTATTTTTAATAAAGTTCATCTTTTTTCTGTCTCGTATTTATACTTGTGTTAATCGACTATTTCATATACCTCGAACAGCTCTTACTTTTTGTGCAAAACTGGTCAATGGTAAATTAAAAATGCGGTGCAAGAAGGAAGAGGAATGCCTTGGAAGTTTTTTTTGGAATGAGAGAGCTCCGAAATTCGGTTGTGGCATTCGCCAAAGAGCATAATACAAGAAACAGAAGGGGAATTTATAGCTTGCATCCGACTACACAAATAAAAGTCTCTATTAGGTTGGACAGTAAATCTCTGTATCTACTCTTTGCGAAATCATACAACATACATACGACAGAAAATACATATTTTACAAACTACTTGAATATTTCCACGGAAAACGACAAACGGTTAATATTCGCGAACTTCTTTGATATAAGTTATTTAGAACGAATTTTAAAAGAGCAGAAATTACACCCAACTTTTTTTTTTATATTCTCAAACAAGCATTCCCTCCAATTTTTAGGAATCAAAAACATACTTGAAAGTAGCTCAAAATTGAGTTCAAATACGAGTCCGGAAAAGGAGAAAGCTCCCACAAACAACGATTCCCTTGATGACCATGTCAATTTGAAAGAAACTATTCGCAATTTAAATGAGGAAATCAAAGATGTGATGTTTGAGATATTGAAATAGATAAAACAGAATAAAAAAAGAAGTAATAAGAAATGAGTCTCTATTAATTCTTTATTAAAGTTATGGAGAGAAAGTCATCGCAAAAGGGAGGACGCTTTTTGTATTAAACATCTGCGAGATTGAATCTGGTAAGGAATAAGAAGTGGCTTGTTTCTATCTTCTGAAACATGGCAATTAGAATTACATGGTCTTAATCCAATCAATACTTTCTTATATTGATTGGCCCAAATTATTAAGTGAAAAATTCTCATTAGCTGATACTTCAGTAACAGATTAATGAGAATCAAAAACAACCAATAATAATATAATTCCCAATATATAATCTGTAACAAGATTATACTGGTAATATGATAGTACCACTCGAATATCATAATTTAACCACATTGAAAGTCATTCTATACGATATTTATTGGAGGAAATACGACATTGCCCCCTACCAGAATAGAATTACCCTTCAAAGATATAGACAGACTACTGAATAAACTTCAACAGATCAAAAAAAGAAAAAAAATATAAAAAAATATAAAAAAAATCCATGCCGATCAGTGATCAGCAAGACAAAAAAATTGGGGTTGTTGCTTATTTAGGACTAGTAACTCCGCCTTTGAAACGACGGACAGCACTGGAACTTGGGCGCACACGTTTATGTTTTAACGAAGCATCATCTTTGTGAGCACGTTTACGATAAGAACGTTTACCATTTTTACTTGAAGAAAGAGTAGATGGTGCAGTATCAGCACTTTTATCGACGTCATCGTTAGATAGAGTATCCAATACCGTAGAAATAGATCCTGGTGGATTCTTTTTCAATACATCCATTGCCGTGGGAGAATTTGTGATCACGTTAGAGTTTTTGGGCTTATAAGGAATACCGATTTTTTTCCAGTATGTTCTTAAAGTGTCCCTAGCATTAAACAGATCTTGATCAATCCATTCATCCCACTCACTACTGTAATTTTTCCAACGAACTAAATACTCACGCTTGGTGGGAGTACCTCGATGATTAAGAATAGCTTCAATTTTGTAACTTTTAATTTCATTACCCTCATCATCTAACTCGATAACTTTTCGTGTGAAATAAGTTTGAGTTCTCTCGATGTGTCATTACGGGGCACTAATGCTCCGGTATGATCACGTAATATATACGAGTTGCCACGGTTCTCTAGTAAAACTGTGTAAGGACTAGTATAGGAAGGCGCTAATTGACCAGCTTTAGTGGGTATTCTAATCATGACATGACTGTCAGAAGGATATTCTACTAATTGATGCTTATTGTCAAATTTAGCTTTTTCAATTTCAATTTGGGCCATGGCTTTAGCTGTAATAGCAGGAAACACGATATCTGTCGTGTAATCGATTCTTTTGATCAATTCCTCTTCAGACATAGGCTTACTTTGTTCAGGTGATACAGAAAGAGTTTTACGGAATCCGTATGGCTCGATCATTTTTCTCGTAAACATGAGAGAAAAGGCTGTAGAGTTTAATCTCTTCGAAATACGATTATTTAAAGCTAACTGAACAGCATTCAAATGTAAATCCCAATCGTTACCGACACCTCGCGTTGCTTTAGCAAGTAGTCTTTTAACTGATTGAAATTAACATTCACTGATACCATTTGCACTTGCATGCAGCGGTGTGATGAATCTATGATCAAAATCCATGGCGTCAGCGAGATCTTTCGCAAGACAGTTTTTAAACTCCGCTCCGTTGTCTGTTTGTAACACGAGCGGGAATCCTATTATGGAAAATACCTCAACAAGCGCACGCAGAACAGTGGAACTTTTCTTATCAGGAAGGGCACGTAAAATGCAAAATCTAGTGTGTCGTATTCGGGTACGATTCACTTAAGAATAAATAAGCAAATCGTTCAAATAATTAAATTACGAAATAAAAAAGAACCTTCAATGTTGCATACCAGCATACACATGTATACTGCTACACAACTTCTCCTACTTCGAGTACATGTTTCTATATTAAAGATTACATGATTGGCCTAAATACGATATACGAATGACAGTTGGATACAGAAAGCTATACCGCTGAGTTACGATATCACCGATCGAGAAGAGAATCTTCTCAGATCAAATCAAGAATTATAAGAAAGAGAAACTTATTATTAATAGTTCTCTCAATGGCTTAGCTACCCATAGAGAGAATAGAACAGCTATTAGTATAAATGGTTCATTTACTTATATGTTGATATAATTATACTGCCTATAAAGAGTATAAAGAAATAGTGTATGAATTAATGGATACCTATCTTCTAAAACCAAATATACAAATTTCGATAAGATATTCTATATTTGGGATGTATTTTATGCATTAGAAAATTAAAGCATAAATGATCAATTATAACAATTATGTTCTACTGCCAATTACACTTGACAAACAAGCATGTATCTTTTAACAGTATCCGTTACACGATCTTACAAAGAAGTGTGCCACTGCACCAAGTATTTGTCAGAATACTCGTGTTCCCGTTTCACACATCTGGGACAACGTTACCTTTAATCAATTCTAACGAGTAGAGTTTAGATAACACAAGATGGAAGACTAAAATACAGATTTATTCCAAAACCAGAAAGGTTGACTCATCATAAATCCAGGAGATGTTGGCAATATAAAAGGGATTGATTACTTCATAGCAGCAGAGTTCTTTAGTCTATTTTTACCCTAGAGTGCATCTTCATTGTAATGTGCCAAAACGTAATCTGTGACATTTTTGAGCATTCATCTCCGACTAGTACAAGTAATATAAAAGGAAATTTATTTATAGCCAGATTTTTTTAATGTGGGGAGAAATTTTTTTTTTTTTAAGAAAATTTTTCAGGGAAATATATTTTATTTGGGTGGAGTCTAAATTGTTTTTGTATTTTTTTTTTTTTTTTTTTTAGATTGAAAGTCATCAAGGAGCAACTAAGAGCATCCCCAGCAGTGGCGCTTAAAATCCGTTTTTCGGTTATATAAGCGCAAAATAGTAGTTTTTTCACCCCCAGCAGTGGGCTTAAAGTTGTTTTATCTAACCGAAATTTAAAAAAAACTTTAAAATTTCGCTAAAATAACAGATTTTTTAAAGTCAAAAAAAATTCGTCTTTGACAATAAAAAAATTACCCCTTTTTTAAAAAAATTAACTCAAAGAAATGAACAATATGTACGACTCTGACAACGACCAAGCTAACTTGGACATGGTTCTTGACAACCTCAATGTTGACGATGAACAGTTGGTCAATGACGATGACAACACCAACGTCATGGACTACTCCTGTGACAATGACAGCGATGAGAGTGATGTCGAGGAGCAAAGCGAAGCTCTTTCCATTGCGCCTAAGCAGCGTCATGCTTGGACGACTGCTCAAGACGTCCAGATGTGTAAGTCTTGGGTGGCCGTCTCGGAAAGACCTATCGAAGGAAATTCGGTAAAATCATCTGCTTTTTGGAAGTGTGTTCTTTCCGACTTCAAGGCTGCCGGCGACCAAGCCTGGCCAGAAAGAACCGAAAAAAGTCTGAAAGACCACTGGAGAGTTGTTTCTGCTTTGGTCAGCAAGTTTTGTGGTGTCGTCGCTGCAATTGAACGACGTAAGGCAAGTGGTAAAGTTGCCGCTGACGAGGTAAGAATTATGATTAGATTTGTTTTAAAAATATTAGAATCTAGAGCAAACATTTTTATAAATAGGTGGGTGATAGCTTCAAGCTTTTTGAGCGAAAGTATCAGGTTCGATTCAAATACTTCCCGTGCTTTCAGGAGCTTAATGGTGCCCCCAAGTGGAAAAGCGAGTTGAAGGGCAGAGATCGCAAAATTAAGGCGAAGAAGCAAAAGGTCGTGAAGAGTAAAGTGGCTACCTCTTCAGCTCCACGTAGCCATGCTGATACTGATGCTGGTATGCCGGCAGCGGTTGATGACGATGAGGATGCCATGAGTGACGAATCGGTTGCAGTGCGTCCTATTGGACGTAAAAAGAGCAAGAAGGATGCCGATTTGGACACGAAGTACAAAGGGCTTTTGGATGGATTGGACAAGATGCAATCCCAAGGAGACGAGGACTTTAAGAAGGTCCTTGAAAAGATGGATCAAGCCCGTGAGATCCAACTTCGTCAGGTGGAAGAAGATCGTGAGCAACGTGAACGAGAAAGAGATGACGCCTTGTTCAGGATTAACTTGAAGGATTTTGAGGGTGACGAGACGGCATTGCTTTATTACAAGCTTAATCGTGAGGAAGCCTTAGAACGATCTCGAGAACGATCAAGAAAGGCAAGACTTGCCAGAGAACAATAAATCTTTTGTTTTTCTTTTTTAATCGATTTTATTTAATTTTATAATGTGATTTTTCATTCTAGTTTGAGGGGCTTCCAAATCCTTTTATGTGCCAAAGATGGGAGACCAGGGCAGCTTTCAATCTGAAGTGCTCAGATGAGTCTATGATATGACCATGACGTTCCAAAAAGCTACTGAAGCTGTAATGTGAACCATCACGAGAAATGTCAGCAGCCTCAGCAGGATTGGCAGAATGCGTTTTATGGTATCTGTACGATCCCATATCGCTTTCGTCGCGCTCATCCTCAACAATCATGTTATGTATGACGATACATGCTTTCATGATCGTATCAAGATCACCATTTTTTCATAGTCTTGCAGGATTACTAATAATGGCAAATCGAGCCTGCAACACACCAAAAGCTCTCTCCACATCCTTTCGACATGCTTCTTGTGCCTTGGCAAAGTTCTATTTAAGAGGAAGAGTCGATTAATAACCCAAATACTAAGTATTGCTAGTAGAAACAAAACTTACAGCTTCGGCACCAGGTCTAGGGACGGAATACGTCTTCACAATGTTCGCATAATTGGGGTATATCCCGTCACCAAGATAATACCCCAAATTGAACTCTTCGTCACCAATGTTAAACTTGACATCGGGACCGCTTCCTTCCGTATACCTATCAAAGATATCCGATCTGTTAAGAACATTGATATCATTGAGCGAGCCAGGCAAACCAAAATTGGCATGCCAGATCCACAAATCGTAGGATGCCACAGCCTC